TAACACCCTAACACCCTAACACCCTAACACCCTAACACCCTAACACCCTAACACCCTAACACCTTAACATTCAAGCTACTTTTAATCTCTTCTATCTATTTATTTATTTATTTATTAGGCTTTTCAAAATAAAAATATATGAGATTAAGAACAGCTTTTTTATTAAATTAAATATCTGTTTATGCAAACTTTTTTTGAGAGATATCAAGTATATAGAGCTTGTTAGAATTAGATTAGTGAACAGCGCTCGACATTGCAGCGTGGGCTCATATTTGCACTCTACATTTTATCATTTCAACAGGATATGCTGAAAGCGCGCAAAAAATATATAATCGGATAAAGCACTGTTTTGAGCTGTTTAATTATTATCAAATAAATACAAGTTCATATGGATTTTGCAGCTCTAGAGCATTAGTCTCAAGATTTTTTTAATTAGTGTGTCTTCAATACTTTTAAATTTGATCTCTCTTAAATAAGACAATTATTTAAATTATTTGATATGAATTCAAGGGTTGATTTTTGGTTCGGGCTACAAAATGTTAGAGTTTTGTTAGTACCTGAATAAACTTAAATAAAAATGAGTGCTATTTACTGTGCTAAATGAGAGAATTAACTAGTCATATCTTGCTTGTAAAGAGTTGTTTAGGTTTCATTATTGAGATAAAATATTGATCTATTTCTATATTATTTAAAGGATTCTTATTGTAAGCTCAAAACGTATCATATTATAGTTATAAAGAAAAATTAAAATTTTTAGAAGCTTATTGATAAAGTTGAATCAAAGTGATATCCGAATGACAGAAAGTAATCGAAATAATAATCAATGCATGCCTATCATCTCTTCCTATTAATTAAAAATCACGCAAATTTTATAAAAATATTCAGAACAATAATTTGTTTAAGCGGCAAAAAAATGATGACGAAATCTTAAAAATATTTTATTTTAAACAGATTTTACCTGAGATGCTTGCTTTGTAGATAGATCAAATTTCCATATTTGGCTGTCAAAATCGACGAAATAAAGGTTGCCCTTATAGCGGACCACAACTGATTGACGATGAGAATTACCCGGCAAAGTGTTATTACCAATATGTGCCCAATTTGAAATATCATTTTCGAAGCTTTCAAAAATCCTCTCTCCTCTTTCAAATAAATAGATTCTATTGTTTCCTCTCAACATAGATTTATAGCTACTATTAAGCAATAAACGAGGAACATCTTTATAATTATTTTGAGTAATACTGTAACTTATACATTATATATACTCAAAAAGTATTTTAAAATTTAGCCCACAAATATTTTGGATAACCAAAATATGGTTTTCTGGCCAAGCTAAGCAAGCAGAAATCAATTTTCCTTTATAAAATATTTATCAATGTTTTTAAAATCTTTTGTATTATATATAATTTTTTGGAGATACTTACCAGTTATAAGAATTGAATCTCCAAATAATGCATTACAACCATAATTATAATTCAAGTCTTGAGGTGGCGGAGAAATGCTTTGTCAGAGATTTTGCTTAAAATCGTATCTTTCAGCTACTTTATTATTTCCTCCTAGTAAGTATATATAGTTATTGTAAAAAATAGGATCAAGATATGAGATGCTTTTTGATTTTTGCAATTGTTTGACGTTTCTATTCTTGTCAATTGTAAAAGTTATTCCAGAGCCTGAGTTTGGATTGCAATAAAAATAAGTTTTGTCAGGGAGTATGCAACATGAAATGTAATATTGAATTGTTTCTTGAGTTGTAAGCGTGGTTGTAGAGGAAATTTGGAAGCTATCCAAGTTTATAGTAGAAAAATTAGAAGTATTGCTTCTAAAAAATGATAATTCGTTTGATTCAATTTCATCTTCAACAGCTCCTCCAAAAGGAGTTAAAGGATTAAAAGGAATTTCATAAGTTTTGGTTATATTTGCCTGAATTTCTTTATAATCCAAACGGCAGCAATTAACATTTCATCCTATCATTTTTATGCTTGCTTTCTGAGCATCAAGTTTGAGCACACTTTCCATATCATCTTCATTTGCAACGTCTAAAAACTCTTCTTCATTAAGAAGCCCTTCAATCATTTTGCTGCATCTCATTTCAATCTCATTGATTTTTTCTAGATGTTTCCAAAAGGCAACTTTTAGGTTTTTTATAATTTCACCTGTATTAGCTGTCTCTTCTTTTTTATAAGCTTGAATATCTTTTTTGAGTTCTCTAAGTTTTTGAATAACTAGATGCCTAGTTTCTTCTGATGGTCTGAAATAGAGCTGTATGCATTGATGTCTTTTGGAAGAAGGCTTTAAAACATGTTCTATAATATGCTCCTTGCAAAGTAAAACCTTTTCTTCACAATCACATTTTGCACAGAGCTTATTTTGGCAATTCTCTTTAAAGCACCGACCACTAAACATTTATAGAAATCAAGATGATTTACTTTTAATATGTTGTCTTAAGATAAGCATAATAATACCATGGCCTGAGTTAGACAGTTTTATTAATGTGCATTCAAGCTAATTTAATTAATTCTGTTGCTTTATTTATATGATTTTTCAAAATAAAAATATATGAGACTAAGTGCAGCTTTTTAGAAATTAAACTAAATATTTGTACATGTAAATTTGTTTTGAGGGCAATTACTATATCTAATTTGTAGAGCTTGCTAGGATAATGAACAAAATAATGGCAGCCTTATAATCAAAAGGATTATTATTTGGAATAGAACTGCTGACTATATTTTTAAGCTTAATATATCGTTCTCATCACTTTCAAAAATCCTCTCTGCTTTCTCTATAAAATAAATTCTATTATTTCCTTTTATGATTAACTTATTGCAATCAGAACTAAGCACGAATTAGGAAAATCTTCATAACTATTTTGAGTAGCTCCATAATTTATACCTTTTCGTATACTTTTAACACCCCAATTTACCTCTCAGCTTATGTTAATAAGTGAAAAATCGATATTCTAGCTAAGATATTGATAATGCATATAAAAATATTTGTAAATTATAATCATTAATTTTATATGTCCTGGCCTGAGATGCGACTGAAGTTAGATTAAGAATAACAATATTCTGCTTAATATAATATAATTCTAAAGCAGCATCAGTTTGCATTACAAAAGTAGTCATTAAAATGTGCAGCCATTTTATGATTTGAACTATATATAATAATATTAAAAAACTGTACCATATTATTTGCAAAGATTTCAAGCTTTGCATGAAATTTACACTTTAATTCAAGGTATTAGTATTTAGCTTGTATATCTAAATTCTATATAATAATTAACAAGAAAAATTATTAGAGTTTTATATCTATTTAATAAGCCTTCACATAAATAAATTTTTATTTTGAATTTTAAGGGAATTTTTTTTATTAGTAATTTATCTATATGATTCTAAATAACACAAAAGATTCTATTAAAAATTTATTTGGAACTTTTATCTGAAACTGTAAAATAATAAAGCTTTATAACACCTTGACTTGAGATAGCTGCTTCGAAGCCAGGTCAAACTTCCAAAGAAGATCGCTATATTGGACAAAATAAACATCATTTTTATATCTGACTTTAACAGATTGTAAATAATTTGATGGCATATTGTTGGTACCAATAATATTTCATCTTAATACATCATTTATCTCACTTTCATAAATATTTCCTCCTTGCTCTATAGCATAGATCCTATCATTATCCCTTAACGTTTTAATTAAAAATTACTGAAAAACTCCTTATGATATAGTATTGTATCCGCCTTGATTCGATTACTGTTTGCTATCTTGCTCTCGTATCTATCTCCATGTCATGGGATCGCACGCAAATGTGGTTGAGCAGGATATATCACTATAATGACTATAGCACGGGTTTTCTTGCAGAACGGTGACCAAAATGGAAACTCAAAGACTAAGAAAATACCTAATTTCGTGCTGTGTGTTAGAAGTGTTATTTTCGCTTTCTAACTTGGTGCTCAATCATCCATTATATAAAAAATCTGGATGCTGCTTGGGCTAGTCACCCTAGGCACACCACTCTACCGATTAGCTAGACTATGGCTTTATACACATATAACTCCTAATTTTTTCCTTAAAGTCTCCATCATTCAAAATGGGCTCTGAGTGAAGGAATTATAATAGGGTTGATTCGCCACTCAATTTTAATGTATGATCTTATCATTACCACTAATAAATATTTTATAGCATCTTTCTTGCATCGTTATATTAGAAAGTTCTTTATATTTATTGTGAATAGTGCAGTAGCTTATTATTTTCTGTAAATAATACCCTGTTATAAGAATTGAATGATCAAACTGTACATTACAGCTTATATCAAAATTCAAGTTACTTGGCAAAAAGAGGCCAATCTTTCTCATTTATTGCTTCCCATGTCATATTTTTCTGCTAAATTATTTCTCCCTCCAATTAAATAAACAGAGTTTTCTATAATAATTAGGTCAGCATGATAATTTATTTTGGCTTCAGTTAATTTTTTAATTTTTCTATTCTGATCTATAATGAAAGTAAGGCCAGAGCTTTTTCTATTTAAAGAGTAAAAATAACTTCTATCAGGAAGCATAAAAAAGTTATTATCGTGCCCAGTAATTACTTGTGGCAAATCTAAAGTTATAGTTGTCATCTGAAAATTTTCAAGATTTACTGTGATAAAATCTTTTGTTTTATGCTTAAAAAATGATAAATCTTTAGATTCGACAACATCTTTTACTTGCTTTCTGAAAGGATTTCAAGGTGTTTCAAAAAATTTATTGATTGAATCTATGATTCCATTATTATTTATTTGTAGATTTTTATTTCACCCTAATAACTTTTGTTGAGCCTGTTGTATATCAAGTTTTAATATATTTTCTATATCATTTTCAGAAAAAATATCTAGGGTTTCCTCCCCTTTTAGCAATATTTCCACCATTCTTTTGCACTTTAGTTCTATTTTATTTATTTCCTTCATAAACATATCTATGCTTTGTTTATTTGAATTATTTATAGCATATTTAAGTTAACAATAAACTATTTTATATTTATGGAAACTAATTTTTTATTGTAATTTTTATACTTTGAATCTTTAAACTATTTAAGTATAAGTGCTTTTTGACGTTCGTGATAATCTCAAAGGAATTCTGCACCATCAGATTTCGAAAAAGCTTTAAATCGCTAGAAATTTCTAAAATTTTTTGAATAACTGGATTTTTAAGTTCTGGCGATGGCTTAAAATAGTTTCTTATGCACTGATGCCCTCTTGGACTTGGACTTAAGGACTCTACATGCTCAGCAAGGTGCTCATAGCAGAATAGAGTTTTCCCTTGGCATTCACATTTACCGTATACTTGATTTTTACAGCCTAATTTAAAGCAGTGATTGTTCATTTAATAATACTCGGAATAATTAAAATTTAAAAATAAAAAATAAAAGATGGATAATCTTTATAAGAAGCTTATGAGGAGATCTCTAAAATGCCTATATATGTCCTGCATACATATTTGGATCTGACTGAGCCTGATTACTCTCAGCCAACTCGGAAAATTGATTTTGCTCTTTTTAGGAGGCGAGCAAACTCCCTACATTGAAGAACAAAAACTACGATAGATTTTTGCAAACGGATGCTAGCTCCTCATTAAATTTGATAATAAACTCTTACCCCCCATTTAATAACGAACACTTTTTTTGTTATAAAATTTATATTGAATACTATAATTTTTGTTATAAAAATTTCAATCAAAGCGTTGGGAAATAAGTCTAATAATAAAATTGAGTCAAATGATGGTAACAGAAAGAGAAAACACCTAAATGCAGGCGAAAAGGAAGCTATTGCAAAATATTATCTTGAACATGAAAAAAGAAGGCTTATCATATGACGAAATTGCTTACAAATTCCATGTGTCGAGATCAAGCGTCTGCGAATGAGTCAGAGAGCTTCTTCATTGAATCACTGCCAATAGACAGCACGGATTCCAATTTAAAAGGTTGAAATATTGGACAAGCTAAATTAGCTTATTTTAATTTTATAGTAAATTTTATTCGTTATTAAATGGGGCCTAAGGAAATATTTTTAGGGAAAAAATGACGCTTTTGTTTATTATAAATGGGGGAGTTAGAGTTGGCCTGGAAGAATCAGGCACAGCTAGATCGAAGAAGTGTTTAGGCCATTTAAATTGAAATAATTTATAAGGCGATAAGAGTGATAGCACATGAATAATTTATCTCTGAAATGATTAAAAAAGTAAAGACATTTAAGCTTAAGCCCAGCATGATTAAGCCCAAATCTAAAATTAATTTTTTGCTCTGGACTAGGTCTATAGCTCGACATATAAGTAGATGCCTTAATCTAATACTTATAATCTCATAAATCTATATAAACACTATTGAAGAACAATTTAAGTATAATTAATTAAGCAATTTTTAATTTTGAATTCTATTATACACTTACAAATATCTTTAGTAGTAGTAGTAGTAGTGCTTCAAAATGGTTATAAAAACAAGCTTAATGGAAAGCTCGAATGCAAAAAAAAGTATTATTTGACAAAGATTAGCTTTTATGCATATAACCGAGCCAACTCCTATTGTGCATCAACACTCAACATGCTGATTTAACCCTGTAGAAGAAATTAAACAGCATTATCGATAACTTAAAATTCCTCGAAAAACATGATAAAAGAGAAAATTAGCAAGTATTTCTTAACCAAAATTACTCGTATATCTAAATCTATAGAATAATTAATATGAAAAATTATTAGAGTTTTTATATCTATTAATACATAAATAAAATTTTAATTTGGATTTTAATGATAAATTTTTTATTAGTAATTTATCTATATGTTCTAAATAGCTCCAAAGATACCTGAAATTTTTCTCTTAAACTGCCTTGATTTGAGATAGCTGCTTCGAAGAACTTGATTTGACTTAACTTAATAATTAGAAGGTGTCTACCTTTTTGATTGCGCACTCATCAAGGACCCAATATTTAGAGTTCACCTGCTTTGCGCCGTCTTCGGCTTTATCCACCGGGACGTCTACTCCTCCCCTTGCGGTTTGAGTGCTGAATGGGCGGGCTATGGCCTTCTGCGGCTTACTGCTTAAGCTGTAAGAAGTTGACCACTCAAAAATCCAAAAAATGGAATTTCTAATGACCTCTCGGCAAAAAGGAAAAACCTAGATCCAGGGGCGTAACTCCCAGTTTCACTCTAGGAAGTTGCCCGATTGGTCTAGGTATTTCCTGTAGACCTTGCTGGGCTTGCCCTTTCCAAACCTGAACCCTCCTTCCCTTCGACGTAAAAGCCATTCCATTGGTTGAAAATGGGCCAGGCTCTGCCCTGCAATGCTGCTTACCTGGAATTGCTGCTCATTTCCAGAATATAATTAAAATATGTGCTCAGAAGCTGCGTGGCCGAAGGCTATGCCAGGTAAAGACGCCATATTTTAATTATGGCTGCTTCTAAGAAAGATCAAATTTCCAAAGAATATCGCTATATTGGACAAAATAAATATCATTTTTATATCTGACTTTAACAGATTGCAAATAGTTTGATGGCATATTATTGCAGCCAATAATATTTCATCTTGATACATCATTTATCTCACTTTCATAATTTTTTCCTCCTTGTTCTATAGCATAGATCTTATCATTGCCACTAATAAATATTTTATAGCATTTTTCTTGTAGAATAATATCAGAAAGTTCTTTATATTTATTGTGAATAGTGCAGTAGCTTATTATTTTCTGTAAATAATACCCTGTTATAAGAATTGAATGATCAAACTGTATATTGCAGCTTATATCAAAATTCAAGTTATTTGGCAAAGAGGCCAATCTTTCTCATTTATTGCTTCCCATATCATATTTTTCTGCTAAATTATTTCTCCCTCCAATTATATAAACAGAGTTTTCTATAATAATTAGGTCAACATAATAATTTATTTTGGCTTCAGTTAATGTTGTAATGTTTCTATGCTCATCTATAATGAAAATAAAGCCAAAGCTTCTTCCATTTAAATAGTAAAAGTAGCTTTTATTAGGAAGCATAAAACAGCTATAATCATACCCAGCAATTACTTGTGGCAAATCTAAAGCCACAGTTGTTATCTGAAAATTTTCAAGATTAACTGTGATAAAATCTTTTGTTTTATGTCTAAAAAAAGATAAATCTTTAGATTCGACAACATCTTTTATTTGTTTTCTGAAAGGATCTCAAGGTATTTCAAAGAATTTATTGATTGAATCTATGATTCCATTATTATTTATTTGTAGATTTTTATTTCACCCTAATAACTTTTGTTGAGCCTGTTGTATATCAAGTTTTAATATATTTTCTATATCATTTTCAGAAAAAATGTCTAGGATTTTCCCCTCTCCTTGCAATATTTCCACCATTCTTTTGCACTTTAGTTCTATTTTATTTATTTCCTCCATAAAAATATCTATGCTTTGTTTATTTGAATTATTTATAGCATATTTTTAGTTAACAATAAACTATTTATATTTATGGAAACTAATTTTTTATTGTAATTTTTATACTTTGAATCTTTAAACTATTTAAGTATAAGTGCTTTTTGACGCTCTTGATAATCTCATATGAATTCTGCACCATCTGATTTCTAAAAAGCTTTAAATCGCTAGAAATTTCTAACATTTTTTGAATAATTGGATTTATAAGTTCTGGCGATGGCTTAAAATAATTTCTTATGCACTGATGCCCTCTTGGACTTGAGAACTCTACATGCTCAGCAAGATGTTCATAGCAGAATAGAGTTTTCCCTTGGCATTCACATTTACCGTATACTTGATTTTTGCAGTCTAGTTTAAAGCAGTGATTGTTCATTTAATAAATTTCGGGAATAATTAAAATTTAAAAATGTAATAAAAAGATGGATAATCTTTATAAGAAGCTTATGAGGAGATTTCTAAAATGCCTATATATACCCTGCAGACATATTTGGATCTGACTGAGCCTGGTTATTCTCAGCCAACTCGGAAAATTGATTTGCTCTTTTTAGGAGGCGAGCAAACTCCCTACGTTGAAGAACCAAAAATATAATGGATTTTTGCAAACAGACGCTAGTTCGTCATTAAATTTGATAATAAACTCTTAGAGATGGCCTGAAAGAATCAGGAACAGTTAGATTTAAAGGAGGGTTTAAAATTGAAATAGTCAATAGGATTTTACACTTTATAATTAAATAGAATTTTTACTATATGCATTCTAATTAGAAAATAAACATTATTTATATCTCATTATTGTTAGCAAGTTAATATTATTAATATACTCATGCATCGTTATATATATTCGTCCATTGAATGTGGTCTGCATTAAAATTAAAATTAATTTCTAGACAAGTTTTGGCGATAGACAAGGTTGATTCCTCGATATATAAGCCGACGCCTTGATCTAATACTTAAAATCTGAATAAATCTATATAAGCTCTATTGAAGAATAATTTCAGTCTGATTAATTAAGCATTTTTAATCTTGAATTCTATTATAAACCTACAAAAGTCTCTTAACTGCAAATGCTTAAAAGATTATCGATCGTAAACGCAAGCTCAATGGAAAGCGTTAATGCGAAGGAATGGTTTTATTTACAAAGATCACGCTTTTGAGTACATAGCAAAGCCTACCCCTACTCTGCATCAACACTGAAGATGCTGATTTAAGCCTGTAGAAGAAATTAAGCAGCATTATCGATAACTTAAAAGATCTCAAAAAAGTAATCCTGCAAGCATTTCTCAACCAATATTAATTGAACTGACTTTTTTCAGATAATTTTATAGAGCTAGATAGAAAAATCTTCTATATCAAAAAATGAAAAGATTGAAGCAACTGCTAATGCGTATAAGTATTTACAAAGTCTAGCTGCTTTATCAAAAGACCAAATAGGGCTTTTAATCCTCTTAGAAATTAAATAAAAATCACAAATTTATCTGTATGCCATTGCAGAAGCGTGATATATAAAAAAATGGAATATCTATTGCAAGTTTTACTACTTCTAAATTCTACTATATACGTCTTAGCTACTAGTATATCTTATCTATTCTAAAGGCTTAAATTTAGATTAGATGGCTGCATAAAGCACCAAAATCCAAATCAAAGTTAGCCCCTTTGCTGAGCTAACATTCACGCATTTTTGCTTACTCCTTTCTCCGTGAGAGAACAAAAACCATCTATTTTTTTGCCCAAAAACCAACCCTTCGTGAGTGAAAAAAAAAATTTAATTAAAAATCTTTATGAAAAATAATTTTGACATATAATTAATAATTATTATAATGAAATCTCTAGCTAATTCTGTTTAATTTTAAACAGCTTGCATTTCAAAACATAAATTTCATAAATTAAATTAATTTTTACGAATTGGAATATTTTAAAAAATAATTAACCCTCCGTGAACAAACAAATTTTTTTTATCACTAACGGAAGGGGGAGTTAGCAGGGTTAAATACTTTTTCATGGTCCTTACAGATGCAGACTTCATTGAACATTTTTTCATCGTCAAAACAAGTTTGGCAAGCCGGATATTCAGTGCACGCTTTGCATCCCAAAAAGCAATTACTAGTGCAAACATTCTGACTAGGGTTGCAACTTATGCAAGAGTTCGTGCCTGAATCAAATATATCAAAAGCTTCATTACATAAGCAAGCATAAGTGTTTTGATAAAGATGCATACCGGGAAGGCATGAAGTGCATTCAGTAGAAGTTGTGCATGTAGCACAGCCGTTAACACATGGGGCGCATACTCCATTATTAGCATACTTTCCATCAGGGCAAGGAACGCAAGTTTCAGTTGTATTGTCGTATACCTTTGTGCTATCGATGCAATAGCAATTATCTCCTCCTGGAATTAAAATATTGTTATTAACGCAATCAATGCAATCAGTGCTGCTATAGCAAGAAGCACAAGCATCTGGACATAGCTCGCAAGTATTGCTTTGAGAGTTAAAATATTCACGATAAGGGCAGCTGCAAGTATGAGTAGTTGTATTAAACTTAAGCACGGCATTTGCACATGAACAGCTTCCGTCTACATGAGGGATCATGCTATTGCTGTCGAAACAAAATGTGCACTGATCTGGGGAAGTATAGCACAAGCCTCATTTTAGATCTCTGAGGACAATTACTTTTAAATAAAATATTATAATTTTAAATTAAGGAAAAATCTGAAAAGTCAATTTTAGAATTGACAAATAGGACGTATATAATGGCATCTTTAAAATGAATTTTGACTTTTTAGCTTTTTTTTGGAATTTTAAATAAAGTTTTTCTTTGAATAGCATTTTTCTTAAAAATCTATAGGGGAGCTCTCGCTATACAGGTTTCGCAGCCAAAATTGCATGCTAGGCAATTTTCATTAGGACCTTCATAAAAACCTGGGGGGCAGGTTAGGTTAGGCTATTAAAGTCAGATGTTAGCCATTTTGGTGGCGCAGCCACCAAAGACCTCCCTCATCCGCTTTTCAACTACAGCCCAAAGGTCTTTCTCCGAATATAAATGCAGTTTCCAGTACCTTCTGTCTCCTTATTGCAGCTCCAGTCTTGAGTGCTTACGGATTCTGTGACCCTGTTACGGGGAATTGGAGTATCTTGATTCCAAGATCCTTGGAGTCTGTACCGAAGTGCCAAAACCCCCAGTTTCTCAGTAGAGTAATACTCATGAATCTTCAGATACAAAGGACGTTGTTGGTACCTCCATATCCAACCACAGGAAAGAAGCCAAAACCTAATCTGGTCCACATCTCTTGAGACTGCATTTGATTCTCGGTTATGAGTGTTCCAGCTCGCCGTAGCAATAAGGTCCGGACTATTGCGCCAAGAGGGCACCTGGGGGGCAGGCGCATACATTGTTTTGATCGAAAACGAAATTTGGGTTTGTGCAGATGCATTCACCGTTTGTAAGTATAGAATGATCAGGATCGTAACATTGAGTGCATACTGAGCCTACTCCAATGCCAGTAGATTTGCACAATTCACATCCTGTAGAGCATGCAAAGCAGAAGACTCCATTAAATACAAAATATCCAGGCTGGCATCCTAAGCAGTTTGTCGCATTGCAATTTATGCAGTTTTCTCAAACGCACGGTAGGCAATTTCCATTGCTGAAATAAGATCCTTCAACGCAAGAATCGCAATAATTTCCTTTGTTGCAAGTTTCACAATGCGGGAAACCACAGCACTGAGTGTCGTTGGCGTTGAGATAATAATATTCATTACAAACTGAGCATGTTGTTGAATCTACGCAGCTAAAGCAATTGGCTATGCAGACATCTGATAGATTTTCAGTCAGATGCTGCAAGTAGTCTTCGATTTCACTGACTCCCCCCCTTTAAATTGGAACAAAATATCGGTAAAATTTCCACTTTTTCGGTAAATTAACCCCCCTTTAAATTGGAACAAAATTTAATTTTATAATAAAAAATTATATATAATTTTTATCTAAAAAGTTTTTGATATAATTTAAATGTTTCTTCTTAACTAAAATTAAAAATTTAGTTATATCTTGCTCTGTTTTAAAAAAAAAAGTATAAAGAGCATCTTATTTAAATAAATTTATTATCCTTAATTGGTAAATTTTAAAAAAAAATTAATTTTTTTTTTTAAAAAATTTTCAAAAAAATTTTTGTTTTTTTTGATAAAAATGATATTTTTTATTTGGATAGTTTTGACATAAATTCAATAGGAATTCTTTATAAAATTTCAAAATTTACTTAATTCTTGCTTTATTTTAAAGAATAGAGTATAAATAAGGACGCCCCCTCATTTGTCCAATTTTCTAGTCTTTTATCATTTGTCCATTTTTCTAGTTTTTTTTATAGGAAAAAAAAAAAATTTTTAGGACCTCATTTGTCCAATTTTCTAGTCAAAATTTTGATAGAGAAAAAAAATTTTCAGGACCTCAATTGTCCAAATTTTCTAGTTTTTTTAAAGTAAAAAACTAGAATTTAGGGCATTCGAAAAAATGCAAAAAAGACTAGAAAATTGGACAAATCATTTTTGACTAGATTTTGGGACAAATGAGGTCCTGAAAAAAAAAAATTTCTTATAAAAAAAAGACTAGAAAATTCGACAAATGAGGGGGGGGTCCTTAGCATCTCATTTAAACAAAATTAGCACTTTGATCGATAAATTTTCCAAAATTTTTTTTTTTAATTTTTTTTATCAATAAAAATAATAATTTTTGTGTAAATAATTTTGATTACCAATTAATAGTGGTGTATTAACTAATAATGAAAATTTAGTTATATCTTGCTTTTTTTTAAAGGATAAAAGAGTAAATAGCATTTTATTAAACAAATTTATTGATCTATTTCGATGTTTTTGATTTTTTTTTTTTTTTTAAATTTTTATATATTTCATAAAAAATTTTTATATTGATTTAAAGGGGGGAGTGAGGAGTTGATTTCGAATTAAACCATCTTCGAAAATGGTGCTTGCAAGAGTTAAGGATAAAAATTTTACTTGTGAAACCGTTTCAAGTTTTAAAAATTTCTCTAAATCCTCCCCTTATAAGAACCAAAATATTTATTTACTCACGAAAGGGTTTTAATTTTTTCCGAAATTTTGAAAAATGCCAATTTGCAGATGTGAAAATTAATTTAATTTGTAAAATTTATGTTTCAAGATGCAATCTGTTTTAAATTAAACAAAAATTAGCTAGAGATTTTTATATTATTTACCGCTTAAATGTCAAAATTATTTTTCATAAAAAAATTTTTAAATTAAAAAGATTTTGCTTACTCACATAGTGGGGATTAAGTTGATCGCAATCGACACGGCAAGAAGTTGACTGCCATTTTCGCATTTCTTTATTGTAACGATCTCTTTTTCAGATTTATTGCTGTAAGTGATGTGCCAGGCGAAATCTGCATTAATTCCTTGACTTTTTACAATTTGACGAATTAAAAAGTCGTCACATTGGATTTTCTCTCCAAGCTTGATAGCTTCTTTTGAAGGTTGAGAAAGTACTAAATCTAAAAAAATTGAGGCTGTTGTAGCAGCAGCCTCTTTTACAGCCTTATCTGACTGAGTATTTTGAAAAGAACTCTCATCGACCTCTAATGAAATTTTTAGAGGGTAGTAAATTCCATCATCAGGACCAGCTCCACTTTTTAAGAAGTATTTCGGAATTTCTTGATGATCCTGCGATGCTAAAGATTGAATCGAAAATCCCAACCAAAGAAGAATCATAGCAAATCTTTCTTGCATATTTATTTATCAGGTCTTTGTAGATCGAATAGCCATTAATTCATTAAAGATATTTGACCCATAATATGAAGGACTTCTAATTTTTATTTAGACTTAAATAAAAATCCTAATTTAGTGAAACGATCGTAATTCAGTGATACGGAAAATTATAATTTAAATGTAACTGCTACCATAATTACAGGTAGTAATATTCCAAATTGCAGCAAAATATTAACTTTGTTTGAGGCTACTTCTAAAATTAATTCTATGTTTATCAAGTTTAATTCCAGAGAAAAATAACAAATTATCCTATAGAAATGATTTAATTGTATAAAATAAAATATTTAATGATAAATTCCTTACTCCCCCCCCCCCCTCCGTGAGCGAACAAAAAAATTTTGTTCGCTCACGGAGGGGGGTTAATTTTTTTTTTTAAAAAAAATTATATATAAATTTTATAAAAAATTTTTTTTCGAAATTTAAAAAAATCCTAATTTGCAAAAATTGGGAAGCAAATATTAATTTAATTTGCAAAATTATGTGTTTAAAACGCAATTTGTTTAAAATTAAACAGAATTAGCTCTAGATTTCATTATACTAATTATCACTTATATATCAAAATTTTTTTCCATTAAAATTTTTTCTATTAAAAAATTTTTTTGTCACTCACGGAGGGTGGGTTTTTGGTCAAAAAATGGCGATTTTTCTAATGGTTTTGTTCGCTCACGGAGGGGGGGGGGGGGAGTTAGATAAAGGCATTTATTTTTCTCATAGCTTTTTAGGTGAATAAATATAAAATAATCATGGCAAGCATAATTACTAATAATTATTATTTATTTAACTGATATTTATTAAGTCTGTTAAAAACCCTCAAAATAATAAGGAATGAGCTCTGATTATATTTTGGTCTAAATTAAAAATAGAAAAAGATCTTGAACCTTGAAATATTTGATCACATCGTAAAGTCAGAGACCTCAAGGAAGAACTCAAAAGAAGAGGCTTTGGCTCTAGGAGATCCCAAAAAGCCTGCTGAAACATAAAAATGTACCTAAAAAAATTTGTTGAACTTTCTTCAGATGGCAACTTATACCCTTTCAAAAAATAGAAAAGATTAGAGAAGAATTAATGATAGCCTGTAAAATAAATATAAAGGTCTATAACTTATTTCAATATAGATCCTCAAAAGGCATTTAAGCAGAAGTTTATTAGTCCCTCAATTTTTATCGCCCTTGGAATTCGCAGATTGAAAATCAAGAAACCCACAAAGAAAATCAATAAGAGAAAGGGATAAAAATGGAAGCCCTTTTTGGAAGATCAAGAACTGGAAAATTATTGGGGATAAATTAAGAGGGTTAAAAGTTCTTAAAAGTTTTTCAGCAAAAGGGCTCAGATAAAAACTTTGTAAATAATCCAGACCTAGTTGTAAAAAATTAATGCATTTTATGAAGAAAGTTGGGGAAGGGCTATTTCAGAGATTTCTTTACGATAGAAAGATATTATAAGTAAAAAAGTTTCAAATCATAAGATTGGCAAGAAGCTGAAAGCTAAACATAATATAGGAAGAAGATGCTGATATAAAAATAAATTCATAATGCTTACACATAAAGCGTGACACATTTAATAGTTTAAGCTCGCCAAAATCGATTTAGTTTGTATAGCCATATGCCGGCTAAAACTTTGTGAAACAACGATTTCAGATTCAAAGTACAAATGAATCCCAATGCGAATCTTTAAGGATTCTGGGACTATATTTATAAACTAAGAGTTTTAAAGCAAGATATAGCACTAAAATAACTTTAAGATAATTTAAAGAGGAGATAGAAATAATTCCTCACTTCTATATCAAAAAATATAGAAACAATTTCTAATTAAAAAAATTATTATGTTTACTAAACATAGCTTCTTTATTAAACCACATAGGACTTCTAAATAATTATTAGAATTAAAATAAAAACTTCATGAAAATATGATATATCCAAAAAAGGAACGCCCCAGAGAGATTTATCTATTTCAACTATCAAGCAGCCTAATTACTTGTATATCTTATCTTTACTGAAGAATTAAATTTAGATTAAATGGCCACATAAAGAGTCAAAATCCAAACCAAAGCTAGCCCCTTTGCAGAACTAACCCCAGTACATCCTTTCTTACTCCCCGTTCCGCGAGCAACAAAAAAATTTTGTTCGCTCAAGAAAGCGGGTAATTTTTTTTTTAAAAAATTTTTTGTGTCGAAATTTAAAAAAATTCCAATTTTTAAAAATCGAGAAACAAAAATAAATTCAATTTGTAAATTTATGTTTTAAAAAGCAAGCTGTTTAAAATTAAACAGAATTAGTGAGAAATTTCATTATAATAATTAACACTTATATATCAAATTTTTTTTATATTAAAAAAATTTTTGTTTGCTTACAGAGAGTGGGTTTTTGGGCAAAAAATAAGGATTTTTTCATTGGTTTTGTTCGTTCTCGAAGGGGGGAGCTAGTAGGGTTAAATGTTTTCGTATGATCTTTACAGATGCATACTCCATTAACTAACTCTTCGTCTCCAAAACATTTTTTGCACGTTTGATAATCTGAGCATACTTCGCATCCTAAAATGCAATTATTATCACATGCAGGCTGGCTAGGATCACAACTTGCACAAGAGCCCTTAGTTGGATTAAAAATTGTAAAGGCTTCATCACATACACAATTGTCTGAGTTTGCTGATAAATGAAGGCCCGGAAGGCATGCTTCACATTCATTAGAACCTGAGCATGTACAGCCAGACTGGCATGGCATGCATTCACCTTCCTGAGCATACTGTCCAGTCGGGCAAGGAACACAAGAACTAGTTGTATTGTCATAAACTTTTGTATTATCAAGGCATACGCAATATCCTCCTTGTATAGTCAAAATATTGTTATTGACACATTCATAACAATTGGCTTGACTGTAGCAAGAGGCACAACCGATTTGACAAGGCTCACAAAAGTTGGTGCGCTCATTAAGGTATTGGGAATTAGGACAGCTGCAAGTATTAGTAGTTGTATCAAAATGAAGAAAACTATTAGTGCAAGAACAGGTTCCATCTGAATTAATGCTCATGATAAATAAAATGGCATGTGAGAGAATTAGCTTTATTAATATTCTCACCATCGTGGAATTTTATTTATAGGGTTAGAAAATTGGTGAATGCATCCATATATTATCATCAGATAAGGTGAGACCTCTAATCCAATAGGGTTTTGAGGCAGGTGATTTTTATGCTGATTACGCGCTAAGTCCAAGTTAAAGAAGGGCAAGGCTGCCTGTGAGATCTTGAGGTTTGCCATCATTTGCTAAGGATGGTCTTTAAGTCCATAATGTAGGCTATTAGGATTTTCTTGGTGATGCTAGAAGATTAGCTCATACTGGGTAAGCTTGAATGGCTTTGTCTCATCATCCTGCAGATCCAGACGCAACGCTAAACACTCTAAGTAAAAGGTTTTAAGCATTAATGGCCATATTATTGAAGTCATAACAAGTTTGGCACCGACTTACAGATGAACAGAACATACAGCCAAGGCCACATGTTTGGCAATTTCCATTAGAATCTTGATAAAAACCAGTATTGCAAACACATTTATCACCTCAATCAATACTATAAACTTGATTAGGCTTTATGCAACTACATAAGCCATTTACCATGTGAGAATTTTCTGGATCTCAGCATTGACTGCATACTGGATTATATTTAGGAGCAGAAGCTTCACAAAGTGCACATCCTTGAGGGCATTGATTGCAGTATTCATTTCCTGTTACATAGAATTCAGAATAGCATTCTGTGCAAGCTGTCGAAGTGCATTGTGCACAATTTTGATCAAGGCATGGTAAGCATTGTCCATTATTACTTAAATAATATCTATTAGGGCATGAATCGCACTGATTGGGATTAGTACAAGTTCCACATGATTTCACTAGACAACACTGAGTGCCATTGGCGTTGAGATAATAATTGGTATCGCAAATTGAGCATATTGTATCTGATAAGCAAGAAAAGCAATTTGTTATGCACTCTGATGCTGAATATTCAGTCAAATGTTGCAAGTAATCTTCGATTTCACTTAGCAATTGATTCCGTATTAGATCATCTTCGAAAATGATATTTGCAAGAGCTGAGGATAAAAATTTTACCTGAGAAACGGTTTCAAGTTTTAAAAATTTTTCTAAGTTGATCGCAATCGACACGGCTAGAAGTTGACTGCCATTTTCGCATTTCTTTATTGTAGCCATCTCTTTTTCAGATTTATTGCTGTAAGTGATGTGCCAGGCGAAATCTGCATTAATTCCTTGACTTTTTACAATTTGACGAATTAAAAAGTCGTCACATTGGATTTTCTCTCCAAGCTTGATAGCTTCTTTTGAAGGTTGAGAAAGTACTAAATCTAAAAAAATTGAGGCTGTTGTAGCAGCAGCCTCTTTTACAGCCTTATCTGACTGAGTATTTTGAAAAGAACTTTCATCGACCTCTAATGAAATTTTTAGAGGGTCGTAAATTCCATTATTGGGACCAGCTAAGCTTCTTAAGAAGTATTTAGGAATTTCATGATGATCCTGCGATGCTAAAGATTGAATCGAAAATCCCAGCCAAAGAAGAATTATAGCGAATCTTTCTTGCATATTTATTTCACCAGGTCTATATCGATTAAGATATTTTTAATTATTAACTCACAATGCGTAAGACTTTGGATTCTCATTGGACTTAAATAAAATTCTAAATTGACCAAAGTCATCATAAATCAGTGAGTAACACAGTAAATATAATTTAAATAGAGTTACTAACCCAACATCTAGATAATAATTTTTCCAAATTGTTTCAATAAGATCTTAACTGAAGGCTACTTCCAAAATTATATCTAACGTTTATCAGGCATAAGTAGCAGCAAAAATAGCAAAATATAAACAATTTCCTATAGAAATGATTTAAAGCAACATTAAATAAATTAAAATATTTTCATTCAAAGTTATTTTGATCAGCAGGATTATTTTCTTCATAACTTTGTTTTCTGTAGAAATGATATTAAAATAAGCATATAAAATAATTAGCCAATATTTTTTGGGATCTCTGTCAAAACTCTTCATAGCAATAAGAATTATAATAATTAACTTATATGCGATTGACGTAAATCAAAACAATAGTGAATGGCCCTAAATCTTTATTCAAATAAGAGCCATCTAGCTGAAGTTGATTTAAAAATTTTCAAAAAACCATCATTAATCGTGAAGCATATCAAAACAAAATACACAGATTTCTTCCAAGATTCTCGAGATAAAGACTTCTAATGCCTAAGCACTTTCGGGAAAAATAGAAAATCTTAGAGAGCAGGATTATGATGCAAAATATAAAAATCAATTAACTAGCTGAATATAGGTATTTCCCTTATCAAAGACGTTGCCTTAGGCTACTCAGAGACAGTAAATTTTCAGATTTATAAGCTTGCTTATTAATTACTCCAATTTTGCAATGCCTTATAGAGATCTCAATTTGAAAATCCCCTTAAGTATTGACGTATCAGATTTAGAAAAAATTAATAAGAATTGAAGAGCCTTAAAAAGTTATATAGCAAAAGGAGTTCATTGAAAAATTTACTTAATCGAGTTGCAAAAAATCGATAAATTATTTATGGGAAAAATTGGCAGTGCTATTTTAAAATTGCGGGAAAAGTGAAAGATCATATAGTGGATAGTGAATGATTTAAAAAAGTTGATGCAGCAGCTCAACCCTAAAACAACTATAAAGAAATAATTGAAATTTACAAGAAAAATTCACTAAAGCCTAAAGGCACTAATTCTTAAATTTTTAATAAACCAATTGGTCTATTAGCTCAATTCTACTATTAAATTATATGTTCTCATTTTAATATAAACCCTTCAAGTGTCAAAAAATATCTCAAAAAATTATTAATTTTTTTCTAAAATAATGCATTTACTATTCGTAAAACTTATGAAAGTTTTCAAATTCATATACAATATGAGCTTCTATATAAAATTCCTTATTTTGTGGACTTATAATATTAAATGGTAAATGAAGCTTTGGCTTGTTCAATGAACTGCAAAAATAAGCCAACTTATGAATGTGACTGTTCTGATAAACAAGTGTTTTTGTGCTCAGAGCACCTAGGTGAACACGGAGAATCAGTTGGAAAGCACCATTTCACTAAAATCATGAAAAATATTGATCCTCAAGCCAAAATAATAATTTATGGACTTTTAAGAGGTTTAAAGCTCCAAGCAAAGCAGAATCGATTTAAAATTGTCCAAGAATCATCATTATTGATAAAGCAAATAAACGAAGCAACTACTAAATCACTAGAAAAGCTTTTAAGCATAGAAAAAAAGTTAGATGAATATACATATTTGTGTCATACCTTACAAGAAGTCAATAATTCAAATAGTAAGAGCTTTATCGAATTACTATTAAAATTGTCAGCTGAAGACGCATCAAAAATAAAATTCCAAGAAGATATAATCAAGATTAATAGCAAGAGTTTTAAAGATGAGATTGAAAATCTCTTTACTGTTAAAGAAACAAAAGATTTATTTGAGATTGATAATATTGAAGCAATTAACCCTATAAAAACAGAGCCGATTATAAAATATTTTAGAGGTGAGAAACTATTTGCTGTGAATCTGGTGTCGCAACAGTTTATTCCACTGAATATCAATAAAAATCAAGAATTATTTGACCCAACTTGCTTGCTAAAAGGTGGCTCTATTTTTTGCTGCTTTCAATCAGAAACTTTTATCATAACTCAAAATAATTCAATAATCACTTTCGATTCTTATCAATACAGTTGCAATTCTGGACTCATTGCAGTTGATGATTTTGTGTATATGATCGGAGGAACTGGAAATGCTTCATTTAAATTTTCATTAAAATCAAAAAAGTGAGAAGCGCTTGCAGAGTATCCAGTACCAAATAATAGATTTATTTCTTGCGCATTTATTAATAATGAGATATTAATTGCTGGTTTTGAGTCTCCTTATGTATCAGTATACAATATTTCAAAAAATTTATATAATAATGCCCCAATTACATTAAATTCAAATACAGGAAAAACCTGCTTAGCCACTAAAAATAAAGCATATGTAATTGATCACAATAGGAATTGCTATGAAAGCGGCTTCAACGATATCAATACATGAACATCAATTAAAGCACACAGCGCATTTTCACTTTGAATTAATCCAGTATTTTCAGAAGGGAATCCTCACTATTCATATTCTTTGCTGTTTGAAGATAGTTTTTACTTTATAACTTGCGATTACAGGCTTATCCAGTTTAATTTGAAAAACAAACAATTGAAGAATCTTAAGATCTTAAAATAAATTAAAATTATCGCAATAATTAGAAGAATAAATTTTGGTTACCAAAGCAGTTTTTCATAAAATCTATAAAATTAAAAAAATAAAATGCCACAGGTATTGTGTTCTTTTGGCCTTTAGATTTTAAGATCTTGATACTAAATGAGTAAAAATAATAAAAAGTTTTCAGACATTGACATGGCTTAAGTATGTTTAATTTATATTAAAACACTAATAATTACTTTTTCTTTTTCTTGGGAGCTGCTTTCTTTTTAATCTTTTTAGTGTCTTCAGGAGGCCTCTTCAGTGTTTCAGAGTCATAAAATGCATCTAGCCTCATCTGCGCAGGCTTCTTCGATATATTATTTAATCTCCTTATAAACCCATTGATTTTTTCTTTCCCAAAATCTTTTTGAACCATTAAGAAATCTCTTAAATCTCCTTCATTCGGTACTTCTCAATTTAAATCTAGCTGATCAGGCTCACTCACTACAGGATGCAAAAACAAATTTCTCGCTTTATTATAATCAAAATCTGAAGGCACTTTAAAATTTCCTTTGCTTCCTTTATCTGCCACATTAATAACATTTTCAATACTCGAGCACTCTTGCAATAACGCAAAAGCCCTTTTATGCCCAATTCCTTCAATTGTAGAAGTATAATCACAGCCTAATAAAATACATAAATCAATAAAAGTCTCCAATTTCATTTGAAAATCCCTCAAAATATTTTCCAAAGTAATTTCTACCATTGGCTCATTTTTACTGCCCATTCCTCTCACCATAATATTTGCTCCGAAGGCCAAAGTATCCATATCTTCAGTTAAAACTGCATAAGCCCTTGAGTTTTTCACTAATTCTGCGCACTGTGCTTCTGCTTCTCCAGGAGCTTCAATAACCGGCACTCCCATAAGATGCAGTAATTTCTTTGCGTCGTCAACCATTTCTTTAGTAATATGTACAGTCCTTCTTGCGATTTTTTTGACTTCTTCTATATCAGAATATTTATTTTTGCTGAGATATCCGACCATAGCGTCGATTTCTCTCATTAACCCAACTTCTTCTTCGTCACTTTCTCCTTTGCATAAATAATCTTCTGACTCTATAATAGGGATTTCATATCCTAGTAAGGAGGATATTTTTAGCCGAAGCTCAGTCTCAATATCGTCGACTTTTTTCTTGAATTTTCTCCTTTGGTGGGTTTGGTTTTCTTTTCGGTTTTTCCAATTTTTTTCGTTGGAAATAGGAATTTCTGCACATTTAGGCATTGGGATGTGGGATTCTGTAGGTGTATATGGGATGTGGGAGTCCTCTCGAGGAGTCTTTGTAGGGAGTATTTCTCCTTGGGCTTCTCTTAATTTATCTTGATTTTTTTTCTTTAAAAGCTTTCTTTTGGTGAGTTCTTGTGATTTTTCTTCAGGCGCTTTTCCATCAAAAACTCAGATTGGTTTGATATTATGCTCAAGCAATTGGATGGTCCGGCTAAGAAGACCCATTAAATGAGAAGTCGGATTTCCTGATTCATCAGATAGCATTCCTGATTGAGACTTGAATAGTGGAGCAATTAGACATTGGTAAATTGCCATAGAGGCGTCACATGCTATAACTTTGCCTGAGTACTGTTCTAAGGTGATTTTTCTTACTGCTGATGGTGCCTTTTCGTTGATCAGCTTCATCAATTGCTTTATTCCCATATTTTATTACAAATATTGCCCCCTATAGAAAAGGAAGCATTATTATTTTAGAAAAAAATGGTCTAAAGGTTAAGGGTAATTAATTTGCATTTAATTAACATTTTTCAAGTTAAATTTGATTATATACCTACAAATCGCCTTAATTTAGTTATTATTAAAAAGTCCAAGCAATTGTTCTTGATTTCTGCTGAGGTCAGCATCCCAAAACTCAAACAGCGGGCCTGGCACTCTTAAAATTAAATTAAACTGAAAAAATCTCATTGCATTTTGACAATTTCCATAATGATCCGGAAAAAGTAATAATTCACGAAAAATGCTATCAGCAAGCCCCACAACTTCATCCTCTGAATATCCTGACACAAGCAAAATCCTTTTAATGACATCATCATCCTGCCTCAGTGATTTTGCAGCAATTATAAAAGCTGCCACAGCTTCTTGTGATGGTAGCAATTGCATGTTATAATAAATTTGTAAAAGCACCAAAATCATTTCCGCAGTCCTCTTCACCGCAGGCTGGACTTCTACAATTTCACTCAAATACCCAAAAACTTCATTACAATTAGGAACAGCCACGTCAAACTCCAAAGCTCTCACGATCTTTCTTTCCATCTTTTTAATGGCCTCCTTCGAAAATTTACCATGCCCGATTTCTTCTCTTACAATAGCCAGCCTTAAAGGGTCTGTATCTTCGAATTTAGACGCAATAAACATGCAGGTGACCCCAATAATGTGCAGTTTTGACGAAGAAATTGACTTTGGCGAAAGTTGAAAAAATTTGTCCATGATTTTCACGGCACGGAAAAATGTTTGAAGTGAGGCTTCGTATTGGGACAAAACTTCTATCATTCAGTTTACCATACAAGATCTGCGGTCCGGGGTGATCCTGTGGTTCGCTAGACAATCAACTGTTTTTGAAATTTGCTCTCTTGCCCTTATTGAAATGTAGACGTCGGCAGATGCATAAAGAGTATCTGAAAAATGTGGAAATAGAGCAGTTATAAATGAAGAGTCTTCAGGCCTATGAAAAATGCCAGTGTCAAAATGCATTATTATAATTATAATAGAAAGGAGTTTAGTAACTTTTATGATCATTGAGGAGATACATTTTGAATAGGAGGATACGAAGGATACTTTTTAACTGCCGGAAATTTGAAGGGAATTTGAGGACTTTAAAAAATCTTTGAAGATATCTTTATTATTATTAATTTTAAAAATTAAGATTTTGAAGGAAAGATTGGGATATTTGAGAAAATGAAATTCAAGTTTAAAATTAAGAGGGAGGAAAATGAGGATAAGAAAAAATAATGAAGGGAAGATAAATAGATTGGATAGAAAGTGCAGAACAAGATAGACTTACTGGACAAATACAGGAGTTAATTTTAAATAGCATATATTATTATGTCACTAATAATGTTTTCTTTTGAAAGCTTTTCATAAGATCATCATTGGAATAAATCATACTAATGAAGATCATAAGCTTATAATTTTCTAATTCAAAATACTAACTCCACCAGCGATATGCAAAATCATTGATAAAATCCGCCTTTTTGAGGAAAAGCCACCCTTGTGGTGTGCAGAAAAAGTTGGGTTTTTCTGAAATTATATTGATATTAAGTAATAACTAATAAATTGAAATTTCTTAAAAAAATTTTGCAACAGAATTTTATAAAAAGCATCAACCCGTCTGTGGTTAGTGCTACCTCAGGAAAGGCGTAAGGATTTTATTAAAAACTTATCGTCTTATAGGTGATAAAAATGTCTAACTCCCCCCCCTCCGTGAGTGAACAAAAACATTTTGGTCACTCACGGAGGGGGGCTAAATTTTTTGTTTTAAAACAATTTATATATAAAAATTTTACAAAAAATATTTTTTTTCGAAATTTAAAAAATCCTAATTCACAAAAATTGGAAAGCAAATATTAATTTAATTTATAAAATTTATGTTTTAAAAAGCAATTCGTTTAAAATTAAACAGAATTAGCTCTAGATTTCATTATACTAATTATCATTTATATATCAAAATTTTTTTCCATAAAAAATTTTTCTATTAAAAAATTTTTGTTCACTCACGGAGGGTGGATTTTTAGGCAAAAAAAAGAGATTTTTCTAATGGTTTTGTTCACTCACGGAGGGGGGGAGTAAGCAACTTCAAGAACCTCTAATTCCAAACAATCGCAGCGTTTCTCCTCCCTCTTCTCCCGGTAATTCTCACCACGGCAGCTTTGCACAAGAAGAAAAAGGCCGAGCAGCCACAAGCCAACTGAGCAGAATGATTGGTGGCGATGGTCCATCCCATACAAGCATGCAAATAAAGCCTAACAAAGTCCCTGTCGTGATCCACTACTGAAGCCAATATAACGACGGTGATCATTACATGCAAGAAATAGAAGTTTTTCAAAATGACCGAGTTTTTGACGTGATTACAAGGGCGTCAGAATTTTTCTCTGCAAAATACAGTGCTCCTCGAGACCCTTCTGCATATTTATTAAGATTTGCTGATAAGAAAGGCAAGCCAAAGACAGATATGCCAGTTCTTGACTCAGGGCAGTCTGTTATTGAGACAAATTTTGTGAGATTTGCATTGTGTGAAAAAAGGTTTGACGAAAAATCAAGGGATAAGATGCAGCCTGTCGTCAATTTAGATGACGAGACTAGTTTCACAGCTCCTGAGACTCCAGTAGCAAAGCAACCAGCTGTAGAAGAGAAAAGGACAATTAAGAAGAAGATTTGTTGCTGTTTTACAAGTAGCGATTAATAAAATTAGATCAAATATTTTCTTTAAATTGAGCTGGATTAGATATTTAAATAATAAATGATCTATTATAAATTAATACCAAAGAGAAATTTATGAAATCTTAGCTTGCGGCCTTTATTTTTTGTTGTTTTTAAAGAATAGTACTAGCCTTACTTTATATATGCACCTATACTAGAAATTTTTGATAACTCTAGCATAAAAAATCTCAGCAGAAATTTGAAGCCTTTTGAATTCAAACCAAAATCTAGTTAAATTTTATAGAATCAATCGCATTTTTCTGTCTCTTTTCAAAAGAACTACCAATTTTAGCTCCAAGGGCTCCTCCTAACGCTGAGCCTATCCCAATCCCAACCGGTCCTCCAATAACTCCTAGTGCTCCTCCAATAGTCATCATCCCACCTCCAATCATCCACTTTCACCCTTTGGCCTGTGTTACAGCTGCTTTTTTCAGCTCATTCCCTGCCTCTACACTTTCTTTATGCGCTTTATCGGTGTTTTTCTCAACCTCTTTTATAATTTCCTGCTGATCACCCACAAGTTCGCCTACATCTTTTTCAATTTCTTTTAAAGACGCCAGTTCCTTGTGTATTTCTTGGTAATTCCTGTATTTCTCTTCTTCTTCGTCATAAGGAATTACATTTAGCTCATGGCTTTCTATAGAATTCATAATTTAATAACTATTATGATACAATTATATTTTCAGGCTTAACTGTGCAGTAGATTTTTGGGTCAATTCCGCTTTCCATCTGCCCTGCAACCTTGCCTTTGCTGTACTCCCAGCCTCTGAGATGCCTATCTTCTATGTTTTGGTGTCTTTTAAAAACATAAAGATATTTTTCTGGGATATCTGGAATAGCTTTTTGCAGAAAACTCCGGAAGACTATTAAGCATATAGAAAAAACCGCAAAAGTGGCATAAATATTATCACTAGCAACCTGCCAGTCGTCAAAAGTAGGCATTGTAAAGCACAAGAGCGCTACATTGGTGAAAATAGCTATGACGCAGTTTATGTTGAAAATTGCCCATCAGGTTCCAATGCCTCTTGCCCCCATAGGCTGTGGCCGTCTTACTAAATACAAAAGTTTATATTTATCGACTTGCAGCTCACATAAGCACATCAGTAAAGAAAGGGAGCACGACAGCGGAAAAGCGACGGCAAATAGAGTAATATACCCGAACAATACAGCCAATTCCATATAATCTCCTAATGTCCCATCAACTTCTCTTGTAATATATGCTGGTTTTTGGATTTGAATGTCAATTTCATCTCTCAGCGCTCCAAATTCATCAGCGGAAACCAAAGAAAGAAGCTTTTTTCTTTCTTCTTCTCCAAGGTAAAATTCATTTTTCTTCATTCTGTATTGCACATAAGGCCAGCCAAGCTCGACAGCGTTTTTCAAAAAGGCTACGATAAATAGTGAAATTAGTTGGGTGTAAAGCTCGCCCATGCAGTTAGCCCCGACCTTTCTAACTTTTTTGCCGTTTGAGTCATCAACGATGCAGCCTTCCATGCTGGTTTTTAAAAATGCTATGTAAAAAAGAGAATTGAATGAATTGATGAACTGAAACGTATAAGTTTTTATAATTAATGAGTTTTCATATGAGCTCTGAGTCCTATGATTTTCTCTATCATTCAATTTAATTGCTAATTTCCCGTATATAAAGTTAAAAATCTGCACCTGAAAAGCATTCAAAACAGAGCATACCGGCCCAGCAAAATCATAGCCAGAATATAAAAGATAATCAGTCAGAGTCCAGCGCAAAACAATTATCCCTGCAACAATGCCAAGAACTAGAAGAATAAACAGCAAGGACGTGAAATAGGTAAGCATAAGATACAGTCTTCTCTTTCCTGCAGGAAAGAAGACTTCTTCAAGATCGTCATCAATTGGAGACCTTCTAGTTTCTCCTCTGAACTGTGATCTTGGTACCTCGTCTTCTTCATAATCCATCTGCCCCCACTTGATTGCTAAACAATTTTCTTTTCTCCTCCAGTACTCTAATAAACAAGTTGCCCATGTCGCTATAAAAATGCAGTAAAATGCGTTCAGGACTGTTACAAAATTGCTGTCATCTGGATAGCTCCTTTGAAAAATAAATACCACAAGCCCAATTATTCCTGGGATTTTTAAAGCGTTACTATAAAACCCTAAAAATGCAAAATATAGCCCAATTTTTTCTCCAAAATACCCACGGATTTTGCCTAGAGGGATCCTCCTTCCAAAAAAATCTCCTTTCCATATATTAGCTAGTCCTTGAGCATGCTTTTTTCTCTCATTTAAATATCCTATAGAAACTTGTGAAAAAATTGTGTTCATATTTAGGTCATCTGTCATGTTAGCCAGGTTTTCTTTTCCATTTAGCTCTCACTTATTAGTAAGTGGGAAATGAGCTATGATTGCTCCTTTACGTTGTAAATACTGCAATTTCACTTGTCGGCTGATAAGAGATTGCAGTAGCTTTAGCCTGTCTGTGTTCCTGAAAATTGATCTTCTTTCATTCTGATCAATTTTGTGCCTTCTTCACAAGTTTGAGTACTTATCTTCATCAGTTACAGGGTCAATTTTTTGTTTATAATCACAATAAGCACCAATTGGCTTAGGAAGTTTTAGCCTGTCTCATAGATTTTTTAGCTTAAATTTGTCAAATCTAGAAGCATTTACATTATCCATGCAGTTTCTGATTAGTTTTTGGTAGTACATCATTCGCTGGTTAAAAGGCAGCTGGACCTCTTTTAGCTCGTCCAGGCCTTGCCGTAGCTGAAACAAATACATTTTGTAGGACTCTCAATCTTGGGATGTAACCCCATTAGGCTCGTATTCTTGGCCTTCTGACTCATTAAATCTGAAAGAGTTCATTATTTCGCTGTAATCTTCGTCCAGCCCTTTTAATAGCATCTTAATATCTGATGGGCAGGTCAAAACTCTGTACGGCCTATACGACTTATCACAAGGCTCTAATGACGCTAGGTCTGTTACTCCTATTTCCAGCTGCAAATTAAATTCTATAGCTTCTGCTTCTTTAAGCAGCTCATTTTCATGGGCATAAATCAATAAATAAATATACTTGCCATTTTCACTAATAACTTGCCTTGTATATAGTCCCAAATGGATCCCTAGCTTGACTAGCAGAACATTTCTAATTAAAGTCAGCACGTCTTTAGGTGGTCCTCCTAAGTCCATGAAGGCATTAAATTGAGTTTTCTTGATTCTTCCGCCATACTTAAACTGCTTATCTTTCCCAACGTCTGGGATTAAGTCTAAGCACTTTTTATAAGCAGAAAGCTCGACCAGCTGGTTATTTCTAAGAGTTTCCATATTTTGTGAGTATTCAGGGTTAAAGCATTTTTTAAATAATTTCTCAGCCTGAAACAAGGTGATAGATCTGCCTAAAAAAGTAGGGAAATCAGGGTTCGGCAAGACAATTACATATTCTCAGTTTTGTACCGACACAAAATTAATTGGGTGAGATGGGCTTGAATGTGAACCGAAAAATCCTTGAAAATACCTTTGCAATGCAGTGACTCTGGTAAGTATAACAGTTCCATGATAAAGCAAGCTGTTTTTCAGCATATCATTTTCTATTGTTTTTGGCTTTTCTAACTGGTCTTCTTCTTCTACCAAAATATCAGGCTCTGTTTCAAAATCCTCAGGAATTTGATTTTCCATATCTACGATCTTGTCAATAAGGTTGTTTTTCTCGTCAAGTAAAGCTTCATAAGCCTGTTGGTTTAAGATTGACTGCCTCATTAAGCGGGCTTTTTGGTTTTTCAGCTTAATGAGCTCAGATTCCATTTAGTTATAACTTATTTATATGCTAAAACCACCTGGACGTCAAACATCAAGACTTCTTCTTTTTCTACGATTTCTTGGACCAGCTCTGTAAGCCTGGTCCAAAATCTTTGAAATGTAGACTCATCGTATTGGTTTTTAATTGCAAGAACTCTAGGAAAATGGGCATAAAAAGACATCGTCTCTTCAAATCCTGTGCCGGCAAAAGGTGCAGCTGTGAAATAGCTAAAAACTTTATTGAATCCACAATTTTTTACTAGAGATTTCAGCTCTCCTGAATCAGATAAGTAAAAAGGAGATCTCTTGGATTTGGCTTGGCTGCCAACGACATCGAATAAAGCTTGCTCCCAAAGTGCTTCTAAGGTGCAGTGTTCTCTTCTCCCTCATACTGAAAAAATAGCAATTCCTCCAGGGGCGAGAACTCTTCAAGCTTCTCTTATCATCAAACTAGCATCGGGAACATACATTAAAGATAAATTGGCAATATATCTGTCAAAATTATTGTCTATATATGGCAAAGCGTCATTGGAAGCTTGAATTATGTGAGTTCTAGGAAGATTCCTCTGCAAAGCTTTATCGACCATAGCATCTGATATATCGCTTGCCCATATTTCTGAATCCTGAGGAAGAAGACTAAGTAAAAGAGATATTTCTCTCCCTGAGCCACATGCAACATCACAAATTTTATGAGCATTTTTTGTGTCTATAACTGGAAGCAAAGCAGAATAGATAGTAAGTGCTGAGACTTCTGCTGATTCAATGTACCATTCTGAGGCAGCATTTCAGTAGGCTTGCACCTCTGAGACGCTTGGATGTGATAGAGCCATTTTTGATATAGTAATAAAATAGGCTCTTATTAGAAATATAGTCTGGTATTAAATGGAATTTTTCAAAATAACAGCGACCAAGAATAGTTCGATAAATTTTATATTCAGTAGGCACTCAATTGAATTAATAAACAAAATTTGCATTGCATATATTTAAAAATAAACGATTATGAAATTTCAACTTTTAATTAAAAAATTTGGCATTTAATTTTTCTAAAATTAGTGGAAATATCAAATTTAACTGTATAAAAGCATTTTCAATTCCATCGATTAAATATAGGTGTTTTCCCTATATAGCCCGATAAGGGGCCATGGGCTCTCCGTGGAATCCCTCTGCTGGTTGAACCAACCAGTGAATTGGTCTTTCCAACGCACTGAATTGGTTTGACCAACTTCCACGGAGAACCCACGGCCCTTATCGGGCCATATAGGGAAAACCCCTATATATTTTCATCAATAAAATCACAGCAATTTTTTATATCAAAATCTTGATTTTATTAATATAGGTTCAATATTTATGACGTACACACTATAAATAAAATATATTGTAATTGTTGGATTTTTTTATGTAGCAAGCTATCGCTTCAATTTAACCCAGTCTTGAATAATTGTAAATACTCAAAAATCTATATGCAAAATCTTTAAATTTTCCTTCTATCTTATCTGTATATGCAGAAACCAGTTTTCCTAATTTTATATAAATGTCATCATCCAGCGATATTTTTCGACAGCTTCAAGCAGATAGAGAAAATAGCCGCTGTTTTGACTGTGGAAAAGCTGGAGCTCAGTGGGCCTCAGTGAATCTTGGCATCTTCCTGTGCTTAGAGTGTTCAGGTCAGCACCGTGCGCTTGGAGTTCACATAAGCTTCGTAAGATCCACCACAATGGACTCTTGGTCTCCTCAGCAGCTTCAGCTGATGTCCAACGGAGGTAATAGGCGACTCAGAGAATTTTTTAACTCATACTCAATGCCTCCAAACTGCACAATTCAATTCAGATATTACACAAAAGCAGCTGAATATTATAGAGAGCTCCTCAAAGCAGAGGTCGAAAGACGTCAGCTTAATTTTCCACCTCCTACCCAATCATCAGCCCTTCAGCCTTTTGCCCAAGCCCCAGTTCCACGACCTCAAGTCCCTCGTCCTGTTGATAATCGGACGTCAATCGAAAACCCCCATTTTGCCTCAAACTACCGTTCAGACTCTGCCGAAAGCTCTTCTTGGTGGGGAACTTCTAAATCTTTGCTGGGCGGGGCAGTTTCTAAAGCTTCAGAATGGGCTTCTTCAGCTGTAGAAACTGTAAAAGATAATGGGCTCATAGGAAGTATTAAGAGCGGGGCATCAGTGGTAATTGATAAATCAAAAGAAGTAGGAGGGAATATTGCGGAGAAAATAAGGGAAAGCAGCATAGGAGAAAAATCATTAGACGCCCTCAGCACTGTAGGAGGGTATGTATCTGAAGGAGCTTATGCGGCATATTCAAAAGTAAGGGGAAATGGAAAGCCTTCGCTGTATAGAGATATTGATGATGTTCCAAATGATGCAGGGGAAAAATTGTTTTATCCAGAGACTAATTCACAGTATGGAGGAGCGCAGAGAGGAAATTATGTCCCGCCTACTGGAGAATTCAGCTGGAAAAAGGATGAAGAATTGGTGCAGCCAAGGCAAGACCAAAGGTATTTTAACCAGAATAGAGTTGAGCCTAACCGGGCGTTTGGATATAGATCTTTTCTTAATTTGACCTTCTACAGGTAGGAAAATCAGTAGTAGGGTAGGGTATTTATAATTTTTTGTTATGTTAATTTGACCTTCTATGAGGGACGATCGTCTATATTTGGCAAATCTCCCTATTTAAGCTTGACCAATTATCCCTATAGGACACCAATGCAAGAAAAATATCATACCAAAATAATGGCAGAAGTTATACCCAAGATAGAAATTATCAGCAAGAGGAACCAAGAGGCTATCAAAGAGAAGAACAAAGAAACTACCAAAGAGAAGAACAAAGGAGCTTCCAAAAAGAGCCAAACTATTATCAAGAGCCCAGAGGCTACTACCAAAATGCACCAAGATCCCAAACCTATGACGAAGTTCCTGACTTTTTGACTGGAGATATAAAAGCGAATAAATTCGATTAGCTAATTGTTTAAATAACAGGTGCTAATAACACTAATAAATTATGGCGAATCAAGAATGGTGGCAGAAGTATCAAGGCTTGATACTTAGTGCAGGAATTTTCTATGAGTCTGAAAATTGGATGCCTATAACTCAAAAATCTGATAGAGCTTATGGCGATCTTGTCACTTATAGGTTTCACGTTTCAGAGCCTAAAGCACTGGTTTTTATATTTCACGGCTCCTTTTCAGCAGCTAGCTATCATACTTATTTGGCAAGCAGACTATATCAAGATGGCTTTGCAGTTTTCGCAATAGATCAGCTAGGTCACGGAAAAAGTTCAGGGCCAAGAGGGCTGATTCTAGATCTTGAGGCTACTTATACAAGCCATATTGAGTATATTGAAAAAGTGAGGGCTTTGTATCCTGAAAATCCACCTATTTTTCTTGCTGGAGAAAGTTTGGGAGGGACTATTGCTTTAAGCATTGCTTTAAAGATCCCAAATCTTATTAAAGGGCTGATCCTTTATGCTCCAGGAATCAGTAATGGGCCTAAACTGTCCTCATGTAATATAAAAATAATGAGATTTCTAACCTGGTGCAAGCCAAGCATAACTATCCCCAAAATGAGCTCAGATCTCTTTTCAAGGAACCCTGCCCATGGAAGCTGATGGGATGATAACCCTGATTGTTATTCAGGAGCAATAGAAATGAGAAGCATTCTTACTATGGTAGACGCATTAAATAAGCTCAGCAGGCAGCTTTATGGCTTAACAACCCCATTTATATATTTTCAAGGAGGAAAAGATCAGTCCTGTGATCCTGGTCATGCCCGAGATTTTGTGAGCAGCTGTGCAGTTGAGAACAAAGAATTCGTGTTTTATGAAGAAATGTATCATGCGATTGGAAATGAGCCTGAATTTCCGGAGATAGTCGATAAAACTCTAAGATGGATGAATGATAGGATTTAATAGATTCTCTAGAAAATAGATAATTAAAGACTACTGCCAGTAAATTTGCTTTATTAATAACCATTTGCTTTTAAATTTATAGCTCATTTAATAATTTATGATTAAATTTACATTAAGATAACTGCTTGCTAATTAAAATGAGTGACTGGTGGGTCAAATACCAAGGCGTGATTCCTAGTGCAGGTGTCTTTTTCCCAGAAGAAGACTGGCTATCTCTGCATTCCAGCTCTTGCCACAAGCTCCATACCTACCGCTACCCAGTATCAAACCCCCGAGCTCTTATTTTTCTATTTCACGGGTCATTTTCTTCTTCAAGCTATTACACCCACTTCGCCTCCAAACTTGCCAAGCAGAAATTTGAAGTCCTTGCTTTCGATCAAGCTGGCCATGGCAAAAGCAGCGGTCCTCGAGGTGTATATTCTGATCTAAACAATACCTACGAAGACGCAGCCGAATACATTTTTCGAGCAAAAGAGCATTACCCTAAAGACACCCCAATCTTTTTAGCAGGTGACGGAATTGGTGGCACAATTTGTCTAGAAATCGCTTTAAGCTACCCAGCTGTCATAAAAGGCCTTATTCTTTTTGCACCCCAGATTGGAGTAAATTCAAATTTTTCACGATGCCAATATAAGTTTTCCAAGTGAATTTCTTTTTGTTATCCTGCAATGCTGGCAGAGCCTATTGATATTGAAACTTTATCGAGAAATCCTCATAATACTTCATGGTGAAACGAAAACCCTGACATGGTAAAAGGGAGAATCCAAATTGGTACAACGGTAAATTTAATCAATGCTATAGAGAGGCTTAGAGGGAGATTATGGGACATAAAAACGCCTTTTATCCTTTTCCAAGGTGGAAAAGACAATTTTTCAGACCCAGAACAAGCAGAAACGTTCGGCAGATGGTCGCGGGCTGAAGACAAAGAATTCGTAATCTACGAAAATATGCACCATTTCATCGCAAATGAGCCAGAATTCCCAGAAATCATTGGGAGGACTATTAACTGGTTATCACTTCGGCTTGAGCACTTAGAAATGAATAATCATTTATAAATGTAATTATAAAATGTCTTTACTTTCCCTTGCAGTAGTAGGCGCAGGACACTATGGATCTGCTATTGCATTAGCTGCAAGCTGCAATTCAAAGGCTTTAGTCCGTCTAATCGATATTTCAGAAGAAAAACTAGCATATTCCAACGCATATTTTCAGAAATGGCTGTATGACAAAAATAAATTGGTAGATATAAGCACCTCATACGCTTATGAAGTAATAGAAAGAAAGAATCGAGAACTTTCAAAAATTACTAAAAAACACAAATGGAGAAAACTGCAAAAATGCAAAAATTAATATAATTTTATGGCATAAAAGAATTTTTTTTGCATTTTTGCAAGTTCTCCAGAAAGAATCACATGGTCTCAGAATCTTGAAGACACATCCTATGCTAATTTTGTAATAGAAAGCATTGATGAAGACTTGGTGCTTAAAAACGACGTCATAAGACAGATTGAGAAATACACAAGTGAAAATTCTGTGATAGCAAGCACGACTAATCATATTTCAATAGGGAAAATAGCAAAAAATACAAAGGCACCACATAGGATTCTTGGGATGCATTTTCCACAGTATCCGATCAAATATAATGCATGTGAAATTGTGGCGCATTCGGGTAGCTCAGAAGCGGTAGTACAAAAGGCGTGTGATTATGCTATAGAAATGAGCTTTAAGCCTGCTATATGTCTTGATACCCCTGGGTTTATTGCGAATAGGGCTCTTTATTTACTTATAAATGAAGCTGCTTATGCTTTGCATGAAGGGGTGGCGAGGAAAGAAGATATTGATAATGCAGTGCGAAGGTCACTTTTTAATTTTATTGGGCCGCTGGAATATGCTGATTATATTGGGATTGATGTATTGTTAGAAGGACTGAGGATTTTTCATAAGGAGACTGGGGATGATAAATTTCGACCATGTCCTCTGCTTGCACAAATGGTTGAAGCAGGCTGTTTACTCTCCCCCTCTGTGTGAGAATAATATTTTTTTCACACGGGGTTAATTTTTGTTTCTATAAAAATATAATCAATTTTTTTTTAATTTAAAAAATCCTAATTTGCAAAAAAAATTTAATAATTAAAATTATGCTTATAATGCAATTAGCTCAAGATTTCATAATTCTATATTACGAAATATTTTTCATAATAAATTTTTTGTTCGCTTTCATTGAGAAGGGTGTCTTTTTACCCAAAAAAAATAGGGATTTTTCCAGCGGTTTTGTTCGCTCATGAGAGAGGGGAGTTAGGCAGAAAAACAAACCAAGGGTTTTTTGAGTATGACTTTGGAGAATTCTTAGGCCGTCCTAAACATAAAATACACTCCTATAACGCCTGGGATCAAAAATTAAAAGACATAATTGGCTTAGAAGCAGAAATTAAGAAAAAATACGATGTCCTCTACAATACTTCTCACATTGACCATTTAGAAAGATTTGATGCAATTTCCCACAGAGATGCTCAAAAAGACCCAGAAGACTTATTTGCGCATGAACCCCCTAGTGAAACTCGAGCAAAAGATATAGAAAACATGAAAAAAATGTTTGGACTGATGAAGCAGCACAACGAAGAAGTACTCAAAGGGTCTTTTGGAGACCATAGAGAAGGTGAGGACTCTGAAGAAGATTTCGAAAAGGACGAGACTTATGAAAAAGCCAGAAAGGTTTGGGAAAGTTGGGATCTTAAGAATGAAGAGCTTAATGAGGAGCTTGAAACCTTTAAAAATACTGACTCCTTCACTTTATACTGGAATAAAAAAAAGCATCAGGACACCTCTTTTAATTGGATTTTTAAAAAATTCTAATTTTTATAGTGCAAGTATAATACAACTTAATTTTTTGAAATTTTAAATTTTAAAGAAAAATTTAATATAAGCTGAGCTTATTAGAAAAAGAGTTTTTGTTTCAATTAAAAGCAGAGAGTGAGGCTTTTAAAGAGGTCATGTTCCCAGAGAAAAAAGACGAATATTTTGAGGATCTGTATGAAATATTTGAAGAGAAAGCGAATAAAGGGCCATTTAAGGATGATTCTCATCTTTGGAAAGATGACATAGAAGAAGCGGATTTTTTTGAAGATTTCAAAGACATTGATATAGATATAAAAGGGGAAGAGCTTGAAGATAAAATCTTAAAGACAGCTGAGTCATGGAAGAAACAAAAAAAGGCTGCTGAAGCGGCAAAGAAAGAGTAGTATATCATTAATAAAATATCTGCTATAAAAATATGACAAATTAATTTAATGATTAAATAATGCCTCCCTGCTTCTAGAGAAAGATATTTAAATTTCTAAATACTCTTATAAACAAAGAATGACCTAATGTGTCTGCAATTTTATATAAATGGACGATTCGAGAGAAGGATGAACGTTTACACTGGGCAACCACAGCACTGGAAGAGAAAAGTACAGAACAGAACCCATCGACGACTCTATTGTTTCAGGTGAAATGAACTTTTTTAGCTCTATCCTGCTACCGCTATTTACAGTTTTACTTGCAATTACGTGCTTAGTAGTTGCTTTTTACGATCCAAAGTCCTTTACAAAGCAAACATATGCCAGAGTATATTTAATCACCTCAGCTATTATATTATTTGCTGATTTTACCCTTGTATTTGCTGAATCTCTAATATCAAAAAGAGCAGCAAACCTCAACTGGGAAAAATTTCAAAATATTTCAATAATCTTTTTGTTGGTCTCTTATATTTTCTTACTCCCCCCTCCATGAGTGAGCAAAACCATTAAAAAAATCCCTATTTTTGCCCAAAAACCCACCCTCGTGAGTCAACAAAAATTTTTTAAATTGAAAAAAATTTTGATATATAAGTGATAATTATTATAATGAAATCTCGAACTAATTCTGTTTAATTTTAAACAAATTGCGTTTAAAACATAAATTTTATAAATTAAATTAATATTTGCTTCCCAATTTTTGCGAATTAGGATTTTTTTGAATTTCAAAAAAAAATATTTTTAAAATTTGTATAAAAAAAACATTAACCCTTCCATGAGTGAACAAAATTTTTTGTTCACTCACGGAGGGGGAGTTAGCAGTTTTTGGCTCAATTATGATTTCCAATGTGAGTGAGCATATCAAATTCTCCAAGGACAGTGCTCCAGTATCACTAGGCTTTATTGCTGTATATTGCTTCATTGTTTGCAGAACTCTGATTGAGGCAGGATCATTTGTAGCTTTTTGAATGTTCCAATTCTTTAAAAACAAGCAAAAAAGTACTGATTCAAAAATCTCTGCTAGTGGAGCGCTAGATAACACTGAAATCCCATCTAGTCCGATAGATATCAGCAATAATATTAGTGAAGATGAGATTTCTGTGGATGTGAAATAGTGAATGTATTGAAAAACTGTCCAAATGATTGATAATAAAATAAATTTTTATTTTTCTGTAAATAATTAAGACTTTCAAATAGTAATTCTGAGATTATATTAAGAAAAACCTTATAAAAATGCTTTATATTCTATAAATATTGAAAATGGAACTAAATAAAAGGGAAGTATTTGGGCGTGCTCAGATAGTCAAGGACAATAAATTGCTAGTATACATACCAGAAGACCAAATGCACCTTGCACTCCCGTCATCGTGAATTAGTAAAGCCCCTATAAACTCTGTGATAAGGATTTACCATTACAATGACAAATATCATAAAGCTGAGCTATACAATGCATACTCCACAGTTGACGGAATTATCGTTGAAGACCGAATAGAGAACTATTTAGTGAATGTTCAAGCCTCATACAATTCTTCTGTTTGCATAATAGTCCCAAAAAATCTGTTTACAATCGATAAAGTTAAACCTTTAGTCGGATCTCAAGTCACTCTATACAAGTCTGAAAATGGGAAAATTTGGAACGTAATAGTTAAAGAAGAAAAAAACGCAGAACCAGAGATACAAAAGATAGAAGGTGGCGATGAAGAATACCCAGAAACTGTAGGAAAATCAAGAATAAATATATATTATCTGAAGAGTGAATTTGCTTTTAACAGCAAAATAATAGAATGTATTGAAAAATTGGGGACAGAATATGCAGCATTCAGAAGGTCAAGAGGTGATGGGAACTGCTATTATCGCGCTGTAGGAGTCAGCTATATCGAGCACTTGTGTAGACCAACTACAAATTTAAGCCAGTTTGAAAAGTTTATAAGCAAGCTTGAGAAAAGACAAGGAATTTTTAGAGAAATTAATGGGTTTAGTCGCAGAAAAGAATTTTTAAAGCTCCTAGATTATTTATATAGCTGCAAAAAGGCAAATGTATGGTCAGCTATAAAAGAGGCTCAAAATATTTTTCAAGATATAAACGATGATGAGACTATTGTCAGAGAAATGAGAGCAATTGCTTCTTTATACTTAGTTGATAATTCTACAAGCACAAAACTTTCTGGATTTCTAATCTCTGATGAAATTGGATACGGGACTACTCAGTCTGTGTATATGAAAATGATGAAAATGGGAGAAGAAGCTGAAGGAGTGGCCTTTAATTGTATGTCAGAAGCTCTTCAGATAAGGATCCACCATATTTGCTTAAGAAGAGATGGACTGGACATTCATACTTTTGAGCCTGAAGAAAGCAATAATTCTGATATGTATTTACTATTGAAGCCTGGGCATTATGATTTGCTTTACACCCATAAACAAATTCAAGACGACTGCTATGACTTAGAAACATGCCAATTTTTGCCTCAAGGATCACAGAATCGTAGTGATCAACAAGCAGTCCGAGGAGCTCCAGAAGACTACACAGCAAAACTGCTGAATCATGTCCAGTATTTATATGAAAATTTATATCATTTATCAGTGAGTAATAAGTTGCATAGATCGGATCTTCTCCCAGATTTCGGTCAGAGGATTTCTAGCTTTTGGAATGAATTTACAAGCTTAGATAACTGCAATTATAGCCCATCCTTAAGCGATTTGACTAAAGCTGAAGAAAATCTATTAAAATTGGCTAAGAGCGATAATTTCGCTTGTCGACTATTAGAAATCTGCTTTTACTGCCAAGAAAAACAAGCTTGCATTATGCTAAAATGCGGTCACTTATACTGCCAAGAGGACATAATCGACTGCCTAGAGCAGCAAACAGCAGGGATGTTCTTACTAAACCCATTCGAAAAAACCTCACCTATAACATGCCTGATGTGTACCCAAGAAATTAGTCAAGACGAAGTAAAAGCCGTATTAGGAAATACCTGGCAAGACTATGACAAGATGAGAGAAGAAAGGCAAAAACAATATCAGCACAAAATAGATAGGGGACAAGGAATCATCATATGTCCTAACTGTGAAGGAAGGAAAAAGCAGGAAGATTTTAGGAATAAGCACAAGTGCATGTGTGACAGCTGCATTAGTAATATTGTGTCGCAAACCAAAATTTGTCCTATTTGTGAAGAAGAAATTAGGATGGAAGAAATTGTTGGGATTGTGAAGCCTGTTTGTGGGTATTGCCAAGAGGTTATTACAGAATTTAGCTTGGTAAAGTGTAAGACACATTGACTGTGTATCAATTGTGAATCATTCAGCTATTTACCACAAAATTGTATTTTCTGTCACAGAAATTTCAGTAAAGGAGAGTATGAACTGATTTCTACCCATCATAAATTTTACTGTGACATTTGTAAGGGAAGCTTTAATCAAGAAGACTTAAATCCAAGCTTGTGTCCCTGCACAATTTGTAAAGGCTGCTTTAACTCATGTGTAAATGATAATGGTAGTGTCTGTTATTTTTGTGGGAGAATGATAGAAGAGATTGACATCTCAGTTTTAAAGAAATTTGAAGACCCTGCTCCTCTGCCATCTAAAAAAAGCTGTGCGGTTTGCATTGAAGAGTTTTCAAGAGCAGAAATGCTTACATTGTCCTGCGACCATTATTTTTGCAAAAATTGCTTACTCTTCCTCCGAGCGAACAAAAAAATCTTGTTCGCGTTTAATTTTTTTTTTAAAAAAATTTATATAGAAATTTGATAGAAATTTTTTTTTTCGAAATTTAAAAAAATCTTTATTCACAACAATTGGAAAGCAAATATTAATTTAATTTATAAAATTTATGTTTTAAAACGCAATTTGTTTAAAATTAAACAAAATTAGCCCGAGATTTCATTATAATAATTACAACTTATATATCAAAATTTTTTATAAAAAAATTTTGGTTCGTTCACAGAGGGTGGGTTTTTGGCAAAAAAATATGGATTTTTCTAATGGTTTGGTTCGCTCACGGAGGGGGAGTTAGTGGGATATTTAGAAAGCGAAATAGATTCTGGGAGAATAATAAATGGAATTAAATGCCCTATTCCAGAGTGCCTAGAGATAGTAGACGGAAGTATTATGATTGCCAATTTGAGTCCAGAAAAATGGGACCATTATAATAAAATTTCAATAAAAAAGCAATACAAAATCACAGAATGCCCTAAGTGCAATTCAGAATTTGAAATAGATCAAAACAAGGTAAGGTGTCCTCAATGTAAAGCTAAATTTTGTGCTGCATGTCTGAAAGATCAGCACGAAGGAAGCTGTGATGAGAATGAAAGAAAAGAACTCTTGAGAGACTTAGAAAAAGAAGGAGAGTCAGTATCTGAATGTCCAGGATGCCATTATCCTTATCTAAAGGACAACGCCTGCGATCATGTAAAATGCACCCAGCCTGATTGTGGAATTGAATTTTGCTTTAGGTGTTCGTGCATAAGAGCGCCAACATTAGTGCATGGAAATCATTATCATAGGCCAGAATGTAACTTTCATGCTGAATATAATGGAGAAGATGTGTATAGTCCTGATAAATGCATAGAGTGCAAAAAATTAGGCAGACTCTGCCCAAAGCCGCAGAAATTGAAGGCTCAGAGAAAATTTGATGAAGGCGAAGTTTAAATAATTATCAATATAAGGATAAATTAAATAGAAAATTTAATGATACGCAGAATTTTGTTATAATTATAAATCAATATATTAAAGATTTTTGTTAATATGTTGCTTATTAATTTATATAAATTATTTGATGCAATTTCTCACAGTTTCATTATTTGTCTAAAATTAAAATAAATGTCAGAGTGGTGGCGCAAGTATGAAGGCCATGTCCCCGGAGCTGGAATAGACTACCCTGAAGAGTCCTGGCTCCTTTTAAAATCAAGCAAAGGCTGCAAGTTAGATACTTACCGATACCACATCCCAAACCCCCAAGCTCTTGTATTTCTTTTTCATGGGATGCACGTTTCATCATTCAATTTCGCTTACACCGCAAGTATTTTATATCAAAATAACTTCGCAGTTTTAGCATTTGACCAAGAAAGCCATGGAAACAGTGGTGGTCCAAGAGGAAACATTAGAAGTGTGGACGAGTACGTTAATTGCGGAATCGAGTATATTTCAAAAGCAAGGGAACATTACTCAGAAGGAACGCCTGTATTTATAATAGGGGAAAGCATGGGAGGCGCCATTTGTGTGAACATTGCTTTGCAGATACCAAATATAGTCACCGGGATGATTTTATTTGCACCTGCGCTAGGAATTAATCCAGATTTAGAGCCATGGTTAGTGAAAATTATTAGATGTTTGGCCTGCTGCTGTCCTGGGCTTCCTACAAAGCCTGCTGATATAAGTATGCTGTCAAGAAATCCTTATGTGGAACAGTATCAGAGAGAAAACCCAGTAAATTATAATGGAAGACTTAATGCGAGGACTGGAGCAGCGCTATTAAGAGCTTTTGATGAATTAAGCCCTCAGCTAGGAAATGTGAGAGTTCCTTTTATTTTGTTTCAGGGCGGAGATGATATTATGGTAAGTGAGCAACTGAATAAAGATTTTGTGAAAAATTCTAAGGTGGAAGATAAAAGATAAAATTATAAGGCTATAAGCGGATAGACCGCTAGCCTATATGGCGTAAGCCCACCTAACCTAAAGATTAGCTAGAGCCACCCCATGCGGATTCCATGCTAGTCCCGATAAGCAAAGACTAAGTGGGAGTCAAAACTGTCTAGCCTATCTGGCAAGGGAATGGAAAACCTCCCGCAAAGAAGCAAAATTCCTCTTCAGCCTCCTCAAACCCGAAGGCCTACTTCAAAAAGTGACAGAGGCATTATTTCAGCCTCATCTAGAAAAGTCCTATATACTCCATATGGAGAGTCTCGAAGTCCATCTTCCATAGACGTCACCATTTTATTCTCTGGTGAAAGATAAGGAATTGGTGTATTATAAAGAAATGAGACATGATATATGCCACGAGCCAGAGATTTTTGAAATCACTCAAAAAATAGTAGATTGGATTAATAAAAGAGCTCCATCGAAGAGTTAATATTTTAGACTGCATTTTTAATAGCCATCTTAAATTAGGCTTAATTGATTTATTTTATCCCATGCGTAGTTTAATGATTTTTTTAAATTTTTGAATGGCCAAATTTATTTTACTGTCTTACAGAGGGATTTCTGTTTGGAGCTTAAACTTTGTCAGCGGTACTCTTTTTCTTCTTTTTTTTGGATTGTCTTGATTTTAAAAGAATTTTAAGATAATTAAAATCTGTGATATCTTAATCTTAATTAATCTATACACTACTCGACCATAGCTACCCTCAACATTGCTCTGGGGATAATTTCGAGCCATTTTCCTTGGGTGCCAAGGTGTGGCCGCATTCGCTTTTAATCACCAAAAGAGGACACCATTCTTGAAGTTTGGGCTTTAACTCTTCCGAGCTCAGGCTTTTAGTTGGGTCCGTTAGGCACCCTAAAGGTCCCAGTCTCCACCACCTGGGCTAAGTGGTACCCTTCTGGAAAATTTCATTTCCTAAGGTCAGGTAGGAAAAGCCACATGGACCTTGCTTCCCTAATATAGCTAGGATAATTTCACCAGGGTAAACCAAACCTCATAATAAAAATACGCAATAGATATTGATGATACTAAAAGAGCGATGATGGCTAGAATAATGTGATAAAAGTTAGAACAGAGCTTAATCCGAGGTCATTTTTGTACTGGACCAGAAATCTTATAAAATTCTTTGATATTTTTATCTTTCATTTTTTCGGTCTCATTTTGAATGCAAAAACTATTTTGCATATAAAAAATAAAATCTCTAGACATTTAATGAAATTAATTATATTTATTAATAGCAAAATCAACAGTTTCAGAAATAACTCTCTTGGGATATAAAATTTGGATAATTTAAATTATTAGTTTCAATAATAATTCCTATGTCTTCAAAAGACAAAACATGATGAATTAAATACCAAGGTCACATCCCATGCGCAGGGATTTTTTTCCCTGATGAAGACTGAATCTCTCTAAAATCAAGCAGAGGCTATAAACTTCACACTTACCGCTTCCACCTCGAAGCCCCTCAAGCTATTGTCTTTTTATTTCACGGAATCCACGTTTCATCTGGAATTTTTTCATACCTCGCTAAGCGGCTATACGAGCTAAATATAGCAGTTTTAGCATTTGACCAAGAATGCCATGGGAAAAGTCAAGGAAAACTCGGAATTATCTATACAATCGACGAATACATAAATTGTGGGATCAAATACATTGAAAAATCAATAGAGAATTACCCTAAAAACACCCCGATTTTTATACTTGGAGAAAGTATGGGTGGGACTATATGCATGAATATTGCCTTGGAAATGCAAAGTATGATAAAAGGGATGGTTTTATTTGCCCCTGCATTAGCTGCAAGTCCTTCATTTAGTCCATTTTTAATTAAACTTGCAAGATGTTTGGGATGTCTGTGCCCAAGAATGCCTACAAAGTCTCCAGATTTGAAATCATTGTCGAGAAACCCATATAATGAAGGGTGGTATCAAGAAAACCCTGAATATTATACAGGAAAAACCAAGGCAAGGACTGGATCTGCTTTACTGAAATCTTTTGATAAATTGCGGCCGAGGCTTAAAAATGTGAGGGTTCCTTTTATTATTTTCCAAGGAGGAAATGATACAAAGGTAAATATTGAGGTGAATAGAAAATTTGTGGAAAATTCGGCTGTGGAGGATAAAGAGTTTGTTTATTATGAAGAAATGAGGCATGAGGTATGCAATGAGCCAGAAATTGAAGAAATTATAGAGAAAGTCCTGAATTGGATAAGTCAAAGAATTAGTTAATAATCAGTTGTATATGATACAGAAATTGATTATATATTAAAGCGAAAAATTAGTAAAATACGTAGGAATTTATATTTTTCGATTAATTTGAGCCTTAATCCAAAGTAACTTCAGATGAAATAGCATGCAATGATAAGATCATATGCTTTTGCTTTATGCGCTCCTTCTTATGATTACTCATTAGAGTTTTAACTTTAAATTTCCAGCTGTGCTCAAAATTTTATTCCAAAATTGCATATCATTATAGTTTCTATGAGTATTCAAATGAGCTCAAGGATATTTAAATAAGCCTTTTAAGCTCAATCTTCCAAAAAATCAGCTCATTTTCAATAGCCAATGATATAAAACACAATTAATTTTATTCTCCCAGTTTCTATCCAAAAAATAGTCTCCTTTTTCTATTTGCATAAGCCTATTCTTCTTAAAGCCATTCAGTGCTGTCTAACTGTTTCATTATTGACTTTTCTTATAAGATAAACCCTCTCCTTCACTGCCTTTGCTCAAATTATTCATGAATTACCTTATACATCATGTTTGTTTTAATTTAATGGATTAAGAGGTCAATATTTATTTAAGCAAAATTTATACCGGGGTGAGAGGAAACCACTCCACTTTCTTGTTTTCGCTTGGGCCCTGCACTTCAATGCACCAATCAGAGTCAAATTTGGTGCTATTTCTTAGACTATTTAACTTTCCTATTAAGCACCAGAGGTGGCCGCTTGCGAGAAGTGAGCAATATAGGTAAATGTAGTTGCTATCCCAGGGCTCAAAATTACTGAGGACAAGAGCTATTAATTCAGCAACCACAATTGCTAAGCTCATTTGGTGTACTTTTATCATTATAATGATTCTGATTTTATATTTATTCTCTTTTATTATGTCGGAATTGAATTTCATGAAAAAAACAGATTTGGTAACCGCCTTAACGATTAAAACAGAAACTTTAGGCAGTTTTAAAGATAAAAAACAGATGCGTTTCGAAGAAAATGTTTATAAAGTGGGAAGAGTTTCATATTGAGATTCTTTGGATTTATTTATATTCTGATATAATAGAGATTTACTTTTAAGTCTCAAATTTTGCTGTGAAGAATTATTCTTTAAAATCAAAAAGATTTTGCTTCTCATTTTTGGAATCTGAATATATTCTTCTACAAATTTTCAATAATAATTACAAAAAAGTGCCAGAGAAACTTATAGCTTTTAGCTTGAGCATTTTCTCTATATTAAAAAGAATATTAAAAACAATTTCTAAATATTATCAATGACTGAATAAGCGTTATTCCTCAAATGTTTGGTATCTTTATTTTCATTTTTTATCAAAATATTTGATTGAAATTTTTATAAATATTTTTATAAAATATTGAATTTTAAAAATAAAAATGCTGTAATTTATAAAAATATATTCAAATCATAATAATTTAAAAGGGATCAAGATCATTTAAATTTATTTAATACTGCCCTTCTCCACATTTAAACTTTAGCGAAAACTTAGGCGCACAACACCTATTATGCTTACAAGCTGGAGTTCCTGGCTCTTGCAATTTCATCACAATTTCTTTTGGAAGTTCTTCCCCAGCTTCTATCTGTGCAGCATACATTTGCAAATGTTTACATTTTTTCACAAAAGCTCTTAAAACCCCTACTTTATCATCTTTATGTTCTTGAAAATTAAACCCGAATTTTCTCCCAAACCTAATCTGCAACAAATAATCGTCCAGAGATTTTTTTGAAACCCCTACTTGGCCAGCAGCTTCATCAAGGTCCAGTTTTACTGAGACCTCATCTTCTAAATTTCCCTGATATAATTTTCTTCAGCTAGACACTTTTTCAATAATAAAACCAATTTTTCGTTCCTTTGTCCTTCTAGCTGCGTTAATTTTTGTAATTGCTTCTTTTTGTGGCTTTAATTTAGGATTTGACTGGCATCCTACAGTGGAAATTGTCCCAAAAACGTTACGAATTGCTTGCCGAGATGTGATAGTGATGGTATTGTTTTCTAGCTCGTATAGTGGAATTGAGGAAAATAATGGCAAAGGATCATTTCCACAGTAAATTTTGGAATCTGATGATGGAGAATGATACCAGAGCATAGAATGGTCGAGGTCATAGCCGAGACTTTTGAGGTAAGAAATAATTGGGTATAGTAAAATGTCAGATACAGAATTGAATTGAAGATGAGGTTGGGAGATTGAAGGAATTAATTCTGTGTCATAATTGGAAGGATTTCCAAAAATTAGGAGCACGCTAAGTGCTTCAAGAGTGCTTGGCTCTGATTTTGCCATTAATTTCGGCAAAAATTATTTATACTTAGCTAAGCACTTTTCAATGCTTAAATAAGATATTTTAGCAAAAATTGTCAGTTATATCTACAATAAATATACAAATAATTAGCATGTGATTGCATTTAAACGCAAATATTTAAAGGCTAATTTATCACATGCATTATTATCACACAAATGACTACACAGGATATTGGCATGCCAAATTTTCGTAAAATAAATATTAGATATTATAAAATCTGAGCTTTTCTTTAAATATTATATATTCTACAAAAACGTGCAGAATTTCCATTATATCTATTAATCTTTATAAAACTTTCTATAAAAAATGCCAGCAGAAGACCTTATAATTGAAACTTTACTAGAAAATCATTTGAAAAATTTTAAATCCTGCAAGCAGAGCAGTCCAAAACCGAAATATAAAACAGAAATATGCAAGAATTGACCACTTAACAAATGCACTTTTGGAGAAAACTGTGCTTTTGCACATGGCAAAACAGAATTAAAAGCAAAAGGCCCAAACTACAAAAAAGAAGAATGCAAAAATTTTGCATATGGATTTTGCAAATATGGAGAAAGGTGCACTTTTATACATCAAAAGAAAATTGATCGATTGCAAGTATTCAAAAAAATAACAGCGCAAACAGATGCTAAAATATTTGCTCACCTTAATCTTTAAATTTAATAAATGTAGAGACTGATTTTTAATATGGGTTATTTATGGAATTCTATATTCTATGAATGATGGCTTTACTTGCTTGCCCCCGTCCAATAGCACTCAAAATATTGGAAAAATCCCTGTACTTTAAAAATAAATTAAACTCTATACTAAAAAATTTTTTATAATATCTAAGTGATAATGAATCTTTAGCTAATTCTAATGAATTTTAAACAACTTGCGTTCTCAAACATGAATTTACAAATTAAATTCATTGCTCCTTTCCAATTTTGCAAATTTAGATTTTTTATATTTCAAAAAAAAAATAGATTAAAAATTAATATCCCACCTAGCAAAATTTTTTGCTCTCTTGACGTAAGGTAGGGTTAAGAATATAATGAAGTTTTATTGAAGAATTCGATATGAAAAACCTCAAAATTTACTAAACACTTAACTGATTGAGTTATAGACGATAGAGAATGTTTGGAACCCCTGGATTAGATTTAATCTTTAATATTTTTGCCATAGAGATCATATGAAAAGTGAAATAGTATCTAGTTGAGCTTTGCATCAGCATATAAATATGTGCATACTTTAAATGGAAATTACTATGCAGATATATAGGTCTATTTTGACGAATTCATAAAATATATAAAAAGATAAATAGTAAACTCTTCTTTTTTATAAATATACAAATACCAAGGATTCTATCGTAAAATTTCTATGGATGGCTTCGAGCTCAGAGATTAATTATTCATAATCAATTGCTTTTTATAGCATGCTCGAAAAAATTAGCATAGAATTTATAAAATAAATATTTTAAAACGTCAAAATGCAGTGCAAATCCAGGCACAGCTTAATTTATCCAAAAATACCATAAAAATAAAATTTCATATCTTCTCATATATCCCTGTTAATGTTAATTAAACTTATCGAAAAGCTTGCAATAATTCTACAAGGACTATCTCTACCAGTAACGCTGTTTCCAGTTCATGTTTCGCGACATTGTGAAGATTACTCTTGCAGAACGAAGCCTGAACTCGCTATCCAGTAGTTGGGTGGCTTGCGCTGCCGTGCTGTATGCCAACAGGGCTGTCCAGTTTTAAAAATCAAAAGGGCTGAATATCTAGCCGACTCTAGGCAAAATGGAAATCCGTTTTCCAGGGTGTATCTCCTTATTTCATACTGGGAGCATCCAATTGGCCAGTGCACACGTCACTGGCTTTGCTGGTAGACCCCTTTCCAACTTTCGGGCCCATTTCTCACTGAGGTAAAAACATGATATTGGATTAAAGTATGCAGTCGGCCAACGCGACATTGCGCTTACCAAACCAAGAAAATCTCGCCTAATACACACTCCTGAACGTCATCCTCCCTTCCTCAAGGTCCCTATGACCTGCGATATACCAGCTACAGGAAATTTAAGAGATTGGGCTGGTTCACCATTTTAATCTATATCCCTGTTATTACCATAAAGAGAATATTAAGCTTATTACCATGACAACCTTTCTTTTTCTTCCTCAGCTTCTCTGCATCCTTCATAAAACTGCGCATACCATGATCTCCAGTTAAGCAGCATCCTATCCGGTTCTTCTCTCAAATCATAATAAGTGCTCATAGCAAATTGCTTATTATCCCATACTTTTCCGTCGTTCATGACCTGTTGAGCTTCCAATCTCAGCATAAGTGCTGTTATACAATAAGGCAAATAACTACTCGCCCACATGTCATGGAAGACCTCGTGCTTATATTTCTCGAGCGGCGACAAGTGCTGGAACAGCACGGCTTCGAAAAATTGGCTTTTTAAGAACAAGTAGACCAGCCCTGAGCCAACTTGGAACGCAGTGGCGTTGAAGAAGAAAATTTCGCTGCAGCCTGGGAGGATCATATAGCTGTCTAAAGAAAGGACGCCAATGTATTTGGCGTTTTGTTCAGTTAAAAACCTATCCATCAGCTGAGTTTTGAACTGGTCGATTAATGGTACCTCGTGCTTCATGATTTCTCTGAGTTTTGGGTCGTCGCCTTTGGTCCATTTGGCTCTCCATCTGGCTTTGAAGAGGTCGGTAAATGGTAAGAAGGCACTATGGACATAGTAAAAATGCATTAAGTCGCCACCATTTTCTGGGATATCTTGGACGTGGCTTTGGACTTTATTTATGCTTACCCCACGATATGAGAGTTTTTCCATGAATGGAGTAATGTCTAGCGGCTCAAAAGGTGGCGGAGCAGTTCTAAGCTCTTCTATTGAGTGATACCATACAAAAATAAAACCGCCAAACTCCTTAACTTGCCATTTTTTGACGCCGATTTTAGTTTTGCATTCCTTTTTAAGCCCTTCTGTAGCTTTTTCGCTATAAGTAAACTTATCGGCTTCTCTTTGCTTCATGTCAGCGCCAGATACACAGTTCCCTGTTTCTCCATCAAAAACCCACCCGTGGAAAGGACACTGTAGTCCTTTGCCGAATTTGACTTTGCCTCCTTCAGCCAAATTTGCGCCCATGTGTGAGCAATAGGCGTCGATTGCGTATATAATTCCATCAGTTCCTCTGAAAACTGCGATGTTTTGGCCGTGCATGTCAATATGTTTGGCTTCGCCTTTCTTGATTTCTCCAGACCTTGCCACACAGAACCATCCGTTGGGAAAAGCTGGGAGGGTTTTTCCCATAGACCGGCGGCCTTTGGTAAAGGCGCTTTTTTGTTCGAACCTGTAGTGGTGGAACGTTCTGTAGTAAAGAATGTACAAGGCAAGGAATAGTGTAAGTAGGATGTTGGTAGTGGTTAAGTAGCCTTCTAGAAATTCAAGCATTATTATTCCATTAAAATTAAGCTGATTTAGATATGGAGTAAGGCGATTTTTAGACCTATCCTATTGGTAATAATTTAAAATAATTATTTAATATTTGTGCGTATATAATTTTAATAGAAAATAAGAGGATATGGAGAGTTACAAGAGACGGAACCTGAGACGGATCGTAACTCCTTTTTATTAAAAGTTACCAGACGATACTAACTCTTAGGTATTATTGGGTTCTTTTAAATAGAAAATTTTTTTATGAAAAAAGACTTATTTTTATTTTGAAAAAGAGGATAAGAAAATTTTAGGTTTAATTATAAAATAATAAGCATATATAAGGACCTTTATACTGGAATTAGTAAAGAAATAATTAGAAACTCAGAAAAGCAAAAATAAAAGCAAAAAATAATTATAGTAAAATGTTGGTTTTTGTGGGTAGACTGAATAGGGAGAAATCAGTAGGTAATTTGATTCAGGATAAGAAGAGCTTAATTTACAGAAATGAACTGAGAATTGACTAAAAGGCGTGAATTGATGGCAAAAGACGCAGATATAAGTTCTAGTGTTGTGTTTCTTAAAGAAATTTAATCATCTCATAATTAGATTTCTTTGATAAATCCAATATTTCAGCTTATTATAGTGATTAGCAATTATAAAATGACTATGAACTTTTAAGTTATAGATATATAAACTAGTTTCTACTAAATTGGGACCAATACTTTTTGATATCTTATAGTCAAATTTCATAATTAATTTTAAAACAGGACAATATGCTTTCCACAAGCACAGTTTTAATTCACTCCAGCCCAATATAATACAGTAAATCACAAAAAATCCATCCAAATATTTTTTATTTTAAAAAAAATTCTATTTTTTAATAAATTTTTATTTTAATTATTTTGCATCCCCCAATAATCTTAAAAATCAAGTTCTCACTTAACGCCTTTTCCTTTATAATAGAAGACACATGCTTGGCCAAAAGCGAGATCGATCTGAAAAATCATCCAACGAATCCCTTATAAATTCCTTCATCCGGCGCAGGCCAAATAAAGACGAAATCAGAGCTGCTTGACTTGATTGTATTTCGACCAAAAATTACTCCTTGCTCTATCAAGCATTATCAGTTTATTCACAAATCAGTATTGGCAACTTTTTCCTCAAAGGAGGCAAGCCAATCCTTCACGAATCATTATTCCGCTGCGGCGACCTTCTGCCTCTTCGAATTCTTATAGAAAAAGTCCCCAAAAATATTATATTAGCAGTCTTCAAAGAAAACAAATTTTCTCTATTGAAAAATTTTATAATAAAACAAAGCACAAAACGAGACCCCGAGGACGAAAAATTTGGCTTCCAAAAGCTCAAGCTGCTGATAAATATTGATAAGCCGAAATTTAAAAAAAAAATTGACGTGTATTTACATGATCCAGACATAAATTGAATGATTTCAGCTAATATGAAGAAATTTTTAGAAGAAGAAATGGAGGACGATTGTGTATGCTTGGAAGATGAAGAAATAATAGAAATTTGTTCATCTAGAAAGAGCGTCTATGAAGTAAAGAAAAGCGAAGATATAGTAGAAGTGTATATGAAGAAGAAAAAAATAATGAACAATGTGCTAAATATTGATTTGTAAACATGGTGCGTTATTTGATAAAATAAATGGTTAAGAGATGGGTTAGTTTAATTATTTATCTCTCCCCAGGGCTTTCATACACACTTCAAAACCAGCCATATAAGCTGCATTAGAAGGGAAAGCCCGAATAATAGCTGGAAATCAGCCTTTGGACAGCCCAGCTAGTCCACCTTCGTTCCAGGTGATTTTTATACAGTCTTTTATATTTTTATATTTTGGGTTTACAAAAGAGTCTGCCTGAATTTTGGATTTAATAACGTCAAGTCCAAAAATCCCAATCCAATATGCAATCCCAGCAATTCCTCCACACATAATGATTTGCCATAGGGGTAGTTGGTGAGTGTCTATATTATCCCCACCAAAGAGCTTTTTGCCAGCAGTTTGATATGCCGCGAAGAATATTCCATATCCAAAAATATCTCTGGATAAACAAATGCTAAATCCTCGATACAACCCAACTATCCCATATTTTTTATTCTTTTTTACATTAATTATACATTTAAATTTAAAAAAAAATAAAAATAATTTTTTATATAAAATAGCATATATATTGATATAAAACAGTCTCTGGGATTTTTGTATATTGGGTCGCCTCTAGGACTGATTTTTCCTTGAACTTGAAGTTTTACAGTCACATGCTCGAATGGACATGAAAAAAAAGTTTTCGAGACGCCAGAAATAGATCCACACAGCGTGTGTTGCCAAATTTTTAAACTCTCTGTCTGGTCTGAAGGGTTTTTGAAGTATTTTTTAATATTTTCATTAATTCCAAGCGACAATGAGCTTGTAATTGTTGAACCAACAAGCGGCGAGGAGACCGCTTTCCAAAACGCAAAAAACCCCTCTTGTTTCAAGAGGCTTGAAATAGTTAATATTACAGAACCGCCAACATTTTGCATTCGAACCTTGATTATATCTAGAGGCTGGCTGATGAATATCGAGGTCCAAGAGGCCACTATGCCTGACAAAAAAGATTGATAATCAGGATAATAGTTAATTGTTGCACCCATTTATTTAACTTTATGTGAAATGAACAAGAAATTAATGGAGGAAATTCGAAAAATGGGTATAAGCAGTTCTGATGGAAATTTTTAAAATTGAAAATAAATGTTATGAAAGAATATTAATAGTGTAAAGTAGGCTGATATTAAATAAGAAGAAAGGAAATTACCGATAGTTTCGCCCGAAAATAGACATTGTGGCCTCGAAGCCTAAAAAAAGTGAAGCGCAGGCTGGAGCTGCTCTAAGCATCGTAGGTGTTCAGCCTTTAAAAAATCCTGAAAATCCATCAGTCTTATATGTAATTTTCAGGCAGTCCAAAAGAGACTTATATCTAGGATTCGCAAATGAATCTGACTGCATTTTTGATTTAATAACATCAATACAATATGGTGCCCAGTAGCAGTACCCAGCAAAAGCTCCACAAGCCATAATTTTTAATTTTCCTAATTCGTCCGCATTGAGCTTTTCCCCTCCAAATATTTTTCTCCCACAAAACTGATACCCTCCAAAGAACAGCGTATTTCCCATAAGTTCCCTTATCATAGTTGCTGAAAATCCTCTATAAATCCCTTTAATGCCATAAGTTTTTATTATAGAAATAAAACATTCAATGGAATTTTTATATAACGGGTCTCCTCTTGGGTCAATTTTCCCTTGAACTTGCATACGAATTCTTACAAGCTCAGCTGGGCATGAAAAAAATGCGCGAAAAAAGCCTGCAGAAGTCCCACATAAGGCATGCTGAGATAGGCTTAAAATTTCTCCTGGTTTATTGTAAGATTAGATTAGATTAGATTATTAAAGTCAGGTGTTAGCCATATTGGTGACGCAGTCACCAAAGACCTCCTGTACGGGAGACTCATCCGCTTTTCGACTCCAGCCCAGAGGGTCTATCCCTCTTGCGAGTGCCCTTCTGGTACCTTCTGTCTCCTCCTTGCCTTAAGGCTTCAGTCTTGAGTGGGCGGCTTATGGATTTCTGCGGCCCTGCTACGGGCGATTGGAGTAGCTTGATTCCAGGGATCAACTCCTTGGAGTCTATCGGGTGTCGAAGTGCCTTTCTTCGACAGCTACAGGAAAAAGACTGTTCCCCTGTGGCCTGGGCCGAAACCCCCAGTTTCTCGGTAGAGGAATGCCCATGGGTCCTCGGATCCAAAGGACGCTGTCGAGCACCTCCATTTCCAACCACAGGAAAGCAGCCAAAACCTACCCGGATACACACCTCTAGAGCCTGCACTAGATTCTCAGCTCGGAGTCCGTCCCAGTTCGCCGTAGCCATAAGGTCTGGACTACTGCGCCAAGAGGGCAGGTTGACACGTGTCGCCATTTTAATGTATGGTTTATTGTAAGAACTTACAATTCTTTTTGTGTTTTCATTTGTTCCAAATGATACTGCGTTAGATAGACCTACACCGATAAGAGGAGGAAGTGAGCCTTTTCATAATGTTAAAAATCCTTCATGAGAAAGTAAATTTTTTAATGCTAAAATGGCTGAGCCGCCTGAGTTTTGTAAGCGAACTTTTATAATGTCAAATGGCTGACCAACGAAAACTCCACATCAAGCCCCTACAACCCCAGAAATAAAGCCTTTGAATTCTGGGAGAAACTTGGATCTTTCCATATTGATTAGTTATTTTTAGATATTACTGAAATATTTACATTATCTATAATTCTCCTAAAATTTACATAATAGTTTTAATTCCAGTTTTAAAATGCTTTTTGATTTATCTATTAGGAACTACATATATATAAATGCTCACAAGGTTTTTCTTTTCCTTTTTAGTTGTGCTATATGGTGTTAAATATCCAGCATGTAGCAATAGCGCAAAATTTTTTTTGTGCTGTTGAGATCTAATTACAAATTTATATAGCTACCAATTTCTTCTCACAATACAAGATAGCCAGTTCTCATTATTTCAAACAATTCATCATAAGATTGCAGGGGATTAAATGCTAGGACCAGATGATTAAAGGCAGTTGCAAAGATTCAATAAGGCCTGAGAGGATACTATTTTGATTTTTTCCTCTAATTATACAATTCATTATTGAGTAAGGATTGTAAATTTTTTGTTCACCAATATTATATCAGCTGTATCACAGCTTAATTAATTCTTTTTGCTCTAACATGTCCTTATCTCAATTACTCTCTAATTTTTTACTCGATTAGAGTATTTACCTCTGATTCTGTGATTCTGAAACTTGGCTGAGGATTTTTGATTTCCAAAATGCAACAAGTAGTTTTTTAAGAGCATATCTATCATTCTCAAGTGATTGAGTTATAGCTGAAATGTAAAATAAGATTTTACATTTGAAATATAGGAGCCTATTATATGAATTCGATCGCCATAAACCATTTTCAAAACTTCTTTTATGCCATAAGCAGTTGAGCTAGGGCTTGCAGAGTTTCTCTCTAAGTTGGGAGGTTTGAGAAGCATTGGTACAAACTGGTTTCCATATCATTCATTATTTTATAAAAAGGGGCTACTCGGTTTTTAATATTTTTCTTACTCTCCTTTAGAAGCGAGGAAAGCTATTGCAAAGTACTAATTCCGAGGGATTTTAATGACTAAAATTATTAGTAAAGCTTTAATTTTGAGGAAAAAACTTGCTCTATTTTAATCGGACAGTTATTTGCTTTATGTGATTAATTTTATATAATTTTCTTTACATTTTTAAATAGTGGAAAGAGGCGTTGGGGGAGTAAATTATCGATAATTTCTCCCAAAAATAGACATCATAGTTTCAAATCCAGTCAAAATCGCTGCATTTGCAGGAGCTGCTCTTATAATCGCTGGTAAAAAGCCTCTGAAAAATCCTTTTACTCCAATATCTTTGTATATTGTTTTCACACACTCAATAGTTGACTTATATCTCATATTTTTATATGAATCAGACTGAAGTTTTGATTTCACTACATCAATAGGATAAACAACCCAATAAGCATACCCCGCGAGTCCTCCACATATCATAATCTGCCACATCTTCAGTTCATTTGTATTTGCATTATAGGATGGTCACTCTTTTGCCATGCTTATATAATTTTTTTTTTTGTATAATTTGGAATTTTGGAAATTCCCTTCAGAGAGATGCCAAAAGTGTGCCCACGCTATATCCCCACCAAATAATTTTCTCCCTGAATACTGATAACCCATAAAATACATCGTAATTCCTATTAATTCTCTCAGCATTGTTATAGGAAATCCTTTATAAATCCCAAAAATCCCATATTTTTTAAAAATTGTTAAAAAGCAGTCTACGGAGTTTTTGTATAAAGGGTCTCCTCGAGGGTCAATTTTTCCTTGAATTTGCATGCGGATTCGAATATTTTCTGTAGGGCATGAAATAAAAGCGCGAAAAAATCCTGAAATAGTCCCACAGAGTGAATGCTGGGAAATTGATAAAACTTCTCCAGGATTATTGTAGCTGCTTATTATCCTTTTAGAGTTTTCATTAATACCAAAAGATATAGAGCTTGCTAAGCCATTGCCTATTAATGGTGGTAGCGAGCCTTTTCATAGCGTGAAAAATCCTTCATGAGTAATTAGACATTTTAGAGTACCAACTGCTGAGCCTCCATTGTTTTGAAGTCTAACTTTTATGATATCAAAAGGCTGTCCTACACAAACTCCGCATCATGACCCTATGACCCCTGATATAAACCCTTTAAACTCAGGGAAAAACTTGTGCTTTTCCATTTATGTTTGATTATACATTTTTAGTGCTTATTTAGTCCATATCAAGAATATACTAGCTTGTACCTTATAGGTAAATTTTCATATCAATAAATCATTTATTAGGCTTTAGATATTTTATAATTTTGGCTAAATGAGATATTTATGTTTCAAATCTATTCAAAGATTATAATTATTTTTCAAACATTCATAAAATCTATGATTTCAATGCGAATCTGGTTGATATCTTGTAATAACCGAGACCAAAGACGTTAAACTTATTAAAAGACATTTCTTTGATCCAAATTTCTTATAAAGCTAAAAATTTATGTTTTAGAAGTAATCAGTTTATTATATTCTAAATTACTCTATTCTTTGCTTTTATTTTTTAAAGAAGCTTTCTCCCCCTTCTGTGAGTGAGAAAAATCATTGGAAAAATCCCTATTTTTTCACTGAAAACTAACCTCCTGTACTCTGCGAGCAAACAAAAATTTATTAATATAAAGTATTTTTATGTAAAAAATTTTGATATATAAGTGATAATTATTATAATGAATTCTGTTTAATTTTAAAAGCTTACATTTCCAAACATAAAATCTCCAAACTTTTACTTCTCAATTTTTACGAATTGAAATTTTTTTAAATTTCAAGAAAAAAAAATTTATTATAAAATTCATTTATAAATTTTTTATAGAAGGGGATGTTAGGAAAAAACTTCTGTTATAATCATGCAGATTCCTGTCTCAAATCATTTCATTTTGAGAAAAAGTATGACCTTTTAATTTCATAACTGATCTCATTTTTATTAAACAAATTACTTCTAAATTAGCTTGCCGTTCAATAAGCTTTCAATTTTTTGATTTTAGCTAATTTAAATCCTTTTTACTTATTTGGTATTTTTTTCTGTTTATTCCTAAATTTTTATGCAAAATAATTTTTCTTGCTTACTTCACCCCATAAGCAAAGAAAACCATTGAAAAAATCGCTATTTTTGACTCTCCACGAGAAACAAAAAATATTAATATATAAATAATAATTAATATATTGAAATCTCTTGCTAATTCTGCCATTTAAAAACATAAATTTTACCAATTAAATTAATTTTTGCTTACTCCCCCCCTCCGTGAGTGAACAAAAAAATTTTGTTCACCTACGGAGGGGGTTAATTTTTTTAAAAAAAATTATATATAAATTTTACAAAAAATATTTTTTTCGAAATTTAAAAAATCCTAATTCGCAAAAATTGGAAAACAAATATTAATTTAATTTATAAAATTTATGTTTTAAAAAGCAATTCGTTTAAAATTAAACAGAATTAGCTCTAGATTTCATTATGCTAATTATCATTTATATATCAAAAATTTTTTTCCATAAAAAAATTTTTGTTCACTCACGGAGGGTGGGTTTTTGGGCAAAAAATAGGGATTTTTCTAATGGTTTTATTTCACTCACGGAGGGGCGGAGTTATCAATTTTTTATGAATATGGATTTTTTTAAATTTATCCCCCTCTTGAGTGAAACTAAATTTTTATGCTTGCTTAAAGAGGGGAAGTTAAGGAATGCTATTATTAAATTTATATTAGTTTTATTCTCATTGATGGCATTAGTACTTCTTATAAAACTGTTTAGAATAAACAATTCTGATCTTGAATTTTCGATTAAATTCTTCAAAGATAATTTCAAAAAATGTCAAAATTTTCACCAAGCAGTTTCTTACAAAATAATCCCGATTTTTACAGCTATTTATAGCTCAATAATTTAGAGGTAAAAGTATCTTTGACAAATAAATCTTTAGATGATTTTTTTCATAAAAAATTATTTAAATCAATATCAGCTTGATATGCAATAAAAATGATCGATATTAAGTATTTAGATTCAAGTCTTAATTTCTAAAAATTTAAATCTCCATATACCAGCCAAGCTCAAAGAAAATTATAAATTCAATATTATTCCACTTTCTAATAATTTTTTTTTAATATCCAATTTAATTTTTTTTAAAATATTTTTTTATTTTAATTATTTCTTTTTCTAATAAAAATAAATAATTGCAATATTACTATAATACATCGAGCTATTTATTAGGCATATGAAACCACTCACAAATTTAAATTTTAAATGACTACTCGAATTGAGATTATTCTCCACATTAACTTCCTATAATATTTCCATAATTTATAAATTATCTCTCAGCTTCTTCCGTGAAATTAAGATGGATGACTATAATTAATAAACTTTTTAATAAACTGATTGTCTTAATAAATTTAATGGATAGTGAAAATAGTGTACAGCAAAGCAAAAGCAACGAAAGAAAGCCGCAATTCTTCAACAATAGTATTGGGCTTACAAATGATCTCCCGCCGTATGAGCTGTATGAGCTGACGGGAGGTGACGATTTTGTCCCCAAAAATTTAAAAAAATTATTATATTAATTTTATTCTATTGATTATTTTTTTCATTTATAAATTAAGATTAAATAGCCCACGATTCTCTTCCGAAAGAAAGTAAAGACCAGCTTGAAGATTATGAAAGTCTCCACTCAGACTTTCTCCAAAACGGCCCATCCCAGCTAAGTTCTTTGCTTTTGAGAAGGATAATTCAAAATCCAAAAATTCCATGCGAATTTAGATCCCAAACTCTGTTTCGTCTGATTCTTGACGCTTGTCAAGTATTAGCGTTAAATGAGGTCGAAATATCAGTTTGGGCAATTTTTCTCGACAAATGCGTATGAACTGACAACACAGCCAAGCTGGACTACGTCTTGTATTATTCAGCATTATCAGCGAAAAGCTACACAAATTCAGATGTCACTCCTTATTTAAAGTACTTGTCGTCGAAGATGAGCAATTTTTACAACAATTATATGCAGTGAACCCAAAGAAACAGAAACTGCCTGGAGGTTACAGATCGAGAGCTGAATTGTATTTATAAAAAACTTTTTTTTTATTTTTTTTTTAAAAAAATATATATATTAATATATAAAGATTTTTCATAAAAAACCTATAAAAAACTCACAGCTCCACAAGATGAAAGCCTGGTCGACTACAACTTTTATGTCGATGACATTTTACAAATGGCTCCTCCTTACATGTCAGATCCTCGTGATAGTGCAATTTCCAGAGATTTTTCTCGAGACGCAGAAGATACAACATTAGCGACTTCAATAAATTACCCCAAAAATAAAAAGCTGACTTTTTCAGATGCCAGCTGAATACCTAACTACGATTTTGAGACCCCTTCAATTACCCCGGCGACCAGCACCTCAAGCATAGATTCTCATCAGAATTCCATTTTGTCCCCAATGATCTTAGAAAGAATTGATGTGATTTGTTCAGAATTCCTGAACTGTGAAGTCCCAAAAATAAATGTGTGTCCATCCAGCAGAAGCCAAAATCCGCTTTTAAGCAGTTTAGCTAACTTATAAAAATATTTACATTTTTAAAAATTTATTAAATTTTGACGGTGCTTGGCGTAGTCGACGATATTAGCAATATTATTGCAATCTGTATAATAAGTACTTTTTCTGATGTTTTCTTCAAGGATTTCTATGTGTTCTTCTTTAAGCCTTACTTGTTTTCGGAGGTCTGATAGAAGTTTACCGTATATTATAGCTTTTTCGGCCATTTCTTTGTATTTGTCTTTATATGAAATCTCTTTAAAATTCCGGATTGAGGTGAGTAAAATTTTGGTAAGATCTTCGCAGTCTTGTTGTGATAATAAAACTTCGTGAGGAGATTTGGCGATTTTTTGTATCAAATCTTGGGAATTTGGGAAAATTCTTAACTTTTCTGTATAAAATAAAAGTTCATCATTTTTTGGAATCGAAGCGATAGTTGGACTTGTAACTTCAGATGATTCCTTAAGTGGCCGTTTAATTAAAACAAGAAACTCATCACAAAGTGTTTCTGTAAGGTATTTCAAAGAATTTAAAGTAGCTCTAATATCATTTGACCGTAAATGAGGCGGCTGAAAAATTACACTTGAACGCGAAAGTGTCGTTTGTATTAATTCTATCATATATTTCAAATCATTGAGAAGCATAAGATCTGATGAAGACTTGTTTGGAGAAATTGGGGATTCGCAGTAAGGAGAAATTGATTCTGATTCTGAAATAACCACTTTTTTTATTTTTTGACTCTCAGATTGATATAAATAATGACTATTTTCCATTATATAAAAAGAGGTTATTAAGAATCGTTTATTAAAGATACTCTTTTACCTTTATTCTTCCGATTTCTTCCCATTCATGACCAAAAGAGACCTACTTTTCTCTTCATCTTGAATAGGCGGTTGTTTTGCTCTTACTGAGGAAAACATTAATTTTTCGAGTGCTAGTGCAGGCATTTCGATCATAAGGACAAAAGGCCAAGCAATTAAAAAGCTGAACATGAAATTTCATGTCGCATCTTTGAAGATCAAGAAATTGTCTAACCCTTAGCATTTAATAATAAAAATATTTTTAGCTATGGGATGAAGTGTTTTTTCATAATAAATTATTTTTAATAAAATTACAGATAGATCGTAATATGATTGATACTATTAAATGGCTTTGGTCTGCTAGTAGGATAAGTAAACTGCAGAAGTTTGGGCATGATAAATCATATCAATAACATTAGACTGCACCAAGTAACAACAGAACGTTAATCTTGCTAATGGAGTCCAGATTTCTAATGACATTATCCATATAATCCATGTAAAGTGACCTAAAAGTGTAGGAAGAAGAATCAAGGTTAACCCAAGGCCATACACAAACCTATTAAAAGCTATAAAAGTTTGGTTTTCTTCATCAGTCCAATTAGGAAATTCCATTGCAGATCCTGGGTTTTTCGTAGTGTCATATTCTACCCATATGATAATATAGCTTATATCCCTTTATAGATTTCTTTATCGAGCAAAATGTACTGGATTATTGAACGACCAAGAGAGACTCTATTAAAGGAACGGGCTGGATATCTATATCAGGAAGTGCTAAAAAGTGACATGTCAAAAAATGGTGACAAGTCTGAAAAAAGTTGACAAGTAAACGCGCCAATTTTTTAAAATGGATTTATTATTAAAATAATTTAAAACTTAAGATACTCAATTATACAGAAGATATAATTACACATTATATATTGGCTTTAAATATTTTGATTTATATATATTTAAATTTAATAATAGCTGTGAAAATCAAAAATTTGCAACTCAATGTGCATTTTTCCGGCTCGATAGAATTTCTTTATTTTATGCTAATTTATTTATGAAGACAAGAGCTATAATTTGCAAAGTGCGTGGATTGTGATTCTCAATACATAAGAAGTTCTTATCGACTCATATGAGAAGTACTTAGCAAAAATTTAATATGGCCTATAAGTGAAAATCAAAAATTTGCAACTCAATGTGCATTTTTTTCCGGCTCGATAGAATTTCTTTATTTTATGCTAATCTATTTATGAAGACAAGAGCTATAATTTGCAAAGTGCGTGGCTTGCGATTCTCAATATATAAGAAGTTCTATCGACTCATATGAGAAGTACTTACTCCCCCCCCCCCCTCCGTGAGCGAACAAAACCATTAGAAAAATCGCCATTTTTTGACCAAAAAACCCACCCTCCGTGAGTGAACAAAAATTTTTTTAATAGAAAAAATTTTAATGGAAAAAAATTTTGATATATAAGTGATAATTAGTATAATGAAATCTAGAGCTAATTCTGTTTAATTTTAAACAAATTGCGTTTTAAAACATAAATTTTGCAAATTAAATTAATATTTGCTTCCCAATTTTTTGCAAATTAGGATTTTTTTAAATTTCGAAAAAAATATATTTTATAAAAATTTATATATAAATTTTTTTAAAAAAAAAAAATTAACCCCCCTCCGTGAGCGAACAAAATTTTTTTTTGTTCGCTCACGGAGGGGGGGGGGGAGAGTTAGCAAAAATTTAATATGGCTTATAAGTGAAAATAAAAAATTTGCAACTCGATGTGCATTTTCCGGTTCGATGGAATATCTTTATTTTATGCTAATTTATTTATGAAGACAAGAGCTATAATTTGCGAAGTGCGTGGCTTGTGATTATCAATATATACAAAGTTCTTATCGACTCATATGAGAAGTACTTAGCAAAATTTAAATATGGCTTATAAGTGAAAATAAAAAACTTTCAACTCAATGTGCATTTTTCCGGCTCGATAGAATTTTTTTATTTTTATGCTAATTTATTTATGAGACTAAAACTATAATTTGCGAAGTGCGTGTGTCTTGTGATTTTAAATATATGCAAAGTTCTTATCGACTCATATGAGAAATACTTAGCATAATTAAATATTGATTAAAATTAAAATATCTTAAGTTTTAAATTATTTTAATAATAAATCCATTTTAAAAATTGGCGCGTTTACTTGTCAACTTTTTTCAGACTTGTCACCATTTTTTGGCATGTCACTTTTTAGCACTTCCTGATATAGATATCCAGCCCGTTCCTTTAATAGAGTCTCTCTTGGTCGTTCAATAATCCAGTACATTTTGCTCGATAAAGAAATCTATAAAGGGGTATGAGCTATATTGATAAGTGCAAGTCCCAAAAACCCAACAATGTATCTAATAATTTTATTTTCCAACTTTTTCCCAATCCATATAGTGCTTGTCCACATATAGCCTACTCTCGCGCTAGCTCTTTCCTTGCAGCTGGTAAGTCTAGCAAGCCACCTAATGATGCAAGTCACCTTCAAGGCGACAAATTCTGAAGCTTTTGTCACTTTGGAGTTGACTAGTCACTTTTAGTGGCTTGTTAGACTTATCACTTGCAAGGAAAGAGCTAGCTCAAGAGCACGCTAATGCGCGCAAACTCTATAAACCTAATGGGTCATAAACTTTTTGATCTTTTTGATACTGGCGATACGAATACACAACAATTCCAGTAATAATCCCAAGCGCATATACCCCTACACGGCAATACGGCTTTATATAGTAATAATTATTATAATTCGTCCACGATTCTGATGAAAACCCAACAGCATTTAAAGTAAAATGATGGGCAACTACCCCTGAAATAATGATAGAAAACCCAATTAAAAATGTCAAAATTGCCCACCCAATATATCTATTGAATTTATGGTATAAATACAAAATTGGAGGAGTTATAATAAAAAACTGCATATCATCAGCTAAATACCAGGACTGGCCTAAACAATTGCTGCCTTTTCAATCAGGCACTAAATTGTTGACGAATAAAATATTAGTCCACCACCATTTTTTGCAGTCATTGTTATACCAGTATTCGTTCCACCACATTGGCCCACTGCCCATATGCTTTTGGAGTGCCCAAGAAAATAAAATGATAAATAAATACAGTGGGACGATTCTTAAATATCTGTGGACATAAACCATGATCCAATTCACTTTTTTGGAGTTGTTCAGTTCAATTATTAATAAGTAGCTGACGAGGAATCCAGAAATCCAAAAGAATGTGTCGACTGAAAAAGTTCCTGTGAGAGGGATAACCATGCTTTCTGTTTTAATAAAGTCTAAAAGTTTATTGGGATTTGCTAAAATAATTATAAAAAAAAATTTTTTATTTATAATTCATTAATTAATTTTAAATTTATTTTATTATTGCAAATTTTTCCTCAAGATTTGCTAAAACCGAAATTGTGATAGCATTAACAATTGTATGGCCTAGTATAACCCATCCTATCGACAAAACTCTCATTGCATTTAGCACCTCCAACGTGTCTTTTTTCCCAAACTTTTCTTGACTTCTACTTAAAAACAGCTTCTGCAAATTTGTAATTAACGAAAAGCATAATAAATATTTTTCTGCATTTGATAGCTGCTGAGGCTTTGAGTCTTTTTCAATTTGCTTGGTAAGCGACGCTTTCTCTGTGATCCAGTACTCATAACCTGTAGCTATAATAATTATTCCTATTATTATTGAAGTAAAAATAATCATAAGAATAGCCCCAGCGTTATAACTATCAAAGTGCTTATCTGCAAATTCTTTAGAAAACATAATAAATGGCCCTTGGCTTGCAGCTTCTAGTGGCAATTTTAAGGAAGAAGGTACTATTCCTCCATCAAAATCATTAGATAAAAATTTGGGGAAAATATTTTGGTAATCAGTTTCATTGCAGACCTTAGGCCCACATAATGCTATTAGTAAAGGAGGCTGCCCTGATAATAGCATAATAACATACTTTGCGTGGGATAGTTCATTGCAGGAGTCATACTGACCGAGATTATTGAGGGTGAATCCTGAATACATGAACATTTTGGTATAATCTGAACGATTTGAAGAAAGTATATCTTTTCCTGATTCAATAATTTTTGCCCACTCAGTTTGGCACTCATTTAAAACAGGCTCAGAGCTGGCAATTGTAAATAAGAGGAGGTAGAGATAATTCATTTTGAATTTAATTTTATCAACAATAAGCATAAGAGAAAATGGAAGCAAAAAATTATTTCCACAGTTAGATTTATGTAAAAGGATATTTAGCAAAACCCGTTAAAAATTGTCTTTGAAGGTTTAGAAGTTTAAATTTGGATGACCTTGAAAAAATTCAGGCTGGCTTAATAGATCAGTGACAATCTTTTCAAATAAAAAATTTTATTTTTTGGAAAAATAATTCAGAAAGCTATGTGGAATTTTTGTATTTTTATTAATATTTCTTATGCTGGGGTGGCTTGATATATTATAACTGCTTAGCAAAAAATATTTTTTGGAAGTCAAGTTAAGAAAAATAAAATTTGCCTAATGAGAATATAAGTCTTAGAAATATAAGTTGTGTGCTATAATTAAATCGATATAATAAAATAATTCCTATTTAAAGTTATTTTAAACTTAGGTATTATATCAACAATAAAGACTTTTATTTTCAATAAATTATGTGTAAAAGAATTTTGGAAAGATAATTAAAGATTCTACCAATTGCTATACTTCTTTTCTTGGAGTGGCGCTGCAAGTGCAGGCCACTCCATGTGGAATTCCTGTGTTGGTTTAACCAACATAGGAGTTGGTCGAACCAAAACTGTGCGTTGGTTCGACCAACCCATGAATTCCCCATGGAGTGGCCTGCGCTTGCAGCGCCACTCCAAGGAAGTTTCTATATGTGATTAAGTTAAAATTAACTATTTTAATACCTTGCAATGACTCTCATTTTAATCATAATAGCATGCCTATAGTAAGAAATTACTCTTGTCAACTCTTCATCAATTCAACAATATTTATATTATTATTAACTTCTGCAACGCTGAGTCTCAGCATTATCCTCTCTCACCTTCATTACTCCATATATAAGCGTTTAAATCTGTTGTCTATTTCTATGAACCTTTCTTCATGTCTCTCTTCAATTCAATTCACTTCACAAATCTATCCGAATATAACGAAATTTCATGCATTTAAATTTTTTCTCTTAAATTTCACTTACTCCCATTAGTGACTAAACAAAAATATTTTGTTCGCATTGCAGCGGTGAATTGTGTCCACTTGAAAGAGCAAAGACTGAGAAAAGGTGCGGGATTCATGAATTGCTTGATTTGGTTGCTGTGGAGCAGGAGTCTGTTTTGGAAAGCTTAGTGCTGCTTGCTGAGGACATGTCTTGCCGTATACAAAATTGCCATTTAAACTTTTTGGTTTTAATTCTACAAATATTTTCAATAAGTTTAATAATTTTAATTTTACTCATACAAAATTAGTTCATCCTTAAGTGTATTGAAATAGTGATAGGATAGTTGAAATTATTTCTATTCAAGTTAAGAGCAAAAATATAGTTATTTATATGCAGTCTTAAAAAGTTACATAATGCCATAACATTATTTTATTTTTCCTTAAAATTAAAAATTTTCATAGATTTAAATACTTAAAACCTTTATTATTGAATAATGGATTTAATTTCAATACTTAAATATTTCTAACTCCCACCCCCCCTCCGTGAGCGAACAAAAAAATTTTGTTCGCTCACGGAGGGGGGTTAATTTTTTTTTTTAAAAAAAATTTATATATAAAATTTTAAAATATTTTTTTCGAAATTTAAAAAAAATCCTAATTTGCAAAAATTGGGAAGCAAATATTTAATTTAATTTGCAAAATTTATGTTTTAAAACGCAATTTGTTTAAAATTAAACAGAATTAGCTCTAGATTTCATTATACTAATTATCACTTATATATCAAAATTTTTTTCCATTAAAATTTTTTCTATTAAAAACATTTTTGTTCACTCACGGAGGGTGGGTTTTTGGTCAAAAAATGGCGATTTTTCTAATGGTTTTGTTCGCTCACGGAGGGGGGGGGGGGGAGTAAAAAGGCTTAATTATGATGACTCCTTTGTCTCTTTATCCATCGATACCATCAGCAATGACCTAGCTTTTTCATCAGTCGGTGGTTTTGATCTTAGTGACATAAATGCCAATTTCTCCACTTGCAGAGCAGGCATCTCCACTAAGACCACAAAAGGAATCGCACACAAATAGCAAAAGAAAAAGAACCAAGTTGAGTCTCTAAGATAAAGAAACTCGTCAAACCACAATGCAGACCTTTGGCATCTATAAAATATTTCTATCAGATTTGACTGTAGTAAAAATACACAATAGGTCAGCCTAGAAAATGGAGTCCAAATATCTAATGATAAAATCCAAGACATCCATGAAAAATGGCCTAAAAGGCCTGGCAGAAGCACAAACATCAATGCAAATGTTCAAATCATCCTATGAAAAGCAATAAATACCACATTTTCGTCATGAGTCCAGTTAGGATAAGTTAATGCAAAACCTCCAGGATTTTTCATAGTATCATATTGAATAAATATCACAAAGTTTATAAGTGCTAGCCCAATCAACCCAATAGTGTATCTTACGTATTTATTTTCCAATTTTTTGCCTATCCAAACACAGATAGGGTCATATACGATACCTTTTTCTTTGTAAAGCCTATATGAGTATACAATAAAACCTGCCAAAATTCCGATTGCATAGGCTCCAATTCGACAATATGGTTTTGTATAGTAAAAATCCATATAATTAGTCCCATTAACTGCAGCAAAAACGACAGTATTCAATGAAAAATGATGAGCGACAATTCCTGACATGATAACAGTAAATCCAACTGAAGACATCAAAATTCCCCAGCCTATCCATTTGTGGTATCTATGATATAAATATATTATGGGTGGAGTTATAATGTAAAACTGCATGTCATTAGCTAAATACCACCCTTGGCCTAACTCCCCTTTAAATTGGAACAAAAAAATCCTGATTCAATTTTTGGGGTCAAGAAAAAACTATATTAAATTTTGCTCTATAAAAAATATAAATTGATTAAAATATTTGAATTTTTTCATTGTTTTTATTGAAAACTGTTTAAATAATATTTTCTTGCAATTTTTCCATTGAATTAGCTCAAAACTAATTTATAAAAATTAGTATTTTATTTTAAAAAAGCACAATACTGCAAATTTTAATTTATATTTATGAAGAATTAATTAAAAAAATTAATCGATTTAGTGTCAAAACTTTTAAATAACATTCAACTTGCACTTCTCCTTTAAATTAGGCTAAAATTATTTATAAAAAATTAGTATTTTAAGCTATAAATTTTCATATAGGAGTTAAAGCTCCCAAAAAATAGGAATTTACTTGTATTTTGCTCTATTTTAAGGAGGTGTAAGCAGCCACTGCCTTTCCAATCAGGTATAAAATTATTTATAAACAAAAGATTTGACCACCAATAATCTTTGCATTGGGAATTATATAAGTCACCATTATACCACATCGGGCCATTCCCCATATGCCTTTGTAAGGCCCAGAAAAAGAATAAAACAAAAAGCATAAGAGGCCAAATCCTTAAAACTCTGTGAATATAAAGCATAGGCCAGTTCATTCTTCTTCCACTATTTATTTCTAAAAGTAGTAGATAGCCAATTAGGACTCCAGAAATACAGAAAAAAGAATCAACTGATAAAGTACCTGCAATTGTGATAATCATTTTAGGTGATTTCATAATATCAACAATTTTATTGACGTTAACCAAGACTGTTGAAGTCACTAAAATCATGCCATTATGCCCGAAAACTACCCATCCAATTGATAAAACTCTTACAGGATTTATATCATTTTTTATTAATATAAGCTTAATATAATAAATCCTGCCTATTAATATTAATATAAAATTCACCCTAAGCTGGTATAAGATTTCCAGTGTGTCCTTTTTACCTAACTTTTCTTGGCTGCGGCTCGTAAAAAGTTTTTTTAAGTTAGTAATAACAGAAAAACAAAGGAAATATTTCATAAGTAAAGTTACTTTTGGAGGCTTACCTGATTCTTTTTTAGCCTCTTCAGTTTTCGACATGAGCCAATAGTCTATTCATGTTCCAATAATGGCGATCAAAATAATTATTGAAACAATAATTAGCATAATTATTGCTCCGGCAGTGTATTCTTTAAAGTGATGGTCTATGTACTCTTTAGGAAATATCACCTCGATATTGCTTGTGGCTGTTGCCTGGATGACGTCACCAAAAGATTTTTCGAAAATGTCGTCATTTTTAGTATCTGATGATGTAAGATTGGCGAAGATATGCAAATAGTCATATTTTGAGCATTCTTTAGGTCCGCATAGTCCTACCACTATTGGTGGCGATGGATTAAACTGGATAATTGCATACTTAGAGCTGTCTAGTTCTAAACAAGGGTCATATTGACCTAAATTATTGACATTGAAGCCAGTGTACATAAACATTTTAGAATAGTTGGAAGGAGAAGGATCAAGAATCCCTCCAGCAGCTTGAATAATTTTCAGTCACTCACTTCTACACTCTAGGAGAGTAGATTGAGATAAAACGATACCTAAAAGAATGAAAAAATAAATTCTCATCTTTAAATTATATTAATTCGACAACATGGGCAATGAATTAAATTAATAGTTTTTAATGATAATTATATATTAGACTATTTTCAGAGATATAAGCAACATTTAAATTTCAGGCAATGATTCAAAATATAAATTTATTTATAAGCAAATAAATATATATGCATTAAAGGATTCTATATTTTACTGAACTTTATTTGGAGATGAAAGTTCTAAAAAAATCATATTTTAGTATGCCAAATTATGTTTGCTATATTAAGATACAATATCAAAATTTCTACTGAAATATAGTTTTTATTATTTTATCTATTAGTCAAAGTTATGCAGATTAATTGAGGTAATTAATTCGATTTAAAATTAAGCAATATAATGGTCATACCATGATATTTTGCTTGTTGTTGAAAAATTATACAACTCACTCTTTTTTGTTATATTTAAATGCACTTTAATATTTCTGCTAAGACCCTCGCTATTAGTATAATGACTTTCTCAAATTTATTTTGAGTTTATATAGCCTTTATCTCTCTTTATCTCTTTGTTTTCATCGATGCAGCTTAATATTTGATAATTTTATTTAATACAAAAAATTAGGTTTTTATCAGACATTTGCCATTTTGCCCAATTTTTTAGGCTAAATTAATAAAATTTAAGACAAAATCATTCTATTGAGATTTGAGCACCTTATTTCAATATGAAGCCTGGAGCTGGCTGCTTACTGCTATAAACTAGAGCTAAATTGGAAAGTGAGTGAATATAAATTATTCTAATTAGATTATTATTGAGGAGGTGGATTTGCTTCCAAAACCAAAGATCCAAGCTCTTCATCGACTACTAAAATTGCAAATCGTTCAGCTTCTGATATCTTATTAACATTTAGCGACACATAATCAAATTTTCCTTTTATATCTGTATACCCATCCTTATAAAACTTAATATCTCCGATTTTCTGCTTTACAAACACTTTTATATAAGCTCCTGCTATCGGTGCCAAATTTTCATTCATAATTTTAATAATCCCATACCTCTCAATCAAATTGAATTTTAAATTCGCAGAAAAATGAGACTTCGACACTGTATACACGCCATAATCAATTTCAATAACAATATTTTGCCCTATAAGCAGCTCAGGAATTTTTATTTTTGCTTCTCCATCATCTTGCAAATTTATTTCTATATCAAAATATGGCTTAACGTATTTAAAATGTTGAGAATTTCCAATGAAAAATGGATTTTTTGAGAATAAGATTTCTAAATCAACTCGATAAAATCGGATTTTGCATGCTTTAACCCATTTGTACTGCAGACTTATGTAATCTTTTTCTATAGAAAACATCAATGTAGGCTCTTTTTCTTGAGGGTCAAGTATAGAAATATCTTGGTCTTGAGTTTCTCTTGAAAATTTGGCTGCTTCGTTGAATAATTTTCTCCATGATTCTATTGGATAATTTTCATATAAAGCTGATATTATGGGCAGCATTTCAGGGTCAAAATAGCAGCAAAAGTAATCATATTGGATTTGCAAATATGATGAGCCAGGCTTTTCAGTTGAAGGATGGAGAGGGATTGTGCCAAAAATTTCTTTAGCTTCAGAAATGCGGTCTTGGTAAGCTAAATATTGGACAAAGCAGAGTTGATCTGAAATATCAAGGCTTCCTTTTTCACATATCATATTTAATAGAAAATATAATTTATAATGATTTTTTTTCCTCTATATTCGCTGCTGATTATTTGCAAACAGAGATTTCATTATACATAAAATGGTATATAGTAATTCTAAAAAGGCTCTATAAGAATTTTTAAATTCTATATTGGCTATTCTTGGATTTTTCCCCAATTTATGGGCTCTTGTATTTATTAATGGATCATACTCTAAATGAATGTAGTCTCCTTTGTCAGTTGTTATTATTGATGAATCAAAAAATCGCCCAAGCTCTGTTGAAATCTGCTTGTTCATGCTCATTAACTCACGAATAATGCTAATATCGTTGTGAAAAATCCCGAAACTTCAAATTTCGGCAAAATAATAATTTCTCTGCTTTAGAATTTCAATAGTTTTTTTCCAGAAAATTTCGTCTTTCAGCATTCAGCAAAAATCTTTCACGTTGAATTCTTTTGTTTTTATGAATATTCTGCATTAGTATAATGCTGATTATCAATATTTATTATTAATCAATTTAAATATAAAAAAATCTATTATGCTAATAATACCATTAAGTACCCATAAGTATAAATTTTCAGCTCTCAAGAACTCCAAAATCATATCTTTTTGTCCAGTCAAAGCCAAATCTTTAAAGCTTGTAAAATTTGATATTGCAACTTTTTCATGCACAAGCAAATTAGATGGCTCACATTTTGCTATAACTTTGTCCTTATATGAAGCACTACCTGGATAATGAGTAAATTGCCCACTATAAGGGAAATAAAATAAATACTCATATGTTTTTGTATAGAAATTTTCAATATTAAAAATTTCGCTAGTGTAGCTCTTTGGCGGTTTTATAGGGATGCTACCTTGAGGAATTTCTGTAAAAAGATCAACATTAATTTCCCATCCTGTAGTATTGGTAATTATTACTTGGCAGCCATATGTTTTTTGCTTAATCTAAATGGTAACAATTGATTGAAGATTATTTAAGTTTTTTTTTAAAAAATATTTTCATTAAAAAAAAAATTGCCTATCAAGAGTTAATAAATTCAGTGACTATTTTATCTTTTTTCCCAAATTCATTCTCTGTATATCTATCAGCTGGATCAAAATATTTATGCCTCATCAATATTGGATCATAATTTTCACTCGGTGTAGCCACAATTTCCTTATAGAAAATCAAAAAGTTGCTATTGGATTTAAAGGAAACTGAATTTCTAGATGTTGCAGTTTCAATAGGATTTTCAATTAAAGGAAGGTCTGTGAATGCTAATGAACTTATTAATTCTGTAAGAGTCCTTGTAGTTGCTAGCACATCTTCACTCAAAACATATGGCTTTTTATTAAGAATTGATAATGCCAAATCTGACCAAAATGGACTATTTTTGACTAGCTCTTTATTTTTGTTCAAATTTTTAATCCCATAGTAAAAAGTTTCGCAAAATTCTTTGACTTCTGGAGGATTTTTATAATAAACTGGAATATCTCTTCTAGCACTCATAATATTTGCTTTTTCTTGTATATCTTCTTCATCTTCATTTTCTTCGTCTTCTTCAGCGCTGCCAAATTCTTCTTCTTCTTTAGGGCTACCAGATGGAGAAGCAGGTGATATATTTTCATCCACCTTATTAGAATCAAATCTCAGCGCCAGCTCGATTCTTTGCTTTCTCACGTTATACTCAACTGGTAATGAGTCACTTTCATTTTTTAATAATCTAGCCAACTCTTCTGCAAATAATGGATTTTTTTCAACATTTCTCTCAATAAGCAGAACTTTTTCAAGAGCATTTAAATTCGTGATTTTATGAATATCCATATACTCATCAAGATTTTCTGATAATAAATATTTATCAATAAAATCTTTCTCCATTTTGCATCCCAAGAAAGGGGCAATTATCTCATCAAAAAAGTTTGTGTCTTTTTTATATATATATAAAGTGCTTTAATATAATCTAGGCTGCGAAAAAGATAGACCCAAATTGTGCATAATAATATAGATCTTACTTTATTTTATAAAATTTGATTTAATTTTTGGCGCTATAAAAATAGATTCAGTTCATGAGATACGAATTTATCGTAAATTTCAAGTTTTTTTGCTAATTTTAGATTTTGCCACTTATCTAAAAAGCTTCATTCGTCATAATCTATTCCTCAATCACTTGAATTCTTCACCATTGCTAGTTCTCTTAAGGTATCTATTTTTATTATGTAGATTTAATATTATAATATATATATTATTATTGCTCAATATTATCAGCTCTTTTTGCAGATGGTAAAGTTTAGAAATTGATGAAATAATTTGATAGATTGAGAAATTGTTTATTGTAATTATTTCTCCTGGATATGCAGGTCTGCATTGTATTTGCTCTGAATAGTACTGAGTTAAATCCAATACTGATTGATGCTGAAGGGATTGCATTTGAATTTCTGCTTGAGGTATTGTTATTAATCTCACAGAAGTGTTGTCTCCATTAGTTGCGATTAATAAAATATGTGGATACTTATAGTCTTTTAATGGAATAGAAACTGTCCCATGCTCTGAGACGGGAGAAAACACCCATTCTGCAGCGTATTTTAAGAAATCAATTGCAGGCTTCTTTGTATAATTGATATTAATTGTTTTTCCTAACTCCCCCCTCCGTGAGCGTACAAAACCATTGGAAAAATCCCTATTTTTTGCCCAAAAACCCACCCTTCGTGAGCGAACAAAAATTTTTATGAAAAAAAAATTTGATATATAAGTGATAATTATTATAACGAAATCTCTTAGCTAATTCTGTTTCATTTAAACAGCTTACATTTTAAAAACTATACATTGCAAATTAACAAATTTGATTTATTATAAATTTTGAAAAAAAAAACTTAATAAAATTTATATTTAAAAAAAAATAACCCTCTCCGTGAGCGAAAAGCCATTTTCACGGAGGGGGGAGCAAGTTATCCATATAAGCATAAAGATCAGAAGAAGAATGTCCGCATTTTTTTCTGGCTCTGCTTGCCAATCCCTTTCCTCCTTTTGTAGCCATATAACACCTATCCCCATGCTTAGCAATTTGATTTTCAGTGTGAGTTTCATTTCTCAACAATCTTTTTAAAAGCAATTGAGGTTTTTTCAATCCTATTCCAACATCTTTGGGTTGGTATTTTCTATCAATTATATATCTGTATTCTTCATCTAAAAATTCGCTATTCTTATATATAGACTTTTTTTTTGAAAAATTGTATGTCTTGCCAATTTCACCTAGCAAAGCACTGACTCTCTTCCTTTGAGGTTGAGTTATATTTTTGCTCGCTTACAAAGATATGGTTAATTTTGTTTTTAATAAATATTATATTAAAAAACTATTATAGTATATAATAATTTTTTCATCAAATTTAAAAAAAGTATATATAGCTGTCTACAATTATAGTCATTATTATAAGAATCATTAATATATATAAATATTTTATCATAAAAGATCATAATTCTTTTACTTGCTCTTAAAGGCGCCTATTATCCTATATAATAGTATTTCCTTATGGTTTCTTCTTTTTAAAGGGGAGTGAGGTTATCAAAGACGTCAGCATTCTCATTAAAAATATAATTTGAAAAAAATGCATAAGTGTTTGAGTTTTGTGAGTCTCCTAATAAATTTACTTTTAACTGATTATCCTTGATTTCATAAGCGCCAATACTTAGAGTTCTATATTGCTTTGGAGTTTTTACAGCATAGTGGTCAGTTAGAATAAATTGATTATCCAACAAATGAATTCCGTCATGAACTTCAATATCAATATTAAATTGCAGGATGCTGAATATTTAAGATCTCTGCTTCCACAGGCGATTTTCTAACTCCCCCTCCGTGAGTGAACAAAACCATTAGAAAAATCCCTATTTTTTGCCAAAAAATCCACCCTCCGTGAGTGAACAAAATTTTTTTAATAGAAAAATTTTATGGGAAAATGTTGATATATAAGCAATAATTAGTATAATGAAATCTCGAGCTAATTCTGTTTAATTTTAAACAAATTGCGTTTTAAAACATAAATTTTACAATTAAATTAATATTTGCTTTCCAATTTTTATAGAAGTGAGATTTTTTTTAAATTTCGAAAAAAAAAATTTATAAAAAATTCAATTAACCCCCCTCTGTGAGTGAACAAATTTTTTTGTTCACTCACGGAGGGGGGGGGAGTAAGTAGCTTTTTAGATTTGTGTGGTGGCCCAAGCGAATTTAGTTGGTTTCCACCTCTGGTACCTCTGAACCCCTGGTATCTCGGATGCTTTTTTGGGTCCACCATTTCCAATTCAGTCGCTTGCCTTTATTATGCCATCTACTGTGTCAAACACCTAGCCAGATCGCCGCATTAAAGGAATCTATATAGGAGTGCCCCTCTTGTCTAATTTGTCTCCTCTTTTTCAGTCTATCGCTAGAAAAATACTCAACCGCTTACTCCCCCTCTCCGTGAGCGAACAAAACTATTGAAAAATCCACTCTCTGTGAGTGAAAAAAATTTTTTGATATATAATGATAATTAGTATAATGAAATCTCTCTATTGATCAAATTAATTATAAAATATAAATCTTAAAAATTAAATTTCGAAAAAATATATATATAAATTTTTAAAAAAATAGCATCCTTCGTGTGCGAACAAGGTTTTTTGTTCGCTCACGGGGGGGAGTTATGCGATTCAAGGCAAACCACTGCTCCATCTCATGTGTCCACAGGCTGCACTACTGTCAAAAAGAATTCTCAAGTAATGCCCATAGAATTCAGGCCACAAAACAGAGGATTCGTGCTTTAGTCCCTCACCTTTGGACACCAGATATTGCTGAACCAACTCACAGCTCCAAAAACCATGCCTGCATATGCATAGGTAGCTTTCTCTGAGAGGACATGTGAACATCACTCACCATTTTATGTATATTCAATATCAATATAATTTTGATTAATTTTCAAACGAAATCTTCCTATTGGTAAGCCTCGTAATCATATCATTGATTTTCCATAATCAATTTCTATATAATTTGTTAAATCATCAATAACGGTTCCATTATTCATTTCTGTGAGGCTGACTCATACAAGGTGCACATCTCTTATTCCATTAATATCAAAAGGCACTCCAAATTCGTCTCCTTGGCAGAGATTAATTTTGCAGGGATAATTTATCTTGCAAGTGAAGTCATTTATCTTTCATAGAAAGTTTTGGCAGTCTTGGTTGATATTTATTGACGCTTTAATGGCATAAATATTTTTTAGATCGCCTAGATAAGCATTTCCTGTTTCATCTGATATTAAAATTTCTGTTTTAGTATCTGTTCAATACCTATGTCTTAAAGTCAGTTCAATTTTTTGCCAAGGCAAAAATTCTCCATTTCTCCCCCTTAATTCTATTTGATAGCCTTTCATTCCATATCTCAAATAAGCACCATAAATATATTCAGATTCCGATTTTTCCTTTATATTCATTTCAAATTTTTCTTCGAGAGAAACTTTATTTTTGTTGATGATGCTTTCGATTTCTCCTGAAAAGCTGATAAAAATTTTTTGCAAATTTGAGGGGACTATGAAGTCAAGATTTATTAGGGAGTTTTTTTTGGGAATTGAAAGATTTTCATGCACCTTAGCTATGCTTATCGAAAAAGTACACCCTAATTCTTGAAGGAGCACCACCTTCCCTGGCCTTCAATTTTCACTATATGGAAGGTTGCTTCTACCTGACAAGGGCCTACACTCATTACTCACTAGTCAGAAGATTTATGTATCTGTGCCGCACGCCATCATAGATTGTCTGGGTGAAAATTCGAAATGGCTCTACTTTCTGGTCGACTTTTGGCAAAAATAGAAATCTGAAGCCTAGGGCGTAACTCCTTATCTGAAGCTGGAAAATGTTCCTGATTGGCCAAAAAACTCACTTTTGGCACTGCTGGGATCTCTATTTTCAACTTCGGCTCCATTTTCCGATAAGAAACAGCTTGACACAAAGTGAATTTATAATGATCAGTCGGCGCTGCTATGAAAAACTAGTTGCACAATCTCGAGTACCAATTTCCCTTCTTCAAGATCGCATAACCTTGTGAGATATATCGGCTACATGAATTAATACGACAACGCATATAGATTTTCATATACAGATGAAGATGTGCAATTATCAAGATCCACAGTAGATATTGTCGCTTTGCAATTTGTCAATAAAGAATTTAAAGCTTTTACATCATTTATGTAGAGTCTTGGCTTTATAGAAATTGTGATCTTCTTCTTGCTTATAAATTGTTCTTGATTTACAAAAAAGGCTGCCTTTAGTTTATAGTTTTCACTTAAATGTTCAAATCTTTGAATTAATTCACAAATTGTCCCATCACTTATTATTATATTTTTTTCAGACATTTGGTTTGCAAAAGGCACGAAAGCTTGACCTTTTTCATTTTCTGTAGAATAAAACCTTCCATCAACAGTCACACCTGACCCAGGATTTTTGCATATTTGGTTATTTTCGTCCAAAATCATAAATAAATGTCCTGCATCGGTGATTTTTGAAACATATTTCAAAAATCCTTTTTTAATGATCGTCCTGCAGCATCTGCCGTTTCCAATAAATTCAATAACAAAGATTCCACATAAATCCGTGATTTCTGGGAACTCAAACGTCCTTTTAACACGAATTAATGGTGAATCATTAAACTCATAAATAATTTCATGCTTTGCTAATAAGCCATCTAGCTCTATAGATTGATCAATTTCCATATTTTTTTCTAAATAATAGGACTTTGTATTTATTTCTAGAATTTTGACTAAAAGTTTTGTTATATTTTTGGTAATTAATGAGAATTTTATCAATTGATTTCTCTCAAATAATTTTGGATTTTCTCTGCATGGCTCCAGTTCAATCAATTCTGCAATTTTATTTATTTCGGCTTGTGGTAAATTTTTGCTATAATTTAATAAAGATTCCCCAGACAAAATTTTTGCTCTAGCAAACTGTGCTCTAATAAAATCATTTGTGAAAAATTCTTCATATTCTTTGAAATCCACCCTATTTTTAAATATTTCTTCTAAATATTGCTCTATAAGCTTTTCTTCATCGGGAAGACTTTTCATATGATAATAAAAACGACCATTATGATCTCATTTTGGGTTATTCTTGTATATTAAGGGGGTTGGTCTATGATTATTTAAATATTTAATAAATAAATCTTCATCATAAACACCAAATCTCAAGTTTAATTTCAAAATGCTAATGTTAAATTATTATAGATTAGCTCTAAGCCAGCCATGCTGGCTTTCACACCCCTTATTTCGTTCCAGCCTCTTGTTCGCCAGTCTGATTGCACAGCCTAAAGGCTATGTCACTCCTCTCTGATGAAGGCATGCGCTCGCCACCCTGGATCACCGTGCCGTATTACCCTTTCCGAAAATTATAAAAGCAAATTTACTGGTCATATTGGTCTGAATGAAGCTTGCAGTCCAGGGCGCAGCTCCAGTATCGTGCTTGGTAATTACCTGATTGGGCAAGCGAATGCCCCCTGGCCTTGCAGGACTATCCCTTTCTAGCTTCCAAGTTCCATCTTCTAGAAGTAAAGCCTTGCCCTAGATGTAAGCTTGGGAGGTTAACCCGACATTGCATTCTACCAGACCAAGAAAAGCTCATCCAGATGCTTTCACAACATACTGCTCTCCTTCTTTTATTTTCTAGACTCCCATCTGACTGCAAGCACTAAGGGACAGGCAGTATCACCACTGAGTTTTGATTTTTTCAAAATGCTAATCAAAACAATGCTTTTTATTTGATTTATGTTTTCAGAATAATCTTGAATCTCAAATCACACTTTTTTATAAATTTCTAATTTATTTCAAGCATCACTTTTATCTATCTTATACAAATATTTCTTCTCAAAATAGCATAAAACAAATTCAACATTTTTAGCTATCTCTTTATGCAATTCCATAAGTTTATTTAGCTGACTAACACTCATTTTTTTAAACCAATCTATTGAATAATTTTCTCCGTTATCAAGGACTTCTGCGAATTTTTCTGGGACTCCAGGAATATCATGAAGATAAGGCATTTCTCTTGCAAAAATTTGAAAAACTGCTATTGTCATCTGATTTGCGTTTAGACATTGTTTGCCGTCACTATCGAGTATAGAATAAATTTTCAGCTCGCGGTGAGCCTTTGATAAATCATTTTCAAATAGTTTTTCGTTCAAATGTGAACTATACTCACTCCCCCCCCTTTAAATTGGAACAAAGTATAGGTAAAATTTCCACTTTTTTGTAAATTAACCCCCCTTTAAATTGGAACAAAATTTAATTTTATAATAAAAAATTATATATAATTTTTATATAAAAAGTTTTGATATAAGTTAAATGTTTCTTCTTAACTAAAATTAAAAATTAGTTATAGCTTACTCTTGTTTAAAGAAGATAGTATAAAGAGCATCTTATTTAAATAAATTTATTCTCCTTAATTGCTAAATTTTAAAAAAAAATTACTTTTTTTTTTTAAAAATTTTTAAAAACATTTTTAATTGTTTTTGATAAAAATGATATTTTTTATTTAAATAGTTTTGATATAAATTCAATGCGAATTCTTTATAACATTTCAAAACTTACTTATCTCTTGCTTTATTTTAAAGAATAGAGTATAAATAGCATCTCATTTAAACAAAATTAGTGCTTTGATCGATAAATTTTCTAAATTTTGTTTTTTTAATTTTTTTTATCAAAAAAAATAATAATTTTTGTGTAAATAATTTTTGATACCAATTAATAGTGGCGTATTAACTAATAATGAAAAATTTAGTTATATCTTGCTTTTTTTAAAGGATAAAGAGTAAATAGCATTTTATTAAACAAATTTATTAATCTAATTCGGTAAGCTTTTGAAATTTTTTTTTTAAAAAAAAAAATTAACCCCCCTTTAAATTGGAACAAAATTTTTGTTCCAATTTAAAGGGGGGAGTCAGAATTCTGGGGTTTTTCAGCTAGATCTGGAATTTCATAGTCAAATTTATAATGAAAATATTTATCGTTAAGTTTCTTTATGATTTTTGATTTTTCAGTAGAATTCGTAGAATGTTCAAGGCTCTTTATAAGCTGCCTTAATTCTAAAGTGCTATGGAAGCTTGGCTTAAGCTTTTTAAGTTCTTTTAACTCTGCTTTAAATTTAGGTGATTTAAATTGGCCTGATTTCAGCAGCTTGTTTGCTTTTAGATACTTTCCAAAAGGGCTTGTAGGTGGAAACGATTCAAGAGCTAAATCTTTATCATTAAGAATAAGGTAATTTTCTAAGGCAATTCGTTCGTCTTCGTCAGACATATTTTTATTGGTGTTTGTGCATAGCAAATATGTAAACAAATCAATTTAAAGGCCATTACAAGATTTTATATGACTTTAAAAATTATGGCATTTTAATTTACTATTGATTAAATTTCTTATATTAAAAATCTATTTTAATTTTAGAGGCAATAATAAATCTAATCAAATTTATAGATAATCCTTATTTTATGCATCACCAAGCTATATCTTTCTCAAATAAAAATATCATAAATCCTTACAAAAAAATACCCTAAATTATCCTAAACAATTCTAATTCAACACTGGCTATAACACTAATATTTTCAAAAACAGAATTATAACTAATTAATTTATGAATCTTCTTTATTCTTCAACTTCAACATACATAAAGGTATTTGAGCTTGGGATCACTGTAACAGCATTGCTATCACTATCATCTATTTCATCTGCCCAGTCCTCTAAAAGAGCAAGATAAGCTTCAGCTCCTTCAGTTGTGACATCATATCCATTAATAGTGATATACTCTAAATCGTTATCATCCAAATAGTCAATGACGTCTTCTAAGAACTCAATGAAATCGTCCACTGTGTCTTCAGTCATTGTAAATGTGCCATCTTCATTTGAAATTAGATCGTCTATAATATCATTATAATCAGCTTGTAAGTCAAGCTCGTCTTCTTCATGATAAACCTTTTCTCCAGTTGCCAAGATTACGGTGGCGCCTTCTGCATCTTCATCTTCAAGTTCATCAATAAAGTCTTCATTGGCTTCTATTTTTTCGTCTAAATCGGCTGCTGTAAATGTAGTGGTGCCGAGGGTTATGGTGCCGTCTTCTGGGAGGACGTCAAGAACGTCTTCAATTTCGTCAATTTTGTCTTCAGAATCCTCAATAGTGGTAGTAATATAGCCAGTTTCAGCTTGGGCAGCGAATTCATTGTAGATTTCTTCAAGATCTTCAGTTTCATCTTTAAGGTCAGCTTCATCTTCGTCAGCGTAGACAATAGAGGTTGCGCTTTCTGACTTCCCCTCCGTAAGTGAACAGAACCATTGGAAAAATCTGTTTTTTTGCCCTAAAACCCACCCTCCGTGAGTGTACAAAAATTTTTTTATTAAAAAAAATTGATATATAAGTGATAATTAGTATAATGAAATCTCGAGCTAATTCTGTTTAATTTTAATTAAATTGCGTTTTAAAACATAAATTTTATAAATTAAATTAATATTTGATTCCCAATTTTTGCAAATAAGGATTTTTTTTTAAAAAAATTTCGAAAAAAAATTTTTCTATAAAATTTATAGAAATTTTTTAAAAAATAAATTAACCCCTCTCAGTGAGTGAACAAATTTTTTTTTCACTCACGGAGGAAGGGGAGTGAGTAGCTGGCTTCGACTGCGTCGTTTTCATCATAAGTTTTGACTAATTCATCAACGTCATCAACGAGAGCTTCAACACCTTCAGAGTCTAAGGTCAATTCTCCGACTGTGATGGTATCTGTTTCACTCATTAAGTCTAATACATCTTCTAAGTCTTCTTGTAAGTCTTCAGCTTCTTCATCAGTAAGAGAGCTGGTAGTTCCATCTTCAAGATGTTCATTATAAACGTCTTCTAAGTCTTCGACTTCTTCATCGAGGTCTTCAATTCTATCTGCTTCATCTTCTACAAAGTCGCCTTCAGCGATTTCATAAGTGCCTGTTGACAAGTTGACTTTGACGAGGTCGTCACCGTCTTCTTCAATATCATCAAGCATGTTTTCTAAGCTGACAAGAAGCTCGTCTACATCACTAGCTGTGAGGTTGGCACCAAGGACTGTGCTAACTGTTTCTCCTTCTTCTAATTCTACGTCTTCAAGCCAGTCTAATAGCTCTTCGACGTCTTCATAGTCTAAAAGAACGTAGGTTTCATCAGAAGCTTGGACTTCATTTGCCTCTTGGATTTCTTCAGCTTCATCAAGAGTATCATCGTCAGCTAGTACAATTTCGTCATCATCAGTAATTAAGATAGCATCAGCATCATTTTCATCAATTTCTTCAAGAGTTTGTTCAATTTCAGCATAGTCTTGTTCGATTTCTTCATAAGTGTAAGTTACTCCACTTATTTCAATAGTCGATTCAGGGTCCATGTTTTCAACGATAACTTCATAGGCGTCAGCTACGTCTTCAAGGGTATCTTCGTCAATGATTTGTACATCTTCGCCATATTCGTCATATGCATCATTTTCGATATCTTCAAGTTCGTCAACGGCATCTTCTAGTTCTTCTAGGTCTTCTTCTTCATCTTCATCAAGATCTTCTGTTTCTCCAGTTTCTGTTGGGACTAGAATATTGGTAGTTGTGGACTCTGCTTGAACCTCATCTTCGTCAACTTCATCGACATCAGCTTCATCTTCGTCGACTTCATCGACATCAACTTCATCTTCGTCAACTTCATCGACATCAGCTTCATCTTCGTCGACTTCATCGACATCAGCTTCATCTTCGTCAACTTCATCGACGTCAGCTTCATCTTCGTCAACTTCATCGACATCAGCTTCATCGACTTCATCTACATCAACCTCGTCTGTGTCGACTTCATCAACATCAGTGACTTCATCCTCATCCGTATCAATGACTTCTTGATTTACCAAGTATCCTTCATCTTCAATATCTTCTACCATCTCATACTGGTCTTCACTTATATATGAAACTGTTTGGGTTTCCACATTATAAGTAACTGACTCTGCGTCTTCTTCGTCAAGATTATCAATTAAGGCTTCTGCGTCTTGAATAAGCCCTTGGATATCTTCTTGTGTATATGTCTTTTCTCCCACTAGGACAGTGTCGCCTTCTTCTAACAGTTCGTCGACATCTTCTAAATCGTCAATTAAATCTTCAAGGTCGTCTTCAGTCTTTTCGATTTGTCCTTCAGCGATTTCTTCTTGGGTTTCATCATAGTATTCTTGCAAGTCAGCGACTTCGTCAGTGAGTTCTTCTCTGTCTTCTTCACCTTCTTCAATGTTATCGCCATCATAAATGGTATAAGTCATGGTGGTTGTGTCAATGGTGACAAGGTCTCCGTCATCCATATCTTCACTGATGTCTTCTAAACTGACAATAAGTTCATTGACTTCTTCAGCAGTCTGGTCTTCTCCTACAATAGTGTCCATAGTTTCGCCTTCTTCTAAGCCTGCGACAGCTTCAGTATAATAGTCAATTAACTCTTCAACATCGTCGAGGGTAAGGGTTACTGTTGTTTCAGTGGAGACTAAGACATCGTTGGCTTCATTAATCTCTTCGACTGTTTCTGCTTCGTCTTCATCTAAATAAAGTGGCCCCGTCTCTGAGAAAGTGACGTATTCTGCGTCGTTTTCGTCGAAGTCTTCAATCAGTTTGTCAGTGTTTTCAGTTGCAGCTTGGATGTCGTCATAAGTATAGATTTCGCCGTTAATTTCGACTGTGGAGTTTTCGTCGAGGTTCCAGAGGATTTCTTGGTAGGCTTCGTTTACATCTTCTAAGGTGTCTTCATCAAGCATAACATAGCCATTTTCAGAGTTTTCACCGCTGACATCTTCAAGCTCGTCAATTGCTTCATCTAATTCGTCAACATCGTTCATTTTTTCATCGGCGTCTTCTTCATTTTCATCTTCGATTTCGTCTTGGGTGTCTTCCATGCTTTCAGCAACGTCTTCGTCGTATTGTGCGCTATCTTCTTCCTCTTCAGCAGCTTCAGATTCTTCTTCTGTTTCTGCGGTTGGGATATAAGTTGCTGTTGGTTCTGCTTCTTCATCTTCATCCTCGTCTGATATTTCTGTTTGAGTCTTAATCTTAAATTACATTAATGAGGCGGCTGCCGTGTTGTTAACGCAGACACCAAGGACCTCGATGTGAGGTTCACCTGCTTTGCGACGTATTCCCAACAAGCCATAAAGGCTTGCCAAAGGGAAAAACGTCTACTCCTTCCACAGCGTGCTGCGGCTTAAGTCTTGAGTGGCCGGGCTATGGATTCATGCGGCTGCTGCATGAGTTACAGGAGTGGCTTTCCGAAATTCCAAAAAATGGAATTTCTGGTCACCTTTCGGCAAAAAGGTAAATTCCAAGTCCTGCGGCGTAACGGCCAGTTTAACGCTAGGTAGTTGCCGATTGGTCTAGGCATTGCCTGTAGGCTCTGCTGGGCTTACCCTTTCCAAGCTTGGACATCCTTTCCTCTCGAGGAGAAAATCCATTCTAGTCGTTGGGCATGTGCCAGGCTCTACTCTGTAGAATTGCTTACCATGGCATTGTTGCCCATTTCTGGAATGGCAAAACCTTGCCGGATATAATTAAAATATGAGTCGAGTATGTATGGCCGGGGGCCCATACCCAGACGAAGACGCCATATTTTCATTATGTTTCTGTTTGAGTCAAGGACCCTTCAACTTCAACTTCATCTTCGTCCTCATCTTCATCCTCATCCTCATCCTCATCAACGTCCTCTTCAGCAGCTTCTTCAGCAGCTTCTTCGGCAGCTTCTTCATATTCTTCGGCAGTTTCTTCATATTCTTCAGAGGTTTCATCAACATCTACTTCATCTTCATCTTCATCTTCATCCTCTTCTTCATCTTCATCCTCATCTTCATCTTCATCTTCATCAACGTCTTCTTCAGCTTCTTCAGTGGCCTCTTCTTGAGTTTCAGAGCTTTGAGCTGCTTCTTCTTCAGTTGCAGCCTCTTCTTGAGTTTCAGAGCTTTGAGCTGCTTCTTCTTCAGTTGCAGCCTCTTCTTGAGTTTCAGAGCTTTGAGCTGCTTCTTCTTCACTTGCAGCCTCTTCTTGGGTTTCAGAGCTTTGAGCTGCTTCTTCTTCGCTTACAGCCTCTTCTTGGGTTTCAGAGCTTTGAGCTGCTTCTTCTTCACTTGCGGCCTCTTCTTGAGTTTCAGAGCTTTGAGCTGCTTCTTCTTCGCTTGCTGCCTCTTCTTGAGTTTCAGAGCTTTGAGCTGCTTCTTCTTCACTTGCAGCCTCTTCTTGGGCTTCAGAGCTTTGAGCTGCTTCTTCTTCACTTGCAGCCTCTTCTTGGGTTTCAGAGCTTTGAGCTGCTTCTTCTTCACTTGCAGCCTCTTCTTGAGTTTCAGAGCTCTCTTCAGCGGCAGTCTCTTCTTGAGATTCAGCAGCGCTTTCTTCAGTTGAGGTCTCTTCTGAGGTTGTTTCTGTAAAAGTACTAGAATCCTCACTTTCTTCTTCTGTACTCGTATCAACTGATGACTCCTCAGCAGTTTGCTCCTCAGTTGAAGCATATTCTTCAGACTCAGCAGTCGTGGTCTCTCCAGTGCTTTCTCCAGCAGTTTCTTCTTGAGATAATTGAACGAAGATTTGGTTGTTATCTAATTTTTGCTGATTAATATCGCTTTTGATAGCTAAAGTTCCTTCGAAAAGTATCAAAATCCACAAGGCAATCCAAAGTTTCCTTGACATTTTAAAATATTACTATGCGTTTTCCAATAGACTAATGGCCTTGATATATTTTTTAGAAAATTTTTGATGGGTTTGAGGCACAAAATAAAAAGATTAGAAGGAAGTGGATAGATAGGGATTCCTATTTTAGAGGATGAGTTAATTAAGATAGTAAAAAATTGTTTTAATTAGAAAATTAATTATTGATATAATCGCAGTTAGGCATGATAAAATATAAAGAAGAAGTCTTTATAGGAATGGTAAAGTTTGATAGAAAATATAATAGACTTAGGGAATATGATAATTCCTTTAAGGGGTACGGAAATTAATAAAAATGATTTTTATTAAAAGTCATTGGTGCTTTCCAAATCCCAAACGATTTTCTGGAATTTTTAGTTAGTTTATTACAAGTATATTTTTTAATAAGCTAAGCTTAATTGTTATCTAAGTAATGCAGCCTTTAAGATTTATTTATAGGTGTTAATCTAGCCAAACTTTCCTTTTGTAAGGTTTTTACAGAATTTCTTTGCATTTATATTTAATATTTTTAATTTATAAAGTAGTTAACTATTTAGACAATTATAAAAATCTAAAAAATAAGAATAAGAGCCAAAATAAATATTAACTTTAATGTCTAGCTCGATAAATTGTTTCAAATGCATTATTCGGTATTAAATATATTTGATATTAGTAAATTTAATTGCTGGCCAACCCCAAAATATAAATATACTTTATATTATCACTAATTAAGTCCACTTATAAAATTAAATAAGCAAGAGATTAAAGACATTAATTATTATGAAGGTTGGAATAAAGTAATTACTGATTTTAAGTATAAAATAAAATGATGCAATGCTTGATTGATTGATTTTATAATTATTAAATAGAAATTTCGTTCTTTTAGTCAATGAGTTATACTCTGTATCTTAACTCCAAGCACTCTTCAAGCTCAATTTAAACTCCGTGTTAGCTTTTCCATTTTGGCTTATGATTTTTTTTACCTGTATTGGTGAAATATCTCCATTAGGATCAATAATCAATTCAGATTTATCGTCAGTTAAACTGCTACTAGAGTTTTCTTGTTTTTCTTTAAGCAACACTGAAGAACTTATTTTTTTCCTAATTTTGGGTTCTTGTTCTTCCTCACTCGAGCTTATGTCTGAATATTCTTCTAAATGGATTTTTGGTCTTCTAAGTTTAGGATTTAGATTTATGATATTTTCTTTATATTTTTTTTCACTATGTTTATTCAATATTGGCAAGATTTTGCTTCCAAGCTTTAAATCAGCCATTAATTGCCTAGCTACTATATCTACCTTTCCAGGAGGTAATCTAATAGGAGCTTGAGGAGGAGCTTTTATGCTTTGGCTTTTATCGTTACTGAAGCTGTGTGATTCTTCTTCAATTTCTGGAGCTTCAATTTTTGGGGATTTAATTTTAACGGGTTTTTCTTCCTGTGCAGCACTATCTATACTATCTTTATCTTTTATTTCGCTGGAATTCTCACTTTCCTCTTCCTTTTCACTTTTGTTGGCCTCAAAAGAATTTGTTGATTTTTGGCTTTTTGGTTCAGAATCTTCGGTGTCTAAAGAGGAAATTTTTAAGGATTTTCTCTTAATTCTCTATTTAATATCTAGCACTTATTTTGTTTGATATTAATTGGTATGATTTATAAAATTAAAACTTACGATAAATAGAGGATGTGCCAAGAAAAAGCTTTTAGAATGCAAATATATTGCTTTTGTTAGCTATTATATGTGGAAAATTAGCCTTTTTACTCATTTTTGGGTCTTTTTTTGTTATTCCAATATCATAACTTTCCCAGCATTCTTTTTTGACATTCCAAAATGCAAATTTAGGAAAGGAAATAAATATTGGACTACTTGTGGAAATAATTGCTGGGTAACCCTCTGATAATTCAAAGCTTAGTGGTTCTAAATTTTTTGACCCAATATCTGCTTCTGCTATATTTACAACATAGACTTGAGAATTTGATTTTCCAGTATTTGGATCATGCCCACCGGCAATAATAACTTTATCACCATCAATCCCACAAGCTGGCTTGGCTGCCTTAATAGCTAACTTAAAATTTTCCTTTACAAACTCAAGAGAATCCAAATTTAAACTGTAAACATTTTTATTCATCTTGATCTTGCCATGAATATTGACACTATGACCACCAATAAAGAAAATCTTTTTACCATATAAAAATACTCCAGGCAATATAATATCGCTTAATGGAAAATTTTTGTCATATTTTGGACTTATTTTTCCCTCGTCTTCTTTTTCCATCACTTTTTTTGGGATAAACAAAGTGACTTCACCGTTTTTTTCTGAGATTTCTAAATATTCCCAGGAATTATTTTTAATACTGTACCTCATTAGAGGCGCTGGCTCTTCATTGAGATAATAAGCTTCGTCTTCAGCTTCTATAAGCCCACCGGTATAGTAAACAAAGCCATTATGCTCAATCAATGTTCCTTCTTTGGCTGGAATTGGTAAACCGCATATATTATAGAGTCTCATCCCGTCAATATCAATAATGAAAGCATCATTGGTAAGACAGGAAGTAGAATCAGTGCCACCTGCAAGCATAATCCTTGTTTTTGATAAATAGCCAATTGCTGATTCAGTATGAAGATCAAAAGGGTTTGGAATCTGGATTTTATTGATTTTTGCATCTGGGTGCAGTTGGAGTATTTTTTTGTTAAGTCTGTTAAGATATACCTTTTTGCAAAGAAAAAAGCCTTAAATTATCCATTTTTTTTTCTTTTTTAAAAAAATTCTTGTTTTGCATAGAATAAAAAAACTCAGGAACTTTTAAATCTCCTTTCTGCTGTCTCTTTTTCTGGGCTGCTACATCTTCCTTTGATATACACGCTCCCATTTTTAATTGAAATTACGGTTTTCATATAAATGCTTGATTATCTGATATTTTATATTTTTTTGTAAATTTATCAATTTTTTATCAATCAATAAATATTCCAAAGGAGAACTATTAATTTTACTATGCAATAAATTTTAAACCATAAGTCTTTAATAAATTTATGTTAAAATTCTGATATTAATGCAAATTCGAATAATCTTGTTTTCAATTATGACTATTTAAAATATCAGTGCTTTATACAATATGAAATTTTTAAATAATTGTCTTACTCTTCTCAATGAACTATGAAAACTCCATTTTTGAGGAAAATTCTTATGAGTAAGTGAGGAAAAAAATTTACTCTAAAATGTTTTCATATATAATGAAAATTTTTATCTAACCCTATTAGATTTTATAATTTTTTTAAAAAACTCAATCCTCTCTTTGAAAATCTTGTACACTCATAAATGAGATTAGGTTATTAAAGTCAGGTGCTAGCCATAAAGGTGGGGCAGATGCCAAAGACCTCCCGTATTAGGGGGTTCTACCGCTTTTCGACTCAAGCCTGGAGGTTTTTTTTTCCCCAAAGATGGACTGTTGCGCCAAGAGGGCAGGTTGACACGTGTCGCCATTTTAATGCATATCAATCATAAAGGGAGTTTATAAATTTCACCTAGTAAATGGAGAGAAGATATTTGGCTTTAAAATTTATTAAGTCTCATGACAAAAAATAATGATTTTCCATATATTGGACTGTCCTACTCAAAAATTCATTAATCATTTACCAAAACAGTTATAATTAATAAAAATCATTTTATAATGCCTGTTTCACTCTACATAGTAGCAAGCCACCAGAAAAATTATACGGTATAGCTCGAAATAGCCAGGATAGTCCAACTTTTAATAAATTCTAGCCCAAGAAAATCAGCAGCATAATTATTAAAGAATGATATCTCTCTAAGTTATTTTAAAGCCAGAACACTAGGCACAAATATTTAAGATTAATTTTAAATAATTTTATACGAAATAATTATCACCACACCAAAACCAACAATTTGCCATAATTTTCTATAGAGAACTATTATAATATTTAATGTTGCCTTTGGACATTAATAAGAACAGCTATTCAAACCTTTGCAGGCTTGGGATTAGGTATGCTGAGGCATATATGCCATGCGATGCATTCCAATGCTTCATTAAAGCTATCCATTTAGGCCTTGATAGAGGAGAAGCATGGATCAATCTTGGTATTTTATATGAAATATTCGACCAGTATGACCAAGCTAGAAAGGCTTATTTAGAAGCCAAAAAGATAAGAAGCACAATGAGTCTGGGAAGGTTAATGCTGAAAAAAGTTGGAACTTTGAAGAAAAAAGACCTTAAATTTGTGCACCCGTTGCAAGAGGACAAAGAAATTGCAAGAAAAATAAGGGGGAAAAGGCTGAGATTTGAAGATTTTGAGGAGTTAGGAAAACCTGGAAGAAAAATCCAGCTAAGAAGCGAAGATATAGCCCCAAAAGCATGCTCAGTTCTAAGCTTGAGTGAAATTCAGAGTCAAATAGAAACAACCGATTTTTCGATTTTAGAAGAAATTGCGAAATTTCTTTCGCCACTAAACTAGGAGTCGCCAATATATTAAAAACAATGTATTTAAGAGTTTTTTGTTAATTATTAAAGCTTAAATATTAGTCTGGCCAAGCTATTTTTATTCTGATTGCTTAATATTTTAATGATTTTAAATTGCTGTTGGCCAGCTAAAATGTCAGTAAATTAAGTATAAAAATATGGAATATGGGTGTTCTGATTGACAATATTTATAAAATTAATTTGAATTTAGATCATTGGTTTCAAAGGGTTTAACTAGTTGCATTTAACTTATCTAAATTAGATCAAGCTTTTCCTTAATCTCCAATTTTTTCGCCAGAATTGTTAAATTTTGACTCAAATATCAATGAAACAATAATTTTATATCAAAAAGACTTGATGGCCTATTTGGTTTGACGTTCTAGCCTAAAGATTATTGATAAAAATCAATTTTCTTATTTTAAGAGCATTTAAAATTCAAAAACTAAGTGATAAAGGAAAGAGAGTTTAAAGACCTTTTAATCGTTGAAATTTATTAAAAATAAAGATAAAATAGATAGGAAGGCTAAAGGCATTTTTAAATTAATATAGTAATGGGAAATCAAGTAGGAATTGATATAGGGCCTGTTTATATCAGAATTGCAGTACTAATTCAAGAAGAGTGTAATAATTCTTTATCATCTTTTTATCTCCAAACACATTTTGGAGTTATTTATACCTCTATTAAGCAATTCAATTTTAATTTCAATTTTATTAATAAAGGCTAAATTGATTGTAAAATATAATCAATTTTCGTATTTATTTACCATAAAATCGGAAATAATAAGCCAAGCTTCATTTTAAAATAAAATTTACATCTTCTCATCTTTTAAGCTAATTAAATGATAGTAGCATATATCAAATTGCAATAAATAAAACTATCGCTACTAGCTTAGAGCTATTTTATTGCTTCACAATAACAGTATAACTGCTAATAATATGTATGTTATATTCACTGATAATTGATATATACTATTTCAAGCTTCTCAAAGAAGAGTACCGTTCCTTTGAATCTTTTCCTATATATGAAAAAATTATTAAACACAAAAATAACTAGCATGTCTTTTGTCATGATTTTCCATTTTCTGATATTTCATCAATTCCATTTTGTTACAATTTTTTTCTAATCAGCAACTGCCAAAAAAATTATTTTTCAGCCAAATTTCTTCCAACAAAATTTTTTATACTCCGAAGAAATTTCTGTAAGAGAAAATGTCCCTAGAAAAAGACAAATAGCCCAAAAATATCCCCATCACTATCACAGGGATGAGATTTGATGGAATGCATCAAACTATTAGCGACTATTACGACTTTACATATAACTCTGTTGTAACAAGCCAATGCATTTCCAAAGCTCTGGATACTCTCAATACATTATCTCTCAATAGCTTTTTCTACTATGGAGGATCTTGCACCAGAATTAATGTTATCCACCGCGGCCAGCCTGAAAACACCACCAAAATCCCAATATCATCCAGCATTTATCCTTGTTTAATAGTCAATGTCAGAGAAGGTCTCAGCATCTACAAGTTTTCATCCCCAGACTCTTGTGAAAAAGTAAGCGGAACAAGTATAGGCTCATCCACCTTCTGAGGACTCATAAAACTCTGCACAAACTATAAAACCCCTGAAGAAGCTATAGAAGAAGCTGCTTTAGGTGACAATGGGCAAGCTGATTTAACTGTTGGGGATATCTATGGAGGAGACTACTCCAACATCGGCCTAGGAGCTGACATTATAGCTTCTTCTTGTGCTAAACTTACGACAAAAATTGCAAATCAAAGGGATTTAGCGAGATCTTTGTTGGTGATGTTTGCTTATAATTTGACTCTGATTGCTTATATGGTGTCAAAGGTAGAGATGATCGAAAATATTGTGGTTATTGGAAATGCGGTAAGCCCACCTTTGTTTATGCATAAGGCGCAGGAAAGTGTGAATTTTTGGTCAAGAGGAAGTGGGAAATTGATTTTCTCAGAATATGGAGCGTATATGGGAGCTCTTGGAGCTTTACTTCAGAACAATTAAGCGTTTAGAATTGCAATTATCTTGTTAAAATTAATAGAAAATTATATCAGATGTATATTTAATGAACTATGTTAAGCATCCAGTAGCTAACTTTAAGTTATTTTTATTTAATTGTAGAAAATTAGAAATCTGGTATTTTTTACACTCCCCCTCCGTGAGCGGACAGAAAAATTTGCTCGCTCATGAAGGGAGTTAAATTTTTTTTAAAAATTTGTATATGAATTTTAAAGAAATTTCTTTAAAAATTTAAAAAAAAAAAATTTGAAATAGATTGAAAACAAATATTAATTGAATTTTAAAACTTATGGTTTAAAATTCAAATTGTTTAAAATTAAACAGAATTAACTAGAAATTTCATTACAATAATTATCATTTATATATCAAAATATTTTTTCATAATAAAAAAGTTTTTGATCACTCACAGAGAGTGGGTTTTTGGGCAAAAAATAGGGATTATTCCAATGGTTTAGTTGGTTTAAGGAGAAGGGAGCTAGGATAATTTTCATGCAAATCTCGGAGTTTGGCATAATTGTCTTTTACTCAATTTTGAAATACTCTCACAAATAAAATGGCATTCGGTTCGAGAGAAATTAGCTTTGCTAATTTTCTCTCTCCCTCATGGAATTTTATTTATAGGGTTAGGTTTTCACTCGAGAACTTCTGGACAGCAACAGCGGTTTAACTTTGGGGATAACCAAAGGAACCACTCCTCAGTCCCCTCAAGATTTCGGGCTTTTACCTCTCAGCACATCCCCACGGGAGGATGACCCTTAGGCGGAACACGCGCAGGAGCTGAGTCGAGCGACAAGGCGACGGCAACGTGCCAGGTGAGACGTGCAGCAAGGCCGGTGAAGCAGGAGTTGATAGAAGGCTTGGACGGGGCTGACCCGTGCCAAGATGGCTCGCCTACGTCACTAGTTTTGCCATAGGCCCTTTTGGGCTGCGGCACTAGACACCTTAAACACCAGATAATTAAGTAAGTAAGTAAGTAAGTAAGTAAGAAATACTCTCACAGAGGAGATTTTATAGCGATATAAAGAAAATCAATTTCAATATATTTAATTGATTATTAATCCCTCTCTTTTAATTTGGAAAAAAATCTATTTTTTAGTAAATTAAAAAAATTTTAGATTGGAAGCATAATTTCTATGCTAAATAATAAAAATTGAAAACTTACTTATATTTTTTCTATTCTAAATGGTGGAGAGTAAGCAGAGCATTATATATTTATATAAAATAAGAAGAATATTATAGCGATTATTCTCCAAAAGTGTGCTTTATTCCAATTTAAGGGGCTTGGATATAACTAAAATTATTTAAATTATGATTTTTTTCTAAAATAATTTTATATTATGAAGAGTTAATTTTCCCAAATTCGGAATTCTGAATGATTTTGCTCGGTAATTAGAGGAGATTTAGATTATTCTTAAAATAAATATCATTTATTGATATCTATAGATGAGTCAATAGTCTTTAAGCCTAAATAATAAAAAAAATTCTTTTAAAAATAGATATTTTAATATTTTAGACTTTCTATATCAATTTTTTTACTTAAAAATTAAGACATTTTTTCCTTTATTTTTATATTTAAGTAATCTATTGGAATTTTTGAAAAAGTTTGGACTTGAACTTTACTTGGTATTTTTTCACCAGCAATTAAATATAAATTCCTCCTTTATTTTCTTGCTGTCTGGCTATTTTTCGGTTAACTGCTAAGTCATTTAAAAGATTAAAAACTAATTACTGTTATCACAAAAATTTACATAAATCTCTATATTAAGATTAATGATATATATATTAACGATTGAATTACCTTATAATACCCATAACTAAAATCTAAATCTTAGGCATAGCGTAATATAATATAAACTAGCATTATCAAATCCAACACAAAATATAATGCTTATAATCTAAATTAAAATTATTCTAACTCCCCCCCTCCGTGAGTGAACAAAAACCATTAGAAAAATCCCTATTTTTTGCCCAAAAACCCACCCTCCGTGAACAAAAATTTTTTTAATAGAAAAATTTTTTATGGAAAAAAAGTTTTAATATATAAATGATAATTAGTATAATGAAATATAGAGCTAATTCTGTTTAATTTTAAACAAATTGCTTTTTAAAACATAAATTTTGCAAATTGAATTAATATTTGCTTTCCAATTTTTGCGAATTAGGATTTTTTTTTAAATTTCGAAAAAAAATATTTTTTATAAAATTTATATATAAATTATTTTTAAAAAAAAAAATTAACCCCCCTCCGTGAGTGAACAAAATTTTGTTTTTCACTCACGGAGGGGGAGGAGTAAGCTTTAATTTCAGACTACTTTATTAAACTTGCAATATATAAATTTCTTATTCAATTTCTTTAAAATAAGCTTATAAATAACGACTAGCTATAATATGCCAACGATCTTAATACTTCACAAGCAGATAAATTAAAGTCTACTTCAGCTTGCAATCCAAATCTTTATTCTTCCTCTATAGTTTTAAACCTAAATTTCAAGTTTTTCAGCCAAACATCTCTTTATTATGAACAGTCTTGTCTGACTGATCCAAAATGAAATAAATTCTTCTGAAAAAAAGGAAATTCTATCAGATTATATCGAATAATATTAATTCCAGCTTACCAGCTTTATAAAAAACCCTTTCCTCTAAAAGAACTTTGTTTAACCGCCTATTGACCATTTTTCAACCTTCGTCATCACTTCTTCAGGTCTAAAAATCAAATATTCCCCTCAGTCTTTTAAAATTTCAAATTTTTCTCACCCTAATTTTCTGTTTTTATTTAAAAATATTTACTGACCAACCTTCTTTTCAACTTAAATCTAAATTTTAAATCAAAAAAATGCCTGATAAAATGAAATCTAAAAATCGCCGTTATTTCTATTACAAATTAATAAGAAATGACCATTTATATATAAAAAATAGGGTAATTCAATTATGAAAATATCTAATTAATTTTAAAAAAAAATAGTATTCATGCTTTTGAGGATAATTTTAAGACGTGATTATTTCTATGCTCTGTCCTTATCTCTATCTCTTATTTAAGTCCTATTTAACGTATAAGCCAAGATTATGTGGCCATAATTCCTTAATATAATTAATATGGGAGCATGCACTTCAAAGCAAGACGTTGCCACGCAGCGTACAATTAGACCCCAAGCAGGCGCAAAAATGCCAGAGTTTTATTATTTTTTGCCTCACTAAATGTAAATTTATATTTTCTAAATTTATTTTTAGCTTATTTTCTATAATAAAGTATACCTAAATAGACATAAAAAGAAAATTCTTCACCTCCACCCTGATGGAAAAATCAAAAAAATCCAGTTTTCCACAGGCATCAAGCTTCGTTCTGATTCAGCTGTCGGATATTTATCAAAGAACAGGATTATGCTCGCTGGAGGCAGCGATTCCTCTTCATGTCTTACCAATAAAGTTGTCCTTGCCGATACTGAAGCAATGAAGCTGACCAACCTCTGCAACCTGCCAATACCATCCAAAGAAGGTAGTTTGTATGAACACAAGATTAAGATTAAGATTTACACGGTGATGAGAGGGCTCCAACAAGCCAGACCACCTTGACTCCAGGAAAAGTGGCCTACGCTGGGTGCATAAACATCTGATTGCAAATGTTGTAAGACCCAAAATTCCACCCTCTTTGAATTTTCTAGCGAGACTCACATAGCTAAGGATCAACTCCCTAGATTAGAGCCAAACCCAACAGTCCTGATAGACGAAGAGACAAAACCTATCGCGCCTGGCAGGGTCAGGAAAACTTTTGTGGAGAAACAAAACTTCCCTCTTCAGCAAGGTATCCCCAATCCTGAAGGCCAACTTCAAAAGAGACAGAGGCATTGCTTTCAGCTTCGTTAGAATGGCCCGACTGCTCCATAGGGAGTGTGCCTCAAAGTCCAATTTCCACCAACATCACCATTTTATTTCTCTATAAACACAAGGGTTGGGTTTACTATGTAGGAGGATTGGCTGAGCCTGAGGATGAAGTCGCATCTTCTACAGAAGAACCAGCACCATTAATGAGATTCAACTTACTTCTCTATCTATAAATTTGCATTTTTTTTCAGTAAAAAACGTTAATTTTTTTATCAGAAGTTCTTTATTATAGAGGATTTAGAAGAAAATTCTTGGGAATACTTCAAAAGCGTAGAAGAGAACATTGCGAAAAACGAAATTACTGTCTTTCTCCAGAAAAAAGTAACAGAGAAAAAAGACGAAGAGAAAAAAGAAAAAACACATGCGGACAAAGAATTCCCACTCAGTGGTCTACTATTACCAGGAACCTTCCTTTATAATGATAAAATTTACTTTGTAGGTGGCCATAGATTTGATGAACATGGCAAAAATAAAGTAAATAAAAACGTTTACAGCTTGGACTTGACTTCTCTTGCCTTTAAGAAGGAACCTTTTTCACTTCCTATCAAAGCTGTTAAGCCAATCTGTGCAGTTAAAGGAAATGAAGTTACCATTGTCGGCGGATTCGACCCAAAGACAAATAAACCAAATTCTCAAAGCTACTTTGGGATGCATTTTTTTTAATTATTTTTAAATAAATTATTTTTTTTTTTTTTTTAATTTATATTCCCGCTACTTAGTCAACATGGCAGATTCTACACCTGAGGTAAAACTCCTTGAAGCCTTAAACTTTGAGTTCCCAGAAAACTACCCTGCAGTAACCAGCACAAGTGCCCCAGTTTTTGTTTCCTTCCCTAAATTCGCCTTCAGAAGACCAGGCGAAAAATCATGGCAGATTTTCAACATTGGAAGTAAAAAGAGAGACCAAAACACCCCAAGAACTGGCCCAACAATGAAAGTTGTAAAGAAAACTGAAGCTGGAGAGCCTAAAGAAATAAATAAAAAATTAACGACCCCAGATGGAGGAGCAGCAGTCGAATTAAAGGTCGAGCCATACGTCCCAAGTAAAAGAAAAAGCTCATCTTCAAGTTCTTCTAGCTCTGGCTCAAGCTCAAGCATTAGCGACAGTGCTGATCCAGGGAAAAGGCGCAAAAAACACCACAAAAAGGCAAAAATTGAAGGAGGTCTAGATGTTAAGGTAAATGTAATCTGTTTTAAATAAATTTGAGTTAAAATAAAAAATAATTACTATTAATATTATGATAAATAAAAAAAGAATACCTAAAAAGAAAAAGGGCTCAAGCAGCAGTAGCAGCAGTGATGGTAAAAAGAAAAAACCTAAAGCAGAAATCAAAATTGGCGGGGATATCAAAGCAGGCGTTGCAGGGCCTAAAGTTGATATTAACCTCAATAAAAAGAAAAAAGGAAGCAGCTCTTCTAGCAGCAGTGATGGCAAAAAGAAAGGAAAAGTTGTAGTTCAAGCTGACTTGAAAGGGCCAAAAGTAAATGTTGCAGCTCCTAACTCCTCCCCCCCTCCGTGAGTGAACAAAAAAATTTCGTTCGCTCATAGAGGTTAATTTTTTTTTTTAAAAAAATTTTATATTGAAATTTTATAGAAACTATTTTTTTTCGAAATTTAAAAAAAAATCCTAATTCGCAAAAATTGAAAAGCAAATATTAATTTAATTTATAAAATTTATTTTTAAAAAGCAATTTGTTCAAAATAACTCAGAATTAGCTCTAGATTTTATTATACTAATTATCACTTATATATCAAAATTTTTTTCCATAAAACATTTTTCTATTAAAAAAATTTTTGTTCACGGAGGGTGGGTTTTTGGGCAAAAAATAGCGATTTTTCTAATGGTTTTGTTCACTCACGGAGGGGGGAGTAAGCCAGAAATTAAAGTTGGTCTCAAAGTCAAAAAATCATCTAGTTCCAGCTCTAGCTCTGACGGAAAGAAAAGAGGTAAAATCGAAATCAAAGGAGAAGCACCTAAACTACCAGCTGGAAAAGTAGATATTAAAGGGCCAAAGGTAGGTATTAAAGTCGATAAATCAAGCAGCAGCTCCAGTGATAGCGGAAAAGGCAAAGCAAAAATCACTATTAAAGGAGACGCTAAGTTGCCATCAGGAAAAATTGAAGTAAAAGCTCCAGAAATTAAAAGAAAAGGATCTTCAAGTAGCAGCTCAAGTGACAGCGGAAAGGGCAAAGGAAAAGTTGCAGTTAAAGGTGACGCTAAGTTGCCTGCAGGAAAAGTTGATATTAAAGCTCCAGGAATCAAAGCAGAATTGAAAGTTGGAGGCAAAAAAGGATCATCAAGCAGCAGTAGCTCTGACGGAAAAGCAAAAGCGAAAGTAGAGCTTAAAGGAGACGCTAAGTTACCATCAGGAAAAGTTGATGTCAAAGCTCCTGGGATTAGAATCGGCGGAAAAAGATCATCCAGCAGCAGCAGCTCAAGCGACGGAAAAAAGAAAGTGGGTGTAAAAATCGATGCTCCGAAAGTACCTGCAGCAAAAGTAGAAGTTAAATTAACCAAAAAAGACTCTTCAAGTAGCAGCAGCTCAAGTGATGGAAAGGCTAAAGGAAAAATCGAAGTAAAAGCTGAAGTTCCAAAAGCGCCTTCAGCCAAAATTATGCTACCAAAACAAACTGGGAGAATTATGCTTCCTAACTCCCCCAGTAAATTGTACAAAATATTGATAAAGTTTTCGTTCTATGGTAATAACCCTTTAAATTATAGCAAAACTTTTATAAATACCCTTAATACCTAATTTAATATCATTAAAATCGAAAATTTACCTTCTTGCTCTATTTTAAACAGGAATAATAAAGAGAAAACTATTTAAACAAGGCTAGTAATTTAAATAATAAATTTTTCTATTATTTTCATAAAAAACAGATTTTTTATTCGATTTTAAAATCGAGGAGTAAAGGACAAACCGCAAAAGTCGAAAACAAACCTCCAGAAGCCAAAGTAGAAATCAAACCAGTAGGTGTTAATTTGAAAATTGGAGGAAAAAGATCATCAAGCAGCAGTAGTTCTAGTGACGATAAAAAGAAAGCGAAAATCGGAATTAAAGGAGACGCTAAATTGCCATCAGGAAAAGTAGAAATTAAAGCACCAGCAGTTAGTATAGGAGGCAAAAAGAAGTCATCAAGCTCAAGTTCCAGTGATGGAAAAGGAAAAGCCAAATTAGAAATCAAAGGAGGTGCGAAATTACCATCAGGAAAAGTTGATATCAAAGCACCAGCAGTTAAAATAGGCGGAAAAAGAAGCTCGTCTAGCAGCTCCAGTGATGGAAAGAAAAAGGCGGGAATTTCAATCAAGGCTGAAGCTCCTAAGGTTCCATCAGGCAAAGTTGATGTCAAAGCTCCTGGTCTCAAAATTGGAGGAAAGAAAGGATCATCCTCATCAAGCAGCTCAAGTGACAGTGGAAAGAAGAAAGTAGGAATCAAAATAGATGCTCCAAAAGTCCCAGCAGCCAAAGTTGAAGTCAAAGCTGAAGCTCCAAAGGCTCCTTCTGGAAAAGTTGATATTAAAGCACCTGGTCTCAAAATTGGAGGAAAGAAAGGATCTTCTTCATCAAGCAGCTCTAGTGATAGCGGAAAGAAGAAAGCTGGAATTGCAGTCAAAGTTGATGGTCCTAAAGTCCCAGCATTAAATTCTTAGTTAAAATTTATTGAGTAGCTCCCTGTGATACCTGTAGGTAGTTTTCTCCACATATGCTTCGTTCAGTCACCTGCCATAATATCCCCTTAGTACCGCTTCTCTCCTTAAGGCTCACACCATATTGGAGAGTGCAGTGGGATGGCTATTGCACTGTGGCTGAAAAAGGTTGCCTATCAATAAAAATTCGAAAAAACGAATTTTATAATCAAGTTATCCGTCAAAATGGATCTCATAACTTAGGAAACAACACCTGATATTACTTTCGAGAATTGGAGAAGTAAAGCCACTTGTTTTGCTGGGACTCCTTTTTCCAAATCCAAGACTTTCATCTTCCCTTGAGGAAAAAACCTTGACCTGAATGTCAACTGGGATCGACCTAATCTGAAATTGTGCTCCACAAATGAAACTCGACCTGATACATATTCCCATATGCCACACTTCCTTTCACAATATCCTTGGGTCACCTCAGCGCCAGGTGTTAAGTGGATGATTTGATTCTACATCATTTTAATGTATAAGTCCCAGCAGCAAAAGTTGAAATAAAAGGTGAAGCTCCAAAGGCTCCTTCAGGCAAAGTTGATATCAAAGCTCCTGGTCTCAAAATTGGAGGAAAGAAAGGATCATCCTCATCAAGCAGCTCAAGTGACAGTGGAAAGAAGAAAGTAGGAATCAAAATAGACGCTCCAAAAGTCCCAGCAGCCAAAGTTGAAGTCAAAGGAGACGCTCCTAAAGCTCCTTCAGGTAAAGTTGACATAAAAGCTCCATCAGTAAAAGCAGATATTAAGATTGGAGGAAAGAAAAGATCCTCATCTTCAAGCAGCTCTAGTGATATCGGAAAGAAGAAAGCAGGAATCGCAGTCAAAGTTGATGCACCTAAAGTCCCAGCAGCAAAAGTTGATGTCAAGGCTCCAGGATTAAAGATTGGAGGAAAGAAAGGCTCTTCATCATCAAGCAGCTCAAGTGATAGCGGCAAAAAGAAAGGTGGACTTGGAATTAAAGTAGACGGTCCAAAAGTTCCTGCAGCCAAAGTAGAAGTTAAAGGAGATGCTCCAAAAGTTCCTTCAGGCAAAGTTGACGTCAAAGCTCCAGCAGTAAAAGCAGATATTAAGATCGGAGGAAAGAAAAGATCATCTTCATCAAGCAGCTCAAGCGATAGCGGCAAAAAGAAAGGTGGAATTGGAATCAAAGTAGATGCTCCAAAGGTCCCAGCTGCCAAAGTTGAAGTCAAAGTTGAAGCACCTAAAGCCCCATCAGGAAAAGTTGATGTCAAAGCTCCAGCCGTAAAAGCAGACATTAAGATTGGAGGAAAGAAAAGATCATCCTCGTCATCAAGCAGCTCTAGCGGAGATAACAAGAAGAAAGCAGGAATCAAAGTAGACGCTCCTAAAGTCCCAGCAGCCAAAGTTGACGTCAAAGCTCCAGCAATTAAAGGAGGAATCGATATCAAAGGAAAGAAAGGATCCTCATCATCTAGTAGCTCAAGCGACAGCGGGAAAAAGAAAGCAGGCGTTGGAATCAAAGTCGACGCTCCAAAGGTACCAGCCGCCAAGGTTGAAGTAAAAGGCGATATTCCTAAAGCACCATCTGCCAAAGTTGATGTGAAAGCTCCAGCAATCAAAGGAGGAATCGATATCAAAGGAAAGAAAAGATCATCCTCATCTTCCAGCAGCTCTAGTGAAGATAATAAGAAGAAAGCAGGAATCGGAATCAAAGTTGATGCACCTAAAGTACCAGCAGCAAAAGTTGAAGTCAAAGGTGACGCTCCTAAAGCTCCTTCAGGCAAAGTTGACGTAAAAGCTCCTAGTGGCAAAGTCGATCTTAAGCTTGGAGGAAAGAAAAGATCATCTTCATCATCAAGCAGCTCTAGTGAAGACAACAAAAAGAAAGGCGGAATTGGAATCAAAGTTGACGCTCCTAAAGTTCCTACAGCTAAAGTTGAAGTCAAAGGTGATGCACCAAAGGTTCCTTCAGGAAAAGTTGATGTCAAAGCTCCAGGATTAAAGATTGGAGGAAAGAAAGGCTCTTCATCATCAAGCAGCTCTAGTGAAGACAATAAAAAGAAAGGTGGAATTGGAATCAAAGTAGATGCTCCAAAGGTCCCAGCTGCCAAAGTTGAAGTCAAAGTTGAAGCACCTAAAGCCCCATCAGGAAAAGTTGATGTCAAAGCTCCAGCCGTAAAAGCAGACATTAAGATTGGAGGAAAGAAAAGATCATCCTCGTCATCAAGCAGCTCTAGCGGAGATAACAAGAAGAAAGCAGGAATCAAAGTAGACGCTCCTAAAGTCCCAGCAGCCAAAGTTGACGTCAAAGCTCCAGCAATTAAAGGAGGAGTCAATATCAAAGGAAAGAAAGGATCCTCATCATCTAGTAGCTCAAGCGACAGCGGGAAAAAGAAAGCAGGCGTTGGAATCAAAGTCGACGCTCCAAAGGTACCAGCCGCCAAGGTTGAAGTAAAAGGCGATATTCCTAAAGCACCATCTGCCAAAGTTGATGTGAAAGCTCCAGCAATCAAAGGAGGAATCGACATCAAAGGAAAGAAAAGATCATCCTCATCTTCCAGCAGCTCTAGTGAAGATAATAAGAAGAAAGCAGGAATTGCAGTCAAAGTTGACGCTCCAAAAGTCCCAGCAGCCAAAGTTGAAGTCAAAGGAGATGCTCCTAAAGTTCCTTCAGGAAAAGTCGATGTAAAAGCCCCTAGTGGGAAAGTTGATCTTAAGATTGGAGGAAAGAAAAGATCATCTTCATCATCAAGCAGCTCCAGTGAAGACAATAAAAAGAAAGGCGGAATTGGAATCAAAGTTGACGCTCCTAAAGTCCCAGCAGCCAAAGTTGAAGTCAAAGGTGATGCACCAAAGGTTCCTTCTGGAAAAGTTGATGTTAAAGCTCCAGCAGTAAAGGCAGATATTAAGATTGGAGGAAAGAAAAGATCATCTTCATCTTCAAGCAGCTCAAGCGATAGCGGCAAAAAGAAAGGCGGAATTGGAATCAAAGTTGAAGCTCCTAAAGTCCCAGCTGCCAAAGCTGAAATTAAAGTTGAAGCACCGAAAGCACCATCTGGCAAAGTGGATGTCAAGGCTCCAGCAATTAAAGCAGGTATTGATGTCAAAGGAAAGAAAAGATCATCTTCTTCATCTAGCAGCTCTAGTGAAGACAATAAAAAGAAAGGCGGAATTGGAATCAAAGTTGACGCTCCTAAAGTCCCAGCTGCCAAAGCTGAGGTTAAAGTTGAAGCACCTAAAGCACCATCTGGAAAAGTTGATGTCAAAGCTCCAGCAGTAAAGGCAGACATCAAAATTGGAGGCAAGAAAAGATCATCTTCATCATCAAGCAGCTCCAGCGAAGATAACAAGAAGAAAGCAGGAATCGCAGTCAAAGTAGACGCTCCAAAGGTCCCAGCTGCCAAAGCTGAGGTTAAAGTTGAAGCACCTAAAGCCCCATCTGCTAAAGTTGATGTCAAAGCTCCTGCAATTAAAGGAGGTATTGATATCAAAGGAAAGAAAAAATCTTCTTCATCATCCAGCAGCTCTAGTGAAGACAATAAAAAGAAAGGGGGAATTGGAATCAAAGTTGACGCTCCTAAAGTCCCAGCAGCTAAAGTTGAAGTCAAAGCCGAAGCACCTAAAGCCCCATCTGGAAAAGTAGACGTCAAAGCTCCAGCAGTAAAGGCAGATATTAAGATTGGAGGAAAGAAAAGGTCATCTTCATCATCAAGCAGCTCTAGCGAAGACAATAAAAAGAAAGGCGGAATTGGAATCAAAGTTGACGGTCCTAAAGTCCCAGCTGCCAAAGCTGAGGTTAAAGTTGAAGCACCTAAAGCACCATCTGGAAAAGTTGATGTCAAAGCTCCTGCAATTAAAGCAGGTATTGATGTCAAAGGCAAGAAGAGATCATCATCAAGCAGCTCCAGTGAAGACAACAAGAAGAAAGCAGGAATTGCAGTGAAAGTAGACGCTCCTAAAGTTCCAGCTGCAAAAGTTGACGTCAAAGGTCCAGAAATCAAAGGTAAAGCTGATGTAAAAGCAGATGTTAAAGCACCTGCCCTCAAAATTGGAGGAAAGAAAAAATCTTCATCAAGCAGCTCTTCCAGTGATAGTGACAAGAAAAAGAAAGTTGGAATCAACATCAAAGCAGAAGCCCCTATCTTCCTCCTTCTAGGCCAATACATATATATGATTTATTTTTATCTTATCTTTATTATAATTATTATTTATTTTTAAAACCTATTAAAATAAATTATAGTTATTCCGCGTTTCATATTGATAATTTATTTTTCTTTCTCTTTAACAAATTTATAGACATATCAAAAATTATTTTAAAATTAAATTTATTCAAAATTCGTATTTGTTTTTTTATTTGTTATAAAAAATTTAAGTCTTATAAAAGATGTAAGGCACCATCAGCTAAAGTTGACGTAAAAGGCCCAACCGCAAAGGCTGACGTAAATCTTCCTAAAGCTCCAGAAACTAAAGCTGGGGTTAAAGTTGGTCTCAAAAAAGGCTCTTCAAGCAGCAGTAGCTCTAGTGAAGACAACAAAAAGAAAGTCGCAGTCAAAGTGGAGGCACCTAAAGCACCATCAGCCAAAGTTGACGTAAAAGCTCCTGCAATTAAAGGAGGTATAAATATCGGAGGAAAAAAGAAATCATCATCAAGTAGCAGCTCTAGCAGTGAAGACAATAAAAAGAAAGCAGGAATTGCTGTTAAGGCAGAAGCTCCTAAGGCAAAAGTTGACGTCAAAGCTGATGTCAAAGTTCCAGCAGGAAAAGCTGAGGTGAAAGCCCCAGGCATTGGAATTAATATTGGAGGAAAGAAAAAACGATCCTCAAGCAGCAGCAGTTCTAGCAGTGAAGACAATAAGAAAAAAGCTGGTATAGCAATTAGAGCACAACCACCAGCGTTGCCTAAAGCTGATGTAAAGGTTGAAGCACCAAAAGGAAAAGTTGAAGCTAAGATTGAAGCTCCTAGCTCTTTATTATATTTTTTTATTAATTTTGGAAATTATAGTAAATAATAATAAAATATATATAATTTATAGGCAAAATGGAGTAAAGCACCAGCTGGAAAAGCAGCAATAAGCATCGGAGGAAAGAAAAAATCCTCTTCAAGCAGCAGTTCAAGTGATAGTGGAAAGAAAAAGAAAGCCGGAATCGCAGTTAAAGCTGATGCAAAACTTCCAGGACTAAAAGCTGACGTAAAAGGCCCTGCCATAAAAGCTGATATCAAAGTAGGAAAGAAAAAGTCTTCAAGTAGCAGCTCAAGTGATGGTGGAATCAAATTAAAAGCTGAGCTACCAAAGGCAAAAGCTCAATCTGAGGCTCCAAGTGCTCCAAAAGTTGAAGTCAAAGCAGAAGTCAAAGCTGAACCTCCTAACTTCCCCCACTCAGTAAGCGAGTAAAACCATTAGAAAAATCCTTAATAGGTAAAATTTTTTAATAAAAAAATTTCTTCGAATTTATTGATTATTATAATGAAATCTCTACCAAACTATTAAATTTGTAAATTTTTATTAATAAATCATATTTTTAGATCAATTTTTTTTATTAGATTTAAAATTTATAATGCATATAAACTTTTTAAAAAAAAACTCTCTGTCTTCCTGTTCAGGATGAGAGGTTAAGGTAAAAACGGGCAGCTTTGCAAGCTCCCTAGCAAAAGCTATCAAAAGTAAAAAATCAGAATCCAGCAGCTCCTCAAGCTCAGACGACAAGAAGAAAAAAGGCAAAAAAGTCGAAATCAAAGCTAAAGCCCCTGAGGCACCTGTAATACAAGCAGAAGCCAAAGTGCCTAAATTCAAAGCTGAAGCAAAAGTAGGAAAGAAAGGTTCAAGTAGCAGTAGCAGCAGCAGTAGCAGTGATTCAGATGCTAAAAAGAAGAAGAGCAAGTTCCAAGGACAGCTTCCAGGTCTAAAAGCAGGCGCTAGTGTCGAAGCACCAAAAGCAAATGTTCAAGTAGGCGTTAAGGCTGATGTAGGAGGAAAGAAAAAGAAAGCATCATCTTCCTCCTCAAGCAGTTCTGATAGTGATAGCAAAAAGAAAGCTGGCATCAAGGCTGGAGCTAATATTAATGTAAAAGCAGGAGCAAAATCAGCTGGCAAAAAGAAATCATCTAGCAGTAGCAGCAGCAGTAGTAGCAGTGATAGTGGTAAAAAGAGAGGGAAAGGTAAAGTAGAAGTGAAAGGAGGAGTTAAAGCTGATGCTGGCGGAAAGGTTGGAGCAGATGTGAAAGTTGAAGTACCTAAAGTTGAAGCTGGAATCAAAGTTGGAGGAAAAGGAGGGAAATTCAAGATCGGATAAGAATTCGTAACATAAGGTTAATAGAATTAATAAGAATTGAGTGTTAAAGATAATATATAGATAGCAAAACAAGATTTATATGTTTATGAAGTGATCAGCATTGCTTTTAAAATAATTATTTTTAATATTAATATAGAAATTTCCCATAGATGGCGCTGTTTGCCCTTGATTTGCCCACTGGGGAAATTTTTTGGTTCGATCAGTCCCATATGGTTTGGTCAAACCAAAAAATTTTTCTCATGGCAATCAAGGGTAAACAGCGCCATCTATGGGAAATTTCTATATTTAAAAATTAATATTATGAAAAAATATCTTAGTATTAAGTATTTTATGATTATATTAGATTTCCATGAATCAAGCCACGAAGCTCATGCTCAAATTTATATGGAAGTGTGCCGCCTTTATAGTGCCATATTTTAGGTTTTCCAAGTTTGCAGGCAATAAAGTAAGAAGTCTCATTCGTCTCTCTACAGATTTTTGAGATAAATTCGTCGTCATACACATTTGTAAGCTCAATCGGCCATAGCTTGGACCTACTTGAGCGTTTTGAAAATAAATCTGGGGTCTTTGAAGGAAGTTTTTTCAATTTCGGCAATTTGATCTTTTTCAGTGGTTTTTCAGTTATCTCTTTTGGAGAGTTACATAAATCAAAAATGCTTGCCAAGGATTTATGTTTAATAATTTTTGGAGATTTATAGCGATGCAGTCTTTTTTTCGATTCCGCAATTGGTGATAACCTTTTTTTGAGGGTAAAATATTTTTCGGATTTTTTAGAAGGTCTTAAATTCGATTTTGATCTTAACTGTTTTTCTGAGGCAATTTCTAGTAAATATTTCGGAACTTTTGGTTTAATGCTTGGTAGAACCCTAGCGGATTTAGAAGTCTTATTGATTTCCCTCCTTTGGAAATTAAAGCTCTTTTGTGCCTTCAGCATTTCATCAAAAGCTCTGTCTACACTTGAAGGTATTCTCTCTTTTCGTCTCATGCTTGCTCCTATCGGCTCAAACCTACTGAACTGCTTTTTAATACTTTCAATTAATCTGTCGTTATGTTTCTTATCTAATCTTCCTCTTATTCCTTTAAATTCCATTACTTTTTGTATCTCTGATTACCTTATTAAATATTCATATGAGCTATTATTCTCTATTTTCCTTACTCCCCCCCCCCCCCCTCCGTGAGCGAACAAAACCATTAGAAAAATCGCCATTTTTTGACCAAAAACCCACCCTCCGTTAGTGAACAAAAATTTTTTTAATAGAAAAAATTTTAATGGAAAAAAATTTTGATATATAAGTGATAATTAGTATAATGAAATCTAGAGCTAATTCTGTTTAATTTTAAACAAATTGCGTTTTAAAACATAAATTTTGCAAATTAAATTAATATTTGCTTCCCAATTTTTGCAAATTAGGATTTTTTTTAAATTTCGAAAAAAATATTTTTTATAAAAATTTATATATAAATTTTTTTTAAAAAAAAAAATAACCCCCCTCCGTGAGCGAACAAAATTTTTTTGTTCGCTTCGCTCACGGAGGGGGGGGGGGAGTTTAAATATTTTTTATTTTTTTAAAAAAATCCTAAAAATCGCATTCACCCTATTTTCCATAATTTTTCTTATGTTTCCACGAAGTAACTTCATTTCCTCTTCCTCTTGCCCCTTTTTCATCAGTCAAAATGACTCCTTTTTTCCTCAAAATCTCTCTAATCCTATCCGCTTCCTGGAAATTGCATTGTCTTCTGGCTTCATTTCTAATATCAATCAGCTCAGCAATATCAATTTCTGAAGAATCCAATTCTTCAATTTCCTTGATTTTTTCTACAGGAAAACTCACAGTTCTCCCTGAAATATTTTCAATTTTCTTTGCTTTTAATTGAGGGTCAGGTCTCCCTTTTTCTAAGCAATAATCTTTATATTCCGCATAAACTTGATTAATTAATTTTTCCACTTCATTGACTGCAATTTCATATTTTTCTTCAAATTTTGAGCTTATACACATATGCAAGGTCTCATCGCTTTCTTCTTTGTCTGGGCCTTCTTTAAAGCCAGAACCTCGGCCACGTAGCCTTAGTTTAATTATATCATGAGCTTGGCCTTGTGCACCTTTGCAGCATCTCTCAACTATTTTTTTCATATTTGAGCCTCTTGGACCAATTAGTCTTCTAGCAACTTGGAATTCTTTGTCATTTTCTATCTGAATGTCAAATCTACAAGTGTATTTTACAGGCTGCTGGATTTCTGGGGTATTTAATGACAAATCTTGAAGAGGGATACGTGAAGCCTCATCTTGGTTATGGTATCAGCTTACCTGCAAAACCACATTAAATCCTGGCAATTGGCGCCCATCAAGGACTTTTTGGGCGAAATAAGCTGACACAATGTCTTTGTATAGCACAAGAGCGATATTGTCAAAAACACGCAGACTCTGGATTTCGCCGAATTCTTCGAAAACATTGGTCACATCACTTTGCTCCATAGAAAAACGCTTACCTTGATTTTCTGCAATCTCTAGCTTGAGACATGGAGTATGAGATGGGATGTGAAGGGAAGCTAAGGACTCAAGCACTTTGTCACGGACATCTGGCTGTTGAAGCATTGCATGAATTTTGGATCGTTTTAGTGTTGGGGAATCACAATCTCCCGCCTTACTTTGCATTTTTTAAATTATGAAAAATGAAATATTTTAGCGATTAGAAATGGGTTGAGGAAATTGTATGGCATTTTTTGGTGATGGGAATGAGGGATAAAAAGTGAAGAAAATAGACTTTTAAGGGCCTTAGCTTAAATTATTTATAGAGAATTCATCTGCAGGCCCACAGGTCACTACTTGACTCCGCATAGCGCTCCAATGCTTTGCTTGTAAATCGGGCAAGGCCTTCCACTGTGCTGCTTCTCACGAGGGTTTGCACAAAGAGTTAGAGACTTTTAAATCCCAGAGTTGGGTTGATTATTAAATAATCAAAAAATTATATCTTTTGGCGATATTAGTTTTGCCAAAAATAATATAAATAAAAAAATTCTTTATTGGAGTCATCTTATATATTAGGATGTAAATTGGTCAGCAAAAGTATCAAATTGTTTGAAATAAAAATAAATTTAATTTTTTTCGAAATAATAAAAAGAGCATAGCATGAATAATTCATCAAAATTATCAAATTGTAAATAGTTTAAGTTTATTATTGGAACATACAAAATCAATAATACTTTAGATATTTAGAAAAATTGATTTTATGAAATTTTATTATTTAGATGCATTTAAGATTGATTTTAATATTCTGTGTTAAAAATTTTGCTTTTAGGGTCTTAAACTTAAAAAACATCTGAAACATTGAATTAAATTTTCCAACACAGTATATTTAAAATAATGAGATCTAAAACTCAAAGAAAATAGATAAAATGCTTATGTTATTGGGATATTTTCTTCCACTAGTTTCTGCTTATAAAGCTGTAAATTTTTAATTTTGTCTCTCAAATCTTTCTCTCTTCTACTTATTGCCCACACACTGAATTCATGCAAACTAACACAAAACAAAAAAAATAGCTCATTCCCCGTTTGCGAAAAAATGCTTGTTACCATGTTTCTTCAGGTGGAACGGTCTTTCCTCAGCATGTATAAGTACTTCTGTAAGACGAATTTCATCTTATTTATTATAAAATGAAAAATTATTAAATTTAAGGGGGAAATGGATTTGTCTTATCTTGCAGGCCAAAAGAAAGCTTTATTCTTGAATTTACAAGAAAAAGGATACACATATGAAAAAATCATTGAGGCTTCTAGAGATTTAAAAAATGTAATTGACTCGTTGGAATTTGGCAGCAATAAAGAGGTCTTTCAGTTTATAAAAAGACTTAAAGATGCTTATGATATATATGAAGGGAAAACACCAAAGCCTAAAGAAGATAGGATTGAATGAGTCAGCTTTACGAATACAGCAGAACAAGTATTTTTCTTTAGGCCAACAAAAAGTACAGAATACTTGGAATGTGAGCACTGTGGGGCTTTAGTGAATTTCAGGGAATGGGCACTTAAATCTCATATAAATATGGCTCATAATGATTAAAATGTTAATTAATGTTCAGAATTTTCTATTCCAATTAAATCAGAGCCTGTGAAATTTCCATCTTCATATACTGCTAATAATTTTTCTTTTGGAATTTCTTCAATAATGCTAGCAATTTTCTTTTTCTTGTCTTCTTCAATATTCTCTATCCTTTTTAACCTAAATTTTCTATTTTTCATTTAATTTCGCCTATTTAAGATAAATCTCTATATAATTTTTATTTTTTCTTGATTTATTATTTCATGAGCTTGTTCTTTAACGGCCATAATATAATCCTTTATGCTAGAATTTTCATTAAGCCCAAAATCTGTCTGGTTATTGTCTAATGCTTTCATTCTATTTAAAGTCTTCTTCAATCATGTCACAATTTTTATTTTTTTATTCAAAATTTCTATCCTTTTCTCCTGAATTACCCCAAAATCTTTTCTCAGACTATTAAATTGGCTTTTAGACTCGCTATTTAGCTCTGACATATCATGCATCGCGATATCAGACACATTCTTCTGCATTTCATCAATTTTTTGTCTATAAGAATTGCATTCTACCTCTTTTTGATTGACAGCGACCATTAAGGACTTATAAGTCTGCTCCTTTGTTAAAAAATTTTCAACGATCTGGCTAATTTCCTGGAGCCCTGTAGTGATTTTTATTCGCTGATAAGCGTTCTCATAAATGCTATTTTTTTGCATTTCTTTAGTAAATTTCATAGTCATAGCGTTATATCAGAGTCTGTGGAGCATTACCGACTCTCTTAGAAGGACATCTTGTCGGCTTCTGTCTTCAATAGCCGCTCTTTCTAGCATTTCTTCCCTTCTCTTTTTGTATTCTTCTTTCCTCATAGAGTCTTCTTGAGCTGACTTCATGTTTGCGTCAATTTTATTTATTTGCCTTAACCTTTCTTTTTCATCTCTAGATATTTCATATTTATAATCTTTATACCCATAATAGCTTCTTGATTTTGATTCATTAGCCTGCTGAGATTTTTTTATTTCTTTTTTTAAAGCTGATCCTTGCTTATTTAAGCTAATGTCATGGTCTAAATATTTTATCTCTAAATACACCTTGGTATCCCTCATCCTGTCAAGTAAATGCAAATAAATTTCTCTGTTATCATTTTCATCATCTTGGCTTTTAATTACATTTTCTATTTCTTTTTCTAGAGTTTTTACCCTGTTTTGGTTTTGTTTTTGCCAAAACAGCTTTTTTGTTTCAATTTTTTCTAAATATTCAAGCTCTTTTTTTAAAGTCCCATACAGTGTCATTCCTTTAGATCCTGAGTATCGTATTTTGTCGAGGTTTCTTTTGAAGAGTTTGAGTTGGCCCGCGATTTCTTGTTTTTCTTCTGTTCTTGTAGTAGAAATATCATACGTAGGAGAAGTAGGGACATCTAAGATGGTCATTGTTGCATTGCGGTTATGGATAGCATTTGATAAATTTCTGCTGTGAAAGGTAGAATTTAGGCGGTTGCCGCTGTCTAGTGATAAAGGTTTGAGGCGAGGAGTTCGCATTGTGCTTGACATGATAATTTCCATGCAAAATTTCTTTATTAGAGAAGTGAATTAATTACAGGAATAAAAATGAGATGCTGAAATGTTTATTTTTATAAAATAAGGGTTTTAAAAGATAAGATAAAAATGATTAAGAATAGGCTTATAAACAATTTTTTGAAAAAAATACACAAATAGCAGTTAAAACAAATCAAAATATTGTTATTTTATTAAATAAATTATTGAAGGTATAGATCATTTCATTTTTGTTACTTATAAATCAATTAATAAATATTTAGAATGAAAAGAGCTTAATGAGATAATTTTAGATAATTAAGATAATATGAGCGACAGTCAGTTTCAGTATGGAGTGGGGCATACTTCAGTGAAAATGCATCAGCCACCAGGAGGGAGCTCAAGTATTAGCTTGGGCTGGGACGAGCCTTCAAGACCTCCTGTTCAAAGATTCAATAACGCCCCTCCAAGGGAGCCAATCTCAAATATTTTTTCAAATCAACAACCTCCGATCCGGCAAGAAAAAAACATTTTCCCCGGTTTTCAGCAAAATTTCCCTAATTTCAATAGCGAGCCTCAGTTAGCACCCCAACAGAGAGATGAATACCCTCCCCAAGACCAATTTCAGCTACCTATGCCTATACCATTTTTCTATAAATTTACTATTTCTATAACCCCAAAATCCATTTTCCCTATACAAGCCAGTCATATATAATTTCAAAGTCGATTTATATAGCCAACCCCCAGATCCAAGACCTTACAATCAGCCTGACATGGCAAGAAATCATTTTATGAAAGAATCCCCTCCAAATTATTACCAAAGGCAGCAAATGTCAAACAATAATCAAGGTCTGCAAAATTATTCACAGCCTACAAGAATAGAGCAAGTTCAAAGGCCTGAATTTGTGCAGAGGCAAGAACCAATGTTCCAGAGCCCACAAATGCAGAGGGGTGACATGTATCAGAGACCTGATATAAATCAGTTTCCACCTGTTCAAAGACCTGATATGTTTCAGCGAGAAATGGGGTATCAAGGAGCTCCTATTCAAAGATCAGGACATGGGACAAGAGAAAGACCGCCTGATCCTTATATTAGACCAAACCAGTATGATCCTTATCAGAGAGAACAAGGCTATCAGCCTCCGCAGAATTATAGACAAGAAGAGCCCAGAGCTAGTCCGAATTATCAGCAGGATTTTGATATGAAGCCGTCTGTAAGAGTGAGCAATCCGCCTGGAGGGAGAAGCAACTTTACTCTTGGATAAAATCAAAATATTTTATGCTAAATTAATTGCTGCTAGGAATAATTTATTCGATTTTTTTGTTCTATAAAATATGGCATCAGGTATCTTAATTTTTTTTAAGCTTAAGAATTAATCAAGCATATATAGAATAAAAATTATATGAGTAAATAATTTAGAATGTTTTAATAATTTATGAGAAATTTGCATGGAGAATATTAGAAAAGTCCAGAAAAATATCATAATTAATCCTGAGGATGGCTCAAGAACCAACAAAGATCATTATTTATTGTTTTATTATAAAAAGTTTCAAAAAATCTTGAATGCCAATATTTTTCAGAAGAAAAATGCAAAGATGCTTGGGGTATATTAGAAGGTTGGCGATTACTGCCGAAGAGAGGGACTAAATTTGATGTAACACAATATCAATCAACTTCTAATAAAACTCAAAAAACTGTTTTTTTTAATTTATTATCAAAGAAAAATATTTATCAGTCAATTTCAGATAAAATTAAAAATGACATTGGAAGCTGAAACTCACTAAAGTCCTTAAGGGATTCATATTTCAACAAAATTACATTTTCCGGAATAAAAAGAGTCCTGAAAATGGACTTGTCAAGCGATTTAAAAGACAAACTTTATCAATTTATAATATGGTCAAGAGATTCAGATGAAATAAATCTAGCATCAAGTAATTCAGCAACAGTCCTTAAGAAAAGTGGATTTTTATTCACTAATAAAGATTTTTCTAATGTAAAAATCCCAAAAGCTGATTTATCAAATTGTGTTTTTATCAATACAGATTTTGAGAATTCTGATTTAAATCAAGCCATCTCATTTTTGATAATAATACACAATACTATTTACATTTTTAATAGTAAATATCTAAATTTAATTAAAAATGGCGATATATTTACCAATAGTCATAAAAGCATTTTATATATAGATTTTGAAAAGAATAATTTCTCATGATCGACGTTTTATTTGTCAAAGTTCTCCAATACTAATTTAAATCAGGCTGATTTTGGCTGAAAAGTTCAGCTGGATACAAGATGCAAAATCAAGGCGGTAGCATATTCAAGATGTGGAAATTTTTTAGCGTCAAATGCCGATATAAAAAATATAACTATATACCCGAGCACTATTTTAATCGGCTTCTCAATCTTTTCCTGTAATAAAATGGAAGTTATTTGGTTTGAATAACATAGTTCGAATCAATCGAATTCTATTTTACGTCGAAAATATCAGGAAGCCTGAGCTAAAAGAGTGCTTGGATTATATGACAAAATACAGACAATTGAGAAAAAACTGCAGACCTTATAGGTCACACACGAGATGTTACGTCTTTATCATTTTCTCCTTGTTTAAAGTATTTAATATCTGGAAGTAAAGATTCTACTATAAAAATGTGGAGTCTAAGCACATTTAATTTGCTTCACGATTATAAATGACACACCAAAGAAGTCCTTTCTGTTGAATTTTCGCCAAATGGAGAATATATAGCTTCAAGTGGAAAAGATTTATTTATAATTATATGAAATGTCTCTAAGCATCAAATTGAGTGATCAATTCAGCTTAAATGTGCTAAAATTAAGTCACTTTCATGGTCTCCAAATAGCAATTTATTAGGTTTTACCAATATTTTCCCAAAAATAACAATTTGAGACATTTCAGCTAAAAAATCGATATGAGAAATTGACAAGCAAAAAAACATATATAATCACCTCAATACAAAAGGAAGTAGAGCAATTGCATTTTCTCCATGTGGAAAATATCTAGCGTGAAGTGGTAAAAAGAATAGAATTCAGCTATGGAAAATAAATCCTCAAGAAAGAATCTCAATTTTTCAAAGTTTTGCAGGCTGTCTTTGTTTTTCTCATGATGGGAAAAAAATAATTTCTTGAAATACAGAAATTCCAATAAAAATTTGAAAAATAGATGACAGTAAAAATAATGGCAGTATTAGCAGGCTTAATGGAATAGTTAAGTCTTTATCACAGAGTCCTTGTGGAAATTATATAGCATCTGGAGGTCCTGGCAGGAAATTAGTTGTTTCAAGACTTAAAAAACAAAATTTGGAGAATGGGCATACCCCTGGATCAGTTTTTGTTTCTTTATCAAAATGTAGTAAAATTTTGGCATCAGTGGACAATCTTTGTCTTATGATATGGGATTTTAATACTTATCAGCTTATCAAAAAAATTAGTACACGAAAGTGTCAAGTAACTGCCATATCTTTATCACATGATAGCAATATTATTGCTTATGCCGGATGAAAAACATCAATAATATTGATATTCTTGAATCAAAATTTTTCTCAAGAAACCTTAGAGAACTCTAAAGACTCTATTTCAATATCTTTTGCTCCTCATTCAAATCTTTTACTCTCTTCCAGACGAAATCAAATCGATCTATGAGATGCCGACAATAGAATTTGACTGAAAACAATTGGAAGTCATAAAGAGCAAATCACATGCATAGTCTGGTCTCCGAAATCTGAATTCAATGGATTTGCATCATCAAGTAGTGATTTGTCATTAAAAATATGAATAGATTTGACTTCTTCAACAAATCTCTTAATAGTTTTCTTTATTTTTCTCTTCAATTTTCCAAATATGATTTAATTTCTGATAAAATTTTTTGCATTTCTGGTGCTGGATTTTGAGCTCCTCTTGGTAGCTTATTCGAGTTTCCAAAATCTGATGGTGAGTAGTGATTTTGGCTACTTCCAATAGGATTGTTTTGGCTTCGAGTGAATCATAGAAAGGAAAAACACAAAAAATCTGCCTCGACTCTCTGTCAAGGATTGTGAGATTGTGTCAATGCCTTTTGACGAAACTGATTCAGAAACCGATGAATTTTGCTCAAATGAAGAAATGTGGGATGAAATAGACTTTCTTGACCTGCAAATGAAAATGTTGGAAGATGAACTCGAAGAAAAAGCCTGGGAGAAGAAGCCTGGGATGATGAAGTTGAATCTGTTGAAGAAGGAACGGACGAAGCGGAGTTTCTGAGACTCTGGCTCGCTGGACAAGAAGGTGAGATTCTGGATGCTGGAGAGCTGATCCTAGCCACAGGATCCATCAATCAGGTACCGATAGAGGTCGTCGAGTGGGTGAAGGTGGAAAGCAAGAAGACCAAAAGCCTGGAAAATCAAAATAGCCAGAAAAGCCAAAAAGACCAAAAAGACCAAAAAGACCAAAAAGACCAAAAAGACCAAAAAGACCAAAAAGACCAAAAAGACCAAAAAGACCAAAAAGACCAAAAAGACCAAAAAGACCAAAAAGACCAAAAAGACCAAAAAGACCAAAAAGACCAAAAAGACCAAAAAGACCAAAAAGACCAAAAAGACCAAAAAGACCAAAAAGACCAAAAAGACCAAAAAGACCAAAAAGACCAAAAAGACCAAAAAGACCAAAAAGACCAAAAAGACAAAAGAATACGCAAGGCTAAAAATCTGAATGGGGGCGAAAGCTATTGTAAGGGAGGAAATGGAAAGTGGTGAAAAAATATGGAAAAAGAGGAAAAAGCCCAAACAGTCGGGTGTAAATCATCAGAATTTTTGTAAACAGTTAGGATTAACAGATATTGAAAATACCCTTGCATATAGCTCTTGTGGGAATTATCTTGCTTCTGGAGGATTGGATTGAGTTTTAAAAATTTGGGATGTTGGTACTGAAAAGCTACTTTATAGTGTATACTTTTTTAATAAACCTATTTCTAGCATTTCTTGGTCTCCTTTTGGAAGATATATGGCTATCGGATTTTCCCAAGAGTTTATATATCTTTGAGACTTTGAAGATGAAAAAATTATATCAATTTTTCACAGCCATAAATCAGGGATAAAAAATGTTACTTTTTCATATTGTGAAAATTATCTTGTGTCAAGCGGTGATGATGGGATTGTAAAAGTATGAAATATATCAACACTGATCGAAAAAAGAAAGCCAAGTAGAAGCCTCCAAAAGAAAGCAATTTTTATAAATCGTGAAGAAATTATAGGTCTTGATAAAGGATGGACATATTTGGAATGGTCATCTGTAGGCCATAATTTTGCAGATCCTGATTCATTACTTAAACCAATCGACAAAATATAAGGGTTTAGCATTATATTTAGCTCTTAATATCTTTAAATTATTAAATATTAATATTCTTGCTGATTCTGTTTTTATTACATAGTAAGCAATTTTTATAATCAAAATTATATTTTCCCGAATATTAGTTTAAAATCTCTAAAAAAATCCCAATTTCGTCCGATTATATACTGTCAAGTACTAGTTTTCTCTATCAATCAAATTTTTTATACAAAAATCTATAGCTTACATATCTCATAAAGTTTTACCTTACTCTCCCTCTTCTGTGAGGAACAAAAACTTTGAAAAATCCCTATTTTTGCCCAAAAACCCACCTCCATATGTGAACAAAAATGTTTTTAGCAGAACAATTTTTTATGGAAAATTTGATATATGTGTGATAATTAGTATAATGATATATCTTGCTATTTGCTGAATTTAAACAGCTTGCATTTTAAAACATAAATTTTACAAATTAAATTAATATTTGCTTTCCAATTAAGATTTTTTTAAAAAAAAATTAACCCCCTCCGTGAGCGAACCCATTATTTTTGTTCACTCCTAAGGGGAAATCAGTAATAAAATTAAAGCAATTCTCCATAATAAATTTCATTATAATTAATTAATCAAGCCCACGAAATGGAAACAAAAAATGTAAACCTTCCTGAAGACACTACCAGTTACTATAAGAATGACGAAGAAGAAAATGAACTCGACGAACTTGATTTCATGACTGAGCTTGAAAAATTACGTCCTTTGATGGAAGGGAAGATCATTAACACAGAAGGTGACATTGTAAATGTGGAAATAGAAGAAGAAAACGAGGGAAAGGAAGAAAACAATGGGGAGGTCGAAGAAGAGTACGAATTGGATAATCTTGACTTTATGGCGGAGCTTGAAAAGTTACGTCCATTAATGGATGGGAAGATTATCAGTTTGGATGGTGATATTATAGATATATCTAATAAATAAATATTTGTTTAAATTGTAATTCACCACTCAGCGAGGAAAAAAATTTTGCTTGCTTATAGAGAGGGTTATTTTTTTTATTTTGCAAAATATTGGATTAAAAATTAGTTCATATGTAAAATTTGTGTTTTAGGATACAAGTTGCTTAAAATTCTAGCAGGATTAGCTAGAAATTTCATTATAATAATTATTACTTATATATACAAATATTTTTTATCATAAAAAATTTTTTTTTATCGTTACAGGAGGGCTTTTTCCTATAAAATAGAAATTCTTCCAATGGTTTTGCTCGCTCATTAAGAGATGAGTAAGAGAAATCGATTAATATTTTAGAAAATTTGAAAAGAAAAAATATCAGGAGGAGTTATAGAGAGAATTAGAGAAGTGGGAGATTTTTAAAAATGTATACTAATTGGGTTAAATAAGAATTAGGATATTATATAAGGAACTAATAGGGGATGTATTAGAGATGCTTTTAAATCTCATAATGTTGAATAATCGATTTTGAATTATTTGCTTGCTATTACAAAGTAAATAGCAGAATATTTATATTTTTGTTTTTAGAAATCGAATCAAAAATGAAAACTCGAAATTTTCATATTTCTCTATATAGACAAGAAGAATCTTGAAGGTTTAAGCAATTTTAATAGAAGTAAATAAAATAAAAAGTCAAGATTATTAGATTGTTAAAGATTAATAGATTGACTACCTTTTGTAACCTTCTAATATTGAGAAGCTTATTAACTGCAAATTTATGGCTTGGAGCGTTCAAGGTTATAACTTCTTCCACAGCCCTTTCTCCTTTCTGGGACAATCCCCTCTTTCAAAATATAATAAATTACTTCTAAGCAGCTTTATTATTATGTCATTGCCGAATACCATATCAAGAAATACCTAGAGGCATAGTCTTGTTTTAACAGCATTTAATATATTGTTATCAACGCTTTGCTTTCACTTGGCTTTAATTAATATTTGCTGTGATATCCTAGAAAGATCCATTGATATTCTTTTTTCCTATATCTTAATATTTTATTTTCAGCTATAGTTTCATCTTCATAGCTTAAGGCAAAAATAAATTCATTAAATTATAAGTAGCTCTTTCAAAAATCTTATTAAATCCAGTACCAGAAATTTCTATTGGATTTTACCTTGAAGTAAATTGAAGATAAGATAAGATCTCAATTTCTGATATCAAAGGAGTTAAAGACTTGATATTAAAGCATAATATGCTCTTTGCTGTAGTTTTTATCAAAGAATGTATTTTTAAGGCGCTGCATTAAAGTGAGATACCTATTAAATGAGTAAGCCAGTTGTGCAACCAAAGCGTCATTTTTATTGTTTTCTACTTTTATTGAGCGCATTTTATGAGTAGTTAGGATCAATTGGTTCAAATATTTTAGAAATTATAGTAGCAAACCTTGATTTTCCACAATTTGTAGGCCAGTTAGAATAAAAATTCCTTTTTGAATAGGCTAGCTAGATTACTTATTTCTTCCTTTCTATTAAAAAAGTCATCACTTGGCTCATAGAATCTCCGAAGATTTGCTATCTCGATTTCTTCATATCTTGTCAGGAAGAACCAAACATTCTAGTTTTCTTCCGCAGCTTCACATAATTACCTGCCAAGCGTCAGCATCTTTTTGATTTAGACTATTAATTTTAATTTAATTTAGAACGCTAAGCTATTTTAAAAATCCTGATTTTCATTCTAAAATTACTATTCCATTTCCACTAATCAATCTAAAATATAATATATAAATTCCAAAATTTCCCATTCTAATTATACACAAAAAAAAACAATATAGTTATTTTACACATTATTCCCATTCTTAACAAATACTCAAATAATTCCAAAACCTTCCCTCTCAATTCATATAGATTTATTACCCTCGCCACCATATTGTTTTGGAAAGTGTCGCAGTTCGATGCTTAAATACAAGCGTTGGTGTGTGTTTTTTATAAAATGGCAGAACAACTAACCGAAGAGCAGATCGCAGAGTTCAAGGAAGCTTTCTCACTGTTTGACAAAGACGGTGATGGGACAATCACAACAAAAGAACTCGGCACTGTCATGAGATCTCTTGGACAAAACCCAACTGAGGCTGAACTTCAAGATATGATCAACGAAGTTGATGCTGATGGAAACGGGACCATTGACTTCCCTGAGTTCTTGAGCCTTATGGCTAGGAAGATGAAGGATCAAGACACTGAAGAAGAGCTTATTGAAGCCTTCAAAGTCTTCGATAGAGACGGAAATGGACTTATCAGTGCTGCTGAGTTAAGAGGGAGATAAAATATTTTTTTTAAAAAAAAAATAATTTTTAATAATTTATTTAGAAATTTTTAGAAAGTTAAGACACGTCATGACTAACTTGGGAGAGAAACTTACTGATGAGGAAGTCGATGAAATGATTAGAGAAGCTGATCTTGACGGAGATGGACACATCAACTATGAAGAATTCGTCAGAATGATGATGGCTAAGTAAATAATTTCTTTAAATTGGCCTAAATGTTTTTGGTATAGATATCAAGTTAAAATTATCAAGTTATTTAGCTTTATTGGCATCTTTCCAATGTTTTTTAATTTTCTCATAGCCACAAAGTCATTTTATATAAAACAGTTTCACTTCATCAGCATCTTTAATTATTATCCAAAAATTTTGACTAAAGCTGGGTTTATACACAGTCCCAGTGTAATAGATGCTTTTTTGATTTGTCTAATGATACTTGGTTTTATTAAAGTTATAATTCATGATATTTTATTTCCAATAATTCTATAATGTAATTAATTTGAAGAAGTAGATTGTGTTTTATTTAATTTATAGCTTACAAAAAAAGATCATAAAGCAAATTATTAAAAGCATATGAAAATCAATAACCCTATATTGTTTTGGAAAATGTCGCAATTTCATACATAAAATACAAAGCACTCTATTATGTATAACAATGCCAAAAGAATTATCTGAAGAACAGATCGCAAAACTTAAAGAGGTTTTTATAAAATTTTATGAAAACGGTGACAGAACAATTAATATAAGGCACTTAAGCACAGTTATGAGGGCATTTTGAGAAAGTCCAACTATTAGGTCTTAATTCTTAAATTTATGCCTAAACTCTCTGAATGTAATTTGTCACTCTGGCTATATAATTTTATTTTGAGGTTTGCTAATTTAAAAAAAAATCGCCATTTTGTCTCATAAAATGTCGCATTAAAATGCTTAAATTTGCAACTGATATATCATAATAAAATATGTTACACAATTTTACCGATCAACAGATTACAGAATTTAAAGACGCTTTTTCATTATTTGACCAAAACGGAGATGGGGGCATCTCAATTTTGGAATTATCTACAGTTATGAGATCCTTAGGACAGAATCCAACAGAAACTGAGCTTCAAGATATGATAAACGAAATAGACACAGACGAGAATGGAATTATAGATTTTACCGAGTTTTTGGGTCTTATGGCTAAACAAATGAAAGGACAAGACTCAAAAGGTGAACTTTTGGAAGCTTTTAAAATATTTGATAGGGATGGAAACGGTCTAATAAGTGCTTCAGAACTAAGATATGCTATGACTAATCTTGGAGAAAAATTAACTGATGAAGAAGTAAATGATCTGCTTAAAGAAGCTGACTTAGATGGGGATGGACAAATAAATTTTGATGAATTTGTAAGAATGCTTGGCCAAGCACAAATAGGACCTCGGGACCCCCACCCCCCCACCCCATATACATAGCTTTTTGTAGAATATTAATAGTTTAAGCCTAAGTGAAGGAAACTAAAGTTTTATACTCTAAACTATAGCTCATACCCCTTTATAGATCCCTTTATCGTGCAAAGTGTACTTGACTATTGAAAGACCAAAACAGACTCTCTCAAAGAGATGAGCTCAATCTCTATATCAGAAAGTTCTAAAAAGTGGCATACCAAAAAAATAGTGGCAAGTGCGAAAAAAGTTGGTAAGCAAAATACGATTAGACTTAAGATAATTAATTATCATCTCTTTCGTTAAATTGATTTAATAAAATAATATCTACATGTAGATTTGACTATGGATTATCTTTGGATTTACATAAGTCAAGATTCTACTGGAGTTTTTGATTGATATGCTTACTGGAGTTATAGCACTTGGAGATCTATACAACCGTTTACTCAAGAAGTTCCTCCTTTGCATTCTCAATTTAAAAGTTCAGGTGCAATTTCTTCCATACTGGACTCTATCTTTATAATCGCTTAAATTGAAACAAAATTCAATTTTATAATAAAAATTTTATAGATAAAAATCATAATTTTTATGTAAAAAGTTTCGGTATAAGTTAATGTTTCTTCTTAACTAAAATTAAAAATTTAGTTATATCTTGCTCTTTTTAAAGAAAAGAACATAAAGAGCTTTTTATTTAAATACATTTATTATCTTTAATTGCTATATTTTTTAAAAATTTAATTTTATTTTTAAAAATTTTTCAACAAAAAAAATATAATTTATTGCATTTATTTCTTATCATGCATATGATGTTATTTGAATTTATTATTTAGAAACCAAATATACGTTTCAAAACGCAGATTTTAGTGCGCCAAATTAATAATTTAAATTTCATATAAAAATAGTGTGTATAACTGCCATAAGAAATTAAGCCAAGGGATTATATTTTTTTTATTTATATAATTTTGATAAAAAATTTAATGCGAATTCTTTACAAAAATTGAAAATTTACTTTATTTCTTGCTTTATTTTAGCAAAAGAGTATAAATAGTCACTTAATTAAACAAAATTAACACTTTGATCGATAAATTTTCTAGAAATTTATTAATCTAATTCGACACATTTTTTAATTTTTTTTTATAAGAATTTTATATTGATTTTTTTTATAAGAATTTTATATTGATTTTTTTTATAAAAAATTTTCTTAACCCTTCTTTTAAATTGGAACAAATATTTGGTCCAATTTAAAGGGAGGGAGTTAAATCAAAATCCTACTGGAGTTTTTGCACGATATGCTTACTGGAGTTATAGCACTTGGAGATCTATACAACCGTTTACTCGGGAAGTTCCCCATTTGCATTTTCACTTTTGACAATTTATTTCATAATGGACTCCATCTTTATAATCACTTAAGTCAGGATCCTACTAGAGTTTTTGATTGATATGCTTACTGGGGTTATAGCACTTGAAGATCTATACAACCGTTTACTCGGGAAGTTCCCCACTTGCATTTTTAAACTCATTTCTATAAATTTATCTCAAGCACTTTTTACATAAACAAATAACCAAAAATATTAAATCTATTAAAATTTATATGTAGCATTTATTATTATAATTATCATTAATTAAGGCCTGAAAAATAAGATTTTTAATTATTAATCAATTCCAGTCTAATTGGGTATGTTAAGTTTTAAATTATTTTATTAATAAAGCCATTTTAAAAATTTGCGTGTTTGCTTACCAACTTTTTTCACACTTGCCACTATTTTTTGGCATGCCACTTTTTAGAACTTTCTGATATAGAGATTGAGCTCATCTCTTTGAGAGAGTCTGTTTTGGGTCTTTCAATAGTCAAGTACACTTTGCTCGATAAAGGGATCTATAAAGGGGTATGAGCTATAGTTTAGAGTATAAAACTTTAGTTCCTTCACTTAGGCTTAAACTATTAAATATTCTACAAAAAGCTATGTATATGGGGTGGGGGTGGGGGTGGGGGTGGGGGTGGGGTGGGGGGGGGGGGGTGGGGGTGGGGGTGGGGGGTGGGGGTGGGGGTGGGGGTGGGGGTGGGGGTGGGGGTGGGGGTGGGGGTGGGGGTGGGGGTGGGGGTGGGGGGTGGGGGTGGGGATGGGGGTGGGGGTGGGGGTGGGGGTGGGGGTGGGGGTGGGGGTGGGGGTGGGGGTGGGGGTGGGGGTGGGGGTGGGGGTGGGGGTGGGGGTGGGGGTGGGGGGGTGGGGGGGGTGGGGGTCCCGAGGTCCTATTTGTGCTGGACCAAATGCTTACCGCAAATTAAAACATATAAATAAAAATCAAATTTTTCTAAATTATTTTTATCTGCAATTTTATAATTAAATATGTTAATAATTATAAATATGCTTGCTTCTTTTAAGTGGATATACAGATTCCATGATTTTCTCTATATCACTTTTTTCATCAACTCTTTTTATTTTTCTTGAAAAATCAATAGGCTGAATATCGTGTTTAGGAGCACCTGGCGAAATTATTGGCTCTATCGTTATCTTTTTCAAAGCTTTTTTAACAACATTGCTATGATGCCCTATACTAGAAAACTCTTCGTTTTGTTTTTCAAAATTGCAGTCTAATTTTGTAGGTCTTCTCTTGATCCTCACTTGTGAAAAATTAGGATTTTTTAAAGGAAAAAGGTGATAGACAAGCTCAAAGCCTTTGGAATAGTTCTGAGGGCTATTAGAATTAGAGCTTGGGTTAGTCGGAGGTGTAATTGGAGAATTGTACCTATTTTTTCCTGAAATTTGTGTTGGGTTAGTTAAGAAAATTGATGGCCCTGATCGTTCTGACACTGATGCATTGTGGATTTTTGAATTTTCAAGATTAAGTGACCGTCGCCCTGAAGAGACCCAATTTAAATTATTTTGTCTGATGCTGAAAGAGCGAGATGGCAAGGTTTTTAAATTCAAAATTGGCACTTCAACTAGAATTGATGATGAACTTCTTGAATTTTTTGAGATTTTCATTATAAAAATTATTAAAGATGAAACAGTTGATTAAAAATAAATCAGGCTCTATGACTTATCTGTGCCATCATGAAAAAAATTGAAATAATTATTTTCATAATTATCTAAATCCTATAAGTATTTAATTTAATTTAAATTCTGCCCATAATATCTGTAAAGGACAATTGCCCTTTTACTTAATCCTATATTTAACTTTCATAACTGTAAACCTATCTTCATCGAAAAATCCTTATAGATCTCGAAGATTTATTTAAAAATCAGCAAAAATCCTCACTCCCACCTCTGTGAGCAAACAAAACCATTAGAAAAAATCCCTATTTTTTGCCCAAAAAAAACCAAATTGTTTTATTAAAAAATTGATATATAAATTAATTATTATAGCGAAATCTCTAGCAAAATTCTGATTAATTTTAAACAGCTTGAGTTTTAAAATATAAATTTCGCAAATTAAATTAATTTTTGCTTCTCAATTTTTACAAATTGGAAATTTTTAAAATTTTGGGACAAAAAAAATAACCCCCCTCTGTGAGCGAACAAAAATTTTTTGTTCGCTCACGGAGCGGGGGAGTCAGTAGTTTTTACCACATTCGAATATAACCATTTCTAGTAATATAAACGTGGAATTTATTATGGCAGCTTATTATCATTATTCCTATGGGTGACTTTTTAATCAAACCGACAACTTAAGTTATAATAAATTATGAAAGAAGAAGAACAAATAGACGAAATTAAAAGGAAAAGACTCGAAAAAAACAAAGCAGCAGCCATGAGAAGCAGACTCAAGAAAAAGCTTGAGGCGGAACAGTTAAGAAGGCACGTATCAGAATTGAGCGAAAGCAATCATAATCTCAAAGCAAGCCTCCAGCATTACGAAGCGCTATTACAAGCAGCTTATAGCGAAAATCTCGTCCTGAAGGCAAATATTTGTTATGTCTCGAGCGAAAATGAATTGCTTAAAACACGCGACGAAAGCAAAATTAAGAATAAACTCCTATATACATAAAATGGCGTATGGCGACCGAAGAGTCCTCCCAGTGACGGTGACCCATGTATATCCGGGCATGGTTTCAGGAGAAGCGACTTAGCCCAGCAGTATCTGGACCCTGGTGGCGACCGGGGAAGAAACACAGACCCGCTGATCGTGGCCAGATCCTAGGGCAGTTAGGAGCATCTTCTTTTTCCAGCAGCGCCCAAGCCTGTAGGTGCCCGAAATGGAGCAGGGCGACTTACCTGCTCAAGCTGCTACTGTGGTCTGCCCAGAATCGCGGAAGCGATTGAGAATTTTCTCAAGCGGATAAACTGGGAAAAGGGGAGGCAGATTAGACAACAAGGCGGTCTCTCCAGTTTAAAAGGGTCCTTAACAGAAGGACGACCTGACCAACCGGAGACAAAGACTGGTGTAACTCTCGGGCGGAAGGGCTGAGTTGGAAATGGTGGTGCTCGGCGACGGTCGGCTGACGACCCAAATAGGGCAACCACTACCGAGAAACCAGGGGTTTCGACCTGGGCTCAGAAAACCAGTGATGGAAAGTCCATCCTTTTCGCTCGTGCCAGCACGGCTCCTCACGGAGCGCGGAGGAATGTCACGCATGGAAGAAGGGACCTTAAATATATATCGTTAATTTATTTATTTATTAAGAATAAAACTCCTAAATAGTTCTTAATTGTATCTAATCGGCATCATCTTATAAGCCACTAAATTGCTAGCAGATCTCCACAAAAATGACAACTAATTCGATAAAATATGGAAACTTTTTATAATTAAAAACTCGATTTTAAAAGACTTTTGTATGTCTATAATTAATATTTTGAAATTTTTTTGGTGAATTTTGATAATATTTTGGTTTTTAGAAAGAAAATTTGATTGGAAATTGAGATTATTTGTAATTTTTATGGCTTTTAATATATATATTTAATAAAGTTCAGATTTTATTAAAGCTATATAATCTTTTATTTATTCTATTTTTATATTATTTGTAGCTGAGAAATCAAAAAACTCTTTAAGTTTTTATATATATAATAATAACTTATATTGGTGTTGATCAACAAAAATCATATAAATCTCTAATTTTGCAAAGTAAAATCATATGATTTTCTTTTAAATTATCAGATAATGCAAATATATTATATCCTTTACAGTTTAATAACTATGGAACTTTTAAGAGAACCAATATTTGCAAGAGAAAGGCTTTTTTTGCCTTCATTCCCTGTCCGATCATTTGAATCCAAAAGGCATCATAAATCAAAAACAATTTCACTAGACAAAACCAAAAATTCTTTAAATCAGAGTATTGATAGCAGCTTTGGGAATTTTAAAGATATCTTTAAACATAATAAAAACCCAGTCCTAAGGCCTATTTTCAGAGATCATCAATATATTGGTCCAAAGTATCCAGATACTCCTAAGCATCCAAAAAGAGTAAAATTAGTAAATCTAACATTTACAGATAGAAGTATCGGCAATTCACCAATTAAATTATCCCTAAATCTTAAAACTAATGCAAAATCAACCTCATTATCATCTCCTAACCAAAAAGCCGAAGCCAACAATGCCTCGCTATCTCTGATTGCATCTCAAAAACTTCCTGAATCCCAAAAATTAGCTCAAAATAATCGTGAAATTGACAGTCAAGAGTCATTTGATGATTCCGGAGTTTTACGCAACCCAATATATAGGAGAGGCAGCAATGGATTTTTCAAGGCAAGATTATTTTCTTCAGGAACCACTAGCAGTATTGAACAAAAACAAAGGTCAATTGGCGAAATGATTAAAGAGTCTGATCAAAATTTAGAAAAAATCAAAGAAGTTGCAATAATTGATTTTTCAGCCAGAATTGAAGAAAAACCAGCAATAAGCCATAGGAAGAGAATAGTGTCAAAAATGGTAAATAAAGATACATTGAAAGTCAAGGAGATGCGGCTTCCTACAGCTGCAGAGCCATCTCCAGATCCTATTCAAGCTGAGATAATTTTGCATAGTAAGTATTCATCACAAAATAATTAATGTTTATTTATAATGATTATTTAAATTAAAAAATAATTTCTTCCAATATTTTCTAACTTTTCCAATTCTGATCGCACCATTTATATCCTCCATACCAGCTTTAACCATTTCCAAGCATTTTTAATTCTGTTCAAAATAATTAAAATGGAAGGATTTCACCCATTATCTCCTCCTCCAAATTCCTCGAAAAAAGCATTTTTTGCTATTTTTACCGTCCTCGCCATCATCGGCACAATTTCTTTATTTTCTCTTCTAAATAGCCCTTCAAAACTCCCTACAGACCTCCAATATCAAATAGAAGAGCAGGAATTTCAAGATTTCATCATTAAATGGAACAAAATTTATTCTGCAGAAAATGAATACCAGGCTCGTTTTAAAATTTTCCAAGAAAACTCTGGCTTTATCCGAATTTTTAATTCTCAAGGGCATACTTGGACATTAGGCATAAACGAATTCGCTGATATGGCGCCTGCTGAATTTAAAAGTATTTACACCCCAAGTAAATTTCCTATTAAAAATGGGGAAAATTATGAGGATTTTGAAGGACTTGAAGTACCTACACAAATTGATTGGACTACTCTTGGCGCTGTTACCCTTGTGAAAAATCAAGGCCAATGTGGAAGTTGCTGGGCATTTTCTACAACAGGGTCTGTAGAAGGGGCTTGGTTTTTAGCAGGACATACACTAACACCTTTTTCTGAGCAAGAGCTTGTAGATTGTTCAAGGACTTATGGGAATATGGGCTGCAATGGAGGTCTTATGGACTATGCATTTAAATATATAGCCAAATATGGAATAACTACAGAGGAAAACTATCCATATACAGGCAGAAATGGACGTTGTAACTCAGAGAAGGTAAAACAAGTCGCTGCCACCATTTCTTCATTTAAAGATGTAGGCTCTAATAGTGTAGATGATCTACAAGCAGCAGTTTCTTTACAGCCTGTAAGTGTAGCGGTTGAAGCTGACCAGATTGCTTGGCAATTTTATTCAGGAGGGGTTGTAACGAGCAGCTGTGGGACTGCTCTGGATCATGGAGTTTTGGTGGTTGGATATGATATGGCCAATAATCCACCATTTTGGAAGGTGAAAAATTCGTGGGGAGAACAGTGGGGTGAAGCTGGCTATATAAGAATTGGGGTAGTTGCAGGAAAAGGACTATGTGGAATACAAATGCAGCCAAGCTACCCAGTAGTTTAAAAAATTATTAAAGTTTACCATATTCTAATAGCAAATTAAGCTTAATTATTTATATTTATTTAGCGATGATTATAGACTTGGCTCATTTAAGCTAAAAATTGTCAAAAGAGCAACATAAAAACTCTCACCTGGGAGAAAAATTAACTTAATAAAAGGCCGCTCTTGGTCGATCGAGCTACAATTTTGTGGATAATAAATTTTCTATAAAATAGCAAATCATACAGAAATCTTCTGTGGTCACTCACATTAAAATGTGAAAATGTCTCCTTGATTCCTAATGAAATATTATAAGCTTTCATAAGGACATAAATTGAGGAATCTTTCTCTAGTAGCCTTATATTTTCATTGCTGTTGGTATATATTAGATCTCGCCATGCACTGTCTTCAATATTTTTATTCTGATGATGCTTTAGCTCATGCTTTAAAATGGGTGAGGTTAAATAAAGGGTTCCTTCACACGACGACTATTTCATAACGACTATTTTTTTTTTCACCTATTTTTTTTTGGCCTATTTTTTTTTTGGCCTATTTTTTTTTTGGCCTATTTTTTTTTGGCCTATTTTTTTTTGGCCTATTTTTTTTTGGCCTATTTTTTTTTGGCCTATTTTTTTTGGCCTATTTTTTTTGGCCTATTTTTTTTGCCTAGCCTCATTCATGAAGCTGCTGAGAGGACTACAACCTTATTGAGAAACAGAGACCTTTCCTTACGCGATTAATATTGAGTAAATTAAGTTAAAAACTCCTAATTAAACCTAAAATTCTCGAAATTTTAAAAGCAATGAATTAGTATTCATGGAGTAAGAAATCTGTTAAGGGTGCATTTTTTGTTGGTTAAATCGTTTAAAAACACATTAAAAATTAGATTAAAAACAATTAGTATGGAATTATGCCCAAATATTAGTAAAAAATAGTTAAAAAATTGTCAAAAAAAAGGCCAAAAAATAGGCAAAAAAAAAAATAGGCCAAAAAAAAATAGGCCAAAAAAAATAGGCCAAAAAAAAATAGGCCAAAATAAAATAGGCCAAAAAAAAATAGGCCAAAAAAAATAGGTGAAAAAAAAATAGGCCAAAAAAAAAAATAGGCCAAAAAAAAATAGGCCAAAAAAAATAGGCCAAAAAAAAATAGGCCAAAAAAAAATAGTCGTTATGAAATAGTCGTCGTGTGAAGATACGTAAATAAAGCACACCATGCTTTCTCAAACCTCTACAAAACCTATAAAAATGACTGTGATTTTCAAAATGGATTTTTGGCATGAAAAAAGTGTAAATGGTAGTTTTTGAAATTTCAAAAGTAAAATGGTGCTTTAAAACAGCAAAAAACAGAGGAAAAAAGTGCATATAAAAATTTATATTCTATGCAAATTTAACAAGAGAAAGCTCAAGATGGGATTAGCTCGAATTTTGAAGATTCAACAACGAAAGAACATAAGAATCTTGCAAAAGAAAAAATGCCAACTGTTTTGGAAAATTGGAATAAATATATGCCCTGAGCAGATAAATTTGATCAATCTTTAGAGAATTATAAAAAACAACCACAAAAAAATAAGTAATGAAGAAACTTTTTATTTATCCTTAGAGAAAATATAATAATAAATTAATCTTTATTTATAACACTATTAGGAAGATCTTTTCACTCATAAGAGTATAATTTTATTTGCTAGTATACAATATATGCAATCCCATTTTGAGCTTTCTCTGCTTAAATTTGCTTAGCCATGATAGAATATAGATTTTTATATATACTTTTTTCCTCTGTTTTTTGATGTTTTAAAACACCATATATACTTTTTTCATCCCCTGCTTGGTAAATTTCAAAAAGTAACAACTGTATTTTTTTTCATACCAAAAAGCCATTTTGAAAATCAGGGGTACAGTGCACTTTTTAGCCTCACCGCTTTAAAAAATCGATAAACTAAAGCTTGGATTTCACTTGATCGCTTATAGCATTGTAGAGGATCGAAATACTCCACTCTAAATTCTTTTAAATTTAATGATAGCAAAGTTCAGTTATTGTCAGCTGGAATAGGGAATAATAAAATACTAAATAAAAATTACTCATAATTGAATGGGTTATTTTTCGCATGATACATACGATTATGAGTTTTACTAAAAATTCTGTTAGAAAACTCGGTGTTCGAAATCAGGACTTTTTCTCTGATTTGGTTAGTTTTCAGCTTATAATGGTTATGATGCTTGAAAATCGTCATGCAAGCATCAATAATTTTATTGGGAATTGGCTGCTTAGATTTTATTGCTACAAGTTCTTCGTTAGAAATTTGGATTTTTTTTACATTTAAAAATGATCCAGGCTGAGATGCTAGTATATACTCTTTACTGGAAACATTTTCAGGTCTTTTATGGTCCTCAGGGCTGATTATTCTCCTTTTCTGAGCGGCTGGCTGCTGATTAATAGAGGAACTTGATTGAGGGATATTTAGATTAATAAGGGTAGCTGGGATAAGATTTTCAATCTCAGATATACAATATAGCACTGAAAAGCTTATATAAATATAATAGATTTGTATAGAATAGCATACTTCAAATCATTTTAATTGATTATAATTTAGCAGGACTCGAACAAACTGAGTTTGTATCTTTGAGACTATTAGCAGCTACTACTTGAAACCCTGGGTTTTTGCGAATGTGGGTAATATCAGCAGGCTCAGTAGACATACATCTAAGCAGTGAAACGGACGTTAAAGTAGCTGACAGGTCCATCCTTGGAGCAGTCTTTCCTTGCAAGAACGCTGGAAGAGTAGAATTCATCAGGTTTTTTGAACTGGAGAGTTTCGCATAAGGAGAACTATTCGGGCTCCTTAATGAAGATTTAATTGACCCAGATCGATCACTCCTGTTCGTAGGACTCACAACAGTATGATTAAAAGACTGAGCTCGAGGACGACGGTTCGAATTTATATTGTCATTAGGAGAATTGGCTTCATTATGTTAAATTAATTTTTTTAAAATTCCTTGCCATATATAAAGACAGTACTTATACAAGCTTAAGACAGCCTAATTTACTATAAAATTTTAATTAAAAAATTGGCTTCATCCATTTTCCGAATTTTAATGTAACAAACTCTCTGAGTTTTTAAATTTTTGACGACATATTTAATTAACTTTTGTTTTTTAATAGTTCTCTTACACTACGAATTCTTTTCCTCCTATTGATTTCTTTATTAAATAAATTTGTACTGAAGAAATCAAAACTAACGCTACTAATTTCAAAAATGCGCTCCTTAGGACTCAATCACAAGTATTTTCAGTTAAATCCCTATGGACAGCTTCTCTTCTCTGGTAGAATTTTATATTATTTTTGACTCTTTCCAGGCTGTTTTCCATTTCATTCAAGTTTTTCAATAATGGCTGCAGCTCATCATGTTTTGCGACTGAATTATTTTCTTTATTTTTAACAGAAAATTCGAAATTGACAGTTTTAAGCTTCCCATCAATTGATTTAAAGCAGACTTTGTAATACCCTCCACGTTCTGAATGAAATACAAAGTTTCCTTCTCTGGAGCGATATGGGCTTTTATATATAATTTCGTCATCTGGGTTAGTTACTATAGCCCTTACATTATAATCTGCTCTGCCAGAAACAACATAGGAGCCGTGGACTTCTGAACCAACTATTGTGAATTCTCTAAAGCATTTTTCTGTATGTCCTGGGATATCAAAAAATACTCCAGTTGTTAGGGGAAGAAAAATAGATAATAGAATTATCATATTTATTAGTCATTTATAAATATTTACCTTAAGCTGCTCCAGAGTTAATGCTTCCTCTATAATTAAAATGGCCCAAGTCGACCCTATCTGGAAATTTTGCCAACTTCTTGACAGACTTGTAAGGAACGATAAAAGGATTATTGACTGTTTGACGGCTATAGCAAGAGACTATCAAGGTCTAGGCGCCCATCTGGTAGAAAAAATCGAGTACAAGCTGTTTTCTACTGTAGAGCCATTCAGAAAATTGCTTTATCTATATGTGATTGACTCTATAAGCTTTAATGTTCCAATAATAAGGGACTATTTAAGCCATAGGGTGGCTAATATTTTTACCCATTGTTTTAAGCTTGCAGATACATTTATCAAAAAAGATATAGAAAAATTGCTCATTGTGTGGGAAACACAAGGAAGGTTTCCTTTGAGGGTTCTTGAAGAAATGAGGGAAAAAATGGCTCCGACGCCTCCGTCAATATCCTCTCCTATAAATTCTCCAGATGGACCTGGACTTTTTGATTTAGGAGAACTTGGGGACTGACTGTCACAGAATTCGTATTGTCCTCAAGAGTTATTAATACAAGGGATCGAGGACAGTTCGCCGCTATTGTATTCTTGCTTATTGGCTTCTGAAAGGAGCAAGGCTGAGCTTGAAAAATTATCTATGAAACTTTCTATTGTTGATCCAAGAGATATACACAGATATTTAATAACAGAATTATATGATGAACTGCCTAAGCAATGCTTAATATGTGGCCTACGATTTGGGCTAGATTCAGAACTTGACCTACACCTAGACTGGCATTTTGCTGAAGGAGCCAAAAAACAGCCACTTAAACCTTGGCTCCCTATCCCAAATACATGGATTGACCCTAGGCTGCATATAGGCTTACTAGATGAAGAAGCTCCTAAAGAAGTAATCGAAGTAGAGCATCCATGGGCGCCTTGCAACCCTGACCAGCTATCATGCCCTCTCTGTGGAGAGCTCTTTGAAATAATCCCAAAAGAAACTGCCTGGTTCTGTAAAGATGCTTCTAAGGTATTTGTGACTGACCAAAGCAAAGAAGTGATTTTACATACACAATGCATCAATAGTATTTCTCATAGCCAAACTATAGTACAGCCTATAGAAAATTATGAATTTGAGGATGCATTTTTTTAAAAATAAATAATACAATTACAATGTTAAAAAAAGTAAAATTAAAAATGGGGCAAGTCTTCTTCAGTTTTTTCAATTTTTGTGCTGCAGCTGCTAGCATTATCGCTGAAAAGATCTTCAAGCCAATCGACTGCGCCATTATTTCAAATTCCTTCTTTTGCATTCCCTTCTGTATCAATTAACACTCCTCTTCCTTCTTCTTTAAAATCTACAATTTCTCCTTTAAACTTCGTCCCATCTGGATAGCTCATAAGCCCAAAAGCTCTATTTCCACTAAAATACCCCACAAATACTTTGCCATCTGGGTATTTCAGCATTCCTTCTTCATTCATGACCCCGCATTTGAAATTTCCTTCATATTTTGTCCCATCTTCCCATATTAGTTTTCCTTCCCCATCTCTTTTTCTATTTAAAAATGTCCCTTCGTATCTTTCTCCATTTATTCCAAATTCTATGCCAATTCCTACGACTTCTTGTGAGTAAAAGGTTCCTCTGATGATTCTTCCGTCATGAAAATGGAGAGTCCCAGACCCGTCTTCTATATCTCCTTTCCATTCCCCTTCAAACCAGTCACCATTTGCAGAGATAAGTCTGCCTTTTCCGCTCCGGAATTTGTATTCTCAGTATCCTTCATATAAAGAGCCGTTTTTATAGAAACAAATTCCTTTGCCGTGGGGTTTATTTCTCATCCATTGGCCAATGTATATATTTTCATCTGGTAATAATACATAGCTACGGTCTGAAATATCGCTGCTGAGCCTTTGTTCATAGTCTCATACGAATTCAGGGATTTTTTCTTTTAACTTTAATACTTCAGAAGATAAATATTTATAAGCTTGTTCTTCAGTGACTTCAACTGTTTGAAATTCTTCATAATGATAGTCAGTTTTAATATAAACTATGCTTTCTCTTGATGATTTTCTACCTTCATTTGATTTTTCTGAAGACTTAGGGACAATTATATATTTCCCTTTATAATGGTCATTTTCTGCTTGAATAATGGTCTCGTGAATATTATCAAAATCAAAGACTCCAGCCACTTCTGTTTTATATAAAAAATTATTTTCCTGGATTTTTTTCAAAATTTTGAACCTTTTCACTGAGCTTAATTTTTCAAACCAGTCTTTTACTCAAAGTCCTCCTATTTTTTTGCCATTAAAAACGATTTCTTCATACGGAATTTCTCGAATGTCAGTTTTTAGCATATTTCCATACATATATAATTCTCCTCCGTCTTCTAGTAAACTTAGTATTTTCCCTGTAAAGCTTCCTCCAATAGGATCAAATGCACACGTAGGGTTAAGATCCTGGCACATATACTTTAATTTCGCTTCAAAGTTCGGTTCACTTGATACAAGAATGAAATCCGCTGCAATTCTTGTCAAACTATCAAATCCTTCATGATTTCTTACAATATTTATGCACTTCAAATTATTATAATTTGAGTATTTTACTATCATTTTTCCAATAGAAGAAGATGCAGCATTATGTAAGGATCCCCCCCCTCATTTGTCCAATTTTCTAGTCTTTTATCATTTGTCCATTTTTTCTAGTTTTTTTTTATAGGAAAAAAAAATTTTTTTAGGACCTCATTTGTCCAATTTTCTAGTATAATTTTGATAGGAAAAAAAATTTTTTCAGGACCTCATTTTCTCATTTTCTAGTTTTTTTACAGTAAAAAACTAAAATTTAGGACATTCGAAAAATCCAAAAATGACTAGAAAATGGGACAAATCATTTTTGACTAGATTTTGGGACAAATGAGGTCCTGAAAAAATTTTTTTTCTTGAAAAAAAAAACTAGAAAATTGGACAAATGAGGGGGGGATCCTTATAAAGCAGGAGTGCTTGCCTTTTTTAATTTTTTCAGCTATCATCATAGCAGTTAAAGGATTAATCATCATTAAGCTTCCTTGGTCTGCTTAAAATTTATTTTTTATAAAATTTGCTTTTAAAAATAATAAAAAATTATAATAAAACTCCTTGGTATCAATTAAGATCATCATGTATAACACTACAATATTTTATGCTACATAAAACATATTCCGCTCATGTGCCTGGCAATGATGCGTCAAATTGCCAAAAACAGACCCGTTTTCCATCTAAATATCAACCTTTAGCCCCACCGCCACTTTTTATTACAGTTCCAGATCCTTCAAAACCAGGGACTGCAGGGAGTGCTTTAATTATGGGATGTGAGCCATATATAAAAGCTAGGTCCATTGGATGTATAGGAGCTGCTTCAACTTTAATTAGAACTTGGCCTTTATTTGGGATAGGAATAGGGACTTCTTGGATTTTTATTGATGAAATGTCGCCGTATTTGCAAAGAAAAGCAGCTTTCATCATTTTAACAAAATCCTTTTATTTTTATATAATATTTTATATTAAATTCACAATTATTTTGATATAGAAAATAATAAGAAAAGCTTAATTTAATGCAAAATATATATAAAATGAACCTTGAAGAAGACCTAAGAATCACACTAAATCGAACTTTAGAACTAGCTGTAGGCCTTGAACAATTAAATTTTGGCAATGCCCCAAGACAATTTGGTGAACGCGCTAGAAAAAGAATTATTTCTATATCTGGCGATATCAAAGGGCTAGCTGTTTTAATGAAACAAAACGAAAAACCTATAAACTTCACTCCAAGCTCTGCAAGAATTGCTGCTTCTCATACAGCAACGCCTAAAGAAGTTGTAATTGAAGACACCCCTGTATTTAAAACTAAGAAAAAACTATCCTATACACTGCAAGAAACAAATCATAGACTCAAGCAAAATCGAGCAGGCAAAAAAACAGTCAGCGATTTAATTGACCAAAAAGTGTGTCCCCCTTTAAATAGAACTCATTTATCATTAGATTTCAATGAAAACAAAGAAACTTCTTTATGCTCACTCCCCCCCCCCTCCGTGAGCGAACAAAAAAATTTTTGTTCGCTCACGGAGGGGGGTTAATTTTTTTTTTTTAAAAAAAAATTTATATAAAATTTTAATAAAAAATATTTTTTTTTCGAAATTTAAAAAAATCCTAATTTGCAAAAATTGGGAAGCAAATATTAATTTAATTGCAAAATTTATGTTTTAAAACGCAATTTGTTTAAAATTAAACAGAATTAGCTCTAGATTTCATTATACTAATTATCACTTATATATCAAAATTTTTTTTCCATTAAATTTTTTCTATTAAAAAAATTTTTGTTCACTCACGGAGGGTGGGTTTTTGGTCAAAAAATGGCGATTTTTCTAATGGTTTTGTTCGCTCACGGAGGGGGGGGGGAGTCAGGAACCTATGAAAAACCCTTACCTTACGTTTCTCTAACAAATGGGAAAATTGAACCCCCGATTCGTCTTCCTACATTTAATGAATATTTAAAATTTATTGGTGATGAATATGTGTTCCAAACAGGAAAAAGCGAATTTCTTCATAGGATTGATAAAGCAGAACACAAGCTATCGAGCTTAAAAATCAATTTAGATAGCAAACTTATAGGGAAACCGCAAAGAACTGCAGCAACTAGACATAGGCTGACGAGAGGAAGGAATCTTAGGGTGCAGTTTTCGAGAAGGTGGAACTCGGCTGATGAAGAAAATTTAGAAAGCTTGATTTCGAGGACTCGTGAAATAAAAGATATTATGGAAAAATATTTTCCAACGGAGCAGAAAAGAGAAAAATTGTTGAAAAATGAATTTTCTGACTATGTTAGCCCAGAAAATTCGCTTGATAATACTTTGAAAAAGTTTTATAAGAGTAAAGCGATGGAAAACCAGAAACTGGCTGATATTTTGGATAGGATGAAAATTGATAGGCCGAATTCTTTGAAAAAGAAAATATTTCTGATACAAGATGACCATGAGAAATATAAAAATCAGTTAAAGTGGGTTAATTTATATAAAGCCATACCAAAATGACATAAAATTATTATTTTTATTAATATAACATAGCATATATTCAATTAAAAAATTTGATGGATTCAGGGAAAATGTAGAGGTCGAGAAAAGAAAAGCACAGCTAAAAACCTATAAACAAGGACTGTTATATTTAAAAATTCTTGAAACTTTTAGAGCTGAGAAACATCAGCCAAATCAAGCGGAGCTTGATTTATTAAATAACTGAAAAGCATTTGTGGAAGGAGGAATAACAATAAAAAGAGGAGAACTCGATAAAATGAAGGATCAATTAGACTTAACAGAACTATCAGATCCACAAGTAAAAGATCTGCTTGAAAAATTTGAAGAAAATATTTATTAAGATAATAAATTTCAGTTATTTATCATAATTTCCTAAATATTTTAAAATTTATACCCTTTCTTGTATCCATTCTAAAATTCTATCTATAATTTCATAAACTTGTGGCTCATTAGAAACAGCGTGATACATTTCTTTATAAAATGCATACTCCTTATCCTCCACTTTTGAATTTTTCACAAATTCTCTTGCTTGTTGCTCATTTACAATGGCATCATGCCCACCTTGAAAAAGGATAAAGGGTGTAGTAACGTTTCCGATCTGATCTTGGACCTCTTCAAATCCTCTTAAAAGGGCAGCACCAGTCCCAGCATTAAGCCGCCCAAAATAAGTATCAGGGTTTTCTTCCCACCACTGAGCATTTATAGGGTTACTGCAGGCTAAATTAGGGTCAGTCCCTTTAAGTGGCATTCCTGACCAACACCATGCGAAGCATCTGACTAATTTCACTAAAAACGGGGCAAGGTCTGGATTTACACCTAAGGCTGGGGCTAGTAAAATCATCCCATTTATCATTGTAGGGATCCTTAATGCTATATCAATACAAATAGTCCCACCCATACTTTCTCCAATAATGAAAGCGGGCGTTTCATCAGGGTAATGCTCTTTGGTTTTTGATATAAATTCAATTCCGTTGTTAACTAAATCGTCAAAATCTCGTATATTGCCTTTAGGACCTTCACTTCTACCGTGGCCAGGCTGGTCAAAGCCAAAAACTGCGAATTCTTGTTCAGCGAATTTTTTTGCAAAATGTGAATATGAGCTGGTAGCTGAATGCAGACAGTGGAAAATAAAGATAAGAGCCCGAGGGTTATTGGCAGGATATCTATATGTATGAAGCTTATAGCCTGCACTTGAGCGGAGATCAAGTCAGTCGTCTTCAGGGAAGCTAAGCCCTGCGCTTGGAATTGTTCCTTTATATTTAACCCACCATTCTGTCATATTTATTATTAAGGATATATGAAACGTCTAAAGAAATAAATAATGTTATTCAAAAAGACTATGTTATTCTCTTTTATAATAAAAAAATAGATAACCTTACCTATTTGTCTTATAAGCGAATTCCTATCAATATGAATATTTAATTATAATTATAATCTGCAGCCTACCCAAATCTGTATTTTTTCGATAATTTCAAAAATCTCAGGCTCACATGAAACCGCATGATTCATATTTTCATATAAAACTATTTCTTTATCCTCAACTTGGCAAGAATTTACAAAATTTGTAGCAGTTTCTAACTCCCCCCTCGAAGTTCGACCAAGATATAGGGAAAATTCCTATTTTTTTTGGAAAATTAACCCCCTCAAAGTTCGACCAAGATCTATATAAATTTACTAGGAAAATAAGCAATTTTTCAAAAAAATTTTAAACTATGTGGGGGTGAGCTTGCGATTTTTTGTATTCAAGTTCTAAAAAAGCGTTACAAAACCATCTTGCACTATTTTTTCTAACCCTTACACCCTCTCAACCATACAGAAGAATATGATAAATATTTTTTTTTTAACTACTAAATTATATAAAAAAAATTCTATATAATTTTTTTTTAAAAAAAATCTTTCTTAAACCCCCTCGAAGTTCGACCAAAAAAAATCTTGGTCGAACTTCGAGGGGGGGGAGTAAGCTTACTGTGTAGTCATTGCCTCCTTGGAATAAAATAAAAGCAGTTTCTAAACTTTTTCAATGGTTTTGCAAATCAAGGATACCTTTTAGTAAAGCTGAAGCTGTACCTATAGTCAGTTTTCCTGCATAGTTGTCAGGATTTTCTCTAAATCAGCTTGGATAGGCTTCATTTCGTGATGCTAAGCCTGGGTTTGCGTTCGCAATTGGAAGATTTGACCATATATTCTATTTTAATTAAATTGCCTATATTTATAAAGGCAAAATTTTCATACGAAATTTAAAGATAAAGACCATATAAGAAATAAATCTTGAAAATTTTGAAACTATCCCAGGAAAATATAAATTAACCCCCAATGCTGGCGCCAGAAGCACTAGCCCTCTTATAAGCGCAGGAAATCTCAAAGCGACATTAATGCACACAAGTCCTCCCATACTTCCTCCCATAAGGAAAATCGGGATATTTTCAGGGTAAAACTCCTTCGCAACACTAATAAAATCAATTGCGTTATTTATGCAATTTTCAATTGAAGCTACTTTTCCTCTAGGGCCTTCACTTCGTCCATGGCCTTCTTGGTCAAATGCAAGGATTTCATAGTTTTCTTCTGATAATCTCTGAGCAATATGGGTGAAACTGCCTGATGAAGATCATAAGCCATGAAAGAAAAATATGAGCGCTTTAGGATTTGGTGTATGAAAACGATAAGTAAAAAGCTTGAAACCTGAACGGGAATGAAAATCTAATCAGTCTTCTTCAGGATAAAAAATCCCAGCGCATGGTATTTGTCCTTTGTATTTTGCCCATCATTCCTCCATTTAAGAATTTTAAAGCGACCAGTCAATATAATTATTTAAATTATTTATTGTGCGATATTGGGGTTATTTCTTAAATAAATATTAACGATAATTTATTAAATTTTAAAGAGATTTTTATTATTATGACAGAAGTTGATTTAACCTTATATAATTTATGAATTTCTAAATTCTTGCTTGTATCCATGCCACAATCCTATCAAGAATCTGACTCCCCCCCCCTCCGTGAGTGAACAAAACCATTAGAAAAATCGCTATTTTTTGCCCAAAAACCAACCCTCCGTGAGTGAACAAAAATTTTTTTAATAGAAAAATGTTTTAAGGAAAAAAAATTTTATATATAAGTGATAACTAGTATAATGAAATCTAGAGCTAATTCTGTTTAATTTTAAACGAATTGCTTTTTAAAAACATAAATTTTATAAATTAAATTAATATTTGCTTTCCAATTTTTGCGAATTAGGATTTTTTTAAATTTCGAAAAAAAAAAGTTTTCTATAAAATTTCTATATAATTTTGTTTTAAAAAAAAAAAATTAACCCCCCTCCGTGAGTGAACAAAATTTTTTTGTTCACTCACGGAGGGCGGGGGGAGTGAGGGATTTGAGGCTCTAGAGAAATTAAATGATATCAGTTTTCATCATATGCGAACTCTTTATCTGCAGCTCCAGAATTTCGGAAAAACTGCCTAGATGCATCAATAGGGCACACTTCGTCATGCTCACCATGGAATAAAATAAAAGGCGTTCTTACCTGAGGGACCTGCTGCTGAGCCTCATTCATTCCTCTTGTAAATGCATCTCCTGTAGCAGGGCTTGTTTTTCCTAAATAAGTATCAGGGTTTTTTGTTCACCACTCTAGAATTTTAGGGTTGCTCGAAACAATTACCATATCTTTGAGGTCAAATGGCTCATCAGTTCATTTTTGAGCAAAAAATTTTGGGGTTAAACCTAATGCAGGGGCAAGCAAAATCATCCCTCTAATTACTTCAGGAATCTCTTAGTCCTTATATTCTAGCAAACACTTTGCTCTTACTCCCCCCCCCCCTCCCGTGAGCGAACAAAACCATTAGAAAAGTCGCCATTTTTTGACCAAAAACCCACCCTCCGTGAGTGAACAAAAATTTTTTTAATAGAAAACATTTTAATGGAAAAAAATTTTGATATATAAGTGATAATTAGTATAATGAAATCTAGAGCTAATTCTGTTTAATTTTTAAACAAATTGCGTTTTAAAACATAAATTTTGCAAATTAAATTAATATTTGCTTCCCAATTTTTGCAAATTAGGATTTTTTTTAAATTTCGAAAAAAATATTTTTTTATAAAAATTTATATATAAAATTTTTTTTTAAAAAAAAAAAAATTAACCCCCCTCCGTGAGCGAACAAAATTTTTTTGTTCGCTCACGGAGGGGGGGGGGAGTTAGAATTTGTATTTTTATTAAATTTTTGAGTTTTTTTTAATAATTTTAATTAGCCGATTTGAGAGATTCGAATAAGAAAAATGAAAATATTTAATGAGTGCATCAAAGATTATCTAAATCCTTGAAAATTAATTTAAAATTGATATCTAAAAAAATTTGTGTATTTTTCAATTTGATTCAAATCTAAACAAAAATTATATTAAAAGTTCCCAGGTTGGCTCTTAGAGAAATTCCTACACATGTTAACCCACCCATACTTTCTCCAATAATAAATACAGGAAGGTCTCGATCAAATTGCTGTCTTGTTTTTTCAATAAATTCGATACCTAAATTAATATTTTCGCTTATGTCTCTTAATTCTCCTCTTGCACCTCCGCTTTTTCCATGCCCTTCTTGATCAAACGCAAAAGCTGCAAAATTTGACTGTTCAAATCTTCTGGCTAGGTGAGAATAGCTGCTTGAAGCAGATATAGAGGCTGCCTTTGAGTAGCGCTCTAAGCGCCCGAGACTTCCCGACGAAGTCTGGGCGGTGGTTTTACCAGCTGATGTTGGTCAAACCAACATCCAAAATGACAAATTCTTCTCATACAGAAGGTTTGTCAAATTGGATGCTGGTTTGACCAACATCAGCTGGTCAAACCACCGCCCAGACTTCGTCGGGAAGTCTCGGGCGCTTAGAGCGCTACTCAAAGGCAGCCTCTATAGCCAACAATGGAAAATAAATATCAAGGCTTGGGGATTGTCTGGATCATGCCTATACGTAGTCAATTTTATTCCTTGGCTTGATAGAAGGTCAAGCCAATTTGTTACATAAAAAAATGTTCCAGCACAAGGAATAATTCCTTGAAATTCTTCATCAGGCCATCCTGACATTTTGAAATATTAATTGCTATTGTGAATTTAGCATTTTTTATAGAAGGATAAATTAATAAAATTGATTGTATAAACAGCTTGATTTTAAGTTATTAAGCAGCTTCCAAGCACTTAACATTGATGTGTCTGAAATACTTACTAGGCCTTTTTATATTTCCTTATATTTTGGTCTTACCCTCTCTAATAAAGCTTTAATTACAAGAATTACTATTGAGATCAGCTGACTTCTTACTTCATACAATTAAGCTAAATATATATAAGCTGCCTGAGCGAAAAAGCCAAACCTTGATTTTTAGGTAGAAGAAAGTCCAAAAACTAAATTACGCAGTATTTGGTTTCTCATTATCTAATCTATATTATATAAATATCTAGTTCTTAACCTTATGGATAATTAAATCCTTGCTTGTATCCATTCTACAATTCTATTAAGAACTAATGGAATTCCAGCTTCTAAAGAAATTATATGATATAAATTTTCATCATATACAAATTCTTTATCTTCAGCTCCAGAATTTTGGAAAAATTCTCTTGATACTTCAGCAGGGACTACCTCATCATGGGCTCCGTGAATTAAAAGAAAAGGCGTTATTACCTGTGGAGCCTGCTGATGAGTATCATTAATCCCTCTTGAGAATGCATCTCTTGTAATATCACTTGTCTTTCCTTCATAGGTATCAGGATTTTTAAGCCATCATTCATCAATCTTTGGGTTACTTGAAGACATTACTACATCCTTAGGGTCGAATGGCTCATCAGTTCATTTCTGAGAGTAAAATTTTGGAGTTGAGCCCAATGCAGGGCCAAGCAAAATCATGCCTCGGATTGCTTTAGGAATTCTTATTTCATTTGAAATTAAAATGAATTTTTTTATTCTCTTGTCTGGTAAAATATTAAAAAAAATTTTTCAATGTTGTAGGAATGGTGCTAGCATCGAGCAAATTCTGCTTTATGCTTATCTTTTTTTATATTTTCATATATGCTTTTTTAAAGATATATTTTTATTCCAATGTAAATCAAATTAATTGAAAAATAATCAAAAATATAAATTTTGAGAAATAAATAAGGAAAGTTAGGGAAATTCCTATGCATGTTAATCCGCCCATGCTTTCTCCAATAAGAAATACAGGGAGACACTCAGAGTAATGCTCTCTTGTTTTCTGTATAAACTCAACACCTAGCCTAATGTTTTCGTTTATATCTCTTACCTCTCCTCTTGCACCTCCACTCCTTCCATGTCCTTCTTGATCAAATGCAAAAGCTGCAAAATTTGATTGAGCGAATCGATGAGCAAAATGAGAATAGCTGCTTGAAGCTGATAATCAGCAATGAAAAATGAATACTAAAGCACAGGGGTTTTCAGTATTGTGTCTATACGTATGAAGCTCTATTCCTTGGCTTGATTTCAGCTCAAGCCAGTTTTCCTCAGAAAATGAAACTCCAGCGCAAGGGATGATGCCTTGGAATTCCTCAACCCATCCTGACATTTTTTTAGATAGCAAAATTATGTCATATAAATTTCAAGTAAACTAGCATAAAGGAAAGCTCTTCCCAGAATTTGTTTCGTATTTTTTTTCAAAGTCTTTATTTTCTAGGAATTAAGATTACTGTATCTTTGAGGTCGTATGCCTCATCTGTTCAGCACTGTGAAAATTTTCGGGGTGCGGCCTAATTCAGATGCAAGCAATATTATTCCTCGAATTAGCTTAAAAATTATAACTCCCTCCGATCCGTGAGCAAACAAAAATTTTTGTTGCTCAATTTTTTTTTTTGAATTAAAAAATTCCAATTTGCAAAAATTTGAAAGCAAATATAAAATTTAAAATGCAACTGTTTAAAAATTAAACAATTAGCTAGAGATTTATATATCAAAATATTATATGAATTACCTTAAGATATTAAATATAAAATTAATTCTTCTATTAATTAATTAAACAAACATGGATTTTCTTATTTTAATCATTCAATATATTTCCTTTAAATGAAACTGAAATATTAAATAAATTATAATAACTAATTTTTTCTCTATAATTAAAAAATGCTTAAACTAAATTCTTGCTTGAATCCACCCAACAACCCTCTCGAGAATCTGAGGAATTTGAGGCTCTAAAGAAATTATATGATATAAACTTTCATCATATGCAAACTCTTTATCTGCAGCTCCAGAATTTTGGAAAAATTGTCTAGAGGCTTCAATAGGAACTACTTCATCATGATCTCCATGAAATAAAATAAAAGGGGTTTGAGCATTAGGAGCCTGCTGCTGAAAATCATTAATTGCCCTCGTAAATTCATCCCCTGTAGCTCGGCTTGCTTTTCCTAAATAAGTATCAGGATTTTCTATTCACCACTCAACCGTCTTTGGGTTACTTGAAATTTTTACCATGTCATTGGGATCAACTTGCTCGTCAGTCCAAAATTGTGAAAAAACTTTTGCTGTTGTGCCTAGGGCAGGAGCAAGTAAAATCATTCCCTTGATTACGTCAGGAATTCTAACTCCCCCCTCCGTGAGTGAACAAAACCATTAGAAAAATCGCTATTTTTTGCCCAAAAACCAACCCTCCGTGAGTGAACAAAAATTTTTTAAGGAAAAAAATATTGATATATAAGCGATAATTAGTATAATGAAATCTAGAGCTAATTCTGTTTAATTTTAAACAAATTGCTTTTTAAAACATAAATTTTATAAATTAAATTAATATTTGCTTTTCAATTTTTGCGAATTAGGATTTTTTTAAATTTCGAAAAAAAATATTTTTTATAAAATTTATACATAATTTTTTAAAAACAAAAAATTTAACCCCCCCTCCGTGAGTGAACAAAATTTTTTTGTTCACTCGCGGAGGGGGGGAGTAAGCGAAATTCCTATGCATGTTAATCCTCCCATACTTTCTCCAATAATAAACACAGGAAGACCTTCAGGGTATTGTTCTTTTGTTTTTTGGATAAATTCGACGCCTAAACTGACGTTTTCATTTATATCTCTTACCTCTGCTCTTGCACCCCCACTTTTCCCATGCCCTTCTTGGTCAAATGCAAAAGATGCAAAATTTGACTGTGCAAATTTATGGGCGAAATGAGAAAAGCTGCTTGAAGCTGACATATAGCAGTGAAAAATAAATACAAGGGCACGAGGATTTTCAATATGATATCTAAAAGTATGAAGTTTAATTCCTTGACTTGATTCCAGCTCAAGTCAGTTTTCTTCAGGAAAAGAGACTCCAGCACAAGCAATGATGCCTTGATATTTCTCAAACCACTCAGACATTTTTTTTTATATAATAGATTTCCTATTTTTGTTTTCTCCATTTTTAGTATTAAAATGTTTATGAAAATAATGATTGCGATAAATAAAATGGCATTCGGCTCGAGAGAAATTGGCTCTGCCAATTTTCTCTCCCTCATGGAATTTTATTTATGGGGTTGGGTTTTCTCTCGAGAACTTCTGCATAGCAACAGCCGTTTAACTTTGGGGATAACCAAAGGCACGGCTCCTCAGTGCGTTCAAGATTTCGGAGTTTTACCTCTCAGCACATCCCCACGGGAGGATAACCCTTAGGCGGAACACGCGCAGGAGCTGAGTCTGGACGAGCGACAGCAACGCGCCGGGTGAGATGTGCGGCGATTTATCTGACGACTAGCCTTATAGAAGGCTTGGGTGTGGGCTGACCACATATTCAAAGATGGCTTGGTGACGTCACTAGTTGTCGCTTTGACCTTTTTTAAAGGGGTGTGGGCACTAGACACCTTAAAGACTATGTAAGTAAGTAAGAAAATAATGATTGCTCCAACAACTTTCTAGAATTATTTAAATTTGATTTAAACTAATAACCTAAGAATGAAATTTAGCTTATTCATATTTCGGCTTTTTATAAGGATCACCAGGTTTCGAATTCGGAAAATTAATAGGCTGTGTATTGATTTGTATCCCACACAAGTTTTGCAGCTCTGATAGCATTTTGTTATGAAATAATTGCAGATTGAAAACTTGTGAATATAAAGTCTGGTTTCTTTTCTTATACATTTTGGAAGCTTGCTTAAAAATAACCCTAATATCATAGTCCACTTCTTCTAAATTTTTATAATGGCCTTCATTAATCAAATCTTTTAATGCTACTAAGTCAGGAGGTGGGATATACTAAATTCCTGGGGATAGCGCGGAATACGCTATCCCCAGGACCAACCGGGATCGGATCCACACATGGAACGGGGGTTCCATGTGTGGATCCATTTTTGACATGTGAGATATTTACTTTCACGTGTCAAAAATGGATCCACACATGGAACCCTCGTTCCATGTGGGATCCGATCCCGGTTGTCCTGGGGATAGCGTATTCCGCGCTATCCCGAGGAATTTTCTATATCTCCTCTAGCCCCTCCAGTGGATATGTCTTTTGAGCAAGGGTTCATAAGCAAAATATCCACTATTTGTTGGGCTTGATTTTGCCAAACATGTGAAGGCTGCAACAAGTTATTGAAATCTTCAGCCAGGCCTGAGTCGTCATTTCTGACCTTGTCAATACCATCTTTGACGATCCTGCAGAAAAAGCACATCCATTTGCCTTTAGGGATATTCCTTAGGTTTAAACAAGCTAAATGGTAGACGCTTGGACAGACCTCACAGCAAATTAATTGTCCAGGCTCTCCACACATTCCGCATTCATTCATACTCTGGTCATTTTCTTCTTTCAATTTAGCTTGGCCTTCTTCTTCATCTTGCTGCTCATTGGGTTCTCTTGAGATCGTTTCAGGCAATGGGTATTTTCTGGGTCTTCCTCTTCGTCTGCCAGGGACTTCTGGTTTCAGCATTTTCTTTCGATAGTCAATTTGTGGGAAATAAGTGGCTTGGTATGCAGGCTGCTCTGGGACTGTATTTGAGACATGGATTTGGGAATAATCAAGCTCTTTAAGCTCTATTTGGTTTTTTGAGCTTGAGTTATGGACTTGTAGCTGGTCTGTTGCAGTTCCAGTTAGGATTTTCTCATAGCAAATATCTAAAAACAAAAGCATGTGGTTTACCTTTATTGAAGAAGCTGACACAGGTGGATGCTCACATTCTGCTATTAAAACCTTTAATTTGTCATATAACTTGTTTGCTGATAAGAAATCTTCTTCTTTTATAGTATCATTCATAAGCACCATCTGAGCGAATTGGCTTTCTCTATTAAGAATTTTCCAAAAATGATAAGTTAAGGCTTCGTTTAGGCTTCTGATCTTTTTAGGCGCTTTTGTGATGGGTTTTAGACATTGTCGGCATTCAATACTCATAGGATGATTTGCTTCACCACATCGTGTGCAAGCTTTACGAGAGCCAGCCATAGAAGGTTCCTGACGCCTTCTGGTGGATTCTAAGGTGCGTTGTCTTTCAGTTTGCCGAGGAGCGATGGATTCTTCGTCATTTATTTTTGATTCTTGGCCTAAACCAGTCAGGTTTCCATATTTTTGTCTCAGTTTTTCTAAAGACACACCACAAGCTCTACAAATGTCGTTATTGTATAATATGGATCCACATTGCAGGCATGTTAAATTACTTGCTGCATTTTCTTCAAGTTTTTTAGGAATACGAGTTCTGGTTTGAATCGTGTATTTCTCAATGTGCTCGATAATTTGCTCAATTATCGAATTTGCAAGAGCTCTCTTTTGGTCTTCTGAAAGTCCTAACTTACCCTCCGTTAGTGAACTAATGGGGATTAATTTGTAAAAATTATAATTTGTTTAAAATTCAAACAGAATTAGCTAGAGATTTATTATCAATTATGTATTCAAATATTTTTTATAAAAAATTTGTAATTAAAAAAAGATTTTTTCACTCAAAAAATAAAACAATTTCCAATGGTTTTGCCTGTGGGGAGCAAGGAATCCCCAAGCTGCTCGACAAAGACATAAGGACTTCTATACTGGCGGCTTAAGTCCCAGTCAAATCGATCTCTGATGATAAGGTTTGGTCTTACACTTACATTCAGCACAATTGGCACAATCATTCTTTCTGTGTTAAGTTTGTGATAGTTTGGCTGCTGTCTTGGGATTTTTATTGAAGATCTTAGCCGCTGCTTCTCCATGGAGTCTTCAAAGAAGATGTCTGGATCAAGCATCATTATTTTTATTAACTTAGCAAAATCTCATCGCTAAAGTAATTTCAGCTTACTATAATTTAGATATTTACTTGTAAAATGCCGAATTAAAATAAGCATTCAAGAAAGAAATATAATAATCAAAAATAGAAAGGCTAGTTGAAGAAATGGCGATGAGTATAATTAAGCTTTAAAAAATGCATGTCATCTATCAAGAGGAGATTGAACCAATCCTTGTTCTTTCTCCCCAATAAATAGAAGAGTGGTTAGTTGATGGAGGGATTTTTATAAAGGGTCTTAATTGGAGGAGGTCTTCTCTGATATGTAATCGTGAAGCAACATATCAAAGGAGGATATATTCACGAATGTGGCTGATAAGGAATATAAGCTTGTAGGCATGATGGTATACAATGCGAATTGATTAAATATTCCAGTAAGGCAATGAGGGAGAAAATTGCTTAACTCAAAATTAAGATGTGGGAAGCTGAAAAGACCCCCAAGTGCATGAAGGCTGCAAATGTGATATTGATACCGAAAAAAGGCTTTATCGTTCAATTTCAGAATTTAAGGCTGATCACACTGATGAATGCGGTTTATAATAAGACATTTAATAAAGTGCTCGCCAACAGATTTTATAGACATCCACAGCAAGCATATAATGCACTATGCTCAAGGAGGGTTCACAAAATCCAGGGGCGCAGTGATCAGATTTTCATATTGGAAACTATCATTGAAATTGGGGAAAAAGAAGGCAAGGCCACATACTGCGCGTTTCTGGATCTTAAAAGGGCTTTCACTCATTGATAGGAAGGTTTCGCTAGAATTAATGATTAAGAGAAGAGTGTATAGAAAACTAATAGCTATAGACGCAGCAATGATAAGTGATGAGGAGAGACATGTAACTAAATTCTCATTGGAGACAAAATTGCATATATATAGAGCCTAAGGGTTGGATTCAATATAACGGCCCGATCACAGAATCTAAGACATTTAAGCAAAAACAGCTCTTGCCTTATTGATGATTTAATGCCCGACAAATATACATAAAATGGTGATGAAGTCTGACCCATCTTCTCATGTGGTGGCTATCCATGCATATTTAGCATGGTTTTTAGGTTCAGAAGTTTGCCCAGCAATACCTGGCATTTTGTAGTAAAGGTTTTAAGCACAAATCCGCTAGTTTGTGTCCTGATCTAGTGAGCAGTTGAATGTAGCTTCTCTTTGCCAGCAGCACTCGAACCAGCAGGTGCCCGAAATTAACCAGGTGAAATTACCTGCTCAAGCTGCTACGGTGGTCTGTCACGAATTGAAGGATAGCCTGAAAAAGGGGAAGGCAGACTAGATAAAAATTCGGTCTCTCTGGTCAAAGGGCTTCAGGGAGCCCTGCGGCCAAGAGTTATCGGCAGGGTGAAGTAGCGAGGTGGCCCAAAGGACCAAGTTGGAAATGGTAGTGCCCAGCAAAGGTTTTCGACCCAACAAGTTAATGCGACTATCGAGAAGCCAGAGGTTTCGTCCTAGGCTTGGAGCTACTAGAGGTGGAAGCAAACCTAATTCGGTTGTACCATCAGGCGGCTATCGCCATGCCGTACAGAATGCCACCTGTGTGAAGTGGAGTTTTTTAATTTAATTTAATTAAACTTTATTTAATGCCCTGACAACTTTTTTGCATAAAACTATTGGTACTGCATGCAGATTTTCAAAGATATGTCAAAAATGACCCTTAAAACAAGTTGTCTTAAAGAAATCTATGAATATTCAAAATAATAAAAATTCGCTAAATATATATAAATCTCCTTTTATCCAGTTATGGAAAATCAGTTATAAATAAAACAAGATTTTATAATAGAAATTTCATTTATTACTAGCATTCCAGAGGAATTTAATTATAAATCAATTTACTCATACATCCCATGACTAGAATCTTCTGACCCCTCGGATGAAAAAGATTTCATGGATGTGTCTTGTACCTCAAATTTAGGAGCTCTCCTATTTGGACTTGTGCTTGTTGCATCTTTGTCATTTGAGTCAGCTTCAGGCTCTAAATTTAAATTTATAGATGGTGGCCTTGACTGAAAAGTAGGAATACGGGCTGTTGGATCTGAAAAAATAATAGGAACTGGCTCAGTTAATTCTATTTTTTTATCAGGACTTGCCCTGCCCACATTTTCTTCTGGATTAAAGCGTCGAGATTCTTCTGAAAGTGATGTAAACTTAATGCATTTAAAAAAAATTTCGAAATCTACAGCTTTATTCTTAATTTCTCAGAAAATAGGTTTTTAAATAAATATAAAACTTTTAATTAGCAAAGCATTTTTATTTATTATATTTAATACCATTTTCAGCTGCTCTCAGATTATCAAAAGTTTTCATTTTTTTCAACACAAATCTCCCTTCTTCTACATCTTGATTCATTGAGTCAATTAAATACGAATAATTCGGATTCAATTCTAAATCATACCTCGTAAGTGTATATTTTTTCATATCTTCTTCAATATCCTTAAATTTGCTGGTTTCTGGATGGTCTTTAAGCAGTAGTATTCTCTTGACCTCTCTAGTTATTTTTTCAGAAAATTCAAATAGCAAGAATAATATGAAGCTTACAATGGCTAATATTAAAAAAACAATGCCATGGTCCATAGCAGCTCGATCTCCAAGATCTTTTTCTTGATAATCATAATAGCTTAAACCAAGCTCATGATTAGTTTTCCAAACAAAACCCTTAGGAAATACATTTGGGCATCCATAAGCATAAAGAGAAACACAAGAATGAAAGAAAACACAAAGTGGCATAGCTTTAATAGCACTGCTATATATATGATGGCTATACTGTGGAGGCTTTCTATAATGTCTAAGAATCAAAAACTTATCAGTCCAGTAAATCACAAATAAAGCTAAAAACCCAATAATATTTAGTAAAGGAATTCCTCCTGAAAAAATAAAGCAGGTAAAAATTACTGTCAAAATCATAGATGTTCGTGAAGCTATCACAAATATTGGCCCAATAAATGCATTATGCATTTGATATTGAGACTTATAAAACCTATAGCCACTAACTCTCTTTCATAAGCCTCTCATGTACGCAACTAGAAAATTGAATATAAAATGAGGAGAAATGATGCTGATACACATCATAATGAAAAACATTGAGCCGACCCTCAAATATCACCACTTTGAAAAATCCCGAAATTGGCCTTCAACCAGTTCTTTTGAATCTTCATCATCTCCATATTTAACGTGAACTAGAATTGGGGCAAGAATTGTGTTAAACAGCATTGCTACAAAAATTTTGAGCATTGTATGTGTCTGCCTAAGATTGTAGCTCTTGCGTCTTTCAAACTCAGATAAAGTGGTCAGAAGAAGCCTAAGGATAAAATTAGTAACCACGATGCCAAAGCATATAAAAAAGTTGATTGCAGCAGAAGATAGCCGCTTATAGACATAGTTTAGGCAGATTGATCTGATTTCTGGCTTTTGAGTTCATCCTTTTATAGTCTGCTGGCTGCACCAGCAGGCTCTTTCTTTGCCATGGGGATCTCACCTAGTTTCACTTATCACCTCTTTATATGATTTTTTCCCAATTTCCTCTTTATTGCTTTCCAAGCATTTATAAGAGTCATAAACATGCTCAGAACCCCTTCTCATCAAAAATATCAAGCCGACTGATAAGCTCATCATAAAAATAGCAATTATGACTGATAAAATAATCCTTGATCTCCTTTCGCAACGTTTTAGTTCTAAATTCTCCCACATGATATCTGATGGCTCAGAGCCTGGATATACCTTCAATTGATGTGTCCCTCTAAATTTCAGTTCTGGGCTTTTATTGTGCCTCCAGCCAAAAAATCCTTTTCTATATCTTGTAATCGCTTGAGCTCTAGATTCTTTAGTATTAAAAATAATATAAGCTCTATGCACAGGAAGCTCATTATGAAGCTTATCAAAGCTGGAAATCGTTATATTTTCATTAAGCTTGGAAAGTTTATTTTGAAGCTTAGAGAGTTTTTTGTTATTTGACTCCATTTCAGGATCATCTCCCAAAAAAATTTTCTGGGCATTGATCTCTTTTAAAACCGTTGCTTTTTCTTTATAAAAATAAAGCAGATCTCCATAAGATCTACCTAAATATACGTCCACTATTTCTCCGAAACTGCTGAAGTGATTTCTTATTTCTTCTTTGTCAATATTTTCATAAGGAAATCCGGCTACTTCAATAGAGTAATCTGATACCCTGCTCTGTCCTAATGAGTTGTGATGGATTTTTATTTTATTGATAATAAGAATCGTAATTATTCCTATTAAAAATACCCACGAGTAAACAGCATCAATAATCCAAATTTCTTTATAATTTTCATTAGCATCATCAAGAGTGTCATCTTTTCAGTCTTTGGAGTTATTATAGTTAGCGCTGCAATCTTTATTTTCTATTCATGGAATACAAGTTTTGTTATCTATATCAGTGTCTAAAAATTCATCTTGATAACTTTTAAACCACCAAGGATTTGCTAATGTATACTTTAATTGAAATAAAAAATAATATTGATTTATTTTTAAAGATTTATTAATTTAATAGAAAATAGCATATACCTTGATCCACTTTGACTTTCATCATCAGCAATAATGCTTCCTGTAGAATTTGTATAAGCAGGATAAATGCTTAGACACGCTGTTATAAAAAATAATATAGCCATTTGCTTTAGAAAAAGGAAGTAAAGTTCTAGCCCAACTCCATATTTTCCAAGTTTGTCTAGAGAAGTAGATCAAATTCCATACCATTTAGGATTTCCTGGATCAGTTTCTTGATCTACTACTGCGTTTTTCATTCTAAATCTTTTTGCTTCATTTAGATTTGATTCTTTTTTCAGCTCTTTTAAAATTTCTTCTTCAGTAAGATCTCTTGAATCGTCTTCGCTAGAGCCCAATACAAGAGTTGCTACAGAGGCAAATATTGCTTGCTGCGATCCCATAATTATTTATTATTTTATAATAAATTTAGGATTTATTATTTTACTTTAATTAAAGGAAAAATAGAGTTTATTGGAATACAATTAAATAGATTTACTAGAAAATTAAAATTACGATATACAAATCTGCCAGAAAGCTAGAATAGTTGTATTTACTTAATAAATTAAAATTTATAAATCCCCTTTATTTTTTGAGAAATTATAGAACTATTAGTTGATTTTATCTTTGAAGGTTTTTTAATCTTTAAATGTGATTGGAGAAAATAATTGATACATATGATGAATAATTAAAATAGAAATTAAGAGTTATTCAATTAATTGAAGCTTTTAATCAAATTATTATAATTGAAAACTCATCTATTCCTATATTATAGAGAATAAATTATTTCTAAATTATATCTCAAAATAGTAAAAAATTACAGCTAAAATCGAAATAATTTCAAGTGCTATAAATAAATATTGCTATATGTAAGCTGAAAATTATAATTTTTATATTTTCCTAGTTAAACGATTTCAGGTTTTAGTGATTTAGATTGTTTAATATTTTTTTAAGTCTTATTTAACTTTCCTTATGTTTGTGCTTAGAAAGCCAAAATCTTACTTATTACATCTTTGAATTAATTTTACTATGCAACTTATAATTTTGCATAATAAAAATATTAAAAAAAAAGAGCCAATTTCTCTATCGATAATTTCAAAAATGATAAATTGAGACTTCATTAAAGGGTGAACCTTAAGAGCTTTTGCAATAAGACTTAGACATTATTTGCATTTTATAGCTAATAGATGACTTGTTTCACGAGTCTATTTCCTTAAAAAGTTTTATAACATATTGAAAGAAATGACAGACAATAAAATATATATTAAATAGTGTGGCGAATCTGATCCGACCTCTTAAAATCCTGTAGCTGGTAGGCCGAAAGGAGTCAGCAATCTTGAGGGGGCAAATATGAGTATCTGGCAAGGTTTTAATGACACAATGTTGAGTTGATAAGCCAAAGTCTAATAAATGTGAAACGGAGTTAGAAAGGATTCTCACAGAAGTGCCTGAGGATATTTTAGAAGTCGGAACACTTATCAAGGAGATACCAGATGTTACGCTGTAGGTTTCTAGTTCTAATTTGTGATCATTATTTTTTCTGGAAGGTAATTCTATTGACAAGTGTTAAAGCAATGCAAACTTGCTGGCTTCCAGGAAGCGGCTTCAGGACCTCATCATAAAAAAATAAAATTCAAGGCTGCGCGAGTACTGATGAGCAGGCATTGGGGCTTTATTAAAGGGAATAAGGGCCTTTGGGCCTAAAATTGGGCTTTTCGATTATCTTAAATAACCATAAAGATATATAATAACATAAGAATTTAAGTCAAAAATAGCAAAAGCAAAACAAATCTTCAAAAAAATTACTCGCCAGATTTAAGAAAATTGTTATTTAAAAATAAAGGAAATGAAGCATAAAACTTAAGAAATATCTAATTTCTGAGAATTAAATCAAGATAACGAAAAGTTATGATATAATATTCATAATTACTATACCGCAATTGAATTTTAATTATAAAATCAACTACTCTTGCATCCCGCTACTCGAATCTTCAGAACCATCAGATGAATACGATTTCAGGGATGTGTTTTGCACTTCAAATTTAGGAGCTCTTCTATATGGACTTGTACTTGTTGCGTCTTTATCGTTTGAATCAGCGCGTTGCTCAAAATTTAAATTTATAGATGGCGGTTTTGACTGAATAGTAGGAGCTCGAGATGCTGGGCCTGAGGACACAGCAGAAATCTGCTCATTTAATCCGATAGGGTTTGTATTAATAAAATTTACTTTACCAGTGAATCTCTGAGATTCATCTGGCAAAGATGTATACCATATAATTTTAAAAAAATCTTTATCAATTTTATCACTTCATAATCAATGTCTGATTTATAAGAAAAAATAAAAATTATAAGGCTTAAGTTCATACAATAGTCAAATAATTAATTTTGTTCCTTTTACATCCATTTTCAGATGCCCTTGGATGCTCTAAATGTTTCAATCTTTCCAGCACGCATCTTCCTTCTTCTACATCTTGATTCATTGAGGCAATTAAATACGAATAATTCGGATTCAGTTCTAAATCATACCGTGTTAATGCATAATCTATCATTTCGTCTTCAATTTCACTAAACTTTTTTGTTTCTGGATGGTCTTTAAGCAAAAGTTTCCTCTTTATCTCTCTGGTTATTTTTTCTGAAAACTCAAATAGCAAGAATAATATGAAGCTTAAAATGGCTAATGTTAAAAAAACAATGCCATGGTCCATAATAATTCTATCTTCAAGATCTTGAACTTTATAATCCAGATAATTTATATCAATTCTTGTATTATTTTTATAAACAAAGGTTTCTATTCTTTCTATAAAGTCTTTAGGAAAAACATTTGGGCATCCGTAAGCATAAAGAGAAACACAAGAATGAAAGAATACACAAAGCGGCATTGCTTTAATGGCGCTACTATATATATGATGATTATATGGTGGTGGCTTTCTGTAATGCCTAAGGATTAAAAATTTATCAGTCCAATATATCACAAATAAAGCCAAAAATCCAATTACGTTAAGCAGCGGAACCCCTCCTGAAAAAATAAAACAAGTGAATATCGTTGTTAAAATCATAGAAGTCCTTGCAGCTATCAAAAACACAGGACCAATAAATGCGTTATGCATTTCATATTGTGTCTTATACAGCTTATAGCTATTAAGTCGCCTTCATAATCCTCTCATATAAAACACCAAAAAGTTAAAAAGAAAATGAGGAGAAACAATACTAATGCACATCATAATAAAAAACATTGAGCCAACCCTTAAATACCACCACTTCGAAAAATCACTAAAATTGCCTTCAACTAGTTCATCAACATTTTTTTCATCTGTATATTTTATATGGACTAAAATCGGAGCTAGAATGGTGTTAAATAGCATTGCTACAAAGATTTTGAGCATTGTGTGGGTTTGTTTAAGATTATAGCTTTTTCGTCTTTCAAAATCTGACAAAATTGTGAGGAGATGTCTCAGGATAAAATTAGTAACCACAATGCAAAAACAGATCGCAAAATTAACCGTAGCCGAGGACAGCCGCGTATACACATAATTCATACATATTGATCTAATTTCTGGCTTTTGAGCTCAATCTTCTGCAGATTGCAGGCTACATCAGCAGGCCCTTTTGCTGCCATGAGGGTCTGATTCGGTTTCTTCTATAATTTCATGTAAGGATCTTTTCCCCAATTCTTTTTTATTATACTCCAAACACTTATATGAGTCAAACACATTCTTAGACCCTCGTCTCATTATAAATATTAATGCAACAGACACACACATCATAATAATAGTTATAATAACCGATAAAATTATCCTCGACCTCCTTTCAAGGCGCTTTATTTCTAAGTTTTCCCACATAATATCTGATGGCTCAGAGCTTGGGTACACTTTTAATTGATATTTCCCTCTGAATTTTAATTTTGAGCTCTTATTGTGCCTCCAACCAAAAAATCCTTTTCTATATCTTGTAAATGCTTTTGCCCGGGATTCTTTAGAATTAAAAATAATATAAACTCTATGCACAGGGAGCTCATTGTGGAATTTTTTATTGTCAGAAATTGTTATATTTTCATCAAGCTTGGAAAGTTTATTTTGAAGCTTTATTAATTTTTTATTATTTGACTCCATTTCAGGATTGCCTGGTCAAGCATAGGTCGCAACCCTACACCCCCACCCCCCTTCACAGATGGCACCCCCACCCACTCCTCTCGGTTTTATCCTATAGAAGTATTTGATAGGAAATAAGCAGAATAAATTAAACATAACCCATTAAAAACACTATATTTTTAAATTAAGTCCACAAATTACTTTATATTTATGATTAATTAATAAATTTAAATTAATTAGCAATTAATTAGAAAATATATTAAATTTGTTTTTTATATTTATAAATATAAAGCCAAAGATATAGATAATGGCATTAATTATTAAATTAGCACAATAGAATAACTTGCATTAAATTTATGGATTCATAAATTAAAGCTAATCTGATTACCATTGTGCAAAGATTGCAGGACTGAATTGGTAACAGGATTCATAGTGGCAATAAAAATAGCATTTGCTATTGTCAGTTTTACTTTTAGATCTCTAATTCGACTTTTAGCCATTGTTCCACAAAGTTCATAAATATATGCAGGATATATTGCTAATAAATATCAAAGATCTTTATTAACTTGCTAACAATTTTTTCAGATTTGGTGAGCTTACTAGTTATAGGAAATTCTCACCCCCATTCCATCTACTCCTTAATCGATTGTGCTACGCTATGTGAATATTGTATAAATCAGTAATTTTGAATATTTAAAATAATAATTTATTTATTACGTCTGCTCTAAACTGGCATTTTTCATATATTTTATGCTATATTAAGGGGGATGGGGGTGGGGGTGCCATCTGTGAAAGGGGGGGTGGGTGCCATTTTTTTAGGGGGGGCGGGGGGGTGGGGGGTACCATTTAAAAAAGGGGGTTGGTGGGGGAGTACCACTTTTTAGGGGGGTGGGGGTGTAGGGTTGCTACCTGTGCTTGACCAATTGCCTCCTAAAAATATTTTTTGAGTTCTAATTTCTTTTAAAACTGTGGCTTTTTCTTTATAGAAATATAATAGGTCTCCATAAGATCTACCTAAATAAACGTCCATTATTTCGCCGAAACAGCTAAAGTGGTTTATTACTTCTTCCTTATCAATATTTTCGTTGGGAAATCCAGCAACCTCAATAGAATAGTCGGAAACTCTATTTTCTCCAGATGTAACGTCATGAATTTTTATTTTATTGATAATAAGGATAACGATTATTCCTATCAAAAAAATTGATGAATAAATAGCGTCAATGATTCAAATTTCTTTATAATTTTCGTCAGCTCGGTCGAGAGTGCTCTCTTTTCATTCTTCTTTTTCAGTATCACTTTTCCATGGGAGATAATCTTTATCATTTTCTGATATTTGAGTATCCAAAAATTCATCTTTATCTCTTTCAAACCAATAAGGATTTGCCAATGTATACCTTGATCCACTTTGGCTTTCACCATCTGCAATTATGCTCCCAGTTGAATTTGTGTAAGCAGGATAAATACTTAAGCAAGCTGCTATAAAAAATAAAATAGCCATCTGTTTTATAAAGCGAAAATATAGCTCAAGTCCAACACCATATTTTCCAAGATTTTCTGGAGAAGTAGATCAAATGCTATATAGCTTTGGATTTGACCCATCTGCTTCCTGCTTGACTATTGAGTTTTTAATTCTAAATTTCTTAGCTTCTTCCAAGTTTGACTCGTTTTTAAGCTCTTTTAGTATCCCTTCTTCCTCAAAATCTCTTGAATCGTCTTCATTACCACCTAAAACTAGATTTGCTACGGAGGCAAATATAGCTTGCTGTGATCCCATTATTATTACAATAAAATGAATTTACTAGATGAATAGAATATGATATAAACAATATTTTTCAAGCAGAAAGGTATCGACAATTATAAGTTCAAACAATTATAAATGCCCTTTATTTTCTGTAAAATTATAGAATTTTTATTTTAATTTATTTCACAGATTTGAGCTGAAAAAAAGATTATAATTAGAAATTTTAAGAGAAATTCAAAAATTAATAATTAAGGCAGCATCTAATTGTTAGAAAATAAGATTAAAAGCCTTTTAGTATAGTGTAAATATATACTTTATATTAAAATATTTATTTGGAAAGAGCAAGACCCTTTATTATTTATTTTTTTACTTAATATGCTGATCAGTCAATGATTTTCTTGTACTAATCTATGCTAAAAAAATTTTCCCAAAATTTTCAAATGTTTTGCGAATTTTCTTTATAATTTAACGCTGAATTTTGCACAATATGATTCCTTTAACTCCCCCCCCCCTCTGTGAGTGAACAAAAAATTTTGTTCACTCACGGAGGGGGTTAATTTTTTTTTTTTAAAACAACTATATATAAATTTTATAAACATATTTTTTTTTCGAAATTAAAAAAAATCTAATTCGCAAAAATTTGAAAGCAAATATTAATTTAATTTATAAAATTTATGTTTTAAAAAGCAATTCGTTTAAAATTAAACAGAATTAGCTCTAGATTTCATTATTTTAATTATCATTAAATATCAAAATTTTTTTCCATAAAAAATTTTTGTATTAAACAAATTTTTGTTCACTCACGGAGGGTGGGTTTTTTGGGCAAAAAAATGGCGATTTTTCTAATGGTTTTGTTCACTCACGGAGGGGGAGGAGTAAGACTTTTTGAGTTCTATAACTTCTGTCACACAGTCACTTTATTAATTTCTTCTTCTTTGGAGACATTTGGCTCTTCTAAACAAGACTCCATTTATGCCTTCTTCTCCATTTTTGGTTGCTTTTATGATTCTTCAAGCCTTTCTTACACTTAGTTGATTCTAATCCTAATTAAGGCATCATATCTCCTTCGAATTTCTATTATCCAGACGTAGGCTACCTTTGTTCATAATTAAGAAGCCTAATTTCATAAGACAAGGACCATTTTAAGCTTATATTTGAGAAGAAATATATTCATAAAATTTTATTTTGCACTTTTTAAGATTATAGATGCAATATTTATTATAATATAAACATTTCTGCAACTAAAAAATGAATTAAAGATGACTAATAATACAAAAGTACAGTCGTAAACCAAACAAAAGTCTGATTATTAAAGATTTACAGATAATTAGATTCAAAACTATAAAATATTTAATATTGAAAATTTTCAATTTCTGAGTCTTTTTATTTGGGTTATAAGCTCTTATATTTTTAGGTACTTTTCTATTAATATGATATATAACATCAAAAATTATTTTCAAATAATAAAATTTCCTTATTATTCTTCATCAGAACTGCTTCTTTTTCTTCTATTCTTCTTATTTTTCTTGTGCTTTTCTTCCCCACTGAAGCTAACATCCACATGCTCAGGGCTGCTTTCATCACTTACTGACTGTGGAGTTTCATAAGGCTTATCAGAGTCACTTGACTTGCTTTCTTCTTTACTTATACTTGATTCTTCTGAAGGAGGTTCCACTTTCTTTGCTTTTGCATTTTTTGGTGATTTTTTAAGCTTCTTTTGAGGCTTTTTGTCACTTTGTTCTGATTCTTCTCTATCTGACTGCTGCTTTTTCTTTGATTTTTTAGCTGGCACATATTTTTCCTTTTCCATATCAGAAACACTTGACTCTTCAACTAAGTTGCTTGACGACGAAAAACTCGCTTTTCTATGATGTTTTGGTACAATTTTTGGCTTCCTCTTTTTAAATTCGACCTCTGAGCTTATTTCATTCTCTTCTGGACTGACTATAGAACTTTTCCCTTGAGAAGAACTTGAGCTTATATCAACATCAACTTTTTTGCTTTTCTTCGGAGGCTTAGAACTGGCCTTTGGGGTTTTTACTTTAATTTTCGGCCCAGGCTTCTTATTCAGCTCAATATCTGACTTATCTGAAGACGAGTCTGAGCTGGAGTCCTCTTCTTTTTTCTGGAAGCTTTCCTTATCACTTGAAGAGTCTGAACTGACAGCTACTTTTTTGCTTTTCTTAGGAGACTTAAAAACAGGAGTATCTGTATATACAATAGACTGCTCTTCTTTATTGAAATCTACGTCTGATGAAGATTCTGAGCCTATATCGTCAGCACTACGTTCACTTATATTGCTATTAAGCACAGGAGTCATTGCTGACCTATCAGTTTCTGATTTGCTTTCTTCTGGAGGCTCACCATTATTATTGTCACTTACCTCAGCTGTCCTTTGTAGGTCTGCTCCCCTTGGACTTTGATAAGGTGTAGATCTGATGTTTAGTTGGCCTTTAGTAATTTCTGCAGACTCATTCATTGTTTCTATGATTAGCATGTAATTAGGATTTTTCATTAAGTTGTAAGTAGAAAGGCCTGATTTTTGGATTTCCATTTCAACTTCCTTGAAAGTCTTTTGGTCTTGAGTTTCGTCAGTTCTGCGATTTTTGCTTTTCATCACACAAGCGCTGACCTCATCTATGAAAAATATGAGAAGAAGCAAAATTGCACTTGAGCCTGCTAAAATTATGTTGGCAATGCCTAAATCTCGAATCATAAAATATAAATAGTCAAAAAATGTTATATTTGAGATTAATTTTTTTCAATTATTTTATAATTACGCTTTTTATATATTTTTAGAATGTTTTAAGGGTGCTTTTATAAAAATTTGTATTCCTAACTAAAGTTTAAGAAATAACCCCTAGCGACCTTTATCTTAAATTCGCATAATAAATAAGAGACTTTATCATCAGACCATTTTTATTAATTCTATAAAGACATATTATTAATTAATTTTATTATTAAATTACTTCAAGGGGTTGAGTCATTCTTCAGCCTTTTTTCAAAGCTTGGGGTTGTTGATGTCACATACCCAGATGACTTTGTATAAAAAGAAGTAGGGAATACATCAGGGCAGCCATAGCACACTAGTGACACAGCGCAATGAATAATAATACAAAGTGGCATCAGCCTCATTGCTTGTATATAAAGATCAGCTTTATACTTCGGTGGCATCCTATAATGCCTCAAAAGTAAAAACTTATCAGTCCAATATATTATAAAAAGAGCAGCAAAACAAATGCAGTTTAATAGTGGCATTCCTCCAGAATATATATAGCATGTAAACATTATCGTCAAAATTTGAGAAGTTCTTGTTGAAATCATGTAGGTATATCCCTTAGATAGTACATATCGGGCTATTGCAATTTTCCTGTGGATGGCGCTGTTTTGGCCTTGATTTTCCCACTGGAAAATTTTTTGGTTCGGCCAGTATCATATAGTTTGGTCAAACCAAAACATTTTCCAGTGGGAAATCAAGACCAGAATAGCACCATCCATGGGAAAATCCCATATCTAAGGGGCATGCTCTATAATTGTTAGATTTTCATAGAGTAGAAGAAAAATACAGCAAAGAAAATCATGGTATAAAAACATTTTTTATAATAATTAACTTAGACTAATTGAAATCATAAATTCTGGCCCCAAAAACGCATCATTAATTTCATACTGTGTCGCATATTTTTTCCATCCCCATTTCCTCCTGCAGGCTCCTATAGGATACATAATCAATAAATATATAAGATGTGGCGACCCAACACAAATAAACATCGTGATAATAAAAATTGACCCAACTTTCACATATCAGTACCTTGAAAAATCACTATACTCTCCTTCCAAAATATAGCCATTCGAAAACCCAACTCCTCCAGAGTCTAAATTTACTAGATAAGTGATTAGGGCTGTATTAACAGTCATTGCGACAAATACTTTTAGCATGACGCGGGTCTGCTGAGAGCTGCGACTTCTTGTTCTTTCACAGCTTGTAATTAGAATCATGAGGGTTTTTATAAAGAAATTTACTATAATAATTCCACAGCAGCTGAAAAACTTGACTGCAGATGACCAAGAAACAGTTTCTATATAGCTAGAACAGTAGTCGCTATAGTCTGATTTACTAATTAAATCATCCCAGCTCTGACCTTGGCATCAGCAATAAGTTTCGTCTTGTGTGGTATATTCTTTTTTAGCTTCATTTATAGAGATATCTGCATCTACTTTTAAAGAATCGCATTTAGAGTCATTAGGAAGCTCTTTTTGAGCTCTTTTGACACCGTATATGAGAGCTACAGAAATAATGAGGAGAATAAGGGTTAGTATTAGAGCTAGAAAAGTTCTGAATCTGCGGCTGCATTTGCTAATTTCAAGATTTTCCCAGATGATATCAGATGGCTCTTGGGCTGTGAAGACTTTTAGAGGGTATTTTCTCCTGAAATATAAATCTTTTCTTTTCTTTCGTAAGCAGCTGCAGCAGCATTTTGTTTGATAAGCTTTAATACAAGCTTGTTTGTCTTTTTTGGAATTATTTGTTTTGATATTAATCTTCCTATATATTTAGCTAGATAAATTTATTATTATTAAAGAAAAAAGCTATATTTTAATAATTTAAAATGGAAATCACTATAAAAGCTTATAAAGGTAATATAGGCATATTTTATAGGGAGCTCATTGTGCTTTTTTACAAGCTGCTCTTTTTTGATTTTTTCATCAAATCGTTTCAAGGAAAGTTTTAAAACTTTTAATTTTTTATCCTTTTCTAAATCTTTATTAGAAAAACGCAAAAGGGCTTCTCTGTTGCAAATTTTTTTTTTAAGGATAGCTCTTCCTTGATAAAAAATTATAAGATCATTATATCTTCTCCCGAGATAGACCTCAATTATTTTTCCAAAACTTCTATGCTTTATCATATAGACTTTTCTTTAAACTATATTCCTATTTACTAATTTTTACAAAAAATAAATATCTTCCTTTGATTTATTGAAAAACTTGATCCAGCCTTATATAAAATGATCTTTTACTTCTTGTGGCGTTACTCCTTCATCCCTTGGTAACCCTTTAACTTGGATTGCATAATCAGACACTCTTGCTGTTTTATGGCTTGTTTTGCTTATTAATACTTTTGATTGTATAGTGTATAATAGTAAAGCAATAATGAATAACCCAGTATAAATTGCATCAGCTATCCATGTATCTCGATATGCATCATCAATATCATCTTGGTCGCTTTCAGCAACAGACACATCAGTAACATTTGAAGCTATTCCTACCCTATTCGCAATAGTCAAGCCATAAGTGATTTCTGTCCCATCAGATGTAGTTATTTGGTCACCTTGATAGTTTTCATAAATTGGTCAAATGCTGATACCTCCGATGATGAAAAAGATAAGCATCATCTGCTTTAGAAATAGAAAATGCAGCTGAAGGCCAACTCCGTATTCTCCGAAGTCACTGGAGCCCAATTTCCAGATACCATAAGGTTTTGGGTCATTTTCGTTATCTGTTATGGAATTTCTATGCCGAAAAGCCCAGGCTTTTTTTAAATCAGCTGGCTCTTGAAGCTCCTTTTCAATTGAGTCACTATCGGCATTCTTCTGAAGAGACGATCGGTCGATGTTCAAGGCTGCATTTATCAACGAATTAAAAACAGCTGCTGCTGCCATAATATATCTATAATAGCTGTGCTATGTATGCCTAATCAAAGCTAATTAGTAAATATTATATATATGAATCGTGCTAATATAGATTATTTCGTTTTGGAACTTACTGAATTTATGCAAAACAGCATAAATTAATTTTATATCAGAGAAAAATAATTTAAATATTTTTAAAATTTATTTTTAGTTTCTTAGAACAATTTACTGCCTTTTGAAACAAAGATTAAATAGTAGGAACAAAAATTTAATAAATAATCAAAAATGTATAAAATACTTTTTTCATTAAATTACCCATTACTCTTTAGCAAGTTTAATACACAAAGAGTATCAATTTTATAAAAACTGAAATTTATTATAATGGATGCCTCAATTCTTTCAAACACAATAATTTATTTCTTAATCCTTTACATAAATGTAACGCATGCTATTTTAATATATAAATATAAACAAATTATTTATAGATTTGAAAATTAAATCCTCATTGTAAATTAATTTATAGCAGAAACTTATTAAAATTAAGAGTTTAACTTATTTAAGGACTTAAGATTCCAGCGTTGTGTCTCAACACAATTAAAGCTTCAAGCACTGGTATCTCAATCATCTTTGATATAACTCTCACCATTCTTCCAAGCCTCATCTGATCCAGCTGTAGCGTAAGGGCGTGGAAATTCATATTTGTGGCTTCTAAACTTTCTATTAAAGCTTCATTGTGGTGTCTCAGTGCTGTATTATCTTCAAGCAAGCTATGCTTATCATATCTCAGCTCATTTATTGACTCTATAAGTCTTGTCCTTTCATCTTCAAACAGTCCAACTTGTCTGCTATAAGAAGCGATTGAAGAAAATCCAATTGCAAGCTGTCTTACCCTAACTTCTCTGAGCTGCAGACAGATGACTTCAGTTGCTCCATTCTTGCTGAGCTCAGCGATTTCTTCTTTGGACATTTTCCCTGACATTGGCTCTTCCATGCTGCTTCTTCCTTGTGAAGCTGTCGTTGTTATAGGGATTGATATAGAAGTATCCATGGCAGTTGTAGGTCTTTCTGGGGATGGGGTCCTAAAGTTGATGCCTTCACGCAAGTTTGGCATTGCAGCGCTCATTCTTCCATCTCGAGACATATTGCTAGCGCGCAACAAAGAGCTGACTGCAAGCTGCACTGATTGGCGGTTATGTATCGGCAGAGCAGTTCTATAAGTCAAAATAAGCTTAAACATAGCGAACTGCTTGAGACGTCTTTGGTATTGGTTTCCAACTCTTATTATACGTTCCCACATGAGGGTTTGCTTAGGATGCAGCTCAACTCCATGTCTGGTAATCACGTACTTCCATCTCCACACCGATGTTTGGTAAGAAATGCTAGATAAATTGATCATGCTTAGAAGATATTTCTTCTTCAACCTCAAAATCCTCATCTTTTCATCTTGTGACCATATGCTAAGTCTTCCTCTCATCATGATTTTCGCCTTGGCTTCCATAATTCTTGATATCAAGTAGGCTCCGTTTACTTTCTTGATCATTTTCAGCTTCAAGACTCTTTCTCTGAGTGTCTCAATGCCTCCTTTTTGCAGCCCTACAAGGTTTCTCATAACCTTAGAAATAGTTCTTCTCTTGATCTTGTTCCTGTCTATTGCATTCAGCCAAGTCCTAAAGCCATTATTTATGTTGCGGGAAAGGCATTTTTCTCTAAGCTTGAACAAGTTTTGTAGAGCAGGGGCATATTTAGCAAGAAGGGCTCCTTTGATTTTCATAGACTGGGCAAACCAGTGTCCTATAGCTCTTCTAGCGCCGTCTTCTGCGATTAAGTTGATTTTCCTTAAGCTTTGGATTATTCTTTGCATTTTATCATTAGTCCACATCTTGAAGGCCATGCGGAGGTTAAATCTGGATCCTTGCTGCAGTTTGGCGAATAAGGAAGCTACAAGTCTATACCTGTTCACATGCTTTTCAGCATCGTTTACCACTCTCCATTTAAAGACTGCGAAACGCTTGATCTTGTTGAGGTGTTCGTTAAATCTAGCTAAGGCACCTGCTACGAGAGAACCTCCCCCTACGATTCTTAATAAGCAGTTCTTGAGGATTCGTCTTGGGATGGCGTCTAAGGTCTGGCGAAGTTTTTCACCGTCCAGTTTGGTAGCAATTTGGTTTTTAATTGAGTTGTGGACGTTGCTTCTTAATTTGTCGAAGGCTTCTCTTGAGCGTCTTTGTGCTCTTAAAGCAAGACTTACCAGAATAAACTTGACGCGGCTTGTTTTAGCTACAATCCTAGACTCAGACTCTTTAAGGACCCTTTGTGAGATCCTAAATAGTGCTGATCTCAGTTTTTCAGACCTCATGCGCTCCTGGATAGCAGCTGCTTTTTTGCCTAAAACATTTTCAGCCCATTTTCTTATGCTGTCTTGTGGGAGTTTTTCACACCTATAAGATAAAGCTTTAAGCGCTGCTTTGGTCTTTTCACTGATTTGACATTTGTCTCTGCCAGATCTTACAGCTTTTCTAACTGGCTTATCAAGAGCGCTCTTCAGCATGACTCCTTTGAGCTTCTTATCAGAATCCGCCACCTTTTTCTTTTGGCAAGCTAGTTTCCATCTGTTTAGGGCATCTCTAGGTTTTTGGTCATACATAATGGCAAGGTTCCTAAAGACTGATTTAACCTTTTCAGAGTTGTCAAGAACAATAGGGTTAAACGCAGATCTCAAAGTGCGGGCTGGGATCTTATTGAGGGCTGCTCTGAGTTTTTCACCTCTAAGCTCAGCACTGAGGCCTGGACATAGATTTTGGTAAGCATTTCTTAAGGTTCTGGCTGGGATTTTTCTGAGGACGTTCTTTAATTGTTGACCTTTGAGTTCTCCTTTCAAGTCATCAGCTTTACCTTGGTGAGCATTTTTAGCTAGCTTATCGAAGGCAAGTTTAGGCATCCTGTCAGCTCTTCTGGCTAAAGCTTTAAGGGCAGATATCAGTCTGTCTTTAGTTGTTGCAATGCTATTAAAGCTGTTTCTCAATGTGCGGACTGGGATCTTAGATAAGCAGTCTTTAAGCTTGGTGGCATTCAGAGAGTCTAGTACTTTCTTATCTTTGACAGCTTGGTTAAAGTTCTTCCACAAGTCAAACGCGTGCTTAGGCTTCTTTTGTAAAGAAATTTCAAGTCTTCTGAGTGCTCCTGCTACGGTGTTTCCTTGTCCCAAAACTCTATTAAGTGCATCTTTAGCGGTCCTCAAAGGAATCTTCTTAAGCGTGTTTTCAAGACTAGTCGCTTTGACATTGTCCATTAATTTCTTTTCTCTGCAAGCTTGCAAATAGTTCTTCCACTTATCGAAAGCAGCCTTCGGCTTCTTTGTAATTGCAATTTCAAGCCTTCTAAGTGCTCCAGCGACCTTATTGTTTCCTCCAATAATCCTATCAGCTGCATCTTTGACGATCCTTGCAGGGATCTTGGCTAATGCATTTCTTAATTTTTCAGTCCTTGCATTGTCAGTCCATTTCTTTTCATTGCAGTCTTTGGTGAAGATTCTCCATTTATCGAAGGCAGTCTTAGTCTTCTTTTGTAGTGCCAGCATAATCCTTCTTAAAGCTCCTTTTACTTTGTCGCCTCCTCCAATGATCCTTTCTACAGTATCTTTGACAGTTCTTAATGGTAATTTTGCGAGTGTTGATCTCAGTTTTTCTGACCTTAAATTATCAAGGACTTTCTTGGTCTCAATGTCATGGATAAAGTCTTTCCATTTATCGAAAGCTTGTTTCGGCTTCTTGTTAATAGCTATTTGAAGTCTTCGGAGGGCTCCAGCTACAGCTTTGCCTTGTCCAATAATGCGGTTGTGAGCGTCCTTAATGACACGTCTTGGAATATTGGATAAAGCATTTCTTAGTTTTTCAGTCCTCAGCTGGTCTAAGATGGTCTTTTTCTTGGCTTGTTTATTGAACTGTTCCCATAGGTCAAAGGCTTCTTTAGTCTTCTTGTTAAGCGAAATCATGATCCTTCTTATAGCACCTTTTACAATGTTATTGTCACCCAAAATGCGAGAATATGCATCTCTCATGGTCCTCTGAGGCAGTTTTTCAAGTGTAGTCTGCAGCTTCTTGGCGTTCAATGCATCTAATGAATTTTTATTCTTGCAATCATTAACAAAGTCTTTCCACTTGTCATAAGCTTGTTTAGGTGATCTCTTCAATGCAGAAAGAATAGTCCTTAGAGCCCCTTTCAGTTTGTCGCTTTCTCCTATAACTCTTCCTATTGCATCTTTTAGGGTTCTTCGAGGAATTCTCTCTACTGCATGTTTAAGCTTCTCAGTCTTGAGATTGTCCATGATTTTCTTTTCGTTGCAGTCTCTGACGTATTTCTTCCACTTTTCGAAGGCTTCTTTGGGCTTCTTCTTGAGGTTGATGTCAAGTCTTCTGATGGCGCCTGCCAATTTGCTGCCTTCTCCTATGAGACGGCTGAGGGAGTCTCTAAGAGTTCTTTGAGGGACTTTGCCAAGGGCCGCTTGTAACTTCTTAGCGTTTAGGGCGTCCAAAACGTTTTTAGTCTTGATATCACTTAGGTAAGCTTTCCATTTTTCAAAGGCGTCTTTAGGCTTTCGTTTGAGACTGTTAATGATGCTGCGCATGGCTCCTTTGACTTTGTCGCCTTCTCCTTTGATGCGGTCTGTGGCGTCTTTTAAGGTTCTTCGTGGGATGCTTTGCAGAAGGTTCTTAAGCTGCTGAGTTCGTACGTTGTCAAGCATTTTCTTGGTGTTGCAGTCCTTGCAGAAGTTTGCCCATTTGCTGAAGGCTCCTTTTGCGGATTTCTTTAATGTAATTTCAAGCCTTCTGAATATTCCTGCTATTTGGTTCCCTTGGCCTACAACCCGGGTGTAGGCGTCTCTGATAGTTCTCTGTGGGATTTTAAGGACTAAATCTTGCAGTTTTTTAGCTTTGAGAGCGTCAAGCAAGCCATTCTTCTTACAATCGTTGACGAAGTCTTTCCATTTCTCAAAGGCGTCTTTAGGCTTCTTTTGAAGCTGAATGAAAAGTCTGCGAAGTGCGCCTCTAACTTTGTTGCCAGCTCCAAGGATTCTGTCAGCTGCATCCTTTATGGTTCGTTTAGGAATCTTTTCTAAGGCGTTTTGAAGTTTTTGAGTTCTTAGGTTGTCGAGCATGTTCTTTGTACCACAGTCTTTAGCGAACTTAGCCCATTTGTCAAAGGCTTGCTTAGGGGATCTCTTTAAGGCCACTTCAAGTTTCTTTAGGGCACCTAAAACTTTGTCACCTTCACCAACTATTCTTTGGTAAGTGTCTCTTAAAGTTCGTCGAGGAATGGCAAGTGCAATGTTGGCTAATTTTTGGCTTCTTACATTATCGAGCAGTCCTTTTTCTTTACAAGCTTGAAGATAGAGTTTCCATTTATTGAATGCATTTCGTGGCTTATTCTTGAGCTGAATTTCCATTCTGCGAAGAGCTCCTAATATTTTGCTTCCTTGGCCAACAATTCGGTTATGAGCATCTCTTACTTCTCCAAGATAAATATGTTAGTGCTATTTTTAATAATAAATAGAAAAAACAAAAAAAATAGCATTTCAAGCAAATTTATATAAATTATTATAAATTTTCTTGATATTTTAAGAGAAAATTAAAAAAGCATATGGAATATTACTTGTGTTAAAATAGACCTGAAAAGGTTTTAAAAAATAATCTATAGATAATTTTTATAAAATAGGAGGTTAGAGTTCTTGGTATAACTTTTTCTAGCTCCCCTCCCCTTTGAGCAAACAAAAAATTTTGTTCGTTTAAGAGGATTTTTGTTTTCAAAATTTAAAAAAAATTCAAAATAATTTAAAACAAATATTAATTTAAATTATACTTTATGTTTTAAAAATGCAAGCTGTTTAGAATTCAACAGAATTAGTTAGAAATTTCATTATAATAATTATCAAAATATTTTGTTTTCCGAAATTCCTTGTTCGATCACAGTGGATTTTTAGGCAAAAATGGAGAATTTTTAATGGTTTTGTTTGCTGACAGAGAGGGGGAGTAAGGAAGTCTTGAGTTTGTTTGCTTTGAGAGCATTTACAGCTTTCTTTGTCTGACAGTCTTTAATGTAGTCTTTCCACTTCTGAAGAGCGTCTCTTGGTTTCCTTATCATTGCATTCATTACATTCTTGATTGCTCCTTTGACTTTATCACCTCCTCCGATGATTCTTTGAGTTGCATCTTTGATTGTTCTCTTCGGATAATTTAAAATATGGCACATTTTAAATTTTCCGGTCTCCAAACCGATATTTTTCTCTTGCATATTTTAATTATGAAGCTATTTCCTGATGAATTTATCTGAAAGTGAGGGATGAGTGGTTGCTTCTATCTGACACCTGACCTGGTAGTGGACCTTGAACGTGATAAATCTAATTGAATTGATTGTTCTCTTCGGTATCCTTCCTAAAGCATTCTTTAATTTCTGGGATCTGACATTGTCGAATAAGTTTCTTGTCTTACAATCTTGAATGTATTGTTTCCAGATGTTGAAGGCAATTCTTGGTTTCTTTTGAAGCTGAATAAGGATTCTTCTAACATTTCCTGCGAATTTGTCTCCATCTCCTAAGATTCTTTGATGCGCATCTTTGATGGTCCTTGCAGGAATTCTTTCTAATGCGATTTTCAGTTTCTGAGCGTTTACAGCGTTAAGTAGGTCTCCTTGCTTGCAATTGTTAACAAAGTCTTTCCATTTCTTCATGGCTTCACTAGGCATTTCTTGATAATGTTTGAACAGCAATCTCAATATTCCTAAAGCTCTGGTTCCATGTCTTTGCAAAATAAAGTCATAATTATTTTTCAGAGTCCTAATCGGTATTCTGTCAAGTGCATATCTTAGTTTTTGGGCTCTTACTGCATCTGAGAGGTTGTCGTTCTTCTCAAGGTTTAAGAAAGCTTTCCATTTGCTAATAGCGTCTCTAGGCATCTTTTCAACTCGAAGTGCAAAAACTTGTAGAGTCTTCTTTACCTTATCGCTTGGCTGGCATCTGTCTCTTCCTGATCTTACTTGTTTTCGGACTGGTTTTTCAAGAGCGTTCTTAAGCATGGCTCCTTTGAGTTTCTTGTTGGAATCAGCAGTCTTCTTCTTTTCACATCCAAGTTTCCATTTATTTAACTCATCATCCCTTCAAATTGGAACAAAAGTCCTGTTCAAATTAAGGGGTTAATTTTATTTACAAAAAATATATACTTAAATTTTTCTAAATTTTAAAAGAATTTTAATTTATTTTTATAAAAAAATTAAATAAAAAAATTAATCGATTCAAGGCGAAAAACGTTGAAAAGAAAGTCTAATTCACTTTTTTTATTACATTAGGTGATAATTTTATAAAAATTAATATTTTCCTTTTAAATCTTTTGAAAAATATTAATTTAGCACTATACCCGAATTTTAATTTATTTTTTATGAAAAATTAAATAGAGCTTAATTGACCAATGTATAAACTGTTTAATAATATTTTGCTGGGATTTTTTCTATTAAATTAGGTCAAAACTAATTTTATAAAATTAGTATTTTGATCGATAAAATTTTCCAATTGAAAAAAAAAGTTGTTCCGATTTAAATGGGAACGTACTGAATAAAGGTAAGGTTAGGTTAGGTTAGGTTTAGGTTTAAGATGTGCATTTATAGTCCCTACTTCCATGCGTGGCATTCCTCCGCGCAACTTGAGGAGCCGTGCTGGCACGAGCGAAAAGGATGGACTTCCATCACTGGTTCTCTGAGCCCAGGCCGAAACCCTGGTTTCTCGGTAGTGGTTGCCCTATTGAGTCGTCAGCCGACTGTCGCTGAGCACCACCATTTCCAACTCAGCCTTCCGCCCCGAATTACGCCAGTCTTTGCCTCCGGTTGGCCAGATCGCCCTCGTAAGAGGACCCTTTTAACTGGAGAGACTTGTGCCCTTGAGATCCCCAAGTCTAGCTTCGCCTTCCTCTTTCCCGGATCATCTCCAAGAAAGAACTCAACCCCTTGCGGGATTCGGGGCTAAGCCACCAAGTAGCCTAGGCAGGTAACTCACCCTGCCTCTTTCGGACACCGAGTCTGGGCCTTGGCGCTACTGACAAAAAGAATGCGAAAAACTGCTGCCCGGGTCGAGTCCCAAAATCAGCGGAAATTGGGCTGGGCCTCTCGCCTCGAGGCTAACTCTTTCCTTGAGTAGCTCTCCGCATCCAAAAACCATGTCCGGTATACATAAGGACACCCGCCACGGAAGGAAGGGTCGCTCGTCTCCGGCCATTTTATGTATGTGGGAAAGTACTAAATAAATGCAATTTTTTTATTCCAATTTTAAAGGTGGGGAGTAAGCAATCTCTAGGTCTTTGATAGTATAAAACGGCGAGGTTTCTCAAGGCAGACTTGATCTTGTCAGCGTTAACGAGAATAATAGGATTAAATGCAGATCTCAAAGTGCGAATAGGAATCTTGTCTAGAGCTTTTCTAACTTTTTCATTATCATAATTTTAAATAAAATAAGTTCTTGTATAAATTTCAATCATCTTTATTTTATGAACCTATTTTTTATTAATAATATTTTTCTGATGAAATGGGATTAAGTTTTTCTCCTTGAAGTTTATCATTCTTAGTATCAGGAACAATTTTTGCGTAGGCTTCTCTTAATGTTCTGGCTGGTATCTTTCTTAGAACATTCTTCAATTGCTGACCTTTAAGCTCTTCTTTCAAATTATCAGCTTGCTCCTTCAAAGTATCAGTCTTAGCTTTATTTGCATTCTTAGCTAATTTATCAAAAGCGACCTTAGGCATCCTTTCAGCTCTTCGGGCTAAGGCTTTGAGTGCTCCAATGACTCTGTCTTTAGTAGCAACAATACTGTTGAAGCTATTTCTAATTCTCCTCTTAAATAATTAACTTCGAATATTTGTGATGCAATTTATCTCCAATTTAATGAAGCTTTAAAAAATCACTAAAAAAAAATTTCCAACATAAATGATGTAAGTGTTCGAGCAGGAATCTTGGCTAAAGCATCATTTAATTTGCGAGCATTCAACGCATCTAATACTTTCTTGTCTTTAGTTGCTTTAACGTAGTCTTTCCATAGATCAAATGCTTGCTTACTCCTTAGCCTTGATTAATGGGCAAAATCATTAAGGAAAATTATTTTATTTAATTTTTTGTTTTTATTAATAATTAATTAATGTGATTACAACAAAAGTACTACAATTGTAGACAAAGCATGAAATGTATAATTCATTAAATTAAAAATATTATATAAATTCAGCCCCTTCCAATATTGAGTAAAATATTATAAACGTTACAAATAGGTGATTTAGGCTTCTTTTGGAGCGAAATTTCAAGTCTTCGTAAAGCGCCTGCAACGTTGTTTCCTTGGCCAATAATTCTATTGAAAGCATCCTTTGAAGTTCTCAATGGGATCTTTCTAAGGACATCGTTGAGACTTTTAGCTCTGACATTGTCAACAAGTTTCTGTTCTTTGACGTCTTGAACAAAGTCTTTCCATTTATTGAAGGCTTGCTTAGGCTTCTTTGTGATTGAGATTTCAAGTCTTCTAAGGGCTCCAGCGATTTTATTGTCTCCTCCGAGGATTCGATCAGCAGCATCTTTAACAGTTCTTATTGGAATTCTCACTAAAGCATTTCTAAGTTTTTCTGTGCGGGTGTTATCAGTAAGCTTCTTGTCTGTGCAATCTCTGTTGAACTTATTCCACTTGTCGAAAGCAGCTTTAGTCTTCTTCTGTAAAGTAAGCATTAGACGTCTTAAAGCACCTTTAACTTTGTCTCCTCCTCCAATGACTCTTTCAAAGGCATCTCTTGTTGTGCGCAAAGGTATTTTCGCTAAAGTATTTCGTAATTTCTCATTCCAAACCTTATTCGATATAACAATTTTATGCTTTTTTGTTTTATTAATTAAATAAAAATCAAAGATCGCAATAGCTTTGTATCTATTAAAATTGATTATTATTATTTTAACAAATTTCTCATTTTAGCTATTTCATAGACGGAAAGTCAGATCTTAAGTTGTCCAAAACTTTCTTTGTTTTAGTATCATTCACGAAATCTTTCCATTTATCAAAGGCTTGCTTACTACCTCTTTTTAAATTTGAACAAAATCCATTTTTGAGTAAACCAATTCCTATTTAAACAAAATAATAATTTCTATATAAATAATACCCAATTTAATGTTACCAATTTGTTTTATTTTGAATTAAAATTTAATATTACCTCTTTAAATCGATGAATTTTATAAATATTTTTTATAGTTTGTTTATTGATAAAAGTTTACTAGATCTTTGTTCCACTTTAAAAAGGGAAGAGGTAGGCTTCTTATTAATTGCTATCTGAAGTCTTCTGAGTGCTCCGGCTACAACTTTGCCTTGTCCAATAATTCTATTGTGAGCATCCTTCAGAATTCGTCTAGGAATATTAGCTAACGCTACTTCAATAAATATTTTAAATTATTTTAATAAGTCAATTTATAGCCCAGGACGGCATTTAGCTGGCCCTGAGCTACCAAATTTTTACTCCAACATGTGGTGTTCGGCTCCCAAGTGTTAAAAAATGAATATATATTTGCCATTTGCCAACTCGTGGAGTTGGTTGAACTTATGCATCGAATCATATCCCCAAGTAGAAGCGAAAGCTGGTAGCCCAGGGTTAGCTAAATGCCGTCCTGGTCTTTACAATGGATTAACAAAATTTTTTATTTGATTATCTACGGCTAATTAATTTTAAAATGTGAAAAAAATTTTGACATATATATTAATTTTTTTTTCCATTTTAAAAATCATTTCACTTATAAAAGCAAAAATAAACTATACTAGGAAATTATATCATAGATAAAAATATAAAGATGAGAGTAAAGCATTTCTTAATTTTTCAGTTTTCAGCTGATCCATAACATTCTTCTTGTTGCAGTCTTTGTTGAACTTATTCCAAATATCAAAAGCTTCTCTGGATTTCTTATTAAGTGCAATCACAATTCCTCTTATAGCACTTTTAACGATATTGCTATCGTTTGTAATGCGGTTATAAGCATCGCGCATAGTTCGCTGTGGAATCTTTTCGAGGGCTGTGTGCAATTTCTTAGCGTTCAAAGATACCAGTGTTTCTTTATCTTTAGTTCCTCTAATATAATCCTTCCATTTATCAAATGCTTGCTTTGGCGCTTTCTTAATAGCTGAAAGTGCTGCTCTTAAGACTCCTTTAACTTTGTCGCCTTCTCCTTTAACTCTTTCAGCTGCATCTTTCAAGGTTCTTCTAGGGATGTTCTTCATTGCTGCTCTAAGTTGTTGAACTCTGACGTTGTCCATAAGTTTCTTTTCTTTGACAGCTCTGAGATAGTCTTTCCACTTATCAAATGCTTGCTTTGGCTTTTTCTTTAAATCACTCCATTGCTTAGTGAGCAAGGTCCAATTTTTTCACAAAAAAAAATGATATAATAAAATTAGCTAGAGAATCGTTTTAAATATTATCAAATATTTATGGAAAGTTTTATATTATAAATAGTAATTTCCCAAATATAGGAATTTTTCTAACCGTTTTGCTTGCTAACTAAACGAGTGAGTAAGTTAATTTCAAGTCTTCTGAGGGCTCCAGCAACTTTGTTACCTTCTCCAACAATTCTATTATGAGCATCTCTAAGAGTTCTCTGAGGTAGTTTTTCGAGGGCAGTTTGTAGTTTCTTACTCTCACCTCCATAAATGAGTAAAAATCATTATAAAAATTTAATTTTAAGTTGGCTCGCAGTAAAAAAATTTTAATAATTTAATATATATATAATGATTATAATATCAATGTCCTAGCTACTGTTATGAAATTTGAAAGAGCTTGCACCCTAAAATGTTGATTTTATAAATTAAATTAGACAAGTTTAAATACTTGTGACTGGGATTTTAAAAAAATTGTACAGAAACAAGATTTTTCTCTTTAACTAAGTAGTAGGGTTAGCATTTAATGCATCTAAAGTCTTTCTTTTCTTGCAATCTTCTACAAAGTCCTTCCACTTTTGCATTGCATCTCTAGGTTTTTTCTTAAGTGCCATAATTGCCCCTCTGATAGCTCCTTTAACTTTATCACCTTCTCCTTTGACACGATCAGCAGCATCTTTCATTGTTCTCTTACTCTTTCAATAGCACATTATAAATATTAATGACAAAAAATTTATTTAATTTTATCATTGCTCAATTTAACAAAAAAATTAAATAAAATAAAATCGGAGATTTAGGGATATTTCTCAATGCGTTCTTTAATTGCTGAGTTCTTAGATTATCAATCATTTTCTTCTTCTCACAATCCTTGCAGAAGTCAGCCCACTTATCGAAAGCAGCCTTTGGTGATTTCTTTAGAGTTATTTCAAGTCTTCTGAATACTCCAGCTAATTTATTTCCTTCTCCATTAATTCTATTGTAAGAATCTCTAACTTGTATAATATATTTTTATTAATAAATTTAATAAAATCTGAGCATAATATATATAAGTATGATTTTATTATATCTTTTTTTAGCTTAAATTAATAGCATAGAGGTGATGTAAGAGTTCTCTGAGGGATCTTAAGCAAAGAGTCTTGCAATTGCTTAGCTTTCAGAGCGTCTAATAAGCCATTCTTCTTGCTATCGTACACAAAATCTTTCCATTTCTCAAATGCATCTTTTGGTTTCCTTTGCAATTGGATCCAAAGTCTGCGAAGTGCTCCTTTAAGTCTATTGCCATTTCCAAGGATTTTATCAGCTGCATCTTTCATGGTTCGAGTAGGGATCTTCTCTAAAGCGCTTTTAAGTTTTTGAGTTCTCAAGTTATCAAGCATATTCTTACCCATTTGAAATACAAACTTACATTAATATCTAACTCCCCTTCGTTTGCAGGTAAGCCATTGGAAAAATCCCTATTTAGTTGGAAAAAAATCTCTGTGAGCTAAATTCTTTAAATATAAAAATATTCTAATGTATGAATGATAATTATAATAAATCAAATCCCCAGGCTAATTATGCTAATTAAACACACTTCATTCTAAAACATAAATTTTAGAAATTAAATAAGTTTTTACTTTAAAGTTCGAATTATTTAAATTTCGTCAAAAATTAATATAAAATTTCCTTTAAAAACGCTAGCCTCCTTGATAGAGCAAAATTTTTCTTTGCAAGCCCAAGGAGGGAGTAAAAAAATAGTATCCCATGTTTATTGTAAATTTTAAAATAATTGTCAATATTGTATTTGTTAAAGTTAGAATTGCAATCCTTTGCAAACTTAGCCCATTTGTCAAATGCTTGCTTAGGGGATCTCTTTAATGTAATCTCGAGCCTTCTTAGTGCTCCTAAGACTTTGTCTCCTTCTCCAACAACTCTTTGATAAGCTTCTCTAACTCTTATTGTAGATTTTTTAAAATATTTTACACATTATTTTTATGTGTAGAAAAATATTGGATTATTGAGATTAATATTTTAAATTTATTTTTAAGTTGGGATAAGAGTTCTACGAGGAATTGCAAGTGCAATGTTGGCTAATTTTTGGGTTCTTACGTTGTCGAGAAGTCCTTTTTCTTTACAAGCTTGAAGATAGAGCTTCCATTTATTGAATGCGTTTCGTGGCTTATTCTTGAGTTGGATTTCCATTCTGCGAAGAGCTCCTAATATCTTGCTTCCTTGACCAATAATTCTGTTATGAGCGTCTCTAAGGGTTCTTGGAAGAACCTTCTCTAAGCAATTTTTAAGTTTGTTAGCTTTGAGAGCGTTTACAGCTTTCTTTGTCTGACAATCTTTAATGTAGTCTTTCCACTTCTGAAGAGCGTCTCTTGGTTTCCTTATCATTGCATTCATTACATTCTTGATTGCTCCTTTAACTTTATCACCTCCTCCAATGATTCTTTGAGTTGCGTCTTTGAGTGTTCTCTTAGGAATTCGTTCTAAAGCGTTCTTTAATTTCTGAGATCTGACATTATCGAACAAGTTTCTTGCTTTGCAGTCTTGAATGTATTGCTTCCAGATGTTGAAGGCAACTCTTGGTTTCTTTTGAAGCTGAATGAGGATTCTTCTGACATTTCCTGCGAGTTTGTCTCCATCTCCTAACTCATTTAATAAAAAAAGATATTATCGAAAGTACAAATTTTAAAGTATTAAAGAATTAGCTATATTGAAACATACATTTTAATAACAGCTTGATATTAATTTTTACTATATTCTTTAATTATAATTCTAAGATTAATTTAATGAAATACATTGCAGAGTTTTTAGATTTCTAATAATTAAAAATATTAGCAAACCAAATAATTTAGCTCATCCTTAGATATGGATGTAAGATTCTTTGGTAGGCATCTCTGGTGGTTCTAGTAGGAATTCTTTCTAATGCGATTTTCAGTTTCTGAGCGTTTACTGCATTAAGAAGATCTCCTTGCTTGCAAGAGTTTACAAAGTCTTTCCATTTCTTCATGGCTTCACTAGGCATTTCTTGATAGTGCTTGAATAGTAGTCTCAAAATTCCTAAAGCTCTGGTTCCATGTCTTTGCAGAATATAGTCATAATTATTTTTCAGTGTTCTGATAGGAATTCTGCCAAGTGCATATCTTACTCTCTGTGAGAAAAATTTAATTTATCAATGTTATAGTAAATTCTTTTTTCGATGCAAAAATTTCACAAAATTTAAATTAAAGTAATTTAATATATATAAATTATCTTTTAGAATGTAAATCAGAACTGGTTAAAAGATTTTATAATAATAATTATTATTACTTATATATTAAAAATTTTTAAAATATATAAAAATTTTGCTAAAAAAAGAGATTTTTTCAATGCTTGGCTTGATCACAGGGAGATTTAATTTTTCAGCTCTTATTGCATCTGAGAGGTTGTCGTTCTTCTCAAGGTTTAAGAAAGCTTTCCATTTGCTAATAGCGTCTCTAGGCATCTTTTCAACTCGAAGTGCAAAAACTTGTAGAGTCTTCTTTACCTTATCGCTTGGCTGACATCTGTCTCTTCCTGATCTTACTTGTTTTCGGACTGGTTTTTCAAGAGCGTTCTTAAGCATAGCTCCTTTGAGTTTCTTGTTGGAATCAGCAGTCTTCTTCTTTTCACATCCAAGTTTCCATTTATTTAAGCAATCTCTAGGTCTTTGATAGTATAAAACGGCAAGATTTCTCAAGGCAGACTTAATCTTATCAGCATTAACAAGAATAATAGGATTAAATGCAGATCTCAAAGTACGTAATGGGATCTTATCAAGTGCTTTTCTAAGTTTTTCTCCTTGAAGTTTATCATTCTTAGTATCAGGAACAATATTTCCGTAAGCATCTCTTAAGGTTCTAGCTGGTATCTTTCTCAGGACATTCTTCAATTGCTGGCCTTTAAGTTCTTCTTTCAAATTATCAGCTTTAGCTTTGTTTGCATTCTTGGCTAGCTTATCAAAAGCAACTTTAGGCATTCTTTCAGCTCTTCGTGCTAAGGCTTTGAGTGCTCCAATGAGCCTGTCTTTGGTAGCAACAATACTGTTGAAGCTATTTCTAATTCTCCTCTCAAGGAATTTTATTGGAATTCTTATTGTATTCAACACTTTAATACTAAAGTCATAAGAAATTTTAATTTAAAATTAATTATTTAATTTATTATATTATATGATAATAAATAAAAAATTAAAAATTAAAAAAATAAATGCTCTTTTAATACAAATTTATTTCGACATAAATGATGTAAGTGTTCGAACAGGAATCTTGGCTAAAGCATCATTTAATTTGCGAGCATTCAACGCATCTAATATTTTCTTGTCTTTAGTTGCTTTAACGTAGTCTTTCCATAGATCAAATGCTTGCTTAGGCTTCTTTTGTAGAGAAATTTCAAACCTTCTTAAAGCACCTGCAACGTTGTTTCCTTGGCCAATGATTCTGTTGAAAGCATCCTTTGAGGTTCTCAATGGGATTCTTCTTATCCCATCTCTTCTACAATTTCAAAGCAATTTATTAATTAATCCAATATATTTAATAATAAAAACAATTTTCTCATCAGATTATAATATTATATTTAGTTTTCGGCGAATTAGTACATCGTTGAGATTTTTAGCTCTGACATTGTCAACAAGTTTCTGTTCTTTGACGTCTTGAATAAAGTCTTTCCATTTATTGAAGGCTTGCTTAGGCTTCTTTGTGATTGAGATTTCAAGTCTTCTAAGGGCTCCAGCGACTTTGTTGTTTCCTCCGAGAATTCGATCAGCAGCATCTTTAACAGTTCTTATTGGAATTCTTGCTAAAGCATTTCTAAGTTTTTCTGTGCGAGTGTTATCAGTAAGCTTCTTGTCTGTGCAATCTCTGTTGAACTTATTCCACTTGTCGAAAGCAGCTTTAGTCTTCTTCTGTAAAGTAAGCATTAGACGTCTTAGAGCACCTTTAACTTTGTCTCCTCCTCCAATGACTCTTTCAAAGGCATCTCTTGTTGTGCGCAAAGGTATTTTCGCTAAAGTATTTCGTAATTTCTCAGATCTTAAGTTGTCCAAAACTTTCTTTGTCTTAGTGTCATTCACGAAATCTTTCCATTTATCAAAGGCTTGCTTAGGCTTCTTATTAATTGCTATCTGAAGTCTTCTGAGTGCTCCGGCTACAACTTTGCCTTGTCCAATAATTCTATTGTGAGCATCCTTCAGAATTCGTCTAGGAATATTAGCTAAAGCATTTCTTAATTTTTCGGTTTTCAGCTGATCCATAACATTCTTCTTGTTGCAGTCTTTGTTGAACTTATTCCAAATATCAAAAGCTTCTCTGGATTTCTTATTAAGTGCAATCACAATTCCTCTTATAGCACTTTTAACGATATTGCTATCGCTTGTAATGCGGTTATAAGCATCGCGCATAGTTCGCTGTGGAATCTTTTCGAGGGCTGTGTGCAATTTCTTAGCGTTCAAAGCTACCAGTGTTTCTTTATCTTTAGTTCCTCTAATGCAATCCTTCCATTTATCAAATGCTTGCTTTGGTGCTTTCTTAATAGCTGAAAGTGCTGCTCTTAAGACTCCTTTAACTTTGTCGCCTTCTCCTTTAACTCTTTCAGCTGCATCTTTCAAGGTTCTTCTAGGGATATTCTTCATTGCTGCTCTAAGTTGTTGAACTCTGACGTTGTCCATAAGTTTCTTTTCTTTGACAGCTCTGAGATAGTCTTTCCACTTATCAAATGCTTGCTTTGGCTTTTTCTTTAAATTAATTTCAAGTCTTCTGAGGGCTCCAGCAACTTTGTTACCTTCTCCAACAATTCTATTATGAGCATCTCTAAGGGTTCTCTGAGGTAGCTTTTCAAGGGCAGTTTGCAGCTTCTTAGCATTTAATGCATCTAAGGTCTTCTTTTTCTTGCAATCTTCTACAAAGTCCTTCCATTTTTGCAATGCATCTCGAGGCTTTCTCTTAAGCGCCAAAATGGCTGTTCTTATAGCTCCTTTGACTTTATCGCCTTCTCCTTTGATACGATCAGTAGCGTCTTTCATTGTTCTCTTAGGAATATTTCTCAATGCATTCTTTAGTTGTTGTGTTCTCAAATTATCAATCATTTTCTTTTTATCGATGTCTTTGCAGAAATTGATCCACTTATTAAAGGCAGCTCCTTCTTTTTTCTTAAGTGTGATTTCAAGTCTTCTTAGAGCTCCTGCGACTTGGTTACCTTGGCCAGTAATTCTATTATAAGCATCTCTAATAGTTCTTTGAGGGATCTTAAGCAAAGAGTCTTGCAATTGCTTAGCTTTCAGAGCGTCTAGTAAGTTATTCTTTTTGCTGTCGTGCACAAAATCTTTCCATTTCTCAAATGCATCTTTTGGCTTCCTTTGCAATTGGATCCAAAGTCTGCGAAGTGCTCCTTTAAGTCTATTGCCATTTCCAAGGATTTTATCTGCTGCATCTTTCATGGTTCGAGTAGGGATCTTTTCTAAAGCGCTTTTAAGTTTTTGAGTTCTCAAGTTATCAAGCATATTCTTAGAATTGCAATCCTTTGCAAACTTAGCCCATTTGTCAAATGCTTGCTTAGGGGATCTCTTTAATGTAATCTCGAGCCTTCTTAGTGCTCCTAAGACTTTGTCTCCTTCTCCAACAACTCTTTGATAAGCTTCTCTAAGAGTTCTACGAGGAATTGCAAGTGCAATGTTGGCTAATTTTTGGGTTCTTACGTTGTCGAGAAGTCCTTTTTCTTTACAAGCTTGAAGATAGAGCTTCCATTTATTGAATGCGTTTCGTGGCTTATTCTTGAGTTGGATTTCCATTCTGCGAAGAGCTCCTAATATCTTGCTTCCTTGGCCAATAATTCGGTTATGAGCGTCTCTAAGGGTTCTTGGAAGAACCTTCTCTAAAGAAGTCTTGAGTTTGTTAGCTTTGAGAGCGTTTACAGCTTTCTTTGTCTGGCAGTCTTTAATGTAGTCTTTCCACTTCTGAAGAGCGTCTCTTGGTTTTCTGATCATTGCATTCATTACATTCTTGATTGCTCCTTTGACTTTGTCACCTCCTCCAATGATTCTTTGAGTTACGTCTTTGAGTGTTCTCTTAGGAATTCGTTCTAAAGCATTCTTTAATTTCTGAGATCTGACATTATCGAACAAGTTTCTTGCTTTGCAGTCTTGAATGTATTGTTTCCAGATATTGAAAGCTACTCTTGGTTTCTTTTGCAGTTGAATGAGGATTCTTCTGATATTTCCTGCAAGTTTGTCTCCATCTCCTAAGACTCTTTGGTAGGCATCTCTGGTGGTTCTAATTGGAATTCTTTCTAATGCGATTTTCAGTTTCTGAGCGTTAACTGCATTAAGAAGATCTCCTTGCTTGCAAGAGTTTACAAAGTCTTTCCACTTCTTCATAGCTTCACTAGGCATTTCTTGGTAGTGCTTGAATAGTAGTCTCAAAATTCCTAAAGCTCTGGTTCCATGTCTTTGAAGAATATAGTCATAATTATTTTTCAGAGTCCTTATAGGTATTCTTTCAAGGGCGTATCTTAGTTTTTGTGCTCTTACTGCATCTGAAAGGTTGTCGTTTTTAACAATATTCAAGAAAGCTTTCCATTTGTTAATCGCATCCTTAGGCATCTTTTCAGCTCTTAGTGCGAAAATCTGCAGAGTCTTCTTGACCTTATCGCTTGGTTGGCATCTGTCTCTTCCTGATCTTACTTGCTTTCGTACTGGCTTTTCAAGAGCGTTCTTAAGCATAGCTCCTTTGAGTTTCTTGTTGGAATCCGCAGTCTTCTTCTTTTCACATCCAAGTTTCCATTTATTCAAACAGTCTCTAGGTCTTTGATAGTATAAAATGGCGAGGTTTCTTAAGGCAGACTTGATCTTATCAGAGTTGTCAAGAATAATAGGATTAAATGCTGATCTCAAAGTGCGTAATGGGATCTTATCAAGCGCTTTTCTAAGTTTTTCTGCATGAAGATCGTTCTTAGCGTCAGGAACCATTCGGTTCAAAGCGTCTCTCAATGTTCGAGCAGGAATCTTCCTTAGTCCGTTTTTAAGTTTTTCAGCCTTAAGAGTATCCAATGAATCCTTTTGTTTAGTGCCATTGCAGAAGTCTTTCCATTTATCAAATGCTTGCTTTGGTGCTTTCTTCAAAATTAGCAATGCAGCTCTTAAAGCTCCTTTAACTTTATCGCCATCACCTTTAATTCTTTGGACTGCATCTCTAATAGTCCGCTTAGGAATATTCTTAAGGGCATCTTTAAGCTGTTGAGTTTTGAGGTTATCTGTTACTTTCTTATCATTAACTGCTTTGAGATAGTTCTTCCATTTATCAAATGCTTGTTTTGGCTTTTTCTTGAGATTAATATCAAGTCTTCTAATAGCTCCAGCTATTTTATCTCCTTCACCAATAAGTCGGTTATGAGCATCTCTAACTTCATCTGCCTATTAATAATGATATTTTTATATGGTCATATAATCACCAATTAATTATACCTCTTTAAAATAAAAAACAATTTCAAATTAAAAATGAATAATTTTAATTGAAAAAATCAATATTTCTTCTTACTAATGATTACTCAGAAAATATTAAAAATTATATAAGGAGGAAACAATAATATAAGATTTATATTTAAAAAATTAAAAATTATATTAGACTTACATTTTAAAGGGAAAATTTTGTTTTACTATTAATTAAAGGATTAAGAGTTCTAATCGGTACTTTTTCAAGTGCAGTTTGTAATTTCTTAGCAGTTAAAGCATCAGTAGCTTTCTTTTTCTTGCAATCATCTACGAAGTCCTTCCACTTTTGCAATGCATCTCTTGGTACTTTCTTAAGAGCTACAACAGCTCCTCTTAAAGCTCCCTTGACTTTATCACCTTGGCCCTTGACACGGTCTGCAGCATCTTTAAGTGTTCGTTTTGGTAGATTTCTTAAAGTATTCTTTAATTGCTGAGTCCTTAAGTTGTCAAGCATTTTCTTATCCTTGCAATCCTTACAGAAGTTTGCCCATTTATTGAAAGCTCCTCTAGCTGATTTTTTAATTGTAATTTCAAGTCTTCTGAGAGCTCCAGCAACTTTGTCTCCTTGGCCTAGAATTCGATTATTTGCGTCTCTGAGAGTTCTTTGAGGGATCTTGTTTAAGCATTCTTGTAATTTCTTTGCCTTAAGAGCATCTAATAAAGCGTTCTTCTTGCAGGAGTCAATATAGTCTTTTCAAGTATCAACTGCTTCTTTAGGTTTCTTTTGCAACTGGATGAAAAGTCTGCGAAGAGCTGCTTTAAGTCTATTATTGGATTCAAGAATTCTGCCTGCTGCATCTTTGAGAGTTCGTTTAGGAATCTTTTCTAAGGCGATTTGAAGTTTTTGGGTCTTCAAGTTGTCAAGCATGTTCTTTGTACCACAGTCTTTAGTGAACCTAGCCCACCTGTCAAAGGCTTGTTTAGGAGATCTTTTTAGAGCTATGTCAAGCTTTCTTAAGGCACCTAAAACTTTATCACCTTCACCTACTATTCTTTGGTAAGTTTCTCTTAAAGTTCTTCGTGGGATGCCGAGAGCGATGTTAATTAATTTTTGGCTTCTTACATTGTCGAGGAGTCCTTTTTCTTTACAAGCTTGAAGATAGAGTTTCCATTTATTGAATGCGTTTCGTGGCTTATTCTTGAGCTGAATTTCCATTCTGCGAAGAGCTCCTAATATCTTGCTTCCTTGGCCAACAATTCGGTTATGAGCGTCTCTGAGAGTTCTTGGAATAACCTTCTCTAAGCAATTCTTAAGTTTGTTAGCTTTGAGAGCGTTTACAGCTTTCTTTGTCTGACAGTCTTTAATGTAGTCTTTCCACTTCTGAAGAGCGTCTCTTGGTTTTTTGATCATTGCATTCATTACATTCTTGATTGCTCCTTTAACTTTATCACCTCCTCCAATAATTCTTTGAGTTGCGTCTTTGAGTGTTCTCTTACTCCCCCCCCCTCCGTGAGTGAACAAAACCATTAGAAAAATCGCTATTTTTTGACCAAAAACCCACCCTCCGTGAGTGAACAAAAATTTTTTTTAATAGAAAAATTTTTTATGGAAAAAAAATTTAATATATAAATGATAATTAGTATAATGAAATCTAGAGCTAATTCTGTTTAATTTTAAACGAATTGCTTTTTAAAACATAAATTTTATAAATTAAATTAATATTTGCTTTCCAATTTTTGCGAATTAGGATTTTTTTAAATTTCGAAAAAAAATATTTTTTATAAAATTTATATATAAATTTTTTTAAAAAAAAAAATTAACCCCCCTCCGTGAACAAAATTTTTTTGTTCACTCACGGAGGGGGGGCAGTTAGGGATCTTTTCTAAAGCATTCTTTAGTTTCTGGCATCTTACATTGTCAAACAAGTTTCTTGTCTTACAATCTTGAATGTACTGTTTCCAGATGTTGAAGGCAACTCTCGGTTTCTTTTGCAGTTGAATGAGAATTCTTCTGACATTTCCGGCAAATTTGTCTCCATCTCCTAACTCGCCCCACTCCGTGAGGGAATAAATTTTTTTTGTTTGCTCATGGAGGGTTAATTATTTTAAAAGTATATATAAAAATTTTATAGTAAAATTTTTGTTTCAAAATTTAAAAAAAATTATAATTCGTAAAATTAGAAAGCAAATATATATTTAATTTGTAAATTTATTTTTTAAAATGAGCTGTTTAAAATTAATAAGAGAATTTATTATAATAGTTATCACTTATATATCAAAATTGTTTTCTTAAAAATTTTATATTAAAAAAATTTTGGTTCGCTCGCAAGGGTGATTTTTTGGGCAAAACATAGGGATTTTCCCATGATTTTGTTTGTCCACAGAGGAGGGAAGTAAGATTCTTTGATGCGCGTCTTTGATGGTCCTTACAGGAATTCTTTCTAAGGCAAGCTTAAGTTTCTGAGCGTTTACTGCGTTAAGTAAGTCTCCTTGCTTGCAATTGTTAACAAAGTCTTTCCACTTCTTCATGGCTTCACTAGGCATTTCTTGATAATGTTTGAACAACAATCTCAATATTCCTAAAGCTCTGGTTCCATGTCTTTGCAAAATAAAGTCATAATTATTTTTCAGAGTCCTAATCGGTATTCTGTCAAGTGCATATCTTAGTTTTTGAGCTCTTACTGCATCTGAGAGGTTGTCGTTCTTCTCAAGGTTTAAGAAAGCTTTCCATTTGTTAAGAGCATCTCTAGGCATCTTTTCAACTCGAAGTGCGAAAACTTGTAGAGTCTTCTTGACCTTATCGCTTGGCTGGCATCTGTCTCTTCCTGATCTTACTTGCTTTCGGACTGGTTTTTCAAGAGCGTTCTTAAGCATGGCTCCCTTGAGTTTCTTGTTGGAATCAGCAGTCTTCTTCTTTTCACATCCAAGTTTCCATTTATTCAAACAGTCTCTAGGTCTTTGATAGTACAAAACAGCAAGATTTCTCAATGCAGACTTGATCTTATCAGAGTTGTCAAGAATAATAGGATTAAATGCAGATCTCAAAGTGCGTAATGGGATCTTATCAAGTGCTTTTCTAAGTTTTTCTGCTTGAAGCTCATTCTTATTATCAGGAACAATTTGGTTATAAGCTTCTCTCAATGTCCTAGCAGGGATCTTTCTTAATCCATTTTTCAGTTTTTCAGCATTCAAAGCATTTAATGATTTCTTCTGTTTGGTTCCTTGGACGAAGTCTTGCCATTTATCAAATGCTTGCTTTGGTGCTTTCCTAAGAATTGCAAATGCTGCTCTAAGTACTCCTTTAACCTTATCTCCATCTCCTTTGATTCTTTGTGCTGCATCTTTCAAAGTTCGTTTACTCCCCCTCCGTGAGTGAACAAAAAAATTTTGTTCACGGAGGGGGGTTAATTTTTTTTTTTTTAAAAAAATTTATATATAAATTTTATAAAAAATTGTTTTTTTTTCGAAATTTAAAAAAATCCTAATTCACAAAAATTGGAAAATAAATATTAATTTAATTTATAAAATTTATGTTTTAAAAAGCAATTCGTTTAAAATTAAACAGAATTAGCTCTAGATTTCGTTATAATAATTGTCATTTATATATCAAATTTTTTTTCCATAAAAAATTTTTCTATTAAAAAATTTTTGTTCACTTACGGAGGGTGGGTTTTTGGTCAAAAAATAGCGATTTTTCTAATGGTTTTGTTCACTCACGGAGGGGGGGGGGGTTAGGAATATTCTTAAGTGCATTTTTAAGCTGCTGTGTCTTGAGATTGTCTGCTATTTTCTTGTCTTTAACCGCTCTGAGATAGTTTTTCCATTTATCAAATGCTTGCTTTGGCTTTTTCTTAAGATTAATATCAAGTCTTCTAATAGCTCCAGCTATTTTATCTCCTTCACCAATAATTCGACTATGAGCATCTCTAAGAGTTCTTATCGGTACTTTTTCAAGTGCAGTCTGCAATTTCTTAGCATTCAAAGCGTCAGAGGTTTTCTTATTCTTAATATCATCTACGAAGTCCTTCCACTTTTGCAATGCATCTCTAGGAACTCGCTTTAGTGCGCCAATGGCTGTCCTTATAGCTCCTTTGACTTTATCACCTTGTCCTTTGATACGATCTGTAGCATCTTTAAGTGTTCGTTTTGGTACATTTATCAAGGCATTCTTCAATTGTTGAGTCCTTAAGTTGTCAATTATTTTCTTGTCTTTGCAGTCCTTACAGAAGTTTGCCCATTTATTGAAAGCGCCTCTAGCTGATTTTTTCAAAGTAATTTCAAGTCTTCTGAGAGCTCCAGCAGTTTTGCTTCCTTGACCGATGATTCTATTATTTGCATCTCTGAGAGTTCTTTGAGGGATCTTGTTTAAGGAGTCTTGTAATTTCTTCGCTTTAAGAGCATCTAATAAAGAGTTCTTCTTGCAAGAATCCATAAAGCCTCTCCATTTATCAAATGCTTCTTTTGGCTTCTTTTGCAATTGGATGAAAAGTCTGCGAAGAGCACCTTTAAGTCTATTTCCGTTTCCAAGAATTCTATCAGCTGCATCCTTCATAGTTCGTTTAGGAATCTTTTCTAGAGCGTTCTGAAGCTTTTGAGTTCTTAGGTTGTCGAGCATGCTCTTTGTACCACAGTCTTTAGCGAACCTAGCCCATTTGTCAAAGGCTTGCTTAGGAGATCTCTTTAAGGCTACGTCAAGTTTCTTTAGGGCACCTAAAACTTTATCACCTTCACCAACTATTCTTTGATAAGTGTCTCTTAAAGTTCTTCGAGGAATGGCAAGTGCAATGTTAACTAATTTTTGGCTTCTTACATTGTCGAGGAGTCCTTTTTCTTTACAAGCTTGAAGATAGAGTTTCCATTTATTGAATGCGTTTCGTGGCTTATTCTTGAGCTGAATTTCCATTCTGCGAAGAGCTCCTAATATCTTGCTTCCTTGGCCAACAATTCGGTTATGAGCGTCTCTGAGAGTTCTTGGAATAACCTTCTCTAAGCAATTCTTAAGTTTGTTAGCTTTGAGAGCGTTTACAGCTTTCTTTGTCTGGCAATCTTTAATGTAGTCTTTCCACTTCTGAAGAGCGTCTCTTGGTTTCCTTATCATTGCATTCATTACATTCTTGATTGCTCCTTTAACTTTATCACCTCCTCCAATGATTCTTTGAGTTGCGTCTTTGAGTGTTCTCTTACTCCCCCCCCCCTCCGTGAGCGAACAAAAAAAATTTTGTTCGCTCACGGAGGGGGGTTAATTTTTTTTTTTTAAAAAAAATTTTATATATAAATTTTATAAAAAATATTTTTTTCGAAATTTAAAAAAAATCCTAATTTGCAAAAATTGGGAAGCAAATATTAATTTAATTTGCAAAATTTATGTTTTAAAACGCAATTTGTTTAAAATTAAACAGAATTAGCTCTAGATTTCATTATACTAATTATCACTTATATATCAAAATTTTTTTCCATTAAAATTTTTTCTATTAAAAACATTTTTGTTCACTCACGGAGGGTGGGTTTTTGGGTCAAAAAATGGCGATTTTTCTAATGGTTTTGTTCGCTCACGGAGGGGGGGGGGGAGTTAGGAATTCGTTCCAAAGCGTTCTTTAATTTCTGGCATCTGACATTGTCGAATAAGTTTCTTGTCTTACAATCTTGAATGTACTGTTTCCAGATGTTGAAGGCAACTCTCGGTTTCTTTTGAAGCTGGATAAGGATTCTTCTGACATTTCCGGCGAATTTGTCACCATCTCCTAACTCCACCCCCCTCCGTGAGTGAACAAAACCATTAGAAAAATCGCTATTTTTTGCCCCAAAAAACCCACCCTCCGTGAGTGAACAAAAATTGTTTTAATAGAAAAATTTTGATATATAAGTGATAATTAGTATAATGAAATCTAGAGCTAATTCTGTTTAATTTTAAACGAATTGCTTTTTAAAACATAAATTTTATAAATTAAATTAATATTTGCTTTCCAATTTTGAGAATTAGAATTTTTTTAAATTTCGAGAAAAATATTTTTTATAAAATTTATATATAAATTTTTTTTAAAACACAAAAAAATTAACCCCCCTCCGTGAACAAAATTTTTTTGTTCACTCACGGAGGGGGGGGGGGGAGTAAGATTCTTTGTTGAGCGTCTCTGATAGTTCTTACAGGAATTCTTTCTAAGGCAAGTTTAAGTTTCTGAGCGTTTACAGCGTTAAGAAGATCTCCTTGCTTGCAATTGTTAACAAAGTCTTTCCACTTCTTCATTGCTTCACTAGGCATTTCTTGATAATGTTTGAACAACAATCTCAATATTCCTAAAGCCTTCGTTCCATGTCTTTGCAAAATATAGTCATAATTCTCCTTAATCGTTCTTATCGGAATCCTCTCGAGTGCATTTCTTAACTTTTGAGCCTTTACAGCGTCTAAGAGTTGGTCATTTTTCACTAAATGCAAAAATGTCTTCCACTTATAAAGAGCTTGTCTTGGTCTTCTTGCAAATGCTTTTGCTACATTCTTCAATGGATCTCTCACAGCAGGTCTACCTCTTTTCGCAATTTCATTGAAAGCAGGTCTCATAGCTCTTAAAGGTATCAAATCCAATATATATCTCAATTTCTCAGCTCTGATTTTTCCAGCTACATCATTAGTTTCTTTCCTGATAGAATTTTGAAGCCACCTATTAAAGGCGTTTCTAGGTCTTGCAGCAACTCTGAGCATAAATAGTTTAATGATGTTCTTAACTCTGTCAGTAACCTGGGCTTTTTCTCTGGCTGATCTAACTTGGCGTCTAACTGGCTTCTCAAGAGCATTTTTGATTAAGACTCCTTTCAGCTTCTTTTCAGTGTCTGCTACTTTTGCTGCTTGCTCATTAGTTTTTGTTCTTTCTGCACCGAGTCTCCACAAACGTAAGGCTTCAGAAGGCATTCTTACATATAAGTGACCTAAAGCTCTAAGAGCAGCTTTCACACGTGAGTCATCTTTTACTATTGATTTGTAAGCATCTCTAAGTGTTCTGCTTGGAATTTTAGCTAAGGCAATTCTGAGCTTTTGAGCTTTAGCATGATCAAGTACTTCTCCATTTTTAGCTTTAAGGGCGTTCTCTTTGAGTTTCTGCAAAGCATCACGTGGAACTTTTTGGGCTCTAAGCATGAGGGCTTTAAGGGCACCAGCCACCTTGTTTCCGCTTCCTATTATTCTTGCATGAGCATCTTTTAAGGTCCTTAGAGGTAATTTTGCTAGAACATTTTTAAGCTTTTGTGCATTTAGACTGTCAAGTATTTCTCCATTCTTGCATTTTGTGACATTATCCTTAAGTTTTTGGAATGCATCACGTGGAAGTCTTTCAGCCTTGTTTATAAGTGATTTAAGTGCTCCATTCACTTTATTGCCTCCTCCAATAATTCTTGAAAAAGCGTCTTTTTCAGTTCTGATAGGAATCTTATCAAGGGCATTTTTCAGTTTTGCTGACTTGAGATTATCAAGCACTTTTCCGCTCTTGCATTTAGCAACATTATCCTTTAGTTTTTATATACATAAAAATGGTGACAACAGACCACCCGACCTCTCGACCCTATTTCTTCAACACCAGCAGGCAAACGGCCCAGTGATGGAGATTTAGGTGGAAAGGGGCCGGTAATCCTTTATGTATGTTCGGGCTGGGTTTTCTTCGAGCCCGAGGAGCTAATCCTCGGACTTGGAGTTTTTCCTCCAGGACAACCATTGGAAAGGGCAAGGTCGGCCAATGTTTGAAGGCAATATGACCTTCAGACCCAGAAGACGGTATTTGCCCAACGAGAAACTGGGAGTTTCGACCCAGGTGGTTGGCCCTTAGACTCCAGAAGCCATGGAAGTCAAGACTGGTGGTGCGAATCCCTTGTTTGAGGCAACAAGGAGGGTGTCCGCCGAGGCTCCTCAGGGCGATGAGCGTGTAGGGGTGCGAATCCCCGGCCCTGCAAGGCAAACGGCTTAATCTAATCTAATCTAATCTAATCTAATCCTTTAGTTTTTGGAAAGCGTCACGTGGCAAATTTTTAGCGTTGTGGATTAATCCTTTAAGAGCGCCTGCTACTTTGTCTCCTCCACCGATTATTCTTGCCAAAGCATCTTTTTCAGTCCTGATTGGAACTTTAGCAAGGGCATCCTTTAGTTTTGCAGCTTTAAGGTTGTCAAGAGTTTCGCCATTCTTGCATTTGGTGACATTATCTTTGAGTTTTTGGAAAGCGTCACGTGGTAAATTCTTGGCATTGTGAATCAATCCTTTGAGAGCTCCTGCGACTTTGTCACCTCCACCGACAATTCTTGCCAAAGCATCTTTTTCAGTCCTGACTGGGACTTTAGCAAGTGCGTTCTTAAGTTTGGCGGCTTTAAGGTTGTCTAGTGTTTCACCGTTCTTGCATAATTAAAATATGGCGTCTTCGTCTGGGCATGGCCTCCGGCCATGCAGCCTCGACTCATATTTTAATTATAATCCGGCAAGGTTTTGCCATTTCAGAGATGGACGGCAATGCTAGGTAAGCAATTCTGGTGGAGTACAGAGCCTAGCCCTAGTCTACTCTCAGAGATGGTTTTTTTTTCCTCGTGGGGAAGGAAGCACGGCAGTTGGAAAGGGGAAGCCCAGCAGAGTCCACACGACCCATCGGGCAACTCCCTAGCGTGAAACTGGGCGTTACGTCCCAGGCTACGTATTTCTCCTTTTTGCCGAAAGCCTACCAGAAAATCCATTTTTTGGGTTTTCGGAATGGCAACCCATGTCACAAGCAAGTAGTTCATTCATGAGCCGTCGAAGCTGGCAACACTTGCCCCTAGGCGCACCTTTGGTGAACGAAGCGGACCGGCCCAGAGGTCTGTGGGCCCGATGCGACGAAAGGCGAGCGGAGGTCGGGCTTAGCCAACCCCGTAGTGGACGTTAAGCGTTATAGTTAGTAAGTTAGCTCCCCCCCATCCTTGATCGAACGACTCGCCATTGTTCGATCAAGGATGGGGGTTAAAAAAATGTTTTTGGGAAAAAAATTTTATATATAAAATAAAAAAATATATATATATATTTTTTTTATTGACTTTTAAATAAGAGGGTTAAGGGTATTTATAATTATTTTTTACAGCAAAAAATTGAATTAATTTTCATAAAAATACCAATTTTTAATATTTTGATTTATTAGTTACCCCTTTTAAACTGTGTAAATTTTAATTTGTTCCTTATTAAATTTAATTTTTTTTTTAAAAATTTTAAAGATCTCTATTTTATTAGATTATTAATTTTTTAAGCCTAGATTGATGACTAAATCACTTCGGATAGTTGATTTCGAAGCTTTCTGTCGTCTCAAAGTTCCCTGAAAGCAACTTCATTAGGTGCATCTTCCAAGCTTTTTTTATTTTTATATATATAAAAGTTGCATGATATGAAAATCGCTCGATCAAGGATGGGGGTTAATTTCCCCCCGATTTTTTAGGAATTTTTACAGTCAATCGTTCGATCAAGGATGGGGGGGAGTAAGTTAAGTTAAGTTTCACCGTTCTTGCATTTAGCTACGTTATCTTTGAGTTTTTGGAAAGCGTCACGTGGTAAGTTCTTAGCGTTGTGGATCAGTCCTTTCAAAGCTCCTGCTACTTTATTTCCGCCACCAATGATTCTTGACAATGCATCTTTTTCAGTCCTAATTGGGACTTTAGCAAGTGCATTTGTGAGCTTAGCGGATTTGAGGTTGTCAAGGACTTGACCATTCTTGCATTTGTTTGCATGGTCTCTGAGTTTTTTAAGTGCGTCACGAGGTACTTTCTTAGCGTTGTCTATGAGCTGTCTGAGGACTCCTGAAACTTTGTCACCTCCACCAATTATTCTGGCAAAAGCATCTTTTTCAGTCCTAATTGGTATCTTTGCAAGTAAGTTCGCGAGCTTACTTCCTACTTAGATATTCAATTTTTATTTATTTTTAAAAACGAGCATATATATTGAGGTTTATATTAAAAAATGAATTTTTCTATAATAATTTCTATATAGATTAAAAAGAATTTATATATATGGGGATAAGCATTATCATTTTTTTTTTTCTCATAGACGGGTTAGCAGATTTTAAGTTATCAAGGACTTGCCCATTCTTGCATTTGTTTGCGTGATCCTTAAGCTTTCTAAGTGCATCGCGAGGTACTTTTTTAGCGTTGTCGATCAATCCTCTAAGAACTCCAGCAACTTTATCTCCTCCTCCGACCAATCTGACTAATGCATCTTTTTCTGTTCTAACAGGAACTTTATCAAGGGCATTTTTAAGTTTAGCAGCTTTGAGGTTATCAAGTATCTTGCCATTCTTGCAATTGCTTGCATGGTCTTTGAGTTTTCTAAGTGCGTCACGAGGTACTTTCTTTGCATTGTCGATTAATGCTCTAACCTTTCTCCTTTATAAAATGCAAATCCTGAAATTTTTAATTTAATATAAAAAATTTCTAAAATAAAAAAAAATCATTTTATTATTCCCATATCACATAATATTTCGCTATTAAAGACAATGAAGTAAGAGCTCCTGCAACTTTATCTCCTCCACCTACAATTCTTGCCAAAGCGTCTTTTTCAGTCCTGATTGGTACTTTTTCAAGTGCATTCTGCAATTTGGTAGCTTTGACTTGGTCCAATATTTCTCCTTTTTTGACTGCATCAACAAAGTTCTTCCACATCCTTACTGCATCTCTTGGTTTCTTTTCCAGTGCATCTTTCAAGTTATTCAATGGCTGTTTGACCTTTTCTAATGGGTCTCTGACAATGTCTTTGAATGCTTGAGCAAGTCTGTTTTGGATTGGTCCTTTCAGTATAGCTTTTTCTAGATTTGAAGCTCTGGCTTTACCACTTCTGACGGCTTCACGCTTAAGATTCTTCTTGATAGCTTTTTTCTCGCCTTGGAGTTTTTTTAAAATATACATTAAAATGGCGTGGTGAGCCAGCCTGCCCTCTTAACTCCTGCAGCCAGAAGGGAGGACAGCATTCGGAAATGTGTGCCTGGTCAGGCTTTACTTGGCTTGGTGGAGCAAAGTGTCGGACTGAGTTGACCCCATGCCCACATCCAGCTCAATGTTTTACCCCATGGAGAGATAGTCGCTAGAGTTGGAAAGGGGACGCCTAGAAAGACCAGAGGGTGTCACTTGGCTATCAGCTAATCTAAACGCGATACCAGGCGTTGCGTCTTGGCTGGTCGAAAACCCAACCAGAAAATTCGTTTTTTCGAATTTTCTGGAAGACAAACCCAGTTGATGCAAGGCATGGTTTCCCAGCATCTCTACTAAGTAATTTAAGTTTTAATTTAAGGAGTTTTTTGACTTTATCTTTATTTATGTTGTCTTTCCATAAGTGCAAAGCATCTTTCATGTCGTTTTCTAAGCCTTTGACTAAGTTGGTCAGGTATGGCTTCATGTCGAACTTGGTGCCAATGATTCTTTTGTATGCAGCTTGAAGTCGTGAGCGAGCGGGATTAAGTAAAGCATTAGCTAGTTTGCTATTCTTTAAAGCATTTTTGTCGAGTTTTTCTTTGAGTTGATGCTGAGAAACAATGGCTTCATAGCTAGGTCTTAGTTTGTTGTTTCCACAAGTCTTGAGAGTGGTGCTTAATTTGTCAGCTGCTCTGATTTTCTTTACCAGTTTTGCTGTCCTTACTTTTTCAGCCCAAATATTGATTGCATCCCTTCTTGGATCAGTTGAGTGTAGGATTGCTGTGAATAGTTTTCCAGCTTTTTCTCTGAAGCCTTGTGCAATTCCTGCGTATTTCCATCTGAAAAGAGCTGTTGACATCAGTTGATTCTTAACTAAATGCAGTTTTCTAAGATATCTTCTAACTCTCTCAATTGTATGAGCAAGTTTAAAGTTTTTTGAGACTTTTTTTGATTGTATTTCTTTTAAGAACTCACCCTAAATAAAATATTTGCATCAATTTTTTATTTCCTTTATTCAAAATTTAATTCCTATTTAATATAAAAACTAAAATATCTTTAATGATTTTATCAATTAACAAAAAAATGTGTTTTTTTTCTTATAGGAGTAAGTATCGCATCAGCATCTTTTACAATAACTATTGGTTTCAGTGACCTTCGAGTCTTTTGAGCAACAATTCTTTGTAAAGTTGTGATCATACAGAATAACTTTACGTTCTCTATATTTGTTAAAGCTTTCTTTTCAGTGTGCTGAATATCATGAATAGCCAATCTCCATCTATTTATAGATCTGCGAAGGATGAGATTTATGCATTTCACTGAGTCTTTCAAAGCGAGCTTAATGAGATGGGTATCTCTGATTGCTTTGAATTTATCTTCATTGACTCTGTCCTTCCATCTTCTGAGCGCATCACGTGGTCTTTTAATAGCTTTTTTCTCAAGATCATCTAGAATTGCTGCAATTGGGTTGCCGTCTCCTTTAATTCTTCGGGTTGCGTCTCTTAAAGTTCTAGTTGGGACTTTATTAAGAGCATCTTTTAGCTTTGCTGCTTTAAGAGCATCAAGGATTGCGCCCTTCTTTACATCATCGACGTAATTTTTCCATCTTCTGACAGCGTCTCTAGGTCTTTTTTCAATAACATCTTTTAAGTTACTCAGTGGCTGTTTAACCCTTTCAAGTGGATCTCTTGTGATGTCTTTATAAGCTGGATTAATTCTATCTAGTGAGCATTTCTTCAAAGCAGCACTTAATTTGTCGGCTGCTCTGATTTTCTTTACTAGTTTTGCTGTCCTTACTTTTTCAGCCCAAATATTGACTGCATCTTGTCTTGGATCAGTTGAGTGAAGGATTGCTGTGAATAGTTGTCCAGCTCTTTCTCTGAAAACCTTTGCAAGTCCTGCGTATTTCCATCTGAAAATGGCAGTTGACATCAGTTGATTCTTAACTAAATGCAGTTTTCTAAGATATCTTCTAAGGATCGCATCAGCATCTTTAACAATTACAATAGGTTTAAGCGACTTCCTTGTCTTTTGAGCAACAATTCTTTGTAAAGTTGTGATCATTCCAAACAGTTTGACATTTTCTAAATTACTCAAAGCTTTCTTTTCTACATGTTCTATGCCTGAAGTATGGTCTTTCCATCTATATAAAGCTTTGCGTAGAGCATCGTTAACACATTTAACTGAATCTTTAAGGGCAAGCTTGATAAGATTATCATCATGAATGGCTTTGATTTTATCCAATGCTACTTGTTCTTTCCATCTTCTCAATGCCTCTCTTGGTCTTTTAATTGCTTTTTTCTCAAGCTCATTAAGAGTTGTTGCAATAGGATTTCCGTCCCCTTTAATTCTTTTTGTGGCATCTCTCAAAGTTCTAGTAGGGATTTTATTTAAGGTATTTAAGAGTTTTTGTCCATGAAGATCGTTATTAAGTTTGTCTTTTTCTGTTTCTTTGAGATAGTCTTTCCATTTTTTGAGGGCATCTCTTGGAGCTTTTTCAACCATTTTGGCAAGGTCAATTAAGGTAGCTTTAACGCTATTAGGGTCTCCTTTGATTCTTTGGCTAGCATCTTTCAAAGTCCTTGATGGGATTCTTGCTAACTCCCCCCCCCCCTCCGTGAGCGAACAAAACCATTAGAAAAATCGCCATTTTTTGACCAAAAACCCACCCTCCGTGAGTGAACAAAAATTTTTTTAATAGAAAAAATTTTAATGGAAAAAAATTTTGATATATAAGTGATAATTAGTATAATGAAATCTAGAGCTAATTCTGTTTAATTTTAAACAAATTGCGTTTTAAAAACATAAATTTTGCAAATTAAATTAATATTTGCTTCCCAATTTTTGCAAATTAGGATTTTTTTAATTTTCGAAAAAAATATTTTTTTATATAAAATTTATATATAAATTTTTTTTTAAAAAAAAAATTAACCCCCCTCCGTGAGCGAACAAAATTTTTTTGTTCGCTCACGGAGGGGGGGGGGGAGTAAGGCATTTTTCAGTTTTTCTGCTTTTAAGTTGTCAAGAAGTTCTCCATTCTTGCATTTCAAAGCGTGCTCTTTTAGCTTGTTAAGCGCATCTCTGGGCTTATTTTGGACTCTGAGCTCTAATGCTTTGAGGACTCCTGCAAGCTTATTACCTCCTCCGATAATTCTCATATAAGCATTTCTCAAAGTTCTGATAGGGATTGCTTGCAAAAGGTTATTTAGCTTGATAGCTTTGAGGTTATCAAGTAGCTCTCCAGATTTGACAGAATTGACGAAATCTTTCCATTTCTTAAGAGCGTCTCTAGGAATTTTCTCTATTTGAGTTTTCAAGTTTTCCAATGGCTGTTTTACCTTTGAGTATGGGTCTCTAGTAATTGTTTTGAAGGCTTGGTTAAGTCTGTTATGGATGACTCCTTTGAGGATGGTTTTTTCTAAGCTGACAGCTCTTGCTTTGCCGCTTCTGACAGCTTCTTTCTTCAAGTCTTTTTTGATAGCATTTTTCTTGCCTTTGAGTTTGTCGACTTTATCTTTATTGATATTGTCTTTCCATAGCCTTAAGGCGTCTTTCATATCTTGTTCAAGTCCTTTAATTAAGCTGTTCATATAAGGTTTCACAATATTCATGTTGAGTCCAATGATTCTTTGGAAACCATCTCTCAATGAATGTCTCACAGGATGTCTAAGTGCATTTGCCAATTTTAGTGCTGGCAATTCGTGCTTTTGTGAGCCTGTAACATTAAGTTTCAATGTGTCAAAAGCATGGCCGACTTTACCTCTTAGTCCTTTCTCAAGAGCTCTAATAAATCTTAGCTTAAGCGGCTTTGAGTTCTTGCAAAAAGCATTAAATCCACGTCTTACCCTAAGTTTATAGTTAACAGACCAATAGTGAACGATTCCTCCAATAGCTTTATCTTTTTCTAATTGGGCAACTCTGATTCTTTCTGAGTTCACTGCCATAGCCCATCTCAAGAAATAGGAATGTTCATCAGAGAAATATTTCTTATTCACCTGATTCCAAACCCTATTTAATATATCCTTAAGGCTTTTCTTGGACTTAATAGTGTCTAAGCCTTTTCTCAAGTTGTCTCTTGCACTTCTATTAAGTGTGGATCCAAGTTTTTCAGCAGCCCTTACCTGCTTTATTAATTTTGCTGCACGGGTCTTTTCTCCCCATATACTAATTGCGTCTTTTCTAGGATCAGTAGAAAGCTGAATAGCTCTAAACAAAGCTCCTGCCTTTTCTCTAAATCTCTTAGCAAGACCTGCATATTTCCATCTGAATACTGCAGTCTCTAATAAGCCCTTTCTAACTAGCTGAAGTTTCTTAAGATAGCCTCTAAGGATTGCATCAGCGTCTTTTACGATATAAATTGGCTTGAGGACTTTTCTGGTTTTCACTGCAATAATTCTTTGCAATGTTGTAAGGAAACAGAAAATTTTGGCGTTTTGTTCGTTTCCTTCAGGAATTTTGGTTATGGTCTTAGGATCTCTAGAAGCAAGTCTTTTTCCACTTGGCTCGTCTTCATCTTCTGGGGCTTGACCATCTTTTGGAATTTTTTTGCCTGCGGCAGGGTTAGTTTTTGTACGAGAGGCTGGGGTTTTGGCTTCTTCTTGTGGGGGTGGGAGAAGGCCTTTCCATACGTAGAATGCACGAAGCAAGGCTTCTCTTGGGACTTTTGACATGTTGATGAGAGCGAGTTTCATTATTTTTTCTTTGTCTTCAGGACGTGGTTGATCTGGCACGAATCTTGCCCATCTGTTAAAGGCTTTTCCTAGAACATAATGGATGTTCTTATATATTTTAATTAAAGCTTCTCCTAATACTTCTTCTTTAGTTTTCTGTTCTGCTGGCTCTTTAAAGCACTTATTTAATTTATGGTTAAGTATTTTCTTAAGGACATTGATCATATGAGTAACTTTGTCTTGTGTTTGGCTGCTGCCTTCTGCTTTAGCATTGGTATTCCATAGATGTAAGCTGTCCTTAAGTGCTCTATTTGATTTAAATACGCTGCGGAGTAAAGACTTCTTATATTTTTCAACTGTTTTATCTTCATTATCTGCGAATTCTCCAATTGATTTGTGAGTTTTAGCGAGCTTCCATTTGAGCAAGGCAATTTTTGGAGCAATTTTCATATTAATAGCGTTCATTGCGAGGTTTTTGAAAACTGAAGACTGTTTGTCGCTTGGACCAATTATAAGGTCTCTCCATTTTCTTAAGCTGTCTCGAGGCTGCTTTTGAAGAATTTCCTTGACTACTGTGGCAGCGAGATTTTTGGTTGCATCATCAGTTTTATCTTTTTGCTTGTCTAGAGCTTTGGTTTTCCAATAAGAAATAGCGACTTCTTTCAGTTTTTTTTTATTTTCGCTGACCTCACGAAGATGTTTGACTATGTCTCCTAATTTTTTCTTACTCTCCCCTCTCTGTGAGCGAAAAAAATTTGATATATAAGTGATAATTTTTATAATGAAATCTAGAGCTAATTCAGTTTAATTTTAAACAAATTGCATTTTAAAACATAAATTTATAAATTAAAATTAATATTTGCTTTCCAATTTTGAGAATTAGGATTTTTTTAAAAAATTTCAAAAAAATTTTTCTCCATATATTTTTTTTCAAAAAAAAAATTAACCCCCTCCGTGAGCGAACAAGATTTTTTTGTTCGCTCATGGAGGAGAGTTAGAATTTGGCATATTTACTTTGGCTGCCCTCACAGCTTGAGCTCTTTCCTTCTTCGGCACATTGCTGATGTGCTTTGTTTTAGCTGTAAGATTGTCTACTAACTCCACGAATTCCTCATCTTCTTCCTTAGGCTTTTCTGCTGTCTTCAGTTTTTCAGCTGCAAGTTTCTTAACGTAAAACAGTCTAAGTTCTGCCCTTCTCATAATTTCTTCTAATAAATCCTTTTTCGTCTCCCATCTCGGCTTAAGCATAAACTTCCAGTTTTTCATTGCCTTCTTTGAATTAAGTCTTCTGAAGAACGCGTCACAGACATCAAGACCATCCTTAACCCTTCCTTCATTTTCCAAGATTTCTTGAACTTTAAGTCTCCATCTCCAAAATCCGAGCTGTTCAAAACACACTGAGCCTTTTCCAATAAATCCTGTAATCGCATTGTGAATTTTCTGCCTTTTTTCGTACTCACTTAAAGTCCTTTTATGCCTTGTCGTTGTATAGTTTTCTTCATAAGAGTCTACTTCAATGACTGAGTCCTGGGTAAAAGCATTTCCATGCCAAAGCCTAATGGTCCTTTCCATGTTCATTCCTAAAGCTCCTTTAAGCTGGGCAACTAAACGGGAACAATTAAGCCTTTTTACTTCAAGTTCGTGAAGGATTTTCATATCACTTGTTCTGACTTCCCATTTGTGCTCGTTTAACTCAGTGAAGCAGTTGTGCAGCATCGATTGACGGACGAGGTGGATCTTGTGCATAGCGTGGAATAGCTTGGCTGCATTTAATGCTTTCTTGTGAGCTGTTGGGCCTTCTAAGCAGGTCAGGACTGGGAAAGAGGGGTTGTTCCCTTCTGAGATTTCATCAAGGTAATCATGGAACTTGTCTGCGTCATCCATTGGGATTTTTCCTTGACCTTCGAGATCGCTGAGCAAGTCGCTGACTGCTTGTAAAGTGCTTTCTGAGGCTTTTTGAAGAGCTTTATTGAGAGCTTGTAGATTTTGAGAGGTGGTTTGAGGTTCATCAGGCGGACCTGAGAAGATCTTCTCAACCAACTCAAGAAGTCTTTGTTCTTCCATATTATTATATTTCCACCGTTCATTTTTCTTAAATAGACTGGATTAACGGCTCGCGAGATTAAAGTTAAAGTCTTTTTGTATAAAGGGAAGGATTGGTGCAAAATTGAGGCGAATTAAATAATGTGAAATAAACTAGATAAGAAAGCAATAGAAATGGAAATTAAACTTAAAGGAAAAGGAAAATGGATAATTATTTTGAGAGAGAGCCTAAATATGAGGAAAATCTTAAGGATTTCGGGTGAGGTCTAATTGAAAAATGGAAATATATTTTATATCGAAAAGATAAGTGATAGAAAAAAATTTGTAAAATGCAGATTATATGTGAAATGTAAACATTTCTATTTAATTAATCATAAATAATTGAAAGATTAGTCATACTAAAATTATTTTTTAAATTTCCTTATATATAGTTCTCTTGCTTTTTTTTTATACTCTGCTGGAAAAATTTCTTATCCTCCAGTAAGCTGCTTGAATTAAATCAGGGGGATAATTGTTTTTAATTGTTTCAAAATATTAAAACTATATAGTAACCTATATCGTTAGTGACACTGACTATAATTAATTTAAATATTTTGGCTATTAATAATGACTTCAAAGTTTTATATTATTTCCAATGTTTAAATAAGGATCTTAGATTGGTAAATTAATTATTTTAGGGCTTGTGTTTTATTAAAATAAAATAATTTTTATATAATAATTATTAAAGTGGCTTGTCAAATTTATAAATGGAGATTTTTAATAAATTTCCTATTCTTATTTTTAAACTATTATATGCATATCTTGTTTAATTTGTGTTTAAATCCAAAATGTGGAAAATGAAGATATCTTAATAATAAACTTAAATATACATTTTTAAAAAATCTTATTATTGGGTTATATTTTAAAGTAAAATGGAAATTTTTTTAAAAATGGCCTATTATGCTTGAGATGTGCTCAAACACAAAATGTGGAAAATGAAGATCTATTAATTATAAACTTAAATATAAATTTTGAATAAAATTGTTTGTTCTTCAAGTTTTAATTTTTTAAAGTCACACGTAATTTTAAAAATGGTGAAAAATTTGACATACTAAAAATGTTGCTATTTTCAAATAATTTCCATTAAATAAAATATAAAGCTCACTTAAATTGCTATAAAGAGTATTTTTTATGTCTTTTTTACACATTAGGAGCCATAATAATCTTATTATTTAATTCTTTAGTTCTATTATGAATTAAAAATTATCTAAATTTTATTAACTAAATGTATTAATATTCTCCAGATACTTGCTTATGTATGGCCAAATCAAGCCTGCTATGAACTCTTCCAATACATTATACCAATTTTCTTATATTTCTTATAATTATTTAAATTCAATCTATTATCATGATTTTTCATAAATGAAAATCAGTATAAAGTTATAAAAATTCAACTTTTTCGAAATTCAGCTCATCTGTTTCAGAACTTAAGAATATTTCATTTTTAGCTGAAACAGTTGATTTAACTGTACTTACCATTGAAGGCACTTCAATCTTTTTTGCTTGTTCATTGCAGAGATCAATCTCAATTAATTTCCCGTTCGAAGAGCTTCCTTTACCATATTTACTTTTAATTGTATCGTTTGCACCAACAACTTTTAATAGTTTATATATATCATCATTTTGGGAAATTTCGGCTAAATGTAGCGCAGTTTCTCCATTAGAATCTAGAGCCTCAATATTGGGCTTTAATTCCAAAATTTTTTTAATTGCAATTTCCTTATTCAGCCATACAGCTAAATGTAAAAGTGTCCAATTATTCTAATTTATTTTTACTGCTTCAAGTAGGATTGTAGTATCTTCAGTCGTATAATGAAAGTAAGGATCATTAGAAATAACTGCTTCTACAGCTTTTGCTATCTATATATATTATACTCTTTGCTTTTTCTTATGAGTTGCCATTACACTACCCATTTAAATAATATAAGCCAACTCCCTATGACTAATAAAGATTTTTATTAAAAAGTGAATAAATATTTTATAAAAAAATAAAAAAGTTTTAGTGGAGGACTAAGAATGTTGACTCATAATTGAAACTGTTATAATAAAAGTATAAAAAGAGAACTCATTCTTACAGCTCACCAATTCTCAATAGCATTTTTACCAAATATAAACTAAAAATAAAAATTAAATTGTAACGCATAAATAATTTGAATATAACTTTAATATAATATTAAAACCAAAAAATTTAGATGAAAGATTTGATTATATTTAATTTGAACTTTGTCCTGGAACCTTTAAAATCCCAGAAGGTGGCACACAACATTTTTTAGATTTACACAGTGGCGTGCCTTTTTCATTTATCTGCTGCTCAAGCTCACTTGGAATTGTCTCACCAGGCTTCACTTTTGAAAGGTCAGATTGGATTTTTTTGAATTTTTTTACAAAAGCTCTTAATAGCCCAACTTTATCATTTTTATGCTCTTCAAAATTGAACCCATATTTCCTGCCAAATCTCAATTGTAACAGATAGTCATCAAGAGATTTTTTCGAAATTCCGACCTTTGTGGCAGCTTCTTCTAAAGTCAGCCTAACCATTTCTCCGTTAGAGTTTGGGACTCCGTTATATAAGTTTCTCCACTGAGCTACTTTTTCTATTATGACGCCGACCTTCCTTTCTTTAGTCCTTTTACTCCCTTTTGCGCCGCTATCAGACTCATTATCCTCTTCAGCTCCTTGCTCAACTTGAGCTGTTTTTGATGACTCATAATCTCTTGTGTATCGGAATCTTAATTTTATTGTGGAATTTGAAATGAATTCATTTGCAGAAACCTGAAGGTCGCCAGGTAAAGGATAGTTTCCTGACTCCCCCTTTGTGAGTGAGCAAATCCATTGGAAAAAAATTATGGGTAAAAACACATCCTCCGCTAGTGAACAAAATTTTTTATGAAAAAATATTTTGATATATAAGTGATAATTATTATAATAAAATCTCTAACTAATTCTATTTAATTTAAAAAGCGTGAATTTTAAAAAACATAAATTTCAAATTAAATTAAATTTGCCTTACTCCCCCCCCCCCCTCCCGTGAGCGAACAAAACCATTAGAAAAATCCCTATTTTTTGGTCAAAAACCCACCCTCCGTGAGCGAACAAAAATTTTTTTACATATAATTTTATATATATTTTTATTATATCTATATTTAATACAAATAAAGAGGATAATATTGAAAAATAATTATTAAGTTTGTTTGATATATTATTCAAAGGGTTAAAAAAAAGAATACCATAAGTGAAAAGGTTGAATTTAACAATTTTAAATTTAAGACAAAAAAATGAATAGAAGAAATCGATTAGATAATTAACTTCTTCATATTAACTTGATGGCTGAAAATCTTTGGATGATTAACGCCATAAGAACCCGTCAACTCAAATGATTTTCTGACAAGTTGAGGGCTTACAGCATCTCACGCCTTTGAAGCAATGTTTATCAGTTGCTGGCGATCAAGAGCTTTGAGGTTTCCAGTTCTTTTCGATCTTCTTTCAATCTGCTCTGTTTGGAATTTGATTCTGAATCTGTTGTTTTTGATTTGAAATTTGCAATTACCAGTGCGTCAAGTGGTTGCAAATACTTTGTGCACCCTCCAGGGATCACAATTTTGGTTGCATCTAAATCTGAAATTGCATTAGAAATCATGATAGTTTTATGACTTCCAGCCTGATCATAAATCAGCAGTTGGTTTTCTCGTCTCAATATTGTTCTGAGGTAGTCATTAAGAATCTGGTCAGAAATGTAGCCAGATTTATTTGATTTTATGATGACATTTTCTGGAATATTCAGTCTTTCTCTTACAAGGTTCGGGATCTGGCCATTTTTCTCTTGAAAAATGAGCAAAGCAGGCATTTTTTTCTCCATCAGCTCTAATCATAAGCATAACAGTGATAAAATGGTTCATTTTAGCTGATTGAACGCCTAGAATTCGTTGAGTTCCCTTGAATCATAAGTGAACTTGCTTTTTACATCTCAATCAAATCTCGTTTCATCGAAATTGTAAATGTTAGATGGAACGAATTGAGGAAGCAATGACGCTAAATCATCTAGGTATTGCCTGACAAGTTCTGCCTCTTTTTCGATTGGCTTAATGCTTGAGGCATTGATTTTTCTGAAAGATAAATTATTTCTGGTCCTAAATCCTTGCCACCATTTATCTCCACAGCCGAATCGCGCCAATCCCATTTCTGCCGCCAAACTTTTTGCTTTCTCCTCAATCGTTGATCTGAGAACCTGAATACCTTGCTCACGGATTGCAGTAAACCAATGAACTAGTTCTTTCTCTAGCTCTGGAAATTTGAGTGAAGCTTTCTAATTTTAATTTTTTATCAGATTTTACTGATTTCTTCAACTCATCAAGCTTATTCACCCATTCGGAAATCGAGCTAAAGGAGTTGACATGAAACTTTGCAGCAACATCTCTCATGCTCATCTCATTTTGGTGTTGAATGTAAAATTCAGCAATTTCAACTTTCTGCCAAATTTCAATGTACTTTCTTTTCCCTTTGTACATTTTTATTATGATTTTATAGAGAATTTGCTTATTATATTAAATAAGAAAATATATAAAATATTTTAACTGAATGCATATATTTATTACTAATAGGTTTATTGATTATTAAATTATTGAAAAATTAAGCTGTGTTTTACCTTTAATCAAATGGTATTCTTTTTTTTTTTGGGAAATTTCCCTACTCTCCCCCCATAATATTTTTAAAATAATTTTCAACTTATAAAAAAAATATTATTTTACAATTAAAAATTTATATATAATTTTTTTTAAAAAAATAAAAATTAACCCCCATCCGTGAGCGAACAAAAATTTTTTGTTCACTCACGGAGGGGGGGGGGAGTTAAAACTTTTCTGATTGGGATTTTTTTAAAAAATTAACTCTTCTCTATGATCGAACAAAAATTTTTATTCGCTCACGGAGGGGTGGAGTGAATATACAAAAACTTTTTTTATGCTAGAAAACAAAGAAACCATTGTATGCTCTAGATTTTGATGATGATCTGATAGAAATTTAAGTAAGGGTTGAATGAGAAAATTGTCGTTTTGGTTGCAAGCTATAAGTTTGGAGTCTATATTTGGGATAGAAATATCTTGAGAAGTTCCAGATTGGATAATTTGTAACTCAATTCTGATTTTTGAGAAGTTTCGATCTGAACTCATCTTAATTAATACAATTTAATAATTAATGAGGAATGAAATGTGAAAAAAAGAAATTAGTTAATATCACAAAAAATAATGCATAGAATCGAAAACTCATCGTATTTAATATTATTAGAAGCCTTAGTTTTAGTTGCGATTATAGCCGACCCATGCAATTGAAATGGAAATGTTTATATAATTAAATCCTGATATAAATTTTGAAAGAGATCTTTACAGAATCTTAATCTGGAGTTGGGGATTTATTCGGTCTTTTAAAATTAGTAGAAAAATATGGAATGCAATATTTGAACTATTTAAATATGAACTGAGTGTCTTCAAGATTTAAAGGCGAGGAAAACAAAATCTTTAAAAAGAAAAGATAATTTAATAAATAAACTTCGGATTAATAAAAGCTGACTCTAAATTGAGTCATATAAAAGAAAAGCTTACATACCCAAAATCATAAAATCACTTGATTTTATAAGAACTGGTAATCTTAAAAAATCTTACTTAATCTAAATAATTTTTAGACTCAAAGAACATCACAAAAATATTAATAATCAAAATTTACTTGCATATATTATTGCATGCTCATATATCTTAAGAGCTTTGTATTTTTTCTTTCCCCTTTTCTCTCAAAATGAGAAACTTCTTTCACATCCAGCACGTCATGATTTTCAATAATTGACCTCTCTGAACTCTTTGAAATAGGAAACTCATTTACAGACTTAATTCTCAGCCTGAAAGAGTCTCCAAGCTTATTTTTCATTTCACAAATCCTGTTATCTAGTGTTGAAATAACCTTCTTTATATTCGTTGAGTCAATATCATAATTTTTTTCTACCGCAAATCTTCCTCATAGCTGCTCTAAGCTTCCTAAGCAAGATATATATAAATATTCTTGCCGTTTAGATAACTTATGAAGGTGCTCAAATCTCTGCTCAGCTACCCTTACTTTGTCATGCAATTCATCAAGTGTATATGCAATTTTCTGATTTTTATCATTTTCTGTTTCTTTTTTTCTAAATATTTGCAGTTTGGAGAGTAGTAAATCTCTTTCGCATTTAAGCTCTTGAATTTTTGTTTCTTTAACTTTTATGCTTTCTTTAAGTTCTTTGCTTTTTTCAAAAGTAAATAGAATCATCCCTAACTCTCTAGGGTGGGAAATATTTAAACCATTTTTATAATTTTTTTAAATAAATTAGCAGGCTAAATGTATTTTTGGCATTATTATCTTTAATTTTAGCTTAAAAAAATTGACTTGCATCAAAACCCTTTCACAAAATATTCTTCTATATATAAAACTTTACTAACCTTCGACATGACTTGATTATAATGCTCCAATTTCCCTTTTAAGTACTGCATTTTATCTGATATCGTCACCTTTAATTTATTTCTCTGCTTAATTTTATCAAAAAAATAGCTGTTGCTTTGTTCACTCATAATTTTAGTCACCAAATCTTTTCTCTTTTTTTCTCCTTTAGACAAAGTTTCATTTATCCTGTTTTTTATTTGATACTGTGAGAGAATCCTTTCAATAGTATCATGCTGATACATTGCTTTGTCTTTTTGTGTAGCCTTATATGCATAATATTGTTCTTCTAGCATCTCTGTTTCTTTATTGCAGTTTTTAATTTCTCCCAATTCGAATTTTATCATATCTTTCATATTTTCTATACCTTTTTCGAGTCCTCTGACCCATTCATCGTTTCTTGCAGGATTTTTAAAGCAGCAAGAAATGATACATTCAAGCCTTCTGGAGTCAAGCTCTGCGTTGTTAAGTTTATCTAATATACTCTCCATTTGTTTTTGAAGCTCGTCTATTTTTTGCTTTATTTCGCATTGCTCACGGAAGTTGTCTTCATTTTTTTCAAGCTGGCTTTTGATGCCTATTAATTTAAGTTTTTTAATTCTTGTTTCTTCTATCAATCTATACTAATTTTTAATTAAATTTTTATATAGTTTTATATCAGATTATTATAGAAAGATAATTATTTTTTATTAATAATTTAAGGAAAAATGGTTTATTATAAAATTTTTTCATTTCAAAATTTTCTCTTCTTTTATTATTTACCTGCGCATTAGAATATTCATATAAACTTGACCCAATTTTTTCGAGCACATTATCTGGGCTTAGATCTTTAAATTCTACATCAAAAGACTCTTTAACTGTAAAACTTTTACTAAAACAATTCGAAGTAAAGCTATGCTGAAGTGATGACACAGAATGGCTTCTACTTTTTGATTCTGGAGTTTGCAGGCCTAGCGTCATCTGTGACCTTATTTTTGGTAAAATTCCTACAGCCCTTGATATTTGTGTATTTGACTCATTTCTTGTATGCCTTTTTTTACTTATTTCTATTTTAGTAGATGAAGCTGATCGTGTAACAGGTGTATACTTTTTAATAGCTTTTGCATTAGCATTTTTAAAAATGCTCAGCATTTCTATTGATAAGTCATTTTCAGCTTTCGGATTCATCATTTCATTTTCATCATTAAATTTCCTCATAATTTGTGAAAAATCTGCATTAGAGTCCAGCGTGCACCATGGAAACTGTATCCACAGTCATCGCTTATAATAATAAAAATTTGGAGGTTTAGTATTAAAATATTCTTTTTTTGCTGCTTTTAGGCACATTTCTTTTAACGCAAGCCTGGACATTTTATTTTCAATAGAAAAATTTTCTTCTTCTTTTAGAGGGTATTGCTGGGTTGAGAAAAACATTTCAGGCAGCTTTTCAACTTCTTCAAGTAAATTTATGCCTATTTGTAATAGTCAGGAATATTTTTTTCTAGTAGCTGTGCTCTAATTTACTATAAAATTAGGATCTATTTAAATAGGTATATTTCTTTTAGCTCATAATAGCCTTTTAAATGAGGATGTCGGAAGTTAAAAGCTGAAGGAACTTCCATATCATTATATTCTTTAAAAAACCTACAAAACTGAAGCATTAGGATAAGTAAATCGTGGTGGGAAGGACTATGCTGGGCAACAAACTCTTCAATAGTTTTATTGTACTCTTGGACTGGGTCAAACCTTTGCTGTTCTAGCTGTGCTCAGTAATTAAATAAATCAAGCTTGTAGTCAGGGGTCATCATAAGTGTAAAAACATCAAGCTTTGTGAGTTGGTCTTTTAATTTCATTCAGGAATTGCTAGCTTCTAAATGGTATAAGAGTTCATCAGTTTTCCTGATTGTAAGCTTATTTCCTTCGAGTACACGAGAAATTTCATGATGAAGGCTGCTAAGGGTGCCTAGTTTTTCTAAGACAACTTTTTTAAAGCATTCATTACTGAATATATAAAACCCTGAAATACAGACCAAACAGGTATGGAATATAGTTAAAATGCGAGAAACTTGTTGCGGTTTACAGTTTGATAGCTTAATTAGCTCTTCTTCACTTAATCCAGATCTTGTGACTGTAAGCAACCCAAAAATTCTTAGCATGATTTCTTCTTTAAAATGCCTTTGGGAATAAAAATCGATGCTATATTCAAATAATTTTTCTGGAGTCGACATATTTTCAAGAGATTCATATTCAAAATCATCAATTCCATGAACACAATGCATAGAGAGGCTTAGCATCAAATTCAAATATAAAGGGTTTCCAAAACAGTCATAAGCCTTGATGTCCTGCTGCAGCTTATCTAAAATCCTTGGTGTCTCATCTCTTGTGCGGCCTAATAGATGTTCATTAAAAATATCAAGTCTTTGCTCTGAAGTTAAAGGCTTTAGCTCAATGATGTAATCTTCTATATTGAGAATTGTATAAAATAAAAGCAAAGTCATATATATTTATTAACAAAATAAGGAAATGCCCTCAAATATTTTATCCCCCAATTTTTAAAAACACAATAACTCACTTTCTTTTCAAGAAATGGGTAAGATTTACTGTCATTATTACAAGTAAATATCATTTTAACTCCAGCTGGCAAGTTACAAGGCAACCAATCAGAAGGCTCTTCCCTTCCGTGCTGGTCAAGATATTTGTCAACTCCGTCAATAACTAAAATCAGATTCTGTTTAACAGAATTCGTTAGAGCCCTTCTTTCTGCGGCTGTTTCTAGCCACCTTGAAAAATAAATCCTCAAATCGTCTTCAATCAATCCTACACGCTTTGGTATTTGATAAGCTTCCTAAATAGAAATTTACTCGAATTTTGTTATAAAGCCTAAATAATGTAAAATAATACTCTCTATCACTTGCCGAGATCTTTACAAAATGGTAGAGCAAAAAATCATTATCTCTTTTATGGGATTTTTCATGGAGATCAATCCATTGAGCTATCAATGTGCTTTTACCACTCCCAGAATTCCCACAAATCATTAGCGGCAAGGATTTTTGGGCGCTTTCATGAGAAAAAATATTATTTTTTGTAAGCCATGTGTCGATTTCTTGAGTTACTTCTTCCAAATCTGTTGTGTACTTTGATTTTAAATGCTCATAATATGCTTCATGAACAATACTTACTCCCCTCCGTCAGCGAACAAAACCATTTGAAAAATCCATGAGCGAAAAAAAATTTTTTATTAAAAAAAATTTTGACATATAAGTGCTCATTGGCATAATGAAACCTCTTGCTGATTTTGCTTAATTTTAACAGCTTGCATTTTTAAAGCATACAAATTAAATAAATATTTGCTTTCCATAATTTGCGAATTAGGATATTTTTTAAAAAATTAAACCCCTCTCCGCGAGAGAACAAAATTTTTTTGTTCGCTCACGGAGTGTGGGGAGTTAATAGAAATTACTCTGTTCTGCATTTCATTCCTGGGTGTTTATTCATTATCTTATTAAATATCAATGACCAGTTCAAATTATTTGAAGTTTTACGAAGGTCTAGCAAGATTATTATAAATGATGAAGAAAAATAAGCCAACAACTAGAAAAGTTGTGAGGATTCTTACAAATAGAGCAGGAAAAACAGAATTTGAGATTATTAAATCAGTTAATTCGGAGCTGCAGGAGATAGAAGGAGAAATTGAGAAGCTGTTTTCGAGGAAAAGTGAAGATATCGGGAAATTGGACGAAAAAAACATTCTTGATATGGATATAGGCAATTTTCAGGGTCTTCCGAAGCCAACTAAGAGAATTATCCATGAACTAGTACCGATTGATGAGATACTTAGTCAGATTAATTCGTCTGATATAAGCTTATCATTTAGCAAAGAAAAATGTCAAAATTCAAACGAGCTTTTTACTTTCAGAAAAGATAATTAAATAGTAATATACAAATCTTAAATTTTTTTAAATTCCTTCAGGTAACAAAATCTTTTTTCATCGATTTCTTTTAATAAAAAATTAATATTAAAAAATTTCGAAATTTAAAAAAAAAAAATTATATTTAATTTCATGATAAGTTTATGCTTAGAATGCAAGTCTTATAAAAAATTCAATAGAATTAGCTGGAGATTTCATTTTAATTGTTATCATAAGCCAAAACTTTTCCTCACTTGCGAAGGCTTTTGTCCAAATAGGAATTTTTCAAATAGTTCTGCTCGCTCATGGAAGCGAGTTAAAATATGGGCTTTTCCTGAGAATTGCCCGATAAAGAGGTGGCATTTTTTGGTCCGATAAAAACTCCCATGGGCAACTTTTGGCCTTACGGGGCTATTCTCAGAAAAAAAACCATAATCGATTAATTTTAACTGTTTTATTTAAGCTGAAGACTAAGACTTAACAATTTTTCGATACTGAAGGCTTGGATATCCTGCACTATTATCTTCAACATAAGACCAAAAGATTTTGCCAATTTTTTCAAACTTTACAACTTCGTAGCCATCATAGCATCATAACGGTCATATTTTACCTTCTCCGTCAACTTCAAATGGTTCTCCTGGGCATAGATCTATATTTTCAATTAATCGATACTGATAATTTGAATCACCGTCTACTGCACTAGTATAATACGTTCATCACCTATCCCCATAAACTTTTCGGAAAATTATTTCTTGCTCTGAGAATTCGCAGTGATTGCAATATACAGGTCATGATTTTCCTTTTGAGTCTGTTTCAATTTTCCGAGTTTTACATATTTCTATTGAACAGTTTTCTCCATTTGATGTTTCATATGAAAATCCAAGTGAAAAAAAGACAAAGCACGCAATAACTATCTTTGCTATTTTTCAAAAAATGATTTCTAACTATTTGATTTAACATCTTAACATATTTTTAATATTAAAAGTATGCTTTGAAAGTGACTAGAGAGTTCAATTAATAGGCTTTAAATTGCGTCTTCACACGATGACTATTTATTAAAGACTCTTTTTGAGCCTTTTTTTGACTATTTTTCTAGGTTAATTTTATGACCTATATTTAAATATATTTAATTAAATTTTGTTTAAATTCTTTGAATTGGCAGCATTTTCTAAAATAAAAGTCAATATCCTTATCTTCCTAAATTGTAAGTTTGAAAGAACTGAATATTAATACTCTATTCCTATAATTCATCAGTAATTGAGATTATAAAGAGTAGCGTTCATTAATAAATTATTAGACGGGAAGTAGCTTTGAACTCAAGAGTTGTCAAAGAGCTACTGCAACTACTTATTGCAAAACAGTCCGTAATTATAAAGCGAAAACTACAGCAGGCCTGAGGAAGCTGCAAGGCAACTCGGAGCCAAAATTAAAGAAAGTCTCCGAATGATAATAAATGCTAATTCATGAACTGTGAGTTAATTAAATAAATTTCATAATAATTTTATAGATTCTCAAAAAATGGCCAGCAAATGCTTTGTGTCTGGATGCTCAAGTAAGCCATATGGCAAGTGCGATTGCAGCGAGAATTATACCATATTTTGCCAACTCCATGCCGCTCAACATATGGAAATGTTAGTTGGAGATAAAAGGCATCAATGCTTAAGATTATATTATACGCCTGCTGCTGAAACTAAAATATTGATTAAGAAAAAAATTGCTGAACTAAGGCAAGGCCTACAGAAATATAGGAAAAACGTTATTTCAGACGCAAAAGAAATTATTGGAGCTGTGAAAAATAATTTAGAAAAGGCCCTACAAAGCTTGGACAAATTAGAAGAAAAATTTTTAAGAATTGCTTTGATGACTGAATTTAATGAAATACTTGATTTGAGCAAAGAATTTGACCCTGAAAGCGTTTTGAAAATGGAGCCCTTTGATGCTGAATTTAAAACTGAAGATTGGTATTTCCCAGATTTTATATCAAAAGCAGAGTCTCTAGTTTTGAATATTAGTACCTGCTTTAATACCAACATAAATCCTTTTCAGCGCCCAAAGCATGATATTAATTCGATACAAGATGATAAATATATATTTTTTAAAGGAAATAATAAAGAGTTATCGGAAATAAATTTAAAAACATTTCAAGAAACTAAATTCAACCTTGACCTTATGGAAAATATTAACTATCAAATTTCAAGTTGCATCTTACCAGATAAAAGTGTTTTTTATTACTCAAACCCTATTTCATCAACATCTACATACACATTTATCATAGATAAAAATAAGAATATCAAACAAGTTGCAAATTCAAAGCGGAGTCCTTATTTATACCCAATTTATTTTGATGGATTTGTGTATGCATTAGGAGGACGAAATAATTTGGCACAAAGATTTTGCCTTAAATCTAACACATGAGAAGACTGTGCTCCTCTTCCAGCTGGTCTCAATTTTGATCAAACTGCAGCAGTTTTGTTTAATGAAGAAATACTACTCACAGGAAATCATCTTACCAAGATGATAAAATACAGCCCTAGAAATAACAATTATAGTGATATTATTGGATTAAATTTAACTTCAGGTAGCAGAAAAATACTGTTTAAGGGAGGCAAAAAAGTGTTTATTCTACAAACAAGTGGAAATATATTTGAAAGTGAAGAGAACAATATCAATAAATGAAACTCGATAGGTAGTAATAGCATTACATCAGGTTCTTATCCTTCAACTTATGTAATAGAATATAATGAATGCATATATATGATCCTCCTGCAAAATCAGCTCTGGAAATTTAATCTTTCAACAAAGCAATTAATACTAGTTAACACTTATAATTAATTGATTCATTAAAGTTTAATTATTCTTTCCAATTAGATATGCTATTAAGAATTGTATATAATTATTTTATATCTTTTAAATAATCATTTATTCTAATTAACGAATAGAAAATCATAATTTATTGCAAAACAGTCCGTAATTATAAAGCGAAAACTATAGCAGGCATGAGGAAGCTGCAAGGCAACTCAGAGCCAAAATTAAAGAAAACCTCCGAATGATAATAAATATTAATTCATGGCCATGTGAGTTAATTAAATAAATTTCATAATAATAATTTTATAGATTCTCAAAAGATGGCCAGCAAATGCTTTGTGTCTGGATGCTCAAGTAAGCCATATGGCAAGTGCGATTGCAGCGAGAATTATACCATATTTTGCCAACTCCATGCCGCTCAGCATATGCAAACTTTAGTTGGAGATAAAAGACATCAATGCTTAAGATTATATTATACGCCTGCTGCTGAAACTAAAATATTGATTCAGAAAAAAATTGCTGAACTAAGGCAAGGCCTACAGAAATATAGGAAAAACGTTATTTCAGACGCAAAAGAAATTATTGGAGCTGTGAAAAATAACTTAGAAAAGGCGCTACAAAGTTTGGACAAATTAGAAGAAAAATTTTTAAGAATTGTTTTAATGACTGAATTTAATGAAATCCTTGATTTGAGCAAAGAAAATGACCCTGAAAGCGTTTTGAAAATGGAGCCTTTTGCTGCTGATATTGAAACTAAAGATTGATATTTCCCAGATTTTATATCGAAAACAGAGTCTCTAGTTTCGAATATTAGTACCTATTTTAATAACAATATAGATCCTTTTCCTGATATTAGATTATGTTATATTTCAAAGATCTTTTAAGTCCTTACTTCGTTAGCTGCTCGTTCTGCAGTGGTGTTTTGGAGAGATAGATGCACTTATCCTTTTGCCAGGATTTTCAATTTTAGTTGCTTGCCATTTAAGTGGATAGCCAGAACTCCAAGTTGTGAACAAGAAATTTGTGTCATGCTGCATTAAAGGTATGCAAACGCTATATTTTTTAAAGGATCATCCAATAAAGAGTTATCGGAAATAAATTTAAAAACATTTCAAGAAACTAAATTCAACCTTGACCTTATGGAAAATATTCACTTTCAAATTTCAAGCTGCATCTTACCAGATAAAAGTGTTTTTTATTACTCAAACCCTAATTCATTAACATCTACATACACATTTATCATAGATAAAAATAAGAATATCAAACAAGTTGCAAATTCAAAGCGGAGTCCTTATTTATACCCAATTTATTTTGATGGATTTGTGTATGCATTAGGAGGACGAAATAATTTGGCACAAAGATTTTGCCTTAAATCTAACACATGAGAAGACTGTGCTCCTCTTCCAGCTGGTCTCAATTTTGATCAAACTGCAGCAGTTTTGTTTAACCAAGAAATACTACTGACAGGAAATTATCTTACTAAGATGATAAAATACAGCCCTAAAAACAACAATTATAGTGATATTATCGGATTAAATTTAACTTCAGGTAGCAGAAAAACGCTGTTTAAGGGAGGCAAAAAAGCGCTTATTCTACAAACAAGTGGAAATATATTTGAAAGTGAGGAGAACAATATCAATAAATGAAACTTGATAGGTAGTAATAATATTCCATCAGGCGCTTATTCTTCAACTTATGTAATAGAATATAATGGATGCATATATATGATCCTCCTGCAAAATCAGCTCTGGGAATTTAATCTTTCAACAAAGCAATTAAGACCAGTTAACACTTATAATTAATCGATTCGTTAAAGTCTAATTATTATTTCTTGTTAGATATTCTATCATGTTTTATATATAATTATCTTACTATCATTTGCATAACCATTTATTCTAATTATCGAATAGAAAACCATAATTTATTGCAAAATCTCCATTATCCTCTAAATATTAACTAATATATATCTATTCGATAATTTAATTACCACAATACATATATAAGCACTAATTATATCAAAATTTATGGAATCTTCATAAATAGCTCTTTCATTCTCTATGAAGAAATCCATAACACCTTTTTCATCAAACTGAATCGTCCAAATCTCTAGAGCCATACTTGAAAACAAAAACATTTTATAGTATGTGAAGGCAGAGCTTTAATAGTGATCATGACCAAAGGTGAAGTCGATGTTGAAGAAATTTTTGAATCTGAGTCTAAGTTATGGCATACGTTTTGTTAAATTCCTAGTATAGGAATCACTATCATGGATGGTCACATTTAGAGGTGGAACTAGATTAGCATGTCTTGCTCTATTAGAGTCGCTACTCCAAAAACTCTTTGATCTGTGCCTGAAATTTCTATAGGATACTCCAGAGCTAGGTTTACATTTATCATTAGCTCTTGAAAGACTTAATGGTATTTATTGCTATCTTTTTGGATTTGCTAAATAATATATACAGGTCATGATTTTCCTTTTGAGTCTATTTCAATTTTCCGAGTTTTACATATTTCTATTAAGAAGTTTTCTCCATTTGCTATTTCATATGAAAATCCAATGAAAAAAGACAAAGCACACAATAACTATCTTTGCTATTTTTCAAAAAATTATTTCTAACTATTGATTTGACATCTTAACATATTTTAATATTTAAAGTATGCTTCCTTTGAAAATGACTAAAGAGGTCACTTAATAGGCTTTAAATATATTAATTAAATTTTGTATAAATTCTTTGAATTGGCAGCATTTTCTAAAATAAAAAGTCAGTTTCCGCAATCTTCATAAACTTGTAAAATTATAGAACTGAATATCAATACTCTATTCCTATAATTAATCCGTAATTGAGATATAAAGAGTAGTGCTATAAATAAATTATTAACTTTGAATGAAAGATCTGTCGAAGAGCTACCATAACTAATCATTGGAAAACATTCCGAAATTATAAATCGGAAAACTACAAGTAGGCCTGAGGAAGCTGCAAAAACAACTCGGTGGTCAAAATTAAGCAATCTCCGAATGATAATAAATACTAATTCATGACTTGTGAGTTAATTAAATATAATTTCATAATAATTTTATATATTCTCAAAAAATGACCAGCAAATGCTTTGTGTCTGGATGCTCAAGTAAGCCATATGGCAAATGCGATTGCAGCGAGAATTATACCATTTTTTGTGAAATCCACGCTGCCCAACATTTCGAAATCTGAGTTGGAGATAAAAGGCATCGATGCTTAAGATTATATTATACGCCTGCTGCTGAAACTAAAATATTGGTTAAGAAAAAAATTGCTGAACTAAGGCAAGGCCTACAGAAATATAGGAAAAACGTTATTTTAGACGCAAAAGAAATTATTGAAATCGTGGTAAATAATTTAGAAAAAGCCCTGCAAAGCTTGGACAAATTAGAAGAAAAATTTTCATGAATTGTTTTGATGACTGAATGCAATGAAATTCTTGATTTAAGCGAAGAAAATGACCCTGAAAGTGTTTTGAAAATGGAGCCCTTTGATGCTGATTTTGAAACTAAAAAATGATATTTCCCAGATTTTATATCGAAAACAGAGTCTCTAGTTTTGAATATTAGTACCTGTTTTAATACCAACATAAATCCTTTTCAGCGCCCAAAACCTGATATTAATTCGATACAAGATTATAAATATATATTTTTTAAAGGAAATAATAAAGAGTTATCGGAAATAAATTTAAAAACATTTCAAGAAACTAAATTCAACCTTGACCTTATGGAAAATATTCACTTTCAAATTTCAAGCTGCATCTTACCAGATAAAAGTGTTTTTTATTACTCAAACACTAATTCATCATCTGAATACACATTTATCATAGATAAAAATAAAAATATCAAGCAAGTTGCAAATTCAAAACCGAGCCCTTATTTATACCCAATTTATTTTGATGGATTTGTGTATGCATTAGGAGGAGGAAATAATTTGGCACAAAGATTTTGCCTTAAATCTAACACATGAGAAGACTGTGTCCTCTTCCAGCTGGTCTCAATTTTGATCAAACTGTAGCAGTTTTGTTTAACCAAGAAATACTACTGACAGGAAATTATCTTACCAAGATGATAAAATACAGCCCTAAAAACAGCAATTATAGTGATATTATCGGATTAAATTTAACTCAAAGCCTATTTAAAATAATGTTTAAGGGAGACAAAAAAGCGTTTATTCTACAAATAAGTGGAAATATTTTTGAAAGTGAAGAGAATAATGTCAATATATGAAACTTGATAGGTAGTAATAATATTGCAAGAAATTATTATCCTACAACTTATGTAATGGAATATCATGGTTGCAAATATATGATCCTCAACAAAAATCAGCTCTGGGAATTTAATCTTTCAACAAAGCAATTAAGACTAGTTAACACTTATAGTTAAGCGATTCATTAAAGTTTAATTATTTTCACTTTATAATGCTATCATATATTAAGCGCAATTATTGTATATCCTTTGCATAAACATTTATATGGAATCTGCCATAAATAGCTGTTTCTTTCTCTATGAAGAATTCCATAACACCTTTTTCATCAAACTGAATCGTCCAGAATCTCTAAGCTCCTTCAAAATGGAAATTCTTAATATTTTACACTCACTATCTCGTAGAGCCAAGCTTGAAAACAAAAATATCTTATGGTATGTGAAGGCAGAGCTTTAAGTGCAGGTGGAGATATAGTGATCATGACCAAAGGTGAAGTCGATGTTGAAGAAATTTTTGAATCCGAGTCTAAGTTATGGTATTCTTTTTGTCAAATTCCTACTATAAGAATCGCTATCTAGGATGGTATCACATTTAGAGGTGGAGCTGGATTAGCATGGTCTTGCTCTATTAGAGTCGCTACATTAAAAACTCTTTGATCTATGCCTGAATGTTCTATAGGATACTGCCCAGATGTAGAACTTCTCATTTTTTAAGCAGAGCAAATCCTTCAGAGCTAGGTTTATATTTATTATTAACTGCTGAAAGGCTTAATGGTATTGATTGCTATCTTTTTGGATTTGTTGAATGCTATAAATGATTAGGTAACTTTGAACTAAAGAACTATCGAAGAGCTTATTACAAAACAGTCCAAAATAATAAAGTGGAAAACTGTGAGCAGGCCTAAGGAAGCTGTAAGGCAACTCGGAGCCAAAATTAAAACGCGTCTCCGAGTAATAATAAATACTAATTCACGACCCTGTGAGTTAATTAAATATATTTCATAATAATTTATAGATTCTCAAAAAATGGCCAGCAAATGCTTTGTGTCTGGATGCTCAAGTAAGCCATATGGCAAGTGCGATTGTAGCGAGGATTATACCATATTTTGTCAATACCACAGCACTAAACATATGCAAATCTTAGATGGAGATAAAAGGCATCGATGCTTAAGATTATATTATACACCTGCTGCTGAAATTAAAATATTGGTTAAGAAAAAAATTGCTGAACTAAGGCAAGGCCTACAGAAATATAGGAAAAACGTTATTTTAGACGCAAAAGAAATTATTGGAGCTGTGAAAAATAATTTAGAAAAGGCTTTACAAAGCTTGGACAAGTTAGAAGAAAAATTTTTAAGAATTGCTTTGATGACTGAATTTAATGAAATCCTTGATTTGAGCAAAGAAAATGACCCTGAAAGCGTTTTGAAAATGGAGCCCTATGTTGCTGATTTTGAAACTAAAGATTGATATTTTCCAGATTTTATATCGAAAACAGAGTCTCTAGTTTCGAATATTAGTATCTGTTTTAATGCCAATATAGATCCTTTTCAGCGTCCAAAACCTGATATTAATAGGATGCAAGATGATAAATATATATAGCGTATTCAAGTCTTTAGTATAGCTTACGCATGTTTCTTTTCTATAATTTGATACTCTGGAAAACTATCTTAAGGTTACTGCGCTAAAAATTGAAAAAATCATATCATTTTGCAGGATTTTCAATTTTTAGTTGCTTGCCACGTTTAGGTGCCAGACTCCAAGTTGTGAACAAGAAATTTGTGTAATACTGCATTAAAGGCAGGCAAGCGTTTATTTTTTAAAGGAAATAGTAATAAAGAGTTATCGGAAATAAATTTAAAAACATTTCAAGAAACTAAACTCAACCTTGACCTTATAGAAAATATTCCCTTTCAAATTTCAAGCTGCATCTTACCAGATAAAAGTGTTTTTTATTACTCAAACCCTAATTCATTAACATCTACATACACATTTATTATAGATAAAAATAAGAATATCAAACAAGTTGCAAATTCAAAGGTGAGCCGCTATTTATACCCAATTTATTTTGATGGATTTGTGTATGCATTAGGAGGACAAAATAACTTGGCACAAAGATTTTGCCTTAAATCTAACACATGAGAAGACTGTGCTCCTCTTCCAACTGGTCTCAGTTTTCATCAAACTGCAGCAATTTTGTTTAATGAAGAAATACTGCTCACAGGATATTATCTTACCAAGATGATAAAATACAGTCCTAAAAACAACAATTATAGTGATATTGTCGGATTAAATTTAACTCAAAGCGTATATAAAATACTATTTAAGGGAGACAAAAAAGCGTTTATTCTACAAACAAGTGGAAATATTTTTGAAAGTGAAGAGAATAATGTCAATAAATGAAACTTGATAGGCAATAATAATATTCCATCAAATTATGCTCCTACAACTTATGTAATAGAATATCATGGTTGCATATATATGATCCTCCTAATAAATCAGCTCTGGGAATTTAATCTTTCAACAAAACAATTAAGACTAGTTAACACTTATAGCTAAGTTATTCATTAAAGTTTAATTATTTCCATTTTATAATGCTATCATATATTAACGCAAGTAATGAAAAAATTAATTAGCACATTATCATTATATAAAAATTTATGGAATCTGCTATAAATAGCTCTTTCATTCTCTATGAAGAAATCCATAACACATTTTTCATCAAACTGAGTCGTCCAGAATCTCTAACTTTGAATTAAAGAACTGTTGAAGAGCTACTGCAACTACTCATTGGAAAACATCCAAAATAATAAAGTGGAAAACTGTGAGCAGGCCTCAGGAAGTGTAAGGCAACTCGGAGCCAAAATTTAAAAACGTCTACGAGTGATAATAAATACTAATTCATGAGTCTGCAAGTTAATTAAATATATTTCATAATAATTTTATAGATTCTCAAAAGATGGCCAGCAAATGCTTTGTGTCTGGATGCTCAAGTAAGCCATATGGCAAGTGCGATTGCAGCGAGGATTATACCATATTTTGTGAAATCCACGGCACTAAACATATGCAAACCTTAGTTGGAGATAAAAGGCATCAATTCTTAAGATTATATTATACGCCTGCTGCTGAAACTAAAATATTGATTCAGAAAAAAATTGCTGAACTAAGGCAAGGCCTGCAGAAATACAGGAAAAACGTTATTTTAGACGCAAAAGAAATTATTGGATCTGTGAAAAATAATTTAGAAAAGGCCCTACAAAGCTTGGACAAGTTAGAAGAAAAATTTTCAAGAATTGCTTTGATGACTGAATTTAATGAAATACTTGATTTGAGCAAAGAAAATGACCCTGAAAGCGTTTTGAAAATGGAACCTTTTGCTGCTGATATTGAAGCTCAAAAATGATATTTCCCAAATTTTATATCGAAAACAGAGTCTCTAGTTTCGAATATTAGTACCTATTTTAATGCCAATATAGATCCTTTTCATAATATTAATTCGATACAAGATGATAAATATATATTTTTTAAAGGAAATAGTAATAAAGAGTTATCGGAAATAAATTTAAAAACATTTCAAGAAACTAAATTCAACCTTGACCTTATAGAAAATATTCACTTTCAAATTTCAAGCTGCATCTTACCAGATAAAAGTGTTTTTTATTACTCAAACCCTAATTCATCATCTGGATACACATTTATCATAGATAAAAATAAAAATATCAAACAAATTGCAAATTCTAAGCCGAGCCTTTATTTATACCCAATTTATTTTGATGGATTTGTGTATGCATTAGGAGGAGGAAATAATTTGGCACAAAGATTTTGCCTTAAATCTAATACATGAGAAGACTGTGCTCCTCTTCCAGCTGGTCTCAATTTTACTCAAACTGCAGCAGTTTTATTTAATGAAGCAATATTACTGACAGGATATTATCTTACCAAGATGATAAAATACAGTCCTAAAAACAACAATTATAGTGATATTATCGGATTAAATTTGACTCAAAACGTATTAAAAATAATGTTTAAGGGATGCAAAAAAGCGTTTATTCTACAAACAGGTGGAAATATATTTGAAAGTGAAGAGAATAATGTTAATAAATGAAACTTGATAGGTACTAATAGCATTAAACATGGTGCTAATCCTACAACTTATGTAATAGAATATCATGGTTGCATATATATGATCCTTCTGCAAAATCAGCTCTGGGAATTTAATCTTTCAACAAAACAATTAAGACTAGTTAACACTTATAGTTAACTCCCCCTTCCGTGTGCTAGCAAAACCATTAGAAAAATCCCTATTTTTTGCCAAAAAACCCACTCTCTCTGTAGCGAAAAAAATTTGTTTATGGAAAAAAATTAGATAAATAAGTGATAATTACTATAATGAAATCTATAGCTAATTCTTTTTAATTTTGAACAAATTGTGTTTTAAAACATAAATTTTACAAATTAAATTAATAATTTGTTTTCCAATTTTAGCGAAGTGAGATTTTTTTTAAAATTTGAAAAACAATTATATATATAAATTTTTTAAAACAAAAAAATTAACCCCCAAAGTGAGCGAACAAGGTTTTTTTTGTTCGCTCACGGAGGGGGCGAGTAAGCGATTCATTAAAGTTTAATTATTTTTTCATTTTATAATGCTCTCATATATTAAGCGCAATTATTGTACAAAATTAATTAGCACATTATCATTATATAAAAATTTATGGAATCTGCCTTAAATAGCTCTTTCATTCTCTATGAAGAAATCCATAGCACCTTTTTCATCAAACTGAATCGTCCAGAATCTCTAAACTCCTTCAACATGGAAATGCTTAATATTTTACACTCACTATCTCGTAGAGCCAAGCTTGAAAACAAAAATATCTTATGGTATGGTGAAGGCAGAGCTTTAAGTGCAGGCGGAGATATAGTGATTATGACCAAAGGTGAAGTCGATGTTGAAGAAATTTTTGAATCTGAGTCTAAGTTATGGTATTCTTTTTCTCAAATTCCTACTATAAGAATCGCTATCATGGATGGTATCACATTTGGAGGTGGAGCTGGATTAGCATGGTCTTGCTCTATTAGAGTCGCTACTCCAAAAACTCTTTGATCTATGCCTGAATGCTCTATAGGATACTGCCCAGACGTAGGAGCTTCTCATTTTTTAAGCAGAGTAAACCCTTCAGAGCTAGGTTTATATTTATCATTAGCTGCTGAAAGGCTTAATGGTATTGATTGCTATCTTTTTGGATTTGCTGAATACTATATAGAAAAAGATAAAAAAGAAATTATCAGAGAAATGCAAAGTGCTGGGAATTTAATAGAAATTTTAGAAAAATATCATATAGATCCAGATAGAAATAAATCGAAAATATTACCAGTTTTGAAGGAATTGAGATATTGCTTTGATGTGCATTTAAATTTGGAGATTATTATTTATAGGTTGAAATTGGTAGGGAGTGACTGAAGTCTTAAGACTTTAAAAAGGATAAGCGAACTATGTCCTTTATCATTAAGAATTGCAAAAGAAGCATTCAGAAGAGGAATACATATGAGCTATAGAGAATCGCTTATTATGGAATATAACTTAGCAGCACAGCTAATTAAGCATCAGCCTACAAATTTCAATTCTGCAGTAAACAATAAACTTATTACCAAAAATCAAAAGAAAATTGAATGAAACCCAGACTCAATTATCTCTATAGGAGATACAACAATTATGCCTTATTTCATAAATAGTAATGGGAGAAAACTTCAATTGCCAAGACTCTAAAGTAAATTACTTTATTTTAATCTTTTAAATCTGCTTGTATTAGGAAATTAATTATAAATAGACTTAAAATAAACATCATCTTCAAAATCTGAAACACTTGAGTGAGTTGCTTCTCCATCGCAAGGGAATTCCTTTGCGCTTATTGATACATTTGTTGTATTATGAGATGCATAATTCTGATTATTTGTATTTTTAATTCCTTTCACAATATTATTAACAGACTCCTTGCTATTGACTATTTTTCTAGCCACAGCAATAATACTTTGATCCTGCTTTCCATAGATTTCAGATTTGCTTTTAAGTTTTACACTTGGAAATCGCTTTTGTCTATTTCCTATCGCTTTTTTGATCTTGTGACGCATTTTGGAAAGATGGGATTCGTCTGGAATAGGTGGTTTTAGCAGATTAGAAGGAACAAAGATTGGAAGTTTTTCAATTGAGCTATTGGCTTCAATAGCATCAGCTGTTTTATCATTTCCATTGAAATGAGATTTTAATACAGATTTGCTCCTCGATCTTGCGTTTTCAGATTTTATCTTGGGCTTTTTGGATGCAGACTCTAATAGAGGTAGTGATTTATAGTTATTGCCTATGAGACTTTGGCGATTCTTGAGCATTTTTGATTTGTTTAATTGGTATTGGTGAAATAGATGCATTTGGGAAAGAATATTTGGCTTTGCAATTGACATGATGATTTTGTAAAAATAATTGAATAATTTGTTATAAATGGAAGTTTGAGAAGTATGGTAGCTTATGAATAGGGATTGAGCACAGAAAATGTGAGTATCTTGCATCCTTTTACTTATATATAATTATTTGAAAGATTAAATGTAGATTGAAAACAAGAAAAAAAAATAAATTGGAAAATTGCAGTTGGGAGAATATAGAATCAATTTTCTTAAAATTAAATTTTTTTCCAATAAAAATAAGATATTTAATGCAAAAAATTAATAAAGATATATTTATCTGCAGAATTATAAAACATTTATTAAAATAAAAATTAAAATTGAATCCTAGCCAAATCCTATCTTTCTTTATTGAAGTTCCCATTTTTAAATATGTTTCTTAGAATTTTTTTTATCGGCCTTATTATTTAGCCTACTTTTAACGCTTTTACATTTCATAAATCTAATAAATTTTTTATTAAGTATGGAAAGAAGTCAAATAAGAAAAAAGAAAGGTAGTGATGTTGTGCCTTTTCGATTAGTCACATATACACCGTCAATAGAAACCCAACTTCTTGTAACCTCCCGTAAAGAGTTCAGAATTCGAGTCCCCACTTCTCCAGTTCACTCAGCCCGTCCCCACATTGAAAATTCTTCATATTCATCAAACTTATCAGGAAAAATCAGCCCAACTAATGAACTTCTAGTGGACTTTAAATCCAATATAAGTGACCAAGGCAAAGTTTTAAGTCCCACATTTGATGAAAATATCAACCGTTTGCAAGGTCTTCATTGGATGCGATCTTTAAACTCAAGGCTTTCTTTGCCTTCTGCATCAAGCCAGAAGTCAGTTTCAATCACAAAAATCCTACAAGACCAGCTTCGAGGAGATTCAGTCGTCCCTAAGTCTAATATTCATTCCCTTTTGCTTCCTCAAAATACAGAGAAAAAAGCTCAGAACAATAATAAAAATGTTTCCAAAGTGAGTAATGAGTCACCCAAAGAGAAAAAGAGGAAAGAAACGACCTTGGTCCATTGAAGTCTGAAGGCTACAATGGGATCTAAACCAAACTCAAGTGAAGGTAGCACACTGGTAGTGATAAACCGAAAAATTTATATTTTTGGGGCAAGGCTGAATCGGACTGATTTAAATGAGCTAGATATGATTACAGGGGTATGAAGAAGGGTAAATTCTAATTATACACCTAATGGAAGGCTGGGGTGCTCACTAGTTGTATATAAGAGGAAAATGATTTCTTTTGGAGGATATACTGGGCACAGTCAAAACTTAGGTATAAGAAGATGCTCAAGTAAAATTTATGTGCTCAGTATGGATACTATGAATTGGCAACGATATCATGGAGGTGGATCTTCCCCAAGCCCAAGGAGGAATCATTCCTGCACAATATTAGGGAAATGCATGCTGGTATATGGAGGAGTTGACCAATATTCGCATCCATTAGCAGATCTTTATCTATTTGACATAAAGAATAAAGAATGGTCCTTACCCGACGTTAAAGTCCATGGAGACCCAGGCCCAAGATCTCATTGTACTTTTACGGCCGTTTTCAATGAGACTTTGAAATCGAATTTTGATATTTTACTGTTCAACGTCCCAAAGCTTAAGCAAGAGCTCAATATCTTAAACAGCGGATTTTATCTATTCGGAGGCCTCGATATGGATGGGCACGCCATAAATGCTTTGCATGGACTATATGTCCGTGAAGGCCAACTAGTATGAAGCGAAGTTGAATATTTTGGAAAACCGCCATCTCCTCGATATAGCCACTCAGCCTGCTCTATGAGTGAAAAATTATTTATATATGGAGGAAGAAATGACCAGCTATTTAAAGAGACTGGAGATTCCTGCCTAGGAGATTTATATATCTTTAACGTGGAGCACCTATTATGGGAAAATGTTCAGGTTCATGGGAATATTCCTGAAGCCAGATGAAGTCATTGTATGTGTACTTACGGGACAAGAATTTTGGTATTTGGCGGTATGACACATAAGAAATTTATGAATGCCGATTTATATAGTTTAGAGACAAATAGTGACTATGTAGAAGAGCTGATTAAGTATGACAAAGAAAAATATGTTCCTCCTTCTGTTGAAACTTATGCCTCGATTGGAAGAGGGTTTAAGTCATTTTTACAAAAGTTTATGGACCAGAAGACGGAGAAGCCAAAAGAAGAAAATGAATAGTAGTCTTTGCAGTGTTAAGAATAATATATATTCATAAAAATAATTATTAATGATGTTTTTACAATTTAAATTCTATTTTCTTGATATTATAAGTTAAAATTTGAATAAATAAAATAAAGAATTATTGGGAAAGGTCTACTTTAAAAAATTTAATTCTATAAATCTTCTTCCATATGACTGCTTTCACATGGTGCATTAGATACACATTGAGTAAAAATACCAAACATAGGCTTAAGCTCATTTTGATCTTGAGGAATAAAAATCCATTGGCAAATATCCTCAGCCAAAAGTTGACAATACAAGCAAGGTGCACCAAAATTTCTTGGGTCTCTAGAAATTGCATGAACACCGATTTCTTCTAAAGCCTTTTCCCAAACTCCTTGAGAGTTGCTGAAATACACCCTTTGTGTCGTAATACAAAATTTCCCTAATCCATTATGCATTTTTGTGCCTGAAGAATCAATTATATCAAAAGATACTTGGCTGTTCTCATATCTTAATTCCTCATTTTGAAAAAGCATGATTTCTGTGTCTCCCATTTTAATTTATTTAATAAAATTTGCATAATTTATTTAAAAATCCAATGATTTTAGTTATATTTATGAGCTCTTCACCAAATAAGTCCATTCTCCATAAAGAGTATTCAGTGCAAATTCTTTAAAAGACTGCCCTACTCCTTGGCACTCCTCAACTTTTTCTTGTCTATCATTCGTAATTTCACAATAAAGGTCATTGATGCATTGATCATTGCATCCTACCAATGAATCTGGCCCATCTGTATATCTATTAGCTGCATATTTCATCATGAGCAGCTCTTGGCCTTTCATTTCTGTGGCAAGTTCAAAAATTGTAGCCGGTAGCATATCATCAGTTCTATAATAGCTTAAGAAATCATAAGCTTCTGAAAAAGAAGGGGCAATTTCTGATAAATCAAGCCTGTATTGGACGTAGTTTAATACCACTTTAGACAGATTATCAGACTGATATATTCTATAAGACGGGTTTGTATTCTTATATGGAGATAACGATGGGGCTGTAAATTGGATTCCTGTTGGCTTCCCTGAAAAATAGCCTGTATTAATTCTGAACTGGTCTTTATTTTGGTTCCCGAAAAATTGTCCCATAACAGTGTTCTGGTATCTTTCCATTAATACTGAATAATGTTTGCTCCAGCTGTTCACACATGAGCTTGAGCCTGGAGCGATGTTTCCTATGATATAAACTTTATATCCATTAACCTCTGCACTTTCTAGCTCATTATTCAACCAATAAATATACCCACTTGGGTCCGTGACATTTGCAAACAAATAAAAATTATTTATATCGCATGACATCGTGTTTAACCCAATTATCCTCAAATTTGTATTTTTATATTGAACTGAATATGTCCCATTTGTGGAAAACTGAGCTGCTGCTTGTTTTCCAAGCCATATAGACCATAAGCTTGTAAGGCCTTTCAAAAGAGTGGCTTCATCAGAAAAATCATACTGATGCTCAGGATAGCAATCCAAAGGCCCAAAAATAGGGAAAACTGGGTAAAGGAAGGAGTCAAACTTGTTTAAAATTTCTTGGGTAGCTGTTTTTATCGTATTAAGCCGGTCAGTTATGGATAAGGTTAGATCATGAGTAACACTATTACCGTTCCAAATAATGAAGCTTGGCTTGCTAGCTAGTATAGAATCAAGCGCCATTCTGAAAGTAGACAATGGTAAATCACAGTTATAGTCTCCATAAGTACCTGCAATTTGACTAGTGCTTGTAGGTGTCCCCTCTCGACAGCACGGGCCAGATGAGCAGGTATTCGACTTCCCTGAAAAATAGTTCAAATCAAGCCTTACATCTGAGATCTGCGCAAAATACAAATAGCTGGTAGTTCTAACAGGGATCTGATGTGCAGGAGTATTGAATAATATTTTTTGTGCCCAAATGTCAAAGTCTTCAGGAACATATGAAGCTGACGAGCATATTCCAAGTCCAGAACAAAGATAGGTTGGGTTGACAATTCTTCGTTGCAAAACATCAGTGACTTCTTGAATTCCTACTGCTCCAATAGAGTTACAGTCTGTTGGGGTTGATGAATAGCTGCAGAACTCAGCCACATAGCTCTTAAAAGATGACTGGACTTGAGAATTTGATAAGAGGTATTGAAGAGTTTGAGCGGCAACCATGCAGGTTTGGCAGTCTAGTTGGCCTTGGACTGAGGAAACTAGAAGAATAAGAAAAGAAATCATATTTATTTGATTCAACACTTGCTCAATTTTTAATAGTTTATATTCGAATTAGAATAAGAGAAGTAATTACCATTTTCAGGTTTTTAATTTGTAAGAGAAGAGCTAGGGATTAGTTTTTTTATAGTAATTTACAAGAAAAGAGGGTTTATTGTGTAAAAAATAGCTTCCAGGTTAAGAAATTCAGAATTATTTTATTGTTTATCTTATTAGGATTGCTGTGGTGGAGGAGTTGGCTGGCTTTCTTTAGCTGGCTCAGGGGCTTTTTGTTCTTGTTTTTCAACTTTAGGTGGCTCAGGCTGTTTTTGTTCAGGAGTCTTAGATGAGTTAGGAGCTTCAGGAGCTTTTGGAGGTTCTGGGGTTTTAGCTTTAGTTGGCTCAGGAGTTTTAGTTGGCTCTGGAGCTTTAGCATTTTCTTGAACTTTAGCTGACTCTGGGATCTTTGTAGGCTCTGGGGTTTTAGCTTTTGCTGGCTCAGGAGTTTTAGCTGATTCAGGAGTCTTAGTTGGCTCTGAGGTTTTAGTTGGTTCAGGTGTTTTAGTTGGCTCTGGGGTTTTAGTTGGTTCAGGTGTTTTAGCTGATTCAGGTGTTTTAGTTGGTTCAGGAGTTTTAGTTGGCTCAGGGGCTTTAACTGGCTCTTGAGTTTTGGTTGGCTCTACGATTTTAGCTGATTCAGGAGCTTTAGCTGGCTCAGGTGTTTTAGCTGATTCAGGAGCTTTAGTTGGATCAGGAGTTTTAGTAGATTCAGGAGTTTTAGTAGATTCAGGAGTTTTAGCAGGCTCTGGGGTCTTATTCCCTCCTTTAAGAGAAAGTAATTTGTTTTCTCTCTTTAAAGGCTTTGTTTTGATTTTATTAAAATTATTTTATTTTTACACAATAAATATCTTAAAAGAAAAATCTAATATAGCTTAAATTAGTTATAGATCTCGCTATAAAAGTTATTAAAGAGGGGTTAATTTTCCAGCTATTTGATTGCACTTAGGAGTGGATTTATGTCGCTCTAAAGTCTTATTTAACTCAAAAGATTTAGCCTTTTCTTGAGGCTTTACTGGTTCAGGAGCCTTAGTTGGCTCTGAAGTTTTAGTTGGTTCAGGACTCTTGGATGGCTCTGGAGCTTTAGCTGGCTCAGGAGTCTTAGATGGCTCTGGAGCTTTGGTTGGCTGAGGAGTTTTAGTTGGCTCAGAAGTTTTAACCTGTTCTGGAGTCTTAGTTGGCTCAGGATTCTTAGTCTGATCTGGAGTCTTAGTTGGCTGAGGAGTTTTAACTTGCTCAGGAGTTGGTTCTGATGTCTTGGTTGGCTCTGAAGTTTTGGTTTCTTGTGGCTTGCTTCCAGTCTTTACTGGCTCCGTTGACTTTGTCTCTTTTTGTTTTTCTTCAATTTTAGTAACTTCAGGCTCAGTTTTCCTTTGAGCACTAAGATCTTCTACATCCTCGTTTTTCTTGGTATCTTCTACTTTAGCAGTTTTTGGCTTGAACTCTTCACTAATTAATGGAGTTCCAGCAACAACGAAATCTTCAAGACTAAGTTCTTTAGAGTTTCTCGCAACCTTTGCATAGCCTTTTTCTCCCCAATCACTTCCCCAACTGTTTTTAATAATCCAGTATGCTTGTTTGTTATCGTCAGTTCCCCATCCTAAAATTTCTACCGCATGGGCGCCTTTAATCTTAGCTGCAGCTATGTGAGGTTTATAAACTCCACTGCTATAGACTAAGAAATTTGTATGCACATGCATATATCCAACTACAGGTCCATTCTTCTTTATTTCTCTCATAATGGCAGCTTCCGTAGCACTCGCGCAGAATTCACTAGCTTTATAAGTAGTTCCCTCAAGTTTTTCAGGGCAACTAGGAGCAGTTAAATCTTTAGAGGTGTAAGGGAATACCTTGTTTTCAACAAGTCCAACATCTTTGATATAGATCCAAACACTGTCAATGTTTCCTTGCCCGCATTTATCATTATTTTTGTCACAAGAAACTAAATCCTGTCCTCCTAGATTCACAATAACAGCCCCTTTGCTATGAATGCAGAATCTTTCGCTTAAACTTGAAGCAGCTGCTAATGCATGTGATGACGAGCAATTCCCTTGTATGTAAATGTCAGCTGTACAATGAGGGAATTCTTCTCTGACGTCATAATAGTCAGGGACAAGTTCAGTATTGTCAAGGAAAGTCTGACAAGGACCCAATAATTTTGCTTGCTGAGAATGATAAGTTTGTGAAGCTCGGGCTACATCTCTAAGGTTCCAATCTTTGAAATATGAGTTTTCTTTGAGAGTAAAGTTAAGTTTTAAGGAATTTTGAGCATCAATTAGAACTTTATCATTTACAGGGGCTTCGTGGAGTGGGATTTCAGGGTTGAAGGCCATTATTCCGATTGCAATTCCCATAATTGCTCCAATAATACCGAATACTAACTCCCCTCTGTGAGAGAACAAAACCATTAGAAAAATCCCTATTTTTTGCCCAAAAACCCACCCTCTGTGAGCGAACAAAAATGTTTTATGAAAAAAAAATTTTGATATATAAGTGATAATTGGTATTACGAAATCTATTGCTAATTCTGTTCAATTTTAAAACAAATTGCGTTTTAAAAACATAAAATTTATAAATTAAATTAATATTTACTTCCCATTTTTGCGAATTAGGATTTTTTAAAATTTCGCAAAAAAAATTAACCCTCTCCGTGGGCGAACAAGATTTTTTTGTTCGCTCATGGAGGGGGGGAGTAAGTAAGCATAAAAGTTGCTTTTTGCGGTCTTTTTGTTTCGTTTGAGAGCTCCTTTCCTAGCGTTATCTCTGATGACATCAATATCAATATCCTCGTTAGCTGCCATTTATTATTCCACGTGGGCAATGGCTTATTTTTTGTGCTCATTGATTTTTCATGATATCTGACTCCCCCCCCTTTAAATTGGAACTAAAAATTTTGTTCCAATCTAAAGGGGGGTTAATTTTATTTTTTAAAAAAAAATATATCAATATAAAATTTTTTATAAAATATATAAAAAATTTCAACAAAAAAAAATTTCAAAAACTTATCGAATTAGATCTATAAATTTGTTTAATAAAATGCTATTTACTCTTTATCCTTTAAAACAAAGCAAGATATAACTAAATTTTCATTATTAGTTAATATGCCACTATTAATTGGTATCAAAATTATTTACACAAAAAATTATTATTTTTATTGATAAAAAAATTAAAAAAAAAAACAATTTTTTAGAAAATTTATCGATCAAAGTGCTAATTTTGTTTAAATAAGATATTACTTATACTCTATTCTTTAAAATAAAAGCAAGAAATAACTAAATTTTGAAATTTTATAAAGAATTCCTTTTGAATTTATATTAAAACTATCCAAATAAAAAATATCATTTTTATCAAAAAAAAAAAAATTTTTTTTGAAAATTTTTAAAAAACAAAAATTAATTTTTTTTAAAATTTACCAATTAAGGATAATAAATTTATTTAAATAAGATGCTCTTTATACTTTTTTCTTTAAAAAAGAGCAAGATATAACTAAATTTTTAATTTTAGTTAAGAAAAAACATTTAAACTTATATCAAAACTTTTTAGATAAAAATTATATATAATTTTTTATTATAAAATTAAATTTTGTTCCAATTTAAAGGGGGGTTAATTTACAAAAAAAGTGGAAATTTTACCGATATTTTGTTCCAATTTAAAGGGGGGGGGAGTGAAGGTATTTATATTGTGAACAATTGAAGAAGAAATAAAGATTTTCTGTTTAAAAAATTTAAGTCGGTATAAAAATTCCGGATTTTGTTAAAAGTGTTATGAGTTAAATTCTATTAAACCAAATCTGTAAACATTTAGTCTGATATGTGTATATTTATTAAAATACATTATGATTTATAGAACGCCAATTCGAGCCTTATTTTTTAATAATTCAGATCTGAGATGAAAATATAGTTTGCATAAATGATATTTATTATTTATCATTAAATATCCTCTGAATTGCTTTTATTTGAGAGCTAGACATGCAATTATCTTTATTCTCATTTTTATTTTAAAATTTTTTTATCTTTTATCTGTTTCTAACTTGATACTTCTCGCCTACGGATTTAGATTTCCCTATTGGAGCTTTATTGATCAAACTTTTTTGTTATAAACTAACTTAACCCAATTTTGAATTATTATTAACGCTTAAGATTATTTAAAAGAACTCTTAACCTAAAACGCGGCCTAGCACGCTTGGGAGGTTTTCCTTGAAATTTTCTTTTTCAGTGAGTCCAGCCAAAACAATAGAAGCCAGTTTAATAATAAAGTTGATTACGCACAAGGCAAATACAAAGTGATGGACTCCAGATTCCCAATTTCCTGAGTCAACTTCATTATTCCAAACTGATCCCCAGTAGCAAAGCCAAATAAAATCGACGATGAAGGTGATTATCATTAAATAAAATACCTTGATTCTTTGGGTCTAACCCTCCTTATATATAAATTTATAATTATATTGATAAAAACAATCAATCAATAATATTTCTAAAATGGGATAAGTAAAAATTACTTTGTCAGGCTCAGACCATATAAGCCAGGCAAATACAAATAACGGCAAGTTAAAATCAGGCCTCGCCAAGCAGCAGAGAATTGCTATTCCTGCAATGATAAGGAAAGATTTTGGTACAAGTCCTTCAAGTTCCATTATTATGATTATGAAGATTTAATTAAAATAAGATCGCTCGTGAAATCTGTAAGCGCCTCATGGATTTGATTTACTAAATAAGTTCTTTGTGGTTTTGCTTCAAAAATGCCTGATTTTAGTCTATTTAAAGTTAAATTCATTAGATGTACAAATTTCCCATGCTCAACTCCATTATGTGTCCAAATATCTTCATTGAAATAGCACAAGCTTGAATTTCTCATATAAAGTTGGTAGCTTTCTGGAGGGTCAAGCTGCAAATTTGGGTCACATATGCATCATTTTCCTCTGAGTCCTAAACAGCTTATGATATTTATTTTATGTTCAGCAGAATGTGATAGAGAAAAATCTAAAATATGATTAACCCCTAGCCCGCCTGTTTCTTGTATTAAAGAAAATGGGAAATCTTGTATATAATGTGATCTAGCTTTTATGTCATCTTTTCCTGTAAAATAAGTGACCAAGCCTAATGAGTTTGCTATATGAATTGGGACAAGGTCTGGGCTTCCTATAATTAAAATGTTTTCTCCTTCTAAAACTCCTAAACAGTAATGCAAAGCCGTAAGTGCTCTAATCCCACTAGCAATTCCAATAGCAGCTGTTTCATAAGACAGCTCAACCGGTTTCTTTATTAAATAAAGCTCAGGTATATAAGCCGACACAAACTCCCCACCCCTTACCATTTCTAAATTCAATGAACTCGGCAAATATGCGACCACTGACATCCCTCTAGTATAAGCTGACGTACATCTTCCACATTCTAAAATAACCCCTGCAATAATCCTAAACGGCGAAGCCGTTTTCTTTGTATTAAATAAAATATCATATGACGTAATTGCTGCTGTCTTTATTTCAATCAAATAAGAATTTAATTCCATTTTAATTATCATGAAAATAATATTTCCTAATTAATCTCTAGCATGTCAAATGATGGCTCTCTATTACGGCTGTTTAATTCAGAGTATTTTCAGCTAGAGCATCTTCTATATTATTTGCAGAGACGTGAAGAGTCAGGGATCCACAGTTTTTTGGTCAATAAATTATATACGTTTCCTATCGATGATATTTCTTTTTATATCCCTCAGCTTATGAATCTTATGATAAATCGGCAGGATTCTGAGGATTTAGAAAGATTTTTTTTGGAAACCAGCATAAAGTCGCATGATTTTGCAATTAAATTTTACTGATTCTTGAATGGAGCTTTAAATGATAGGATTGCGAATAAACAGGAGAAGCTGGAACGGATAGGACATGATCTAGAAATGGTCATTGTCAATGCGACCCTGCCAAAGCAAAATCACAATGTAGAAACTCCACACTTATTTCATCTTGATATAGAAGAGACAGAGATGGAAAAATTTTCAAGAAAAAGCATTAGGAATGACTATTTTAATTATCAGCAAAAAGCTATTGGCTTGCTGTGCAAAATCTCTGTTGCGCTTTTGATGATCCCGCTGGAGCAAAGAGATGAAAAGTTGAAAAATTGGCTGTCTGGGATGGATAGCTGAATAAAAGAAACAAAGCAAAAATACCATGAGGGGATTTATTCGGAGTATACGAGAAGGATGTTTAGAGGGATTATTATACCTTTTAAGTTTGTGGAAAATACAGATTCAGGAGTGTATCAGATAGTAAGGATAATAAGTGATGAGTCTAGCTGCTTCAGTACGAAGGCAAGAGTTCCTTATAAACTTTTAATAGAGACAGTTGATATGAGTGAAATCGAGCCAATAGTAACAGAAAATAGCCATGAAGGGACCAATGACATTAATAATGCAATGGAGCATGAAGTAGAAGACATTGATGTAAGTCAAGTCGACAAAATGGTCAATAAAGATGAAGAAAGATTTCAAGGCTTCGAAGACTATGTTGAAGAAGTACAGAAGACAGAAAGAGAAGGAAATAATGCTATTGACGACACTGAAAATAACTTAAGCAATTCAAGTGCCCCTGATAACCCTTGAGGAGAACCTTGATCAGGTATTACTCAAAGAATCAAAAATACTTCTCAGTTTTCGAATTATGAGTCCTGGAAACTAAGAGCCATTATTGTGAAAGGACTTGACGATCTTCGGCAGGAGTATCTTGCAATGCAGTTTATCAAAAAGTTTAAAACTATTTTTGATGAAGCCTTCTTATCAATATATTTAAGACCATATGATATTTTGGTTATATCTCACAATACAGGAATGATTGAATATGTCCCTGATACGCTTTCAATTCATGCTATTAAAAAAAATTCAAAAAACTACACGTCGCTTTTGAATTTTTATTTATCAACATGGCCTAACAACTTTGAAGAAGCCCAGAAAAACTTTATTGACAGCTTAGCTGGCTACTCACTTCTTTGTTATATATTAAATATCAAAGATCGTCATAACGGAAATATCCTTATTGATGGGTATGGACATATCATTCATATAGATTTTGGGTTCTTTTTCACAAACAGTCCTGGAGGAAACATTAATTTTGAGACTGCACCATTTAAGCTGACTAAAGAAATGATTGAACTAATGGGAGGAATGGATAGTGAAATGTTCAGATACTATAAAATTTTACTTTTGCAAGGATTTTTAGAATTAAGAAAGCATGTTGATAAGCTTGAGATCTTGATTATTATGATGGCTGGCAGAAAATTCCCGTGCTTTAGAGACTTCGATAAAGCGGTCAATGAATTCCGAGAAAGGTTTCACTTAAGCAAAACTGATGAAAAATGTATGACTTTAATTGACAACTTGGTAGCAAGCGCAGCCAATAACTGGAGAACAAGAAGGTACGACGCATTTCAACGATACAGCAACGGAATCTTATAGACACATTATCAATGTAAATCTTTACTTTCTAACTCCCCTTTTGTGGGTGAGCAAAACCATCGGAAAAAAACTATTCAATTTTTAGTATAATGTTTTATGGAAAGATATAAATGATAATTATTATAATGAAATCTCTACTTAATTTTGAAGATTTTGCATTTTAAAAATAAGTTTTACAAATTAAATTAATATTTGCTTTAAAATTATTTCAAATATTGATTTTTTAAATTTTGAGAAAAATAAATTAGCCTGTAAACACACAAAATTTTTTGCTCGCTCACAGAGGGTGATGAGTAAGTAATTTATAAATGGGTGATCTTCCTCAATCAGTACGAGTGCCAAATATTCGCCCAGTTGTAACGATTGTAGGTGGGTCAAGGATCCAAGAACTTCTTTCGAAATTACTAATAAGCAGCACTATCGAGCAGCGACTGGAATCAGAATTTGTTGACTTCAACCATGAATTCAAGATAAGAAGTGAAAATAAATCATTTGAAAGATATTAAAAATAATAGGAATTCTGTTATGACAATTCCTATAAGAAAATAAGACAATATTTATTGCAATTAAATATATACCAATAAAGGAATACTTAAGCTTAACTGGACTACCAAATGCAAGAAAGTCATTCCTTCAGTCCTTCTTATTGTTTTTGATTGGGGAGGGCTATCACCTGACTCTCCACAATTAGATTCTCAAGATTGGAAATCTAAAGAAGCTACCATTGCTAGATATGTGCGCAGATTTAAAGACCAGCTTAGAGGAAGACTAGTGAAAATTGCTGTTTTAGCTATTTTGAGTCCTAATGATGATAACCCATTAGAAGACAAAGGATCTCTCATTAAAAAAGCCTGCGAAATCGACAGTAAAGGAATATTTCTCGCTAGAATCAGCTTAGACGAAAATGATTCTAGGATGATAAAATTCAAAAAATACCTTTGGGAGAGCTCAAGTGCCCATTATAAGGACGAAATCGAAAGACTAAAAAAATTAAAAAGCCGAGCACAGAAAGAAATCAGTGGAAATTTCATAGAACTGCAAATAAGGTACAATTTTAAGCTTGGATATTTATGTGAGCTTAAGCAGGATAAAGAAGCCGCTTTAAACCACTATAAAAAAGCTTATTTTGAGCTGCAGGAAATGGGAACAAATGACATCTCGCATGCTGAGGAAATAAGAACTGTAGCAGATTGGACTGCTCATAGGATTTTATCAATCCTCTTAAGCCCGCCTCAATTGATATCAAGACTCAAAGAAGCGATAACTGTCTTTAAAAACCATTTAGTTCAATACAAAATTAACAAGCATAAAGACATCATGTCTTTTGAGCAATGAAAATGGCTGAGTGAACAATATGGCCGCTTTGGCACTCTTATTGACAATATTCCTCAAGAAATATTAGAAAAGGACAATTTCTGGACACATCCAGCCTTTTATTTCCAGACCTCAGCCATTTATTTCTTAAACCGCTCCCATATCACTGTTGAAGACCCTGAATTTATGCAGTCAGTAATAAACTGGAAAGGATTTATAGAAAATACTGGGCTCAGAGTAAAAGACCCTGAATATGTAGGCCAAGCCAAAACTTTAATTTCCCACCCAAACCAAAATGAAATGATTGAAGGAATCAGCTTAACTGACCAAATGAATATCATTAAAACCCTTGAAGAAGCTGAAGTCGACCATATTTCAATAGCCACTGATTATTTCACAAGGGCGCTGAAATTTTATAAAATAATTATTATGATGCCTAGGATGGCTGCACATATTTCATATTGGCTTTCCGAACTTTATATGAGAACTGGACAAGGTGATATTAGCTATAAAGTCAAAGTAGAGTTATGGAAAAAGCTTGATGGGTGGACAACCCTTTTGGCTTCATTAATTAAAGGTCTATTAAGCTCTTCTACTGAAAACACTGAAGAAAACCTACAATGGCTTTTGCATTGTGCAAGCGTAGACAGCTCAAAATCAGCCGAATCATTTCAAGAAATTAAAAAAATATTATCAGCACAGATGCTTCAAGTCAGAATGAAATGCCCAGAAAATTTAATAAGTTTAGAAGCCTGCTTTAAACCAAAAAAAATATCGACTTACCATCCTACATTTCTTGAAATAAAACTGGTAAGCAGCTTTCCTGAAATTTTAGAGCCTGTAAAAATCAGTTTGATTTTTTCTGATAGCTCTTTTAATAGAGATATTGAAGAGACAATATCACTTATTCCAGGCCAGCCTAGACTAGTATCACATAGAATCCTTGTAAAAAGCGGATTGGTGTCTGTGATTGAGCTAATAAAAGTCGTCCTCACATATGAGCCTGTAGCAATGAGCATGATTGCATTAGAAGTTGACACTTTAGCAAAACTCTATGTAAATCCTCCTCCAGCCAAGCTACTCCCTACCTTTCAGCACTCACCTCCAGCTTTAATTTCTGAATACTACCCTCTTACAATTACCCTTAACCCGTAAATTCTAAATAGAGAAGCCGAAATTACTAATGGCAAACTTATAATTGTAGAAGAAACTATTGACGATGAACAAGAAAAATCCATCCGTAGGCCTAGCATTGATAGAGAAACTGAAAACAGCTTCTCAGTTGTCGTAGCAAAAGATGAGCCTGAAGACTACACTCCAGGCGGGATTATTCTGCCGAATTTGACTGAAAAATATGTTCTGCCGTTGAAATTTTTATTTAGTGAAGAAAAAACCTATGATTTGAAGGTGAAACTTAGGTACTCTGTAAAAGCAGAAGACGATTTGCAGTATAAGTCAGAAGAAGTTTATGATCTAGATGTCCCAGTTTTTACCCCTTATCAGTTTTCTATTAGACCTGGAGGTCCAAAAAGCTATTGTCGCATTCCTCTACCTAATAAAGAAGTTAAAGAATCCCCTGTGGATTTGAAAGTTATAGTCCCTTCTATATTTTCAGTCCAGCAGCTATTCGAAATGAAAATAATTATAAAAAATAAGACAAATGACGACATGGAAATAAAGCTTTCATTAGAGCAAGTGTCAGCTTTTATGATTGGAGGGATTGAAAGCTTAAAGTTCGTTTTAGCAGCACAGGCAGAAGAAACGTTTAATATAAACATTTTTGGTATTGAAGCAGGAACATTACAGCTTCCATCTGTAGTCATAAAAGGAGCTGAGTTTGAGAAAAAGTGGGAAGGCCGTATTTTAATTTTGCCATAGACATATTTATTAAGACTAATACGTCAATTATATATCAAATTTATAAATATTATAAAATATATGTCGAGTGGCAACTTAAGGAAAATCGCTGAAGATAAAAAAGCGTATTTATTCAAGTCAATCAATATATTCAGAAACAGCTTTTCAACGAAACTTAAAGAAGAGAACCTTAATCAGGATTCTAGCTTTGGGCCATGATTTAAAGAGCCACCTAGTAAAAAGAGCAGTCAATTACGGAAAAAATTAGAAGAGACAAATAAAAGTGAGCCAAAACCATTAATAATATATAGGAGAGTAAATTCGAATAGAGTTATATCAGTGATCAGACGACGAGAATTTGATCCACTATCAATAAAAGAGCTTAAACAAATTTCTTTACTCTCCCTTAAATTGGAACAAAACATCAAATAAAATTTGCATTTTTTTGTTACTTTGAGTCCCTTTTAATTGGAACAAAATTTGTTTTAGGATAATTTTATCAATGAAAGTACTAATTATTATAAATTAGTTTTGACCTAATTTAATATACAAAATGCAAAGAGAATGCTATTTAAACAATTTTTACACTGAATCAATTAAATTTTTTATATAATTCTTTATAAAAATAAATAAAATTCAAACTATTCTATTGTTTTATATTTCTTAAAATTATAAAAAAAAATTAAAAAACAAATTAAAGATGAAAATACAAATGTTTTATAAAATTAATTTTGGCCTATTTTGATGGAAAAAATGCTATTTTAAACAATTTTTCCACACTTAATCAATTAATTTTTTAATGTTTCTTTATAAAAAGAAATTAAAATTCAAATTATTGTTCTCAATTTATTTAAAATTTTTTATATAGAAAAATTTAATTATATTTTAAAAAAAACTCTCCCCTTTAAATTGGAACAGGATTTTTTGTTCTAATTAAAGGGTGGGAAGAGTTAGGAGAAAGAGGTCATGGAGTTAAAGACATGAAATATAATAATGAGCATCAAAATGTTTTAAACCATAAACCATCCCTTTCTTTATCAAGCGGAAGATCCAGCTCTCATAGAAAACTGCCAAAAAGAGAATTTTCAAAAATTTTTGACCAGGAAAGAAATAATGAAACTTCTGCTGATAAAAACTCGAAAAAAGTATATTTTGAATATGAAATACCTCGAGCTGTCACTGCGTTTAATATTGACGCAGGGGAAATGGCTGATAATAAAGCAAATCACAGTTTATTAAGGTATAGAGTTATTTCAAATTCTCTTTCTACTTTGGATTTAAAAGAAAGTGAACCGAAGATTGCTCCTGAGAGATATCAATTTTTGAAAAAAATTGCAAATCGATAGTTAGAATTTTAAAATAAATATTTTGGATATATCCTTTAATTTAATTATTTATGAATTTTGTTATCATCATTATATTGCTTAAATTTATATTAATCATTTCAAACAATTTCAATATTTCTATATCATAAGCACGATTTTAATCAATAAAATGTATTCAAGCCAAGTGTCTTATTTTAATAAGATTTATCAGTTAATTAAACTTCTTTAATATTTTTACTCTTGTTTGCATTTCCCTAGCAAGCTGCCTAGCAGCCTAACAAGCTGAAATACGTTAAAGCTAACTTTTCCATCAAGAAATGAAGTCTCAGCTCTAAAGTTCATAGTCCTTCTCATCGCTTTCAACTTATCTGGCTCTATTTCAAATCCCATTAATTTCACTTCAATTGGAGCTCTCGGCAAACAAATATAATTTCTATTTTCCACAAGGACTACTTTTAGGCTCAGCAAATTTATACAAAACATCAGGAGGCTTTGAGAAATTTCTGAAAGTCGTTTTAGCAAGAAAACCCATGAAATCTGTTTTTGGAAAAAATAGTTAAGTCGAATAAAATAAACTTTTAATAGAAAATTTTAACCGACTTGCAATGGTTTCATTTAATAGACATGGATAAATGGTATGAAGTCGGAGAAGCAAAATACTAGCGTGACTGAGAAATGAAAAATAGCAGAGTTGGAGATAAGAAATCTACATAAGTCGCGATCTTAGGTTATCGGCAAGTTGGTGCTAAAATTAACGGAAATTTTGATGAACCCTACCAAGTCTTCAATATAAAACCAATACAAGTCGAGTAATTAAAATATGATCAGATCAATTAATCTTAATTTAAAAAAAGCACCATTTTCTTATATTTTTTCGATAATGTAAAATATATATAAATTTCAGTGTCGTGATTATGAAACCATTTATAGTAGAGAAATTAAAACTGTAACAGGTAGGCTATGAGAAATATTAGGAAGTCGTTGCGAGTTTTAGTATCCAATAAAATAAGTATAGTCGATTAAAAACAAAATTAAATTAAAATTTAGAGATATTTAAAAACTTGTATCAATGAGTCTATTCTTTCTGGTATATTTTTTAGTTTGAGAAGCCAATAAAAAAACATACAGTAATTATCCAAATTTTTTTCATTTTTTGGGCGAAAACCATTTCTATAAGCCTTTAGTCTTTTTAGCCTGCTCCAAATGTTTCCAATACGATTAGTTGTTTGCCTTCCAATTCCAAAGTCTTGATTATGAAAAACAATTGAATGGTGATATTCTAATGTTGGAAGCTGTCTGTAAGCTGCTCAGCCATCTATAAATACTTCTGTAGCATTCATTTGATCGTTTGATACTGCATTTAGAATATATCCTGATAAATTTTCCCAAAGTTCTATCGTTGCCTACATAGTAAATCTATAGTCTTCTGTTCCTCTGTCAAAAATTCCGAATAGCCATTTGGGATTATGATCCATAGTCATAATATGAGTTTCATCAAGTTCTACAGTTGGATGATCTTGCCCATCTTCATCTTCTATTCCAAGCTGATTATCAGTAAAATAATTTTCAATCTCATGTTCACTTATTAAAGCTCTCAGCTTTTTAAACAGCTTTATAACAGCATCTTTTGATATTTCGCTGTCTTCAACAATAGTTATCATGGACTGTTCTCGGACGAAACAATAGAAAATTAACCTAACCATCTTGCTTATTGAGAGTCTTGATTGGGAAAATATGGATCTTCTTCGAATTGAAAAAACTTAAATTGCATAAAGTACAACGTAGAAACATAGATCCTCCATTTCAATAAGAGAGGCATGGATTATGGCATATATCACAAATGTTTGGCTGCATTATTTTCACTTCTTGGCACCAATTTATTGCGTTATCTTCAGTTCTGAGTATCTCTGCGAAATCGCCGTAAAGAGGGTGAGTAAATCCTGGATTCATATTTAATTTTATATGCCTTATTTTAAGACCCCCAATCAAAGATTTTAATTTAATTTTGTTTTTAATCGACTATACTTATTTTATTGGATACTAAAACTCGCAACGACTTCCTAATATTTCTCATAGCCTACCTGCTACAGTTTTAATTTCTCTACTATAAATGGTTTCATAATCACGACACTGAAATTTATATATATTTTACATTATCGAAAAAATATAAGAAAATGGTGCTTTTTTTAAATTTAAGATTAATTGATCTGATCATATTTTAATTACTCGACTTGTATTGGTTTTATATTGAAGACTTGGTAGGGTTCATCAAAATTTCCGTTAATTTTAGCACCAACTTGCCGATAACCTAAGATCGCGACTTATGTAGATTTCTTATCTCCAACTCTGCTATTTTTCATTTCTCAGTCACGCTAGTATTTTGCTTCTCCGACTTCATACCATTTATCCATGTCTATTAAATGAAACCATTGCAAGTCGGTTAAAATTTTCTATTAAAAGTTTATTTTATTCGACTTAACTATTTTTTTCCAAAAACAGATTTCATGGTTTTCTTGCTAAAACGACTTTCAGAAATTTCTCAAAGCCTCCTGATGTTTTGTATAAATTTGCTGAACCCTACTTTTACATCAAAAGACCCAGTCTCAGTCTCTGTAAATAAAAATATCGTGTTTTTCATAACAGCAGGTGGGACATTCATATTAATTAAAATTTTTTTCTTCTTCAAATAGTCAATATTAAACCTTCCTTGTGCTCTTTTATTAGTATTGCATATACATAAAATGGCGTATGGCGACCGACCCACCCCTCTCAGTGGTGGTTACCCATGTATATCCGGGCATGGTTTTTGGAGCCAGGAATTAGCCCAACAACATCTGGGACCTCGAAGCGAGAGGCCTAAGCGCGAGAGCCGCTGTTTTTGCGACCAGATCCATGGGCAGTTATTCGTGACCTCTTTTTGCCAGCAGCGCTCAGCCCAGTGAGTGCCCAAAATGAGGCAGGGTGAATTACCTGCCTAAGCTGCTTTAGTGGCTCGCCCCGAATGGCGAAAGCTGTTGAGTTCTTTCTCGGGATGACCGGAAAAGAGGGGAGGCGAGTTAGACACCAAAACGGGGGTCTCTCCAGTTGAAAAGGTGCCCTTCAATGGGCAGATCTGGCGGACGACGAAGCGGAGTTGGCGTAAACTTAGGCGACGATCCAAGTTGGAAATGGAGGTGGTCAGCAGAGCCGGTATGAGACGGCCCTTGACAATGCTCTCTACGAGAAACCGGGGTTTCGGCCCGGGCTTGGTGAACGCTCTGCCACCACACGGGAAACCGTGGCATGCGACCTCGGACGTAGTAGGGACCTTAAATACCCAGCGTAATCTTAATCTTAATCTTATTAGTACTTGCGTCATTAAATTTTACCTCAGATGTATTTTTCCCAGTTTTAATTGCAAGAGAGGCTTGCTTTAAAATTGTTCTTGTGTTCTGCTGAAATTGGTTACATCCTAGCCTTATTTCTTCTTCTACTTCAAGCAGCATTTGATTTATAGAGTCTAGATAAGCTCTATGCCCAGTTCTCAAGTCGTATTCGTGCTTCGCTTGAATTTCAAAGTCTTTTATAGCGTCTTCAATAGCTTCATCCTCTGTCTTTTCAATTGGCTTATTATCTAAAATGGACCTGAAAAAACCATTTATTTTGTGAGCCATTGAAAAATCACTTTTATCTTTTTCCACAATATTTTTCATAAATTTATGGGGAGTGATTTTTGGAGGAATTCTTGGGATGTCATGTAAAATATTTACGAAGGCAAGAAGTTCTTTACTATTGTAAAACGGCCTGAAACAGTTAATTAAAGCTTCAATTGGGAATTCACGCCTGACAGCTTCACACTCTATTTCCCCCCTCCCCGCAAGCGAAAAAAAAATTTTTTTTGCTCATTAATTTTATAGTAATTTTTTTACCAAATTTGAGAAAATTGCAAAGCTAAAATTAATTTAATTTACAAAATTTATGTTGTAAGTGTTTAAAATTCAATAGTTAGCTAGATGTTTTATTATAATAATTATCATTTATATATCAAAATATTTTTTTATAAAAACATTTTTTGTTCGCTCACGGAGGGGGAGTAAGCATTTCATGTGTCACCCATCTTGAGTGTTCCCACAGCTCCAGCAGTTCCACAATTTTGTAACAGTAGTAGGCTCATCTACGCGGTCTTCTGGAGGCTTATTTTTCAATAAAGAATAAGTTAAAGGACTTTTGCACTTTGGGCATGTTTGGATTCCTCTTTCTCTTAGCAGTCATCTTATTGGCAGATTTAAGTTCATTTTTATATCCTTTGTATCACTTTTTAGGATTTTCTTATATAGCTCAGTGATATCTCCGAAGCTTTCAATAATCAAGACAACAGGATCATCCTCAGAAAACGATTCTTTTAGTATATCTAAGTGTTGTAGTAATAGCAAATGAATACTGGCAATATCGCAGACCTTTATTGTAAGATTTGGGTCTTCTGCTGCCAAACATTGAGTGAAAAGGTCAGCTAACGACAAATCCTGCAAATTTAAATCAGGGACATTAATTAATTCATCAACCAAAGATTTCCTATATTCATCAAAATCTACCACATATCCTTGTGCTCTTTCAGCAACTTTCTCTAAATCTTCAGCAATGAGTTTCACGTTATTTCCATATAGTGTTATAAATTCATTGAAACTTATTTTAAGCCCGGCTTCATCTTTTGGCCCTGCTCCTTTTTTACGAAAAGAGTTATTAAATTCTTCAATCCCCATTCTTTTCAATTGATAAGGCTCTTTCAGCAGCTCCACTAATGGTAAAAAGAACAGCGAAACTATTTTTGAATCCAAAATGGCTTTGCCTTCAATGGTATTACATTGTGAAGGAAAATGCTCTAAAAAGACAGACGGAATATCCTTATACATGAACTTTACTTCATTTGACAGTTTTTGTGTAGCTGAAAACCGTTTCCTCACCTTTGGACTATGACTTAATACTTGATAAATAAGCTTTCTTGCTTTTCCAGCAGTTTTCTTAAACAGGCTTATTCTTTCTTTTAGTACTATTTGCAGTTCATATGGAAGCTCTCCTAGTTCTTCTAATTGTTTATAATTCAGAGCGTCCTTGATTTTCATTCTTTCTACTTCAGGAATTGATTCATCAATAACTCTATTTTCATCCATGTGTTTTTCATGGTCAACAGCTTCATTAGTCGCCATACGGATATTCTGAGGATCTTCCTCTGATTGGCTTTTAATTTCTTCAGGCTGACTTCTGATTTCGTCTTGAGGTGGAGCTTCAGGCGCGCTGCCATGATCTTCATCTGTCTTGTTTTCTTCATTGCTTCCTTTATTTGAAGAAGCTTGGGATGGTTTTCGTACAAAAACTTCTTTTACAACTTTGGGCTTGTCTTTTTTTACACTATTTTTGCTGGCTTTGTAGACGAGCTTCATTATTTCTGCAGCGAGGCCTGAAATGAATTGGATGTTTGTAGGCTGACTTCTGAGGAGCTTAAAGTAAATTTCTGATGCAATGTCGCTGGCTTTGACTTTTAGTGATCTTTTGAAATCTGATTTTCCGACTGAGATTGTGAGAGCGATTTTATAAAGAAGCATAAGTCTTCGCATTTTTATAGGGTCGTTTTTCATGTTACCGTATATGCCATTGATGATGTCTGCAAGCTGAGTGCTTGGCAAGTTTGGATTTTTTTCAATGATACTGCCTAGGTAGCAAGGGTGGCTTTGGAGACAGCCTAATAAATATTCGTAAAGCTGGATATTTTTGGAGATGATAGGAGGTAAGGTAAGTTTAAAGAGCGGAGTTCCGACTTGAGGCATTTTTTCAATTTTAGCAACGATTAAGCTTTCTAAGTAGCTCAGAGAATTTGTCCTTTCAAGCTCTACTTCTCTTACCTTGTCAAACATCATCAATAAATTGTCAAGTTTTGATATGATTTTTTGGTCATTCAGTAATAAAGTTTCTTCAGAGTTTTCCGCGGGCTCATTTTTTATTAAAGTCTGCAAAAAATATTCATTGTCTCCTTCTTCAACATCATCAACTTGTGTTTCGGCAATTTCTTTATTTTCTGATAGCCATTTATTAACACCATATAGCTTTTGAGGCACTTTTATTTCAGGGTCATCAATATAAGCCAGTCCAAGTCTCCCAGACCCAGTGCTACCCCATACAAACACATCGCCATCTACTGTTAAAGCGCATGAATGATTACTTCCACAGACTGCCCTTTCAAACACCGTATCATGTGACATAATCAGCTGTCCTGGCAAGGCTACAGTTGGGTCATCTGCAACATATACAAATGGTCCTGGGCCGAGTTTTCCTGAAGTTACTTTTCCCCATCCATAAATTTGTCCTCTTTTAGTAACAGCTAATGAATGGTCTCTTCCAGCTGATATGGCTTTTACAGCACTCGCAATTTTGACCACTCTTTGGAAAGAAATAGCTTCATTTGAGCCAACCATTTGCAGCCCTGCAAATTTAGCAAGTCCAGCTCCATATACATAGCCATCAAGGGACAAAACTAAAGTATAATGCTCTCCACATGCAACTTCTTTTAAACCAGTCTGAGATGGGGGCTGAAAGGTCTTAAAATCTACAAGGGTAGGGACAACACGGTCTATTGCGTCAGAAAGTCCGAGTTTTCCAAACCAGCCACTTCCCCATACCCAGAGATGGTGAGAATAATCAAGAGCTGCTGTATGTGTGACGCCACATGAGATGTTTTTTACATTAGGTAAGCCAAGCACCATTCTTGGTATATATTGAATTGAGCTTTTTCCTGTCAAGACGCCATCACCAAGGCCAAGTTTTCCATATTCTGCACTTCCAGTCATATATACTTCTCCATTATCAGCTAAAAAAGCTGAATGATAAGGGCCTGCTGCAATTAATTTTATATCAATTCTTTTGAATGCAGCCACCATCACAGGTCTTCTAATAACTCTTGTGCTTTCACTATATCCAATACCCAGCTGTCCTTGCTCATTCGTTCCCCATGCCCAAACTTTTCCATTTACTCCTAATGCAAGGACATATTCTCCAGACGATGCAAGAAGCCTGAACTTTTCTTTTCTAAATACATCCATTAGCAGCGGTGTATAACTATTACGGCCTTTAAATTGTGAAGCAGGCCTCGGCATTGTTCTTTCTATATCATTTGTATATTCAGGCTCATCTTCTTCTATTTCATCTCCACTTTGGTCAGGCTCATTTGAAGGCTTATTTCCAAGCTGTCCTTTTGCATTGGATCCCCAGGCAAGCACTTCTCCTGCATTTGTTAAACAATACGAATTAAAATCTCCACAGTATACTGAAGAAACTGCTGTAGACTTTAAAGGCATAAAGTCTAATTTCCCTTCCTTTTTTTTGCTGTGGACTTTGGGGAGTTTTACTTCTTTAGGGATCGGCTCTTCTAAAGCTTTGGAGTTTATACCAAGTTTGCCATCTAAACCATCCCCCCAGGCAAAAAGTTGACCTCTTTTGGATAGAGCTAAACCATGCTTATAGCCTAGAGCAACGTCGACAATTTTGACTGCCCCCATCATAGTGCCCATGCCAACCCTTACAGGGATCAGCTGATTTTCTCCACTTGAACTGGGTACACCAAGTCTTCCATTTTTTGAATTTCCTCATGCCCAGACTTCTCCGTTCATAGCTAGCACAGCTGAATGGAAAAAGGACAAGCAGAGCTTCCACATGTAGCGGCCTTTGAAAAAGTCTAAAGCTCTTGGACTGAATTCGTTGTTTAAAGTTCCATGGCCTAATCGGGCATAAGTCCCAACTCCTCAGGTATAGATTTCTCCTTTTCTAATGCATCCAGAATGCGAATGTCCAGCTGCGATTGATTCAACGTCATCAAGGGTTCTAATTTTTCTTGGGAAGAGCTCAAGATTGCTTTCTCCATGGCCTAAGCGTCCACCTTCTCCTAAACCCCATGAATACACATTTCCTTCGTTATCTAGTGCAAGTGAATGAGAACCTCCTCCAGCTATGTCAACTAGATATTCAGCTTCTATTGTAACTTGCACTGGGATAAATTGGTCTTTAGTATTGCCAGTGCCAAGCTGTCCATATGCATTCGCACCCCATGAAAATAATTTTCTCCCCATTGATATAGCTAACGTATGCTGTCCTCCACAACTGATTTTAGTAATCGAAATCTCTTCAGGGAGATGTGCGAGCCTTTCTTTTGAATTTTCCATTTCTCTAGGGTCGCCTCTCCCCAGTCTCCCGTTATCTTTGCAGCCCCAAGTCATCACTCTTCCATCGTCAACTCTGAACCCATATAATTGGTCTCTGAGTTCTTTATATAAGATTTTTCCGTTTTGGTCAGCCTTTGTCATCAATAAATCAGTTATTTCCTGGATTATTTCTTCATTTTCGTTCGTTAAAAATTCATTGAAAAAGGCTGCAACTTTTTCCCTGCTGATGGCTTTAGCTCCTTTTCACTTCTGTGTGTGATAATTAGACATAGTGACACATTTCGTTTTTACGGATTCTAAAACTTGATTAAAGATCTTGGATATAGGTATTTCAGCTGAATAAATAAGTTTTAAGGGAGGTAATGATACATCTCTAATCAATAAAGCAGTGTGGGTATCTCCTACTGCCACTTCAATTGCGGAATAATGGGATTCGTCTGATGAGGTGTCAAAAGAGTAAGGGGTGTATTGAGCAAAACCTTTTAGTTCAGGGACTCCGAGCTCGTCATTTTTAGATAAGCCTCATACGTAGACGCTGCCATCTTCGAGAACGCAGACACTGTGATTGAGCCCGCATCCGATTCGTTTGAGCATTTTTACAAATAATAGAGGATTAACCGTTTTTATGGACTATTTGAATCAGAAAAGTCGTTTAGCTTATGAGAATACCTAGCTTATGCATCTATTGTATATATTTGGGCTGATTATATAAATTTAATCTGACAAGATTTCTATTTAACTACTATTAATCTGTTTAATTCTCTGTCTTAAATTTTTCAAAAATTCCATAACTTCGCTTCCTGGAAACCTCCCAAGTACTCCTTTCGCACAATCAATTTCATTAAAAGCCTGGACATTGTCTCTTAATGCTTCTCTGCTGATATCTTCTCCATTTGTTAGAGCTTTATAAATCTCCAGCCTTGTTACTATAAAAGGAACTGGCTCAAAGCTATGATCTCCAATATGTATATTTGTGGTGTGGTCTCCGCCAACTACAACTATCATATCACTATAAGTTTCTCCAACTCCCCCCCCATCCTTGATCGAACGACTCGCCGTCGTTCGATCAAGGATGGGGGTTAAAAAAAATTTTTTTGGAAAAAAATTTTATATATAAAAAAAAAAAATATATATATTTTTTTATTTACTTTTAAATAAGAGTGTTAAAAGTATTTAATAATTATTTTTACAGCAAAAAATTGAATTAATTTCATAAAAATACCAATTTTTAATATTTTGATTTATTAGTTACCCCTTTAAACTTTATAAATTTTAATTTGCTCCTTATTAAATTAAATTTATTTTTTTTAAAATTTTAAAGAATCTCTATTTTATTAGATTATCGAGTTTTTAAGCCTAGGTTGATGACTGAATCACTTCGGATTGTTAATTCCGAAGCTTTCTGCCGTCTCAAAGTATCTGAAAACAACTTCATTAGGCACATCTTCCCAAGCTTTTGATAACTAATATATTTTTATATATAAAAATTTGCATGATATGAAAATCGTTCGATCAAGGATGGGGTTAATTTTCCCCAATTTTTAAGAATTTTTACAGTCAATCGTTCGATCAAGGATGGGGGGGAGTAAGGTTTTTAAGGTGCCACCAATGATTTTGTCAATGTTTTCTATCATAGTGATCCTATCATCAAGATTTTTATCATGTCCTAAATCATCAATTGCTTTTATGTGGACAAAGCCAAACTCGTAATCTTCTCTAAATAGCTCAATAGCTCTGTCGAATTTCGCTTGAAAATTGCTATGTATATCCCCAGTTGTTCCTGGTACATTAATTACGTCAGCTCCGAGAGTCATAGCTAGGCCTTTAATAATAGCTGTTGGTGCGATAAAAAATGATTTTAGGTTATGCTTATTTCTGAATGTAGGGACTCTTAATTTGACTCCGCATCCTCTTAGAAGCAGGATATTTGCTGGAGGCTTGTGTTCTCTTACTCTTTCTTGGTTAATTGGGTGCTTTGATAGTTCTTCATAGATCCAATGACTTAAAGCATTTACAATATTTGCGGAATTCACTGCGTTTCTGTCATTGGGATCTAACTCTATCCCCATTTAATAGCAAAAATTTTTTTGTTGTTATTAATCGGGAATAGCTTCCCCACTTGGATGGTAAGTTGAAGGCTTAAGCAATCCATAAGGTTGCTCAATCTATTTAGCTTTTAATAAAATAATATTAAATTTTTTCAATGCCCCCCCATTTAAATTGGAACAAAAATCCCTGCTCAAATTAAAGGGGGCTTAATTTTTTTTTAAAAAAAATTATATTAATAAAAATTAAAAAAAATATAAATTGAACACAATCTTTTTGAATTTTAATTTATTGCTAAAAATTTGATAAATAAACTGTGTGAGAGTAATGCTTTTGCTTCTCTTAAGGGTAAATTGTCCTTTAATGGGTCAGTTCCTTCGATTTGGTGAGATAGATTTTGACCTACGATTTTCAGGCCACATCTATGCTCAGTAGCATGCAAGACATTAATTTTGTATCCGGGATAACCAGGAATTTCTCGATCGTCTAAGTATCGGCATAAATCCAAACCCCATTTATAAAATTGTCTTGATATACCATACAGTATTAATAAGGAAGCTTATATAAATTATTACAGTTTACCATAATTCTAATAAATTTTTTACTTAATTAGCCTATCCATTTATACTCTTCTTCTTGTAACTAATCCACTTTCAGGATCCAAAGTAGCAAAGTTGCATTTGAAAGCAATATCGTCATACCCAAGATCTAGCCCAGCTCCTAATGTTTCAAATGACCCTCTTCCTTGATAATTTTTAAAAGGCTCATAGCCAAAAATAGACATGTGAGCAACATCGCTACCACAAGCTAAGCCAGTCTCCACAGGATCTATAAGTCCAGTTAAACCAGCATTTGCCAAATTGTCTAAAGTAGGCTTTTTTGAGTATTGAAGATAGGTTTTGTTGTTAATTGACGCATTTGAAACATCGGCGAGTCCATCGATCATAATGTATAGGATCTTAGGCTCCATTTAAATTGTGATAAAATAATTCTTGTCAGGAATAGCATAAAATTTCAATTTTATTAAAAAAAGTAATAGGAAAATATTCAAAAGAAAATTATTATGGGAAATAATTATTTTAGCTTAAAGTATATAAATAGAAAATATTTTCTTATCAAGAGAAGAAAAGGCTAAGTTGAAAAAAAGCTTAGAAGCTAAGGAAGAAGTAAAAATGGTAATAATTTAATAGAATTCTCATGAGAGAATTAGTTTACAGTTATTTATTCTATTTATTTGTGAAAATATTAATTTCTATTAATTTTCATATTATGGATCAAGATTTTCAACCAATCTGGCACTATGTTAATGATGAAGGGCAAAGTGAAGGGCCAGTTGCTTTTCGAGATATTGATGCACTTCTGAGAACTGAAGAGCTTGGACTTTCTTCACTTGTATGAAAAGATGGAATGACAGATTGAACACCAATTGGAAAAATCCAAGAATTCATCCAAAGTTTGGCAGAAGAAGACACTGAGCTCGCTCTTCATATGAAACCAGATGAGCCAATCAAGGAAAAACCAAAAATTTTTATACTTTATTATTCTAATGATACCTTATAAATAGCTTATCCTAACTGAAATAATAAATTAACGCCCTTTCCCTTATTTATTCTCAAAGCAATATCTGAAGAAGAAAAAGTAATCCCAATTTAGAAAATCCTTGGACAAAAAAAAGCAAAACGCAAGCGCCAGCAACAAAAAAAGAAAAGTAAATGATATGAGCCTAAAGTGAACACTAACCTTTACGTTTCAGGTCTTCCCACCGACATTACAGTCGAAAAAATAATCGAGCTTTTCTCTAAAGCAGGCGCAATCCGTCTTGATAAATTCACTGGGCAGCCTAAAGTGAAAATATATAAAGACAGTCAAGGAAAGCCTAAAGGTGATGGGCTAGTATCCTATGCCCATGACGAAAGTGTCGCTATGGCCATATCAATTTTACAGAGCAAAGAAATTGAGCCAGGATTCCGTCTACAGCTTGAACCCGTAAATTAAACTTCTAGGCCGAATTTAAACAAAAAGGAGACTATATTCCAAGAAATAAAGTCAACGTCGACAAGTTACAGTTAATCAAAGCGAAGACATTAAAGGAAAGACAATCAGGGTGAAATGAAGACGAGACTGAAGCTAAAGGATTGAGGATTGTTATAATCAAAAATGTATTTGAGATTGAAGAAGCAAAAAAATCAGCGACATTTTTTGAGGACTTAAGAATAGATTTGTTGAGGGAAATTGAAGACAATATTGGAAAAGTACAAAGAATGAGGATTTTTGAGCATAATCCTGAAGGAGTGGTAGAGATAAAATTTGAAAAAGCTATTGAAGCTGAACTGTGCATTCAAACACTAAATGGGAGAATGTATGCTAAAAGGGTGCTACAATGTGAGTTTTGGGATGGAAAAAGCGACTATAGAAGAGTATGAGATATTTAGTCTTAACTTATATGCCTATAACATTTAATGCTGATTATAGAGTTGCTTTTTCTGGAGCTTCACCATCTTGATACAGGTTGTCAGACCAGCCTGTCTTGGTTACCAGGGCACGCTTGGAGACGATTTTTCCGACTTTGATGGCTCATGATTAAGTGATTTCTGTCTTCCTTGACACCGTGTGATGACTAAAGACTTCTTTGCTACTGCAGAATTGAAGTGGAGAAAACCAAAAGCCTTTCAGATTCCCTCAGGACTGACCAGAGAGAATGCATCTCCTGTCCAAGTTGCTTACCAGTAATAGCCTGTATCAAATTCGCATTACAAAAAAAACAAGTTTCATAATCATAAATGCAAAGTGTGTGGTACCCATCGATACCTTGCGAATGCCATCATTTTATCATTATAACAGATATTTAGTCAAAAGAAGATGAAGCTGAAGAAAAGAAAAGAATTGAGGAGTTCGGAAACTGGCTTGAAGAAAGCGATAGTGAGGATGAAAATCAGGATAACGAATAAAGTTTTAATTAGGTTATAGAATTATATGATAGATATAGAACTACAAAAACCTGTATCATTTTCTACAGGAAAAACAGAGCTTGGCATGCTTTTTTTATCGTCATCATTATCTAAGCATTTTTTCAAGTCTAAATAAATACTATCATTTGAAAAATTTGCTTGCGAAGCATTTTCTCCCATTATTTTTGCTTCAATTTCTACCTTTTTTACTCTGACTCCTTTAGAAAGCAATTTATTTTCTATATATCCTATAATAGCTTTATTATCAGTCAATAAAAGTGTTTCCTCATACATATACATAACATCAACCTTGACAGTTTCAACTAAGTATTCAAAGCACGTATACAGTCCTTGTGCAGGTTTTTTCTTGCTTGCTGCTGCAAGGATTTGTAAAGCGCCTTCATTTTTTCTGTTAATGGCTTTGAAATTTGCCGAACAAACTTCATGCAAAAATTTTATCATAGAAAAATTTCCTTGTTTACAAGCTATCAAAGCACAATTTTCGCCAGTTTTTTCATCTTGATAGTCAATATCAAGCTGGCTTGGACAATAATGATATTCTTTAAAGAAAGTATGCACAGAGCTCAATATATTAATATAGCCTTTTTCACAAGCTATTTGGATAGGTGTATAAGTTCCTTTAGGCTTGTAATCATATAGCTTAGACTTTTCTAAATCAATAGTCAAGCTCTCAACGGCCTTTGAGTGAGCATTATCATGAAAATTTTCTAAATAAATCGGTAGATAATAATCCATCAATTCTCCATAGCCCTGTTTACAAATAATTTCGAGTATGCTTGTAGACTGTTTTTCTAAAATTAATTCACACTGTAATAAATCAGCTTTAAAAGTTGTATGTAAAAATACAAAAATATCTATTTTCCCCAGCCAGAGCGCGAACCCTAAAGCATTAAGAGAAAGCCCTTTAGCAATTGTAATTTTTTCATCAAGCCATGTCTCTCCCCTACTTGATCTTACTAGAGATTCAATACCTTTGAAGTCGCTTCTTGTTATGCATTCTTTCATAAATATACAAAACTTTTGGTGCTGGCTTTCTTTTAAATTGGAACTGCAACAACCCATAAGCAAATTTTAATTAAAAGGACTATAGCGTGAGCAAGGTTATAGATCGGCCTTGACTCCCCCTGCCCAAACCCCCTGGCGATTTCAGCTTAGATGAAATAGGAATAATTCGTCAAACTCATTATGATTAACTTCTATGTACTTTTTCCTGTTTCACTTAAAATGAAACCATCAACTGGGCGTGTAAGGTGAGTGAGGAGTTAAAACCGAGCCATAAATGTTCATGGAGTATATATAGATAAAATTTCATTATAATATGAAGCTTCTATTCAATTTATTTGTTCTTCTGTGCCTAGATGATGACAACTTAGTGGGGCTGAAACTCATATTAAGGTTTTTTTCTGTTCTGCTAGTCATGGACACCTCATTAAATCTTTTGGTGTTTCCATTATGCTTGTAAGGACTTACTGAACTATCTTCAGTAAGTTCAGTGTTAAACATAGAAAAGTATGAAAACTCAGGCTTATCTTCTAAATCTCGAATCCGTGGTCTTGAGAGGCTTGAAGACTTAGGACTTTTTGTTGAGGTTGAAGTAGATTGTGACATCAAAATTTTTGGTAGATTTTTAGCTTGTTTTGGTGTAGATTCTACTGAGTAGTAATTGGGTTTTGATTGTCTTTGAGTCATCATATCAACAGTATTAGAAGGCTGCTTTAACTTATGTGCAGGTGTAAAAGCTATATTATCTTTATAATTTTCCATATCTTGGAGATTTTCTGTCCTTTTCTCAATCCAATTATTCAAAATTTTATTATGTTCATCTAACACTTTTATTGATTCAGGATGCATTATTCTCTTCAAAAATTCTTTCTCGCTTATCGCAAAAATCTCAGCCGAATTAGAAACGCATGCACAGGTAAACTGCCTGCTATTTTTTTTATTTCATATTTCTTCATATCCAAACATATCCCCTTTTTGCTTTATTACAATTTGTAATGTTTTCATTCTACGGGTTTGTGGAGATCTCATTTTTTTAATTTTATTATAAGGCTGGCCTAAGGTATCTATATAAGATGAGTTTGGGACTTCTACACAAAATTTTTTGGTGTATTTTAACTCTCCTTCTTTAATGATATAAATTTGATCAATAGGATCACCTTCGTTAAAAATAAAACGTTTACAATATTAAAAATGTCAGTTAGGGATAGGTCCTAGCTTATGCACAAACAGGATGGACCTATAAACAGAGCTTAGTGAGAGAATTCAAGCTTCTTGAGAGTCTCGGCTTGAAGAGAAGGGTCGGTGCTGAGATTGGCACTGACTAGAGAAGTCTTAACGAGCTTATTAACTTTAACGGTTCGACGGTTAGGCCGGTTCACCTACCTTGTTCAGATCTGTTAATTTAGCTGAACCTCAAGTGAAGGGGACTTTCATGCATTTAAAAATGCTAGAGTAATTCAATAAACTTAAAACGTTGCCACGCTTTAAAGTAAGTGTACTAAAACAGTAGCAAAGCTTGAATAAAGCTAGTCTTGTCCAGGCTGAAAATTCTGGAAGTGACTGCAAAAATTCAATTTTCTCACTTGTTGCTTTTTCATGCAAGGATGCTGCTGATTGATAATCTTCTTTACTTAAAACGGCTAAAACTGTCGGTCTTAAACATTCAAAAGTTGCGTTGCGTGGCTTTTCGCTGTGTAGAGCTAATTCTCCAAAAGAGGCTCCTGGGCCAATAGTGGCTATTTCTTTATATCCTGGCTGTTTTATTGGGAAAATAAAGGTGGGTTTTTTATTTTCAGCAACAATATCTTTATTGAAAATTTTCATTTGGACATAATTACGTAACAGCTGACTTGGTGGCAAACAAATTGTTTTAGCACGAGTTCTTGTTGAATGAAACTCCACTGGAGATTGTTCATCTAAATTTGGCCCTTCTTTTAAGTCTGTTTTAATATCATATTGATACTCTGCATCTCCTGGAACAAGAACTCTTACTTGGCCTTTCAATATAAAAAATACAGCATTTGCTACATCTCCCACTTTAAAAACATTTTTCCCTGATTTATATTCATTAATGCTTAAAACTTTGCATAGAGATTGGTGAATTTTGCTGCTTTTTTCTCTTTCAATGAGATCTTGAAAAAATTTAATATGTGAGGTAGCTTTCATTAATGAGCCAATATCACTTAAAGATCTTTTATTTGGAGGGATACTTAAGATTGCTTGGATAGAGTCTGGAATTTCACTATAAGAATGTGGGATCATAAATGGCTTTTATTAAAACAAATAAAATATTTAATGATTTAGTAATGACAGTTGAGGAGGAGATATTAGTGCTGATATCGCTTTATTGCTTGATTTATCTTTACAAAGGATAATGAACTTCATTTAAAATATTTTTAGCTTCTAACAATAAATTAGCTATTACACTTATTTGTTAAGCTATTACGTCACAATTTTCCTTTTTCTTATAACTTAATTTGTCTTTTAGCTATTTGCTGTTAGAGAGATTATTTATTCAGTTTATTTAGCGACCTAACGCTTACTAATTGAGTGTTAAAATCTATTTAACCTTACTTTTGATGTAAAATTTAGTAAAATTTCACGTATAATTAAAAGCTATTTTTCGTATTTGATTTGATCAAAGTTAATTTTTAGTATATTTAAATAATAAAAATGATAAATTAGGATGAATTGGAGCTTGCATCTTTAAATTTACATTAAAATATTATTCCCAATCAATAATATAATTCGTATAGAAAAGAAATGGATCCAAGGACTACGAAGCCAGATTTCGATATTCTCAAAGTGGATTTTGAATGGGTAGAAAAAACAGACAAACCAAAAGAGCTTCAAAAAGCTCTTAAAGCTTTAAAGCAAGAAGGCGGGTTTGAAGCCCTGGAAAATGCTATCCAGGCAAAACTTGAATCTTTAGATCCAAAATTGTAACTTTTACATAGCAAAAAGCCAACTAATGAAGCCTCATCAGAAGAGATGAAGAAGCTCTCAGAAGATCTTGAAGAGTGAATGGAAGAATTAAAGAAAAAAGAAGAAGAGCTCTCCAAGGCTGAAACTCAAACAAAACAGATTAATATGCAAAAAGCCGAAGAAGAAAAAAGCAAAGGAAATGATTATACCCGCTCAAAAGAATTTGAATTAGCTATAGAGTGCTACAATCGTGCAGAAGCTTTAGACCCCAGCAATGCCGCAATCTATTGCAACCGAGCTTTAGCAGGCTTAAAGCTAAAAAGATATCAAAAAGTAGTGGATGACTGCAACAAAGCTATTAAGCTGGATCCTAATTATGTTAAAGCTTATAACAGAAGAGGAAAAGCATATATTGAATTAAAAGAATACATTACATTAAATTTATATTGTTTAACGTCCACTACGGGGTAGCATGGACCTCTGGATCGATCCACTTCGTTGCACCAGGATATGGGCAGATACAGCGTTCTGGCTTCGACGGACTGCGTTGCCTCGCTCCTTTGACTCAGCTCCTGCGCGTGTTCATCCTAAGGGTCACCCTCCTCGGCTGTGCTGAGAGGTAAAACTTTGAGCCTCTTGAAGTACTTGGAGCAGTGCTTCAGACTTATCCGCCAGAGTTAAACTGCTGTTGCTGTACAGAAGTTCTCAGAAGAAAACCCAACCTCATAAATAAAAATTCCATGAGGGAGAGAAAATTAGCGGAGCTAATTTCGCTCGAACCGATTGCCATTTTATTTATGAAATAAAAGAATATAGAGAAGCTTTAAAAGATTTCGAATTTATAGTTGAAAAAGAACCAGAAAATGCTGAAGCCAATGCTGATTTAAAAAAATGCAGAGATGAAGTTAATAAAACAGGAGGGTTTAAAAGAATCCAAATAGTTGAAGAGGAAGAAGAAGAAAATGAGGAGCAAAAAGAAAGTGATCAAAAAAATAATCAGGAAGAAATAAAAGAACAGCCATTAGCTGATAAACTGCTTGATACTGGTAGTGAGTCTTCACAAATACTTTCTAGGACCCAAGAACTGAAACTGCAAGGCAATGAGTACTATACCCAAGGAAAATATGGCAAAGCTATAGACACCTATTTATCAGCCGCAAATGAACTTATAGATTTAACAAAAGAAAACTCCAGCTTGCTAGCTAATGAAAAAGCAGCACTATACAATAATATCGCAGCAAGCTATATGCAGCAAGGCGATGATGATAAAACAATTGAATATTCTTCTTTAGCTTTGGAGCAATCTCCAATTGATAATATTGCGAAATCTAAAGCTTATTTAAGAAGAGGTTTAGCCTATGAGAAAAAAGAACAAATTTTAAAAGCACGCGCAGATATGATCTGTGTTAAAGAGCTTGACCCTAGCAATATTCAAGCAAGCAAAGCACTTCAGCGATATGCAGGTCAAATGGCTAACGATAAAGAAGCAGAAGTCTTGAAAGATTTGCAAACACTTGAAGGGCTTATTCAACAAATAGAAAAGCTTAAAGAGGCTGGAAATTTATATTTCAAACAAGAAAAATTTGATGAAGCAATTCTTGAATTTTCTACTGGAATTGAAAAAATCGAAGTCAATATCAGTAAAGAGGCACAGCTTAAAGATGCTAGAGTAACTTCCTTGATTATTCAGCTGCATAACAACAGGGCTCTTGCTTACCTTAAACTTGACTGCAATAAAGAAGTCATCAAAGACTGTGAAAAAGTGCTTGAAGTTGACCCAGGGAATGTAAAATCTCTTTATAGGCTAGCTAAAGCTGAAGGAAACACAGGACTGTTTAAAAATGCCGCAAAACATATGAAAATGGTCACAGAAATCGAACCATCTAATTTAGTAGCCAAAAAAGAGTTCGATAATTTGATGAAATCTGCTATCGAAGCTGAAAAAATAGCAAAAGAAAATGAAGAAGAAAAAGAGGGAAAAAAGGTTGATGAAAGCCCAAGACATGTCGGGTTTAGTGGAGTCGCAGAAGAAATCAAGACTCCTACAGAGATAAATCCTAGGGAAATAAAAATGCCTCCTGCAGAGAAAAAATTGCCAAAACCAAAAGCGACGACATTTTCAGAAGAAACAATCTCACAAGCAAAGAAGCAAGCTTTTGAGCAGCTAGGATCTTTCGAATCCCCAAAAAACTCGACTTCTTTTGAGGTAACTATAAACTCCTTCAAGAACAACCCTCAGCAACTTTATGAATTTATCCATGTAAGAAATATTTAGAATCTTTCTCCACAAAACATAAGTGACCTTTTCAAAAACAATCAAATGTCCCCAGAAGTCTTTTCAACTATAATCAAATCCATCAATACACTTACTGAGCTCGATTCTGACTGGATTTCTGGATTTTTAATAGAGTTATTGTCAACTAGTCGTATAAACACAACAATTAAATTTTTATCAAAATCAGAAAAAGCTACAATTAGAGAACTTGTTTCAAAAGCAAGTTTAGACGAAGAGAAAACAAAAATTATATTTTCCTCTTATAATCTCTAACTCCCCCCCCCTCCGTGAGCGAACAAAAAAATTTTTGTTCACTCACGGAGGGGGGTTAATTTTTTTTTTTTAAAAAAAATTTATATATAAATTTTTATAAAAAATATTTTTTTTCGAAATTTAAAAAAATCCTAATTTGCAAAAATTGGGAAGCAAATATTAATTTAATTTGCAAAATTTATGTTTTAAAACGCAATTTGTTTAAAATTAAACAGAATTAGCTCTAGATTTCATTATACTAATTATCACTTATATATCAAAATTTTTTTTCATTAAAATTTTTTTCTATTAAAAAAAATTTTTGTTCACTCACGGAGGGTGGGTTTTTTGTCAAAAAAATGGCGATTTTTCTAATGGTTTTGTTCGCTCACGGAGGGGGGGGGGGGAGTAAGCAAATATTTATTTGATTTTTTGGTTTAAAATTGCGATGTTGCTAGAAATTGAGTTTCTGTTGTGTTCAATCCCTTCTGATAAGTCGTCAATAACAGATTTTGATTGATTTATTTCAGAGAGCAAAGAGTCTGCATTTGTTTCTAAGTCTAGCAGCTGTGAATCTAACTCTAAATGTGTTGCGTAAATAGGTGCTGAATATTTTATTTTATCAATCAGCTGAGGGAGATTGTAAATTTCGGTTAAATGGGAAAAAGTGTCTCGATGCAAATTTTTGATGGCTTCGACTGAGTCTGGAGATGCTTGAATTGAGGTTCGTCCTGAAAGCATAATATCAAGGTCAGTTCCTAAATGCCTAGCTTGATCTGTGAGTTTTTCTAGTAAATCGGAGTTTATAAATCTAGTTTTTGCTATAAAATCAGCTAGACTTTCATTAGCTGGCTTAGATTGTTTCCAGTTTCCGATTATAAATTCGAGCTCTCTCACTTTATTATCAAGTCTTGCAATTCGGCTTTTTTCTTCAGAGTCATTTAATTGGATTTCAAATGAAAATCCTCCTGATAAATTTTCATTTCCAGTTGCTTCCAATTGTTCTCTTGCAGAATTAAAATTGATTTTAGAATTTTTAATTTGAATGTGTGAGGCTATTTCTATTTTTCCTTTGACTTCTTCTAGTAAAAGTCCTAGCTCTGATATCTCGCTATAAAGTTCAGAGTTCTCATTTAAATCTGTTCCTTGTCTTCCAAGTTCTTCTTTTATTGATTCTAATTCTTGCTCTAGCATGACTACTTTGTCGGATCTATCAACTATTTCTTTTTGTTCTTTAACATAATTATATTTAGTTTGTTTTCTCACTAACTCCCCCGCTCCGTGAGCGAAAAAAACAATTAGAAAGCCCTATTTTTTGCTCTAAAGCCCACCCTCCGTTAGCGAACAAAAATGTTTTATGAAAAAAAATTGATATATAAGTGATAATTATTATAAGGAAATCTCTAGCTAATTCTGATTAATTTTAAACAGCTTGCATTTTAAAATATAAATTTCGCAAATTAAATTAATTTTTGCTTCTCAATTTTAACAAATTAAATTTTTTTAAAAATAAACCCCCCTCCGTGAGCAAATAAAATTTTTTTGTTATATCTCCGAGGAGGGGAATAAGGAATTAAAATAATCGAAAATTTCTGTCAAAGACTTATCTCGAGTTTTTGATTCAATTCCTAAACTTTGTGAGAAGACTTTTGGCTCTATTTCTTCATTTATTTCTTCAATTGTTTTTTGGTAGTCAGGGGTTTCTAATACTTGAGCTTTCCCTTCCATTTATCAAACTTTATTTCAATATAAAATCTATAGAGACTGCTTATTGCATCTCCTAAAATCGTAAAAATATTAGCTTGTATAACTCAGGAAAGTATAAAATTGCAAGACACAAAAATTGGCTTAATAATATAAGAGATTAAAATTGAAAAAATATGTTGATTTTTAAAACATCAATGTTGAATTATCATTTTTTACATATTTTTAATTGATTTAAGCGAGATATTAATAGAGAATTATTAGTAAATTTTCTTGAGTCCTTAGAAATTCTATAATAAATGCGATTTTTATATGAATGAATATAATTTTTTATCTAAAATCATGATTCATTATTATTATTTATTAATTCTTAAACCTTTCAAATAAAGCCTAAATTGCTTCAATTACTTCTTAAAAATAGATGTTAAAGCTCTATGTTTTTAATTTTTTATTGCATTTTCTAAATCTCAATTATGTAATAAGACTGTGGCTAGAAAATTTCCTATTTACCTATAAAAATGGGCTATTTTTGCTCACCCATGAGAGCTTGATTATATCTCTCTACTATCAAAGAAATAGAAAGATAATTTGAGAATTAATATAAAGCCTATGTGCTTGCCTAAAATCAATTTATTTTTTTTTATAATTTATTTAATACTCATTTATTAAGATAAATCAATTTTAAGCAAAAAAGCGGCTCAATTTTTCTTTCTCCTAGTTTATTTTCACTAAGTTTTGTCTAAAGTTATGACTGGCACTAAAATTTCGCCATATTTTCATCTTTTATGTTCACTTAAGCCCCCAATATTTGAATAGCTTATAATAATATAAATGGTGGAAAAATTGAAACCTGAAGTGTTAATATTCAACGTTATTGATGTTGAGATAAAGAATACTCTTAAGATCAGCTCCAGTCTTGAACTCAAATTTCAACTCTTTAACGAAGTGACAGGAAAATTTGTTCACCAATCAGATAATGAGATTCTAAATAAATCATGGCGAATTTATTCAGAAGTCGAAAAATATGATCAAGACTTCTTAATATTAAAGGCTCTTTCATCAGATTTAATTGAGCTCGGATCCGCCAATATCCGTCTCAATCAAAACTTCCCGGACAGGCAGGTTATCTCAATCAAAGAAAACGGCGAAGAAATTATAGATGTTAGCATTGAGATTATTCTCCAAGAGATAAATGAAGAATCATGGAACATTACAGATAATGAGTTAGAAATGATAGAAGGGTCTAAAACTGACCTGAATTTAGAGATAAAGAAAAATATATACTTTGATGAAAAGCCAATAAATAATGATACAGCTAAGCCTGATGATAATGAATCTCAATTTATTTCTCAAGCTATTGATGAAACCAAAGAGCCCCTTCTTGAAGAAAAGAAAAATGAAGCAATTAGCTCAATGAACTTAGAAGAGCAATCGCAACTAGATCAGCTAACTGAAGGCAAAATTAGCTTTGCTCAAGATCCCAGGGATGAAGATTTACATGATTTACAACAAAAAATACAAGAGGGTTTCGCAAAGCACGAGATTAACGATAAAGAGCAATTATATGCAAAAATCCAAGATTCTGAAGAAAATTTTAATTTTTGGATGGAAAAAGGAAATCATGAAGAAGCAAGAGAGGAAGAAAAAATATTGATAGAGTTGAACAAATTGCTTACTTACTTTGAAAAAGTCTCTATAAATTATGAAACAATTGATAAACCAAAAATTGATTTAGATAGCGCAAACATAGAAATAAATATTGAAGAAGAATTTAAACTTAGGCTTGCAAAATACAATATTAAAAATCATGAAGGTTTGCTTAAAAAGATAAAAGATACAAATAAAGATATTAAAATGTATAAGAAACTAAAAAAGAAAATATTAGTAGATAAAGCAGAAGAGACTTTAGAAGAGCTTGAATATCTTTGCTCACTTCGCGATAGATTAGTGGTTAAGACTCTAAAAGAAAGAGAAATAAATTATATCCAAAGCAAAATAAATTTCCTAGATGATCTTTATGAAGACGCTGCATCAATGGCAGAGAGTCTAGAAAAGCATTTATCAAAAATTTTATGCTATTTTTCCTCAAAGTCTTTTAATTTTGAATTACCACAATTGCTCTTGGAAAAGATAAACCAAATAGATTTAGACCAAGAGTTTGAAATTCTTAATGAATTAGCGAAAAGACCTGATGAAAAAATAGATTGTAAACTTGCTAATACTTTAAAAGAGTACTCAGAAAAACAAACTTGGGAGTCTGCAATCGGAGCCATTAGAAAAAATATTAGAAATGTAAGCCCTATAAATTTTAAAGAGCTATTTAGACTCATAGAAAAATCAAAAATGATGACTGAAAATCTAGAAAATAAGGATATAATTTTATTGATTGGGTCAACAGGATGTGGAAAATCTACCACAGTCCATTTCCTAGCTGGATCCATGCTCACGAAAGTAAAAGAAAATGGTATCGAACATATTATCCCTTTTTTAATAAATGATGAGGCACTCAAGAAGGTTAATGTTTCTAACCTTTATAAATCTGAAACCAAGCACATAACTGCAGTAAAAATCCCAACAGAATCAGAAATTTTTGTTTGCGATACACCAGGACTAATGGACACTGCAGGTGCTGAAGTAGATATAGCAAATACTATAGGAATTGCTAATGCAATACAAAAATGTAAAAGCGTAAGGCCACTAATTTTACTAAGCGGTAAAGCTGATGGTGATAGATTTCAAGGGTTTAAAAAGTTAGCCAATTCTCTTTCTAAATTCTGTCCTGGATTAAAAAAATACTCGCAATCATTTGGCTATGCTTTTACTAAATATGATAAAGATGAAATAGAAAATATCCACGGAAGGATTAATAATTTACTCACTGATGATAGTCATGATTCGCTCTCAAGAGAGTTAATAGAAGATATTGAGGAAAAAACAAGAAAAGAAATTAACGTGATTTACCCATTAACTGATAACCCTGAACATATTCTTCACAAAATACTTGATATAATTCCTATTGATAATCCTGATCATATTTTCAATTGTTTTTTGACATCAGAATCAAGAGAAAAAATACAAAGTCAAATTGATATTCATAAAGGAGAGATTGAAACTGCCCTACGAAAAAGGGACTACTCTATAATAAAAGACAGGCTAGAAGATTTAAAAACATTATCTTTTTTATTTAAAGAATATGAAGAAAAATACAAACAATGCGTCGACTCAGTAATTGAAGGAACCAATGAAATATTTCATTCTGCTACTAAGCTATTCAATAGTTCAGTTCATGAGAAGAATGTTTTACTCAAAGATATAGTAGAAGCATATAAGTGCAGCTTCAATGAAATTAAAGAATCAGAAAAAATTAGAGAAAGCCATCTAAAAGGAGAAACACCTTCTCCGGAAGAATTCTTGAATAATATTGAGCAGCAGCTCAAATGAAATGAAAAAAATAATATTGAAAATTTTGATATTGAAGTTGCTAAAGCTAAACTAAAAAATTTGAGTCTTATTGCTGAATTTTTCGAAGAGTTTAATGGGAAAAATTCTGAATTAAAGCTGATATATGAAAATTTTATTATTAACATGATAAAGGAAGCAGAAAAGAGTTTTGAAATTAAGGATTTTAATTTATGTTCTAGTAACATCAGACAAGTTAAAACATACTTAAAAAATATTGGGGAATACTTGAATTTGAGTGATTTAGACATAAAATATAAAGAACTCTTACCCTCTCCTTAAATTAAATAACTATATTATATTTTTCTATAAATTAAAAAATGTAAATTGAACTCTATATTTTTGAATGCAAATTTATTTTTATATTGAATTAATTCAAAAAAAATTAATGAATTATTCATTTCATTTTTTTTATAAAATTAGCTTTCACCTATAAATTTCCATATTAAAAAAATTGCTTCAACTTAATGTGGATTGATTTTCCAAAAAAAATAAGATTTTTGACTGTAATTTGTTCCAGTTTAAGGGAAGAGCTAGAAATAATAAAATCTTCTATATTGGCTGTAGTTGGGAATTTAGCGCCATTATACGCTAAGGATAAAACTGAAGAAAATGATATTGATACTATAATTAATCATTTCGAAATTTTGAGCAATATTAAAGAAATAGATATGTTCAAAGAGATTATTGACATTGAAAACTTAGAGTCCTCTATCGCAAATGCAGTAGAGCAATATTCTGATCATTATAATAAACTAAGTGCAAAAATATTTGATATCATAAAAGATAATGATACCTGTGGCTTATCAGCTGCTAAAGCAATTTTTGAAGAAATGGAATTACTAACAAAAATTAATGAAATTGAGGTAAAAGTGAGTGCTGCACATAAAGGTCTTAAATTTGAAATAGAACGAAAAATGATGAGGTTTAAGAATAATATTAAAGAGATTCTTAATAGTTTCGCAAACTCTGAAAGAATAGATTTTAAATTACTATCTATCTCTCTAGCAGGATTAAAAGAAGGGGAATGATTTGAAAAATACTGCCCTGGTGTTTTCGAATCAGAATTAGGCAAAATTAACCAAGAAATTATGAATTTCGTGGATGAAATTGATTCGAAATTTAAATATATTGACTTAAGCATCGAACACTCCAGTTCAATTAAAAAAGCCTTTGATTTAGTGAATCAAATGAAATCAATTGAAACTTTAAAAGAGTTCATACCATCATTAGAAAAGATTGGAGAAAGCTACTGTAATAAATTTGAAAGTAGTATTAATCAAGTTTTACATGAAATTACTAGTGAATTTCTTCATGAAAAGGAAGACTCAAAATCATTTAATGAGGATCAAAATAACTTGAAAACTGACTCATTTGAAGAAAATTATCATGAAGATATTGATGAAATTAAAACATCTGCAAACGAAGAAGAAAAACAAATCAAAAGCACTCAGACTAAGGAAAATACACTTAATTGAACGAAGGCAAATCATGCATTTAATTATTTAAAAATCTGCAAAGAAATTTCTTATATAAACTCTGAATGTTTATGAACTGAATTTACTGAGTTTCTTCAGAAGAGCTGACAGCAAATCAATCAAAGCTTTGATAACTCTTTCAATATAATACAGAGGTTCATCAATAAAGAACCGTTGTCAGAAGCCCAATGCAAAGAAGCTTCTCAGGGATTATATTTGGCATATGAAAAAGGAATAGATATAAGAAATAAATCTCAGTCTATTGTAGATTATTTGAAATGTGAAAATACACTTGAAGAATATAATACTAAAATAATTCGTATTGAGCAAGAGCTTTTTAACACGTCTGAACACTATAAGCATGAGAATCAAATAAATCAATACTACTTATCCTTGCTTATATTTGAATCCTTATCTTTATTAGATCAAATCATAGCTAATAAGACCACGTTTTCTAAACGATTTTCAAATATTCAAGATGAATTTTTCAAGCAAATTGGTGAAACTGAAAAAAATATCATTAATTTTATTCATAATTTAGATTTTTCTGAAGCAGAAAGACTAATAAATAGCTTGGATAAACTCAACAAGCGTGGCAATTTCAGAATGATTTCAAATAAAATACAATCGGTTATTTCAAACCTTATGCTAAACAGTCAACATTGCTTGGAAGAGGCTAGCATCAAAACTAATGATGAAAATATTAACAATGTTGTGGAAAATCAAAAAAATATTAAAAATGCCAAAGAAAAAATTTTTAGCTATATTGATGAAGAGACTAAATTAATCCTCTTTGAGTCAATAATAATTTAATATCGTGTTGGTGACGAAATATGTTCTTACGGAGGGGCAGAAATGGTTTTATAGCCTAAATCAAAGTTGGGACGCTTTAATTCTATCCCTTAACATACCTTTGAGCTGCCATATGGGGGCGGATAGCAGCTTGTGACATATTCAAATCCAGATTTTAGTTATCCGATGGTTTTTTGGCAACCGGTTCCAGAGGGTCATGCTTCTTTTTCCTAGATGTCACTCTTATCAAGGTGACCGATAGGAGGCATCGGGCTGACCTTTGCCTCAATAGCACCCACAAGACGTGAAACCAGAGGATTCTTCTAACCTGCCGAGGCCCAGGGATGGTGGTGCAACGCCAGTCTCGGGAGTAGAGTATGGTTTAGGCAACTGAATTCCTCTGGCAAGAAGGTTACGGCGGTCGCAATCAAATCTGGAAGACTTTAAGCCCTTTAACCTTAATCTTTGAGTCAGAAACTCAGTTTTATAGCTTCCTTGCGGATAGAATAAAAAATTGAATTATAAGAATTGAGCAGGCAATTAATAAATATAGCTACTATGATGCAGAAACATTTATTGGAAATCTTGAAAAAATATCCTGCATTTTAAGTTTTTCGGAAATTACTAGCTTATTAGAGTTTGAGATTTCGGATTTAAAAATAAGGATTGAAAATCTTCCACAATCATTTCCAGAAAATTTTGAAAGCATCCCTATAGAATCCTACAAAGATTGTATCAATCCAAAATATATTAACGATGACCCCCCCATCAATCTTCATCAAAAAAAATCTTCATGGTACTGCAACACAACATTTTTTATAAAAAAAATTAATGCATTTTTCTCTAACTCCCCCCCCCCTCCGTGAGCGAACAAAACCCATTAGAAAAATCGCCATTTTTTGACCAAAAACCCACCCTCCGTGAGTGAACAAAAATTTTAATGGAAAAAAATTTTGATATATAAGTGATAATTAGTATAATGAAATCTAGAGCTAATTCTGTTTAATTTTAAACAAATTGCGTTTTAAAAACATAAATTTTGCAAATTAAATTAATATTTGCTTCCCAATTTTTGCAAATTAGGATTTTTTTAAATTTCGAAAAAAATATTTTTTATAAAATTTATATAAAATTTTTTTAAAAAAAAAAAATTAACCCCCCTCCGTGAGCGAACAAAATTTTTTTTGTTCGCTCACGGAGGGGGGGGGGGGGGGGAGTAAGTGAGTTTCTCAAAAACCATTAAATAGCGCTGCTGCAGGCGTGTCAATGACCTTCTCATCGAGATTTAGACGGCTATTGTAATTGCTCGCCATTTTATTAAACTTATCTAGCTAAAAAGTACGGAAAAATTTAATATGCGCATCGAAAATTTGTCGCAAGAGGATTAGGATTATTACAGACAGGTGCTAGCCATATTGGTGATGCAGTCACCAAAGAGCTCCCGTACGGAAGGTTCTGCTGTTTTTCGACTCCAACCCAGAGAGTCTATCCCTCTTACGAGTGCCCTTCCGGCACCTTCTGTCTCCTCCTTGCTTTGCGGCTTCAGTCTTGAGTGGGCGGCTTATGGATTTCTGCGGCCCTGCTACGAGCAATTGGAGTATAGGGCTTTCTCTTGAATAGCCCGATAACGGACTGGCTTCATCCCGTTATCGGGCTATTCAAGGGAAAGCCCTATAGCTTGATTCCAAGGATCCTTAGAGTCTATCAGGTGTCAAAGTGCCTTGCTTCGACAGCTACAGGAAAAGGATTGCTCCCCTGTGGCCTAGGCCGAAAACCCCCAGTTTCTCGGTAGAGGAATGCCCATGGGTCTTCGGATCCAAAGGACGTTGTTGAACATCTCCATTTCCAACCACAGGAAAGCAGCAAAAACCTACCGGATGCACACTTCTTGAGCCTGCGTATGATTCTCAGCTCGAGGTCCGTCCCAATTCTCCGTAGCCATAAGGTCTGGACTGCTGCACCAGAGGGGAGGTTGGCACGTGTCGCCATTTTAATGTATATAATTTGTTGCAAGAGACATGAAAATTATTATTTTTATATAAAAAATTTTATATTAAAAAATTGCATTTTTGTTGCAATAGACATGAAGATTGAGGGGGGGGTCATCGTTATTAAAGAACTTGAAAAAGCAGCTCAAAAAAATCCTCATTTTATCGATTGCATTGAAAAAATCAAACAAATTTTAAATAAAAAAATCGAAATTATTGAAGAAGAAATGAGCAAAAGTAATTATTACGATAAAAAACAAAAAATTAAATCAATTGAACGTATTCATCAAAATTTGCCCGAAGAGATTGAAAAAGATGTAAAGCTGAAAATTAAAGAATGGATAAAAAGCCTAAAGCTAAATAAGGAAGAAAGAGCCATTCTACTAGAAAACGCTACTAGAGATAAGGATTTAGAAAAACTGTGTCAAATAATTATTGATGACGTGCATAATAGAAGGGGTTCAAAATCAATAAATGATTCAAAGAACAGGCTGAAAAGTGTCTTGAGTTCAATAATTGATGAAGCATGCCATGCTTTAAAGCAAAATGATCTAGAATTAGCATTGGAAAAAGCAACTATATATGAGCACTACAAGTCCATACTTAAAGCTTTAGGAAATGATGGGAAAAATCTTATTGATAAAAAGCTAGGAAATGAAATCAATAAAAAATTTGATGCTTTGTGTCGCTGTATATGAAACTTAAAAGATGAGAAAGCAGATGTTATTGTAAACAACTGAAAAGACTTTCAAAGAATAGTAGAATTCAATATTAGACTTACTGACATAGAAAATGGGTACAGATTATCTTCTCTTGACAGGCTCACTCAATATACTTATTCTACTTTGTCAGATTTCTTTATATCTATACATAGAAATTATAGCTTATCAAAACCTCCTAACAATACGCAATTTACTAAATATTATCTTGACAAAATCAGCGAATATGACATATTGCTTAAGGCATTAAAAGAATTTAAATCTTTGCATTGTGGAAATTGTGATAATGAAGAAATTGGAGAAGAATTTTATTATGATAGCAATCCAATAAAACTTTATTTGAATTTGTCGTATTGTCAAAATTACTCAGAAATTAGAGATGAACTTAATAATGAATTTGGTGGGATTGTGAATTATTTAAAGAGTTTTACAGTCCAAGATGATGAAATAAAACACGAAAAAATACTTGATGATCGCTTTAAATTATTAAAAGAAAAATTTCATGCAATGATAATGTTTGAAGAGATTAAAAATCATATTTCAAACTTCTCTCAATATTTTGATGAATGTATTAAATCAATTAAAGCAGAAATTGATTTAGTCAAGCAAAGCACATTAGATTGTATAGCCAAAGATGATTTCTTAGACGCTGATTATGCAAAGCTTAGAATTGGACATAGACTCTTAAGTTCATTTAAAAATTCAATACATCTTGAAGGGATAGATTTAACACAAATATTGGATAAGATAGAAAATACAATCAGGAAAAAAGCAGAAAATTATAAAAAGATAGCTTTAGGCTCTTTCACCTCAATTGATGATGCTACTAAATCATTAATCAGCATAAAAACTATATCAATAAACTTTCCTCCAATGAAGAAATCACTTGAAGAGCTAATCGACCAGCTTTTAATTCAATTTAAGAGTCACGGCAACATAAAAGTAAGAACAATCTATGATAAGCTTGAAAAAGAGAACACTGGACTTATAATAATTAATGAACATAAGTTCTTTGAAACTGAAAAGCATAGACTATGGGCAGAAAGAACAGAGAAATTTAATATAGATTATGTTATGGAAAGAATAGATGGATCTAATATAGATAAAACTGCATTAAGAGAACAGTTTGTAAAGTATAGCAAGTTTTATAAAAAGATTAGCAGCAAATATATAGAGATAACAGCAGATTCAAGCATAAATGATGCAATAGATGCGCTTTCAGGATTGATAATTACTAAGTTCTCTATTAGTGATTTTGATTTTGGCTCTGTGTCTTCTGTTACAAGCTTAAACAAAATAGATAAAAAAATTATTCCAAAGCTTCTTGCATATTTAGCTACATTGTGAACTTTACTGAATATTAAAAAAACTAAGCCTGACTTAAAGGAGAAAAATGATAAAGAAATATTGTCGCCTCATCCTGTTCAAGTTTTATCAATATTTAGAATGATTGGCATCGGCTATAGCGGCCAAATAACATTTGCTAATAATCTCATACAAATTTTGACAGGAGAGGGAAAATCTGTAACTTTAGGTCTAGCATCAGCAATTCTAGCTATATTGGGATTCAGTGTAAGATGTGCATGCTACAGCGAACACTTAAGCAAAAGAGATCATGAAGAATTTAGCGAATTATTTAGTTGCTTGCATATTTCAAACTGAATCGACTATGGAACTTTCAATGAACTATGCGAAAATGAGATCAATAGCAAAATAGATATAAGAGAATTTGTTAAAAATGAAATAAATCAAAACTCAGAAGATTCAGATTTTAGAACTCACCTGGAACTTGAAAGACCAAGAATATTGTTGATTGATGAAGTTGATGTATTTTTTGGCAAATCATTTTATGGAAAAATTTTTAGGCCCGCTGCTACCCTTCAGAATGATTTTATAAAAAACCTAATTAACCTAATTTGAAGCAGAAGAAATGGAAATCTCAATTTAGCAGACATATTAAAATCTCAAGAATTTATAAAATGTCGATCTTATTTTTCTAATTATCAAGAATTGATTGTTGAAGCAGTAAAAGATATGATATATGATCTGCAATACTTACTCCCCCCTCCGTGAGTGAACAAAAAAATTTTGTTCACTCACGGGGAGTTAATTTTTTTATTTTAAAAAAAGTTAGTGAAACTGACTATATAAATTTTATAGAAACTATTTTTTTTTCGAAATTTAAAAAAATCCTAATTCGCAAAAATTGGAAAGCAAATATTAATTTAATTTGTAAAATTTATGTTTAAAAAAGCAATTCGTTTAAAATTAAACAGAATTAGCTCTAGATTTCATTATACTAATTATCATTTATATATCAAAATTTTTTTCCATAAAATTTTTGCTATTTAAAAATTTTTGTTCACTCACGGAGGGTGGGTTTTTGGTCAAAAAATAGCGATTTTTCTAATGGTTTTGTTCACTCACGGAGGGGGGGAGTTAGACTCTCATGAGTACATTTTGCAAGATGATCGCATAGGGTATAAAATGCATGATGGAGTGTCATTCCATACGAGCTATGGATATTATACTATGTGGACTTATTATAAAGAGCATGAAAATAATCGCATTAGCAAACGAAGCCTTGGAAATCACATTGGAATTAGCATAAGATGTGGAGACTTTTCCTATGCTGAAATGCCAAATAATTTTACTCATATTATGGGAGTAACAGGAACTCTAAAAACTCTTGGCCACCATGAAAAAAATATAATTGAAAATGACTATAATATAAGAAATTACACCTATATGCCTTCTGTGTTTGGAGACAATAATAGAATTTTTAGAGAAAATGCAGATATATACGTCGAAAATGATAAACAAAATTATTTTCAAAGGATAAGTGACGAAATTAACAATCGCATGATTGGTAGCAACCGAGGAGAGAGAGCAATTCTAATATTTTTCGAAACTTCTGAAAAATTGTTGGATTTTTATAATACCTCTAATCCAAGCTGAAAAAAATATCTTAATCTTAAATTATTTATAACATTTTACGCCCACTACGGGGTAGCCTTGTCCAGAACTGCCACCATATTTTCCCACGTTTCGGGCTCATGGAGCTCTGGATCATCCACTTTATTCACCAAGGGACAGGCAAACACAGCGTTTCGGCTTCGACGGGATGAAAAAAATATCAGTTTCAAATGGTAACTGAAGATTTAAGGTCAGGAGATCGCTATAGAATGATTAATCAGGCAACAATATCTGGGTACGTCAGTTTGTTTACCAGAGTCTTCGGACGCGGAATTGATTTTAAATGTCAAAATCAAACCGTTGAAAGTAGTGGTGGAGTCCATGTAATTCAAACTTTCTTATCCGAAGAGGCATCAGAAGAAACTCAAATTATGGGTAGATCAGCAAGGCAAGGGCAGCAAGGATCATTCAGCATGGTATACACCAGGATATGCTATAGATTGCCTATGCTATCTATCGTACCCTAACAATTGCAATAGATTTGGAACCAACGTTTTCAAATCAGCACGTTGACAAATACTAATTATAGAACATTTGTCAACTCATGGAGTTGGTTTGACATTTTTGGTGCCAAACATCTCCATAAGTTGAAGTTCAACAGTAGCCTAGGATGATTTATAATGGGTCCTGGGTTATATTGTTTGCAGAAGAGCTTCAAAAATTTCAAATCAATGATATAGATATTTTAAATGCTCGTAATAATTCAACAATCTATGATCTTTTGCGTCAAAAAAGAAACGAATTTTATGAAACCAAAAACAGTAATGAAAATAAGCATGTGAAATACATAAAACAGTCTCATGATAGATCCATTGAATTCTTAAATAATATCACCCATGGAAATCTTGATGGGTTCAAAAGTTTCATACTTGAACAAAACATCTCAAACTTTACAGAAAATAGCTATAATATCATTATTTTGCTTCAGGCTACAGAGCCTATGTCTCATCTCCTCCAAAATGCCAAGAATACAATTGGGATGATTTTCAAGCGCGCTAGAGAAATTTTAGCAAAGAAAGCAGTTAGTCCAGGGTGTTTCCAAATTAAATATTGCATTTATAGAACGTCTTCTTGCCCTAATGATTTAATTTTTCAAGCATCTCCTTGGTCAAATAAGCCAAGTGTATTAGAATCCTTTATCAAAGAAATTCGCACTCAAGGGGGAAAAGGAAATGAAGCCATCAATAAAGCATTGAAATATATTAATGACAGACATCACCATGAAAAGATTTCTAAAGTAATTCTTATTGGAGACTTTGTGAATACTGCATCTCAAAGTCCGTTTAATAATCAATTTAGCAAGAAAAAGAAGCATAAATCTTCCCAAATTTCTTCAATGGAAGATTATCATGAAGAGCTAGCAAAAGCTGCAAGAAACGGAATTCCGATTCATGGATTTTATACAAGCCCAAGCTCAAGTAGTGCATTTGAAGAAATTGGTGAAACGACCAGAGGAGCTAATGCCTTTTTAGATATAAATTCTCATTCAGGAGCGGAAAATCTCACCAATGCAATTTGCAAAGAGATCTTGAGAGTGGCTTCGGGCGAAGATGCTGTAAATCTTTATCAAAGACAGTATGAAATGGCGAACTTTAATAGAAGCTTTTACAGCGTTCATCGTTAAAATCTTAAGATAACTTCAAAAGCTTATGAAAAAATTTTCTATTTATAATAATACATAGCTTATAAATATATACTTTTCACTAACTTTAAAAATAGTCTACTGTTTGTGATAATTAAAGAGTAATTTTTAATTTTATCATCGAATTATTAATTTAATTGATTTATATTTCACTATTCACATTATGGGTAAAAATACTAATTAATCTTTTATTAAATGTTCATTATTTTAATAAAAATCTCCGTTTAGCATAATACTCTAGTTTTATAATTTTAAAAATGAGCAAGTATACTTGGGAACAGGAATTTGAAATCATAAAAATAACTATTCCTTGTCGAAATCCAATCCTCAGTAAAAAAGGCTATTTTGATCTCTTTCTATCACGAAATTACGTCAAGTTTCATCTTAAATCTCCAAAAATGTTCATGGAGTGGGATCTTGCTGAAGACATCGATTATAAAAGTCCGCTTAATCGCGCAATCGCCAAAGAAACTTGCTTACTCCCCCCTCCATGAGTGAACAAAAAAATTTTGTTCATTCACGGAGAGTGGTTAATTTTTTTTTTTAAAAAAATTTATATAAAAATTTTATAGAAATTTTTTTTTCTTCGAAATTTAAAAAAAAATCCTAATTCACAAAAAATTGGGAAGCAAATATTAATTTATTTTTATAAAATTTATGTTTTAAAAAGCAATTTGTTTAAAATTAAATAGAATTAGTTCGAGATTTCATTATACTAATTATCACTTATATATCAAAATTTTTCTATTACAAAAATTTTTGTTCACTCACAGAGAGGGTGGGCTTTTGGGCAAAAAATAGAGATTTTTCTAATGGTTTTGTTCACTCACTGAGGGGGGGAGTTGGAGCTTATTCTTGCCAAATTTATTATTGGAAAATCCTGGGAGTCACTCATATGTTCTGATAAAGATCTTTCAAAGCAACGTAGAGCCCTTTCTATTTCCGAATTTGAACAAAATTCCAAAGAAACCCAGGAAGCCTTGGAAAAGCACAAAATCGAAATGGATCGTTTTTCAGTCACAGAACAAATGAAACTGGATGATGAACGTAGAAGAGTTATTGAGCAGAAAAAAGAAGAAGAAAAGATTAAAGCGGAGCAAGACATTTTTAGCCCTTCCACAATTCCAAGCTTAAATAATGAAATATTTAAAGAAAGAACTGATTTGCCTGAAGTAAGAGGAACATTTAAACAGAAAATTGAATTCACACCAAGAAAAAACCCAAATGTACCTGCAAGAGAAAGCAATGAAAATGAGCCACCTTTGCCTCACAATATTAAACCTTTAGAAGGCCCAGTACACGAATCACATCCATTATGGCTAAAAGATAAAGGAAATGAGCTATTTTCCAAAGGTGATTTTGAGTCCGCAATAAGTGCTTATTCAAATGCTATAAAGGCTGATCAGAATAATTTAGCATGCTTAATGAATAGAGCTGCTAGTTATATGAAGATTTACGAATTCCAAAAAGCATTGGACGATCTATATAAAAGCTTTAGCTTATGCACTGAAGATCTATTAAAAGGAATTTGCAAAGTCAGAATAGGCGCCATTTTGGCATGAAAAGGATTGATTTCTGAGGCAATAGATGAATATAATTCTGCTAAATCATTTATTCCTGATGACGAAAGTATCCAAAAAGATATTGAAATGCTTGAAAAAAGACGAGAATCTAATTTAATAAAAAATAAAGGTGACTTGCTATATAAAGAAGACAAAATCGATGAAGCTAAAATAGAATATACAAAAAGTTTGGAAATTGACCCAGAGAATGAATTGTCAATCGCAAATTTAGCACAAATATTTTTAAAGAAAGAAGATAAAAATAATTGTGTGGAAATGTGTGATAAAGCTCTGGAGTTGATCAGTCATAATTTGAGACTTAAATGCAAGGTTTTATTGAGAAAAGCTGAAGCTATTGAAAATAAAGATGAGTCTTTAGCTTTAGCTAACCAAGTATTGCAAATAGAGCCACAAAATCAGCATGCAAAAATTCTTGCCTCGAAATATACATCAGAAAATAATAGGGTTTTGTATGAAAATCTTAAGCAGTCTGCAAGCGATGCGTTTAAAAATGGCAATGCAGAAGAAGCTTTAAAACTATATAAGGAAGCTTTAGGTCTTTGTAAAAAAAATAAAGAAGAGAAAGCTTCAATTTATACAAATATTTCTGCTTGCTACTTATTATTAAAAAACCCCTCACTTCACCTGAAAGCTAAACAATATTTTTTTGTGTCCAAAAATAATTTCTATATAAATAGGTTTGATACCAAATTTAATAACGCAAAAATAAAAAAATTTACTAATGCTTGTTCTATTTTAAATAGAGCGCGGAATAGGATACTATTTAAACAAAATTAGAAGTATGGAACAATAAAGTTTACAAAAGAACTTTTTATATAATTTCTTAAATTTTTTTCTGAAGAAGAATTAAACTCACCTTTAAATTGGGATAGTTTTTATTTAAATTTTAAAGGGAGAGTCAGGATGTAATAATTACTGTGGATAAAGCATTTAAATTGGAGCCAAAACCCTCTTTGCAGTTAAGATTGCACTGGAGAAGAGCTAAAGCTTATGCTGAAATGGGACAGCTTTATTCAGCTACTGCAGATTTGAATCAAGCATTAAAATTGGATCCTGATAATCAAGCAATCAAGCAAGATTTAGAATTAATTAGAAAGAGTCAGAATTAGTAATTTATAAGATTTTAAAAATATGGATTATTAATTTGTATGCTATATTAGCTATGTACTTTAAGCAAATATTTTGAAAATCTTATATAAATTGATTAATGCGATAGATTAATATAATTGCTTAACTTTTATGATTATTTTATCTAAAACCTCTTTAAGATTATTAATATTTATATTATTTATTTTATTAAAAATAATACATTTTGATAGGCAAATCAATTAATAATAAAAATGGAAATTTTAAAAATAATTCAATTTAAAAATCTGTTTATTCTATTTTTTAGCAGCTTGAGAAATTATATTTGCCTGATCGATTTGATTGACTTGCGTTACTTTTCCATCTTGTGAAAAAGTTGATGAAGTAACAGAACCTACTGAGCTTGTTCCACTTTCATCGCCTTTGACAATTTCATTGGATTGGTTAATTTTGTTTATTTGAATGACTTGCTGTGATTGTTCTGATGAAGTATCAGATTGAGAACTGGCAGCAGATGAGGAATTACATTGTGAGCTATCTTGCTTTATGGAATCTTTTTGTTGATCTGCACATGAAGAGGCTTGGCTTTCATCATAATTATCAATTTTTGTGCATTTAATACAAGCACCTCTTGAACCTCTATCACCTCTGTCTCCTTTTTCGCCTTGGCATCCTGCTAGTCCTTGTGCTCCTTGGTCTCCTTTTTCTCCTTTTATTCCTTGAAGGCCAGCATCCCCTTGGCATCCTTTTTCGCCTTTTTCACCTTTATCGCCCTTTAGGCCTGGACAGCCTTGAGGCCCTTGTGGGCCACATGGACCTGGAGGACCTTGTGGGCCTTGATCTCCTTTATCTCCTTTTTCACCTTTGCAAGCTTGAGCTTGCTGTCCTTCGCATTGTTGACTTTCAGAATAATCGCTCTCTGTTTCTACAAACTGACTTCTAAAGACTTTTGGAGTCACCGCAAAAGCACACAAAGCCATGACCATCAGAATTGCAAGCTTCACCATATTTAATTATACCTTTTTATATAAATGATCATATCAAATCTATGACTATAAAATATCGTATATGCAACATATACTTGTCTTATAATTTCTGATCAATTCATAATTTTGTGTATATTTGAAGTTATGCCATTCGAATTATCTCAATGTATATTAACGATGACCCCCCCCTCAATCTTCATGCCTATTGCAACAAAAATGCAATTTTTAATATAAAATTTTATATAAAAAAAATATTAATTTTCATGTCTCTTGCAACAAATTATATATATTAAAATGGTGACACGTGTCAGCCTGCCTCTTGGCGCAGCATTCCAGACCTTATGGCTAATGCGAACTGGGACGGACCCCGAGCCGAGGATCAGACGCAGACTCAAGAAGTGTATATCCGGGCAGGTTTTGGCTGCTTTCCTGTGTTTGGAAATAGATTAGCTCAACAACGTCCTTTTGATCCGAGGACCCATGGGCATTCCTCTACCGAGAAACTGGGGTTTCTGCCCAGGCCACAGGGGAACAGTCTTTTTCGTGTAGCTGTAGAAGGAAGGCACTTTGACACCCGATAGACTCTAAGGAGCTGATCCTTGGAATCAAGCTACTCCAATTGCCCGTAGCAGGGACGCAGAAATCCATAAGCCGCCCACTCAAGACTGAACCCGCAAGGCAAGGAGGAGACAGAATGTACCGGAAGGGCACTCGTAAGAGGAATAGACCCTCTGGGCTGGAATCGAAAAGCGGTAGAACCTTCTGCACGGGAGGTCTTTGGTGACTGTGACACCAATATGGCTAGCGCCTGTCTGTAATAATCCTAATCCTCTTGCAGCAAATTTTAGATGCGCATCTTAAATTTTTCTGTACTTTTTAGTTTAGATAAGTTTAATAAAATGGCGAGCAATGACAATAGCCGTCCAAATCTCGATGAGAAGGTCATTGACACGCCTACAGCAGCGCTGTTTTATAGGGTTTTTGAGAAACTCACCTAGAGAAAAATGCATTAATTCTTTTTTTGTAAAAATGTTGTGTTGCAGTAGTCATGAAAATGTTGTGTTGCAGTAGGCATGAAAATTTTTTCGAAAAATTTTTGTTGCAGTAGACATGAAGATTGAGGGGGGGGTCATCGTTATTAATAGAAAGATGGAGATTATTTAAATTTGAATAATTTAAGTATATATAAAGGATGAAGCTGAAATTTGTATATTCTCAGTAGAAGAATATCATAAACAAAATTAAAATTCTACAAAAATGCTTTATAAAAGAATTTCGTATTCTAATAGTAATCATTCACCTAGTTAAAATTTTGGATTTTTCCAATAAAAGAATAAAGGTCAGAATTTTGTTTTGAGCATAAATTCAAAATGGCGAATTTTAAAAAGGAAATTACTGATATAAAGACGATTGATAAAAAATTTGCTTAATCCCCCCCCCCTCCGTGAGTGAACAAAACCATTAATAAAATCGCCATTTTTTGCCCAAAAACTCACCCTCCGTGAGTGAACAAAAATTTTTTTAATAGAAAAATTTTTTATGAAAAAAAATTTGATATATAAATGATAATTAATATAATGAAATTTAGAGCTAATTCTGTTTAATTTTAAACGAATTGCTATTTAAAACATAAATTTTATAAATTAAATTAATATTTGCGTTCCAGTTTTTGTGAATTAGGATTTTTTTAAAATTTCGAAAAAAATAATTTTTAAAACATTTAAATATAATTTTTTTAAAAAAAAAAATTAACCCCCTTCCGTGAGTGAACAAAATTTTTTTGTTCACTCACGGAGGGGGGGGAGTTAATGCATTACTGTGCTACAGCGTTGTTTTGAACAATGGCGTTGTTTTGAGCTATTGCGTTGTTCTGGCCACTTGAGCTGCTCTGAGCGATAACATTGGCTTGTCCCACAACATTAGCTTGGTCTACACTTGAGCTACTACTAACCCACGAGCTTGATGAAACAGATCCGTCACTGCTTTTAACTGAAGTTTGGACTACTTTTTCGTCGCATTCGCTCCAATCATCAACTTCAATGCATTTCACAGAAACTCCTCTGGCTCCTCTCTCACCTTTTTCTCCTTTTTCCCCTTGTGGACCTTGTGCCCCTTGGCATCCTTTCTCTCCTTTTTCTCCTTGCAACCCTTGGCAGCCTTGTTCACCTTTTTCTCCTTTGTCTCCTTTTTCTCCTTTTTCTCCTTTAGGACCAGGGCAGCCTTGTGGTCCTGCTGGTCCAGCTGGGCCTGCTGGCCCTTGTGGTCCTTGTTCCCCTTTATCTCCTTTTTCTCCTTTGCAGACTTGGACTTGTTCTTCACAAACTTGTTCTTCTGGCTTTATGCATGCTGCTTGATCTTCTTGGGTTTCTAAGAACTGTGCTTTAAAGAGACTTGGGTTCACTGCTAAGGCTGTGAGAGAAATGACCATCAGAATTGCTAGCTTCACCATATTTGATTATTAAAGACGTTAACTGTTACTTCAATTATCAATGGCTTATAGTAGTTTTAAATAAAATGGCTATTTACTGATCCGAAACTAAATTAATTAAAAATATGGTGCAAGATCTTGGTCTTCTTTGGCCATATCTCTTAATAATGGATGATCAAAAAATTTTGTAATTGTGATGTCGTCTGTCAAGCCTTTTCTTCGTCTAGTTTTTAGCATAAACTCTCTGGCTAGATGGGGAACTGGGCAAGGCTCTAGTGGCTTGATCTTTATATTTCGATCTAATGGGTCAGAAATAACGACTTCCCAGTGGTCGAAAATTGATACACAAAATGCCATACCGCTTGTGTAGGTTCTTAAATCAGTTTCAAACCCAAAGGAATCTATAACAGGTAAGGTCCCTAGAAGTGTATAATGTGGAGAGCCTGGCTTAGGTTCTTCCATATCAATGTGTCCTCTTCTCTTTGTCATAACTAAATGAACAGCTGGGATGCAGTCTTGAGTACATTGAATTTCTACTAAATAATAAGGCTCCATTAGTCTAGGACTTGATAACAAAAATGATGAATAGCAGACCCTTCTTACTGTAGGTATTATTTGGCCACTTGCTCTATAAATTGGTTCAGCTGCCATAGCAGCTTCTAAAATCTTAAACTTTGTCAAACGTATTGGCTCTTCACATAGTGGCCCTTCTCTGCAAGCCCATTGAAATCCTTGAACAACTGGATTTTTAATGCTTGCTAATAAATCATCGTCTCTCTCATATGGCAATATATCATTTATGAGAATATTAGAGCCATATGAATCTGGACCAAATGCCCATATTGATGAAGAAGCCAAAACATCTCAATTATAATTTTCTTCAAAATGGCTCGAAAGCTTCTCTGGAGGCCAATTTATATGGATTTTATGCTTTTCTATTGCAGAACCTATTACAGCTTCTAATGGCTCAGCAATCATAGAAAAGCGATTTTTACCATTAGGAGTCTCAGCGAAGCATTTAAAAGATGAAGAGTCTATGACAGTTTCATTAAATGAGACATAAGGATCTGAAAGTTTTATTTCTATATCAGTATACAGCTCACGCACATCATGCAACACTGAATCAAGATAAAGCTCTCCAGTGCCAGCTATGACGTGTTCTCCAGTTTCTTGCACTTTAAAATCAAGCAATGGGTAACTCTTAGAACAAAAATTGAGACCTTGAAGCATTTTAGGCAAATCTGAAGGGTTATATGGCTCCATTGCAATTTTAACTATGCTTGATGTGCTGAATCTGTAAGGCTTAAGAATTTCTATATTTTCTGAAAGATCAGGGCTAGTTATTGTGCAGGTTTTGGGAATATCAATTTGTGAACTTTCTATTAAAGCCCAGCAGCCTGCAGGGATTTCTTGAACTTGCAGCTTATACCTAGAATTAAAATAATAAATTTTATCAATTTCTGCTTGGAATTTGTCTTCAGGGTTTTGAATTGAATATTTTTGACCTAAAACATTTACTAATTCCCCAGGCCTTAATGTTCCGCTAAGAACTCTGCCAAATATATAAAAAAATTTGCATTCAGAGTCATGATACTGCTTGACAATGTCAACAACTAAAGGCCCGGTGTCTTTTCCTTTAATTATCTCTTCAATAATTTCTCCAGCCAAAGGTCCTTTGTAGTTTTGTTCAAATTTCTTAGATTTAGAAGGAGCAGGAAAATTTTTTACGGCAAGATCTACTAGACAGCTTGGTTTTTTGAAGAAAGTTCGCAGTACAATTTTTAATAAAGTTTTAGAGTCGTATGTAACGATGACCCCCCCCTCAATCTTCATGTCTACTGCAACAAAAATTTTTTCGAAAAAATCTTCATGCCTACTGCAACACAACATTTTTATAAAAAAAAAATTAATGCATTTTTCTCTAGGTGAGTTTCTCAAAAAACCCATAAAACAGCGCTGCTGTAGGCTTGTCAATGACCTTCTCATCGAGATTTGGACGGCTATTGTCATCGCTCGCCATTTTATTAAACTTATCTAGCTAAAGCGTACGGAAATATTTAAGATGTGCATCGAAAATTTGTTGCAAGAGGATTAGGATTATTACAGACAGGCGCTAGCCATATTGGTGACGCAGTCACCAAAGACCTTCCGTACAGAAGGTTCTACAGCTTTTCGATTCCAGCCCAGAGAATCTATCCCTCTTACGAGTTCCCTTCCGGTACATTCTGTCTCCTCCTTGCCTTGCGGGTTCAGTCTTGAGTGGCGGCTTGTGGATTTCTGCGTCCCTGCTGCGGGCGATTGAAGTAGCTTGATTCCAAGGATCAGCTCCTTGGAGTCTATCGGATGTCAAAGTGCCTTCCTTCGACAACTACAGGAAAAAGACTTTTCCCCTGTGGCCTGGCCGAAACCCCAGTTTCTCAGTAGAGGAATGCCCATGGGTCCTCGGATCCAAAGGATGTTGCTTGAGCACCTCCATTTCCAACCACAGGAAAGCAGCCAAAACCTACCCGAATACACACTTCTTGAGCCTGCGTCTGATTCTCGGCTCGGAGTCCGTCCCAGTTCGCCGTAGCCATAAGGTCTGGACTGCTGCGCCAAGAGGGCAGGTTGGCACGTGTCACCATTTTAATGTATATAATTTGTTGCAAGAGACATGAAAATTATTATTTTTTTATATAAAATTTTTATATTAAAAATTGCGTTTTTGTTGCAATAGACATGAATATTGAAGGGGGGTCATCGTTATAATGCTTTTTCTTCATAAAAAGTCCAACTGAACTTAAAAATTTTTCCAGTTGCTCTTTTTCTTCACTAACAGTGTGAAAATTTCTCCATCATGGAGTAGCTGTAGGATAAAAGCCGGAACTTTAAGGGCTAGTGAGTGTGCTGGCATATGGAGGGCCACGGAATCGTAGTAGAGGAACTCTATGGGGTGGTGTGCTGGGTTGGGCTGACTGGGGCTTCCCTCTGTCTACAGTGCAGTATCAATCGAGCACTTCTGGAGGAGTATTCTACTGCCTATAAATGCCAGACTAGTTCCAGAAGAAAGCATCGGACGATTTCTTCATATCCTGAACGCTACCAGGCTCAAGAGAGTCCGTTACTGAAAATTTTGATTCAAGCAGGTCCGGATGAGTATCCTGTCAGATTGACGACATAACTATTTTTGGTGACCCTGAAGAAAAAGGGTGTTGGCGGCTTTAGTGTATAGCGCCACATGAAGCTCGGCTGACTAGGGGCTGAAATAATCCATTAACCCCTAATTATCTCTTTCTCACTAACAGCATACCCTAATAACTTATAAATTGGTTCTACAATGAATTCAATAAAGCTTCTATCTGAATTTGACTTTCCTATTGGCGGCTTCCTTGCAAAACTTCTAGTCTCTTTATTATAATAAAGATCACCCCACAATCTTTTAGCAAATTCTTCAGAATCAAAATTTGGTCCATAAATATTTGTATATACTTTCGCCATAGAGCTTAATGTAAAAGCCATCCCATACAGCCCACTCGCAAAAATCACATTTTCATTAATAGGAGATACTTTTGGATGCCACGGTGCATGTGCTGAGATTATTGAGTTTATTTCATCTAAAGTGTGTTTTACTTTGAAATATACGTCACCTGGAGGAATCTTTAGCTCTAATGGCAGTCTATCAAACTTATTGATGACCACTATTACTTTTAGTTCATTTTCTAAAGCATGGATTAAAAGTTGTTTTGTGTTTATACCTTTATATTATCAATTTATTAATTTATTTCAAAAATACAAAACTGATTATAGATACTTAAGAATATTATGAATTTAATAGGCAATAATATATCATTACGCCTTCAATGACATCAACAATTAATATGACCCCATCAGCCAATCTTAAACCAGCAGTCACTTCATCACTGAAATTAGGATGTCCAGGTGTATCAATAATATTGAATAAATAGCTTTTTTCTCTGCTAGTCTCTAAAACAACTGTCAAAGGCTTCGCTTTTATTGAAATTTCTCTTTTCCTTTCATCATTTCTTGTATCCATGTATTTTAATGGGTCATTAGGATCACTTACAATCTGAGGATGAGTGTCTTCAACTAATAAGTCAATAAAAGTCGTTTTCCCATGGTGAAGATGCCCAATAAATGCGATGTTTCGGATTGAATCAGGACAATGAGATAAAGATACCAAAAACTCTATAGGGCTAGTGGTAAAAGGAACTTCTTTAAAGGTAAACTCGAAGTTCTTTTGAATGACAGGCTGGATAATAGGCTGAGTAATAGGCTGGGCGTCTTCTTCCATAATAAGAGCTTCTGCCTCAGGATAGACCTGGTCAAGATCTAAATAATATCTCTTGTCTTCGTGAAGCACAATTTCTTGGCCTGTAGGCTCAATCATGATGTTATCGCTTGCAATGATTCCTTGACCTTCTTCATTATTTTCAACTTCTTCATCTTGTGGAGGACTTTCTTCTGGTTCTCCTGACTCAGACCCTGCATTGATTGGATTTCCGAATTCATCATATAAGTCTTCGTCCATTTTCTATTTAAGCATCTCTATAATAGTAAACATAATATGACCTATAAGACAATAATTAGCTTTTTCATTGAAATTTCAATAAACAATTTTCCACAAAAATTTTTGGGATATTAATTGCAAAATAAAAATCTTTTTTAATTTTTCTAACTCCCCCCTATCCTTGATCGAACGACTCGCCATCGTTCGATCAAGGATGGGGGTTAAAAAAAATATTTTTGGGAAAAAAATTTTATATATATAAAATGAAAAAGATAAATATAGATTTTTTTTATTTACTTTTAAATAAGAGGGTTAAGAGTATTTAATAATTATTTTTACAGTAAAAAAATTGAATTAATTTCATAAAATACCAATTTTTACTATTTTGATTTATTAGTTACCCTTTTAAACTTAAATTAAATGTTTTTTTAAAAATTTTAAAGAATCTCTATTTTATTAGATTATTGAGTTTTTAAGCCTAGGTTGATGACTAAATCACTTCGGATGGTTGATTTCGCAGCTTTCTGCTGTCTCAAAGCTCTGAAAACAACTTCATTAGGCACATCTTCCAAATCTTTTGATAACTAATATTTTTTATATATATAAAAATTTGCATGATATGAAAATCGTTCGATCAAGGATGGGGGTTAATTTCCCCAATTTTTAGGAATTTTTACAGTCAATCGTTCGATCTTATCTTATCTTATATTATCTAGTGGCTACAGCCACCCAACGGACCTTAAGGTCCATTTTTCCCTAAATTTTGATGATTTACACCAAACTGTTTGGGCTTTTTCCTCTTTTTCCATGTTTTTACACCACCTTCCGTTTTTTCCACCCTTACGCTAGCTTTCGCCCCCTCCAGATTTTTAGCCTTGTGTATTCTTTCGTCTTTTTGGTCATTTTGGTCTTTTTGGTTTTTTTTGGTCTTTTTGGTCTTTTCAGTCTTTTTGGTCTTTTTGGCCATTTTGGTCATTTTGGTCTTTTTGGTCTTTTTGGTCTTTTCGGGCTTTTTGGTCCTTTTGGGCTTTTTGGTCTTTTGGGCTTTTTGGCCTTTCTTGGGGGTTTGGCTTTTCTTGCTTTTTTTGCTGTTTTGGCTACTTTGATTTTCCTGGCTTTTGGTCTCCTTGCTTTCCACCTTCACCCACTCGACGATCTCGATCGGTACCTGATTGATGGATCCTGTGGCTAGGATCAACTCCCCAGCATCCAGAATTTCACCTTCCTGTCCAGCGAGCCAGAGTCTCAGACTCTCCGCTTCTTCCGTTCCTTTTTCATCATCAACATCGCTCTCCTCTTCCATATCCTCTTCGATCCCCTCATCTGCAAGCTCATTTTCTAGTGCTCTTATCTCTTCTTCAAGAAACTCAATTTCTTCCCAAACCATATCAGAAAAATCGGACTCCTCTGCATCAGAGGCATTACTGGTACTGCACAATCTCTGGCTCGAGGCTAGAGCAGCTTCTTCTCAATTCCGCCTTCTTATTAAGAAATCCTCCATTACAAAAATAAAAAGTGTCAATCGTTCGATCAAGGATGGAGGGGAGAGTAAGTTAAAATTATAATAATAAACGACATTTTCATTGAGTTTCTCACAGATCATATTTAACATAGCCGTTTATTATCGGCTAATATGCTCAAAACTAATTTAAAAATTATGGAGAATTCCATATGCAACCATCCACCATACATAATACTAATAATCCATCCTTATAATTAACGATGAATTTTATTACTTCATAATGGATCCTTCTCCGAATAACGAATTAGTCCAACTTGCCCCTCTCAAACTTCCTCCACGGCCAGGAAGTCTTGGCTCCAAAGCATCAAGGATAAATATAAGGTCTGCAACTCACAGTTCTTTTACACAAAGGTCCTCAGCCAACTCACAAAGCCTTTCTCCCTCAGCCTGCCTAACGTCGCTCAGCTCTAACTCAAGCGAAGGATCTTTTGAGCCTTCGTCAAGCCAAGATGAACAAATAATACCTAAATCCAAGCGTGGGACTGTAAGAATCCAAAGTTTGAAATTAAATAAAAATTGCAAGACGAAATCCGACTCTGAAGATAGGGTTTCTGATGAAAATAATACTGATATCTTTGCAGAACCTCTTCCTAATAGGATGAATTCCTGCGAAGTGTTTTATAATGCTTCAGATTTGAGAAATTCAATGAATGGCTTTAGAAGACCAAAATCACAAAAACTTGCTATTTCTAAAAGTGGCTCTGATTTAAAGGAAATTTCTGGAAATCGATTGAGAAGCTCGATGGGGGTTGTTGTGAAAATAAGAGAAGCCCACCATCGCATGACTAATTTTCAAAATGTCAACATGATTCGGCCATCTTTAGACTCAATAAAGCCGCCTCTTCCTTCTGCAAGCAAGCTGAAAGCAAAAACTCCAGAATGCCCCTTTAGTAAAAGTTCGGCTGATTGGTTTTAAAAATTCTTATTGCATCTGAGAAATTTACTATCACCCCAAAGTCCATTAAATAATCAAATTTCACAATTATAACATAATCCATATAAAAATATAATTGAGCTCTTCTCTCAAATCCGATAAATAAAATGCCTATAATATACACAAGATGCAATACTTGTATATTCTTAATCTACGACTGATTTTAATGCAATAAACTATATAAGAGATGTCTGATCTCGATAGAAAACCTCAAGGATTCAGCGGATCCACAGGTGTAGCTGGTGATTCAAACATCGATGACCCTTGGGCTGACGGGACCAGCAATACCCAAAATCAAGGCGAATCCAGTGGTTACAAAGGCTCTTCATACGGAGGAAGCGACAATCGTCAACAAGGACATTACTCTTCAGAAAATCGTCCCCAGGAAAGAAGAGGCTACAGAGGAAACCGTAGAAGAGGCCAATTCAAGCACTATGGCGACAATACCCATGAAAATAACAGAACTTATCAAAGCCATGGTGATCGCGATGAAGAACAATGGGGTTTCAGAAAAAATGAGACTCACGAGGACAGAAATGTGGAAAATAGAAGGCAAAATCAGAGAACTAACGACGCTTATCACAACCAACAGAGATATCATAACGAAGGCCATAGAGATGATCGTCAGCAGAGATACCATAATGAAGGCCGTCAGCAAAGATACCATAATGAAGGCCATGGAGATGAAAATCCACAGAGATACAACAGAGACGAACATCAGCAGAGATACAACAATGAAGGCCATAGAGATGAACGCCAGCAGAGATACCATAATGAAGGCCATAGAGATGAGCATCAGCAGAGATACCGCAATGAAGAGCATAAAGATGAACATCATGAAATAAAAGAAGATTCATATAATGAAGGAAGAGGCCGTGGCAGATATAGAGGGAGAGGAAATAGAAGAGGCGGATATAATAACAACTACAGAGGTCGTCCTTATACATCTCATGATCAAGTCAGAAATCAAGAAACTTCAAAAGAGCACTCTGATGAGCACCAAAATGAAGACAGGCCATCAACTTCAAACCAAGAACGTAATTATTATGGAGATAGGCCACGCAACAATGACCGTAGAAATCAAAGAAGAGGAAACCGTGGAGGCTATAATAATCGAGACAACAGACAATATGAAAGCCACGAAGAAAAGCCTCATGAAAGCTGGGGAGAAACTGAAGGCCAGCAGCACTACAAACCGAGGTCTGAACAATCTTCTACCAAGCAACCTCCTGCGTTTACCCAAGTCGGTTCTTTAGAGCCTGAGCTCAGAGGCTTTAACATCAAATGCAAAGCAGCTTCTGAGCCTTACCAAGTCCAAGTAAAAACCAGATCGAACACTTTTACAGCTTGGGAAGTCTTAGTCGGTGACGAAACTGGGTGCATAAAGCTGCAGCTGCCTAGTGAAGACGTTGCCAGAACGATCAGGATTAATTCTTCAATCTTCGTAAGGAATGGCATTATACTTATGAGACAAGAGAGCTACATGATACTGCTAATCAACAAATGGGGAAAGGTCGAAGTGTCATCTACTGATTTTGCTTTTCAAGTAAACAAAGGCAATAACATGTCTGAAGTTGAATATGAAAGAACATCTTAAAATAACCAGATTTAGTTGTCCTAAATTGAAATTTATAAATTTTTAGGGTTAAGTAAGCAGAATAATTAAATTTAGTTTATATATAAGTATATGATAATATGTGAAGAAATAAAAATCTTTTTATAAAGATTTATCATAAAATGGACAGGGCATCAAATTCTTTTCATCATGGAATTAGAAACTCTTTTGAATCGAAAACAAATTCAAGTTTTTCACATAGAAGTATTTCTATGAGTCCTGAAAGCAGGCCAGGAGATCCAATAAAAAGATATGGCATAATTTCTTATGGAAAAGAATCTCCTCACATTAAAAAGCGATCAGTATCAAGAAGCCGCCATGATCATCATTACTCAATCCCAGAAACCCCAGATCTTTATTCATCATTTACCCCTGAAATTGATAAAGCTCAAACAAATTTATCAAATAAACGACAAACAATTAAAGAGCTTAACAAAGATTGAACTGTAAATGAGATGCTATTTCCAGGTCAAAATGTTGCGAAATTGTGCAATATCCCGAATCCAAATAGAAGAGATTTAAATTTTAAAGAAATTTTGATTGACGCAGGCTTTAAAGAAAATTGCCCAGTAATTATGCTTTCTGGGTTTAATTTGTTTCAATATTCAGAACTACTTATAGGGACTGTAAGGGCTGCTATGAAGACTGATGCTGTAATAATTGATAATGGGCTTAGAAATGGGTTTGAATATTCTTGTTTAAGAAAAAAAGTAAAGCTGATAGGGATTTGCCCAGAAGATCAAATTTTGTATCCTACCAAAGTAAATAGCGGAAATCCTCCAAATGAACTATCAGCTGGCCATTCTCATTTGTTTGTACTGGGACATAAAAATGATAATATGAAATGAAATGATATTGCCCTTTTCAAAATTTTGTTAGCAGACAAGCTTAGAAAAGGAGTAGGAGGAAGCAATGCTTTCCAATGTAGAGGCTTATGCATCTTAGCTGGAGAAGTTGAGGAATGTATGAAAGATGCTGAAAGGGCTGTTCATGGAGGCTGAACTGTCTTAGCAATTGAAGCCACTCCGATTGGGCAAGAGATATCTTTGATTCTAAAAGGGAAAAAAGGAAAGAGAAGTTTATCTTATTTAGAAGATGCAATTTTAAGAGGCAAAGTTTTCATTTTTCCTGAAAATGGGAATGAAGAGGACTTAGCCATGATTGTGCATCTTCATTTGACAGTGACTTTATTGACTTCATATTGGGATCCTGATAGAAAATAATTTTGCAAGGATCCCCCCTCATTTGTCCAATTTTCTAGTTTTTTTTTTTCTAACTCCCCCCCCCTCCGTGAGTGAACAAAACCATTAGAAAAATCCCTATTTTTTGCCCAAAAACCCACCCTCCGTGAGTGAACAAAAATTTTTTTAATAGAAAAATTTTTTATGGAAAAAAATTTTGATATATAAATGATAATTAGTATAATGAAATCTAGAGCTAATTCTGTTTAATTTAAAACGAATTGCTTTTTAAAACATAAATTTTATAAATTAAATTAATATTTCCTTTCCAATTTTTGCGAATTAGATTTTTTTTAATTTCGAAAAAAAATTTTTTTTATATAATTTTTTTTTAAAAAAAAAAAATTACCCCCCCTCCGTGAGTGAACAAAATTTTTTTGTTCACTCACGGAGGGGGGGGGAGTAAGAAAAAAAAAATTTTCAGGATCTCATTTGTCCCATTTTCTAGTCATTTTTGGATTTTTTCGAATGTCCTAAATTTTAGTTTTTACTGTAAAAAAACTAGAAAATGAGACAATTGAGGCCCTGAAAATTTTTTTTTTCTATCAAAATTTTGACTAGAAAATTGGACAAATGAGGTCCTAAAAAAAATTTTTTTTCCTATAAAAAAAAAACTTGAAAAATGGACAAATGATAAAAGACTAGAAAATTGGACAAATGAGAGGGGGGGGATCCTTATATTAATATAAAAGCCGATTATATAAAAAAATGTATAGGAATTAAATATTTTAAAATCTTTAGATAAATATCTATATTTGCAATTATTATAAATCACTTTATTTATATAAAACGTATATTTATTGCATTGATAAACATTATAAAATTTAAAAACGCTTATATAGAAAAGCAATACTGTGATTGCATGCTAGCAAGTATTACAGATATTTATTTTATAAAATCCAAAAAATAATTCAAATAAACAGTTACTGAGAATACAAACAATATGGAAGAAGATTTAAGAAGAAAACTCAAATATATATCAATATGGTGGAGATCTCTTGGCGCATTTTTTTTCTCTCAACACCTGCAAGGAACACTCAGGTGGGGAAATAAAGCTGAGAAGAGACCCGGCATCCTTAGTGTATATTGGGTGTGGGGTTTTCTCATGCCTAAGGGAGCCAATCCCTGGGCATGGGTTTTTACCCTCAGTGGTTTTGGTAAAGACTTGCTGCGGTAGAGCGATATGACTCCTACAGACCACAAGACAGCATGTGCCTAATATGATACTGGGAGCTGTGTCACAGGGGATCGGCTCTTAAGGGTTTTAAAGATATATGTGCACAAATACCTGGTCCGTTCTGTGATGGCGATGTCGAAAGTTAATATATTAATTAGAAGAAAACTCGCAGATCGGCTTAGACCCCAAGACAAATTTGGAAATAAAGGCATAGCCAGAAACGCCAGCAACACTGCACTCCAGCTCTCCAAGCCAAAACCATCCTTAGTCCCTCGGCTTCAATCACTGAATGCTCAATCCACCACAAATCTTCGGAAACCCAAAACGCTTGAACCCCTTTCCCCATTTCTTAAAGGCTCCGTGTTTTCCCCAGCTATGACTTTAATGACAAAAGGTGGGTCGATGGTGTTTACAGAAGAAACCAAAAGGCTTGGAATACTTTCTGATGAAACAAGAAAAATTGAGCCACTTTTGTCGTCAACTAAAAGCTTCAAAATTAAAAATTTGCCTCCATTAAAGACTGGGAACAGGAAAAAGCACGTCCATGGAGATGCAAGACCTTTAAAAGAAGAAGAAATGCTTACAAATGAAGTGGCCGAAAACCCAACACCTTATGACTTTATACAAGTCATAAAATCAGACCCTGAACTTATGGAGGATTTCTGGTACTGCAACAGAAAAGGGGATTCTTATGACTTTGAGCTAGTCCCATTCAAAAAGAAGAACCCAAATGAATACCTTACTATTAGCTCAAGAGGTGTCACTCATTTTATCAAAGGGGAAGCTTACTTTTTATCACTAGAAGAATGGGAAAGAGAATATAAACTTTATCAGAGGCTAAAAGAAATCAAATTTTTCAAACAATATAAAAAATGGAAAAACTTTTCACTGTGGAAAAATCTAAGAAGAAGAAATATGATGACTGAACGAGCTCAATACCTAGAACATGAGCTGTTTATTCTTGATAATAAGCTTAGAGACCCTCTGCTAAATGTCCGCCATCAAAGCTGGAAAATATTAAGATTTGATTTACTTGACTTGAATTTTGACAATGTAAGGACTCTTGAAGAATTCAATGCAGCTCAGGATTCCAAAAGAATTGCTGTTGGGGATGAACTTGAAGACTTAGAAACGAATATCAAAAATCTGGTCGCGATTTCTTGCAAAGAATCATTAGAAGCGTTTAGAAGAGAAAATAAAACTACAGTCAATGATGAAGAAGGCAGAAAAGGCCCAGAAGAAGACGCTGACCCATTTTTGGTTGGTGATATATCAAATAAGCAAATGCCATACACCCAAGAAGCAATTATAAGAACCCACTATAAAAGATTAGCGAAGTTCATTAGACTATGTGACTATCAAATTATTGATGCAAAAATGAGCTTATCAGTCCAATCCACACAAAAAGTACTAAAAGTCGTCAATTTCGACTATGGACAAAAAGATAAAAAATTTATTGGGCAAAGAAGGCAGCACAGCCCTCTGCTGGTTATCAATTCAGATTTTGAGCTTCGAGAAATCTTTTATGAGCCTGACAACGAAGCTGTGAAAATTGCTATTGATGACGCCATACTAAATCTCCCTTTCATGAGCTATAAAATATATTTTTCGCTCAGAAGGGCTAATTTATTAAAAATTTCAAAATTATTACTTACATCAAAATATTTTTTTTATAAAAGAATGTTCAAGCTACTTATGGAGTGGCTAATTTTCTAGAAAGTTGGATTTCCAATGGTTTTTGTTACTTATTCAGGAGGGGGTAAGGGGCTTAACCATGCTTCTAAACAACTACATGCTTGTAAGCGTCCCTGAGTTCGAAAGATATACAAAAGCTCTAGACGAATTCGAAGAAAAGCCAGTAGAAGAAGAATTCGACTTATTACAGATGGTAGTAAACGATGAAATGATAAAGAAAATTGGCAGCGACATTAAGGATGGAATTGATATCTCGTTCGCCACACTTGTAAATTTCTCTCAGCATTTGCTGCCAAATCTTGACATTTATATCGAAAATTCAAGAATGGATATAGAGAAATACAGAGATGCAGAAATTGAAGAAATTAAGCATGCAATTGATGAATATAAAAGGCAGATCCACGATTTCAAAACAATGAAGGAAGAAGAAGACGTTGGGATATTCCAGCTACATGTCCTGAACATTAAGAGAAAGCTCATCCCATCCCCAAAACACTGTTTGCAAAAAATAGAAGAGCTGCTTCCAGAAATTGCTTTAGACTCAGCAATGAAACTGACCAAAACTTTGGGAGAATACAATAACAATATCAAAGGAATCCCTAAAAAAGTAGAGGAATACATAAATGTGGTCAAGCATATGAAGGTGATTGAAGACAGCTTGCAAGACATCACAAATCGCGTCAATGATTTGAAAGATTTAATGCAGCTCATGGAAGCATATAGCATTAGATTCACTGATCTTAATAAAAGAAAATATAACGAAACGTTGACACAATTAGACTCACTAAGGACAAAAATGCAAGCCTTTTATGAGCGTGGAGAAAATGATAAGACTAAATTTACTAGAATGCTCAGGGAGAGCGCACATTCAGTAGAAAAAAGAAATAACGATATCAAAGAGCTGCTTAAAAATGAAAATTTCGCTAATAAAGATGCAAATAAGCAAGAAAACATTGCATTTTTAGCAGATATCGGAGAAAAAGTAGTAAATTTGGTGCAAGATACCAAGGATTTCAGAAATTACTATTTAGAGCTAGAAATGGAGCCTAAAGAATACCCAGAGGTAGAAGATACGTTTAAAGACTGGAAAAATAAGAATGAAATGTGGAAGGCTTTGGATGAATGGGAAAAGAAAATTGTGATCTGGAGCAATACTCCATTTTGCAAAATTGATGTAGAAGTTATCAGCAAAGAAGTCGATGGGTACGATAAAATCGCTAAAAAGTGCAAATCGCTGGAAGACCAAGGAAATTATGTACCACAAGTGCTTAACTCCCCCCCCCCCTCCGTGAGCGAACAAAACCATTAGAAAAATCGCCATTTTTTGACCAAAAACCCACCCTCCGTGAGTGAACAAAAATTTTTTTAATAGAAAAAATTTTAATGGAAAAAAAATTTTGATATATAAGTGATAATTAGTATAATGAAATCTAGAGCTAATTCTGTTTAATTTTAAACAAATTGCGTTTTAAAACATAAAATTTTGCAAATTAAAATTAATATTTGCTTCCCAATTTTTGCAAATTAGGATTTTTTTAAAATTTCGAAAAAAATATTTTTTATAAAATTTATATATAAATTTTTTTTAAAAAAAAAAATTAACCCCCCTCCGTGAGCGAACAAAATTATTTTGTTCGCTCACGGAGGGGGGGGGGGGAGTAAGTCATATGTTGACGTGCTGAAAGACACAATGCCAATTGTCAGCGATTTAAGGTTTAAAGGACTAGAAGAAAGGCATTGGGAACAGATAAGAAAAGTTATTGGGATTGATATTGATATAAAAGACGAAACTTTTACTTTAAGAAAGCTTTTGGACATCAAAGTCAACAATATGAGAGAAGAAATTGCAGAAATTGCATTAAGGGCTAGAAAAGAAGAAGAAATCCAAAACCAGCTCAGCGAGATTGTATCAGGCTGGGACAATATTGAATTCCACGTTGAAAAAGTCGAAGAGAACTATATATTTAAAGAAGTTGACGAAATCATGGTTAAGCTTGAAGACTCTCAAGCTGGTCTTTCAACTTTAATTTCTAATAGATTCGTAGGCCCAATGTTTGAAAAAGTTGACTATTGGAACAAAGTTTTCAAAGTCTTTGCTGCCACTCTTGATGAATGACTTCTATGCCAAAAACAATGGGGCGAGCTTGACAAAATCTTCAGAAGTGGAGATATTGCAAAAAAGCTTAATAAAAGCCACAAAGCATTTTTGACAATTGACACCTTTTTCAAAGAAAGAATGAAAAAAGTGTGGGACTCTCCCAATGCACTAAAAGCTGCTACAGAAGAAGGGCTTCTTAAAAGCTTGCAAGACACAAACAAAAACTTAGAAAAACTGCAGAAGAAAATAGAAGAGCATCTTGATAAACAAAGGGTCAATTTCCCTAGATTTTTCTTCCTTTCTAACGATGAGTTATTGATAATTCTTTCTAATTCACAAAATGCAAGGGAAATTCAGACCCACTTGAAGAGTATGTTTGAGAATATCTATGAGCTAGAGTTTGAAGAAGACAAAGCAGAGTCTTTTACTGGGCTGATTTCAGCAGAGAAAGAAACTTTGACGCTGCACTCCAAAATCAAGTCTAAAGGAAATCCTGATGAGTGGCTGAAAACGCTTGAAACACAAATGAGTGAGTCATTGCGTCGCTATATCAGAGAAGCCATCAAAAAATATGGTGACCTATCTCGCAAAGATTTCATTTTGAGCACTGATTTGGTAAGCCAAGTCATCCTATGCACTGCTATGATTATGTGGACCTGAAGCACAGAGGAGAATTTGTCTGGAAAAAGTGACGTAAGTGAGTCTCTGACTGATTGACATGATGTTATCAATGGATATCTGGAAGAACTTACAAATCTTGTAAGAGAAGAGCTAACTTTAGCAATGAGACGAAGAATTGTAGCTCTTGTCACTCAAGATGTCCATAATAGAGATACTATAGAGATGCTTAAAGACGAAGAAGTCACTTCTGCAAGCGATTTTAGATGGCAAAAACATTTACGCTACTATTGGGCTGATTTCGAAGAGAAATTCAAAATTTCTCAGCTGAATGCTGACTTGGAGTATGGGTTCGAATTTATGGGAGCTACCACAAGGCTAGTCATTACTCCGCTTACTGATAGGTGCTGGATGACCATCACAGGGGCTATGAAAATCAACTTAGGCTCAGCTCCTGCAGGCCCAGCAGGTACTGGTAAAACTGAGTCTGTAAAAGACCTTGCCAAAGCTATGGGCAAATATTGCATTGTTTTCAACTGTTCTGAACAAATCACTTACCAAATGATGGAAAAACTCTTTATGGGGCTCTGCTACACAGGCTCTTGGAGCTGTTTGGATGAGTTCAATAGAATTGATATTGAGGTTCTCTCAGTTATTGCTCAGCAGCTTAGAATTATTAAGCAGTCTAAAGATGACAACAAACCAGAATTCTTTTTTGAAGACAAAAAAGTTCTACTGAGGATAGAAACTGGCGTGTTTATTACCATGAACCCAAGCTATGCTGGCAGAACTGAACTCCCTGACAACTTAAAAGTTCTGTTTAGGCCTGTTTCTATGATGGTTCCTGACTATACTCTTATTGCAGAAATCATGCTATATGCTGAAGGCTTCAAAAATGCCAAACACTTGTCAGGTAAAATGACGAAGCTTTATAAGCTTGCTTCAGAACAGCTTTCTCAGCAAGACCATTATGATTTTGGTATGAGAGCTGTAAAAAGTGTGCTGAACATGGCTGGTTCTTTGAAAAGAAAAGAGCCTCATCTGACTGAAGATATCATTTTGATAAGAGCTATGAAAGATTCAAATGTCCCGAAGTTTTTGAAGGAAGATTTAGTCTTATTTAATGCGATTGTGCAAGATTTATTTCCAGATGTTGATATTCCTAATGTAAATTACAGAAATAAAATGGTGGAATTGACGGAAATTGGACTCCGAGGTGCACTCTAAGGAGAAGAAGGAAACATCTTGATAAAGCTGAAAAACAGTGCCTCTATCAGTTTGCGAAAGTCTTTTCAAGCAGAAAAGTTTTGTTTTCTTGTTTCTGCCAGATGGACTAGACAGGTTTTGTCTGCCACATATTTTTGCCTCATTGGGACCATCGGGTACCTTACAGACTTGGTTGTGCTCTAGAGAGCTAATCCCTTGCACAGATAGTTTGTCAGAAATTCAAAAGGCAACATTTTGAAGCCAAGTGTGCGATGGCTAGTGGGTCTACCTGCTTATGATCAGTATAACTTTAACTAACTAATGTGGATTATGGAGAGCTAGAAGCAGCAATTAGAGAATGCATTGATAAAGAACGATTACAGCCGATTGATACATTTGTGAATAAAGTGATACAGCTGTTTGAAACTTTTGAGGTTAGATTTGGTGTCATGATTGTGGGGCCTGCAACTGCAGGAAAATCGATTTGCTACAAAATTTTGGCACAAGCCTTGACTCTGCTGAGAATGAAAAATTCTCGCAACCAGAGCTACCAAAAAGTACAATTCCAAATACTAAATCCTAAAGCAATTTCAATGGGTGAATTATATGGTGAATACAACGAAGTCACTTTTGACTGGAAAGATGGCTTAGCCAGCTCAATTATGAGAGAATTTGCTAAAAAAGAAGAACTCACAAGGCGGTGGGTTGTATTTGATGGACCAGTAGACTCATTATGGATTGAAAACATGAACACAGTCCTTGATGACAATATGATGCTATGTTTGGCAAACCAAGAAAGAATAAAACTTAAGCCAGAAATGAGGATGCTCTTCGAAGTCGCTGATCTTTCTTCAGCCTCTCCAGCTACTGTCTCTCGTTGCGGTATGGTATATATGAATATCGAAGCTGTTGGCTGGAAAGCTCTTATACAAACATGGATTACCAAAGAGCTATCAGAATGGCAGCCTGAGCAAAGGGATCATTTAGTTACACTTATAAGCACTTATATGGGTAAAGCTTTATCAATCGTACAAAGATTGTCTGAGCCAATACCAACCATGACCAATTCATTGATTAATTCATTTTGCAACTTATTAAAAGCAGTGGCTCAGTTTGATAGAAATCCAAGATTTAATGATAATATTGAGCAGTTTAAGAAGTATCTTGATAAAATATTTGTGTTCTGCTTGACTTGGTCGATTGGAGGCGCTTTAGATACCAATAGTATGGTTAAGTTCGACTCTGCTATATCTTCAGATCTTAATGTAGACTTACCCAAGGGATCATTGTATGACTCTTGTGTTGTTTCCAACAAAATCCAAGGCGATTACAAGCAGTGGGATTCCATGAAAAATGAATTTGTGTATAACCCTGATGTGAGTTATTTTCAGCTGCTCGTTCCTACTAAAGATACAATACGTTTTGAGCACCTTCTTAAATACAATATAAGCATTCAGCACCCAGTCTTCATAACTGGCTACACAGGAGTAGGAAAATCCGTAATCATCACAAATACTTTGACAAGCATGAAAGAAACCGACAACATGTACCCCATTTTCATCACGTTTTCAGCACAAACTTCATCGCTCTACACCCAAAACTCAATTGTTACTAAACTTGACGCAAAAAGAAAAGACTTACTTGGTGGTCCAGGGACCAAAAAAGTAGCCTTACTGATAGATGACGTTAATATGCCGGCTGTAGAAAAGTTTGGAGCCCAACCACCAATAGAGCTTTTGCGTCAATTTTGCGATCAAGGCTTTATATATGATCGCGAGAAAAAGTTCCCATTAAGAATTGTAGACACCACACTTATCTGCTGTGCAGCGCCACCTGAAGGAGGACGAAACAAACTAACCCAGAGGTTTACAAGGCATTTCCATGTATTGTGTATTCCACATACAAGTGAAGAAAATATGATAACCATTTTCAAGACTATTTGTGATGGCTTCTATAGTAAAGGCTGGAAAAGTGAGGTCATTGCGATAGTCCCACAGATCGTTTCCGCTACCATTCACATTTATCAGCAAATTAGTGTAGAACTATTGCCAACTCCAGCTAAGTCACATTATTTATTCAACCTTCGTGATGTTTCTAAAGTATTCCAAGGGATTCTTATGGGCAAACCTAGAAGTTTGAATAACCCTGATAGTGTGATTTTCCTTTGGGTTCACGAAGCAATGAGAGTGTTCCATGACAGACTTATTAATAAGCAAGACAAGCGCTGGTTCACAGAAATGGTCACAAAAATCCTTGGTCAGCATTTCAGACTTGCTTTAACCCATGATCAAGTATTTGTTGAAAAAACCATCATTTTTGCAGATTTCCTTAAAGGGGATTTAGCTATGGACGAAAGAGAGTACGAGATGGTGGGCAGCACACAAATTCTTATGAGGAGAGTAAACGAGTTCCTTGATGAGTATAATTCAGTAGGAACCCACGAAATGAAACTAGTCTTCTTTAATGATGCAATTGAACATCTATCTAGGCTGTGCAGAATTTTACGGCAACAGAGAGGAAATGCTATGCTAATTGGTGTCGGCGGGTGTGGAAAACAGTCACTTACGAAACTGGCTGCTTTTATGTGCCATTGTGAATTCTTCCAAATTCAAGTGACCAAGGACTATAAGTTAGCTTCTTTTAGAGAAGACTTGAAAAAGCTGTTTGTGGCAGCAGGAGGGGTGATTCCAAAGCCATCAGTATTTTTGCTGACTGACACCCAAATAATAAGTGAATCTTTTCTTGAAGACATAAACAATATTTTAAATTCTGGAGAAGTGCCTAATCTCTTTACAAAAGAAGAGCTTGATCCTATTGAACAAGATCTTAGAATTGTTGCAGAAAAGGAAAAAGTGTTTGAAAACGTTTACAACTTTTTCATACAAAGGGTGAGAGAAAACTTGCATATTGTTCTATGCATGAGTCCTGTTGGTGATGCTTTGAGAGTCCGAATGAGAATGTTCCCATCATTAGTAAATTGCTGCACAATTGATTGGGTTGATCCATGGCCTAATGATGCACTTTTAAGTGTGTCTGAAAGCAAATTCCAAGATTTGAGTATTGACTTCTTACCAAGGGATGAGTCTTTGAAAGTAAAAGCAGCTTTAGCTCGATTATGCGTTGATGTCCATCAGAGTGTCATTGAAATGGCTGATGAGTTTTATCCTATTTTATATTGAATTTATTTAATGAAATCGTAAAATTCCCTAATAATTCATGGATTTAGCCTTTTAAAACAAAAAAATATGTTCATTAGTATTAAATTCTTTAAATATACCAAATTTTAAACAGAAAAGTGTATATCACTCCAAAAAGTTACATTGATTTAATATCTGGCTATTTCAAGCTCCTCGAAGAAAAACAGAAAGAGCTAAGCGGAGCCCGACAAAGATACAGAAATGGTGTTGACCAGTTAATTAAGACTAATTTAGATGTGCAGGAAATGCAAAAAACACTTGTGAATCTAGCACCTGTTTTAGAAGTAAATAAAAAAGAATGTGAAGAATTAGGGAAAAAACTTGAAGTAGATACAGTCCAAGCAAATAAAGTTAGAGAAATTGTAGAAGATGAGGAAAGAGAGGTAAACATGAAAACTCAAGAAATCAAAGTCCTACAAGAAGATGCTGAAGCTGACCTGAACCAAGCCATGCCTATATTAGAAGAAGCAATCAGAGCATTAGGAAATATAAACACAAAAGATATAGCAGAAATCAGAACCTTCGCCAACCCTCCTAAACTAGTTGTGTTCACTCTTGAAGCGATCGCTATCTTGTTAGAAGCCCAGACTTCTTGGGAATCCATCAGAAAAATCCTCCAAAACAACTTCTTAGATACTCTAATAAAATTCCCGAAAGACAGTATAAAGCCAGTCACCCTCAAAAAGCTGAAAAATAAAATTGCCAGTCTCCCTGACTTTACTCCTGAAAAAGTTGGCGGCCAAAATGTCGCATCTAAATCTCTATGTGAGTGGGTCTATGCCATAGTAAACTACGCACAAGTATCAAAAGAAGTCGAGCCTAAACGAAAAAGACTAGAAGAGCTCAACAAAACATTAGCTGAAGCCGTTGCAAATTTAGCTGATACACAGAACAGATTAAGAGTCGAACAAGAAAAGGTTGCAGGACTTGAGGCCAAATTTAAAGCAGTACTAGATGAGCAAATCAGCTTAGACAATGAAATCCAGACCACAAATTTAAGACTTTCAAGAGCTTCTGTATTAACTGAAGGTCTTAAAGATGAGCACCAAAGATGGAAAATTTCAGTGGACAGACTGACAGAAAAATTGCGAAATATTTTAGGAGACATTTATTTGTCAGCAGCTTGTATCAACTATTATGGACCTTTTTCTGGGTTATATAGAAACAAGCTAGTAGCCTTTTGGATGAGCAAATGTCAAGAGCTTGGAATACCATTCAGCAGCAATTTTGATTTAATTGACGTAATGGGCGATCCACTTGTAATTAGAGAATGGAATATTGCGACTCTTCCTACTGATTCTGTGAGTGTTAGCAATGCAATTTTGGTCACTAGGTCAGAAAGATGGCCACTTATGATTGATCCTCAAGAGCAGGCTAATAGGTGGATTAGAAAGATGGAGGAGTCAAAGGGACTGAAACTTATTAAGCAGACTGATAAAGACTTTGAAAGGAGTTTAAAAGCTTGTCTAAGGGATGGAGTTCCTATGCTAATTGAAGATGTAGGCGAAACATTAAATCCTTTGCTTGACCCTGTTTTAAATAAGCATCTAGTAGAGCAGTCTCCAGGAAGATTCACGCTGAGAATGGGAGAAACTGATATTGACTATGATATGAACTTTAAGCTGTATATAATCACAAAGCTTTCTAATCCTCATTATCTCCCTGAAATCAGCATCAGGGTCAGCTTAATCAATTTCACAGTCACAATGAAAGGTCTAGAAGAACAGCTTCTAGGTGATGTCGTCCGCAAAGAAGAGCCAAAAATAGAAATTGAGCAAAATAAGCTCGTGAAAGACATAGGTGATGGACAAAGAGAGCTCAAAAACTTCGAAACTTTAATTCTTCAATCCCTTTCTGCTACAGAAGGAAATATCCTCGACGATGCGAAACTAATAGCTAGACTAGAAACAGCCAAAAAGTCATCAGATTTGATCAATAAAAGAATGATAACTGCTGAAAACACCAAAAAAGAAAACGAAGCAGCTAGAGCTAAATATCAAAAAGTCGCCAGAAGAGGGTCAATTTTGTATTTTGTGATCGCTGATTTAGCAAATATTGATCCTATGTATCAGTATTCTTTGAGTTATTTTTCAAAATTCTTTAATTCCATTATTGACCAAGCTCCAACAAATCCAGATGCCCAAGTCAGGATTGAAATTTTGATTAATGCGATTACTGAAGTCATTTACTCGAATATTTGTAGAGGGCTTTTTAACGCTCATAAACTTATTTTCAGCTTTTTATTGGCGGCACAAATACAAAGAGATGCTGGGCTTATTAAAGATGCTGAGTGGGCTATACTGTTGAGAGGTGTTTCTATGGTCCCTGCTGACTTTAGGAGGACTCCAAAGCCTGATATAGCAGGAGTCACTGAAAAGTCATGGAATTTCATTGTATTTTTACAAAATGTCAGCGAAGCATTTATGGAGCCATTTGTAGGCGAAGATATCAGAAATAACAGAAAAGAATGGCATACCTGGATTCACTCCAAAGAGCCTCAAAAAGAGCCACTGCCAGGAAGATACAATAACCTATCGATATTCCACAAAATGCTTTTAATAAAAGCTTTCAGAGAAGAAAAAATCATATACATGGTCTCAGAATTCATTAGCCACGTTTTAGGTCCTAAATTTGTGCAGGTTACACCCACATCAATGGAAGAAGTTTATGTAGAAACTACCAAGAGGACTCCAATCATTTTCATTTTAAGCCAAGGTGCTGATCCAATGTCTATGATTACCAGGCTTGCTCGTGACAGAAAATTCCTAGATAGAATTGACCCTATTTCTCTAGGTAAAGGACAAGACGAAAAAGCAAGAAAAGCTATCGAAAAAGGCCTTAGGGAAGGAAAATGGGTCATATTGCAAAACTGTCATCTTGCAAAATCGTGGATGCCAGACCTGGAAAAACAAATAGAAAACTTTGACGACCCTAAAACAGTAATCCATGAAGAATTCAGAATTTTCTTGACATCAATGCCTTGCAATTATTTCCCAATCCCTGTGTTGCAGAATGGAGTCAAAGTCACAATTGAGCCACCTAAAGGAATCAAATCAAACTTGCTTAGATCAATGACTCTTATGACTGATGAAAAAATCGCTGAGTCAAATAAGCCAGAAACTTGGCAAAAATTGATTTTCTCTTTATGCTTATTCCACGCAGTAATACAAGAACGTCGAAAATTCGGTCCATTAGGTTGGAATATCCGTTATGAATTCAATGAAAGTGACCTAGAGACTTCTATTCGTGTGATTGAAAATTTCTTAAATGAGCAAGAAGTGGTTCCATGGGAAGCTATTAAATTTGTTACCGGAGAAATTAACTATGGTGGAAGAGTTACTGATGATTTAGATAGAAGATGCTTAATGAGCACTCTTTCCTACTTCATAAAGCCAGAAGTCCTTGAAGATGCCTTCAAATTTTCTGAAAGTGGTATATATGCAATTCCATCAGAAAGTACGGTTCAAGCTTATAAAGATTATGTTATGAACTTGCCTATTACAGATGAGCCAGAAATATTCGGGATGCATGAAAATGCAAATATTACTTTCCAGCAGCAAGAAAGTTCTAGTGTGCTAAATGCGGCTTTATTAATTCAGCCTAAGGAGAAAGGAAAGTCTTCTATGGGGAAAACGCCGGATGAGATGGTAGATGAGCTTGCGGCTAAATTTTTAGAGGAGTTGCCTAACCCTCTGAGTGAGCAAATTTCTTTGCTCGCTCATGGATCAGAGTTAATGCTAATTTTGTTTAAAATTTTATTTTTAAAATCCAAATTTGCAAATATTTTAAACATTATTTAATTAATATTTACGTTTTATTGTGCAAGCTGTCTAAAATTTAATAAAATTAGCTAGAGATTTCATTACAATCTTTTATTATTTTTATATATAAACTATTCCATATAGAAAATTTTTATATATTACGACATTTTTGGAGATGTTTAATTTTTTCAAAAATTAGGACTTTCTAATATTTTTACTCTACCACGTAGAGGGGGAGTAAAATTTTAATGAAATCAGAAGCTGGCAGCCATACTTTTGTAGTAGAAAATGGGCTGATGGAAGCCATGGCTACTTTTCTAGGCCAAGAAATGGAAAGATTCAACAGGCTTCTAAATAGATGCAAAACAAGTTTGGAAGACTTGAGAAAAGCAATACAAGGGCTTGTCTTGATGTCTGATGATCTTGATAGAATGTATAACGCCATGAACAATAACTTGATTCCTGAGCTTTGAAATCGTGTTGCTTATCCTTCACTCAAGCCGCTTGCATCTTGGTTTACTGATCTCAAAGAAAGAGTTTCATTTATTCGTAAATGGCTCATCCATGGTAAGCCTGAATCTTATTGGCTAAGCTCTTTCTTTTTCCCACAAGGATTTTTAACATCAGTAATGCAAAGCCATTCAAGAAAATTCCGCGTTCCAATTGATATGCCTAATTTGCTAAATATTATATAAATTGCCAAGACTACTATGCATTTTTATATAAATATTTTTAGAAGCCTCAGATATCTATTACCAATTTAATTTAAAATAGAATAATTTAGTATTTACATTTGAGTTGCAGTCATTTAGTGAAATCGAAAGAATTGAAGAAAAAATTGATGATGGGGTTTATGTCCATGGACTATTCATGGAAGGATGCAGATGGGATCCAGAAACTAATGTGCTGGAAGATTCTAAGCCTGGAGTTATGTGGACTTTAGCTCCTTTAATTTCATTTATACCGAGCGAAGTACAAGACAATGTTGATGAAGAGGAAGAGTACTACTTAATGCCTGTTTATAAAACCTCAGCAAGAGCAGGGCAGCTATCAACGACAGGGCACTCCACAAATTATATAATCTCAATTGATGTTCCGACTCATAAGCGGCCTCAGCATTGGATTCAGAGAGGAGCTGCCTTTTTATGCCAACTTGATGATTAGTAATAAAATAAATCATGATTTAATTAATATGAACAGCTAGTATTTTATTGTGTAATTAATAAAAATGGCCTTTTAATATAAATAGGAATTAAATGGCTGCTCGTTTCGTGAATTCAGTTTTAAAAAATATCTCTTTATTTTCAATGCTTTATATCATAAAGCTTCTGTTCCTTAATTCTAGAATTTAATGATCTCTTTATTATATTAAATCAGACAATGGCACTTCAAGGAATAAAACCATACCAAAGACCAAATGATTGGGCAGCACTCGTCGAGGCCCAATCAAAGGCAAATCTCATGCAAGAAAAAGCTGATGCAGAGTTAGCAAGTCTTAATAAGAGATTACTCCGTGACGAACTTGATAGACAGTTACAGGAAAAGGAACAGCAGCGACGAGATGAACAAATGCTCACTCCCCCTTTTTTAAATTGGAGCAAAAAATCCTATTCCAATTTAATTTGTTTTAATAAAATTATTTTTAAATTTTTCTAAAATTTTTAAAAAATAAATTGAACAGCGTACTTTGAATTTTATATTTTTTTATAAAGATATTTCAAAAAATAATCATTTAGTGTTAAAGCTGTTCAAATAGCATTCTACTTTGAATTTATCTATTAAATTTGGTTATAAAACTATTTTCTTCTAACTCTCCCCCCCCTTCCGTGAGTGAACAAAAAAATTTTGTTCACTCACGGAGGGGGGTTAATTTGTTTTTTTTAAAAAACTTTATATATAAATTTTATAAAAAATATTTTTTTTCTAAATTTAAAAAAATCCTAATTCGCAAAAATTGGAAGGCAAATATTAATTTAATTTATAAAATTTATGTTTTAAAGAGCAATTCGTTTAAAATTAAATAGAATTAGCTCTAGATTTTATTATACTAATTATCATTTATATATCAAAAATTTTTTCCATATAAAAAATTTTTCTATTAAAAAAATTTTTGTTCACTCACGGAGGGTGGGTTTTTGGGCAAAAAATGGTGATTTTTCTAATGGTTTTGTTCACTCACGGAGGGGGGGGGAGTAAGGATCCCCCCCTCATTTGTCAAATTTTCTAGTCTTTTTTTATAAGATAAAAAAAATTTTCAGGACCTCATCTGTCCCAAAATCTAGTAAAAATGATTTGTCCCATTTTCTAGTCTTATTTGGATTTTTTCGAATGCCCTAAATTTTTGTTTTTTACTTTAAAAAAACTAGAAAATGAGATAATTGAGGTCCTGAAAATTTTTTTCCTATCAATATTTTGACTAGAAAAACTGGACAAATGAGGTCCTAAAAAAATTTTTATTTCCTATAAAAAAAACTAGAAAAATGGACAAATGATAAAAGACTGGAAAATTGGACAAATGAGGGGGATCTTTATAAAATTCCCAAATTGAAAAAAATTTCGTTTCTCAAAAAATAGAATTTTACCAATACTTTGTTCGAATTTAAGGGGGGGTTCAGAGAAATCGAAGCCAATCTTATGCTTAAAAAGAGCAAAGCTATTCAGGACTATGACCAAAGAGCCAAACAAGAATATAAATACATGCAACAGCAACTAGGTCAAGAATACCAAGACATGTCAAGCTATAAAGCTCAATTAAGAGCTCAAATGAACCAACAAGAAAAATCTGCTGATAAATCGTGGCTCAACACACTTAGCAACCAAATGGATCGTGACAACAAAATGAAAAGAGATTTAAAAGAAGAAAAAGTTAGAACAGAAATGGAAGTTTTAAGGCTTAAAGAACAGCAAAGAGAGTATGAACGCCAACAAAGAGAAAACGAAAGACTAAGAGACCAAGAATTAATTAGGCAAAATATTGAAAGAGTCAACTTACTCCATCTATTGGATAGCGAGCAAAACAAGAAAAATTCTATTTTTGGAAAAAATAAATTTTATATATAATTAATTATTTTAATAATATATTCAATTTAGACAGCTGCGTGCTAAAATATAAATTTTGAAATTAAATTAGACTTTTCATCTCAAATCTTTAAAATTTGGATATATTTTTATTTAAAATTTTTATAAAAACTTTACGCAAAATATCTTACTCACTGAACAAAGGGAAGAATTAAGGGACCAAAAATTGATGGATTTTAATAAAAATTTAGACGAACAGAGAACTAATAAAGCAGTTGTATATGATCCTGTAGCAAGAGAAAATTTAGAAAAAGAAATCAAAAAGGTTGAGGTTGTAAATCAGTGGGAAAATGAAGCAAGAAGAAGAGCTGAAGAAAAAATGAACCAAGAAAGAGAACGAAGAATGGCAAACAAGCAAGAAACCATACAAACACTTCAGCAGCAGCTACAGGAGAAAAACATGAAAAGAGAAATGGAAAGAATGGATTTTGAAAGAGAAAAACAAACCATTCAAAGACAAGTTGAAAACACTAAAAGTTACGAAACTCAGCTTAAGTTTTTAAGAGCTAACTCCCCCCCTCCGTGAGTGAACAAAACCATTAGAAAAATCGCCGTTTTTTGCCCAAAAACCCACCCTCCGTGAGTGAACAAAAATTTTTTTAATATAAAAATTTTTTATGGAAAAAAATTTTGATATATAAATGATAATTAGTATAATGAAATCTAGAGCTAATCCTTTCCAATTTTTGCGAATTAGGATTTTTTTGAATTTCGAAAAAAAATATTTTTTCGAAAATTTATATATAATTTTTTTTTAAAAAAAAAATTAACCCCCCTCCGTGAGTGAACAAAATTTTTTTGTTCACTCACGGAGGGAGGGGGAGTAAGGAAAAAGAAGAATATAAGCAGGTTCTTGAGAACCAATCGCAGAATAAAATGATGCAAAAATATAATGAGTTGAAGATGGATGAAAAAGAAAAACAAATTTTTTCACCAATTTTAACTTCAAATGAAGATTTGGAGTTTAAAGCAGTCCCAGGAATTCATCCTAGGGAATCTCCACTGCAAAAAGCATTTTTAAGAGCTCATAGAAGTTTTTCTCAATTGCCAAATCCGAATTCACCGACTTCAAGAGATCCAAGCCCAGGGGGATTGTCAAGAAATGCTAGTAATTTTGGGGATGATAAAAGTTTTGCAGGAAGCCCTGTAAATGGATCTTTTTCTAATAGAAAGACAAGCAGAAATGAGTTTTTCTTTGATCCTCAGAAGCATGACCCAATTATTAATCCACTTGGAGCTAATATTCCAAGACCAGGGTTCGGTTCAACTTTTCAAAGAGGAAAAGGGCTTTCGCTGCTTCATGTAGGTTCCTCAATTACCAAACTTTAATAATTATATAGCTTTCTTTATTCAATTGAAATATGAGAATTTTGTATAATTAACAAAAAATTAATAAGGAATAAGGTAATTTTAAAAATCCTATTTTTAAACCTAAGCTTCTTTTATATTATCTGATTAAAGGCACGATTTCTTTTAAACCTCCTTTTTTGTATCAAATATATTTAAAAATTTTATCAAAGCAATTATAAAAACGATTTTTTATCAATTTTATATCCTGTAGGATATTTTCATTCATGTTTTCAACATCAATCGAGTCAACAATTTCTTTTATTTCAGCATGCTCTGACTTATTTTCAAATTTTTTTAATATTCTTTGTTTATTTTGATTGCGATACTCAATTAGCGCTTTTTTAATCATGAAAAAATAAGTTTGTTTTGTTCCACAAAAGCCATTACAAAATTTTAAATTTAAGACATTTGGATTTATTTTGTACTGGTATCTGATATCTGATTTATCTAATATTTTATACTTACTCCCCCCCCCCCCCCCCCCCTCCGTGAGCGAACAAAACCATTAGAAAAATCACCATTTTTTTTGACCAAAAAACCCACCCTCCGTGAGCGAACAAAAATTTTTTTAATAGAAAAAATTTTAATGGAAAAAAAAAATTTTGATATATAAGTGATAATTAGTATAATGAAATCTAGAGCTAATTCTGTTTAATTTTAAACAAATTGCGTTTTAAAACATAAATTTTGCAAATTAAATTAATATTTGCTTCCCAATTTTTGCAAATTAGGATTTTTTTAAATTTCGAAAAAAATATTTTTTATAAAATTTATATATAAATTTTTTTTAAAAAAAAAAAATTAACCCCCCTCCGTGAGTGAACAAAATTTTTTTGTTCGCTCACGGAGGGGGGGGGGGGGAGTTAGGAGTTCCCAGGCATTTATCACAAATAGGTTTTTTCAATAATGGACATTTATGGAAGTTATTTTCGTCTAAGTAGATAAGACATTCTGCGCAAGAGTGGAGAGTTGCCAGCATGTATTGGTCTTTCCAGCTATTAGATTGTTCAATAGGATTTTTATATTGATTTGAATAATAAAATTGCCAAAGCTCTTCATCTCAAGTGATATGATAAAACTCCTTGCATACCAAAGAAAGCGTATATGAGGTTTCTCGCGGCGAAATAAATCGGAATACTTCTATTCATGCCCTTTTATATTTACTCCCCCCCCCCCCTCCGTGAGTGAACAAAAAAAATTTTGTTCACTCACGGAGGGGTTAATTTTTTTTTTTTAAAAAAATTTATATATAAATTTTATAAAAAATATTTTTTTTTTCGAAATTTAAAAAAATCCTAATTCACAAAAATTGGAAGCAAAATATTAATTTAATTTATAAAATTTTATGTTTTAAAAAGCAAATTCGTTTAAAATTAAACAGAATTAGCTCTAGATTTCATTATACTAATTATCATTTATATATCAAAATTTTTTTACCATAAAAAAATTATTGTTCACTCACGGAGGGTGGGTTTTTGGGCAAAAAATAGCAATTTTTCTAATGGTTTTGTTCACTCACGGAGGGGGGGGAGTTAGAAGACTTTGATTCTACTTGTTTATCTAATTTTGGAGGGATATGATAAGGCTTGTCAAGAGGCTCATAATTTATATTTCATTCATTAAGCCATTTATCAAATATCCTAGAATCTTCGTCATTTACACAAACTTTGATGTCATTTTTACAAATATATTGGTTGTATTTTGGAGTATAGCATTTCAAATGGTAATATTTAGGGACATCGTAGTGATAAATATAAATTCTCATGTCTCCTTTTAATATTTTACTATCGCATGCCCTACAGATAGCTCTGCTTGACTTTGAATATTCCACATTAAATTCGACTTTAAACATTTTATATTGATTCGAAAATTCAGAGTTAATCTCATTTTTTGCTCATTTATTTTAATGAATATAATATTTTATATACTAAAATAGTTCGATCAAATATAAATTTTAATAGAATCACTTTGAGAATGATATGTGGGGAGTTATAAAACTGTTAAATTAAAAATTATCAATGCCCATTTCTACTACTTGTATTGGATAATTGGTAAGTAAATTTTGTTATGATTACCTTAAATATTCTTAATTAAATTGCTCTAGCTGGATAATTAATATCATAAAAGTATGCAGTAATCTACATTCTTATATAATGGCTAGTGAATATATATGCATTTGCTTTTACACCTTATCAATAAGCAACAACTTTACTTGAATATATTTTTATATAAGCCAATTAATTTATCTGCTTAATATTGAATGATTGAAGGAGACGGTATAATTTTATTCAAAAATGCCCACATTTTAGCTTCGCTTTCCAAAGACCCATCTCCAAAATGTCCTGTTTTTTGTACATCAAGTGCAATATTTTGAGAACAAATTAAACCCTCCTTGGAGTCTAAATATTTTCTTTGCCTCATCCTAGCAACATATTTCAAAATACTGACATAATCAACTCTGGAGTCATTCAGCCCAGCTGTAATATAAAGTGGAGGATATCTAGCTATAGACAAATTCTCATATGGAGAATAGCTACGAATTTCATTGTAGATGTTTACATCAGAAATAGGATCTCCCCACTCGTCCCTATCAGGAATTGTCAAAATTGACTCTTCATTGAGCATATTTGATAATGGATCCACAAATGGGACGTCTAAAACTACAGCTTTAAATAATTCTGGCCTCATATTCATAACAGCTGCCACGAGCAGACCTCCTGCTGATGTCCCATAAGCAGCCATAAGTCTTGGCCTTGTGTATCCTTGTGCAATTAAAAATGAAGCAGTTGAAATAAAATCTAAAAATGAATTTTGTTTTCGCTCTTTAACTGCAGCTTGATGCCATTGAACTCCTTTTTCTCCTTCACCTCTGACATGGGCATCAGCTATTATCCACCCTTCTTCTACTGCTGCTAGTTGGCTATATTTAAAGCTATGGTCACTGCGAGTTCCATAAGCCCCATATCCGGTCATTAGCAGCCGATTACTATATGAGTATTACTTTCTATTTTTTTCTAAGCCTGATCTATAAAATAGAGTTAATGGTATCAATAACCCATCATGAGAAGGAACTTCGAGCCTCTTGCATTCAAATTTATTTGCATAATAAGGGACTCCTGAAAACGTTTTTTCGTGAACTGGATAAAGAGTGTTCGTATTTAAGTCATACCCATACGATATTTCATAAGTTAAACGTGAAGAATAAGTGAATCTAAGCTCTTTAGAGTAGAAATCCATATTAACTCCAGGCTGAATTGAATAAATTTCTTCCTTGTTTTTAGTGAATTCAATTTTTTTGTGCTCCATTGTACGCAAATCATATACTCTTATTTTTGGGATCGTTTTTTCTCTGCAGTATACAACTAAATGATTTTCAAACATATCGACTTCGTCGATGCATAAGCCATCTTCAAAGCCAACGACAGTTTGTGCGTGCTTTTGAGAAGTTTTTGAAGGAAATCTGATAATTTTGAAATCTGGGACATCCTTATTTGTGACGAGATAAAAATAATCCTAACTAGGTACTACCTTATTATGCTCAACGAAATACCTTGTATTTGGCTCTTTGCTTGCAACAATTTGTGTTTTATTTGTTTTTCTATCAATTACATGCATCTCTGAAGAGCTCCTTGATTGAGACGAAATTATTGTGTATTTTTTGTCTTTTGTCTGGGATAAATCCAAATAATAAGCCCCATTGGTTTCTTCGAATATTAATTTGTCGTTTTCGCTCTTTTCATTTAAATTGTGAAGAAAGATCTTATTGTAAATTACCTTTGATGGACGATTATGTTCATCTGGAAGTGTATAATAAAAACTTCTGCCATCTTCAGCTCATTCTGCATTTCCTGCCATAGGAATGCGATCCTGCTTATTTTTTACAATAATTTTTCCGGTCTTTAAATCTTTTACTCCTAATGTGGGTCTATCATTTCCATGCAAATCAACAACATAAATGAGTTTTGTGTGATCATCAGAGAGTCTTATTATAGGTGAGCCAATTCTGTATTTTTGCTCGTCCTGCGCATTTCTTAGCTCAGGGATTTCTTCAATTCGGAAAATAGTCTCAGGGTTTCCAATTGTTCCATCCTAAATATCAATTACATCAAAAATCCTTTTCCTGGAGCAAATAAAAAAAGGCTCTTCTACTGAAAAATAGAAATAATTCCCAATTTGCTCAGGAGGAGTATCTTTATGATCGACTGTCCTCATTTTTAATCTCTTCATAAAGTCTTGATATTCAGGATTGATATTTTCTGAAAAAATTTTGAAATTGTCAGCTTCTTTTTTGAGGAGTTGGTTCTATATAAAACTAACTAATTGCAGTGTATTTGTGGCGAGTTTTGCATATTCGTCGATTCTTATTCGATTGTGAATGTGCTGGACAGCTCTAAACCTATAAGCCATTTTATTACTAAGCTTAGTTAAAGTGTTTAGTGCTATCAAGATTTCAAGGTGAAGGAATGACTGGCTTTTTGCTGAATTTCAAAATAGCTGAATTAAGACTGGTTATTCTAGCAATTTTTAAGAGAATTTAATATTTTTAAAGTTGCACATTTCGGCTTGGTGGGTTTGTTTCAAAAGCAGCCAAAGCAGGCGGCAAGCTTTCTAAATCACTTATTGGAATCACTGGAGGAGCATAATGAATTATTTTGATTTCAATTCAATAACAATGGTTTCCTATTATGAAGGATAAATTTCTCTGACCAATTTTCTCATTTAATAAAGCAACATCAGGCTCAACAGAATTTTTAATTTTTTGCAATCTCTTAATGAAGCAATGGCCCATCAGCCTAGTCACAGTAAGCATCACTGCAATTCATGCAACATCTACCCCAAGTGCCAAAAAGTCTAAATATATAATTGCTGAAATTAAAGAGACAAGCAAGAACGCAGTTCATACTATAAATAAATATTTTAATGCATCATAAGTAATTTTTCCGCATTGGATTCTCTGTTTAATTTTATTTGCAATTGAGTCAAATTCAGATTTTTCAATAGTTTGGCTTGAAAAATCCATAAACCCTTGAGAAGTATCATAGTGGGCATTCATACAAGCTAGTCTTAATGGAAATATTTTACTATCATGCCTGCTTTTAGGGATTAAAGGGTCTATTGGAAGTCTCCAAAATTGTCATAATGGAGTCTGCTGGTCTTTATATTTAAATTCCATTATAATTTCTCAACAAACTTATATAAAGGGTAAATCAATATGACCTTATTATTCAATTCGAAGCTAACATATTTTATTGCATTTTTACTAACTCCTCCTCATCCTTGATCGAACGATTGACTGTAAAAATTCCTAAAAATTGGGAAAATTAACCCCCATCCTTGATCGAACGATTTTCACATCACGCAAATTTTCATATATATAAAAAATATATTAGTTATCAAAAGCTTGGGAAGATGTGCCTAATGAAGTTGTTATCAGAAACTTTGAGACGACAGGAAGCTACGGAATCGACCATCCGAAGTGCATTAGTCAGCAACCTGGGCTTAAAAACTCAATAATCTAAAAAATAGAGATTCTTTAAAATTACATTTTTAAATTCAATAAGGGACAAATTGAAATTTATACAGTTTAAAGGGGTCAAAAAATAAAAATATTAAAAATTAGTATTCTTATGAAATTAATTCAATTTTTTGCTGTAAAAATAATTATTAAATGCTCTTAACCCTCTTATTTAAAAATACATAAAAAAATATATTTTGTTTTATATATAAATTTTTTTTTTCCAAAATATTTTTTTTTTAACCCCCATCCTTGATCGAACGATGGCGAGCCGTTCGATCAAGGATGGGAAGGGAGTAAATAAATATATTTACGACTAAATTTAATTTTCATTAGATAGTTGAGCAGTTAAGTTTTTTGGAAGTAAATGAGCGACTTCTTTTCCTATCTGCCGAAGCCTCATTGCCGTATATGTGAACACATTACTTGGATCAATTTTCTTTGTCAAGATTTCGGTATAAATAATTTGAAAAGCCATAGCAATTCCACTGTCTTGCAAATATTTTTCGAATAGTCTTATTTGCTGCTCTGCTTGATCTTGGTCAATAATTTGTGTTCTTCCTTCTAATTCATCTAATACTCTTCTTATCAATGATCTTAGCATTTCTATACTATTTTCATAGATTATGCTCCTTATTTTATAAAACTTTTACTTATTAATTAAGCAAATAATTAGATACTTTTCAGATAAAAGATATAAAAATTCATTGAAAGAAATTTTTCCATCTTGGTTTCTATCAATTTCTCTCATGATAGCTTTTACTTGTTCTTTTGTTGGAGGTTTACACTTCATATTAAATGAAGCTTTTGTCATAATCTTTAGTAGCTCTTTTTCTTCAATGTATCCTGAGTTATCACTGTCAATTTCTTGAAATGGCTGCCTAGCCATTCTTGCTAGAGACTCTGTATCATTAACAAGCTCTCTTAGCTCATATATCAGCCTTCCTTGTTCTTGTTTCCTCTGAATCTCAAGCTGTTCTTGTTTCATCTTTTCAAGTTCCTCAATTTTTTTTCTCAGCATGATTTTCAGCATTTCTTGATATTCTGGAAAAGAAATGCTTCCGTCACTGTTTCTATCAATCTGCCTCATAATATTTTTTACATCTTCTTTAGTAGGAGGTTTAGCTCTCATGCTTGATGATGCATTAATCATAACACGTAAAAGTTCTTTTTCTTCAATGTATCCTGAGTTGTCAGTGTCGATTTCATTGAAAGAAGGCCTTGATACTTTCGCAAGAGCTTGGTCGTTGTTCAATAGCTTTGTAAGTTGAGATATAGCATTCTCAATATTTTCGGTTTCTAATTGATTGGAATTATTAGGCTCGTTTGGCTCAGGTTTGTCTTCTTCGGGCTCGCCGATCAAATCTCGCAGCATTTTTTTGACTAGTTCTATAAACTCGTTAAAAGAAATACTGCCGTCTTGATTTTTGTCAATTGTTTTTGCAATTTGTTTTACTTGATCTTTCGTAGGCACTTTGCATCTCATTGATTGGGCTGCTTTTGTCATAGCTTGCAATAATTCGCCTTCTTCTATGTATCCTGATCTATCTGTATCGAGTTCTTGAAATGCAGGCCTTGCTACCTTTGCAAGGGCTTTTTCATCATTTAGCAGTTTTCTAATTTCTTCAGCCATAATTATAAACTGATATTAAAAGTTTACTATAGATAATAAAAAAGTGAGTTATCTAGATGATAAGCATGCATTTTGATTATATTTATATAATATATTGCCTAATTGCATGGCTACAAAAATTAATGAATTTATTTGCAGATTTCTATATCGAGATTTCTATTGAATTCAGAAAGGGCGCTTTAGAAGAAACCATATGATATTGTGGACTTCCTGGCTCTTTGAAATGGAAAGGATCAGTGTTTGAAGCTCCATTTAAATTTAAACTCATCATAGGAGAAATGCTCCCAGTAGGTGTCATATATTTTGGAGTAAATGCCTTTAGTCTTCCATACTTGAAAACTGGGACCATTGGAGGATCCAAAATTGGCGTTTTTACTTTTTTATTCCCAATTTTCAAATTTTTCGGAACAACCATAATGACAGGTCTCATCTGAATACTTCTTTCAAGCAAATCATCTTCGTCCTTCTCATTGGAATCGCCTATTGCTGCTACTTGAATTTGTACAGTTCTATCCAATAAAGTTTCGTCTCTTGATTTTTCATCTTTTTCACTAGCTTGTGCAGGCTCGTTTTCGAAGTTCTTGGATAAAATTACTCACTCAGTCAGTTTTGAAGTTGTGCAAGTTTCTCTTAAGGAGTTAAGGATAAGAACTAGGATTACAAAGCCAGAAATACCACATGTAACAATTAAAGCAATAATGTACCCTTTCTCTTGTGTATCTGCATTTGATAAATATTTATCAGAAAGCAAATAGGCAACAATAAAAAGCATGCCCATAACTATCAGTAATAAAGGCACAAACAAGCACTGAATAGCTCCTTGTCTGCAGTATTCAGTTGGAACACAAACTTTTTCGATTTTAAATTCCATGTCAAATTTTTCTTTACATAACTCGCATTTTGCTTCAGCAATATCTTCAGTTTGTGAAACAAGCCAAGTTTTTAGACAAATTTCATGGATATATTTTACAGAACCTGAACAGCGGCAAGGAGAAATTAAATTTCTACTGCCTCTTCCTGGTTCCATACAAATCCTGCATAACTTTTCTTCATGGTCTTCAATTCTGGGTTGGCTTTCAGCTTCTTTTGGAGCTGCCTCCGAATCATTAATTGGGACAATTTTATTCATTTTAGGGATTCTTTTAATTTCTTGTGTTGATATTTGTCGTACTTCTTCAAGATCTTCTCCGCTTCTAAGCATATATATATTATAGTGATATTAAAAGTTTACGAAAGAATTTATTTGATTGCTGTATATTGAAATTAAAAAGTATGGAGAAAATGCAATTCTAGATTTTTTATTTTTTATTTAAGCATTTTAAAATATAATTATGAAAGAAACAGTGAGTTGTAAGTAAATTAACTTGTGCCTTGGTTGAATTTTTATATGCTTATTTTATTTTATTAAGATTTGGAAAGAAGTTGAATTTAATTAACTAAAAACTGCTCAGTACATAAACATTGCATTCTCTATAAAATAATATATACATCAGCTAAATTTGCTTATTTTTTCCCAAGAAGAATTATAATTCAAAATCAAACTCTGAAATAAATTTTTAAATTAAAGCGTTATAAATATTGCTGAGAAATTATTAAATATTTCACTTAATAATAACTTGAATTTATTATAGATATAGAATAAATGATTATTTGCTGAATACAAAATAATAACTAAGTAAAATGATATTAGTTTGCTCCATGTTCACTCTAACTTTATAAATTTGCGCAAAGAATTGTAGAAAATATCGACTAAAGAAAAATAAAAAAAAATAATAAAAAGCATCAAGGGAATTACCATACAGATTTAAGAGGAGATTGAGTTTATAAGTTTGGAAAATCCTAAATAGCTTTTGGTGAGCTTCTGCTGTCACTAAATTAAAGCATGCATTAATATTCTAACATTTCATATCTTTAAATTTAAATTTATTACTGTTTAAATAATGAGCCTTCAAAGCTTAATTAATGCAGATAACTATATTATCCAAAAAAACTCAGTATATTCTACCAGAGAAATAATTTATTCTAATTAAGATCACTGGCTTTTTAAAATTCAAGTAAATTATCTACTAATATATATGTCGCAGCACGGGCCCAAATTAATAGATCTCTTTGAAAAAGCCACCTCTGACGAATTAAAGGAGCCTGACTATGGTTTAAACCTTGAAATTTCAGATCGCATGAATTCTCGCCGCCGCTAGTAACATTTACTTAGTTGTCTAGAAGGAATTGAGTATTTTAAACAGCTTTTTAGATCAACAGATCTGAAAACCATTGAGCTTACATTATCTCTCCTAGAAACTTGTGTAAAAAATTGTAATAGTCATTTTCATCGCTATTTGAGCAATCGTGAATTTATTCCAAGTTTCACGCAGCTTCTTAAAAGACGAAGAAGAAAGCTAAATCTGGTTGAAAAGATGGCTGGACTCTACAAGAATCCTGGCTGAAGAAAAGTTGAAGACCGCGTTTTGTGCTTAATTCAGCTCTGGGCAGACACCTTTATGATGCATGAAGACACATACCCATCCTTTATGAAAATTTATAGAGAATTAAGAAAAGAAGGATTGAAATTCCCAGCAAGAGATCCTAATGAAAGATTTATGATCAAATTTGATGGAGACCCATCCCCTGCTTTTGAATTATGCCCTCTGCTTATGAATAATTCATTTATTTTTTTCCAGTTAAAGCTGATTTATTTTATTTACAGCCGAGGATTATTCACTTGTAGAGATTATAGCTGATATGGAGCAGCAGCTTAAAGGATCATCAGAAAGGGACGTCTTGCCTCGAAAGGTAACACCTCCAAGAGCAAAAGTCCCAGCTAGAGGAGGGCTTGACGAAGATGAAGAGCCAAAACTAATGCAAAGCGACATTGATGCTTTGAAGAGAAACTTACCTATGCTAGAAGATATAATTGCTAGAACTAGAGATGTCAGAGAACTTCAAGAGCCAAGTGTAAAAGAAGTCGTAGCTCCCCTCTCCACCAGTGAACAATATCATTGGAAAAATCCTTTTTTTGAGGAAAAAAACCTCCATGAGCGGGCAAAAAATTTTATAATATAAAAATTTTTATGTAAAAATATTTTGAATATAAAGTGATAATTATTATGAAATCTATAGCTGATCCTGCTTAATTTTAAACGGTTGCATTTTAATATATAAATTTTGTAAATTAAATAAATATTTGCTTCAAACTTGAAAAAAATTAAACCCCCTCTGTAAGTAATATTTTTTTGCTTGCTCACGGAGGGGGAGTAAGAAACTGCAGATCCGCACAAAAGAAATTAATTTGGGTCATTTCTTATAAAGCCTCTAACAGTACAGATGAAAGAGAGACTGTCGAGCTATTAGGGATCATGGATTTTATAAATTCGAAAATGGAAAGCTTTAAAACTGCTGTAGGAGTTATTAAAAGAGGAGGGTCAAACAAAGAAGTAGTTGATGTGCTGAAGGGCAAAACAAATAATGAAGATAATTTGTTGGATCTCGGTGAAGATTTTTTAATCCATCATTTAACAATAAAATACTTGCTAAAGATAAAATTAATTAATTAATTCGAAACAATTAGAGATTCTTTTAATTTTTAATCTTTTCAGTATTTCCCTTTTATATTAATTTCAAATAAATAAAAAAATTCAATAAGACTGCAAGAAATACTTATTTGGGATTCAGAGAGCTAGAAATTCAGGAAAATCCTTTAGATAAACTAGAAAAATATGTTTGGGGAAGACAACCTGAGCCAGAGAGAATACCAGAAATTAGAGCACAACCTAAAACTCCGCCTCCTGAAATTCCAAAAATAGAAGAACCTCCTCATCCTGGGAGAAAGCTTGCTCCTTTACCAGATTTATTACTTGATGAAGCTGAAGATTATACTCCAACCCCTCATAGAGAGCAAGAAAACGGTTCTTATAAAGGATGCAAGATACGGTATATACATGAAATAGAGAATCAGTATGAAATAAAAGAAAGAGTCAGCGTTTCATAATAATAAGAAATCATTATGCACTACTGTGCAAATTTTTTATTAGTTCACGAAAATAGAAGAATCTGGAGCTACACAAAAATCAATACAGTGAGTCTTTAAAATAAAGCCCTTCAATTAAGCAAAATAGAGATTGAGCATTGTAGAAATGCAAGCAACACTCTATATAATTTGCGAGAATTTAATGAATATAAAAAAGTTGGCAAATGCCTGTTTCAATAAAAAACTATGTTTTGCTCTTTATTGTGAGCTAATTGCATTACATAACGATTTTCTTATCGCTATTAAACGGTGAATCTTTTTTATTGTTGACATATTGATTTCTTATATCCTATACGTCCTATATCTCTTTAATTTAATAAAACTTAAGAAAACCCATATCGCACTTAAATGATTATAGCAGGATATTTATAATGCTCACTTATAGTAAATGCCAAAGACTACTCTTGAAAGTATAAATTCCATATGACTTGCAATCTATTTTTTCTCAGCCTATGCAACCTCCAGTTCAGCCTGCTTATCAAACTCCTGGATTTAATCCTCAAATGCAAGCCCCACCTCAAGTACCAATAGGCTATCCTCCAGTTTATCAAAGCCAGCCTATGCCTCAGCCTCTATATAATCCTCAGCTTAATCAAGGATATCTTCAACAACCATTCCCTCAGCCTTATGTCCAGCCTCCTCAAGCCCAACAAAGAGATGAGTTTGAAGATTTCTTTGCAGAAATAGCTAATCGAAGATAATTTAAATCGTATATTGTTCATTATTGCGCTAGAAATTAATTTAGGTGAATCCATTTCTTCTAGATATTTTCAATTTTTAAAGCATATTCCTATATGATCACTTTTATTAAATTTAAACTATTTTGTATGTGCAATCCTCTAATGGCTTCAATAGCAATTAATTATGCATAGCTATTAACCTTAATAGGATAATAGGGAATATATCTAATTGAATAAAATAAGAAACTTTAATTTAGATTTTATTTGGGTGTGAAAAAAATTTTAAATTTTAAAATATTTTAAACTATATTAAAAACAACGGTATAACTTTGTCCGCAAAGGGAAGCATTTTGCAAAATTAAAAATTGACTTAAAGCTTTAATAGTCTTACCTTTTTCAAGAATAATTCAGGGTTTAAGAATTTCATCAAGAAGAAAACCCTCAAATATTGTGAATTATTGACAAAAAGCAAACAAATGATTAATATCAGAAATAAAATTCTTATAAGAGAAAAGGATTAAAATCGTAATTGATTATATCACAGTGTTAAATTCAATTTTTATTTTCAACTGCTAATAAAACTCTACACATAAAATGGCGTGACAATTCAACCTGCCATCTTAACATCTGCAGCCAGACAGGAGTCTGGGGACCCTGTGGAAGGGATAGCAGCGTCTATGAGAGTGTCCGCCTAGTTTTGTAGAACGCAATGTTAGGCTAATCCACTGAAGGCTAACATTTAAGGCAAGGCAAAGCCTTGAGGGAAGATGGAACTTGGAAGCTGGGAAATAATAGCCTAGCAAAGCAGAGGGCATTTGCTTGGCCAATTGGGCAATATCCCAGCTCAATACCAGGAGTTTCATCCTGGGATTCCGTAGGATAGTATGGCTAGACAATTCACTTTTTGAATTTTCGAATTGAGCAACTCTGTTGACTTACGGTATGATGGCCCAGTGTCTCTATATCTTGGTTGTATGCATAATCCCTCGTTAATAGGGAGCATAATATACCAAAGGCTGTGAAATCGGACTGGCCAACAAGAGGGTGGAGAGAATCAAACGACCTGAAAAATTGATGCGGCTGGCCGGAGGTTAGGCTATTAAAGTCAGGCTTTAGCCATATTGGTGGCAAAGTCGCCAAGACCTCCAGTATGGGAAATTCTACCGCTTTTCGAGTCCAGCCCAGAGGTTCTTTCCTCCCAAGGTAAATGCCACTTCAGGTGGTTACCTTGAGGCTTCAATCTTGAGTGTGCTTATGGATTTCAGTGGCCCTGCTACGGGCGATTGGAGTAGCTTGATTTCAAGGTTCCTTGGAGTCTGTCAGGTGCTGAAGTTCCTTCCTTCGACAGTTAGAGAAAAAAGACAAGTCCCCTGCGGCCTGGTCGAAACCCCCAGTTTCTCAGTAGAGTTATGTGCATAGGTTTTCGGATCAAAAAGGACTTTGTTAAGGCCAAAGCCTACCCGAATAAATAACATCTCTTGAGTCTGCAGTTGATTTCTGACTCGAATCCGTCCCAGTTTGCCCTGCCATAAGGTCTGGACTGTTGCACCAAGGTTAGGCTGGCATGTGTCACCATTTTAATGCATTGGCTGGCAGGGAGCTACTCTATAATAATTTAAGTTAAACTAATAAAATTTTGCACCTTAGCAGTGTTCTTCTTTGACGATTGCAGTTTCATTCTTTTTTTAAAAATCTTTTTTTTCTGATTTCCATACAAGTCTTAATTTTCAAATTCCAAATACCTATACTTGAAAATAATCATGAAATAGCCATATATTCTTAAAAAGAATCTAGCCAATCTAATTTAAAAGATTTTAAAACGCCCATTTTAATAATCTCTATTACTTTATCCCTTTTTACATATAATTATGCCTACTCAGAATAATTTTGATAAATGATCTCCAATCTCAATATTTTCAGTGCCCCTTTTTATCCTCAGAAATTATAATAAACTTCCTTTTTCATGTAGAATTCAGCTAATCCCAGCATATATTAAAATTATAGATGATTGAATTAGCATATTCATTAGTTACAAATGGCACAAAGTTATACTTTTTAAACTCTAAACAATACGGCAAACTCGTTTTAAAGCTTTACCACGAAGGATCCATCAACGAAGCTCGAATACATATGAAAGCTTTCAAACTATGCCCGGGAGGGGTTGTTAAAATTTTAGGTGCAAATAGCTATAATGGTGAGCCTGGGATTTTACTTCAACGATGCCGATATACAACAGAAGATTACGATTTCAAAGGAAAATCCAAAAAATTGGAAGATCTTATAAAGTCCACATTGAACACAATGAAAATTCTCCATGATTCAGATATAGTCCATAGAGACCTTAAACCTTCAAATATTTTCTATCACGATGGAAAATTCAAGATCGGAGACTTTGGAGAAGCCGCCTCTATAAACGAAGAATACGAATTACAAATTAACCGAGGAACAAAATCATATATGAGCAGAGCTTATATTATGCACTACGAAGGAGGGCTGTGAAATGGTAGGATTGACGCAAAAAAGGAAGACGTTTGGGCGTTAGGAAAAACCTTTTTGGAGCTCTTATGCGGTGTAAGGTTTCCAGATTTAAACAGGAGAGATGATAATTTTGTTCGGAAATTCGTAGAGGAACAACTCAACAAATTAGATTTTTGCAGCAATATAAAGGAAGCAATTTTAGGGATGTTAGAACCTAACCAGGACAAACGACTTTCAATGGAAGACGCATTGAATCTCATCAACAGAAATAATTCTTGTGGTAAGGGAGATAATGATAACACATTGTAAAAATATAAAAAAATGGTCGAATTGTTTACTTTTGCTGTTTATGCCCAAGCTTTTTCACAAGAGCTGATTAGGCAGGACGACATAATCACTTCTGCAGCTATATCTCAGAAATATGTAGCACTGGGGACAAATAAAGGTTTTATTCATTTACTAAACATACAAGCAAAAGAAGCAGAATTGATCGGCCCATATACGAAAATCAAACATGTAGCAACTCAAGGAAATTTGGTAGCTTGCTGCACTGAAAATAAGGTTATTGCGTATGATTCAGAACAAGCGGCAGAGGTAATGAATGTCGATGTTGCGAATCCTATGAAAGTCGGGATTGCTAATAAAGATTTGGGGCAATTAGCAATTATTTGTGCGACTGAAACAGAATTAATTTTAATGCAAAAAGGATGAGTAAGAGTTTCAAAAAGAGCTGTGAAAAGTGGAATTAATGGGCTGAAAGATATCGTTATTTGCAGATTTTTGAACTTTACCACCTAAGTGTGGAATCTTTTCCGTGTGTGAAAAGAGGATTCCACATGTGAAGCCCTTTTGATTTCACATGTGGAATCCTCTTTTCACACACGGAAAAGATTCCACACTTAGGTGGTAAAGTTCAAAAATCTGCAAATAACGATATGATAATTCATCACCATTTAGTTTGTTTCTCATTGAATTCGAAAGTAGAGTTCTTTAATTTATTGCAAGAAAAAACTACTCATTCACTTACTATTGCTGATAACTCGAAATGCTTGATACATTGGGCATCAGCTGCTATGTGCTTTGTGTCAGCTGGGACTGCTGTTCATGTGCTGGAATATTCTCAAAATCAAGGCTTTGATACTTTTAGGCATATAAAATCAATAATGACATCTACAATTCCTATAGCAATTGGGTCATTTAATCAATTATATTTATTAGAAATTGATACCAATAATTTATCGGTGTACTCCTTGCAACAAGAATTAACATTTGCTGCAAAAGCCCCTGTTAATAAGTTTCTCCTGTCTTACAATCAATCTAACTCACCTTTTTATTTAGTTGGAGAAACTGAAATTTATAAAATTTCACCTTTAACAGCAAAAGATAAGCTGCTTCATTTGATTGAAAAGAAGAAATATAATCAAGCATATGAGCTTGCAAGCAAATTCAAACTTGACAGGATTCCAATAATGGAATCGCAAGTTGTCGGTCTTATTCAAAATAATTCGATGCATGAAGCCTCGCAGCTTGCCATTGGTATTCCTTATAGTTCTCAAGTATGGAATTTTATTATTCAAGAATTTTTGTTAAAGAAAATGGTGTGTCTGATAGTTATGAATATGCCTCTTCCTGAAGATGAAAAAATGCTTGAAGAAATACTCACACAGGTGCTTGATCATAAAGAACTAATACAGTTTCAGTATATTATAGACAAAATCCCTCCACATGTTGTAACAAAAGCGGTTTTCTTGTATAAAAGCATTCCAAAACTCTTTCAAGATGAAGTTAACAGCTATTTTTTAAAGCATGGAAAAATCATTGAAGCTTTGGAAATTTCGTTAGAAGTAAGGTCACACCATTGTTTTAAAATCCTAATTCGCAAAAATTGGAAAGTAAATATTAATTTAATTGCCAATTTATGTTTTAAAACGCAATTTGTTTAAAATTAAACAGAATTAGCCAGAGATTTCATTATACTAATTATCACTTATATATCAAAATTTTTCACCATAAAAAATTTTTTAATAGAAAAATTTTTGTTCGCTCAGAGGGTGGGTTTTTGGGCACAAAATAGGGATTTTCTAATGGTTTTGTTCGCTCACGGAGGGGGAGTAAGTGAACACCCAGATACAATTGAATTTGTTGGAAGCAATCCTTCTTATATCTCAATTTTATTTGAAATTGATAAAACCAAAGCAAGTGAGTATTTTAAGGTGAAAAAAGAAAAAATTAAATATGAAGATTTGGTTGATAATTTCGATTTAAGACTAAAACATATTGGTCAATTTCCAGAATTGTGGAAGCAAACATTTTCTGAAGCAAAAGATAATTTCACAAAGAAAAAAGCAGTTATTGGGGCTTTAAAATACCATCCAAACCCAGTTGAATTTATCCAAGAAATTGATATTGAAGGATGTGATGACGAAATAAAAAATCTAATAATGTCTTTAGGAAGCTATTTGAAAGCTTATACTGCAGCTTCAAGATCTGCTAAAAAAGAAATCCCAGAATATTTCAAAATGCTATATGAAGAAATTTTACAGCCTTATGTAATCGATGAAACATTCCTGTGCCAAAAATGTGCAGGGCCGCTTGAGGGATTTCCATTTATATTAAGAAGATGCGGACATCATACTCATAAGAAGTGTGCAGAAACCTGCATTTTTTGTAAGAACCTTTTTTAATTTCATCAAGAAAAATGCAAAAACAAAAGATTTTGATAAATAATCCTGCTTAATATAATTTTATTTTATTTTACCCATCGCATGAGCAATTTCTTGATTCAATTTCACCATTCGTTGGCTTTGTGCATCTATTTGATGAAATATCAAGCTACTGTCGTCAGATGTAATTGTCATGCTCACGTCTTCATTTTTGTTTTCATAATTTTTATCCTCACTTTCATATTCTTTCGATGACAACTGTAGAGGCATCAAATGTACGATTACATCGCTTAAAATTTGCAATGATATCAGCAAAGCTGTGTCATATTTCTCTTCCATAATAAAAGATAAATAATTTGTCGGTGTAATTCTGTCTTCAAATAATATCCTAAACTCATTATTTTCTTTTAAACTTTTCATCAAAAAGTGTGTATATTTCAAAATATCTGGTAATTTTTTCTCATCCTTGTCTATCGTTTTCTAATTTATTCTTACAGATTTTTTTTGACACGCTATAATTGCTTCGTTCAGCTCATTGCTCAATTTTAAATTGATTTTAGTAAGCTCTTCTCTATCTTACTCTTACTTATCATACTGTAGCTCTCTGATAGCTCTTTCAAGCTCATAATTTTTTTTTCTCAATTCATTGATAATTTTCTGTTTTTCTTTTAACTCTCTTTCCAGTTTTTCAATTTTTGGAATTTGAATTTTTCCGCTTGAGGGGTATCGAGCATCAGGATTAAAATGTGAAACTTTTTTCTTATGCCAGTCATATCCTTTTAAAGCATTAGACGCTTCTTTTATTTCTTTTTGAAGAAGACTGATAGAACTCCAATCAGACTCATCAAGGTCTTTATTCTGAGTTCGGCTTGAAAAAAAGGCTTCTTCAACGAGTTTATTTGTATGTGAACAGGGACGATCTGTTAGAGCTCTTATCTCCTCATTTTCAAGCAGTGGAAGTCGTAAATTCACAGAGTGCTGATGCATTTAAATTATTAGAATTGAATATAGGATATTTCAACTAAAAAAACAATAAATGAAAATTTGCGTTAGTCGAGTCATATATTTTATCTTATAAATTAGTCTGATTTTAAAATTTAAATGTTAAACAAGAGGATTAGGATTGCTAAAGATAGGCACTAGCTATATTGGTGACGCAGCAACCATAGACCATATGGGAGGTTCCCAATAGGTCTAGCCGTAACCGGTAAGTTGTCTCCTATTTTCGTTGAGGCTTCGATCTTGAGTGGGCGGCTCATGGATTTCTGCGACCCTGCGACATGTGATGAGGAGCAACTTGATTCCAGGGATTAGCTCCTTGGAATCTATCGGGTGTCAGAGTAGAGTGCCTTTCTTTGGTGGCTACAGGAAAAAGACTGTTCCCTATGGCCGGGCAGAAAGCCTGGTTTCTTGGTAGAAGATGCCCAGGGTCCGAAAGATATTGCTGAGCACCTCCATTTACAACCACAAAAAAGCAGCCAAAACCTATTGGATACTCATTTGCTGAGGCTGCACTTGTTCCTCAGCTTCAATTCCATTCATTTCTCCGTGGACTTAAGGTTCGGACTGCTGTGCCAAGAGGGCAGGCTGGCACGTGCTACCGTTTAAAACGCTATTGTTAAACAAGAGATTAGTAAAAAAATCATGTCATATTTTCACCTATTATAAAAACTAATTTTTAGCATTTAATTATAAAGAACTCTATAAAATTATTTTGTTTTTCTTTATTTCATTACTCCTTTTAATAATTTCTCTACTTAATAAATGCTATTATATATTATCGTAGCATTTGCATTTTTAGTCTATGTAGGGATTGGGATAATGCTCTACAAAAGAAGAAAAGAGAGGAATATAAAATCTAGATCTCCTGTATTGATTTATATTACACATTGATCAAACTTATTGGAGACTTTATTAACATTTCCAATTATAATAGAAGGATATCTCAACCCATATGAACTTGACTATTATGAAAATCGGCTCTATCAAGTCGCAGCTTTAATAGCTCATTATCTTGTGTATTTTCCCTATATTTTGAGATGCTATAGATTGTATTTTATTTTCCACTTACCCCTTACGAGCAAACAAAATAATTTTGTTCGCTCACAAGGGGTTAATCTTTATTTTTGAAAATTTATAAATAAATTTTATAGTAAATTTTTTTTTCGAAATTTGAAAAAATCCAATTCGCAAGCGAATATTTATTTAATTTGAAAAATTTATTTTCGAAATCATTTAAAATTAAGCAAGAACTAGCTAGAGATTTCGTTATACTAATTATCACTTATATATCAAAAATGTTTTTTCATAAAAAATATATACATTTCAAACATTTTGTTCGCTCATAGGTTTTTGGGGCAAAAATAGGGGTTTTCCAATTGTTTTGTTCGATCATGGAGGGGAGCTAGATAAAGACTGAGAAATACAAAATAATCGATTTAAACAAAATATTCATAGAACTCGACAAAGATGGCTTGTAAAAATGCTTTGTTTCTGCATGATACCAGTCATTACAGCTTGCATTATATGCTTGTTTTGAAAAGATGCTGATAAATATTTCCCATTAAATTTAAGCAGACCGAAAAATGATTGGGTTGATATTCCTGATTGTGTTTACACATTTGTTTGTTTTACTGAAGAATTAATTATGATAGCTGGAATATATGCAATTAAAGATATTAGCGATGATTTTAATATGAGTAATGAACTGTTCTATGTTGGAATTATCTGATTTTTAACCCCAGCATTTTCCATATACATTAGATCATCTAAAGTTATTTGAGCTATTCCTTATGTAATAAGAAATATTTTACTTATGTTAAGATCATCATTAGTTCCTGTTATATGATCGTTTTTCAATAAACCTTTATTTGAGCCTCTCACGATAGAAATGCTAAGCTCTTTAGAGCTGACATTGCAAAATGCGGCCACTTTGGAAGCTTTTGAAGAGTTCCTAAGACTTGAAGAATTAACAACAACTCGAAGTTTTGGATCCATAAACTGTGGTTCTGGATTAAGCATGCTTGAATTTTATTTAAAATGCAGACTTTTTGCTAATAGTGGCAGCTCGAACTTAGCAGAAAACATATTTGAAGATTATTTAGAAACAAAAATAGTTCATATTCCAGCCGAAGTTTATCTTGAAATAGAAAATGGCGATTTCACCGATGCCAACCTATTTAACAAAGCAGAAAATTCAGTAATAGAAAAGCTTAAAACTTATTTTTACCCTAAATTCATGACAAGTGACCAATATTTTTTCCTTAAAAGACTTATACATAGGCAAGAGATTTATCAATATAGACTTATGCAAACTTCTCTTCACGAATTCCAAATTAACGAGCACAAAAAAATGGTCGTAGAGTGCGATGATTGGCCAGTTCCGACTTTAGATTAAAACACAATAAACTAGTTTGTTTTATCTAATATTATATGAATCATATATCTTGTCGAAGGTTTTTATTTAATATAAATTTAGCTTTCATTAATGCAATAAACCAGCAGGTTAGGTTAGATTATTAAAGTTAGGCTTTAATAGGCCAACAAAGCAAATATCTTTTTTATCTGCGAAAAAATGTACAATTTTATAAGGAAATGCAAACTATATTAGCTTACTCCCCCCCCCATCCTTGATCGAACGATTGACTGTAAAAATTCCTAAAAATTGGGAAAATAAACCCCCATCCTTAATCGAACGATTTTCATATCATGCAAAATTTTATATATATCAAAATATATTAGTCATCAAAAGTTTGGGAAGATGTGCATAATGAAGTTGTTTTCAGGGACTTTGAGACGACAGAAAGCTTCGGAATCAACCATTCGAAGTGATTTAGTCATCAATCAGGGCTTAAAAACTCAATAATCTAATAAAATAGAGATTCTTTAAAATTTTAAAAAAAAATTTAATTTAATAAGGAACAAATTAAAATTTATACAGTTTAAAGGGGTAACTAATAAATCAAAATATTAAAAATTGGTATTTTTATGAGATTAATTCAATTTTTTGCTGTAAAAATAATTATTAAATACTCTTAACACTCTTATTTAAAAGTAAATAAAAAATATATATATATATATTTTTATTTTATATATAAAATTTTTTTTAACCCCCATCCTTGATCGAACGACGGCGAGTCGTTCGATCAAGGATGGGGGGGGGAGTTAATTAAATAATTTAGCTTATCATTTAATACCATGGGCGTAATGGATGAAGAGTACTTCTATAAGGAGAAGACTGATCTCGCTCCTGATGATCAAAGAGAAGCAGATCACGTATGCGATAACTTGCGCATGAAATTTATCAAGGATTGGGCCTTAAACAAGAATCTAGATACCTATAAAACTGATGCAGAGAGAGATTGGGCTTACATAGTAAAAAGAGAATACAGGTTCGCAGTTAATTTAAGATCCTTTTTCGATGGAATGTTTGTGGGCAATGCATTACAACTTTTGGTCAGCTGGAGACGCAAGAAGCTTGTCTTCACCCCATTATTTATGGCTTGGCCTGTAGTTTATTATTGGCAAATCGGCAAAAGATTCAGCCAGCATAATAGAAGATTTTTTGAGATGCTCAATGTGGGGACTGAATTTGAGCTTGGAGCAGAGAGAAATCGCGTTCTAGAAGAATGCAATCGTATTGCCCGCAGGGCGGACTTTTAATCTTCTAACTTACTTCTCAATATAATAAAGAAGAAAACCAATCTAGAACTTTCAATATATTTTTATATAAAATTATCTGATATATATAATTTTATATTAAAAAATTGAATATTAGTTTGCTATTAAGAAGTTAGAGATTAATAAAATATAGGTGTATGGGCTTAAAGCTTCCAGAAAGGATTGATAAACGTTTTAGTGTGCTATTCACTTTCATAAAAAGCTTATTCGAAAATATAGCAATTAAAATGGGAAATAAAACTTATCCAGCGAGATCTGATGCAAATGAAGAAAGCATCTTTACAAAAAATCCAGATGATATACCTATCACCATCGAAAAAGCAAAAAACTCAAGAATTTCATCGGCAGCAGAAGGGACTTTCATATTGCCTAAATCAATAACACCTGTAAATCTGACTGATATGATTTATTTTATAGTCAAGGAACAAATTAATCTGTATTTAGAAGGAGAAAGCGTGACCCGAAACTGCACAAGTATTGAAACTCTTTATATGCGTCTGAAGTCAGATGATGGCTTTTTGAAGTTTATATATGATTCTATTAACCAGACTAAAAAAGAAGATTCAGTCATATTAGATGAATATATCCAGCCTTGTCCGATCCCAAACCAGGTTGAAGAAGGCTTCATAGGACTTAAATTGATGCCGAAAAATGATTCTAGAATTCCTAGTCTAAAAAAGAATAAAGTTAAAATCTTTGAAGAATGCAGTGGGACGCAACTGGTGCTGATTATGAAAAGAATGCTTGGAATTTCTAAAAACCAAAATATATATATTTATAAAACAGATGGATTGCATATAAACTACAGCGAAAGCCTGAAAAACCTCAAACGCTTAGCCAGCGTAGATGGCTTAATTCATCTGCGATATTCTGATAGATATAGGTAACAGAAACAACTAAATGACACATTTTTTTGGATTATCTAATTTAAAATTATTATGAATATTTTATATTGATACTTTGCATAATTTAAATAAAATTATAAAAGCTATGTTTAACCGATATCTTCATAAAAGGCAATCTAATATCGAGGAAGCCAAGAAGTATCAAGAAAAATATAAAGACAAATTAAAAGAGATTAGGGAAAGAAAAAATAGTTTATTAACTGATAGGTTTAAAGAACGCCTTGCTTTATGAGAACAAACAAGTCTTAATGAAGATCTTTATGAGGGTATTTATTAAGCAGTAATTAAGAATGGGACTATACCAAATGTATCTCCTTTGTCCTATAGATTCAGGGATGAGCTAAAACATAGCCCAATCCCGAAAAAAGTAAAATTCAGATCAAAATCTTTGATGAGAGAAAAAATTAATGATCCTTATAATGAAGCAAATTTTATGGGGGTGCAGGCCCAATGACATTGTCTTTTTGATAGTGTCCATTTCACCGAATTATTTTTGGCTGAAATTTTTTGATAGTGAGACATTTGACCGAAAAAAAACGTTAATTTTTGACCAAATGTCACACTATTTAAAATTTTTCGACCAAATGTATTTCGATGAAATGTACACTGTCAAAAATCCACTGTCGTTTGGCATGGAGCCAATTTTATGCAAACTTTGAGAAAAAATGATAAAAACAAAATCATTGGACCCCTAACTTTTAAGTTTTCAAAGAAACCACTTAATGAGAAGATGAGCTTGAATTCAACTGGTGTAATAGGAAATACAAATGCAGTAACACCTACTGGCCAAATCAGCAAGTCAAATTCAAAGCCTTTTATATCAAGAATTAAGCAAGATACAACATTTTTTACAAATTTTGAATACATTTCTGAGCCTTATAATGAATTCACAAATATTATGAGAAAGAGGCAAAAAGATTCTGAACTTGATGGAGATTTTGTAATCGGAAATAAAAAATCTTCAATTTTCCCTGAAATTTCATCGATTAGATCAAAGAAATATGAGGATACGATAAATAAAACACACTCGAAATCACCGAGAATATATAGAAATTCACTGAACGCTTTTTATGAGGTATCATATACTCCTCCATCAATTGATGAATTTTCTGGATCACCAAATAATGCATAACGATTGCAATTTTTACGATTTTATTATATAAACTAATCATTTTTCAGATATTAAAACTAACTAAATTTTCCAAAAAAGTTTCATGTGTAAAATTACCGAGGTGGTGGCTAATTTTTGCTTCTGTAAATTTCAACTTTTACTCTCCTGTTCAATTTAAAGGGTTTTAAAATATTTTTATTTAAAATTTTTAAAATCTTAATAAATATAAATTGAGCAAAATAATATCTTATGAAGAAATAATTAAAAAATAATCGATAAAGTGTAAAAAATTGCTTAAATATTATCTACTTCACTGCTTTCATTAAAATAGGTCAAAATTAATTAGAAAAATTATTAATTTTGCCATAATTTGGAGCAATAAGCTAAATTATAGTTTATTTTTATGAAGAATTATATAAAAAATAATCGATTCAGTATAAAAATTGTTTAAATGGCTATCTAAAAAATTAGGTCAAAACTATTTTCATCATTAAATATTTGTTAAAATAATATAAAATTTATCACAATACTTTGAATTTTAATTTATTTTTATAAATAATTAAATAATAGAATTAATAGATTTAGTATGATAAATGTTTAAATAGCATTCTACTTGCTTTTTGTCCATTAAATTAGGCCAATAAAACTATATTTTCAACTTTAAATTTATTTTAAATAAACATTTAAAAAAATATAAATTTGAGCACAATAATTTCTACTTGCATTTTGTTTATTAAATTAGGTCAAAGCTGATTTATAAAAATTATTATTTTATCAATAATATTTTTCTTTTGAAAAACAATTTAAAGGGGGTTAAAGTACCCAAAAATACAAATTTTACAGATTTCTGCTCCAATTCATAAGGGGGAAATTATTAAAATATTTAGATTTAGACGAAAATAAAATCATGATATAGCTTATTTATTTAGACTGCTATTTTCATGATAGCAATTTCTGAGCTTTTATCATAAATATGCCATTAAACTCTAAATTGAATTAATTAAACAGGAGCAACAAATGGGAAGTGCAGCTACAACTTTAATATTTTTACTATTTTTGACTGTAAATACGTGCATCAACATGGATCATGGCTCAATTCCAGCAGCAACAAATGAAATCTCATTTGATTTAGGCCTGACTCTCTCACTTTTGAAGCTAGAGAGATTTTTAGTCTCTTTGAGTAGGTTTTTTTTATTATAAATGCTTTTCAGATTTTAAAATTTGAATTTGAAAAATCGCTTAAGAATGTAAGCTGTCTTAAGTTTAATATAATTAGGTAGAGATCTCGCTATAATAGTATTTATTATATATATATAATTATTTTAAACTAAATTATTTAGCTTATTTCCATAAAAGTAAACTTTTTGCCCAATTATTGTGCTGCTTGTAAAATGAAAGAGTAAGCAAAATGGAATTGGGAGCATTAGGCTCACTGGTCTTTTTAGGTATAGCTATCGGCGGCATTGCTGCAGGAATTTGCTTCCAAAAACTAAGCCCTAAATTTGTCCTAACGATTGCATTATTTTCAATATGTATTTTTATAGCTCTCTTTCCAGTCTCCTCAAATAGCATTGCTCTTGTTTATTTATCGAGATTTATGACAGGCTTTTTCCAAGTAAATTATATACAGGTTTTCCTAATCGCTTATATTCCAGCGTGAATTGATATTTTTGCTTCAGAAAATCAAAAAACATTATGACTGACATACCTTCAACTAACTGTTCCATTTGGGATGATGTTTGGATATATTCTAACTGCAGCCATTACTGAATATTGGGATGTAAAACGTATTTAGTGGGAATATAGCTTTATAATACAAGGCGCTTTATTTATACCTTGTGCAATAATATTGCAATTTTTCCCATCAAGCATGATACATTATTCTGAAGATGCTCTTGCAAAAAGGCAAAGTGAAAGTTTATTATCTTTAACTCACGAGAAAAAGAAATTAATCCTCCTCTTGGTGAGCCGAGAAAATTTCGATCACTTATGAGGCATTAATTTTTTAAAATTTTATATCTTTAAATCTTTAAAGATTCTATCGTTAATTGCTTGCTTTTGAGCATTGCAACCTACATGTTGAATCTTTTCTACGTGTGTGAAAAGATTATTCCACATGTAGGTTGCAATGCTCAAAAACATGCAACTAACGATAAGAGATTTAATTCATACAATTTATGTATTAAAAGTTGTATCGTTATTTGCAGATTTTTAAACTTTACCACCTAAGTGTGGATTTTTTTTCCGCGTGTGAAAAGAGGATTCTGCATGTGAAATCAAAAGGGCTCCACACGTGAAAAACACCTTTTCACACACGGAAAAAAATCCACACTTAGGTGGTAAAGTTTAAATATCTGCAAATAACGATAATAATAATAATAATTATTATTATTATTACTATTAATATAAAGAATTTTATATCGAATTTTTTTATCCTTATAGATTTTTTTAAGTCTTATTTAATGTTTTTACTAGCTCACGAGAATGGTGTAAAGAAAAAAATTTATCAACTGCTGACAAATCCTACTTATTTATGGTCAATATGTGGGATAATGACAAGCTATTTTGTAGTAACAGGAGCACAGTTCTGAACAACTGATTATTTATTAAATGTGCTTAAAATTAAAGGAACTTCAATATTTACGCCTTATGCTGTTACTTGCTTAACTGCACCTACCTTAGGGGTTGCTGGAGGGGGTTATTTATGCCATAGATGCGGCGGCTATAATGGAGAAAGAGCAAAAAAATTATGTGGATTACTTGGGTTTCTTGGATGTATCTTTGCATTGCCATTGCCATTTGTCGGAAGTCTTGAAATGTTTGCAATGCTTTTCTGGTTTATTTTATTCTTTGGAGGTGGAGTTATGCCTGTGCTAACAGGAATTATGATAAGCTCTGTCAAAAACAACATGAAGCCATTAGCAAGCTCATTTGCTTCAGTTGTGACAAATTTATTAGGATATCTTCCAGCGCCTATTGTGTATGGAATTATATGTGAGTACACAGGTGGACGGAAATCTCCTTATGGGATGATGTTTATAATCTATTGTTGCTTTATTTCAGAGTTATTTATCATACTTACTGCACTAATTCCACCTGCTTCATAGTGACCAAGAATGCATTATTAAAATATTTTGATATATAACAATAATTTTTGCAAGTGAGACCTCTAGATAATTTTATAAAATATTTAGTTAACTTGCAGTTTTAACAAATAAATTTTCAATTAAATTATTTTTTTTTTATATTATTTATGAAAAAATTAGCTCCTTAAAGAACGAGCAGAAAAACCTTGCTTGCTCTTAATGGAAAGTAGTAAGCAAAAATAAAATAATTCCAAAACTTTAACGCTGATTTATAAAACTATATTTGCATCTAATTCTTAAAATTATGTCATTCTGGCGAAAGATCTGCTGCTGCTTTGCTGGAGACGATATAAATGTTGGTGATAACACAAGGCTACTTCCTAAATCAGAAAAGTAATCATAAGTCAGATCAGACCCTGCAACTCAAAAACTATGATCTCCCTACATTGTGTTTATCTATGGAGTTGGGCCAACTGATTTACATTTAAAGCGAATCCCAGACTCTTTTGGAAAGCAAGGGATCATCAAAATTGCTTGTGGGTCTGACCATGTCTTGTTTTTAACCGAAGTTAATTATGTACTTTCTGCAGGAAATAACACCTATGGTCAGTGTGCAAGAGACCCAAAACTTTTAGAAGAAAACAAAAGCAATGAAGAAATTGTCTCAGAATCCAGAATAAATGAAAAACTTAGCGCATTTAATATCCCTGGGTTTAAGGTGAAGCATATATAGATTGTTGATATTGCTGCAGGGGCATATCATTCTTTGATTCTTGTAAAAGAAGAAATATCAAATGGGGATGGAGTTGTGATGGCTTTTGGGCATGAAACTGGCTGCGGATTTTTGGATAGAGAACATAGACATATCCCAACAGAAGTCCCATTGCGAGAAAAATACCAAGAAAGTGTTAATTCTATTTTTGCTGGACAAATGAGATCAGCTGCAGTTTTACGTAAAATTTAATCAGAATCTGGAAAAATCCTTATATGAGGTGAATGGTTTAACGGGCTAAAACAACGAGAACCAAAAGAGCTTCAATTTGAACTTCCAGCTGGAGACAGCATAAAAAGAATTTCTATGGGAAAAATGCATGCAATCTTATCAACCCAGTCAGGAAGAGTATACTCAGTAGGTGACAATACTTATGGCGAACTTGGATTCCCTAGAGAAATCACTTATAAATCCGCTCCAGGGCTGATTCCTTATTTTAAGAATCTACCAGTGCTAGATGTAGCTGCTGGGGCTAGACATTCTGTGGTACTAGAAGAGTCTGGAAAAGTCTTTGCATTTGGAGATAACAGTGAAGGCCAATGTGGAATCGATGCCAATAGGAGCTATGAGCCTCAAGAAATTGAAACAAGAGGAATGCTTGGGGAATCTGATGTAACGACTAGGTTTATATTTTGTGGAGATTCACATTCTGCGTTGTTGACAAGTGAAGGAGATTTGTTCGCTTGGGGAGATAATACTGCTGGAAGGCTAGGGATTAAGTCAGGAAATTCTATATTTAGACCTAGAATGGTGGATGAACTGATTGGAAGAAATATTTGTGCGGTAGGGCTAGGAGGAACTTTTAGTTCTATTATAGTTGGACCTTATAGCGGATCTTTACAAGCAAAAACTCTGAATATTCTTAATCAATCTTCAGGAGTTGAGAACTCATCATTTCAGCTATCAACAAAAGAGTAATTTGAATTTGTGGACTGTATTATTAAATATGGCGTCGAGGCTTGAGTATTGCCACCCAGAAGTGCAGCCTCGAGGGCATGTTTATTTATTCTGCAAGGTTTGTCAACCCAGAAATAGGCAGCTATGTTAGGTAAGCAATTCTAGTAAAGTTTAAAGAATTGGATTTTAGCTTGAGGGAAAGGGTGGGTCCAGACGAAAAGGGAAAGCCCATAATCGTCGGCAGTCAATGCTTGGAATAATAGGGCAACTTTCTAGCGTGAAAATGAGAGCTAAGCCTCAGGCTTTTAATTTTTCCTTTTTTGTCGAGATGACTAGAAATTATATTTTTTGGGATTGCGGGACAACCTTCAGTTAATCAAGCAGCAAATCCACAGAAGTCCATAGCCTTCCCACTTTACACTGGAGTCGGCAAGGCAGGAAGGAGACAGAGATACAGAACTATATACTTCAGATAGCTATGGCAACAGGCACTGAAGAAGAGTGCTGTCGCGAGCCTTGGTTATCCGGCGAATCATCATCTCATTCAAACCACTTCTCCTTGACGATATCGCAAAGAGGATGAATATCTGAGGAATCCTTGGTTACTGCGCTACCAATAGGCAAGCCACCCGATCTGTAATAAGTTTAAGTTCAAGAATTTGTGGGCTATAGGATATGAGCTGGGTTTTAAAATAATAAAATTAAAGTAAAATGGACACTCGTATGTCAAATTTCGGACAACAAATCATGTCACAAAGCCCAGCTGTTTCAGCTAGAAGTCCTATATATCCTTTTTTCAAGATTTCATCATCGCCTCCACAAAGTTTTGCCCCAACAAACCTTCAAATGAATTATCCGAAACCTGCATCATATGCAGTTCTCCCGTCTCCTCATTATGACAGCCAATATTATTGAAAAACCAGAAATTCCGTATATAACACGGTACTAAAAGATGAATTGAAAGACCTAAAAGAGATTATGAAAGAAAAAGAAATCAATGAAAAAAGGAAAACTCTTATAGGAAGAGTAAACTCTGTAATGAGTTTATTAGAAAGAAATGAGTCGAAAAAACAGCTTTCACCCCCTCCTCCTCTACCACCACCACCTCCTCCTCCTATGCAACCCCAATTTGAAAACCAATTTACCGAAATAATGAAAGCAATGCAAAAGCAGCAAGAAACCATTAGCATTAACATTAGTTAAGATTATAAGACTCGCCTCATTTTCTCCACCGCTTGCTTAACAGTCCGGATATGACCTTCCATTTTGTTACTTCTCACTAATAAGGACTAAGACGCTGGGTCACCATACCGAGCTTCAACAGTTTCAACTTCCAGAAAATCAAAATCGAATTTTCTGGTCATCTGCTAGCTAAAGATGGAATTTTAAATCCCAGGACGCAGTACCTGGTATCCCTCCGTGAAACGTTTCCGATTGGCCAGGAGCAGTCTCGCTGGATTTCTGGGGCTCCCTTTCCAATCCTACACTCCGTCTCCTCATGGGGTAAAAACTATGGCCTGAAGTGAAACATGCTGTTGGCGTTACGCAAGTAAACCTGGCCTGATGCACACCCTGAATGCTATCCTCCCTTCCATAAGGTCCTCAGCTCAGCTCAAGCAGGTGCAGGTATTAACTCCCCCCCCTCCGTGAGTGAACAAAAAAATTTTGTTCACTCTAATTTTTTTTTTTTAAAACAATTTATATATAAATTTTATAAAAAAATTTTTTTTTCGAAATTTCAAAAAATCCTAATTTGCAAAAATTGGAAAGCAAATATAAATTTAATTTATAAAATTTATGTTTTAAAATGCAATTCGTTCAAAATTAAACAGAATTAGCTCTAGATTTCATTATACTAATTATCATTTATATATCAAAATTTTTTCCATAAAATATTTTTCTATTAAAAAATTTTTGTTCACTCACGGAGGGTGGGTTTTTTGGGCAAAAAATAGCGATTTTTCTAATGGTTTTGTTCACTCACGGAGGGGGGGAGTAAGAGGATGAATTGGCTCACTGCTTCATTTTAATTTATATAGCAGCAAGAAACCATCACAGAAATGGTAAAAGGCATGCAAACTCAGCGACCCTATAATATGCCTCCTAATGGGTACGAATATGGAAGAAGGGTACCTTCAAGATCTCGTTCGCCTCCATTGAGCAGCCTACAATCTCCTAAACACAATCCAGCTCCTTCTATTGATGAATTTCTTGATAACGAAGATGAAGAAAATAAAAGGTATCTAGAAGAACAAAAAAAATATGAATTCAATCCTAATATGTCAGTTGAAGAAAAAGCCAAATTATATCAGAGATTGAAAAAAGAACGTATGAATAAAGAAACTGAAGCAGCCAAACAAAAACTTAGAGGGATTTCTAGATTAAGAGGATATGTATTGGGCGTTTTATTTCCTATTTTAACTTATTCATCTGTTCTTAAAAGAAAAGGATTAATGAAAAACGATGCTATTAAAAATATGAATGACTCAATAACCCTCTACTTAGAAGTCGCCCAGTCCTGAGTACTCAAAGCATCTAGAGTTACATTGACTTCTATACTGAATGATCCAAATTTAGACTTAGACATCACTGGAAAAGATAATTGGTGGAATAAAGGAAAGCCAGATGCTTTAAATGCAAAACTTCTGAAATTACAAGTAAGAGTCAGGGGCTTCTTAGATGGATTATTAGAGCACACAAATGAAGAAGAAATGCCACGCCAGCTGAGGTTATTTATAGACAAACTGACTTCTAATGGTGCATATATACCTCAGGAGTACCTTCTAGGCTTTGAGAAGGCTAGGCTTAGTTTTAATCATTTTGGAGCCCTGACGAACCAAACTGACGAAAAAAAGTGGATGATGATTGCTTTTTTCTTTATTACAAGGATTTTGATTAAGGAGTTTCTGTTGAACCCTTCAGCACATAACTTGCCTATCAGAATGAACTCAAGAGCTCCGAAGTAATTTTTATTTAGCAACTTGAAGGTTTTAGCTTCAATACTACAGACTTTAATTCTAACAAAGTTTACAAGAACTTCGAGAGAGCCACAAGATGCAGTTGTCGATGAAAATGAGATTTTAAATAGAAAAAAGTCAATGAAACTGGGACCTGTAAACATTATTTAGAGAAACAACGACAGTGTCTCACATTTACTGCTAGCTGTCCCTGAAATTGATACAGTGTATAAAATATTAAAAGATTTCTTTGTAGAAATGCAAGATCTTATGATCGAATGGGCAGACCGGGTGGTTAAAATATCAACAGGCGCTAGATACACGCTTTAATAAATATCCGATTAATGCTCATGCCAAACTATCAAAATCATTATGAATTAAAATATCTGTCAATAATAAAAATTCATATTTTTATTTAAATGGAAGAAATCATCAAAAAAATTGCGAGATTTGATCATCCTGAAATATCAGATAGGGCAATTTTAACAGTTTGCTCAAAACTTTCAAATAGAGTTGCTCGTATTGACGATTTTATCGAGATAGAGAAGTGTGTTATTTCAGGGCTCATAATGAGTTGAATTAATATAAGGCAAGAAGAGGCAGAAATTCAAACAATAAATGCAGCACTCAAAGTATTACAGTTACTTGCACTGAATCCTAAAGGACATTTCAGCTTGATGAGCTTAGGTGCAATAGATTTTTTTAATGCTTATTACAAAAATGCCCCAACCACGCTTCAATCTTTAGTTTCAGGAATTTTAAATGCGCTAGTAAGCCCTGCATTTGCACCAATCCCAATATCTCAGCCTTCCCAAATTCCTGATATTGATGAAAAGCTTCAAATTTTTCCAGCAAATGAACTTCCAAACGTAACAAGGCCTAAAAACCCGCCAAAGAAAGAAAATTATACCAAAGATCCTGAACAGCTTGGTACAATTCTGGAACATTGCGAATTTCCTCCTGTCTTATTGTGTGATAGTGACGAAAAAGTGATTTTCGACTTAGGAGTTTTGGTCAAATTTGGGAACGTGGAAGAAATGATTGAGAGCTGCAATGATTTCCAATATTCAATTTTACAGAATTATCCATTGGATTCTCTAATACTTAATTAAATATGGGCGTTAGGCCTCCCGGCCATACAGCCTTGAACACATATTAATCATATCCGGCAAGGCTTTACCAGTCCAGAAATGGACAGCTATTCGGTAAGCAATCTTAGTGTTTGGGGTCTAGCCTTAGCCTGCTTTCAGAGCTGGAATTTAATGTGAAGGACTTGGAGTTGAAAAGGGAAAGTCCAGCAAAGCCTCTTAGACCAGTCGGGCAACTCCTTAGGGTGAAACCAGGAGTTAGCCCTGGGCTACAAGTATTTAGTTTTTGCCAAGAGTTTCATGTTTTAGATTTTTATATGGGTATCTGGCGTATGGCATGGTGGCCCATCCCACTCCACTCTCCGTTCGACACTAGCCTCATGCGGAGAGAGTTAATCCCTGATGGGGAGGTTGCAGGAGGCCTAACAAAGCAAGTTGGGAGATAAATACCCAGTCAGGTAGCTTCTCAATAATCTTAACTAACTGGCTAACTAACTAACTAAATAACTAATTGGATTCACTAATGCAAAGACCTGACTTAATAAGAAGTATTATAAGCTTAGCTAGCATAGCGCTTCAAAAAGGAGCTTTAGAAGTGACTTATAAAGCTTTGAAATCAATGGAAGCAATTTTAATCAAGCTTGAACATTTTACAACACAAGCAAGCAAAGCTGAATACAGGGCTGCTACTTGTACACCGAAAAAGGTGCTGCTTCCTTTGGAGCATATCGAAATTTCTGTTCCTTGTTTGAAAGGTGAGCAGTGGGGAGTTGGGACCCCAGGACTGACTTTATCAAGTTTATCTTTGGCTGAATTAATAATCAATGGAATTCCCCTTGAAGATTCCAGAATTATAGGAGTTGCTATTAAATCTTGGGAAGCTGGACTTTGGACTATGCCTAAACTACTAAAATACCCCAAAGTAGTGAACAATATCTTAGAAAAAATCGGAAATGCACTGCAGCAGCACTCAGAAAAGCCTAATTCCAATGAAAACTCTATCATAATAAAATCAATTTTAGAACTTGGGCTCAAATTCATTTTCATGCTCCCTCCAGACAGAATATCTGAATGTCTCTCCAAACAGAGCAATTTATCAAAATTCATAGCTGATTTAATTGTATTTCAAGGCGAAAATTGCGATGAAATTCTGCCGTATTTAGAAGAAATCGATAAAGACGCAGTAAAAGAGTTCGAATATGCCAAAAAATGTATGGAAGCTATAGAAGCCAGCATAAAAATAAAGCAATTGCTTGCTCATCAGAAGACTCTTCCTATAACTTCTCCAGAGATGTTTTATAATGCTATAATATTTTTCGAAAGAGTTATGCCAGTATTAGAGTTTCAGCAAGACTTGCCAATCCAAAACCCTATTTTAGATTTAAATGTATACAGCCAATTATTATCACAAGACTCCACGCTAGATTCTAGATCTCAGCAATGCCAAAATTTATTATTAGCATTATTAGCCAGTCCTATAGAAACTGTTAAACAAAATACTTTTAAAGCTGTAAAAGCAGCGGTTATTGAAGATATTGCGATGACAGGTATAGGAGAAGGGGTTATTAGAAGCAAAGCTATTAAATCTTTGCTCTTGCAAGAACCTATTTTAGGATTTTTAATTATTTCCTGTACTGAAATCCATGATGTCATACCTAGAGTTTTGGAAACTTTAGAAGACTATAACAAACTTGTCCCATATTTCACAATCTTGCAAGGCTTAAGTGCAATAAATCCTAATCTAGGCGGCATAATCCATACACTTACAAACCAGCAGCCAGCCTCTCAACCACTTCGGTTCATAAGAGACTTATTCAGTCAAAATTCATCAAATCGTATTTTGGCAGCACAAATATTAAAATCTTGCCATACGCCTGAAAATATCCAAGAGTCATGAATTTCAAATCAGCGAGATTTCTGGGATTCACCTGAAACTTTAGATCTTGTTCCAGAGCTGGAATCCCACGGAGAGCTTGATTTGCTCCAACTTCCGAAAAATAACAATGTAAGCTCAGCAGAAATGATGAATTTACTAAACATTTTGAAATCAGAAAGTTTGGAAACTAACTTAAAAGTTGCGGCTGCTGAACAAGTTTTAATTCACTTGCTATGTGGGACTAATGAAGTCCAGTTACTTGAAGATTTTATTGTAAATGCAATCCAAGAGCTAAGGGTTCCAGACGAAGAAGACAGAGCTGGGATTAGGCTAGTGAGTAATTCTTTGCAGATTTTAGTAGTAATTGCTTTAAACTACCCACAGCAAGCTAGAAAAATATACCAGTCTTCAGTTAAATTTATGTGTACCATTGTGCCACTTATATATAACCCATACAGACCAATAAGATACTATTCACTTTATTTATTATACATTTTAGCGTTTTCAAATCAAATCCAAAGAAATTCATTTATTCTTTCGACTTTATTTGTGCTTGTCCCACAGTCTGTAGAGCATTCTAAATTAAAGCCTATACAAGTAATAGATGTTATTAAAAATACATTTTTATGTCCATTCCCTATTCAAGTTTTGAAAGTGACAAATTCGACTTTGTGCAAGTTTTTAGATTTCTGGGAAATGGTACCAAGTTCGGAAAGGGTACATAATTATGTATTTAATAGAAAAGTTTATAAGTTTGATGTAGAAGACAAATTGGATGAATATGGAAATGAGCTAAACCAGGCTGAAACACATGCAGATATATTAAGGACTATGCTCTCGTGGGAAAATTTAGTACTGGCGACCAAATCGGTGAGCTTTAATGCTTATAAAAGTTTATTGAAACCAGACTCATTGTTTTTCTCACAAATTTCCAGCATATTAAGAGTCCCACCCACTTCCAGACCAGAAGACCTTCTATACATTCATTTATTAGAAAGCTTTAGAACCGTTTTAGCTTATGCAAATCCGTCAACATCACAGCAGGAATTTGAATTTATACAAAATTTATGCTTATTACTCCAGCGATCAATGCTACCTTTCTTATCAGAGTTAACTGATTTACACTCAAGAGAAGCCTTGATAAGCTCAATCTTAAGATTTTCAGAAAAGCTGCTAATTCACCATGGCAGTACTTGTCCTAACGTTGAAGGAATTATAAAAGTTCTTTCAAGATTCCAAATTGAGCCAGGAAAAGCATCACTATTATCTTTATTAGAAAGAATTTTGCAAGCCATCGACAATTTAAAGCTTTATGGAGAAGTGATTTCAGTGTTGATTTTGGTTATGGATAATGACAATCTGAAATTATCTATGGATATTATTGCCTCTCCACAATCACAATATAATATCACATCAATTATAAATTTAGTTCTTACGAAGCTTATTCCATTTACTTCTCCCTCTACTTTTGTGCATAAAAATACTCTTAAAAAAGCATTGCAGCTTTGTATAAGAATTCCAGAATGGGTGCAGCCAGAAAGCTATATTTGGTGCATGAAGCTTGCTGAAGATAGAGAAATTTCTATCAGAATATTAGCTTGGTGTTTCTTATGGAAAAAATCAAGAATAGCATATGAAAAGCATAGCAGCGTGCTGGATACTGCATTAGATGTGATTTTTGCACAAGCAGAAAGCTATGGTGTTAAAACTCAAGCCTGTGCATTTCTATGCAGCTTGACTGAGTCTTTAATAAACTCTGAAGATTCCGCAGAAATGACAGATACAGTCTTAAAAACTTTGTATCAGTATGGAGTTATTTCAAATGTGAAAAAATGTTCTTTTTGGGGTGAGGTTAATTAAAGTACACTGTACTTTTTTAAACCCCCTCCGAAAAACCTACAAAAATGACTGTGTGCTTTAAAAATGGTCGTTTAGTGTGAAAAAAGTACAAACGGTACTTTTCGATTTTTTAAAAAAACAGGGGGGTGAAAAAAGTAAACGGTGAAAAAAAAACAGCCAAAACAGAGGAAAAAAAGTACATATAAAAATCAATATTCTATCAAGACTAAGTAAATTTAAGCAAAGAAAGGCCAAGGTTAAATTGCATAATAAGCAGCTTGTATTGCATTATAATAAATACTAAACAATATTGCTGGAAAGAATGCAAGAGCTGCATGATAAACAATAAAGAATATTTGGCTCTCAAAATAAGAGGAAAAAAGTACGCTGCAAAATATAAAATGATTAAAGTGACGTAGAATAATCTAATATAAAAGACTAATAATAAGCACAGGAAATTCCAGTAGAAAGGTCAACTTAATTTGTTAAATAAAAGACCAAAAGTTACAAAGAAATATAAGAAAAGTGATTATGGAGAAAAAATTTAAAAAATGGATGAAAAAAGTACATGTTTTTTTCATATGCAAAAAAAGAGTGAAAAAAGTACTCATAAAATTTTTAACAGTGCAAATTTTGGATGAAAAAAGTACAAAGGGAAAAAAAAAAAAACAGAGGAAAAAAGTACATTGACTTTTTATATGAAAATACTAATTTTTTAAATATGTTTACCTTAAAATGAGAAGAACGCATCAAATTTAATTTTTTGCTGCATATATTAATTCTCAATCCACCCCCTTTAAATTGGAACAAAAAATTTTTTTTTGCTAGAAAAAAATATCACTTAACTTAACTTAAACAGACTGGCTCGTGCCTTTAATTTTAACGCAATCACAATGATCCCTTGTGGGATTCATCCGCTTTGCGACATCACTCCCACATAAAGCGGGAGTACTGATGCCTCCTCCTTGTCTCTTGTAAAAGACTCCAGTGTTGAGTGGGCAGACTACGGGTTTGTGAGGCCTCCTGAGGCTGAGGGAATACAAGTTGGCATTCCGAAATTCCAAAAAATGGAATTTCTGGTAGCCTGTCGGCAAAAGGGTAAAGTCCAGATCCTGGAACGTAACGCCCAGTCTCACGCTAGGCAGTTGCCCAATTGTCTAGCTATTACCTGTAGACTCTGATGGTCTTGCCCCTTTCCAAATCTTAACCCTCCTTTCCTTAGAGGTAAAAACCAGTCTCGAATTTGGACTTGGGCTAGGTTCTACGCTCCTGCAGAATTAGTTGCTAGCATTGCTGTCCATTTCAAGGCTAGAAAAACCTTGCCGGATATAATTAAAATATGAGTCGAAGGCTGTATGGCCGTGAGGCCATACCTAAACGAAGACGCCATATTTTAACTATCTAGAAAAAATATCAATATAAAAATTTTTTATAAAAAAAAAATTTCAAAAATTTATCGAATTAGATTAATAAATTTGTTTAATAAAATGCTATTTACTCTTTTTCCTTTAAAACAAAGCAATATATAACTAAATTTGCATTATTAGTTAATACGCCCACTATTAATTGGCATCAAAATTATTTACACAAAAATTATTATTTTTATTAATAAAAAAAAATTAAAAAAAAAAATTTTAGAAAATTTATCGATCAAAGTGCTAATTTTGTTTATGTAAGATGCTATTTATACTCTATACTTTTAAAATAAAGCAAGAAATAAGTAAATTTTTATATTTTATAAAGAATTCCTATTGAATTTATATCAAAACTATTTAAATAAAAAATTTAGCAATTAAGGATAATAAATTTATTTAAATAAGATGCTCTTTATACTCTCTTCTTTAAACAAGAGCAAGATATAACTAAATTTTTATTTTAGCTAAGAAGAAGCATTTAACTTATATCAAAACTTTTTTAGATAAAAATTATATATAATTTTTTATTATAAAATTAAATTTTGTTCCAATTGAAGGAGCTAATTTATCAAAAAAGGGGAAATTTTACCTATATTTGCTCCAATTTAAAGGGGGTGGAGTGAGAATTAATATATGCAGCAAAATTTAAGATTTAAGATTTAAGATTACGATAACACTTCGTCGACCCCCACTTAGCTTAGGATCTGACAAGCAAGCCCATCCTTCCTGAATTCCATCACTGGCTAACAGCTCTGAATAACGGTAGGTGGAATTGGCCTAACCGTCGAACCGTTACAGTAGCCTATGACCTAGACGAGTCTCTCTTTCTTTCTTGATGTTGATTCAAGCACACAAGGAACTGCCGAAGCAGTTCTAGCGCCAATATCCTTCAGAAAGTCTGAACTTCCCTCACTAGGATGACCTTAGGGGACAATGACCCTAATTCATGCGCTCCATTTTTAATTGTGTGTGCAGCAAAATTAAATTGATGCGTTCTTCTCATTTTAAGGTAAACATATTTAAAAAATTAGTAGTATTTTCATATAAAAAGTCAATGTACTTTTTTCCTCTGTTTTTTTTTCCCTTTGTACTTTTTTCATCCAAAATTTGCACTGTTAAAAATTTTATGAGTACTTTTTTCACTCTTTTTTTGCATATGAAAAAAACATGTACTTTTTTCATCCATTTTTTAAAAAATTTTCTCCATAATCACTTTTCTTATATTTCTTTGTAACTTTTAGTCTTTTATTTAACAAATTAAGTTGACCTTTCTACTGGAATTTCCTGTGCTTATTATTAGTCTTTTATATTAGATTATTCTACGTCACTTTAATCATTTTATATTTTGCAGCGTACTTTTTTCCTCTTATTTTGAGAGCCAAAATATTCTTTATTGTTTATCATGCAGCTCTTGCATTCTTTCCAGCAATATTGTTTAGTATTTATTATAATGCAATACAAGCTGCTTATTATGCAATTTAACCTTGGCCTTTCTTTGCTTAAATTTACTTAGTCTTGATAGAATATTGATTTTTATATATGTACTTTTTTCCTCTGTTTTGGCTGTTTTTTTTTCACCGTTTACTTTTTTTCACCCCCCTGTTTTTAAAAAAATCGAAAAGTACCGTTTGTACTTTTTTCACACTAAACGACCATTTTTAAAGCACACAGTCATTTTTGTAGGTTTTCGGAGGGGGTTTTAAAAAAGTACAGTGTTCTTTTTGAAAACTCTGGGCCTCACCCAGCTTATTTCGGAAGTATTGTGACTTTATTATATAACATTACTCTATTAGATTACTCACGAGTAAGCCCAATTTTAATACAAATTGATATCTGGGATCCTCTGATAAGACTTATCAGGCCTGGAGCCTTGCTTGAAAGACTATTTAATGAGCAGAGAAAGCCATGCAAAGACTATCAGAGCTACTCATTTGAAGACACCTTGATTGGGCTTGTCAGCATTCTGAATTTTATTGCTCATATGATGAAGCAAGATGCTCAAATTACTGATTATTTGTTAGAGTCCACCCACATATTGACTTATGTCTTAGACTGGATTCAAGAGTGCCTGGAAAGTTTCGAGGAATCAAAAGAGCTTCTATATGGAAAAACACTGCAAAGTTTGTTGAGTTGTCTCCATATTTCTATATTCCAAAGTCCTGTGAAGTCCAAACAGTCAATTGAAAATTTCAGATATGAATTACTATGTGACATATTTGATATATCAAGAGGCTCAGAATTAAAACTAACTATATCAAGACTTCTAACATGTTTATTGCCGCATTTTCCTATTGATGCAAAAGAAGCAGACCGTTTAGTCCTTCATCTTATTCATATTTATAAAGAAAACCAACATGAAGACCAATTAGCAGCGGCTAGAGATACAGAAAACGCTTTAGCAAGCTTATTATTTTACTCAGAATCTGCCAAAAATGTGGCGATTGCTACTGGATTTGCTAAAGATTTATACGGACTCGCTAAAGTGGTATCTAACGAAATCCAAGCTCAAGACTCTCAAAAAAATAAAAAGCAAGATGATTTTTCCCTTAAAGTCTTAACAAGGTTTTTAACTCTTTTCAAACTTTGGTCTGCAAATTCTCAAAGCGCAAAAGCAAGCCTATCTGGAAAAGAAAAAAAATCAGGGCCATTACTTCAACTCTTATTTAACTTGTGACCGCTAGCATTAAGGAAAGAAAGTTTATTTACATTGCTTCTAGAAACTATATGCACTTTAATATCAGAAAGCGAGGTATCTAAAGAGGCTTGCACTTATACCCAAGAAAACCGGCAATGTCTCTTGCTCTATGTAATTGAGTATTTAAGTCGGCCGTCAACTGCGTCTGATTTCAATTTTCGACTTGCCTTAAAAATGCTTGGGTCTTTGTGTGCAAGTACAAGCACTAGGCAGCTTTTAATAAAAACAAAATATCCTCAGGGACTATGCCAGCGCCTAGTCAAAGTCTGGAATGATTGCAAAGATCCTCAAGCCATTCCTATTAAGTCTCCATCAATGATTGAGTTTTTAGCTGCTTTTGCGTTTTATGATGAAGGGCAAAAAGTGATTGCTACTATTCCTGGGCTAATTGATGTTCTCGTAGAGGTACTTGAAAGGTTTTCAACTACAGGAATTAAATATGAAGTCGTTGAAAACTCTTTATTACTGCTTCGAAATCTTTGTTTTTCAGCCAATAATAAGCCTCATATTTTAGCAAATCAAAGATCTTTAATGCTACTATTAACATTTACCAGCAGTAATAAACAAAAACCAAAACTTAGAAATTTGGCCTCTTCTGCGTTATGGGCTTTGCTTTATAATAACCAGAAAGTTAAAGGACTTTTAAGACAGGATGAAATACTGAGACAGCTAGAAGTTGTTCAGAGTGATACCAGTAGAAGTGTCGATGAGCTAACTTCGAAAGAAGATAACGGAGACGATTTAGAGAATTTGAAACAAGTAGCAGAGAACATAAACTCTGTGCTGAAAATATGCATTGACCCATAATCAATTTAATTTAAACTTTTTTAAAATATAAGCTATGGAAACACAGTAGGAGTTAAAGAAAAATGCCTTCTTTCACTAGAATTTTTGACAGAAGTGATAGATCTGTGGAATTTAGCAGGCTCAAGGACTCTTGTTTTAGCTTTTTGAATCTTATTTTTATAATCTTGCTTGAATTTATCCTCTTCATTAAATGAATCAGCGTAAAGATTATAGGCCTTCAACATTATTTTTCTCATAACGTTATAATTGCTATACAGCTGAAATGTTGGCTTTGGAGGGTACAAACTCTCTTTTTGAGGATTATTGCAGTCAAATATATTCATTTCATGATTTCTCAAATATTCTATAGTTTTATAAGTATAAATTGGGCATTTCCAAATAATTTTATTCACTTTAAATTTAGTACTAAACCAACAATATTATTAATGGAATTTTTTCATTTTACTTCAAACGAAAATATTTCTTTACATTGAGTTTTATATAATTTCAGTTTTTCCAAATAAAGTTTCACTTGTGAGTTATAATATTTATTAATGCATTCTTCTCGAACCTTTTTTGGGATGAGCCTTCCGATTTTGTCAACTTTTAGCTTTCCTGATTTCTTCAGGAAACTTGATAATGATTCTTCGACTTTTTCTCACAGCAAATTTAAAGATAAAATTCTTGCTTTTCTGATTTTAATAAGGCTTAATAATCCACTTTGAAAAGCCTTTTTTTCTTTCCGGTATTTTAGCATCAAATCGAACATTGTATTGCCTGTAACAAGGACTTCGACTTGATTCGTAACAGCATTTAAAAATTTGTTTCTTCTGTTTTTAACCCATCTTTGAATTATTGGGAAATGCTCTTTTAATTTTCTTTTAAGGAGATTCCACCTCACTTTATTTAGGAGAATTCTAAATTTTCCAATTGCTCTTGAAATGTTGAGCAGAAAGGTAAGATGATTTTTTGCTCTGCATTTTAATTTCTAAATAACAATTACTTTTTTCCCTTCTGCTTTATAATGGATTACAGTACTGAATCCAACGATACTCATTAAAAGTATTCAAGATTTCATGACCTGCTTTGCTTCACTTTTCATTTGGTTATATGCGTATTTTTGCATTTTCTCTCTATACTTTGTTTCTCTAGACACTTTTTTTGCTTTTTCAATCATAGATCTGGTCAATTTCACAACTTCGAAATTAACACTCCTCCTTCTGAATTTCTCTAAATTTTCCCTTTCTTTATTTGGAGGGGAAAATCTGCTTAAATCAACATTCTTCACAAAAATTGGCTTTGGAATTTTTCTTTTATTTAAGGTTTTCACTTGCTGAATAAAAGATTCAACTTTTTGCTCAAAGGTGTTTTCGAATCTTGGCTCAGCAGATATGTAACCTCCAGGAGTGAAAGGTCTATCAAAAAGATCATAATCTCCTGGGCCAATATTTGTATCATAAATAGAATGCTTACTGCCATTTTCCTCTGGAATAGTCGGAGTTATTCAAGTTTTTGGGACTCCATAAGAATGATGAATTGCGCGAGAAGTTTCTGAGGATAAATCACAAGAAAATCTCTTTCTTTGAGATCGGACAGGAGAGAAGCTTGAATTTGGAGTTTTTGGTGCATGAGGCCTTATAGTATCAGAAATTCAGGGACTCTGTCCTGGGCTTTCAGTTTTAGAGAAATGAGACTTTACGTTTTTTTTGTGGTAATGCTGTTCTGATGGGACTTCATACGAAGATTGCCGAGTTGATAAATAGGGCGACATGGACTGCTCTGGACTTTCTTCTGTACAAAAATTTTGGTATTTAGCTTCTTTTAACATATTTAGGATTCTTATTGGATTGATCGATTATTTTTATTATAAGAAGCTTCTGATATATGAAACTCTTAGCACCAATTTATTTTATGCTAAAAGAATCTAAAAATATATATAAAGAAGAATGCTTAAATATATTATTTATTTTATTAATTTTGCTAAGATAAACAAACTTTAAGTGGCTTTTTGGAACTTAAATCCTTGCCTTAGTGAATTATACGAATTTATTATTGAAATTTTATTTTTCTCAACCATATTTTGATATGGGCATAATTAAAAATTGAACTCAAGGAGCTTGTGTTGATAATTTAATTTTATCATTTACCATTATGTTTAATAATTTTTTTATGGAATTTTGATTATTTTATAACAAAAGATTATGAAAGTTCTTATTATTGCAAACAATAATGCTTGGTGCTTATTTCAATCGGCATTTGAAAAAGGATTAATAAGTTTACTATATAAATTAAATAATATCGTTTGCTACCTCTTACTAGAAACATTAGCAAAAGCTTTGAAGTTATAGTTCTTAGCTGCTTTTAAACGGATACTGCTACAATCATCTTTTTCTTTACTGCTTGAAGGCTGACGGATCTTACTTTTTAAAGTCGACGATTTGATATAGCTTTCTTCTTTTGTGTAATGAAGCTGAGTATTAAGAAGCTGACTAATATATTTTTTCATTGAATTGTTATTTGAATAAAGCATAAAAACTGGACGCTTCGGATAGGTAAAATCTTTTAATTCAGTGATTGGCTTTCCATTGAACATTTGCTCAAATTCGATTTCTTTTATATTTAACTCTTTTTCTTTGTCAATTTCTTGGCATAATATATTATATTGCTTTATGTTTTCTATATGGGCTTTAGCTTGTAAAGCAAAATATTTTTTGATGTATTCTTCCTTAATATTTTGTGGAATAAATCTATCACTTTTATCATTGTATTTAATTTTTCCATATTTTCGAAGGTCTTGAATTACTGAGGTTTCAAATTTATCCCACAATAACAATTAAAAATGGAATGAATGAGTAGGGGTTCTGTCCCCTATACTCGTACTAGTGAGGGAAGTTCAATCTTTCTGAAGGAAATCAGAGTTGGGACTGCTCCGGCAGCCCCAAGAGTACTTGAAGCACACTCAAGGAACGAAGAGAGACTCGTCCGGGCCATAGGCAACTGTAACGGTTCGACGGTTAGGCCGATTCCACCTACCGTTGTTCAGAGCTGTTAGCTAGTGGATGGAATTCATGGAGGAAGAGCTTGTTTTGATAGATCCTAAGCTAAGTGGGGGTCTACAAGGAGTTATCGTAATCTTAATCTTAATCCCACAATAAACTTAGCGCAAATATCCTGGAAATTCTGATTTTTATGATACTATATTTCATTATATTGAATATGAAAATTTTTGTTTTAGTATCTTCTTATTTGAACTTATAAAATTATTTTCTATTAAAGTCAATGTGTTAAATAAAGGAATAAGTACTCCAGCTTGTATCAAATCTCTTATTCTATGAAATTTCATCATAAGCTCAAATAGTGTGATATCTGGCAATACTTTATCTGTTACAGAGCTCAACATATTTAAATAAAGTTTTCTTCTTTTTGCAAGCCAATTTTTTATTACAGAAGAGTTCTTTTTCAATGCTTTTATCAGTATACTTCACCTAGCTTTGCTTAAAAGAATTCTTATTCTGCCTATCACCCTCATAATATTAAATAAAAATATTAGATGGTTCCTCGATCTTTCTCTCAGTTTCTAAATAAGCTTTACTTTTCTTTTGTCAAAATTGTGCCAGCAAGAAGTTTGGATGCCAGCTATTATTGATAAAATTATTCATGATTTCATCACTTGCTGTCCTTCGACCTTTTTTTCTCTGTATTTATTTCTTTGCATTTTTTCATTGAGTTTCGAAATTTTATATTATTTTTGAATGGCAATAATATTTAATTAATGGCTATAAGAAGATTAAAGCCTTTATTATGCATAAAAAAGGATTAATTTTACTGAAATGAGTAGGTAAACTGTCTTGATACACTCAGGTATGTTATATTTTCTTTTTGAAAGAAATCAATTTTTTTCTTCGTCAATTTCGCAATTTCTTCTTTTGCTTTCTTTATTTTTTGCTTTTTTTTAAAAGATTTCTCTTTATTTTCCAACGAATACTGATCCATATCCATATTCCTTTCATAAATTTTATTAGAAAGGAAAATACTCCTATTCTTTATTCTTTTTTGTCTCACTCCCCCCCCTTAAATTGGAACAAAATATAGGTAAAATTTCCACTTTTTTGGTAAATTAACCCCCCTTTAAATTGAAACAAAATTCAATTTTATAATAAAAAATTTTATAGATAAAAATCATAATTTTTATGTAAAAAGATTTGATATAAGTTAAATGTTTCTTCTTAACTAAAATTAAAAATTTAGTTATATCTTGCTCTTGTTTATAGAATAGAGCATAAAGAGCATCTTATTTAAATAAATTTATTAGCCTTAATTGCTAAATTTTTAAAAACATTTAATTTTTTTTTTTTTAAAAATTTTTCAAAAAAATTTTTTATTTTTTTGATAAAATGATATTATTTTTTATTTAAATTATTTTGATATAAATTCAATGCGAATTCTTTACAAAAATTGAAAATTCACTTATTTCTTGCTTTATTTTAAAGAATAGAGTATAAATGGCATCTCATTTAAACAAAATTAGCACTTTGATCCATAAATTTTCTAAAATTATTTTTTTTTTTACCAAAAAAATAATAATTTTTGTGTAAATAGTTTTGATGCCAATTAATAGTGGCATATATTATATACATAAAATGGCCGGAGACGAGCGGCCCGTCCTTCCGTGGCGGGTGTCCTTATGTATACCGGACATGGTTTTTGGATGCGGAGAGCTACTCAAGGGAAGAGTTAGCCTCGAGGCGAGAGGCCCAGCCCAATTTCCGCTGATTTTGGGGACTCAACCCGGGGCAGCAGTTTTTCGCATTCTTTTTGCCAGTAGCGCCGAGGCCCAGACTCGGTGTGTCCGAAAGAGGCAGGGAGAGTTATCTGCCTAGGCTACTTGGTGGCTTAGCCCCGAATCCCGTAAGGGGTTGAGTTCTTTCTTGGAGATGATCCGGGAAAGAGGGGAGGCGAAGCTAGACTTAGGGATCTCAAGGGCGCAAGTCTCTCCAGTTAAAAGGGTCCTCTCACGAGGGCGATCTGGCCAACCAGAGGCAAAGACTGGCGTAATTCGGGGCGGAAGGCTGAGTTGGAAATGGTGGTGCCCGGCGACAGTCGGCTGACGACTCAATAGGGCAACCCACTACCGAGAAACCAGGGGTTTCGGCCTGGGCTCAGAGAACCAGTGATGGAAGTCCATCCTTTTCGCTCGTGCCAGCACGGCTCCTCAAGGAGCGCGGAGGAATGCCACACATGGAAGTAGGGACTATAAAAATACACATCTTAAACCTAACCTAACCTAACCTAGTGGCGTATTAATTAATAATAAAAATTTAGTTATATCTTGCTTTGATTTAAAGGATAAAGAGTAAATAGCATTTTATTTAACAAATTTATTAATCTAATTCGATAAATTTTTGAAATGTTTTTTTTTATAAAAAATTTTATACATATTTTTTTTTATAAAAAATTTTATATTGATTTTTTTTTTTAAAAAATTTTCTTAACCCCCCTTTAAATTGGAACAAAATTTTTAGTTCCAATTTAAAGGGGGGGAGTCAGAAAAACCTCCACTTTTTCTTGGAGATTTGTCTCAAACCTAGCTTCAATTGAAAATATCCCTCCCGGTGTAAACGACCTGGAGATTGGATTATAATCTCCTGGCCCTATATTTGAATCGTACGATGAACTCAATTTAAATCCTAGCCTTGGTCTCTTGCTTGGGTATAAAGATTTAGGAATTTTGTAATTTCTGTGAACAGGATTGAGACTTGGAGAATCATCAATATTTGAATTCATACGTTTAACTTTAATTTTTCTTGGATTTCTTAAAGGACTTTTAAGAACTGGAAACTTTATGCTGTCAAAAATCTCAATTCTTGATTCGAGGCCATCAAAGCTTGCAATATTAGATTTCGTTTGGGCTCTTATGATAGACTTCGTTGTTGCTGAGGTTGGCATAAGATCACTTTCGTTAAAAATTTTTGAAAAACTGTGATCTTCATGGGCATCAGAATATGTATATAGATGATGAGCTTCGTAAAGACTCTCAGACATTTCGGTGTTCATTTTATCATGTTGTTAACAGCTCATAGGTTTTAAGAAAATGCAACTATTAATAATTAATACGATACTCTATCAATAAGAAAAATTTGAATAAAACCAATTTAAGTATAGCTATACGCTTCGAAAAATAATGCAATATTATTAATTCAATATTAAAATAATTACTTTCAATGTCATGCAGTGACCTTAAACCTCCATCCTTACAAACTTCTAAAAAATCAAAAAATCAATCACTCAATTCTTCCTTAAAATTTTCTGATCTTGACGTCGCACAGCACTCAGAAAATCTAGCTAATAGCCAACATCCAGAGCTTATTGCAAAAGATATTCGTTCATTGAATTTATTTCTTGAGAGCCTAGCTGCCTGATCGACTGAATATTTTTTTTCGAAACTGCCTTTATCACTATCTCACTTACCTAGAGTTCCAATAATGGATTATTTTCAAGAAATTTCCCCAGCATGTGAAAGATTAAGAGATGTTTTCGGCAATATACGTGAGACTGCAAAAAATAGGATTAGTTCAATGGAAGAAGTTATTCTTAAACGCATAATTCAGAGTCATCTTATTTATTATTTATAATGATTGCCTAGAATTAATTCAATATAATACAGCATATATCTGTAGCCGAAACAGATAAGAAAATATTCACTCAAACAATGAGCCAAATCAAATTAGACATCCAAAGAATTTCACTAAAAGTTGAGAAAAAAGATGAAATAATTTCTCAATTATCAAAAATTTTGGAAAGCAAAAATGCAGAATTAAGTGAGAAAAGCAAAAATACTGATGCTTTTATACATGGGTTCAAGGAGCTTAAAAGTGAGGTTGAGACTTTGAAAGATGATATTAAATTAGCTTGCAATAGTATCCAATATGCCCTCGCAGAAGCTGAAAGATGAGGATATGTAATATCAAAATCAAAATTAAATAGTCTGCTAGATTATACAAGCGAAGCAAAGCAATGCATACTTACTATCGTGCAAGAATCTGCAGCTGAAAAACAAAAAGTGAGAGATCTAGAAAAACAAATGGAAAAGAATTCTGAAGTTTCGGACGCTCATATAAAGATTATATCTGGGATGAATAAGAAAATCGAGTCATTAAGTCAAGCTATTGATGAAAGGTCACAAAACTCTTTTGCATCGCTCTGTAAATCTTCTCAAGTAAGCATAAATCAGTCAAATTTAAGCAGCAAACAGAACGAAAGCCCAATTTCACTTAATGAAAGACGTTACGATATGCCACTAAAAGACAGAGCAAGCAGCAAAAGCTAATTGATAGCCTAAGATTTTTGTAAAGTTGAATTCATCTATCCATTTTAAAACTCATTTATTCCTATAAATTTAAATACTTTTCATTTTCTTCTCCTTTTCTATCCTTTCTCTTATTATCAATTATATTCATTCATAATTTTTCTGCTTCCAGACCTTCCACGTATAAACCGTTTCCTCCCCACCCTCTGTTGAAATTCAAAAGATTCATCAAATTCTTAAGTATTTGAAAAATGGAACCAAAGGAAAACAACGGTGAATCTGAAGCTTCAAGCTCAGTCAGAGTCGCAGTCCGAGTCCGACCTCTAATAGGAAGCGAAAAAATCGAAAGTTCCCAAATCTGTATAACATCTGACCTTGACCGCAATACTATAATAATTGGAAAAGATCGTGAGTTTGCATTTGATCACGTGTTCGGCGTCGAGTCAAAACAAAGCGAAGTCTTTGAGGTTTGTGCGAAAGATTTGGTCTTGAGCTGTTTTAGTGGGTACAATGTAACAGTATTAGCTTATGGGCAAACTGGGAGTGGCAAAACTTATACCATGGGAAGTGGCCAAGTATTAAACTTACTTGATGAAGAGGTAGGGATAATTCCCAGAGTGATAAAAATGATATATGAGGAAATTGATAAAAGAAAAGGCAAGGCGGAATTTACTATAAAAGTGAGCTTTTTAGAAATTTATAATGAAGATATACATGACTTATTAGGTGCTAACAGCATGGTGCCTGAAAAACCAATATCAATTAGAGAAGATAAAGGAAGCATTTTATTGATGGGGCTGCATGAAGAAACAGTGGCTACTGATGAAGAAATGTCTATGTGTTTACACAGAGGCAGCATCCAAAGAAGCACTGCGTCAACACTTATGAATTCTCAAAGCAGCCGATCTCATGCAATTTTTACAATTAATATAGAGCAACAAGTATTAGAAGACGAAGTCACTGGAGAAAAAATCAGTGAGACTCAAGAATATAGAGGTTTCCTCTATATAGCGCTGAAAGCGCAGACATTTTCCCAGGAACTTTCCAAGTTCGTCGGACCAAATCGCTTTTTGGTCCGACCAAGGCATTGATTTGGTGCAACCAACCGATAAATTCCGATCAGAATTTATCGGCCTTACAGCGCCAAACATAGGAAACTTCTATACATGATCGCTAAGTTTCATTTTGTAGACCTAGCCGGCTCTGAAAGAGCGAAAAGGACTGGAGCTGTTGGAGCTACATTAAAAGAGGGGATCAGTATTAATAAAGGCTTGTTATGTTTAGGAAATGTGATAAGTGCGCTTACTGAAGACTCAAAAAAGTCAACTCATGTTCCTTATAGAGATTCCAAGCTCACAAGAATATTACAAGATTCATTAGGAGGGAACGCTAAAACCTATATGATTGCTTGTATATCTCCAGCAGAAATCAATTTTGAAGAGACTTTGAATACTTTGAAATACGCCAGCAGAGCTCGACATATAAAAAATAAGCCTATTGTTAATAGAGATCCGCAGTCAGCTATGATTGCTCAGCTTCGACAAGAAGTGTTTGCTTTAAAGCAGGAAATTATGAACTATAGGAAAGTTATCACGATGGACAGTTCTGAAGAAATAAAAGAAGCTTTCGCACAGATAGCTAGATTAGATTAAGATTAATTCTAGCGAGAGACTGGGGTTTATTTTAGTCCCTACCTTTCACGAGTTAGCTTCACGTTCAAGTTGTGCTAGACAATAGTCCCAACTAAGGTCCTTTTTCCGTCGACGACACCAAAAAATGGTAATGCCGGACAGCCTGTCGGAGAGACTCGCCCGCTCAGGTCTTGATCCTTTGATCAGCGATTAAGAACTGCATACCGTTAGCAGGGCTTGGCGTATTGCTGAATCACCCAAAATCTCCTTATTGGCCTGCATTAGCCCTAAGCAGACTAAAGATTGCCTTGCAAGAAGTATGAAAGGATATTGCGCCTCGACCAGTCGTTTGTAGCCGAGGAAAAGGCTTAGCACCAAAAAACACCCAGATGACTATCGCCAATGAGATCCTCCATCCACACGGCCTGATTCAGCACGCAAGATAACAAGGACCTAACTCTACTCGCCATTTAAATAATTATCTCGTACAGATGAAGACAGGGAATTTCGAAGATGAAGATAGAAAAGTGAAGCTAAAATGCCAACAGCTGGAAAAAAGGGTCAGCCAGCTGACGATAGAACTAGATAAATATAGAAGCAGCTCTAATGACAGCGAAATTGAAAATTTAAATACAATTAAAGAAAGGGATATTTATAAGTCAAAAGTGGAAAAATACGTAGAACTCCTTAAAGAGCATAATTTATATGTGGAAGAAGAAGAGGAATTTAAGCTGCCAAGCTTACTAGAAGAGTACTCAAAAACTATTGAAAAGCTTAAAAAAGATTTATTTGAAAAAGACAAAATGTTCAAGGACTTGCAAGTTGAGTATGATAATCTTATGCAAGCATATGAGCAAGATGAAGCAATGCTTAATAAAAAAACACAAGAAATCGAAATCCTTAAAAGATCAAAATCAAGCTCAAAAGGACTTGACAACTTAAATGAATTCGTCATCAAAAATTTTGACGACTATGGAAAAATATTTGCCGAAACAGTGCTTGCTAAAATAGAAAAACAAGAAAATGCACAAGAAAACGCACAAGAAAATCCACAAGAAAACCCAGAAGACGAAGAGACCCCAGAAACCCCAGATTTAGAAGACCCAAGTACTGAAGAAGAGCCACCATGTCTCGCAGAAAAAGAAGAGCTGATCAAAGTTGAGTCAAAAATCAGAGAAAAAGAAGATATGCTCCGCAATATAGAAGAAGCTTTCAAAGAGCTCCAAAGTAAACTATTAGAAGAAATGTCCCAACAATATTATTTAAAAATAGAAGAACTCGAAAAAGAACTTCACACAACTGTAAAAGAAAGAGACATGGCACTGGAAAAGGTCAGAGAAGGCAGCAATGCAGAAAAACAAAACGTCGCGGAAAGATTCAGAGCCAAAATCTCTCAGCTTGAAGAAAAATTAAAAGAAAATCAAAGAAAAGATAGAGAACAAACCGCATTATATAAACTTGTAGAAAACCAAAAAATTCAGCTAGCGAAGCTAGCTGCTGATATAAATAAAGCTAAGCAAGATAAAGTCGCGCTTTCAAAGAAAATCAAAGAAGAAAACGAAGCACACAATAAATGGAAAGCATCACGTCAAAAAGAAATTCTACAGATGAAGCAGCTGAATTTAAAAAAAGATAAAGAGATTCAGAAACTTCAGAGCGAAAATAGAAAAAAAGAATTAATTGCGAAAAGGAAAAGTGAAGAACTGGCAGCTATCCAAAGAAGACAAAGAGATATTGCACTTAAAAGAAGATCGAAAGGGTCAGATAAAAGAGATATAATGAAATGGGTATCAGATTATGCATCAGCGTGCATAGAAGAACGAGAGCTGAGAGTCAAGATACATCTCAGATTTTTCAGCAGGAGGTAATATCAAAACCTACCTTTTAACTCCCAGTTGATGACGTTGACAGCCATCTTTTCTGACATGACCCCACCAAAAGGGCCAAAAAGCCTCCACTGATCGCGTTGACCTCGCTCTAGACTTAACTTCTGCGCGTGTTCCATCTAAGGGCCGCCCTCCTCGGGTATGTCAAGCGGTAAAACTCCTAACATCCTAAAATTCTGGGCAAGTGGCTTACCTTATATGATAAGCCATGCTTGGCATTGTGGATAAAGGTGCACCAGATAAATCGAACCCATAAGAATAAAATTCGCAGAGGAGGAAAAGTTTGCTGAATAAACCATTTCCGTACATATCTATTTTATTATTATGAGTCAAGATACAGAATGATATCACAGAAAAAGACGAAATTGAAAAGCAAAAGCTTGAATTAACTCAACAGTTCGCTATTGCAAAGCTAAAACTTGAAAAACTTGAAATGGGATAAGACTGGTGTTGCATAATATTCGTTCTATTATTTTAAAACATGCAAAAAATATGTGAAATTCTCCTCATCTCGAAATGGTGTATGAAGAATCTGGACTTATTAATGATGAAACTCACTTGGCATCAAAAATCCAAGAGACTAAAAGTGAGCTAGAATATCTCAGTGAACAATTAGAAACACTTGAAGAAAAACTCAGATTTAAACAAGAAAAAATAATCGAAACATCCCAACTGCTCGCAAACTCTGAAGTAGAAGACATCAAGGCAAAATCGTTAGCCATAAATACACTCGATGACGCTCATTTACTGATTTCTGCTTTATTTGACGAAGTCATGACAAGAGCTTCAGAATCCAAACAGTTCGGCAAAAACTTACAGAAAAATGAAATCCAGATCCAGAACCTCAAATTAATCAACGATGAACTGACTTATGAAAAAGATTTATTGCTGAGACAGCATGAAGCAGAAAGCACAAGGCTTAAAATGGAATATGAAGCTAGAGAAAAACTTATATTGGAAGAACTAGAAGAAAGGAAAAACGTCCATGTCATTGTGCCTGTTAATACTGAAGAGCCAGATAAAGTTATAGAAGAATTAGTCAAAAAAGATAAAGAAAACCAAGAAATTATTGACAATTTGAGAAAAGACTTGGAGAACACTCTGCAAAAATATAATAAGTATAGAAAAGCGTTTATTGAGATGAGGGAACAAGTTCTACAGATGAAGGAAGAAGAAAATAAAGCCAAGCCTAAGGTTCCACCGCCTAGCACAATAACTTCTCTAGCAAAAGCAAGAGAGCAAGCAAAAAATAAAAGAGAAAAAGTTGAAGAGGAAACTAAAAAACCAAAAAAGCCGCAGTCAGTAAATAGTTCTCAAAGCAAAATTCCAAGGGCTATTAGTTTTGATAGTGAAGACGCTATGACTGACAAAACGCAGAGAACAAAACTTAAAAAATCTGAGACTAGTGTAAATCAGTCAATGGAACAGTCAAATCAGCCCTCTCAAAGATGGCAGTGCACTCAGAGCTTAGAAGCGCATACAAGTGCAGTGTGTTCAATGGTTTACCATGAAAACATTTTATACACAGGCTCGAATAAGGCATTCAAAATGTGGTCGTTTGACACTTTGAGTGTCATTAGTGAAGTGCCTTGTCATAACTCCTTTATAAAAGCAATGGCATTTTGGCCTGAAAACTCATTGATTTTTACAGGCTGTAACAAAGAAATTAACATCTGGGATGCAATTTCTCTCCAGAAAATTTCTTCCTTTGTTGGACATTGTGAAGATGTGAGGGCTTTGCATATGAAAGATAATCTGCTTATTAGTGCTGGGAAATCATTATCGGATGGTCCTAGCATTTTTATATGGGATTTGCGAAGAAATAATACCCCATTATATAAAACTGAAAACATGCAGGATATGTACAGTATAAATGTACATGATAATATAGCTTATTATTCAGGCAGGACTCATAATATTGGTAGACTTAATTTAAGAAGCTTTGAAACAATAAAGCCATATGAATCTAACCACACTGATATAATTACAAGCCTTGCTATCTACAAAGACTCAATTATATCAGGATCCAGAGATAAAACTATAAAGAGATGGGATAGAGCTGATAATGTAAATTATCAGCCTATATTGAATGCTCATACTGACTGGGTTAATAGCATAATTACTGATAATAAAGGAAAGTATATATTTACGGCTGGGAAAGAAGGAAAAGTAAAAGTCTGGAAAGGAGGAAGAAACCTAAAAATGGCTTCTGAAATCATAGGGCATGCATCATCTGTTAATTGTATAGCCCCACTTGCCAATAATGATATCGAGATTATAAGTGGTGGCACTGATAAATTTATTAAGGTATGGAAACTAATTGAAGATAACTCGGGCTCAGATAGCGAGGGCTCTAATAACTAACATATATCTAGTTTAATAATAAAACTTATTTAATATCGGTTAGAAATATCCCTTAGGTTTATTCTATTAAGTATTCCCATTGTCCTTGTAAAGACTCTAAAAGTAGTCCAAATACATAAAGTCCAAACCCAGCTTCTTCATCACATGCGAATACATCATTGAAGACATCGTTAGACAGTCTGCAATAAAGGTATTTCTGGCATTTTTTATCGCACTTTTTAGCTTCGAATGGATACTGGGCCAGCCAGTTAGCATAAAATGTTTGGCCAACAGTTTCATCATTAAGTACTTGATCAGCTAATTTAGAAAATGATATAGGTGACATATCAGCCATACCATATTCATCTTTGAAATTGAAGGCTTCTTCAAATGTGGCACTTTCGGTGTTCTGATTAGCTGAATAAAGAGGGAGCCTGTATTGGTGAATATTTACAAGATGATGGGTCTTTACATCGTACTCATAGAGTCTGAATGACGGGTTTTGATTGGAATAAGTCCCGAATGAAGGTGCTGCAAAGTAAACACCAGCTGGATCGGCACCTGGGATTAAGGAATGGATCACAAAGAACTCATCCTGGTGGGTATGTCCAAAGAATTGGCCTCTAATTGTGTTCTGGAATCTATTCACAAGAGTTCTGAAGTGTCTTGACCAGGTGGAATCTACGTATTTATCTCCGTGTGGAAGATGTCCCAATATAATCACAGGCTCGTTATTGGCTTCAGCTTGATAAAGCTCACCTCTTAGCCAGGCAAGCATGCCTGCAGGGTCAGTGTTATTTGGAATCAACCATCCGTTCATATTGTCTCCTAGCTGGTTGTTAAGTCCAATAATCCTAAATCCAGTTGTAGGCTCCAAGGCTGAGTAATACCCATTTACTGAAAACTGCTGGATCTGCTCAGGACCAAGCCATTCTCCCCAAAGCTCTGTCAAATTTCCTAACAAGACTTGTTCATGGCCAGGCTGGAAAAAGTCCATCGGGAAGCAATCATGATTTCCAATAATAGGGAAAATTGGGACTTCTAAATAGTCCTTGAACATTTGGGTGATTTTCTTGGTGACGTTCATTTCTTTTTCCCTTTCATAAGCCCATACATCATGTGGAGGGTTATCCCCAGTCCAAACCACAAAGCTTATAGGAAGGGTTTTGATTTGTTGAAGAAATGCTATAGCAGTTTGAGGTGGCGAATCACAGCTAGCACGGGAGCCCCAGTAGCCAGCTGTACCGTTGCCTGATCTGCAGCAAAGAGGATAATTGCAATCTACTTCTGAGCCGACCTGATAGAAGAAGTCAATGTGCATGTCAGTCACTTGTAACACAAAAAAGGTGTCATTTCCAACCTGAGGCCATGGCTGAATTGGAGGCATGTCTTGGAGGACTTGCTGTTCATACTGAGTCAGGTTATCTAGTAAATATTCTGGATGAGCGCAGGAGCCAATTTTAGGGCAAATGTAATCGGCGTTAAGGAATTTGGCCAATATGTTGTCTGTATACCCAGGCCCGTAAATGTCAACAAGTCCTTGGCAAACTTCATGGTGTTCAAAAAGAGAGCAAAGTCCCACAAGAATATCAGCGCCACTGTCGAGGAAAGAGTTGCTGCCAATTGCATCTTTTAAAGCGTCCATGATGGCATGGCATTGTAAGCAATCTGGCTTGCGACGGGCTGTGACTTGCAGAGCTAAGACAGCCAATGCAATGGTGAAAATCAATCGCATTTTATAATTAGTTAACAACCCAAAAGATGTAACGAGTTTAGTTGAATTATTTAAAAACGGCAATATGTATAATAATATGATTAAATTCTAACTCACTTTTAAATTTAAGTGATATTTACTTATTTACTATTATAGAAATCAATTTCATAAAGAGACTGTTTCTGTTTATATCAGAAAAATTTTTCAGCTAATTAAATTTAATATAAAAATGCAAAAATTAAGTCAACAGTAATTTGTTGAGAGAACAATAAATCGTTTCTATTACTGCATTAGCTATTAAAAAATCATATTTTTCAATTGAAGAAAAAACATTCGCCAAATTTAGCATTTTTCCACCAATAATACTTAATGTTTAAATCAATTCAGTTTTAATTGGATAAATGGATCAAGCTGGAGGACATATAGGAAGTCTTATCCCTCGAGGAGATAAAATATTGAAACGTGTTGGGAAAGCAGAACTTGAGTTCTACAACTATCTTTTTAGCCCTGAACTTCAAGACCCTCACATGCTTGAATTTCGTAAATTTGTTCCAACATTCTATGGTGTTGAACAAATTGAAGGTCACAGCTTCGCAATAATTGAAAACTTGCTTGATGGGTACAATTATCCGAGCATATTAGACTGCAAAGTGGGAAAAGTTACCTGGACTCCACATCATGATCCAGCTAAAACAAAACGCCAGCAAGATGAAGCCTTAAGGACAACCACTTCTACATTAGGCTTTCGTATATGTGGAGTATACTTTTTTGGTTAAATATCAAAAATTTTCATTATAATTAGGCTATTACTAAATTTATTATAATGCAGAATAGTCGCAAAAGATCAATTTGGAACAATATTTGGCCATACAGGAAAGTTTAGCAAAGGCGAAGAGCCAACAGCTGAAAACGTCCATGAGCATTTCAGAAGAATTGTTACAAGAGGCGAAAGAGTCCAGCTGGAAACCATTGACCAATTTATTAGGGATACTCAAGAAATTTTAGATTGGTTCAGAAAGCAGCGATCAAAGCATTTCTATACCTGCTCCGTGTTTTATGTTGCTGGGCTAGAAAAGGCTCAAACAAGGTTTATTGACTTTGCCCACGTTTTTGATGCTGAAGGACAACCAAACACCAATGTAATTGAAGGGCTAGAAAGCTTGATCATGATTTGGAATCGAGTCAAATCCGAAGTTTTGGCTGAATCCCAGCCATTAGATCAAGCTGCAGGGCATGAAGGTAGTCTTATCCCTAGAGGTGACAAGCTTCTCAAAAGAGTGAAGGCTCCAGAAATCACATTTTACGAGTACTTATTTAGTCCAACTCTTGAAAATCCAGAAATGATTGAATTCAGAAAATTCGTCCCTTATTATTTTGGAGTCGAAAACCTTAATGGCCATGACCATATAGTAATAGAAAATTTGCTATATGGGTACACTCACCCAAGTATTTTAGATTGTAAAATTGGAAAAGTTACATGGCTACCAGAAAACAGTGATGTAAAGACCAAAAAACAGCAAGAAGTCGCCATGAGGTCAACACAAGCAACACTTGGGTTCAGAATTTGTGGAATTTTATGCAAAGATGAGCAAGGAAATGTCACCGGACATACTGGGAAATATTCAAGAAACACTGAACCTGTTGATGCTAATGTCCATGAAGAATTCAGAAGAGTTGTCACAAGAGGAAATCGAGTCCAATTGGAATTCATTGATCAATTCATCAGGGATACTCAAGAATTATTGGACTGGTTCATAAGACAAAGAACGAAGCACTTCTTCACTTGCTCTGTCTTTTATATAGCAGGATTAGAAAAAGCCCAGACGAGGTTTATTGATTTTGCACATGTTTTTGATTCTGACGGAACAGCAAATACAAATGTGATCGAAGGACTAGAAAGCCTGATTATGGTTTGGAACAGAGTTAAAGCCCAAGTGCTGTCTGAAGGCCATCATAAGTAAGCCTTTAATCTTTTATTAAAATAGCCTATCAAAACTATTTCATTACCATTTTAGCCTTTGGTTTTAATATTACAATGGCCTTTCTTCGAATCTTGAAGAAATCTTCGCTCTTGTCCAGAAACTTCTCATTATTTAGCGACAAGCGGACTCAAGATCATAAAAAGATTTTCCAAAGTGAAGAACAAAAGAATGAAGAAGAAGAAAAAAAGAAAAATAAAATTTATGGCAAAAGGTTCTATGAAGAATCAAAAACGAAGTTCAAAGAATGGTTTCCAGGCGAGACATTTGACCCAAAAGACTGCTTGAAAGTCCAGCACACTGATGTCTTTGATGATGCTGATCAATATTATAATGTAAAGGCGACATGAAGAAAAGATCTCCCAGACACTGAACTTGATTTTATAAAATACAATCCTGACACAAAAGAATACGAAATACAGAAAATCAAAGGAAGAGAATACTTCAAACAGCAGAGGGTCATATTTGTGGGAATTGTTGGAGCTTTTGTACCTGAATGCACAGAGCAAGTAGTATGGGATTGGGCTACAAGGTCGAAAGGTATAAAAAAGTCGGCAAGAATGGACGAAATCATTATAGTAAGTATGAATGATGCTTATGTTATGCAGCATTTTGCAAAAAAACTGGATTATGGAGATAGATTAAGCTTCATTGCAGACTGAAATGGAGCTTTTACAAAAAATGCTGAGACATTGATTGAGTTTGACAGTGGATGTGGATTAGGAGCAAGAAGTCAAAGATACTCGTCCCCAACTATTCATGGACGTATGAAGGCTATTTATCAATCTGCTCATGGTGATAAGCTACTTTATACTGTTTCATCACACCCAATCTATCTGTGGAGGCTTTTGGGAAATTGAAAAGGGAGAGAAAGAATATACTTACTCCCCCCCTCCGTGAGCGAGCAAAAACATTGGATAAATCCCTATTTTTTTGCCAAAAATCTACCTCTGTGAGTGAAAGAAATTTTTTTTCAATATAACAATTTTTAGGAAAAAAGTTTTTATATATAGGTGATAATTATTATAATGAAATCTCTAGCTAATTCTTTTTCATTTTGAACAAATTGCATTTTAAAACATAAATTTTACAAATTATATTAATATTTGCTTTCCAATTTTTGCGAATTGGAAATTTCGAAAAAAAAAATTTTAGTTTAAAATTTATTAAAAAAAAATAACCCCCTATATGCAAGCGAACAGAATTTTTTTTGTTCGCTCACGGAGGAGGGAGTTATAAATTTTTTAGGATTAGCGGTTATTAAATTATAAAATTGCTATTATTATAAAATAACTTTCTCTGTCTAAATATCAAATTTATTTAAAAATTTATGTAAAATTTAGTAATTAAGTTTTTTCCAAAAATTCCAATTTGCAAATGTGAAAACCCTAAATTTAATTTATTCAACAATTTTATCATAATTATAATTTCATATCAAAATATTTTATTTAAAAAAACTTAGAGTACACAAAAACAAGGATTTCAAGTGATTTGCTCACTCGGAGATGTGGAGCAAGCAAGGGCAGCAATGCAAAATATAGCACAAATTTAAGAAGAACTTAAATATTGCTTGGATAATATTATTTAGATTTAAATAATATCGATTAAAAAATTGTGAGATGTCTTTTAAAAAGAAAAATTGTTTTTGATATGGAATTTATAGATCTTTTAGTTAAAATATTTAACATTATTTTATTTTGTACAGCATTTATTGATAATTATCCCTGAAGTGATCGAAATCTAGAATGAAAAGTTGGTACTGGACTCAGTTCAAAAGTGTGGAATTTAGGAATTTGGATACTTTGTGAAGTAATTCTCAGTAGTGCTGGAAGAGATGGATTTTTATTAGAATTTTTTGATGTCTTTTTATTAATGCTTAAAGGGCTATGGGTCGCTGTTTGGGACTTCTTATGCATTACAATTCCTTGAGATTGCATAATATGACTAGGCAAGCATATATACATAAAAATGGCGACTGGAGAGCCAGCCCTTTTCCTCAACACCTGTAGCCGGACACTCCGGGGACCTTGTGGAAGGGGAAAGGCGCTCGGAATGTGTATCCGGCTGGGTTTTACCTTGGTACAGTGGAGCGCAATGTCGAATTTGGTCGACCGCAGCTCATTCTGTCACCAAGGGTTTTTACCTCGAGGAGGAAGGGTCTTCCAAGTTAAAAAGGGGAAGCTCAGCAGCGTCAGGAGTCACCTCCTGATCAATCGGGCAATTCCCTAGCGCGATACTGGGCGTTGCATCCCGGGCTTGGATTTCCTTTCTGGCCGACAGCCCTACCAGAAAATTTGTTTTTCAGATTTTCGGAATGGGCAACCTCGTGCTCGCAGCCTCAAGCAATGCCGCAGAATTCCTAAATCTGCCCACTCAAGACTGGAGCAAGGTTGTAGCTTGCAAGGAGGAGACGACCAAACAGAACAGGTTAGCTGTAAAATCAGAGTCCTGTAGGCGGAAGTCGCAAAGCGGAGGAACCCTCGAGGGGGTCTGGGTGACTGCGTTAACAAGTAACAGCTTAGCAGCTGATAATCTCTAATTAAGACTAGGCAAGCATTTAGGCGTTTTCGATTTGAAGCGGCTGAGACTTTTAATCTTTTGGGCCATTTGTTTTAGTTTCACAGGAGAATTTGGAGTGTCTACGCTAGACAAAGGAGATAACAAAAAATCCTCTCCTTTGATCGGCTGTAGATGTGTTTTGGTGTCAGCTCTTTTTATTTTTTCATTCATTGTATTTGGCTTAATCTTTTTAGTGCCAGCTCATGAGTTTTGTCTCATGCTTTTATGAATATTTCTCTTAGCTGACCTTTCTTCTTCAAAAACTCTTATTCTTTCTCTGATGTTCCTCATTTCCTGCTTAAGTTCTTCTGTCCCAGGTGTTGGGTTTCTCAAAGGATTACCAATACGGCTCTTAATTTTGCATTTTTCACGTCCCAAAATTTCTAAAAAATGAACATTGATGCTGCAATTTGACAAAGAATCGTCATCTTCTGCAAGAGAGCTTTGCTCAGTTAGAGAAGTATTGGTATTTTTGCATATATCAGCATCAGGCAAAAATTTGTAACGATGACCCCCTCCCTTCAATCTTCATGTCTACTGCAACAAAAATTTTTCGAAAAAATCTTCATGCCTACTGCAGCATAACATTTTTATAAAAAAAAATAATTCATTTTTCTCTATGTGAGTTTCTCAAAAAACCATAAAACAGCCTACTGTAGGTGTGCCAATGACCTTCTCATCGAGATTTGGACTGCTATTGCTATCGCTCGCCATTTTATTAAACTTATCTAGCTAAAAAGTACGGAAAAATTTAAGATGCGCATCGAAAATTTGCTGCAAGAGGATTAGGATTATTACAAACAGGCGCTAGCCATATTGGTGACGCAGTCATTAAAGATCTCCTGTACGGAAGGTTCTACTGCTTTTCGACTCCAGCCCAAGGAGGATCTATCCCTCTTACGAGTGCCCTTCGGTACCTTCTGTCTCCTCCTTGCCTTGGGAGTTCAGTCTTGAGTGGGCGGCTTATGGATTTCTGAGGCCCTGCTATGGGTGATTGGAGTAGCTTGATTCCAAGGATCAGCTCTTGGAGTCTATTGGATGTCAAAGTGCATTTCTTCGACAGCTACAGGAAAAAGACTGTTTACCTGTGGTCTGGGATGAAACCCCCAGTTTTCTTGTTAGAGGAATACCCATGGGTCCTCGGATCCAAGGACGTTGTTGAGCTAAAACCTACCCGAATACACACTTCTTGAGCCTGCGTCCGATTCTCGGTCGGAGTCCGTTCCAGTTCGCTGTAGCTATAAGGTCTGGACTCCTGCGCCAAGAGGGCAGGTTGATACGGTCGCCATTTTAATGTATATAATTTGTTGCAAGAGACATGAAAATTATTATTTTTTTATATAAAATTTTATATTAAAAAATTGCATTTTTGTTGCAATAGACATGAAGATTGAGGGGGGGTCATCGTTAGCTTATAGCATGGAATGAGAATGGGGTATATTGCGTTGTTTTAGAACGATTTGAGCGACGATGCTCAGGAGAAAGTCCGCTGTTTGAAGGCTTTTGCTCTAAGCCAAAAGCCAGCTTTGAAGAAACTATTGAATGAGTACGATTCAGTTGATGACTTTGAGATATTTCTTCGTTTAAATTCGAAATAGCCTTATGAGGAGAAGCATTTGGGCTTTTTATTCTTATTGGTGAGTCACTTGCTATGATTTTTGGTTTATCTGAGTCTTCATTTTTATCCTTATACAATGTTCTTTTTCTAATTTTAGACCTTATATCATAATTTGGTAAGTTTTCACTTCCTTTTGCCTCGCTTCCCATCATTTCCTCTTTTCAGTTTAAAATGCAATTGCAGTTCATGAGTCATAAAACGCCTAGGTCATCAAGTGACAAATTCAATTCTAATTTCACTACTCTTTTCCTGTCCTCTTCTTCTTTCTCAACAAGAATAATTACTGAAGTTGCGATATTTTTCGCCATTTCATATACCAGTCTTTGTGTGCTTGGGATGATTTTATCTGACTCCTTTCAGAAAAATTCACTTTTATAAGATCTCTCAGTATATATTGAGCAAGGGTGAATTCATTATATATTATTATCAATGCATTTTTATAGACTAGGCATGCTAGAGAATTGCTATATAGTTTAATATCGATATTAATATCGTAAAAAATATGTCAAAGTCAAAGAATACCAGCCTTCTTCACTTCTATTGTGAGGCTTGATTTTCTGAAGATATTCAAGTAGTGAAAAAGTTTGTGACCTGTTTCTGTATTCTTTAAGGCCTGAAAGGTCTAATTTAACTTTTAAGTTTCTGCCTACAATTATGCAAACATATTTTCCTATGTGTGTGACTTTTTGTAATGCTTTGAATTCTTTTTTCAAATTTATCAGCAGGTCGCCTAAATTCCGATAGGGCAGATCTCGTGGAAGTTTTTGATGAACACAGCCATCATTGCCAGTATAAATTAAAAACTCGAGGGTCCCACTTTTTACGAAAAAAGTATCTAGAAGAGAAACACGAGCGTTGTTCTTAGCAAGCACCTTGAAGATCCACTTATGATTTTTTTGTTCCATAATATTAATTTAATAACTGAGCCTTAATCTTGCTAGGAGTTTTAATTATATTATCAGAAAGGCTTTGTAAAAACGTTTTAATGGATTGCTAGGTAACTAACTTATAAATTTATACTATATAAACTAAATTCATAAATAGAAATTTGTTGAATTATTCAATGATCTCAACTTCACTTTCTTTTTTCTCCAGTGTTTCTTTTAATTTCTTGACTTCTGTCTTTAATTTCTGAGTCTCTTCTTCCAAACTTGATATCCTATCATTTGCTTCCCTCAGTTCATTTTCCTTTTCTCTTAAATTTTTCTTAATTTTTTTCTCATTTTTCTCCAAAGATTCATTTTCTTCTTCTAGCCTTGAAATTTTGTCTGTGAAATCTTCACTTTCAACACTGAGAGTAGATAAAGAATTTTTGAGTTTTGTGTTTTCTAATTCAAGCTCTGAGTTTAATTGAGTATATTTTTTAATAAGTTCTTTATCTCTCTCAGCGTTTCCTTCTAATGCAGCCAATTTTGTCTGCATTTGCTCTTGTTCAGATTCTGCAAGTGATTTTTTCGATTCTATTTCACTGATCATTTCATGAAAAGAACTTCTAAGTTTCATGCTTTCTTTATTAGATATTTCTCTTGCATTTCTTCTAAGTGAATCAATGCTATCCATTATTTTCATCCTACCCGCAATTTGGGATAAATGCTGAATGATGTCACTCGAAGAATCAATTTCTAGTTCCCCAGAAATTGATTTAATTTTTTCTAAATTTTCTCTTAGTTCAGAGTTTTCTAGTGAAATTGTGTTAGATAAATCTCGAATTTCTTGCTTAATTAAGTCTTGAATTTGAGCGTCAAGATTGTCAAATTTGTCTCTGACTGTATTAATTCCTTCTGCAACTTTATGCAAATATTCATCTTGACCAGACAAGCTGTCAAGTAGCTTAAGTATCTTTTCACGCAAATCTGCGACAGATTTATATGCCCCTCTATGGTGCTTTATTTCTTCTTGATGAAAGCTCAATGAATTATATTTGTCATTGACCTCAAAGGCTTTTTCTATAACAGGCAAATGTGTTCTTCTTGAATTATCCATCTTTTCAACTACACGCTTGATTTTACTTTCCAATGCTTTGATTTCGCTCTCTATAGTGTTTTCATTGAAATAATTTGCAACTTCTGTTTGAATATTTACAATTATTTCAGATTTATGCTTTATTGAATGCAGGAGGTCTTCAGAATTAAATGCGTATGCTTCTGATGCAGACTTTTTCAAATCTTCTAGTTTTTCATAAATTGACCCAGAAGTTTCTTCAGACACCTTCTGCAAATTATACTGACTCCCCCCCCTCCGTGAGTGAATAAAAAAATTTTGTTCACTCACGGAGGGGGGTTATTTTTTTTTTTAAAAAATTTATGTATAAATTTTATAAAAAATATGTTTTTTCGAAATTTAAACAATCCTAATTCGCAAAAATTGGAAAGTAAATATTAATTTAATTTATAAAATTTATGTTTTAAAAAAGCAATTCGTTTAAAATTAAAACAGAATTAGCTCTAGATTTCATTATACTAATTATCATTTATATATCTAAATTTTTTTCAATAAAAATTTTTTCTATTAAAAAAATTTTTGTTCACTCACGGAGGGTGGGTTTTTGGGGCAAAAAATAGCGATTTTTCTAATGGTTTTGTTCACTCACGGAGGGGGGGGGAGTGAGCTAGGCTGAATTCTATTACAAAATTTATTTTTCAATGCTATTAGGTCTCTATTTATTATGCAAAGCTAATGCACAAAATCAACTTGATAGAAAATATTGAAACTTAGCTTAAGCATTTTTTCTATAGCTTCTTCAATGTCTCGAAGTTTTGAGATCTCAATCATCCCTGTGCCTGGGTTTTTCTCTACAAGCTGAAGTTTAATTGACGTTAACTCTCTTTCAAGCTTAATTCTATTTACAAGTCTTAGAGCAGTTTGTGCTAAATTCACACCTTTTTGTGATAAATATTCATCCTCTTTTGCTTTCAACAGTTCAATTTGGGATTTTAAGGGGTTATTTTCATCGATAAGAGTAAAAAGTAAATTAAATTCATCATTTAACTGATCTGCTTTTTCTTTGTCAATTTCTACAAGTCTTTCAGCAACTGCCACAAGCTGCTCGATCAGCCTTTGCTCCATTTCAGTTTCTTCAAGCCTAAGCTCCACATAATTTTTAAGTTTTTCAGGACCTTGTGAGTCTCTCATTTGATTGATTTTTGTGTTGATTCCTATTTCATGGATATATTGCCCAGCATTGCCTAGATACTCAATGACAGAGTGAATAAAACTGGAAACTATTTTTTGCTCATTATGCATGGACTGGTAAAATTCTGAAAGGAACTCATTGATGATTTCTTCATTGGATTTTGACGGAGGAATTGCCTTTACAGCTGATTTTGTTCTTGAGTTGAGACTTACCATGCTTTCATCAGTCTCCTTTATTTCATCGTAGTCATCGTTTCGAATACAGCAACCACCCATTAAAATCTTTTTTATTCAATAATTATAAAAAACCTGTAAAATTATATGATATCATCAAAACGCTAACTTCCAATGTGCATTTTTTTAAATTTAGCCCTCGATGACAAGCAGACTTTTTTATAATTTATAATACTTTTGTATAATCAATTATTAAATTTTAATTCGTAGCTAATTGGCTAGATTTTTGGAAATAGGATTTTGAAATATTAAATTTATCAATTAAATTATATGTTTAATATTTGAATAAATTATAAAGAAAAATGAAAGGAGTAATATTATTTTAATGTAGTAAAAATAATAATTTCATAATAAATTTTCATCAAAATCCTGATTTTTATACATAAAATGTCCGAAACTCAACTTGCCTTGCCCTTTTTAATCATAGGCCTTGGCTCTGAAATGATAAACTTCCTCCTCCATAAAACAGAGGTCCAAAATATCGACTCAACTAAATCATCAAAGTTAAAGCGAGATTTAATTAAATATTTGTATTCCAACGATTTCATTAATGAGATGATGACCCCTCAGCCAATTTACAATTTACGAGCATGCGAAGAAATCTTCAAAAAACTATTAAGTATATCAATTTTCAAAACAAAAGCAAATGGTTGGAAGAAATTGTTCAAAATAATGACTATACTTGCCTATAATGAATATAGGCATTTTATTGGCATCGCTATCTTATTTTATTATAATAAATAGGATATCTAATAATTGATAAGAATGCTTATATTCATTGCTGATAGTTATATGAACTATAAATCAAAGCTCATAAATTTAAAATGGCCAGAGGAATTATTGGATATGACAGTCTCATACATGAAAAATCTTAGAATTTTAGTAGCTGAAACTGATGAAGAAGTGCTAATTAATGACTCTGTTGCCAAAATGAAGGCTCTATTTGATATGTGCAGCTCTGCAGGATACAACAGAATAAAGCAGACCCTGTTTAAGACGCTTCAGAATTCAAATACTAAAATTGGGTCAATGCTAAAATCAGGGACTCAATTAAGAGATGGATCCTTTGGATTTGATAATTTTACGGCCCCACCTGGGACAAAACCTCCAGGTGATGGCAAGGTATATTTTTATGGAAATTTCAGAAGCAAACTCAAGATAAAAATTCCGCTAACTCTATTATGAAGAATAGCATATTCTCATTCCCTTTAATAAGCAAAAAAACCCCAAGGGTAATTCTTTTTCAAAAATATTATATTGAAATCTAAGTCATAAAATTTCTTATAAAAACGATAACTGACTAAAAATTAATATAATTTGCTTGAGATTCATTATTGCAATTATAATTATACATTATAGTGCTGTAAATTCTATAGTATGTTCGATAAGCTGAAATTATTTTCTCTAATTTACTACTATTATCCTATCTTATAATAATCAGCCTAAAAAAAATCAGCATGCAATATTCGGACATCGAGTTAAGGGAAAAATATGAAAAAAGTAAAGCCCCATCAAGAAGACCTGGAGAAATGAACATAAACACTTCACAAGAAGAAGAAGATAAAAGCTTTATATTTGATGAGAGCGAAAGAAAAGGCGTGGCCAAATGGGAACTGGATTCATTGCATAAAATGATAAATCCTAGTGAAGAAGTTGTAAACACTGAAAGTGTTGTACTTGATTACGAAGAAAAAACCGCACCAAAGCCAGAAATTAAAGACGAAAAAGAAATTGTCAAAGAAATGAAAGCAAAAATTGACAATTCTAAGCTTGAAAAAATGAAAGCATATTTCAACGAAGAAAGCCATAAAGAACCTTCCGAAGACGATTTAATGATTAATCTAGGAGTTAAATAGATTATAAATATTATATTAATTGTGCATTTTCGATGATTATTGCTTAAAAATCACCTATAGAAATCATAAAGTATATCATAAATAATTTACAAAATAAAGCTATGAGGAAAAGTCTTTTTTGAGTTTCTTTTGGAAGTAAATGAATCATTAGCCCGGGACGACCCGGAAGGCATTCTAAAATGCTTTGATCTTGTTCTAGGTATAGCTGTACTTGGAGCATAGTTAGTTGTAGCATGATTATTTTCATTGTTATATGGAGGCTTAAGTGAAGCTGTGTCTCAAGCATCATGAATTATATGACCCAAAATTTCAATTAACTCTGATCTCGTATATATCTTATTTCTATATTTCAAAACAGGCACACCTGATGGTAAGTTATTGATCTTCAATGACTGAATCGAGTTATTTTGGCTTGGATTTTCAGCAGTATTCGCATTATTTCTCCTAGGAGTTGTTATATTAGGCAATATTTGGAGGAAGTTGTCTTTTGATGCTTGCGTGGTGTTTGGAGATCCCTTATCTTCTTCATCTTGGCTCATCAAAGCCTGAGAAATCAAATCGAACTCGACCAAAGCAGCAGACAAGTCACTCATATTTTTGATTGTCACATCTCAGGCTTGGTTTTTAGAAACTGATGACTCCAGTTCATTTTTCAACGTTGCAATTTCAGTATCAAACAAAGTCCTGTCATCTTTTCTCTTCCTTTCTGTCTCCTCAATAGAATTATGAAGAATGTCTAGATAGATTTTATTTTGATCATCCCCAGCTCTCATATCTTCTCTGACTTTAAATTCTTTTTCTTTTATTTCCATCAGTTTTTCTTTTAACTTTTCAATTTCGCCTATACTTTTCTTCAATTCATTGAGGCCTCCACGAGTTAAGGCGATCTCCTCATCAGACTCTTCTTCTATCATAGAAATTTGTCTTCTTATGGGGCTGTCTTGGGTTTGTGGCTTTTGATCGTAATTTCTAAAATTAGATGATCCTCTAGAAGAAGGGGCAGGTGAATTCAGCTGCTTTAGGTCTCCTCTGCCCCGGATAATTTCATTTCTAAGGTCATCTGCTCTCTTTTCTGCCCGATGTCCGTACTCAACAGATCTTTTCATGAGAGCTTGCAAATCGCATGAGTTTTGGAAATCAGTGGTTTTGTTTTGCAAGAATCTCCTACGCTCATCTTCAAATCTCCAGTATTTTCGAAGCTGGCGGGAGTCTAAATATGAATAAAGATTATCAGAAATGGACACCTGGATATCAATAGGCAAATATGTGTCAAAATATCGTATACTAGTTTACAATAAATAGCACAAGAGCTACTTTTTATTAGCCAGAAAATGCTTTTTAGCGGGCTGTTCATAGTAAACTAATATATAATCTCAGTCACACTCACTTCTATAAGTCCTGATCTTAAACTTATTTGATCCAGCAGTTTTTGCAAGTTGCTTGTTTCTGTTTGCAGATCTAAAATTGTAGCTTTTTCTTGGTTGACTTTATTGATTTGATGCACTAAATCTTTGATCAAAACCAAGTTTTTTTCAATTGAAGTTTCTATTTCTCTTTGCCGTGTACTTACCTGGATGCACTTTCTTAAAGACTCGTCTGCAATCTTCCCAGCACTATTTGCCGCTTGCATCATTTCATTGTAAGTTTTCGTTAAATCTTCTTTTAGGTTACCAAAATAGTCCATCGTTGCATTTTTATTGTTGTTTAAAGACTCATGCAGACTGCTGATTTCAATATCTTTAGCCAGAAGCCTTTGCTGGATTCCATCTATAGTACTTCTTATATTGGAAAAGTTAAGCTGAGTTGTGTCTGTAAAATCAATGAAATTTTTCATCTGCTGACTTGAGCTTGATTTAAAAGTGTAAAAATCAACAGCAGAATCTTGGATTTTTTTCTCTACATCTTCCATTCAGCCAGATTTTTTGGATCCGAGGCCTAAAAGTGACTCAACGTAATCTAATCGTTTTTTGGCTCTAGTCATTTTTCGCTTGACTTTTCCGACAGCTTCTCTGTCATTGCTCAGCTTTTGGAGAGTTGGCTCAAGCATTTCCATCACGACTTTTCTTAATCTTGTTTCAATATCAAACCACTCCAATTCTTTATTGCTCATAGCAATACATTATAAAATAAACTTAAAAAATTTAGTATTAGCCTAGATATTTATTATATTTATAAACTAGCATCTATAATTGACATCATAAATAAAATCAACCTTAATCTGCTTTTCCTACAACTGATTCGACTAAGTCATCACACTTAAAAATGATGTGGCGAACTAGCCTGCCCTCTTAACATTGTAACCGGGCGGGAGCCTGGGGATCTTGTGAAAGGGAGAGCAGTGTGCAGTGAGTGTGTCCTACAGGGGTTTTTAATTTGTCTTGTGGAGTGTAACGTCAGGCTGACCACCCCAGGCTTACATCTAGGGAAGGTTTTACCTTGAGGACGATGGAACTTCGAAGTTGGAAAGGGATAGCCAAGAAAGACCAGAGAATGCCACTTGGCCAATCAGGCAATTTCCCAGCTCGATACCAAGAGCTGCACCCTGGCTACAAGTTTCGTTCGGACCGATAGCATGACCAGCAATTTACTTTTTGAATTTTCAAAGCACTTACCCAGCGAGTTCAAACCCTCGTCAGACGAGAGCACCACATTCCTTCAGGCTGTGTAATCTGACTAACAAGTAAGAGTGTAGAGCAAAGCAAGAGATATGAAAAGCTAACATGGTTGGCGGGATCTAATATATAATATAAGTTAAATTCGACTAAATTCTAAATCCATGTTTAAAATGTAAGCAGCTAAAAGTATACGTCATTATCGAGAATGGTAAATTTATAAAATGGAAGATAGAAATGACATTCATGAGACACGACTTCAAAAGGAAAGAGAACTCTTAAAAAAGCTCGAGCCTGCAAACTACAAACTAGAATTCCCAGACTCCAGCAGAAGCCTAGAAATAGTTACAGAAGTCCAAAGCTACCCAGTGAAATTTTTTATCCATCTCCCAGAGCGCTATCCATTCCAATCCCCCAAAGTATCTCTTTCAGTCTCTGATAAGCTCACTTCACTCACCGAATTTTATGATGACGAAAACATTCTTGAGCACGTCCTAGGAGAATCCTGAATCCCTGTCATAAATTTGCCCTCAGTCATCGAAAAACTTGTGTATTATGCCCATCACTCATACAAAGCCCGAGGCAAGTCACTTTTAGCTGAGATTTTTTCAATCCATTGGAAATGAAGTATTGTCATCGTCATTTTGCTGGCTTTATTAGTAAAAGTTGCAATGATCGCGCAACCTCATTCTGGATATAATAATCATCCGAAATATGGTGATTATGAAGCACAAAGACACTGAATGGAAATCACGACGAACTTATCGCCTGACAAATGGTATAAAAATTCAACTGAAAATGATTTAGAGTATTGAGGACTGGATTATCCTCCACTAACCGCATGGCATTCATGGTTCTTTGGATCCATCAGTTCTATAATTGAGCCGGAATCTATGGTATTAGGAGAGTCCAGAGGGTATTTGACGTCAAGTCATAAACTATTTATGAGGATAAGTGTGATACTTGGAGATTTATTCGTTTATGTTCCAGCCATCTTTATGTTTTTTAAAATGTATTATCGATATCTTTCTGGGGGTGTGAAATATTCAGTGATAATTCTTGTGTTCTTATCACCCCCACTTATATTGATTGATAATGGGCATTTTCAGTACAATAGTATTATGCTAGGATTTTCGCTTTGGGCTATTGTTCTAGTTTATTATGATTATCTTGGGCTTTCTGCAATACTACTTGCACTTGCATTGAACTTTAAACAGATGGCGCTTTATTATGTGTTACCGTTTTTGTGTATTTGGATTGCTAAAGCTTGGAAAAGAGCTAAACACCAAAGCATGAGATTCCAGCCTAATATAAGATGGGGTATTATGATAGCTGAAATTATTTTAACTCTCTCCAACATTGCTGGTTGTGGGATTATAACAACGATCATTCTTTGAATTCCTTGGATTGGATCAGTTAATGACATTTTCCAAGTAATTTCAAGACTATTTCCATTCCAAAGAGGAATTTTTGAAGACAAAGTGGCAACGTTTTGGTGCATTTCCTCGATTTTTATAAAATACAAAAATATTTTCCCTATTAGCTGGCTTGCATTGTTTTCAGCACTGCTTACAATGATAGCATCTCTACCCTTTTTAATCCTTTTATTCAAGCGGAAACCGCTAAACCTTAGCTTTTTATATGCGCTATCAGGAGTCTCACTATCGTTCTTTTTATTTTCTTATCATGTTCACGAAAAAACGATCCTGATCCCTTTGCTACCATTTACCCTTTTAGCAATAATTGATACACCTGAGCTGTTCCGATTTTATGTGATAATAGCAACCTTCAGCATGTATCCGCTTATGATCAAGGATGGCTTAAGATTTGCTTATTTTGGTTGCAAAATATTTGATATGAACTTTTGGTTGCAGGGGAATGCCTGGTCGAAATATTTTAATAGTGTGGATTTACCCCCAAAATTGTTAAACTTCAGCACCATCAAAAAATTTCGGCTATATTTTTTTCGGGCAACTATCACACAGTATAAAAGTGTCCCGATCAATAAATATAATCCCCTTATTTTTGCTTATCAATTGTGTTCTACATAATGGCTGGAGATGTAATTAAAACACTAAATTATTTCCAAGACCGAAAAGGAATGAATTTGGGATTTTGGGTACATAAACTAAGTTAAGTTAAGTGTTATAGGCCAAAACCAGAGCCTGCCTACCTGGCTTAAAACCACCTAACCTAAAGATTAGTTCCCTATACTAGAGTCACCTCTGCCGGTGAACCGTTAGTCCCGATAAGAAAAGACTAAGTGGGAGGCAAAGCCTGTCTAGCCCATCTGGAAGTGAAAGGGAAAACCTTCGGGAGAGATGCAAAAATTTCTTCTTCGGTATCCCCAAACCCAAAGGGCCTACTTCAAAAAGTAACAGAGAGATCACTGCCAGCTTCATCAAGACGGGTCCTAGCTGCTCCATAGAAGCGTGTCCTAGAATCTTCGTCAACATCATTATTTTACTTCTTTTGATACCTAGGGATGCTAATAATTCATTTACTTGAATTTATAGAGCCTCCTCAGCAATACCCATATTTATTCGAAACCCTGGTTGCTGCTTATTCTTTTCTTGGCTTTGGATATATTTGGTGGTTTACTCTGAAATCACACTATCAGATCAAAGGAGAATCAGATCCTCGATATCACTTGGAAAACAGGCTAAGGAAAAAGGCTAAAATGAGCTAATGTTAATAAGTATACAAACTATAAATGGTATAAATTAGCTAGTTTAAGTTACTATAAGTTTTCCTAGCACGATTTCACTTGGAAGCTGGATCGCAACTATTGACCTCTCTGTTGGAGCCATTCTTGAAGCTTCATAAAATGGGATCATTTTACTATGGCTTTCTGGGTTTATAGTAAGAGAAAAATATGGTCCCATTGACCGAGCACGAAGCAAATATAGAATAAATGTAAAAGTGATGATTTCAAGAGATTCATGAATCCCAATTCATAATTCTGTATTCCTATCTTCATCATTAATCTCATCTATTTCATAAAATCAAATCATTCCATGAAAAATGAGTTCTCCAATGACATATCAAGATAATATTCCTACAAATGCCCGAAAAAGCTTGATTTTTTGTGATACCACCCTAAAAAGCCTATAGTCTCCTGACTCCCTTACAATTGCATATTGATTTTTCAAGACTTTAAGAGTTTTAAATGAAAAATAAAATGAATGCGAAAATATCACTAAAAATAGACTGAGAATAAAAACAGACATAGAAGATTCAATCAAGTTAAGAGCGCAATCAAAAACGTAGATTACGACAGTCAGCATAATGATATAGCTAAATTCATTTCTATTTGGTGCACTGATTGAGAGATGTCAGCCTTTACTGAGAGCCATTATATAAGCAAACAAGGAGGTTTCGTATAGAGCTCTACATTGATCTTTGAGCAAGCTAAATAATTGAGAAATTATTTGATTATAAGGACAGCTGCTTCAAAAAAATAAAGATGACAGCAATTCTATAGTTTTAAAAGCCAAAATCAATGATGCATATTTGTGATTCATATCAGCAAAATTTAAATTTCTTACATAACTGTTATATAGCCATAAACCCAGAATAAGTGCTCAGACAATAGATAAAACAATATATTCGTAAATAATAGGATTGTATATTTCGCAATGGTCTAAGTCTTAATTACACTTAAAGAAATATGAAATGTGTGCAAGTTCTTGATGTGGGTTATCAGATAATTTTTTCAAGAGAACCTGACCATTTGCAGTAGGCAGTTTAAAGCCAAGAATATTTTTGGGCCAATTATCAAGCTGCATATCAGTAATTACAACCAATGCTTTAGCTTTTTTGGAATTTGAAAGTAAAAGCGCTTCATTTAGCGTTGCTGAAGAGTTAACAGCTGCTACCAGGATAATAGGTTTTAATGGGCAGTCATAATCAGGAGGATGACATAAATAGCCTGAAACCCTTGATACTGGAATGTTCTAAATATAGATCACTGGTTTGTAGATTCTGACTAGATGATCAATTTGAAATTTTTCAACGTGAAATTCTAGAATGCCGACTCACTCACTTTCGACTATTCAAAATAAAAAGATAAATAATAGCATTTATTTTTATATAACCCAGAACATAAAAGAAGAGATTCATTTGGATTTGGATTTTATTGATCGAATTGACTTTATATATTAAATATATATCATCTGTTGTAAGCTATAAAATATACCTTAGCGTTTAAATCTCTACCGAAGAGTTCACCCTCTTCGCTAGCCTAACTTCTCTAGAGCCTTGCCACACCTTATTATTTGCGGGGAGAGAACGTTGTCATAATGATTCCCCTGGCTATCTTCATTAGTTGTCACCACATCGGTTAGCCTTAGATTTTAAAAGGTTGCAAAGTCTCTTCTCCAAATCCTCATTTTTATTATGGTGAACTTTAAAAATATTTTATATTCATTATATCGCACTCAGAAAATCTTGATTTATAGAGGAATTTCTGCATTATTAAAATCATGATTTGAATTTATAAATAATTATAGCTTGAGAACCAACTAAGAGCGCTGAGAAATAATACCTTGAGGGTAATTACCAATCTTACTAGTCAAAGTGGCAACGACAACTATATTTTTTAAAATAAAAATTATATTTATACTATTCTCAAAGTTATCATATTTTTAATAGAAGTTAAAATAGGAGATTTGCTTATTACTGATACTATTTCTATGTGTAAACATAAAATTGTCTAATTATTTTTTTCTTTTTACTACTGTCAATCTTGCAACAGATTTATTTAAGATCATCAAGATTACCTGATTAATTAATTGATTTGAATAAGTATTCAAATTTAACTCAAGATATGTGCATTCTATTTCACAGTTTTTGATTAAAAAATCACACAATTTTTTTTATCTTTGTCTAAATTTTCAACAACCCCTTTCCTGAAAGTTGGGCTTCTTCCACATTCAGTAAGTATTTCATTTTTAAACCTTGGGCTTCTAACTAAAATGCTCCTATCTTTTATTTCTGGATGGCTATTAAGGCACACTGTTAAATCGTCATCAATCAATAAGCTGTTTTCTCAATTTCTGCTAGGGGTGATAGGAGATGCATCATATGTAGAGCGGCATTTCCTGCTGCCCCTTGAATTATCTTCCTCATCTTCTATCAGAAAACTGTGGAATGTGAGTGGGATTTTGCTAGGTCTAGGAGGTTTTAAGCTCGAATTTTTCGATGAATTTCTTTTACGAAGAGTTTTGAATTCAAAGCCAATTGCATGTATATTGTTTTTCTGTCTGATTAAAGCTAATTGATTTTTGATATATTGATAATCAGGCTCTGCATCAAATTCCAGATTTCTAGCATATTTAAAAATATGGGAAAACTCTTCCGGTTTATTAGCAAATAGCTCAGTTGAAGAAATCTTGCTCTTCATGGATCTGATCTGCTTTTCATTTATTTTGATGGATCTATTGGAAGGAATTCAAGGCAAGCTACCATTCAAGAAATAGGCTAGCATATATACTACACCTTCAAGATCATCTCTTCTACTCTGTTGAATACCTATATGAGTATTTAAAGATGCAAAATAAGGTGTTCCTTCAAAGGGCCTCCCTTCAATGTAAGGTATATGCAATCCCATAGGCCTCTGCATGTATAGTTTTGAAAGACCATAATCAACGACATAGAGAGTGGATACGTCAGAATCTAATCCAAGTAAAAGTTGACGAGGTTTTAAATCTCTGTGAATATACCCTTTTCGATGGATATATTCAAGTCTATCTACAAGCTGCTCTGCAATTGTAAGTATTGTTGCTAGAGAAAATATTTTATGATGTTTAGCAAATTTTGTTTCTAAATCTAGACCCAAATATTGAATTGCTAAAAATTCTTGATTTTCTTTACTGCTAAATTTAATCAGTTTTGGGATGCCTTTTCCACCTTGAATTGCCTTTAAGATTTTTCCTTCATTTATAAGCTGAGCTGCACTGTCTTTGCTAGAAACTGAAGGTATTTTTACTGCGCACTGAGTCTGTGTTTCTAAATCCGTACACAGAAAAACTCTGCCGAATTGACCTTCTCCAGCACTTGATATTACTTGAAATCGATTTCCTATTAAGTTTGGCATCATTTTAATTTTATTAATTTATATATCTGTTTTTCTTTGTTTAATTATAACAAAAATTCTAGAATCTGAATAAATGGGACAATATCATTATAATCATCATTATTATATTATACGAAAAATATGAATGCAATTTGAATAAAATGCATTTCAACAAAAAAGTTAGAAATAAAAAAAAAATAGCTTCAAGCAGAATTATAAAAATGAAGCAAATCACAGCTGGATAAGGATTAATAGTATATAGTTTACTCATTAAATATTATTAAGGCATGGAGAAGTTTATCTTGGTATTAAAAATATTTTTTGCTATGCTTTTGCTGTATCTCATTTATTTCACTTAGAGCGTAATATGAAATAAAATAAACTGATTATAATTTTCATATTTTTATCAGAAATTGATTTCACTTAAAAATCTTCAAAACTAAGATACTTATCTTGCTGATTTTGCTTTCCCCTACCTCTACCCCTTCCGCCTCTTCCTCTACTCCTTCCGCCTCTTCCTCTATGCCCTCTTCCTTTATGTCCTCTTCCTCGATGTCCTCTCCCATCTCCTCTTCTATTTTCATCTTTTTCTGTTCCTTCCCTATAATCCACCAATTTCGCCATTTCAGAGTTGCACCACAAGCATCCTTCCATTTCTCCTGCTTCCCAAGGCGAATTATTATTATATTTAACTTTCACAACAAAAGATCCACACTCCTCGCAATTTATATCTTTTTTTACAACTGAGCTGGCTCCTTCAAACATGTTTATAGAAAACTTGCAAAAAACACAAATTAATGACCAATTTGGCTTCAGCAGCCCATTGATAGTCATATCATTTTCGCATTTAGGACAAGCGGTTATAACGTGTTTTGCCATGTTATTTTCACAATCATATTGAGGACACTTCATGCAACTCATTTCACTCCCAATTCCTTCAAATGGTGGATCAGAAAAGCAGTTTGGGCAGATTAAATAGCTAAAATTGTTATTCTTTACTATTAGTATTTCAAAATGGTCAAGAGGGCATTTTTGTTCTTTATAAGGCTTGATTGTGCAGTTTTGAGGAAGTTTATAGGTCATTTCACAATTAGGACAATAAAGACGGCAAGGTCTTAATGGGAGGTAGTTCATAAACCTAAAGCATTTTCCACATTTAGTAAATGGTTTTCCTTGGCTTTGAGCTAGAGGAGAAAAATAAGCTTCAAACAGCTGATCAACATTAGCAATATTCTCTCTAACTCCCCTTTTAAATTGGAACAAAATATTCGTAAAATTTGTATTTTGTGGTGCTTTAACCCCTCAATTAGAATAAATTTGTTTTTAATTTAAATTTAAAGTATTGTGTTTAATTTATATTTTTTTGAGATATTAAAAATTTTTAAATTTATTTTAAAACAGATTAGCCCTCATAAATTGGAATAGGATTTTAGTTCCAGTTTAAAAGTGGGGGAGTAAAATATGCAAACTTCTGTTTAAAAATATCCACTGAACGATTTACTATAAATTCTTTTTGCGCTTCTCCTTTAGCAATAGAAGAGACACTTTTTTCAATTTCTGATCTCACCTTTGGAAGCACCAAATCTTTGTCAACTGCATAATACCCATGAACAAGCCTAATACCAAGTTGCGTCGGTATTAATCTTCTAGAATTTGATTCAACTTTAACGTAATTTCGTTCACAAATATTATTTATGTGTGCTGACATAGAAGCATCAGTTCCAATTCCATTAGCTTCCATTAAAGATAATAATTCACTCTCTGTTAAGTATCCTGGAGGCGATGTATATTCAGTTGAAAGTTCAACGCCAGCGACAGGGACTTCTTGGCCTTCTGTGAATTCTGGAATTTCTCTGTCATTTGCACATGCCCAAGGAGTCATCGCAGAGAATCCTGGGTTTACTGTGCGAGAGCCTTTAAGTTTGAATTGCTCACCTCCATAATCAAAGAGCACATCAATTTGCTGAAAAGTTGCATCTTGGCTTACAGTTGCTAAGAAATGCCTAGATATCAAATTATAAAGAGATAGCTCAGTTCCTGATAGCTGGCCAGCTGAGCCACAAGGAGTTATAGGTGGATGATCGCCAGCATCAATTCCTTTATGAGGCTTTTTAAAGCCTCCATTTAATAACATTTGAGCATGCTCACCAAATTGAGGATGCCTTTGATAAATACTAATGACTTCATGGAGATTAAATGAAGGGGCATATGCTGTACTTTCAGTTCTTGGATAGGTTATATATCCTGACAAGTATAATTTATGCACCATAATAGATCGCTATACCCCAGTAGAATATTGGCGAGAAAAAAAAATGGTTCAGGTCTGCCTTATGAAGTCTAAGTCTGATTAAGCATCTTAAAACCATAAATGAATATTTGTCTTTTTTGTTTTTACTTTTCAGAAAAGATGCCAAGTTCAAATTAATTTTGAAAATTAAATAAGATAGCCAATAACGATCTAAAATATTTCAGGGTCTATAAAGTCTTTCAGCAGCTGACATGGCTGCTTGAGGTCCTAATCCTAAAATAGACGAAGCTAATTTTAGCATATGGACTGTATTGAGTCCAGAAGGTTTTTTGGTTTTATGTGAAGATTTTTGGACTGATCTTACAATAGCTGGAGTGTTTTTTAGCTCGTTTAGCTTCTTTAATAAAGCTTCACCAGATGGAGCATGCTTTATGTGTCCTTTTGCATATTTTGGTTTAGTAGGAGGAGAAGTTCTCGTTGATAGACTTAAGACATAATAAGGCTCAGGCTTAAAGCTTACAATTTCATCATGCCTTTTCACGCAAAAACCTAATGTAGGTGTTTGGCAAGGGCCATAAGAAATAAGCTTTGAGTCTAAATCCCCATATTTCCCTTGGAAAAATTGTGTCTGGAATCTCGTGAAGCTAGCTCCAATTTTTAAGTCAAGCTCTTGCCTGGCATCTACTGAATCGCTTTCATTTTTATTTGGCGCTACCAAATTTGACTCCATCATAGCTTTTCTGAGATCTGGAGTAGTCAATGAAGAGAATTTAGCACGATAAACTCATTGATAGCTAGATCTTTGCATATAATCTTCTACGATGCTCATAACTTCAAAGCAAATATTTTCACCTTCTCTATCGCAGTCGAGCCAAAGCACTAACGCGCATGAAAAATATTTGTCTAACCATTAATCTTATTTTTATAAATTTTATATATAATTTTTTTTCCCCAGTTTAAAAATAAAACAATAAGATGATTTTAAATTGTAAAAATTTATATTTAAGATGCAAAATTTAATAGAATTAGTTAAAAATTTCGTTATATTAATTATCAGTTGTAAATTAAAATTTTTTTTCATAAAAAATTTTTATATATTAAAATGTTTTTATCGATCATGGAGGTGGTTTTACCCAAAAAAAATAGGATTTTTTCTGATGATTTTGTTCACTCGCGAGAGGAGATTAAGTATTTGCATCTTTTTGCCTCGTTTTGAAGGTGCTTTATCAAGTTTCCACCTTTCATTGAAGTTTCGATCTTCAAGGTTTCTGCATCATACAGGGATATAGGATCTACTTCGTTCCAATTATTGAACCTCTTGGGGAAATCAGTGCTGAATAAGTGACCAGCTACACTTGTTACGATGAAATGGGCAGGCTCATCAAAAAATCTGCCATTATATTCATAAACTGGGCAAATCTTGGAAGCTCCTTGCCGTTTTTCTACATTATTGCCACCGAGAGCCTCAGCAATGCTTTTGGCAATGCTTGGCTTTTCTGCTACCATAAGAACGCCGGACATTTATATTGTGTATCATGCTAAAAATAATTTGCGGATATATAAAAATTACTTCTTGCATAATAATTTAAATTGATACCTCCTTAGTTTAATCTAAAAAATGTTGAGTAATCGAGAAGAAAACATTTTTAGTCACTCTTTTGTAAGCTTTTCTCTGTATTTATTAATAAACAAAAAATTATGCAGCTATCTAGGATTCATAGTTAATATCAATATAAGCTAATAGAGATCACATAATTTATATGGATAGGTTTATTCTCATTATTTACAGCTACAAAATTTGAATTTTAATATCTGATATTTTAGTTAAAATTATTAAAAAGCTACTTCCACAAGCATGTTTTATTTTATTAATAATCTTTGTATTCAACAAAAATCAAATAAAATTCAATCAATGTTTTTTCCGTTAATTTTAAAAATTAATGGGTAACTTATTCACCAACTACTGCTATTGTATTAGTAGAGATCATCGATGCATTCAACCCAAAGCTACACCAGAAAACAATATTCTTGAAGATGGTCCAATAAAAATCATCGATTATTCAGGCTTAGCAAAATATTCCAGCAGCATCAACGATTTCAAAAATCAAATGAAGCACTTTGTGCCATATGAAATCCGATGTATAAAGGATTCATCATTTGATACCGATCATTCATATGTTAGAGTAACTGGGGTCAGTCAGCTTACTAAAAAAGATATAACTATCGAAATTTCTTATTCTTTGGGGAACTTCGTAATATGTATTTCCCCTTATTGGGATTATGATAATAGCAGCAAAATTGCAGGCATTTTGGAACTTTCTTATAAATTTCCTAAAAACACAGTAACTTGTAACTCAGAAATTTCATTTAGATTTTAAAGATTTTTTTGACTGGCTTGATAACTATAAATCTGAGGAAACAAAATTTGAGATATATGAAGAATGCAATATGGGAAAGCTCATTTTTAAAGTATTTAAATCGATGGGAAATAAAATTGAAGTTTAGACATTTTGCTTAACCGAATTAGTTAACATTGTAAGAATAAAAGATAGTTCTATATCAGCAGAGCTTAAAACACATGTGCTTTCCAACTCGTTATTTTGGTTTTCTGCTATTCTTGGCAAAACAAAAAAATTTCCTGACAACTTGCTTTATATTTTTTGGTTTCTCAAACAGATTAATTGTCTGAATGGATGGCTTAAAAGATAGCCTGATTCGCTATTCAGTTTGTAGCAGTTCAAAATATATAAGAATTTGATAAAAAAGGAATTATATTAAAGATTTATCATTTCTAATAAAGAGACCTCCCATCCACACTCATATTTCCAGTGGCTCTCTTTTTCCCTTTCTTTTTCATTTGAAGCCTTTTCTTTAGCCTGCTGATAGTTTCACTTGTATGTGGCTGGCTGTGTCCCATTTCTTCACTTGCTCTAGGAGGAGGCCTGTACTTAAAATCAAATAGTCCTTTATCAGGAATTCTGGTGAAAGCACTTGTATCATTATTGTGCAATATTTTATTCAGTGTCACTTTATTTTGTTGAGTGACTGGGACATCTGAGTCTTCATTTTCTTCCACTCCTCCAAGAGAAGCATAATCAATATCAATTTCGTAAATCATTCTGCTCCATTTATCTATCAAATGCTTTGCTAATTTTTTAACCCTAATTCTCCCTGCTTTAAGAGTGACAGATTTTATTATTGGTATTATTAGGGTTAAATTCTAAATATAAAATTATATATTAAAAAATCTGATTGAAAATATTTGAAAAGGAAAAGTGATCTCATGCTGCAGATTTTTGCTATAACACTCATTAAATATATATAAAGATTTTATATAAAATTATATATTCTTTCTGAAGTTAAATATCATTATTAGCAATCACATTTTAATTTCTAACTCCCCCCCCCCTCCGTGAGCGAACAAAAAAATTTTGTTCGCTCACGGAGGGGTGTTAATTTTTTTTTTAAAAAAAATTTATATATAAATTTTATAAAAAATATTTTTTTCGAAATTTAAAAAAATCCTAATTTGCAAAAATTGGGAAGCAAATATTAATTTAATTTGCAAAATTTATGTTTTAAAAACGCAATTTGTTTAAAATTAAACAGAATTAGCTCTAGATTTCATTATACTAATTATCACTTATATATCAAAATTTTTTTCCATTAAAATTTTTTCTATTAAAAAAAATTTTTGTTCACTCACGGAGGGTGGGTTTTTGGTCAAAAAATAGCGATTTTTCTAATGGTTTTGTTCGCTCACGGAGGGGGGGGGGAGTAAATAAATGTATACTAGCTATATTTATGTAGAAATATATGCATTTAAAAGAGAATAATTCCTAAAGCAGGATTATTTAACAGAATTCTTGATCTGAAAGGAGTGTAAGTGTTTCATTTGGATTCTGATAAATTGCCATTACACTTTTCCCTAAGCCACTCTCTTCTAAATTTTTAGTTTGGATAGGAATGTCCTGCATTACTTGGAGCAGTCCTTCTTTAATTGGAGTTGAAGGGAATGAACCATCTGGCGATTGGGCGAGCCATTTGCTGAGGACTAGTGACCCGTTCATTTCTAAGAACAAATCATGATATTTGCTGACTGTAAGGAACTTTATTACTTTGTCTAGCATTTTGAGCTTGCTCAAAGCGGGATGTCCATCTTGGTTAGCGGAGATGTCTTCATCTACTGCTTGCATCATTTCTTTCAGTATCGTGTCCACAAGGTTTTCCACTTGTTCGTTGTCGTCAAAGCTTCTTTTGCGCTTAAGTCCTTTTTTCTTTGTCAAATTTGCAATAAATTCGACCTCTTCTTCGGCCTCGGACTGAATTTGCTTTTCGGCTTCTTCCTGGGATTCTTCAGAACTCTCGTTTGAGGAATCAGAAGATATGTAGGGCTCCTTTGGCTCTCTAGGCTCCTCGTGCTTTGGACTTAGCGATCCGGAGTCTGAGTCACTTGATAAATCAGACATAATTATTAAAGAAACAGAAGTTTTATAAATTGATATTGCAATTATGAGCTAAGGTCAACCTAAAATAAAAATGATTTTAACGACACAGAAAAATCAATTTAAAGTTATAGATTCAAATCAGGTCTAATCAATAATTTTAATTTTGATTTGGCTGAAGAATGATATCTATATAGGCCATCCACTATATTAAGAAGTTAGCTCAAGCATTTTTAATTATTGAAGCTGAAAATAGCAACCTTTTAATGCAGGGATATTTGGCATTCCAAAATATCTCTATGCAGCTTGATCAAAATTTGTTTTTCAAAACTTTTTGAAGTACCAAAATAGTATCAGTGTAAAAGCCATTGCTTTCAATTCCATATCGAGAATAAATGCCTGCTTTGTGTTCTAAGGGGCATCAATTCCTAAAATCTGTTTAATTGAAAATAATGATAATTCCTAGTGCATAAGCTATATAAAGAAACTGCTTACAAGCTATTTTCTTTATAATCAAATTTATCAATTACTACTAATAAAAGCCTTCTCAATTAATCACGCAATTAATATTTTATTAATCATTTATTACATAGACTATAAATAAATGAGTCTTTTAATGTAAGCAAAATAGATATATGAAATACATTACTTATAGAAATTAAATGCTACTCGCGCAAATGATATAATTTATGCAAATTTAGTGTCAAATAATTATTCTGGACTAATCGTAAAATAGATTCGCATTTTAATCTAAGCTTATTATTACAAACTTAAAGAGCTCTTAGATCAATTGCCAATTAATCAAAGTTAAGAAGCCTTAATCTTTATATCCCTATATTGATTTTTCTATTTAATAAATTTTAATTTTGTAGTATTTGAGATTAAACAATTTTGATCCATAACTCTTAGCTTAATGAAACATAATTTTAATTTCTTTTATGCATAAAACTATAAAAAAATTTGATTTTCTTTGTCTAATCTTATTACTTCTTTTTAAAACATTATGCAACCCATCTCTAAACACCAGTATTTTCCATTTCAACAGACATATTTTGTGCATGAATTTTTGGTTGCTGCTTTCTTCTTTAAGCCTATCTACCAGCCAAAACATTACAAGAATCCCTACAACCGATACGCCACCAGAGGAGAGACAATACAATTTCATGGATTTTTACTCAAAAGGTAACTGCTTAATTACTTTTGGAGGAGATCAAGGAATCTCCAAGATATACAATGATGTCTGAGAATTCTCTTTTTCAGACTATCGTTGGCAAGAACTTCAAGCTGCTTCTCAAATTGCTCCTTGTAAGCGATATTTAGCAAAAAGGTATAGTTTAGGAGGCTTTATTGATTCAGATGGTGACTCTTTTTATATTTTTGGAGGAAGCACAACAAATGGTCCGCAAAACGATATGTGGACATTTGACCTAATAAATTATCAATGGACAATAATAAGTCAAAACGGGCATGTCCCTTCTCCAAGATCCCGCTTTGCCTATACTCGATATAATGATAAGAATGACAACAATAAGCTTAAGTTTGCGATTTATGGAGGGACTTCAAGAAGTGGCCTTGACAATAATTTATTCATGTAATCAATATTTAGATTTGACGTCAAAAGTTTAAATTGGTCTTTTACAAGTCCAGAAGGAGTTTCAGTTCCAAGATTAAATTCTCCAACAATTCAATACTGAGATGGATTCATTTACTTAGCAGGTGGACAAGGGGTGCATGGCTCAGCTTATGAATTTAATCAAGAGTTTTTCAGATATGATTTGACAAATAATAAATGAGAAAATATTACAAACAGCAGCAGCCCATACGGATATAGATATCTCACAGGGAGCGCAGTATATATAGCTCATCCATCTAAGCGGATTGCTATATTCCAACGTCTCCCGAGACAGTTGGGGGTTGGTTCACTAAAAAATGTTAATGAAGCCAACCTTGGGAGATTTCGGGCATATGGCAACCCACTTAGCGGATGAGATATAATAATGAGTTTTATTTATTATTTGGATGATCTGATATCACTGGTGGAGATGTAAAAAACATTATGAAAGTAAATTTATTAAGCTCTACTTATGCGTGATCTACTACAAATATTGTAAAAGATGAACGCTGAGAGATGGCCCCCAGAGACTCATTTGCGTTTGCAAGCCATGATAATGGAACAGTGTACATATTTGCAGGATTTATTTCAAATAATACCTTACTCCTCGCTTAAGTGTCAACAAGTTTTTTTTATAACACATTTATAGGTCCGTTGGGATTTTTAGGCACCAGTAACTGGCTAATGGTCACAACCATTAGCAGCCTTCTGGCTGGGAAGCAGGCAGGTGGTTGTGACCAGTTAGCCAGTTTAATAGTGCCTAAAAAAATTCAACAGAGACTATATGTAGTCCGTGAATAGGCTTATTTTAATTGACTAGTGATCTCAATTTTCGCAGTTTTTCCGATTTAGTCTTTTCTGTTGTGATTGAATAGGGTACGGACTTTTGGATAAAATGTCAAACATATTTGAAGGCCAAAAATAATCAAAATTGGATCAGACACTAAGAAATTGACTCTATGAAAATCTATAAGTGTAAATTATCATTTCTTTTTGGATTTAAAAATTCAAAATTTAATTTAAAATTTATCAAAAAGAACTCAAATAAGAAATATTAATAGAATTAGCCAGAATTCTCATTATAAAAATTATTAATTATACGTAAAATCATCTTTAAGCAAAAAAATTTTATATTAAAAAATTTTGCTCTTAATTTTTATAGACAAGGAGAGAGTTAGCAATAACTAATAGCTTAGTAGCGTTTGACTTAACTGCTTCAGAAATTACCTATGATATTATTAATATCGAATTTAGGGGTCCAAGTCCACGGAAAAGCCATTCCTTATGTGCAGCTGAATCCAAATTATTTCTATTTGGTGGGCAAAATGGTGATATATTTTATAATGATTTATGGATTTTTGACCCAGAAAGTGATACTCCTTACTGAAACTCAATTATGACTTCAGGAAATCCACCATCAGCGAGAGCAGGGCATGCTTTCGACTCACAAGGAGATATTGTATACTTTTTTAGCGTTTCTTAACATCTCCTCAAATATTAAAAACAATTAAAAAAATATTATTTAACATAATACGAAAGCCGAAGCACATTTATTTGGCTATACTTGTTTTTGGTGGATTTGATGGAAAAGCTTATTTAAATGACTTATTTTACCTCAACCTTATGACGAGCACATGAAATAAAGTCATTTTAAGCTCTACAAATAAGCCAACTGGAAGAACAGGCGCATGCATGCAAATGTTTTTGCCTTTTGTATTTATATTTGGAGGTAAAACAGATCTTGGAGTGGTGAATGATTTGTGGTTATACAATACAGGGACTAATAAATTTAAGCTGTTATATGAGGATACTCCTGGGACATATCCATTACCGGTTTATGGACATGTGTGTGAGTTAGCTTCAGACAGCTATAACAATGTAATTTTTTACACAATGTTTGGATCTACTGATGGAGAATTGCCTGTAGGGAATGTTGATATATATAACATGACTCTGCGAAAATGGATAAATATCCATAATAGCACAGGAAAGGGCACTGCAAGAGCCAATGCTGCAGTTCTACTCAATAAAAAAAATGAAATTGGAGTAATTGGAGGACAAGCCTGAGGAACTGATCCCCAAAAAAGCATATTTATTTTAGATCTCAATACTGGTATAACAACTTTTCAGAACAGTTTGCATGACTATTTTTATTCATTTGCTTATTTTTATTATAAGAAAAGCTTTTATATACAAGGTGGAGGTTCGGTTTCTGGAAAAGCAATGAAAGCATTTTTAGGGAAAAATACTTTAATTAAAGTTGAGCTTGCCTGTGATAAATCAACGAACTCTTCGTGTGGCTGGGATTGAGAAGTAATTAATATAAAATGCTGTAGAGCCAATTAGCTCATCTATTGACTCAAAATTTTAGAATTTAAGGGACTATGAGAATACCTACCATAAAAAATTCAAAATTAGCTGCGGGAAAAAAAAACCTCGAAGCCCAGGATGCAATGCTTGATATCAGGCTGGGAATCTCGCGCAATTTGACAGGAAATGTCCTTTGGGGTGTTGTGAGCGCTATTTTAAATTTCGTGTCTCATTTCAATGTGGAAAAGCCTACTCAGAATTGAGTTTAGCCTACCAGCTCATAGTCAGCACTCTGCCTGCGCCATTAAAGACAGCCAGGTGCATATGGGACTCCCTCTCCTTCCTTAAAGTCCCCAAGATCGGTAAGCTACCGACTAAAGGAGTTAAGGGTGTGGGTCGATCTTCTACGCAATCTTAATGCATAGATTCTTATCTTAAATAATAAAAAGCTGGACTTGCAGCCCTGGGACATATACAAAAGATAATGATTGTATTCCGTGCCCCGAAGGACAATACAATCCTGACTATGGGGCAACCGCTTGCACTCTTTGCCCTACAGGGACGTTCAATGCACTAAAAGGATCAAACTCTCTTTTGCAATGCTATCCATGTGAGCCAGGAACTTACAATTCATTCAATGGCTCAGCTACTTGTAGAATGTGCCCCATTAATAGATATACCTCTTCCACTCTAGTGGGAACGCTGTGATCTCTAAGTCTCCTGGGATATTAAAGGATTTGAGTTCGCCAACAGATGCTGGATAAGCCAAACTTTAAAATGGCAAATCTGCAATAACATGTGAATTTGCAATTTCAAGGGCTGATGAAATCAACCCCAGCTCATCTTGGAATGTTAGAATCTAAGCAATCCAATAGCACGGATACTCTGTATTGCCCTGCAGGAAGTGTGCATCCTTTAAAAAATAATATAACTTCACATCATTTATCAATTCAGCCATCATTATTTCCTGCTTCATCTTACACTAAAGACGCAAATGATGTAGTCATAATAATGCTGATCGTAGTCTGCTCACTTTTATTTATCACTAGTGCTTTATTGATAGGTATAAAATCATTAAGAGTCAAGCTTAAAAAACTTGATATCTATCAACAAGATCATAACTATAGGCTTTTTGAAGATATGATAAGACGCAGCACTTACATAGGAGGACTATTCTCAATCATTTTTTTCGCAGTAGCAGTAATCCTCATATGTGGTCAAATCATTATATATGCAAAAGATAATGCATATGAAGATAAGTCTCTAGTGCCATTAGTGGCTTTAGAAAGCGAGCTGGTTGATTTCCCAGCTTCAATATCATTTGAAATTATTTTATATAGATATGGAGGTGACTGTGTGGCTAATGACAAGTGCGAGTCTTCTATTTATCAGATATTTTATCATATTTCTTATAGTTCAATTGATATAAACTGCAAAAAAATTGAGGGTGATTGCTATATAAAAATTTCTTTTTCTGATTGCGTAATAAGCACTGGAGCATATATAGAAGTAGATATGGAAGAAAAGCAAAGCTATACTTCTGCTATTAGTGTAAACTTAACATCATCTTCATCAATTCCTGGCCAGCACAGCGCCATTTTTCAGTCCTTAGTCTCAGATAGCAATAAGATTTTCAGAGGAGCTTTGCCAAGCAAGTTTTATTTTTCAGTCATTCCTTCACTATTTAAGTCATATGTATATGACTGGCCTGGCAAATTAACAGGATATCATATTTCGTATAATACTGCACCAACTGCTGGGTCTCAATATACAATACCAAAGTAAATGTTATTTAGTTTGCCATTTACATATAATTTAAAGCTTAAAATCATTTTGACAAGGAGCTTAAACAGCGTATACACACAAAGATTTGCAAAGCAGACTTGATTTATAGTGATTAGTGGCTTATTGGGGTCTGTGTTTGGGGCTATGGGAGCTTTAACTCTACTTTTGAATTAATATAAAAATTATATCATTTTTTTATAAAAATATTTTTGATTCATTTGCTTAAATAGATACTAATTTCAAATGCATTTTTTAAAGTGAGGATTAAGAGGATTTATGAAATTCTCTGAAAAATATATCACGATGTTCAAAATATGGAGAAAAAATAAAAGAAAAAGGAAGAGTATTGCAAGAGAAAATAATAAAATTCATACTATGATGAATCTGGATGAAAAAAGAGAAGGAGCATCTGCCCTAGCGAAGTTAGATATAACCAAAACGGATTCACTTAATATAGAATTGAAAATTCCACAATAAAAACTCTATTGAGAAATTAAGACATAATTTTGTAGAATCGCTCAGAAAGTAAAATAAATTTACAAATTCTTTGCATATATGAAGCATTATAAATTTTTCTCTTATTGTTATGCCAATAAGATTTGATATAATTAAAATTTAAGATTGTTGTATAGAGCATGAAACTTGAGCTGAATTAAATTAAGAATAATGATAAATTTTAATCTCTTAAAATAAAACGTTTCAGTTTTGCTTTCTATTTAATTTGCTCATTTTTTATATGTATTTTAATTTTTGTAAATAGTGATTTTTATCTCATTAAAACTTAATTTACATATGAGATTCTGGATTTTGTCTTTTTTAAATGCAGCCCTTAGTCAAACAATCACGAGAATTCCTACAACAGACACACCACCAGAAGAGAGACAATATCATGTTCTTGATTTCTATCAAAAGGGTAACTGTCTGATTACTTTTGGAGGGAATCAAGGAGTATCCAAGATATATAATGATGTATGGCAATTCTCTTTTGAAGATTATCGCTGGCATGAGCTTCAAGCTGCTTCTCAAATAACTCCTTGTAAGCGATAAATAGCTCAAAGGTATTTCTTTGGAGGATTTGTTGATTCAGATGATGATCTTTTATATATATTTGGAGGAAGCTCAACAAATGGCCCTCAAAACGATATGTGAACCTTTGATCTAATAAACTATCAATGGACTATGATCAAGCAAAAAGGACGAATTCCTTCAGTGAGATCCCGTTTTGCTTATACACGATATAATGATAAGAATGATAGCAACAAATTAAAATTTGCGATTTATGGAGGTACTTTAACAACTGGAGCTGATAATAATTTGTATATGTAATGAATAAATAGATTTCATGTCGGGAATTTAACTTGATCAAAAGCAAGCTCAGAAGGGGTTTCAGTCCCGAAACTAAATTCTCCAACAATTCATTACTGAGATGGATTTATATATTTAGTAGGTGGGCAAGGACAACATGGCACTATATATGAGTTCAATCAAGAGTTTTTCAGATATGATTTGACCAATAATAAATGAGAAAATATTACAAATTACAGTAATACATATGATTATAGGTATCTCACTGGAAGTACAGTATATAATAATGAGTTTTATTTATTATTTGGATGGTCTGATATCACAGGCAAGGATGTAGAAAATATTATGAAAGTAAATTTATTAGATTCCACTTATAAATGATCTAAAACAACTATAGCCAAAGATGAAAATTGAAGCATGATCCCAAGAGATTCATATGCGTTTGCTATTGACAATGAAATTGTTTACTTATTTGGAGGATTTAGTTCAACAGCTAGTGTAGCAATCATGAACAGCTTAATACAATTTAATTTAACCAAATCAGAGCTTACCTATACAATTATAAATAAATAAATTACGATATGTATTTAAGGTCCCTACTTCCATGCGTGACATTCCTCCGCGCTCCGTGAGGAACCGTGCTGGCACGAGCGAAAAGGATGGACTTCCATCACTGGTTCTCTGAGCCCAGGCCGAAACCCCTGGTTTCTCGGTAGTGGGTTGCCCTATTGGGTCGTCAGCCGACCGTCGCCGAGCACCACCATTTCCAACTCAGCCTTCCGCCCCGAGTTACGCCAGTCTTTGTCTCCGGTTGGCCAGGCCGTCCTTCTTTTAAGGACCCTTTTAAACTGGAGAGACCGCCTTGTTGTCTAATCTGCCTCCCTTTTTCCCAGCTTATCCGCTTGAGAAAATTTCAATCGCTTCCGCGATTCGGGGCAGACCACAGCAGCAGCCTGAGCAGGTAAGTCGCCCTGCTCCATTTCGGGCACCCACTGGCTTGGGCGCTGCTGGAAAAAGAAGATGCTCCTAACTGCCCTAGGATCTGGCCACGATCAGCGGGTCTGTGTTTCTCCCCTGGTCGCCACCAGGGTCCAGATATTGCTGGGCTAAGTCGCTTCTCCTGAAAACCATGCCCGGATATACATGGGTTACCGTCACTGGGAGGACGGGTCGGACGCCATACGCCATTTTATGTATATATCTATACAATTATAAATAAAGAGTTTAAGAGTCCAAGCCCAAGAAAAAGCCACTCTTTATGTGCTGCTCAAGCGAAATTATTTTTATTCGGAGGACAAAATGGGGATACTTATTATAACGACTTATGAGTTTTTGATCCTGATAATCCTTATTCCTGGAGCTCAATTATGACAGCAGGTAATCCACCATCAGCAAGAGCTGGTCATGCATTTGATTCTCAAGGAGATATTGTAGTTATTTTTGGAGGTTCTGATGGAAATTCATACTTAAATGATTTATATTATCTAAACCTTATAACGAATACATGAAATAAAGTTACCCCAAGCTCTACAAATTTACCATCAGGTAGGACAGAAGCTTGTATGCAAATGTTTTTGCCTTACTCCCCTTTAAATTAAAAATGTTATTAGCAAAAATAATAGTTTGATAAATAGAGAATTTTGGATCACAGCTATTATAATAATAAATAAATTAATAAAAAAATTTGAAAATCCTTCAAAACATTTTTCAATTAAAATTTACGTTAATTTTTCCTTTTAAAATTAGGACAGAATTTTTGCTCCAAATTAAAAGGGAAGCTATGTTTATATATTTGGAGGCAAAACAGAGTCTGGAATAATAAATGATTTATGGCTATATAATACAGGGACCAATACTTTTACACTAGTATATGAGGCAAAATCTGGAGCTAACCCATATCCAGTTTATGGGCATATGTGCGAATTAAGTTCTGATATCTATTAATTAAAATGGCAGCAAGTATTCTTGGCCCAATTCAGATATAAGGCTAAGAGAACCAAAAGAATTTAAGCCGATAATCAAGTGCATCCTTCCTCAGAATATATGCATCCGGGTAGATTTGGCATCTTTTCTCTTGAAAATATAGGTGCCCATTGGGAACCTTGCTCATTCCTAGTCAAAAAGATGCACTTTTGGCAAGGCTATAGAAAAGCAATCTTTTTTCTGAGACTGCCAAAAGAAGACACTTCAGCATTCTAATAGACTCCAAGAAGTTAATTCTTGGAATTATGCGCTATAGAAGTTTCCTATGTTTGGCGCTGTAAGGCGGATAAATTCTGATCGGAATTTATCGGTAGGTTGCACCAAATCAATGCCTTGGTCGGACCAAAAGCGATTTGGTCCGACGAACTTGGAAAGCTCCTGGGAAAATGTCTGCGCTTTTAGCGCTATATAGAGGAAACCTCTATACTTCTATTGCTCTCTATAGGAATCCAGAAATCCATAAGCAGCCTATTCAAGACTGAAACCTCAAGGCAATAGAAGATGGACTTCACACCTTGCAGTTAGACCTACTGAGCAGTTGGCTACAAAGCCGAAGAATTTTTCATATGGGAGATCTTTTGTAATCGTCACCAATATGGCTAGCGACTGTCTTCAATCCTAATCCTAATCTAAAATTTCTGATATCTATGGAAATGTTCTTTTTTACACAATGCTAGGATCGACTGATGGAGATATGCCGCTTGGGAGTGTTGATGTTTTTAACATGACTTCAAAAAAGTGAATAAATTTGCATTATGATGCAGGGGGGAGCAACGCAAGAGCTAATGCAGCTGTTCTGCTTAATAAAAAAAATGAAGTAGGTGTAATTGGAGGACAAGCCTGAGGAACAGATCCCAAAAACAGCATTTATGTTCTGGACCTCAATACTGACACAATCACATCTCAAAACAGTTTAGAAGATTATTTTTATTCATTTGCTTGAGCCTATTACAAAACAAGTTTCTATATTCAGGGAGGCGGTTCGGCATCTGGAAAAGCTATGAGAGCTTTTTTAGGTAAAAACACTTTAATAAAAGTTGAACTTGCTTGTGATCAATCTACAAATTCATCATGTGGGTGAGCTTGCAGCCCAGGGACATATCTAAAAGATAATGAGTGCATTCCATGCCCTAAAGGACAATATAATTCTTTTTATGGAGCTACTAGTTGCAGCCTCTGCCCGTCAGGGACTTTCAACGGTAATATCGGAGCAAATACTGCTTACCAATGCCTACCATGTGAGTCAGGCTATTATAACCCTTTCAATGGTTCAGCTTCTTGCAGAGAGTGCCCTATAAACAGATATTGCCCTGCAGGAAGTGTCCAACCATTAAAAAAAGATATAATTGCGTCATACTTATCAATCCAGCCATCCATGTTTCCCGCCTCAAGTTATAATAAAGATGCAGATGATATTGTCAATGATATGCTGATTGCAGTTGGGTCAGCTTTATTCGTCACTTTTATCTTATTATTATGCATAAAGTCACTAGCTCCGCTCTCACATCTTCAAGCGAACAAAAAATTTTGTTCGCTCACAAGGATTAATTTTTTTTTGTAAAATTGTTTTTTTAAAATTTAAAAAAAAATTCTAATTTGTAAAAATTGAGAAGTAAAAATTAATTTAATTTATAAAATTTATGTTTAAAATGCAATTTGTTTAAAATTAAACAGAATTAGCTCGAGATTTCATTATACTAATTATCACTTAAATATCAAATTTTTTTTTTCATTCAAACTTTTTCTATAAAAATAATATTTGTTCGCTCATGGAGGGGGAGTAAGAAACAAGCTCCATGAGATTGATCTTTATGAAGATGACCACAACTACAAACTGCTCGAAAATATGGTAAGAAGGAACACATATATAGGAGGACTATTCTCAATTATATTTATGGCAGCAGCAGTAATCCTGATATAAACTCATTCATGCTAGTGGATTGCTACAGACAACCGGGGGTTAGTTTCGCCAAAAATGTTGGTGAAGCCAATCCTTGAAATGGCAAGCCTACAAAATATTGCAGATTTATCATTTCAAGGGTTAGTTTTACCCACCCCACGATCGTTTCAGGTAACTTCGGGATCATTTCGATCCACTAGTGTGCATATGTTATATGCGAAAGTATCATTGTTTTTATTAAAAATAATGTCTATGAAAGCAAATCTCTTGTACCCTTAGTAGCCTTGGAAAGCGAATTGATTGATTTTCCAGCATCTGTGACAATTGAAACAATTTTATATAGATATGGAGGTGAGTGCGTAGCTGGCGATAAATGCGACTCATCTATTTATCAATCGTTTTATTATGTTTCATATAGCTCAATGGATGTCAATTGTAAAAAAATTCAAGGTGACTGCCACATAAAGATTGATCTCACTGATTGTATAATAAGCACTGGAGCATATATAGAATTAGATATGCAAGAAAAGCAAAGCTACACTTCTGCTATTAGTATCAACTTAACATCATCTTCATCTATTCCAAAACAATATAGTGGCATTTTCCAATCTTTAATTCCTGATGATAATCAAATTTTTAGAGGATCTTCTCCAAGCAAGTTTTATTTTTCTGTAATTCCTTCGCTTTTTAAATCATATGTGTCAGATTGCTGTGCATAATTTTCTTCTGGAATAATTGCTCACCCATAGAGTGCGTAGGCTTGGGATTTTCTGCAACTTATTTCTTCACAAAATTCACTTCCATTTCGGATTCTTCTGCCTCGAGTCTCTTCAAAACTCGGCCTTGGGCGTGAAGCTGCATAAAGTCCAGTGCCTGCTCATCCCAACAAATTACACATCGTAGCAAGGTATTACAACAGGCGAAAGTCTTCGCCATTTTCTTTTTGGGGCAAAAAACCTTCCGGAAGGCGCCAAATGTCTCACTATCAAAAAATTTCGACCAAATTTTCCTGACTCCCCCCCCCCCCCCCGTGAGCGAACAAAACCATTAGAAAAATCGCCATTTTTTTGACCAAAAACCCACCCTCCGTGAGTGAACAAAAATTTTTTTAATAGAAAAAATTTTAATGGAAAAAAAATTTTGATATATAAGTGATAATTAGTATAATGAAATCTAGAGCTAATTTCTGTTTAAATTTTAAACAAATTGCGTTTTAAAACATAAATTTTGCAAATTAAATTAATATTTGCTTCCCAAATTTTTGCAAATTAGGATTTTTTTAAATTTCGAAAAAAATATTTTTTATAAAATTTATATATAAATTTTTTTTAAAAAAAAAAATTAACCCCCCTCCGTGAGCGAACAAAATTTTTTTGTTCGCTCACGGAGGGGGGGGGGGGGGAGTGAGGAAAATGTCGTGCTCGAAAAAAAGTCCTCAATCAAATGCCATATAGCCATCAGATTGGCCTGATAAATTGACAGGATATCATATTTCTTATAATACTCCTCCTACAGCGGGATCTCAATATACTGTAGAAAAGTAATTTTAATATAGTCTGCCATTTACATCGAACTTAAAACTTGAAATTATTTTGACTAGAAGTTTAAATAGTGTATATACACAGAGATTTGCAAAGCAAACATGATTAACAGTGCTTACCCTCCTGTTTAAAATGATTATTTTTTTAAAACTAATATAAAAATATTAGTGAAAAATCAATTAATAAAATTTGATCAAATATATTCGCATAATCTAAGGGCAGCATCATTAAATGTGAGTGTAATTTAATTTTTTCTAATTCTATTATTTATCATTTTACTATAAAATTTCTAGAAAACTATATTTTGCTTTGGGTTAATTTCTGCAAAAATTTATCTAGACTTTGTTTTAATCTAATAGAAAGGATATAGTGCTTTATTGGGATCTGTATTTGGAGCCATGGGTGCTCTAGGAGGAATAATGAAGACTTCTGAAAAAAATTTCAATTCAATGAAAGCATCAAGAAAAAATAGAAAAAAACGAAAGAATATAGCACGAGAAAGAGAAAAAATTGAAGATATGCTGAATATAAATGATAGCGAATACACAATAACTAATCCAGCAAAAGCGGATATAACACAAGCAGAATCATTTGACACTGAATTAAAAATATCGTCTAGAATTATATAATACAATCTAAAGCATTATAATTCCTATATGATAAGGCAGATTTCTGCTTTAAAATCTATGCTCATGTCATTAATATGCTTACTCTAATTATTTATTTTCAGTTTCCTTTCTATCTTCTGCTGTTCCTAAGTTTTCGACATTTTCCTTTTTGTCTTCAATAGTTCCGAAATTATCCTCTTGCATTTTCCTTAATTTATGCTCTAGCTTATGCACATCATGCCCATTCTTCAACACGAAATGCCTTACTCCGTGCATAAATAAATTCGCGATGCTTATAGAAATTGGACTCCGAGACACACTTCTATGGAGCAGGTAGGACCCATTCTGATGAAGCTTAAATAACGCCTTGCTCCCTTTCGAAGTAGGTCTTCAGATTTAGAGATACCTTACCGAGCAGAGAAGTTTTATTTCTCCTAGAAGGTTTTTATATCTCTGCTAGATAGTTTTGCCTTCTAAAGTTTTCTCCTCATCGGGCTCATCACAGCACCTCACAGACGGTGGCCTGCCCTAAGTAGCTAATCTCTTGAGCAGGCTTTTCAGGTCGGAAATCCAAAGGCTGGCCTTTAAAGCCAAGATGGGTGGTGCCTAGTTGGTTTACCCGCCTATAGCCAGAATAGCTTTTAACATGACTTAGCTTACTCCATGTGGGAAAAACAATCTTGCATTTGTTTCATCGTGAAAAACCTCTTGGAACTCATGCAAAGTCACAGCTTCTTTTTCTTTTGGATTTCCATTCAAAAAAATATGAAGTAGCTTTTCCTTTGCAGCCTCTCTACAGTCAACGAGCATCTGGACATAGCTCCGAACTTTAAATTCAGACACAGGTGGATAAGTTTGATTCGATACCAAGGCAGGGAGATCATTGATGCAGACGTCAAGAATATAGCCTAGCATCTCTTCAATTACCTCTTTTCTCAGTTCTTTTGAGTTCGTAGGGTCCAGCATCTCAAATAAAAGCTTTGATTTTTGGCGAGAAGTCCCGCTGCTCATCAAAATGCCGAGTGTTAACAAAGGCTTTATGCGATAATCTCCATTGCTAGTTCTGTGCCGCTCATAGAATTCTTCAACCTTTGGGCATTGATAGCAGTTTCTGGTTTTGATCCCAAGGGATTTTGTTATGTCTGATCATTGATTGGCATTTATCGATCCATTAGAAGAATACTTCCTGAAATTCAGATCTACAATCTTGCAGGTATTTTTAAAAAATTCAAGCTGGTCTTCCATAAGCATAATCGCTCGTTCTTCCTTGCTTAGGTCTTCTCGACTTGACTGGCAGCCCATTTATAAAAAAGAATAAGGCTTTAAAATACGTCCATGATCTAATGTTTCCGTTATTTTTCCTTACTCCCCCCTCCGTGAGCGAACAAAAAATTCTTGTTCGCTCACGGAGGGGGGGAGGGGGGTTTATTTTTTTTTTTAAAAATTTAAAAAATCCTAATCGCAAAATTCGAAAGCAAATATTAATCTAATTTGTAAAATTTATGTTTTAAAACGCGATTTGTTTAAAATTAAACAGAATTAGTTATAGATTTCATTATACTAATTATCACTTATATATCAAAATTTTTTCTATTAAAAAATTTTTGTTGGCTCAAAAAATGGGGTTTTTCTAATGGTTTTGCTCGCTTAAGGAAGGGGGGTTATGTGATAACAGCCCTACAGTTTTCAGAAGGCCCTGAATAAATTTTATTATAATATCAGGTATATAAAATCAAACTGAAAACATGATTTCACCCATAATATAGGATTTATTATAATTTGCAGTGATAAATTAAAATTTATCGAAATTGAGCTGTTTTCTTCAGATATATGCTATAAAGACAATATAATTTTCTACACATATCAGGTAATATAAATTCTTTTAGGTATTGCAATCAATAAATATGAGCGGAAGACATAAAGTTGAAGTCGTGATTTTTACAATTCTAGTGTTCATAGCTTTTATTTCTAGGGCTGATTACTGGATTCCATGGACTGTGCTCGCAATTTTCTGGGGAATCTTGTGCTTATTTGACTGGCTTTTCATCAACGAAAAGGGATTTATGTTTGAGCCCAACTTCAAAAATTGGCAAAGAATAACAGAGCCTCGTTATTAACTAAATAATTATCATTAATATCATCTTATAAATCTTATAATCCTTTCGAGTATAAAGACAACAGCAGAGGCAGCCCTACCATCATTGATCCCCATACAAAGTACAAACCGAATAAGGTCCTATTCAAATACTTCTGGAAAAGCATGACAGGTATTTGAAAGATCATTAAAAGCATCAAATATGGTTTAATATCTCTACAGATCAGAGCTAAAACCATTTCATGACCTTAACCTTAATTAATAGATTGGTATATGCCTTAATTTTTATGTAATCACTGAGGGTCTCATAAGAGACTCAACCGCTTTACGACCGTTCCTATCACCAGGACCAGCAGTGTCTCCTCCTTGCCTTGATGCTCCAGTATTGAGTGGGCAGTCTTCTACCAACCATTTCATGACAACATGCTGAGAAAAAGAAGGTAATAAACTTGCTAGTGTTTTCAGAAAGCTGATATCGCTGTAAACACTCCAAATAAACGTGCTTGTGCAGGAATAAATGTACGGTCCTATTTCATTTTCTGTTGAATTCTTCAAAAGTAGTTGAATTTCACCAGTCTGAGTAAAATTCTCTATCGCCAAATAGGGACATTTCAGCGAAGAGGTTTAAAATTTGTTCGAAAATTATGAGAAATATCATTATGTAAAAAATAAGACAAGGGATTACAAGACGGCTGAATACCTCAGTTAAAGGTAAAACATTAGACATGTTGATAATTGGTAAAATGTGGTCGCTAGCAATTATGTACTCCATGTCCAGTTGGACAATTAATAAAACTAATTTTTGTAAAAAATATGACAGCCTGAATTTAGGGATTTTGGGATAGCTTGTTTGATACACTAAAGCAGGAGTCACCATAAAAATTAAAAAATTTTTCGCATTAACATTTTGAGGATATTCTGATTTTCCAGGGTTTTCTAGAGCGAGCTCTCTTAAATCGCGGTTTACCATGGTATAAGAATGCATTTTCATAAAATGGACCAAAGCAAGCATAGTTGCAAAACTAGTTTGGGTTAAGCCCCAATTCCTTGCTAGTGTTAAATGACTTGCTGCTATAAACATCAATGACTGAGAAAAATGCTGTAGTATGTTAGCTACTTTTAACGGGAATCCTTTTATAATTAAAAGTTGTAAAAAATAAGCAAGCCATGAATAGCAAAAAATTCCAGGCCAAATCAAAGAAACGACAAAGAAATCTTGGAGCATCTTTTGTAAGTAAGAATCTTCAAATAGAATTCCTTTTGTCACGAACTTCACATAAGCAGTAATCGCTATGTACCCTGAGCTTATGAGGGTAAACATTATGTAAAATCCTCTCATGTCACTCTTATAGAACCCTGAATTGCGGTCTACAAGATCAAAATATGAGGGTGTGCATTTGATATAGCTTAACGAATTACGATCTCTTTTGGCCATTTCTAATCAAAATGAGTATTGCGTCATGATTTAAAAGCCATTTATTTAATAAACATGATGACCATAATTATCAAGTTTCTTATAATTTTAACCTAAAAGTGCGCCTTCATAATAATTTTGAGAATCATCGTAAAATGCAGCCATAATTTTCATATAATAATAAGCATCATCTACTCCCATTATTTCACGGCAAGAATGCATTGCTAACATAGGAGCGCCAATATCTATAACTCTTATACCTGTATTTCCAGCAATATAAGGCCCTATAGTCGATCCGCAAGGCGAGTTATTTTTCACAATAAAATCTTGAGTCGGAATAGAATACTTCTTCGCCAATGTCCTAATAAATGCAGCTCCAACTGGGTCTGTTGCATATTTTTGATTTGGATTAGCTTTAATGACAACACCTCCATGCACAATTGGACTATGACAAGTTTGATGCTTATCAGAATAATTCGGATGCACAGCATGGGCCATATCAGCTGATAATGCTAAACTTCTTCTAAAAAATCCCTCAATTGCATCATTTTTTTTATTCCCTGGCAATGTTTCAAGAATTCTTCTAAAGGTTTGCTCAGCAACTATTGAATTTGCTCCTTGCATTGACAAGCTTCCTACTTCTTCGTTATCAAATGCTGCGAGCAGCTTAATATCTTTGCCATCTGTATTTGAATTTATTAGAGACTGCAAAGAGCAATAAGCGCTCATAAGATTATCAAGTCTTGCTGATGAAATAAATTCTTCATATAGCCCAGATAGCACTGCAGGGGCTGTATCTATAATGCATAGGTCAAGGTCAAGAATTTCTTCTGTTTTGCATCCTATTTCTTTTGAAATTAATTCAAGCAAGCCTTGTGCATGTCTTTTATTGTTTTCTGGGTAGTTTTCTTTTTCAGCTTTCCCTGTGCATAAAAGAGGTTTAAATTGTGTTTCTTTATTGAACTCAAAATTTTCTCTATTTGTTGTCAAATGGATTGCTAACTGTGGGATGCTTATAATAGGTCTTTTTATGTGTAGCAGCTTGGAGTGTATTTGATTATTTTGGGAAACTATTACTCGGCCTGCTAATGTTAAATCTCTGTCAAACCAAGAGTGTCAGAGACCTCCTCCGTATAATTGGATATTTAGCTTGATGAAGCCTTCATTTTCGTATTTTGAAACAGGTGCTAACTTTGGACAAGGAAAATCTGAGTGTGAGCCTATTATGCGAAATCCACCTTCATGAGGAGTGTATTGAGAACCTACAGAAAATGCATATATTGATGATTCATTTCTTGTGAAAAAATACTTGCCACCTGGTGAAAGATTCCAAGATTCATGTTCACGGAGTTCTTGAAATTTGCTAGATAAAAGTGAAGATTTGGCAGGATTATTATTAAATATTCATTAAATTTCATAATATTTGCTTTGCTTTAAAACAATTAAAAATATGTGTAAATCACCTCCAATTTGGCACGAGAAATAGCATGAAATGGGGAAACTGAGAAATTTACGAAATCTAAAAAGCCTTTTGCTATTAGTCGTGTCTCCATTTTAATGCAAAATTGAGCTAAGTTATAATTTTATTTATAAAATATAAATTATATTTTTTAAGTTCTCTAATTTTACCAATATTTATTCTAATTCATTTAATAATAATTTCAAAACTCTTCTTAAAACATTAGATTAAATAAATTTAAAACTATACTCATAGCAACAATCGTAGCCATCCATAATTTCTAAGAAATAGCATTTTTAGATTTTCCTATTACACAAATAAAATGCTTAAAGTCAGCACTTTTAATATAGTGCGAGCGCACTATTAGCTTGCTATGCCCCCAATACCTTCTAAGTTTGGCTTTACAATGGTGATAAAATCAACCCAAGGAAGAACCAATCTGCACTATAAATGGGCTTGCCGTTTCTGAACTAGTTTTTAATAAATATTATTGTAAAACAAATCCGAAATTCTCGCTCCCTCACCCTCCATTAGCGAGCAAAGTAATTTTTTTCCCTAATAGACGGGTGAATTTTGTTCGTTAAAAATTTATATATAAATTTTATAGTAATTTTTTTAAAATATTAAAAAAAATTAATTAAAAATAATTTTATAACGAATATTAATTTTATGTTTTAAAATAAGCTGATTAAAATTAAACAGAATTATTTCGAGATTTCATTATAATAGTTATCACTTATATATTAAATTTTTTTTCATAAAAATGTTTACATTAAATTGCTGCTCACGGAGGGTTTTTACCCAAAAATAGGATTTTTCTATGGTTATATCGCTCAGGGATTGAGGAAAGTCAGGAAACATCGGAAACATATCGAGCCAATAGAATGCTAGCATTATATCTTGAACTCTTGCTTATACTATGAGCACAGAAGCCCACTAATAACACGAACAATTAACGAAATGGATAGTGACATTGTTGGCCTTCAAGAAATAGACTATAATGGAAACGCAAACGTCTATAACCATCCTGGCTACAGCTTTATTTTTTCCCCTGCACCTATTCCTTTAAAATGGACAGAGCTTGGCTCAATAAATCTTAAGATTGATGGTAATGGGATACTAATCAAAAACCATATAAAAATAATTGCTGAGGGTTATTTGACATATAAGTCAAACACAAGAGTAGCTCAAAGAATGAAAATAAGAGTTGATGGCAAAGAAATTTGGATAGTGAACACCCACTTAGACCATATTTCAGATGAAGTTAGGCTAGAGCAGGCTTTAACACTAATTGAATGGCTGAGACCTATGATGGATAGTCCTATAATTGTTATGGGAGATCTAAATTGCTTCCCTGGATCTGAGACATATGAAGTCTTTATCAGGCATTTTAAATCTTCAATGAAAGAAATTTATGGAAAAGAGCCAGATGTCACTTGGCCTACAGAAATGCTTGGAAGCAGAGAGAATTGGGAGAGGTTTGGGGAAGTTGGGTGCATTGACTATATTTGGTTCAAGAATCTAAATGTAGTGAATGGAAGAGTTATTACAGATATTAAAGATGGTCAGTTTTACCCAAGTGACCATTATCCAGTTCAAGCAGTATTTGATTTAGGGATTCCTAACTAAAAATAAGAATTAATCTCAATAAGGTAAATTCAAATAAAAATGAAATCATAAGCTGATTTATGAAAATTCAAAACTGACTTTTATTCATATCAACATTATACCATTGTTCAATTTCTTGTAAATAAAAAGCTTAATGATAACTGAAAGATATCAACTTAAATTATTTAAATGTTATTAAACGGAAGAAAAATTCAAACACTCCTTAGTGCATAAAATAATTTAATATATATTCATGTCTTAATTTATAGAGCTAAGACTAGTTGATTGATTTAATTGCAATATTGAATTTATCATCTAAATAAATTCTGGTATTAACTCAGTGTTAATATTTTTCATCATATTATCTCTAATGCTGGAAACATAGACATACTTTATGCACTTATTCAAGCATCATTGAAATAATCCTTTTATATTGCAATTTACTCACCAACAAGAAGTCGAATGCTTTAAAGTGAAGATGAAGAACTTTGTTAAGTTTAAGTTAGAAGGCAATGCCATAAATATTGACAATGCAGTGCATTGAGTTATTTTCCCATTTAATTGCTACGCTTCCATCAAGATTGCTGTCCCAGAAGCAGGTTGAACTCATATGCATGCCAGCATCTCCTTTTTGAAGAATTATACAGGAAACACAGTACTTGAAATTGCTGTTAAGTTCTTTCAAAGTTTTTACAATTTCTTCAGAAAGATGAGCAGTCCACTGCTGTACTTCTTCTTGGTTATATTCTTTGTTCCCTAATTACCTCCTATTTAAAAAGGAAAAGTATAGATTTATATTACTAATTAAATTATATTTAATATTTTATTCTCTAATATAAATTGATAATTAATATTTCTGATTTAAGTTTTTATTACATTTTGTTATTTATAATGGTTATAGATTATAAATAATTGACTCTTAAGAAAGCAAGCCAATATTTACTTTAAATGGGAGAGAGTAAAGAGGCCATTAATGAGTTGTTGAGCTCTTGAATTAACATCATTTTTTAGAGAGCTGAAACTTTCCTGCTGCATCTATTTTTTACCATTTGTGATAGACAGAATCGAAATAGATAAATTTAATTTTCTAGAATTTACAAATATTGTACCACAGTATTTGCTAAAAATTTAGGTTTAATTGCATATGATCTTTAATTTTTAGCTTGCAAGATATCACTAAACTATTAAAATGAGCATATATTAAGCCTAATTAATCCTAAATAATTATATAAAAGTAATAAAGATCCCTTTAATTCTTTAATCTAAATAATCATTCAAAGAAACAAATTTGCTATTGCTTTTTAGTTAATGCAATATTATTTTATTACTAAAACTAGTTTTAAAATAAAAGGCAAAGATGCTTACTTCCACCAATCCTGATCGAGGAAATTTTCCTCTCACAGAAATTTTTTTTTCTTATTTAATTCGCAAAAATCGGAGTTAAAAAATTAATTTATCTATAGAATTTAATATTTTATAATACAAACTGTTTAAAATTCAAGAGAATTAGCTGAGACTCATATTCTTTGCAGAGGTGTTTTTTAAAAAATAGGGATTTTTTTTAATGGTTGTGCTCGCCTACGGATGGAGAGGAGGAGCTACAAAATTCAGATTATTTCGATTGTTCGGAGTAGTCAATGAAAGCATCTATGAAATAGACACCATTGAAAACTGGGATAAAAACGTAATGAAGGCTGAAACTCCAGTTCTTTTGCAATGCTACGCTGAATGGTGTGACAGATCACGGCAAATATCCTTAATGCTCTCAAATTACTTCAATCTTGACAAAGGAAAGTGAGGGTATGCCAAACTGAACGTAGAATCCTTACCTCTTCTAGCTCAATCTGTCCAAATTAAAAAAATCCCAGCTCTTTTCATTCTCAATCAAGGAGCTTTGATAGAAAGAGTTGAAGGGAATTTAGATGAAAAATCAATGGAAGATTTCGTTAATGTTTTACGGCTTATGTCTGGCATATGCACAAAAGAAGACATAATTATTGCAAAAATAAATAAAGCTGCTGATTTTCTTCATCAAAACAAAATATTAGAATCAATTGATGCATACAAAGATGTAATCAGCAGTGAATTTTTTTTAGAAAAATACGAGCTAACTTGTTGGGTAGCCTTAGCCAGGGGATACTTAGATATAGGAGATTTGCCGAATGCTGAAATATTTGCTAGCTTCCACTTTAAGATAGGAGTGCGTTTTTTTTTTTAGTACACTTTACGGAGAAGGACTTATTTTTTACTGTTTTGATTTAAAATCTTAATTATAAATATTTGAAAACAAAAGTAATATACAAACTGTCGAAATTTAATAGAATTAGCTGGAAATTCATAACTAATTATGTGTAAAATTATTATTTCTATAAAACCTATTATTCACTCACAAAGGAAATTAATATCCAAAAATTTCGAATGGCTTGCCTGCTCTTAAGGGAGGATAAAAGGATTTCTAGTAAGTATGGGATTGATGCTTCAAGAAACATTGAAGTAAGTAAACTAGTAAATACAATAAACCACGCTGTGGAAAAAAGCTTATACAAAGTAAACATGAAGGAATATAGAGCCGTAATTACAGGATTACAAGAAGATATTCTTTTTGATTATGATAACACTGAAAAGCATTGTAAATTAGCAGCAGCTCATTTTGAATTTGGATTTCATGAAGAAGCGATTAAAAAAGCATTTGAGGTTATTGAAATGGAACAAAGTTTGACTGGAGACGGATATGAGTTATTGCTAGAAATCTTGACAGAATTAGGTTCAGAAAATAGTTTAGTTAAGGAAGCAAATAAGAAACTTCATATGATTCATACAAATTTAAGAAATAATTAATTATTATCATTATTTTTGAAAGTAAGATTTAAAAAATAAAGCAGAAATTAGGCTAGGCTCGCAGAGATTGAGAACTATTTCAAATTATAAGGCCATTAATGTTTAAAATATATAAAATATGAGGGAATTAGCAAAAACTAATATTCAGCGAAAGGGCCCCTGAAATAAAATTTATGGAAGTGCCCTCAATATCTAAAAAGCTCAAGTCAACACTCCCTCAGGACTCTAAATCCTATCGGAATTTTTCATCTATCCTTTCTCAAACTTTCTCACCTGAAGAAAATAAAAATATCGGCTTTTTATATCGAATCCGCTCGGCGCCTGACTTTGGTGTTATCTTACCTTTTCAGCCTTTCCCAATTCCAGATCAGCTTTTGGATCCATTAGGAATATTACGCTTCAGCTTTCAATCACTGAATGACTTGCGAGATTTCCAACATGAATTTTGAACAGATATTATTCGAACCTCAAAAGCTAAGGAAGGTGAGATTTCAAGTGCTAACTACTTAATAGTTCCTTTAGTTGATAACGCCATTAATTGGGTCACAATATTTCTCCTCTTACTCCCCCTAAGTTTTTTCGCAAAATTAACGACTAGATTTTTTTCTAAACGCGTAATAAATTATTATAAAAAAAATTATAGTAATGGGAAAATTAGAAAAAGAAAAGTCAATCAAAGTGAATGACCTCACCCCAGCTCAAAGAGAAAACATGATTGTAAAATCTTTAAAAGGCAAAAATACAACTTGGCAATGCATTTCATGCTTTGACGATAGCATGGATTCAAAAGAGTTTCTACAGATCTTACTTGGAAGTGACAACCCAGATTTGCAAGATTTAATCGATTTATACGATTCATATATAGTCCGAACCTCCTTTTGGCTTAGGCTATCTTACATCTCCCGAAGTCGGAGGGAGTTGATTTTATTTATAAATGTTGGAAAAACCAACTCCCCTTCTACTTCCGATGTCGGTATAACCTAAACCAAAAGGAGGCTCAGGCTATAGCGCAATCGATGTACTTTTAGACGACAGACTTAATATTGATTCTTTGTCTGATTTCAAAAAATTGTTCTTCTCTGGTGCAATCAAATCAATATCAACTGATAATATTTTTATTTTCGCGAACCAAACAAAGTCAGCAAGGCATATTGATAATCCAGTTAATGCTGGAGAAATGGAAAAGCAAAAAATAAGTGAAAAAGGCACCCCAGTTCTACATGCCAGCCTTGTCGACGTATACCCTCTTAAAGCTTCTACTTGGCTTCAATGTGGAAATTTATTATACTGCGCTTAATTAACTTCGATTTAAATATCATCAATAATTTAAAAGGAACTAAAATTATATTTGATATAAATTTACATTAGCGTAGTATAAGTGCATTAGTAGAATTAGAATCAGCTTCATATATATGAGAATTTGCCCAAACCTTCGGCTATAAGGGCTGCTTTAAATATTTAAAGGACGCCTGCACAAACCCCTACTTAGACAGTAAAAACAATTATGATTATTTACAAATTCTGGGAAACTCAATACTTAAAGTAGTTTCAACGATTCATGTGTATTTTAGATATCCAAAGAAAAATGAGTATCAGCTTTCTATCAGTAGATTTAAAAACATTAGTAGCCCAAATTTAAGCTCTGCAGGATGGAAATTTGAACTCCAAAGATTTCTCAAGACAAATTCGTTGAAAATTTCTATGGGATTTTGCATTGAATTCGCCATAATTTTATTGATAAGTAAATTCCATTTCCATAAAACTAGGAAAATAAATCTTAAAAGGATCATAAACATAATATAGAAAAGTGTAAATTCAGACCCCCATTTTATGCATCGAAAATGATTTCTGGGGAAACATGGGATGTTGAGCATAAAATCACTGACAAAATGATGGCTGATTTCGTTGAAGCTTTAATTGGCGCTCTTTATTTAGGCAATGGGATTTATGATGCTGCACAATTCATATATGATCTTGAAATTTTAATAAAGGATTCGGCTTATGAAGATACGATGAAGCTACTAACTCCCTCCGTGCGAACCAAATATTTTTTATGGAAAAAAATTTGATATATAAGTGATAATTAGTATAATGAAATCTAATTCTGTTTAATTCTGAACTCATTGCATTTTAAAACATAAATGTTAAAATTAAATAAATATTTGCTTTCCAATTTTTGCAAATTGGGAATTTTAAAAATAATATTTCCTATAAAATTTATATATAAATTTAAAAAAAAAAGAAATTAACACCTCCGTGAGTGAAGAGGATTTTTTTTGTTCACTCTCAGAGGGAGGAGTAAGCAATGATAATTTTACGATTTTAGATTTAAGAAGAATATTTTCTCTCCCAGGTAATCAGCTAAAGCTTGGTGAATTGCTACCAATTCTATATGATCCTACAATAAAAAAAATTGAAATTATAGAATCATCTCTTGACTACTATTTCTCAAATAAAAACCTTCTCTCCCAAGCCCTTACCCACTATTCTTCTGATCCTATACGCAATTACAATAGATTTGAATTTCTAGGTAACTCAATCATTGATTTCACAGTGCTTTCTGAATTATTTGTATTTGGACAGTTCACACCCGAAGAGCTCACCACATTCAGACATATTCTAGTAAGCAACAATTTCTTGAGAAAATTAGCCATATCTACTGGGCTTGATAAACATATCCATGTTAAAGATGAACTAAAGACGGAAATCATAAGATTTGTAGCTAACTCTCGTTGGGAAGACGATTTGTTGAACTTTGATCCTCACTGTGACAATCCTCCTAAAATTTTAAGTGACTGCTTAGAAGCTTTAATAGGGGCTATATTTATTGACTGTGAGTCATTGACCACTACTTGTGAAATAATTGAGAATTTATTTTCTGATCCCATCATGTATTTAGTCAAAAATAAAGATAAATGCCAAAAGAATATCTGTGAGAAGCTTGTAGAATATGGCAGTCGGCGCGGGAAAAGCATAGAATATCAAGAAATAATAGAAAAAAAAGCTGTGAAAATACTTATATTTTCAAACGGAGAACTTTATATTGAAAAACAAGGAAGAATCCCTTGGTTTGTGAAGAAGCAGGCAGCAGTTGAAGCTTACGATAAATTGAGAAGAGAAGAAGGTGAGATCAGTGAATCAATTTAGTTTAATTTTATAATTTTTTATAATGATAAATTACCCTCTTAAAATTTTACCCAAATATCCAGGCACCGAAGTAAACGTAGCCAGAGTTCTTCAGCCCATCGATTTTTCAACCACCAGTGTAGAAATTGAAGAAATTAAAGAAGTGAAGCCAGAAGAAGTAAAACTTGAAGGAGCCAAAAAGATCCAAGCCAGGGTCACTAGTCGTCGCAATCGTCAGCCCAACAAAATCGCTGAGTTTTCTTTAAAATGCCAAGACAGCTCACGAAAGCGTTCCTGGATCGGCAAAAGTGAAGAATCCAATAAATACGCAATTTTGATATATGACGGCAAAGAAGTGAGCATAATTCTCACCGATCATTGGTACAAATTTTCGCCATTAAACCAAGCAGTCAAAATTCAAACTGAAGAGGAACTTAAAATAGGCAAAAAACAAAGAATTCGCCAAGAAAAAGAGCTTGTCAATGAAGTGTTCGGAGAAGACTCTGATGAAGATCTAAAACCTACCAAAAAAGTGCATCAAAATACGATTGAAGAAGAAGAGTTTGGAAAAGAAGGCATGGATTTTGATGAAGAATTTGCTGATGATGAAGAAGACAACGAAGAGGAAGAAACCAAAGAGCAAAAAGATGAAGCGGCACTGCAGCATAGACTTTCGAATTCTGGAAAAGAAATACAAGAACTGCTGCTGGAAAATAAAAGTGAGAGCTCAGAAAGTGGAGATTCAAGCGATTTAGGACTTTATGATAGTGAAGAAGATTTGAAAGAAGATAAAGTGACGAAACAGTCAGTCATTAATGAACTAATGAGGCTTGGGAGAGTCACGCTAAAAGAACTTATTGGAGAATGCAAGAAGAAGTTTAAGAGTGAAAGCGGATGGATTGAAAATTTGACCAAAATTGTGAGAGAGGTCGCAGATATTGAAGGGACTGGAGAAAATGCGTATGTAATGCTGAAAGAGGAGTATAAGAGATTTAAGCCTGCGCATGCTGAAAGAATACATTTCCAAACACTTAAATAAGCACTAAAAGTGTATACACAAATATTGATAATAAAATTAACATAAATAAAATGGCATTCGGTTCGAGAGAAATTGGCTCTGCCAATTTTCTCTCCCTCATGGAATTTTATTTATGGGGTTGGGTTTTCTCTCGAGAACTTCTGCACAGCAATAGTCGTTTAACTTTGGGGATAACCAAAGGCACGACTCCTCAGTGCACTCAAGATTTCGGAGTTTTACCTCTCAGCACGTCCCCACGGGAGGATGACCCTTAGGCGGAACACGCGCAGGAGCTGAGTCTGGACGAGCGACGGCAACGCGCAGGGTGAGATGTGCGGCGATTTATCTGGCGACTAGCCTTATAGAAGGCTTGGGTGTGGGCTGACCACATATTCCAAGATGGCTTGGTGACGTCACTAGTTGTCGCTTTGACCCTTTTTCATTAAGGGGTGTGGGCACTAGACACCTTAAAAACTATGTAACTAACTCCCCCCCCCCCTCCGTGAGCGAACAAAAAAAATTTTGTTCGCTCACGGAGGGGGGTTAATTTTTTTTTTTAAAAAAAATTTATATATAAATTTTATAAAAAATATTTTTTTCGAAATTTAAAAAAATCCTAATTTGCAAAAATTGGGAAGCAAATATTAATTTAATTTGCAAAATTTATGTTTTAAAACGCAATTTGTTTAAAATTAAACAGAATTAGCTCTAGATTTCATTATACTAATTATCACTTATATATCAAAATTTTTTTCCATTAAAATTTTTTCTATTAAAAAAATTTTTGTTCACTCACGGAGGGTGGGTTTTTTGGTCAAAAAATGGCGATTTTTCTAATGGTTTTGTTCGCTCACGGAGGGGGGGGGGGGGAGTAAGTAAGATAATAAAATTAACATTGCTAAAAAGTTATTATCAGATTTAAGTAATATTTAGTTTTATATTAATATTTTTTATTATAGCTCACACTCTTTTAAAGTGACCAAGATTTTTCTGGTCGCTCTGATAGGATTTAATTTTGTTTTTTAAAAAATAAATTATATATAAAAAACTTATTTTAAACAATTTGCAAATGCTTGAAAAGAAAAATCTAATTTAATATAGGGTTTAACGAATTAAATTTTGATCTAGTTATAAAAATTATTAATTATACAAATATTTTATATAAAAATATATAGAAATTTCCCTTAGATGGCGCAGTTTGCCCTTGATTTGCCCACTGAAAACATTTTTTGGTTGACCAGTACCATATGGTTTGGTCAAAACCAAAAAATTTTTTCAGTGGGCAAATCAAGGGCAAACAGTGCCATCTATGGAAAATTCTATATTAAAATTTTAAAGGTTTTTTAAATAGAGGTTTTACTCACTTTTAAAGGGAGACTAAGTAATATTCTTCATATTTTGGAAAAAATGAATGAACCTAATTGCTAATCAATTGCATTGGCTATCTCTTCCAACAAACATAATAATAATTTTACCATATTCCCGATAGCATCAGAAATAAGTAGAATTTCATTTCTGATATATTTAATATTTATCTGAAATTATCCACACCAGTAATATCATTTTGGATTAATTATGAAGCAAAATTTTTATTGATTTAGCAGAAATGTTTTTTAAAAAATATGTGGATTACTAAGTTCATAAATTTTCCTTAATCCTTCATTTTAATTGGCTCAAGAAAATTTGACCAAATTTAAAAAAGATTTTTTAGAAAATAAAAATTAAAATTAAATGTAACATTTTTGAATTCTAGTTTATTTTTCATGAAAATTGGCTCTTAAAATTATCAACTAAGTTTGTTTAAATAGTATTTTGCTACACTGCCCAAATTAGATTTGATATTAAAGCTATTTAGAGATTATTATAATCACCTATAAAATTTTTCATTAAAATTTATAGTGGATTTAGACATGGCAACAGAAAGTCTGCTTAGCGATGAATATGTAATAATTGAGTCAATAACCAATGAGTTCTCAAAAGAAGATTGGGCTTCCTTGCTTGAGAAAAATGATCTTCACCACACATGCCCTAAACGAATTCGTAAGAGTTTGCTATTTGGGATTCCAGATAGCCTAAGAGGTCAGATTTGGCCTTTCTTAACTCGTGCGAATCACATGGATTTTTCAACATATGAAACCCTTTCTCAAAGAAAGGACAAAATTTTCGAACCATTAATTCAAAAAGACTTAGCACGGACTTTTCCTGATCACGAAATATTTAAGGACACCAAAGGTCCTGGGCAATCTGGGATCTTAAGAATTTTACGAGCTTATGCACAGTTTGATAATGAGGTCGGCTATTGCCAAGGTATGGCGTTTATAGCTGGTCTCTTATTTATCCACATAAAATCAGAAGAGTTGACATTTTGAGCGTTTGTCTCAATAATGTTTGATAAAAATTGAAGGGAAATTTTCACCTCAGGGACCCCTAAACTTGTAAAAATGCTTGACTGCTTATCAAGTCAGCTGGAAACCTTACTGCCTGAAGTGTATAATCACTTGCAGACAGAAAACTTATCCCTTCTCCTTTCGTGTTTAAGATATTTTAATATTTCCAGATTTCAAATATTCCCTTTTATTAATTTTTGAAAATAAAATACTATAATTAATGTCTTAGAATCACACAGTTTTAAAATTTATTCCAAGAAGCAATTAATCTCTCAAAAAAGTAGGATTTTTTCAGTGTTTTACTTGATCACGAGGGGAGCTAGAATTAACGTGCTTTTCCCCCTATTTTATCACAATTTTCGGATGCAAGGTGCCTCTTCAATACGGAATGCGAGTGGCTGACATGTTTCTATACGAAGGAGAGCAAGTCATCATATCCCTTCTTTTAAACAATATACATTAAAGTGGCAAAACGTGACATCCTGCACTCTTGGAATCAGTCCAGAATTTATGCCTACGGCAAACTGTGACGGACTCCAAGTCGAGAACAAGTGAGTCTCAGGTTACGTGCATCCGGGTAGGTTTTGGTAGCCTTCCTGTGGTTGGAAATGGAGGTTCCCGCAACGTCCTTTTGAATCTAAGGACCCATTGGCATTCCTCAACCGAGAAACTAAGGGTTTTGGCTCAGGCTACAGATAATAGTCTTTTTTCTGTAGCTGTTGAAAGGAAGGCACTTCACCCTCGACAGACTCCTAGGAGCTGATCCCTCGAATCAAACTACTCCAACCGCCCGTATCAGGGCCGCAAAAATCTATAAGAGCTCAAGACTGAAACCACAAGGCAAGGAGGAGACAGAAGGTGCTGGAAGTGGAACCAGTTTTTCGGGGTATAATCCCTCTGGGCTGGAATAAAAATGCTTTTGAAACTCTCATAGGTAGGTCTTTGATGACTGCGTCACCAATATAGCTAACACATGTCTTTAAAAAACCTAACCTAATCCTCTTTTAAACATGCTTAGCCTGAAACAACGGAAAATTTTACGTATAGTAATTGCCCGAGGATGGCGCTATCTTGCGCCATCCTCGGGCAATTCAAAAATGGCCCCACACCGGGAATTGAACCCACGTGTGGGGCCATTTTTGGTTAGTGGAGAACATCGACTTCCACGCACCAAAAATGGCCCCACACGTGGGCTCGATTCCCGGTGTGGGGGGGCCATTTTTTAAATTGCCCGAGGATGGCGCAAGATAGCGCCATCCTCGGGCAATTACAATATGAGCTTTGAAGAGCTTTTCAGATATTTCAATAGCGAAATGGCGAAGGAATGTTTTGAAGAGTTCAACTTTGAGACTTTGCTTAGCCCTATAACAAAGTATGTCGAAAGTGTAGATGATGATTATGACATTTTGGAAGGATAATTTAATAAATTCTAGTTACTGCTCATATAATCGATTTTGATTTCATAACAGTCCTTGACTACTTCATCCTGTTGGATTATTAAATAGGTAGTTGCTTGGCAGGGCTCTTCAATTGGCAGAAATACTAATTGAATATCCCCTTTGCTGTTAGGAGCAAGAGTGATGTCTTGCTCTTTAAGCTCGATAAGCTTTGGGTCAGTAATTTCAACGTGATAGAGCTGTTCTTCTTCAGTTTCATTAGAAATAGTGATTTCCTTTTGTATAGTTTCTCCTACAAGCATTTCTGCAGTAATGGCGTTTGTGACTGGAAATGGAGGCTCTGCAGTAGGTTCTTGGTTTTCATTAACTGCTTCTTGCTAAATTCCCCTTGAAAATGAATAGAGTGTTTAGCTTATTCCAGGGCTATTTTAAATTCAAAAATATATAAAATTTCTTGCTTAAAAAAGTTTTTAAAAATCCCTTTTTTAATTTATGCTTTAAGCAATTACCGACTGAAAGTTAAATTTTCATCAAAATTATTTTTAATCTCATGATAATTATTATTTATATAAACAATTTTCTATTCGCTCACAAAGAAGGAGTAAATAAAAATTACTTCATAATTTTCAGGAGATTCTTCTTCAAAATTTCGTTCAGAACCTTCTTGGTTTTTGTCTGCTTCAGGCTCGCCATTTTCGTTTGCGTGCTCGCCAGAGTAATGAAATGGGGTTTCATGGGCTGGATTCTCATGAGAAATTGATTTATGAGAAGGAGTGTCACGAAAAGAATGATTATTGGAAGCTCCATGCTGACTTTCATGAAAACTCTTATTGGAAGGAGTTCCCTTCTGACTTTCATGAAAACTCCTATTAGAAGGAGTTCCCTTCTTGTTTTCATGCAAGCTCTTCTGGGAAGCTTCATGCTGACTTTCATGAAAACTCTTATTAGAAGGAGTTCCATGCTGGCTTTCATGCAAGCTCTTTTCGAATTCTCCATGCTGACTTTCATGAAGACTCTTTATGGAAGGAGTTCCACGCTGGCTTTCATGTAAACTTTGACGCGATAAAGCTTCGTGCTGGCTTTCATAGAAACTTTGTTGAGAAGGATCTTGGTGAAGGCTTTCATGCAAGCTCTTATTGGAAGGAGTTCCGTGCTGACTTTCATGCAAGCTCTTTTGCGAAGCTTCATGCTGACTTTCGTGAAAACTCTTATTGGAAGGAGTTTCACGCTGGCTTTCATGCAAACTCTTCTGGGAAGCCTCATGCATACTTTCATGAAGACTCTTATTGGAAGGAGTTGCATTTTGACTTTTATGCAAACTTTGATGTGATAAAGCATCGTGCTGGCTTTCATAGAGACTTTGATGAGAAGGATCTTCGCGCAGGCTTTCATGTAAGCTCTTATTGGAAGGAGTTCCGTGCTGATTTTCATGCAAGCTCTTCTGGGAAGCTTCATGCTGACTTTCATGAAAACTCTTATTGGAAGGAGTTCCATGCTGGCTTTCATGCAAACTCTGACGCGATAGAGCTTCATACTGGCTTTCATGCAAGCTTTGACGTGATAAAGCTTCGTGCTGGCTTTCATGAAAACTTTGATGAGAAGCTTCTTCGTATTGGCTTTCATGCAAGCTCTTCTGGAAAGCTTCATGCTGACTTTCATGTAGACTCTTATTGGAAGGAGTTCCTTGCTGGCTTTCATGAAGACTCTTATTGGAAGGAGTTCCATACTGGCTTTCATGCAAACTTTGACGTGATAAAGCTTTATTCTGACTTTCATGCAAGCTTTTATTAGAAGGATCTTCATATTGGCTTTCATGAAAACTCTTAAAAGACGGATTCTCCTGCTGGCTTTCATGCAAGCTTTTCTGAGAAGGAGTTCCATAATTGCTTTCATGTAAACTCTTTAAAGAAGGATCTTCATGCTGGCTTTGGTTTAAGCTTTTATGAGAAGGAGTTTCACGCTGACTTTTATGGAAACTTTTCTCAGAGGGAGCTCCATGCTGGCTTTCATTTAAGCCTTTCTGAGAAGAAGTTCCATTCTGGCTTTCATGTAAACTTTTATGAGAAGGACTTGGATTAGCACTGTTATTTTCTTCCTCATAGTAATCTTCTTCATATTGATCTTCATCAGCCTCCTTATTCATCTCTTCATTATTTGCTTCTTTGATTTTCTCAGAATGTTCACTACGCATACTCCTATGAACTTCACTTGGGTGCTCACTATATTTTTCTTCAAACTTTTCTGCTTGAGTTTCTTCCTTTTTCTCTTCATTCATTATACGCTGTTCTTCATGTGACTTCGTCAATGGCTCACTATCAAAATTAAACTCATATTCAGGACTATGGATAATTGGTTGCTCTTTTTTAATTTCCTCAACCTTTTTCACATCTCCATTTGACTTTTCTATATTTGGCTTCGCCTGAGCTGGCTTTGCTACAACAAATTTTGGCTTTGGAGGACTCTGGGCATTCCTTGGCGGAGAAGCAGAATTTCTTTGAGGCGAAACACTTCTTTTAGACCTGCTGTTAAAATCATTTTGGGTTTTAGCTTGGGGTGGCAGAATTACACCATCAAGTATTTCCCTAATTTTATGGGCAATTGCTGCTGGATGAGGCCAAATCCCAGCTTGCAGCTTTGATGAAATAACTTGTCCTCTGAAATATACCTCAAAGGAGCCCATTCTTGGAAATGATGGTTTTGGAAATGGGCTTCTTTTTGAGCTAGCTTCTAAAATAGGGCGTAGCATTGGATGTTCATAGTTTTCATGAACAATAACTTCTGGGCACACAGACTCTATTTCTGCTTTAGTCTTCTCGAAAAATGTATTGTATTTTACTTCATCATGCTTTGTGCACCATTCATGAGCCTTGCAATTTTTACTAAATAGGACTTACCAATGCTCAATCACAACGTCAACTTGCCCTGATTCCATTTATTAAAAAGTTTCGCCATAATAACAACAATGAAAATATGCTTAACAATTTATATAGCTTTAATTTAATGCTTCTAATGAAAATTAAAAGGGATTTTGGCCTCGGAGAATATTTTGGAAATATTTATAAAAATAATGGAGGTTGTAAGAGGAAAGCTATAATTATTGGATAAATAGAATTATTTAATGCAAATAAATGAAATTAAGTATTATTAAGGATTTTTTTATTTATAAGAAATCTATTTATTTAAAGCTAATAGTGAATGAGAAATGATCTCTTAATAGGGACAGGGATCCTGGGCTATTTGGTTTTTCTTTTATACATCTATATGAATATTCTTTCTTCAAAGGCTACTTTTCCTGCAGAAGTCCATTTCCCTGATATCAAAGTGAAGCCAGTTCCTAATAAAATCATCCCACAGCAAGTTCACATATCATATCATTCCATCAATTCATCGACCTTAGTATTCACTCTCAAAGAAAACGCTAATAATTGCACAATCACCTATTTAAATTATACAAAAAATATATCTCAGCCTACGAATATTCTCAGAAATAGCTACATCTATAAAATCATTCTTGATAGCTTGCCTGAAAACATTGAAATCTCTTATGAAATTTCTTGCTGCAAAGGAGAAAACACTTTTTCCAAGTCATCAAACTTTATGTCCCATCCTGGGCTGTCTGAGAATGTTTCAATACTAGTATTAGGGGACTGAAGCACATCTAATATTGGGGATATCGAAAATGATCAGCATACTTTAATACCCAAACAGCACGTATTAAGTGCTATTTTAAAAGAAGCAACCCCTTTCACAAGTATTTGGCACTTGGGAGACATCGCTTATGATTTGTATAGTAACTATGGATCAAGAGGGGATGAATTTCTTAATGACTTGGAGCCTTTAATTTCCAAAATCCCTTATATGCCTGTTGTAGGAAATCACGAAATTTCCGAGATTTTTAAAGACTTCACCAATAGATTTTCAGTTCCTTTATTCTATTCTTTACCAATTGGCAAAGCAACGATTATCGCAATTTCTTCAGAATTCGACTACTATTTGATGAAGCCAGAATCATTTCCTTATGATCATGCAATTTTTAACTATTTAAAGCATCAGCAGATGACCTGGCTAAACGACACTTTATCAAGTATAGACAGAAATGAATTTCCTTGGGTTATTGTTATGGGGCATAAACCTTTATATTGCTCCCCTAACCGATGATCAACCATGATAATGAAAAATTGTGGAATTCAAGCAAAAGTTATGAGAGAAACTTTTGAAGAAATTTTTGTCAAATTCAAGGTAGATTTATATTTGAGTGGCCATGTTCACCTATATGAAAGAGTTTTCCCAGTGAGTTTTGGAAAGATGCATAAAAATTACGAAAAAGAAGAAAAAGTTTTTATAAATCCTGATGCCCCAATACATATAATAAACGGCGTTGCTGGAAACTTGGAAAATACAAAAATCGTGTTTAATGTCACTGATCACCCTAAAGAATGAAGTGCGCTAATAAGTGAAAGCTTAGGATACGGAATTTTGAAGATTGTGAATTCTACTCATTTACATTATAAACAATTCGCGTTTGGTAACACACAAAATGACGAAATTACTGAAGATTTATATTCGCTAAAAAGGCTTGAAGATTATTTCTGGATAATTAAAAATGCTTTATAAAATTGAAGTTAATTATCTAATATAGTTTTCTGAGTAGTAGGTATACATTTGAATCAGGCTCCAACTGCACTAAATCTGATGATTGTCCCGAAAGCGTCATAAGTAGCCCACCAAAGGAGATATAGACTACCAATAATCCTCTTTCTAAAGTGTGCTTGAAGATCTTTCCATACATACAGTAGTCAAACTTCGACAAAAGTGTGTTTGCTTGGTTTTCGTGAATTCTATAGCAGCCATCATCTTCAGTCCCATCAAGAGTTAGAGAAGATGCCAAAATGATGGAGTGGTATTGATTCGGCTCCATCGGGTAAAGCTCACTGTGGATATCTAAGGCAATTTGTATCTCTAAAATTTCAGTGCTGGCTTCAATACGTGAGACTCTTTGGAACATCTTCCCTTCTTTGTCTACGCTTGTTACTTTGATTGTGTCCTCGAAAAGTGTGCTTGAGCCTCCAATTCCTGCCATAATTATTACAATCTTAATTATATCTATTAATCAATTTCAAAGTGAGGTCAAGTCTTTCAGTTGCTTCTTGACTCCTTCTTCGAGCTTTCATTCAGTTTCCAACAAGTCTTGCAGATCTATCATAAGCTAGTTCTTTTCTTTCTCTTAAGGCTTCTTCATTGCTGCGGGTCTGTTGAGATTGAATGAAATCTAACACCCCCATTTTGAAAAAAATAAGATTAAACTTTTAATAGGGTTTTTTAATACCCAAAATTTAAAATTATTATTATTATTAGACGGTTATCGCCCTTCTACAGGACCAATAGTTCTCAAATTCATAAAAATTTTAAATAATTTAATTTTTTTTTCATAAAATAATTATGAGTTGAGTATCTTTTGGAATATTCAAATAAATAAGCTCTCAATAGCAAAAATTTAAATTTTTTACAATAATGAGCAAAAACAATCTACTCAAATTGCTGTAAGTAGCTTTCTCTTTCTTCTTGTTGTTCTGTTTTTTCCCTTTCTTTGCGCTCGTTTTTTATTTGATCTACTAGTGCATGCTTCTTATTTTCTCTATCTAGACCATCTTTGTATTGGCTAATTTCATCATCTTTAATTTTTTGCATAACAATTTTGTGCTCAATAGTTTCTTTTTTCTTATTTTTCCTCTCCTCAGCTCTTTGAGATTGCGCCCTTTTCGTTTCTTTTTCTTTAAATTCTTTATCAATCCTTTTATTATGTTCTAAATTATCTTTGAATTCTCTATGTTTTTGTTCTTTATAAGTAACTTTCGCTTTGAAAAAATCTTCTTTGAGAAGCTTTGCTTCTAAACTTTCGCAAAATTTGGCTTGTTTATCGAGTTTTTCTGTAGAATTTAAGCATTCCCTTTCATCAAAATTTCCTTGAGGAATGGAGTCAGCTGCAAACCGATGTGGGTAAGACTGCGTAGAACTAAAAGTTGGGCCAGAAGTCATATTAAACTCCATTGATTGGTCAAAAGAACCTGATTGCCGAGATGCTGAACTGCGCCGACGCTGATTGGAACGAGTATTATACAGGTTTTTTAGAAGCTCTTTTGATGACATTGTGGAATTAAAGAAAGACTCTTTTTGAGGGCTGGGCACAGTTGTGGTGAGTCGAGAACTGGGACTTTCAAAGATACTTTTGGAGCTTGATTTAACTGCTTTAAAAGACATATTAATTAATTAACGAACTGCGAACTCAAGGAATAAAGATTATTAGCACATATTCAAGATATTAACTGAAGCTTTGGATTAGGCTAGCAGAGTCTTAATACTAAATGAATTGTTGATTCCCTTGGGATGCTATACTCTTCCAAAGTTATATCGTCTTCCAGCTGTTTCCCTGCAAATATTAATCTTTGTTGTTCTGGTGGAATTGGTATATGCTTTTCATCTCGAATTTTTGCTAGTTTCTAGTCGAAATTTTTTTCCTTGTAGGGCAATCGAAATAGGTTTTTCCGGGCAAATGTTTTGAGGAAACATTCGATAAAATTTCCTGAGAAAATGCCTCACTAGCAAAAATCCCTGATCAAATCCCTAAGACTGTGGAATTCCTTCTTTGTTTGTAATTTTTTTCTTCTTCTCCTTTATCCAGTAGGAGCAAGTAAGCAATGGCGAGGGATGCACATCTTTGTTTCTTGGCTCAACATCTATAATTTATTTATGTTCTACACTATAATTAATGATACTCTTTTAATAGCATTTGTTTCATCTTCAATAACTTTCTTTGCTCGAGCGTTTAGAAGGCTTAACTTAACTTAACTTAAATTTGCTTTAAAGTCTTCCAGCTTGATATCTCCGCACGCTTTCGAGGACCCCAAAACCTGCTTGCCAATCTTGGGCCTCTTCTCCCACGGCCAAGGCTTGCACGCTCCGCTGAGTTTCGACGGGTTAGGAGAGACTCCACCTTGCATATGCTTCACGTCATGTCGGGTGCTATGAAGGCAAAGGTTAGCCCGATGCCTTCTGACGGCCGCCTGTAGGTACAGCGACACCCAGGAAAAAAGAGCCGTGACCCTCCGGAACCGGTAGGGAAAGAACTCACGGCCCAAAAACCATCCGGATAATTAAAGCTTTTGACTGGAGTGACCGCCAGCTGATTCCCAAAGTTTACCCACCCATACGGCAGCTCTAGGCATGCTAAGGGTTAGAGTTGAAGGGCCTGAACCTTGGTTTAGGCTATAAAGCCACTTTTGCACCAAAATGGTGGGACGTCGTCGAGGACCTATTTTGTCACCCACCACCATTTTAATTATTAGAAGGCTTAAGGGTTTACTGTTCATCACTCTCGAGGAAGGAGACCTTATAAGAAATACGTGCAGAAGCTAAGTTTAGAGAGAAGGCAATCCACCAAGTGAGTTTATCCGCTAAAGACGGCAGTTTTAGACTGGTCTGTCTATTTTGACCAGAAATAACAGTGACGTCACAAATTTTTGGCTCAAGTCACATTTGGGCGCGAGGTGTTCGACACCTTAAACAAATAAAGTTTAATGAAATTTTATTTTTGATGCATCTTATGGTATCTGATGGCTCGGCATCAAGTGTTATAGTACGACCAGCTAGAGTTTTGATAACTATTTGCATTTTTTTAACTTATTGTTCCTTTCTCTTATTCTGACGTCAAAAATTTTTATTTACAGATCAAGTCTGTCTAAATTTAGGCTAATGCCAATCTAAATATCAAAGTCTCTAAAGCTTTTCTATTATACTAAAAACCAAAGTTTACCAATTGTCTTTATATGCCAATATTCGATTTCGTCAAGGCAAAATACCTTCATATCTCTACCACAAACTTAATATTACATTATAATTTATCAATTTTCTCTTCCCATTAATATAATTAAAATGGGAGATAAGCCAAAAAGCAAAAAATTCCCAAACGACTTTAGAAAAGACCCAAAATTTTGCCATCCCTTTCGATTTCACAACCAACTCCCTATGGTCCCATGTGAGCAGAAACTCATGGCTTATCCCTTCGACCAAGACAGATTTACAAAATACTCCCTGACATCTCTTGAGGCCAACTACACTCCTCCCCTACTCCTTCCCCTCGATCTCGGAATTCCAATAGATTTAATTAACCCTGAGATATACAATACACCGCCTGATGCTGAGCTTCTCAAAGAAGACGCTGAACTACTCGAAGAGCCTAAAAAAGACAAAGAAGAATCCAAGGCAAATAAATATTCAGCAAGCAATTCTTCGCTTTATTTGAGAAAATCCACTCTTCCAGCAGGGCCAATTGTTTACTCCAACCCCACAGTCCAAGAAGAAGCCAAAAACGAAGCTGACGTTGAAGCTGAATACGACACACAAACTTGGATCAGCAAAATTTGTTCTGCGTTTGAGAAAAATGAATTTGTGCACCCTACAAAGCCAGGCTTAAAAGCAGAAAAAGTCTACTCTGTTTTTCCTGACTTATCATATATTCATACAGAGTTTGTGATGTTTGTATATGATGAAGAGCCACATGAAAAAAATAAATTCACTGTGCTTAAAGAGCACGAAGACGAAGAAGCAGACCCAGTCATGAGCATTTATGTAGAAGAAGAACCAGAAAATACAGAAGAGATGCAGGAGAATGAGAAATCATTGGTGCATTTAAGGAACTATAAATACTCTTATTTCAATGACCCCAATCAAAATGATATTTTATTATGAATTGATGAAGACAAAGGAGTCGCAGCTTATGCACAAGTAGAAAACAAGCTGCAACTCAAAAAGAAAAAAGTGCCTAAAGGTATCACAAGTGTAAGCACGAGTAATCTCCCTTCAAAGCTCTTGAACATGAAAATCCGCGATGAAAGGAAATCTGAGATTTTGGCTCGCAAAAATAAATTGCTGGAATTTGAATGTCCATTAGATCCTGGGATGGAAAGTGATAAGCTTGAAGAAATGGCTGAAGAAATGGACCAAGAAAAAGAAGAAAAAATGAATATGTTTAAAAGACTGTTCGGAGGTGACGACAGTGATGAAGAAATGCTCTAGTAAATTCAATAACAACACTAAACATTTGATATTAAAGACCAATAATTAAAATGGTTGAAAGCTACGCGACTGCTTTGTCAGGGGTACTAAGCGCACTGCAGGGAACTTGCAGAAATGAAGATACAGGTGCTAGAAAAGAATGCAAACGCCAACAAAGAGAAACTCTCATGATGCTAGAAGTACTCCATGCAGGAGCTCCAGAGTACCGTGCTAAAGAAAAAGCGACACTTGAGACAGCTCAAAGTTGTTATGATAAATGCAAAATTGTTGGGAAAAATAGAGTTAGGGAATGCAACTCAAGATGTTTGAATGTCATATCTCAAGATATATGGAAAGATGTTTGGGCCGCTTCAGAAGCAGTTAAGAAAGCTCAGGACGCTGGGCAATAAGTATTAAGAAGTAAAAGCATACTTCAATAATTGGGGATTTTTAAGATTTGTTTTAGCACCTGTGTGTCTAATTTTAAAATTTGAAGAATATTTAAAGAAGAACTTATAGAGCTAAAACCTAAGCGGTTTATCATAATAATCTCTTAAAGACTGATAAATATCTTCTTATTCACTTTCTTAGGGTCAATGAACACAATCTTCTCATACACACCTTTGCAGTTGATTTCTGCCCACAAATCATAAAACAGGAAAGGATGTGTGCAGAAAAACTTCTGGTCACTCCAAGGCATGGTTTTAAAGTGGACTGTCATTCTTGCGTCGGTTTGTAAGTCGCACATCTTCAAATACCCTGTCGTTGTATTGCAGTCTACATTGAAAAATCTTGCTAGTTTGTTAGTTCCATATTCAGGGAATTGATCAATGTTGAATTTATGCTGTTTTTAATTGAAATTAGCCCATATATAAACTACTATTACACCTGCTTTAATTATCCATTATAATATATCATACTCTTGATATTGGTCAATCACATATGAGTTTTGGTCATTGAAATATTTCTTCACAGTCTCATTTGAATAAAGCAAATCCTTGATGCCTAGCTCGTCAAATTCTGGGTGCGAGCATTTGTCTCTGAGCCTATAGTAAAGCACCGCAGTCGACACCAGTGAGTACATGTAAAGTGGCTTGAAGACTGCAGCACCCAACACTGCAAAAGTTGCAATTCCAATGGGTGCGAGCGCCATTGTGCAGTAATCCATCGCTCTTAAGTACCTATAAGTGAAGAAATCCCACTGCCCAGCGATGTTGATTTTGAACCAAAACATAAAGGTGTCCCATGGCCTGTGGATTTTGTAATCTTTTTCAGTGTGAGTGTAAGTATGCTCTTTGCCTTCCAGTCCATAGGTTTGATGTTGTTGCCAGAAGTCTTTATAACGAGTATTGTATTTATGCCCGCCAGCGACATAAAGATTGCGGTTAGGGTAATATTCTCCCCAAGTGAAAGCTCTAGCGAGCTGTTTGCTATTCCTAGACAGCATTTTTATGCCAATCATTAAATATGAGCCAATTTGGAGAGCTTGTTCTGCTTATAGGAGACCTTCATATCCCTCAGCGAGCTGTGGATTTACCTGAGAAATTCAAAGAACTCTTACTCCCCCCCTCCCTCGAAGTTCGACCAAGATATAGGGAAAATTCCTATTTTTTTGGAAAATTAACCCCCCCTCAAAGTTCGACCAAGACCTATATAAATTTACTAGGAAAATAAGCAATTTTTCAAAAATTTTAAACTATGTGGGGGTGAGCTTGCGATTTTTGTATTCAAGTTCTAAAAAAGCGTTACAAAACCATCTTGCACTATTTTTTCTAACCCTTACACCCTCTCAACCATACAGAAGAATATGATAAATTTTTTTTTTTAACTACTAAATTATATAAAAAAAAGTCTATACAATTTTTTTTAAAAAAAATTTTTCTTTAAAAACCCCTCGAAGTTCGACCAAAAAAATCTTGGTCGAACTTCGAGGGGGGGGAGTTAGTTCCTGGCAAAGTCCAGCATGTTTTTTGCACTGGAAACATCGGTAGCCGTGAGTATTCAGATTGGCTTAAAGGTTTGGCATCAAATATCCATATAACAAGAGGAGATTTTGATGAAGGAGCAACCCTACCAGAAACCAAAGTTGTTAGTATTGGTGATTGGAAAATTGGACTGATACATGGGCATCAAGTTATCCCTTGGGGAGACAAAGAAGCGTTAGGAAACTTACAGAGGCAGCTAGACTGTGATATTTTGGTTTCAGGACACACTCATGCTTTGTCAATTGAAAGCTTGGATGGGAAGTATTTTATTAACCCAGGAAGCGCCACTGGAGCTTATTCAGCGATTACTGCAGAAGTAAAAGCTAGCTTTATCATTATGGCCTTCCAAGGAAATGAAGCAACTTTATTTATTTATGAGCTTATTGATGGAAATATTTCAGTGAACAAGGCACAATTCTCTAAATCATTCCAATAAATAATAAGCGAAACTACAGATTTTTCTTAAAATTTAGGCATCTTTCAAGTTACATTTCAAGGAAATTCATGATAAAATTTATAAAAATATAATTTTTGGAAAAATTATATATTAACACCAAACAGAAAACACTATCAATTAAGGAAGTAAGAGTTAAATAATTAAAGAAATATACTTAAATTTATTCAACAGGGGTTATGATTGGAGGTGAGGCTATTAATTTTTTGTATTCTTGATATGAGTTTGCCCTGATGTTTATTTGAAGTTTTATAGGCTTTACTATCAAAGAGCCTGTGAAAATTGGACGTAATGAAATAGGGATTTCTGCAAGTAAAGAAGTTATATCAACACCCAGCTTGCGAGGCTGCCTTTTAGATAATCCAACATTTCCTTTAGACTTCTCATAAGAGTTTCCTTTAAATTGACTGATTTTAAAGTCACGGATCACAGGCTTCTTCTCTTGCCATGCCCAGGAGTCTTGAATAAATGGAATTTTGAATTTTTCAACCACGTTTAATTGAGTAAAGGTTAATTTTGTCGCTTTATTTAAATCTTCAATAAATTTCAATTTCAGCTCAGCAGTTTCCTCAGGTGTCAATTTTATTTCTTCCCTGGTCAAGCATAGGTAGCAACCAGACATCCCCACCCCTTTCACAGATGGCACCCCCACTCCCTCTCGGGTTTATTCTATAGAAGTAATTGATAGGAAACAAGCAGAATATTTTAAACATAACCCAATTAAAACACTATATTGATAAATTAAGTCCACAAATTACTTTATATTTATGATTAATTAATAAATTTAAACTAATTAGCAATTAATTAGAAAATATATTAATTTTGTTTTTATATTTATAAATATAATGCCAAAGATATAGATAATGGCATTAATTATTAAATTAGCCAAGCACAATACAATAACTTGCATTAAATTTATTGATTCATAAATTAAAGCTAATCTGATGACCATTGTACAAGGATTGCAGGACTGAATTGGTAGCAGGATTCAATAGTGCTAATAAAAATAGTATTTGCTATTGTCAGTTTTACTTTTGGATCTCTATTTCGACTTTTAGCCATTGTTCCACAAAGTTCATAAATATATGCAGGATATACTGCTAATTAATACCAAAGATCATTATTATGCTTGTTAACAAATTTTTTTCATATGTGGTGTGCTTAGTAGTTATAGGAAATTCTCACCTCATTCCACCTACTCCTTAATCGATTGTGCTACGCTATGTGGATATTGTATAAATCAGTAATTTTGAATATTTAAAATAATAATTTATATATTACGCTGCTCTAAATTGGCATTTGTCATATATTTATGCTATATTAAGGGGGGGGGGGTGTCATTTTTTAGGGGGGTGGGGGTACCATTTTTTAGGGGGGGTGGGGGGTTGGGGGTACCACTTTTAGGGGGGTGGGGGTGTAGGGTTGCGACCTATGCTTGACCACTTCCCTAACATCTCCAAGATTCTCAGTGTTCACAATAATTTCTTCTGACTCTATGATTTTGACTTTACTTGCTTCGTTGTCAGAAGGCTTTGACAATTCTTCTTCCCTCTTAACGAGGTCTTCATTTTTTACTGATTTTTCTGAAGGATTTGGTTTGGAGGAGTCATTGATTTCAACGCGCTTATTTCGATTTGTAAAAATTTCGTCAAGCTCTTTTAAGTAAAATTCTATATCAGTAAGTGCGAAGGGTACTGCAGTTTGGATTCGCTTTTGAGGAGCATCTGAGAGTGGATCAGGGTTTCGTTTTGATGGGAGATTTTCCTCTGGGTTATAGACTCTGGTGCATGGCCTGGCTTCTTCTGGGGTTTTTTGAAGTTGAGGGATAAATTTTATTGTGCTTGGTTTACAGCTTTTTTTTGCTACCGACATTAGAATTTGTTATGCTATTTTAGTTTAAGCTTTTTAGCAATGGAAAAGGAATTTGTGCAAGGCTTATTAATAAAGAAATGACTTAATTCAATTATATACAGTACACTTATAAGTGCCCCATCATAATTTATTTAAATAAAAATCTCAAAAATGATATGAAAATATTAGATAGTCAGTTTTTAAAATTTTCTATAAACAAATTAAATAATCAGACTGGACATATCTCATATCCCATCTGAATTTAACGGCTTACGGACTCAACGCAATTGCTACAACCACTGTTGTATCATCAAGCTTTCCACCAATATATTTCTTTCCAGCTTTGCCAGCATTCCTAGCAAAAGGCGACTTATATGATTGATCCCATCCTTTTTGGACAGCTCTTTCTACAAGTAATCTCGCTAAAACATCAGCAATTTGCTGAGCCTGGTCATAGCTCTGTAAAACCTGCTCAGCAACTTTGATGATATCTTGGTCATACATATTATCAAAAAGTCCATCAGTCCCAGCAACAATGATATCTCCACTTTTTAATGGGATCATTTCAGTTTCTCCATCAAAAGGAGAATCATTCATGTTCTGTGAAGTTCTTTTTAGAAGAGCAATTAAGGTCGAAAACCCTTTGTCTATTAATTCTTGGTACTTATTTTGCTTTGGGAGGTTTGCTAGCTGGTATGGGCAATTAAAGGAGTGCTGCTGCTCTACTGATCGATAGACTGCAGAAAGGGCTTTACAGCCATCTCGAGGTCTTAAGACAATGAAGCTTGAGTCTCCAAGAGATAAAGAATACAAAAATGAGTCTCGGCAGATTGCCAAAAGAAGAGTACTGCTGCCATAGGAGACTATTCTTCGGTAAGCTTCTCAAACAACTTGCTCTAGTAAGTCACAAAATTCAATGCTGGGCCATTCAGACTGTAAAGTTTCAATTAAAACTTGTTCACAATATCTTATTAATTCTTTTGAAAACCTGCTCGCGTCCAAGCCGTATGTAGCCCATTCACCAACTCCATCTGCGACTCCTTAGACGTAGATTACTTAATTTAGATCACCTCCGGCTGGGACTCAAGATGTGCAGGACCATAAGGTCCCTTTTTCCTCGCGTCACCTAATTGTGCCTACGGTCCATAGACAAAGGTCACTCTTTCTAACCTCCATAATGCCATTTGAAAGCCCAGAAGTTCCGGGGACACTTGCGGCTTGGCTCATGCCTCGCTCTATCCGAATTTCCTCCAGCGCATGTTTGGCTTAAAGTCATGCTTTTAGGGAGTGGAAATAGGTAAAACACGTTGCGTGTAGGATGCGAAGTAAGAAAAACTTCACCATTTCTCTCTATCAGACAGAAGTACAATCCTAGCTATAATAATAAAAGTTGGGTGAGGAAATTCACGGAGTGAATTCTCCTCTCATCTAAATTCATTTTATTATATCCATCTACGACTCCAAATGATTGCAGTTCTTCATTGATGAAATAAGCATCTGCACTTCCTTGGCTTGTAAGTGGTGCTGATTTCTTTTTAGATTTTGCAGCCATTGATCCACTCATTATAAGGTATATCGGGGATTTTGATTTTTTGTCTTCAACAACCCCAAATCCTCTTGGAGAATCTAGATTTCCACTTAAAGATCTTGTCAATAGGATAGGAGACTGAGAATCCTGAGTTACTATATGCTTAGATAGCTCACTATCAACAGCTCCCATACCCATGAAAGATCTGACACTAATTGACCTTGATAGTTTTTTTGCATCGTCATTAACCCCAATTACATTGTTGTAATTTCCTGAAATATCTTGTGAGACTGCCAAATCTCCATTGCATACCATAGCCCCATCAACAATAAATTTAATGCAATATGTGCCTGCCTTAATTTGTCTGTCATATAATATTGTGGTTATGAATTTCCCAAGAGATTTGGAATATTTTAATTTGATTTCCTCCTCCCATGGAGGTGTTGTAAAACTCCCTATCAAACTTACATCTTTTCCACTGTGTCTCCAAACAATGAACTTTTTTTGGTCGATTCCTTTAATAAATTTTAGGTCGTTCCGAACTAGTCACCCTCTGATGTATTTTTGGATCATCTTTGCGGCTGCTTTTCGGGCTTTCATGACCCTTAAAACCATCAAGTTAAACTTCGCACTTCTTTTCATTCTCCTGAATCTATATTGGACTTGTATAAATGTAGCTGCGTTTTTTCGGATCTCTAACTCCCCCCTCCGTGAGCGAACAAAAAATTTTGTTCACTCACGCAAGGGGGTTAATTTTTTTTTTTTAAAAAATTATATATATAATTTTTACAGAAAAAATTGTTTTTTTCGAAATTAAAAAAATCCTAATTCGCAAAAATCGGAAAGTAAATATTAATTTAATTGTCAATTTATGTTTTAAAATGCAATTTGTTTAAAATTAAACAGAATTAGTTCGAGATTTCATTATACTAATTATCACTTATATATCAAAATTTTTTTTCCCTAAAGAATTTTTCTATTAAAAAAATTTTTTGTTCGCTCACGGAGGGTGGGTTTTTGAGCAAAAAATAGGGATTTTTCTAATTGTTTTGTTCGCTCACGGAGGGGGGGAATAAGAGATATTCGAGTTTTTCTGTATAGCTTAAGCATTCTAAAGATTTTTTCTCGCTTGATTTACAGAGCAATGCATTGGTAACTGAGTTCTCAAGAATATTGGCTGCTTCATTGTTCATGTTTTGGATAATTTTATAATTGTCTTCCATCATAAAGAATAGGAATACGGCAGCCAACTGCTAAATGAGAGATATTAGTTGATATTATGATTTTAGAAAATAAAATAAATAAGATTGTAATAAAATTAAAATTATAAGAATATGTTAAATTAGCTCGGTTTTCTAGAAAAAAATAAAATGATCTTAAAAATATTGAGTAAAAATTTAAAAATAGATATAAACTCAATGAAAAATAAAAATATTTGTATCTTTTAGATATTAAAATATTAATTTTATAATATTTGAGGCAATGTAAATAATTCCTTTCATTAGTATAAATCGTTAGAAACCATTTCATTCAAATCAGACAAAAGATAAATAATGCAAAATTTATTAAGACTGTATAAATACTTAGACTAGCAAAATCTGCTATGATTAACACTAATAGCAGGCTAATATATCAAAAATTAATGACAAAAATATTAACTTTATTTCGAGAAGTTCATTATAAATTGTTTTGATTTAGTTAATACTCAAATTTTGATTCTTCAAATTCCATTTTTTAAGATATTTTGTTTCAATTCAACATAGCGTCTGAGCAGAAAGCTGCTAAAATATTTCAGAAAACAAGAAAAATAATTGATGCCACAAAGCTAGGCAGCATACCTATCTGTTAGGAATTTTAAAATTAATTTTAAATTATTTTTCTGAAGTATTATATCTATTTATTTTATATCCACCAAAATTCAAATCTAAGTATATTATAAGAATTCTTTGCTTTTAAATTTATTTGATAATTGTATTATTTAAAGTACTAGGTCTGATGCTGACTGGACAAAAGAAATTAAACTTTTTTTCACAGTGCCTATTTTTTCAATTTTATCTTTAGCTGCTTCTTCAGTGCCTTTCAATAAAAATGCGGTTTCATAGGCAATTTTTGCTTCATTTAATTTTCCGAATCTCTCGAAAACGACTCCCATGTTTATTCAAGCTTCGCCTTTAACCTTTTGGGCTGCGATAGCTCTAAAAAAATGCCTAAATGCATCCACAGGCATAAATGTTTCAGCATAGATTATTCCTAACTCCCTTCCTCCGTAAGTGACAAAACCATTAAAAAATCGCTATTTTTTTACCAAAAACTCACCCTCTTTGAGTGAAAAAAAAAATTTTGAATGGAAAAAATTTGATATATAAGTGATAATTAGCATAATGAAATCTCGAGCTAATTCTGTTTAATTTTAAACAAGTTGCGTTTTAAAACATAAATTTTATAAATTAGATTAATATTTGTTTTTCAATTTTTGCAAATAGGATTTTTTTAAAATTTAAAAAAAAAAACTCTGTGAGTGAACAAAATTTTTTGTTCACTCACGGAGGGAGTAAGTTATTGTTGGAGTCATAATCATCAGGAACTTTTTTTAGTATAGCCCCTGAAATTTATTTAGATCATTATTGGCCATCCATTTTAATTTCCAAAATTAATTTGTACTTTCAGTTTTTTTTGAAAAGTAAAAAAACGAAAATGGCAAGTCTCCGTTAATGGTTTTAAGGTACCCAATCAGACTTATACTGTATAAAGCTGGTGCCCTGTACCATATTTTTTTCTGGTCGGTATTCTGCTGGGGTATAGAGATCTATTAAGGTGCATGAGTTATATGAGTTTGTAGATTCTCATAGCTTTATGGAGAATGTTTTTCTCCAGATATGCCTTGGCTCGCGCTTTTGCATATATTACCGCTTTCTTGTCCATACTGATTTATGATTTATATTATCCACTTATTTGGTATTATTGGAATAAATAGATTAATAAATGATAATTAAATTATATCTTCAGATTTATTAGTAGCAAAGAGCTAAATATTGGAAATGCAATTAATTTAATTGCTATTTATTCCTGATTTAATTATAATTCAACAAAAATTTTTACTTTCGCTTTTCAGATTAAATCAATAAATATGTTAACGAGAAAGTGAAATCAATGATGATTAGTCTTTGATTATAATTTAGAGAATAAATATAAGAGCTATGGATCTTACCAGAAAATTAAAATAAAATTAATGGATAATAGTTAAAATTTAATAATTAAGAATTTGTTGAAAAATTGATAAAGATGATTTAATAAGACATAGGTTAGGTTATTAATGACAGGCGTTAGTCATATTGGTGATACAGACACCATAGACCTCCAATATGAGGGTTCCAAACCTTTTCGACTTCAAATCAGAGGGTCTTTCCCCTGAAGGTAAACACTTCTGGTACCTTCTGTCTCCTCCTTGCCTTGCAGTTTCAGTCTTGAATTTCTGCAGACTGCTCAGCTCCTTGGATTCTATCTAGTGCTGAAGTGCCTTCCTTCGACAGCAACAGCAAAAAATTACTCCTCTGAGGTCTGGGTCGAAACCCCCAGTTTATCGGTAGAGGAATGCCCATGGATACTAGGATCCAAAAGGACATTGTTGAGCAGCTCCATTTCCAACCACAGAAAACAGCCTAAAACCTACCCAGATGCGCATCTCTTGAGCCTGTACTTGATTCTTGACTGGGAGTCCGTCTCAGTTCGCCGTTGCCATAAGGTCTAGACTAATGCGCCAAGAGAGTAGTTGGCGTGTGCAGCCATTTTTAATGCACATATAAGACATATGTAGCTAGACTTATTCAATACTTATTATTTACACAAAATATTAGATGATTTTGCCACTTACTTTAATTATAATTTATTTAATTGCAATTACATAGATTGCTTTGGTTGTAATGATAATTGACGCTTATGAGATAATTAAAATTATTCTTTCAAAATTTTATACTTTGAATAACACCTAACAATTTTATAATCATTTCTAAAAAATATTATTTTAAAAGCTTCTTAATTATGATAAATGCGAAATTTTAGACCCAAAAGAGTAAATATTTAATTTAAATGAGCAGAAAGGACTTCATGATAAATAATCAAGAGATAAGCATATGCGAAGAAAAAGATATTGACGGGTTAATTATGTTCACAATTGGAAATAATATAGAATTCTCAACAATTACAAGTCTATTTCAAGCTTTATTTGTAATTGATCATGCGGCTGATTATTTCTTGGGATTAAATTGCGACGAACAAACACTAGAAGATAAAATTAAGGCAACTATAATTTAGAGCTTATTGTATAAATATAAGTATCCCAGCAAGATTCCAGGTCCACTCCTGCTCGATTCATTATGTGCATTTATCCCAAAAGATCTTACCCGCTTTGGTGCATCTCCAATTCTTAATCTAAATATTACAAACAGGCTTTCACCTAATTTTTAAACAACCACCGAGAGGATCTCCGTAACGGAGATTCAACCACTTTGCGACTGTGCCTCCCACAAAGGACGGCTTCCCTTTCGGCACCATTCTTGAGTGGGCAGTCTTCGGATTTGTGCGGCCTTGCTTTACGCTGATGTGTAAGAGGGCAAGGATTGCCCACACAAAAATCAAAAAAATTGGATTATTCTGGTTGACTCTTGGCGAAAAGGGAAAGCACGTAGCCCAGTGCATAACTCTTGGTTTCACGCTGATGTATTGCCCGATTTGTCTAGGCATTACCTATAGACATTCCTAGACAACCACTTTCCAACTTCCATATCACCCTTCTCTTTAAGGTAAAATCCATCCTTGAAAGACGGCGTATCAGACTGAGAAGCGTTCAGACGCTATATTTAATTATGTGCATCTCCAATTCAACTATTAGAATTTATTATTGCTAGGCTACAAACTATTAGATATCCCGAGCACTCCAATAGGCCTGGCTCTATATTTTCATTTGATATAAAAGGAGCTGTAACTTTTAAGCTCCTCTCTTCACGATTAAAAAGCTCTGAAGACTGACTATTTTGTATAGAAGAAGAGCTTGGAACCTTAGAAACTTCTTCTATTCTATTTTTTCAAATTGATTGGAATAAAAGACCCTCAACCGAAAGCATAGCAACCATTTTACGATATATTCCTTTGGAGATTCAGCATCGCAGGGTTTATAGCTTGAAAAGTTTTATTGCCTTTAATGGCTGCTTTTATTATTCATTTGTTCGAATTAATGATAAGTGGATATTATTTGAGGAATTTGGCTATAAGAAAAACCTTATCCTCCTTTAAATTGTAACCAAAAAAAATTCAATTTAATGATTTAAATGTCAACATAGCTTGAATGGCACGCTAATTGTGCTAAAATTTCAAAAATGAAAATTATAGGTAAAATTTTTATTTTGACTCCATCAAAGCATTTATAAAATTATAATTTTGTTCTAATTTAAAGGAATACTAATTTACCCAAAATGGGAAATTCATCCAATGATAATCTCCAAAAAAAGAGGGAGAGTTAGATGACTAGAAGTAGCATGAATTTTGGCTAATAGAATTATGTATCCTATATTAGTGATCTATGAGAAAAATGAGAATTACAAAGAAATTAATAAAAATATGACAGAAATTGATTGAGATAAACTGAAAAGATACTCTAAATTCGCTGGAGAACAAGTTGAAAGTGATACTAGATTATGAATTGAGAGAATTAATCGTGAAAAATCTTTTAAATCATATATTGATGAGAGAAGCAATTTGAGCGAAAGTAAATCTGAGTTTAGATGCAAGCAATGTCTGAATTTAATAAAGCATAATGAATATAGATGCTCGGAATGCAGAGCAGTTGACTGGAACAAATTTTATGAAATTAAAAATAAAGAAAAAAATATAAATTTACCAAATAAGAGCGTTGATAACTTTCCGTATAGAAATAGATCAGTAGAAGGATTTGAAGAGAAAGAATCTTTAGATTTTAAGGAAAATAAAGAAGCGTTTCCAAATAGAAAAATAATAGATGAAAGAGATAATTTATTCTCTAAATTTATTCCGGAAAAGCAAACAAATAGTGTAAAATCTGAATATATAAGGTCGAAAAATGGAAAATATTCCTGAACTTCCTTAAACTTAAATTGCTTATATGGAGTTCCCCTGTAGGGCCGCAGATCACTATTAGCCTTTGGATAACGCTTCAACATTGTTTTCCAGTCCATATACTTTCCAATTTTAGCGAGCCATCTCCCATGATGTGAACATACTGTCGGCCACCCAATATTGCTCCACCAAACCAAGTAAAGCACACCCTTATATACATTTCTGAACGCTGCCCTGGACAAACCCGGCTGGGTCTATCCGGATCTATTGGGATTATTGAGTCTATCTGGCAGTCTGGCTCTATCTGGAAGTCTGGCAGTCTGGGTCTATTGGTTTTATCTGGGTCTATTGGGTCTATTTGGGTCTATTGGGTCTATCTGGCAGTCTGGAAGTCTGTCAGTCCGGCTCTATTGGGTCTATCTGGCAGTCTGGAAGTCTGGGTCTATCTGGGTCTATTGGGTCTATCTGGAAGTCTGGCTCTATCTGGCAGTCTGGCAGTCTGGCAGTCTGGCAGTCTGGCAGTCTGGCAGTCTGGCAGTCTGGCAGTCTGGCAGTCTGGCAGTCTGGCAGTCTGGAAGTCTGGAAGTCTGGGTCTATCTGGCAGTCTGGGTCTATCTGGCAGTCTGGGTCTATCATACAATTTATAATTGTTTTATATACTTTGATAAATCTTTCTAAATTAAGTATATATAAGATTTGATTAGGAATAACTTATAGCTAGTCTAAAATTCTTAATAATGATATTTAGCAGAATCTGATTACAATGAGCTAGTTTATTATAAACAATTTTTAAAATCAGATAAAATTAAAAGGCAATAATAATAAAATTTAATCAGTAATTTTTGAAATATAAGCTGATATTGTAAAGTGTAATTAAAATGGCGCCAAAAAAGAAAGCTGTACTGAAGCGAAAGATAAAAGTAATAATAATGTTAATGCTAATGTTAATGTTATGCTGAATGTTTAAAGTCTCTACTTCCAGTGCGTGTTGGCACAAGCGAATTGGGTGGACTTCCACCTCTGGTAGGCCGAAACCCCTGGTTTCTCGGTAGTGGGTTGCCCTATTTGTGTCGGCAGACCCTTGCTGGGCACCACCATTTCCAACTCAGTCCCTTCGCCCTTCGAAGCCAACTGTTCCTACCCTGGCCGGTGTCGCCACACTTAAGGGCCCTTTAACCGGAGGGACCGCCTGATTGTGAGTATAGCCTGCCTCCCCTTTTAGCAGGTTATCCCTGAGTAAAAACTCAACTACTTCCGTGATTCTAAGCAAAGCCATCAAGAGCAGCCTGAGCAGGGAAAATCACCCTGCTCCAGATCGAGCGCCCACTGGCTAGGGTGCTACTGGAAAAAAGGATTCATGATTAACTGCCCATGGATCAGGCCACAAATCAGCGGGTCTGTGTGCTCGCTCATCGCCTCTGAGCTCCCGATACTGTTGGGCTAAAATCAATTCTCCTGAAAACCATGCCCGGATATACATGGGTTACCGTCACACGAGAGGACGTGCCGGATGTCATACGCCATTTCATGTATATGAAAGATAAAAGTAAATGATGCATTTTTCTCTAGGTGAATTTCTAAAAAAAACCATAAAACAGCGCTGCTCTAGGCGTGTCAATGACCTTCTCATCGAGATTTTGACGGCTATTGTCATCGCTCGCCATTTTATTAAACTTATCTAGCTAAAAAGTACGGGAAAAATTAAGATGCGCCCATATTGGTGATGTAGTCACCAAAGACCTCCCGTACAGAAGGTTCTACCGCTTTTCGATTCCAGCCCAGAGGGTCTATCCATCTTACGAGTGCCCTTCCGGTACCTTCTGCCTTGCAGCTTCAGTCTTGAGTGGGCGGCTTATCGATTTCTACAGTCCTGCTACGGGCGATTGGAGTAGCTTGATTCCAAGGATCCTTGGAGTCTATTCAGTATTAAAGTGCCTCTCTTCGACAGCTACAGGAAAAATACTGTTCCCATGTGGCCTGGGCCGATACCCCCAGTTTCTCGGTAGAGGAATGTCCATGGGTCCCTCGGATCCAAAGGAAGTTGTTGAACACCTCCATTCCAATCACAGGAAAGCAGCCAAAACCTACCCGGATACACACTTCTTGAGCCTGCGTCTGATTCTCGGCTCGGAGTTAGTCCAAGCTCGCCGTAACCATAAGGTCTGGACTACTGCGCCAAGAGGGCAGGTTGGCAAGTGTCGCCATTTTAATGTATATAATTTGTTGCAAGAGACATGAAAATTTTCATTTTTTTTATATAAAATTTTATATTAAAAAATTGCATTTTTGTTGCAATAGACATGAAGATTGAGGGGGTGAGATCGTTATATATTTTTATTTTATTAAATTTTATTTATTATTAATACAACTCCTTTACAATCTTTGCTAAAACTATAAGACTATAATTAGAATTCTTATTTTGATAGACCCAGACTGCCAGATAGACCCAGACTGCCAAATTCCGAGACTGCCAGATAGACCCGATAATCCCAATAGACCCAATAGACCCAAACTGCCAGATAGACCCAATAGACCCAGATAGACCCAGACTTCCATACTTCCAGACTGCCAGATAGACCCAATAGATCCAGACTTCCAGACTGCCAGATAGACCCAATAGACCCAAACTTCCAGACTTCCAGACTGCCAGACTGCCAGATAGACCCAGACTGCCAGACTTCCAGATAGAGCCAGACTTCCAAACTGCCAGACTTCCAGATAGACCCAATAGACCCAGACTGCCAGACTTCCAGATAGAGCCAGACTGCCAGATAGACCCAATAATCCCAATAGACCCAGATAGACCCAGCCGGGTTTGTCCACTGCCCTTCCTTTTACAAGGCTCATGGCTTTCGCAACGAACATACCATTACAAGTGTTAAGATGGCAGGCTGGTTCGAGGCACCATTTAATGTATATCTATTCTGAACTTCAACTTCAAACAGTATTGATGATTCTAATCAAATCCCAAGAAAAATTCAGCCATTAAGGTCGAAGCTCACTTGAACATGCAACTCCTGCAACTTTCAAAATTCTCTCAAGTTATTCATTTGCTCAGTTTGTCAAAAGCCCCGATCTCCTGAAGCCCATCAAGAAATCTTAACCTTGACTTCATAACTAATTTCAACTATTTAATAAAAATTATCTATAATTTTATTTGTCCCAATCAAATATCCAAATTAGCGTATAAATAAAATGTCAACTCGCTCATCAGGATGCTTAACATCAATATTCAGAAGTTGCAAGCCAAAATCTCATCGAAAGACTGTGTGCGCTAAAAGTAATATCTCCTTATGCAATTCTCAAGAATCAATCACTCAAAATTATAGTCTTCAGACCTCTCAATCTTTACCTAAAATAATAAGCCCTGCTCAAAATTTTCTTGATGCCAACCAGTCAATTTCGCATAAGCCACGCATAGTGATTAAAAAAGATAATAAATTTGAGCTGCAACGCATTGAGGGAAAAAGTATAAAAAATAGTGAGATTAAATCTCCTAGAATTTTTGAATCAAATGAATCTATGCAAGAAGATAAAAATAATGGAAGCTTATTGTCTATACAAACTTGCAGAGAAATTTTCAATAGTCCTAATGATATATCTTGGAAAAAAACATTCTCAAAAATCAACCCTTTGCCAAATCCTTTTGTTTTTGATGCAAAATTATTAAAGCCGAAATTAGCTGCAATAACTCCAAGACAATTACTCAAGGGAAAGACAATAATTGATGAAAATAAAACTGAGAGAAATGAGCAGAAATCTAAAAGAAAAATCAAAAAGGCAGCAATAAAACCGATTAATACCCAAGAAATTTCAAATATATATAGAAGGCGCATATTCATAAAGGAAAAAAATAAAGATTTATGTAAAAATTTTGGGGACCGAGATCTAACATCCCGAAAGCATTCACTGTAAGCTAAGTTTTAACTAATAAATTAATTTAATTGTGAATGAAACTGATTTTCACAAACATGGTAGTATTTGAGGTCTTGGCATTTAATAGTCTTCATAATTAAGCATATTTATTGCCCTAATGAGCCAAATTTACTTAACTCTGACCCCTTTAAAGCAAACAAGTATTTTCGCTCATTCGATAAGAAGGCTTCATTTTCCCATAAAAAAATAATAATGCAATTATTTTTAAAGTTTAAAAAATTCTGGTTTGCAATAATTTTGAAATAAAATCTAACTTACTTTATAATGTCTAAATGAATAGAGAAGATTTTATTATAATAATTTTTAATTAATATTTCAAATTATTAAATACAAAATAATTTATATATAAAAATTCTCAAAAGTTGGAGATTTTAATGGGTTTCTTAATATCAGAAGGAGAAATAGAGATTTTCCTTGAGGTTAAAACTTAATATAAAGAGCACCGTACATTTGTTAGATCTAAAAAGGGAGAGATAATAAATTTACACATCGGTTAGTTCGATATAATATAATGGGGAAAAAGGCACTCATAAGCAAGCACATAGTCCTTTGTAGCTTTTCCCAATATCACGCAAGCAAGCCAATGTATGGAATTATTCTTATAGAAGGCGAATTGATTTATGATGTTATATTGGTTGATGAAAACATACCTCCTTACGCTTTAGCAGAAAAATATTCAGAGTGAAACCCAGTCAATTACGAAGATTTTTATATTTCTCCAGGAATTATTGATCTTTGTGTAAGAAGAGAGTGGGACGATTACTCAGCGATGACCAAAGCTGCTGTTTCTGGTGGAACCTGCTTTTTATTAGAAGAGCCTGGATATTATATCGACCAGCCACCCACCGGACAACTTTATTGTGACGTCGGAAAAGTTGGAACTATTGAGGTTTCCAATATTGAAAATATTCCATCATATGCTGAAGAAGGCTGCTTTGCCGTTAAGGGTTATTTATTTCCACCCAGTTTATCTATGCAGTGCATCCCTACAAACTTAGAAGGAATATTTAAAGAAATTGCCAAAACTGGAATGGTTTTACTAATTGACCCTACATTGCCAGATCCAAGGATGCTATATGTAGCATCTCCACTGCGACTTGAAAGTATTGAGAAAAGAAGAAAACCTGGAAGTGTAAGTACCCTTAAAATTTTTGCCGGAGCCTTTCCAGATGCTATAGAATCCGAAGAGGAAGACGAAGAAGAGGACAAGCCAGAAACTATTAATGTTCAAAAGCCTCAAGGAACAATAAAAAGAGCGCTATCAGCTGAAGATAACAGACCTGAAGTTTCTTTCCAAGAAAGAAGGCCTTCTGATACTTTTCATATAAATGAAATTTCGAAATCTCCTACAATTGAGCTGCCAATCCCAGAAATTTGTGAAGTAGATGAAGAACAAAGTCCTCAGAAAATTTTGAAACTAAAATCACGAACAATTTTTGACGATTTAAATGCAAGGATTAAAGAGAGCTATTTTAATATAGAAAACCTGAGTTTGGCTGAGCAGTCAACTTATCAATATTCAAGCTCAGCACAAGTAGAATCATTATCACCTGTAAAAAAACTAAGAAGTGAGTCATTTTCTGGGATCCTTATAAATAACATTGACGACAGCGATTCTAGCTATCCTGCATCTGAGCTCTCAAGTCCTAAGCCACAATCTTTATATGAAAGAAGAATTCGAGGCAATAGACCTCCACCGCTAGCTACAAAAATGGAACAAAATCCCGTGAAGGAATGCATTTATATCAATCATTTAGCTAACTATCCTGAACACTGGGAGCTTACAGGAGTTGAAAAAATTATTCAAAGCCTAAAAAAAGTGACTTGTCCGGTCCACGTTACAAATCTTTCCTCCGCAGCTGCACTTAACCGAATCCGTCAAGTAAAAGGAAGCTTCAATTGCTTAACCTGCGAGATTTCTGCGTCTAAATTGAGCTTTACTCATTCTGCAATACGAGATGGCGACACACGATTTAAAGACTCTTCCCCAATAAGAAACAAATCGAATTTTATTTTATTATGAGACTTATTAAAAATGAAAGGAATCGATTCTATAAGTTCTCAGCATGCTTTTATTAAAGCAGAATATAAGGCGCTTGATTCTGGGAATTTTCAAAAAGCATTAAATGGGATCTGTGCTTTAGGATTCACACTACAAGCTATTTGAACGATGCTTAATGTCCCAGTATCAACAACTACACAACTTGATCATTATATCGTAAGAATGGCCAAATGGCTTAGTTTACACCCAGCGAAAATTTTAAATATCCACGATTCGAGAGGAAGCATTGAGAAAAATAAATATGCAGATTTAATTATATGGGCACCTTATGAAAGATTTAAGGCGAAAGAAGAAAACCCGGAATACGAAAAAGTGTCACCTTTTGTGGGGATGGAGATGCTAGGGAAAATCCATTATGTGTACGTAAGAGGAAAAATGGCATATGATGAAGGTGATTTTAAAGCAAGAGGAAAAAGAGTAGTGAGGCTTGATAGATATGACTGTTTCACTCAGGCAGCTCTAATAAACATTTAAATTATTATAGTATCAATTCAAAGGAAACAGTATAAATTAATTGTGGAATTTTAAAGGTTATTAACTGGTTTTATTCCTAAAGATTCATAATGTCTAAAACAAGTCTGAATTCTTTCACTCATTTCAACCTTCCCAAGCTGAAATAGCATGCTCATAATTTCTATGAAAATCAAGTAAGCTTGCTGATAGTCTTCAAGCTGATGGCAAATAATTCCAAGCCAAAATAAAGCTTTAACTCTGAGATCTTCATCAGCTTCAACTCCTGCCCTCATCCAGTAATGGTGGAAATTCAAAAAATCGTGCAGAGCAAAAAAGCCATCTTGTGTATAAACTTCGTGCTTGGCTGATAACTTGCCAATTTTGTATAAGAAAAAATAATCTGTTGTAACTGAAAACCATTTTATTGTTTCAAATCCAGTTCGAGCCCTTGCAAAAGGATTTGTGCGGGGAGACTCTGATGTTTCTAATTGATCGTAGTCAATTTGTTTCTGATGTGACTCAACACTATAAGATGTTGATATATCATTTTCTATATCTTCACTTGCAACCATCGTGCTTAGATTTTTTTTAGAGGCAATCAGCTGTGCTCTTCTTGCGTCAAAATCAAGACAAGCTTCACTATACCCAATACTTTTTCTATTAACAATCCTTTTTCTTGGCTTCGCGGGAGATTTCAAATCTTCTTTTGTAGTAGCTGTCTGCAAATCTTTTGTATAGTCTACATCCGGTATATACAGCTTTGGCTGCAACTTTGCTAAGCTTTTGTAAATCACTATAGCTTTATCAACTTTCCCGCATTTCTCAAGCGCTTTCCCATAAATCGTGTTAATTTTCACCCACAGCTGAACTGGCACGCTAACCTGTTTGCAATAATTCACAATTAATTTCGAAATTTTCAAAATTTCTTCATAATTTTTTTCTAATTTCCAAAGCTCAATGACTTGGAAATGAATTTTCATGCTGAAGCTCTGAGTTGTCAAATCATTATAGAGCAATTGCATAGCTTCATCTTTTCTCCCAAGCTTTCACAGAATCTTAGCTTCGCATAGATCTCCTTCTATTTTATCAAACCCCCTTATAGCATTACAGTAAATTTTGCATTCTTCATATCTACAGTTTTCTGTGTCGCCTTCAAGGATTCTTGAAATAATGTCCAAATTTACGATCTGGCCATGCATGTCTCTCATCAGCTCTTTAAGCTCTGAAGCTTTCACAGCAATTTTTGTTTCACTCAGTCTTTCTTGCGCAATATCTCCTTTATCAATTCCAGTCGTTAATAAAGAAAGTGCTTTTTTCATATAGTCGTAGGCCTCAATTTTTTCGCCTGCTATTAAATAAGCTTTAGAAAGCCAATAATAAATTTGTCCGTAGCGGTCTTCTGAGGAACCTCTTAAGCATTCAAGTAAAGCTCCTATAGCTGAGCCCATAAAGTGTGGGTCTTGGGTTTTTACACAAAGTTTGCCATATTCATATACAAATATCATAAATAAAGGAAATTTAGAATATTCCATTTGTAGCAGATCAAAACAGCTTGAAAATTTGCCTTGCTTGAAAAGACTTTTGGCGTATTTTAAAGAAATAAGGACAGAGTAATCACATGAAATATTTGTCAATTTGAGAAAGCCTATTTCGCAGATAGCTAGAGCGTTTTCGTAGTCTTTTTTGTTGTAGTAATAAGACCACAACATAATATAAGCTTCAGGTCTTTCTGGGGCTAAATTAATCATTTCTTTTAATATGTTTTCCCCTCTTTCAATACTGCGTGATGACTGTTTTGCTAGAGAAATTTCACTCCACGCTAAAAATCCATAATAGTCATCAATTTCTTTAATTCTTACCGCATAATGTTCAGCACTTTCTATTTCAGTCCCCACATTTAAAATCCCGCTTAATGCAAGTTTCATAAGTGTCCAGTAAACTTCTATTGTTTTATAGCCATCCTTAAGTAATCCTAATTATCTCTTACGGTAGCATAGCATTTTTGCGTCTACAGCTTGTGCTTTGTTTTCTAAGTTTAGCACAAGCATAACAGCGTACCATAATTTATAAGTCTTTTCGTTTTCATTTTGTTCGGTCGCTAATTTTAAATGCTGCAAGGCTAAATCGAATTTTCCTTCATGTGCCAAAATTTTTCCTAGGCCGAAATTCCCATCAGGGCAATTTTTATTTTTTGAGGTCATTTCGCAGCAAACTTCTTTGATTCGGATTTCTTCGATTTCTGGGACTAAATTTTTCATTTCTTGCTTGTTAGCAATAAACCAAATAAAGCAGCTTGTGGGGTCTAATTTAAGATCATTTAAGCGGCTTGATTCTTTTTTAAGGTTTGTATATTGGAAGAGTTTCTTTTTCTTTGATTTTTCGATTTGGTTGTCAAGTTTTATCTTAATGGTATCAGGAGAGCTGTATTCGAGATCAGCTGTTTCTTCATTAAGGATGTTTTTGAACTTTAACAGCAAAATCAAGTTTTTTTCAGAAATTTTGATGTTTTCGTCACATTGTTTGCAGAATTCTTTAACTGGAAGAGCTTGGGAATTGCTTGAAAGTAGCTGAATACTGGTAGGTTTATCACTTTTCATCTGTAATAGAAATGATGAAAAATTTACTATTTATTTGCATTAAAATTATTCCAAATTATAAGATATTTAATTAAATTGTTGCTTCCATTAAAAAAAGATTGCTCTAGATATGCAAACTGTTAAATAAAATGCTATAAAATTCAAGATTACAACTTTGTCTTTAAATGAACTTTGAAATTTTGAGATGGAAGTGCATAATGAGAAAGCATATACTTGGGTTCCAATAAATCCTTCAGCTATTAATCATGGAAATGATAAATAATAATCTAATCAAGTATAGACATAGTATCAGATTAAAACTGCTAAAATTAACCCAACAAATCCGAACAATTCTGAAGCTACAAAGCTTTTAATTTGTTTTAGAGTCTTTGGTTTAGATTTTATAATATAAGAATTATTATAAATATCTTCGGCTAGCTCACCAAATATACATATAAAAATCGTAAAAGTAAAATAAGCTATAATATAATCTATCAAAAATCAAAATATTATCTTTAATATTTCAGATACCCCCAATGGGAGGTTTCTATAAAATCTATTTAAAGCGAATAAAAATCATGTCAATCCGAGTAAAAATATCATTAAAATTTGACAGTCATCAATAGTTGCAATGCTATGAAAAGAAAATCCTTGTGAATGTTTTGAGTAAAAATAATGAAAAATGCATAAATGTAGTATCGGATAAAGAGAAGGGAAAAATTTTCCATAATAAGAATTTTCATCTAAAGTTGCTTGATAAATATAAATATTATTCCAAATCATACAATAACCAATTTTTATAAGCTTAATCTCTAAAGGAATTTTTGGGCTAATTCATAGAATAGTTGGAGCAATTAAACTCAATGTGTAAGTAATTTGAGAATAATTAAAATATGAAAATATTTGAATTATAATTTTTGTAAAAGTAAAATTTTCAAAGAGTTTAACGATTGTAGTTGAATTTTCTGAAATTTCTAAATATTCATTTTGACTAAAAAATCAAAAAACGCTATAATTTGCATAAAATCATGCAAAAGGAAGTATAAAATACAATTTCAGTTTGTTATTGAAAGGTGAAATTAATCAGCATCAGCAAATACCTAAATTTAGAGTTAAAATTAGCACACAAACAAACCCAGAAAGTAATGTCATAATTATTTATTAAAAATGGGTTTAATTTTGAAATTATATTCTTATTTATAATTATCAATAAATATACTTATTATTTCATTTTAACTAAATATATATTTTAAGAGATTACTTGCTTAATTATTAAATTATTAAAATATCACAAAGCGATTAAGCCGTTATCAGAAGGCTAAAATATTTTAATCACTTTTTTAAAAATGATGTTTTTGAGTAACGAAAGTGGCATAATAATCCCTATTCATTAATTCCAGATAAAAATTAAATTTCTCTGCAACATATATAAATTGCTCATTTGAGAAAAATTAAATGCAAATAGTAACATTATAGAGAGCATGGTTAATTCATTTTCGTATAATCTTATGAAGTATCATATTTTTAGAAAGATCATAATGATGCAATACAATTCACACTGCCATCTACAAAGAAATAATAAGTAAAGTTTAAAATTGATATATAGTAAAATCTTCTTCGTTTTCTATAGAAAATGGAATTGAGATAGCTCAGATTGAAATCTCAAGGCAACGGTTTATCCAAATAGCATTATTGATACAATAAGTATTAGAACTTTTAATTAATCAGAATTTATTTTAATTAAATTACTACTATATACTCAATCTATAAATTCATTAGAACTCTCTATACTATATATATTTAAATATTCAAGTATTTCAAATTACTCTCTCTCAACCCCATATTTAAATTTCTTAATTGGCATATCTTATTAAAAAATTATGATACATCGAATTTCTCTACGCTTTTTCTCTTCAGATGTGCCAGTTTTAAGTAAGTACAGCCGACATCTATGCCACGTCAAACTCAACCGTCCTAAATCATTGAACTCTATGAACATTGAGATGTTTGATGTCCTCATGCAAAATCTAAAAGATTGGGATCAAGACAAGGACACCTGCGCTGTTCTTGTCACTGGGGAAGGTGAAAAAGCATTTTCAGCCGGTGGAGACATAAAATCAGTCTACGAGGCCAAACAAAAAGACCCGAAATCAACTCTCCCATCAATTTTCTTTCGAAAGGAATATGTCACTGATTATGGCTTTGCCCGAATGAGGCCAATCCAAATTAGTGTATGGGACGGGATTACTATGGGTGGAGGTGCTGGTATTACAATTCATTCACCTATAAGAATCGCCACAGAAAGGTCAATTTTTGCAATGCCAGAATGTGGGATCGGTCTATATCCAGACGTGGGGTCAAGCTATTTCTTATCAAGACTTCCAGGAAGCTTAGGCTTATACTTAGCAGTCACTGGGAGCAGGCTAAACTCAACTGAATTAGTTCAAGCAGGGGTTGCCACTCATTATGTCCCTAGTGACAGAATCGCTGATCTGACTGAACAGCTCATTGAAAAAGTCAATCCACATACAAATGTTGTGGGAATTAAAAAACTTGTCGATAAATTTGCTGAAAAAGTTGACGAAAATAATAGTTTTTATGAAGAAATTGAAAAACACTTTGGAGGAGTCACAAGTCTTGAAGAAATTCATACAAGATGTGCAGCTTCACAATCAAACTTTGGGAAAAAAACGTATCAAGACTTGATGAAACTGAGTCCTGTATAATTTATTAAGGTAAATATTCAAAAAACTGTAGTAAATTAAATATTAATAAAAAATGATAAATATATAATATAGGAAAGGATATCACAAAAAGTAGCATTTGAACAGATAAGGAGAGGTATACAGATGAGTTTGGAAGAAGTTTTCACAATGGAATATAGGATTTCAATGAACTTTGCAGCTGGTGATGATGTATATGAAGGAGTGAGAGCGATTTTGGTAGATAAAGATAAATGTCCTAAGTGGAGCTTCAAGAGTGTATTTGAAGTGCCTGATAAACTTATAATGCAATATTTCGAAAGACCTTCATCGCCGGATTTTAAGGACTTATATGTCAGATCTGAACTGAGAAAATTCTTAGAAATGAAAAGAGATTACATAATTACTACTTAATTGAAAAGTTGATTAATTTATTGGCTTTTATAATATATTATTATGATTTGAATTATTTTATATATATCATTCAAAATTTAAAATAAAATCTAGGTATTATGATTTAGAAGCTCGGCTCTTTTTAACCTCAAACCTGAACTCTGAAAAACTGCTTAAATCACTTATCTGCTTATTTTCGTATAAAATAAACGTTGGATTATCCCCTTCGGATCTGCGACTATTAAGAATAATTCTATTTCCATTTTTAATTCCAAAAAACTTTCAGCACGCTTCATGAACAACAATATCAACGTTTACTGGTGAGCCACATCTACAAATCAATGGAAAATCTTCACGCCCAATTACAAGTCCTTCGTCAAACCGAATATCTTTGGTTTCTTCACATTTATTTATGCATTGAATAAATATATTGAAAATGCGAGTTACAGGCTTTATGTACTCATTTGGCCTATCAGAAGATTTTTGTTTAGTTCGCAAATCAACTGCAAGTGCTTGTTTCTTTTTTACCCCACAGCCTATTTGTCTGGTAATTAAGGCCAATTCTGGTTCAGAGCTTTGAAAAATTGTTTTTAAAATTTCATTGTCTTCTAGCAGCCTCCCCTCGAAATATAGAGACTGGGAATTTTGCTCGATTTCTTTTTTATTGAATATAACTGTTTTGACAGCTTCAATAGCAATTGTAGGAGGCACCATAAGTGTAAATGGATTCTCATTTAAAATTTTCAAATTAAGCACTTTATCAATATCAAATTTTTCCCCTGTTAATCTTTTCATTAGCTTTATTGGGTTTTTCAGTTCCAGTGTCCGAATTTTTTGTTTATTCCTAAGTACAATTCCTTTGTAAAATAAGATTTGGTAGCCAAAAGCAATTTTTAATTTTTTTTCAATTTCGTATTTTAAGTCTAAAATAGTGCATGAATCATTTATAGTGATCATATTTTTCTCTTTTTTAACTATTATGATAAGTTCAACTTCTTTGGATTCTTCTGATGGCATACTTTCAACTGGTAGATCATTATTTTCGTCGCGCTCAAAAGAGATCCCTTCATTCTTATTATTGTATTCAATAAATTCTGGGTCATTACTTAAAACCCTCAAACTTGAAAATTGTTTTTGTAAAATTGCTTCGTAAAGATTTTCTCCTTCAAAGGTAGCTTTATCAAGCTGAATTATTTGAAGATCTATAGGAATCCCTGTAGCATTTTCTATATTTTCCTTTAGCTCCTTTGTATCGCTCCCTAATTTTATTGAGTAATCTTGGCAGTACAGCCAGCTGAGCCTTATTTCTCTTTCAGCCTCAACCATGCTAAATTAAAAATATGTAGATTACAATTAAAAATAAAAATTTTAATATTTTGGCAACTTTTAGATAGCTAATTACCAACATTTTATCTTAATTGTAATAAATATATGTATACCAGATCACAAAGCCCTGTAAATGTTTACCAAGAACCTATCATACGCCGGACAATTGGTCAGTTAGTAAAAGGCAATAAAAGTGAAAACCAGGATGCAGCTCATATATAGGAATTGCCCGAGGATGGCGCTATCTTGCACCATCCTCGGGCAATTCAAAAAATGGCCCCACACCGGGAATCGAACCCACGTGTGGGGCCATTTTTGGTGCGTGTAAGTCGATGTTGGCCACACACCAAAAATGGCCCCACACGTGGGTTAGATTCCCGGTGTGGGGCCATTTTTGAATTGCCCGAGGATGGCGCAAGATAGCACCATCCTCGGGCAATTGCTATATTTTCTTTTGAAATTCTCAACAACATTATTTCAAAAAATAATATAAATAAACTTAAGAGCACAGACGATGTAATAAGAGAAATGAATAAAGATATTAATCTAGTGCTAAAATCTCGAAAAGAGAATCGCATTGATGATAGAAGATTGGACCATAAAATAAAGAAAGCTATCAATATAAAAAAACAAGTTAAAAAGCCAGAAGTTATTAGCAGAATAAAGAAACAATATGAAATCATAAATCAGTTAAATTTTCCTCCAGAGCTGAAAAATAAACTGATAAGTATATATGAAGAATTAAAAGATGAGAACGATAGGTTTATTTGCAAAAGAGAGGTTTGCAATAATTTAAAAGAAGGGAAAATTGATATAAAAGAAGAAGGCTTAAAATTGCATGAAAAATTGGTTAGAAATATTAGAAAAAGGCAAATCCAAAGACAAGAAGCATTCGTTGATGCTGCTGAATCATCAAAATCTCTTACTTCTAAAGTGAAATCTGCAAAAATAGAAGAAATAAGTGAAGCTGAATTTCTCAATAGTTTTGAAACTGAAATTATAGTGAACTACACTGACTGGCACGGGGTGCTTTTGGCTCAGTTTCGAGCCAAAAGCACCCCGTGCCAGTCAGTGTAGTTAACTATATAGAAAAAGGAATAATAAAAACCCAAAAAGCAGAAACTCAGGCATCAAAAAAACAATTACTGAGACCAAATTTAATTAATAATGAAATATTAAGTCAGCAGAAGAAAAATCAAGAGCTTATTGATAACTGTTTCGAAGAAAATAAAATATCAAACAAAGAAAAGCCTTGCATTAAATCTCCTCAAAATAAAATTTTTTCAAAAACTGCACCTCATAAAGAACTACAGAAGGATGTGGAAGAAAAAGTATCTGGGAAGAAATTCTACAAAGGAGGAAGATTCATCCCAGGTGGAGGAAGAGCGCCCAAAGGTGGCATTTGGATATAAATTATACTACAAAAATAGAATAAGTCCATAATTCAAACAGCCAAAGTTCCATTATTTATAGAAAATAAATAACCTTTAATTTAATTATCCCACAAATATCTTCTTTAATATATCTTTTATATCTTTTATATTTTTATAACTTTTCAATTTTAGGCCATAATTTATATGCAACTTTTCCTTCAACAAGTCCTATAGATATTGGACCAAAGTTCCTTGAGTCAAATGATTGCGATTTATTATCCCCTTCAATCCAAATATGCCCTTCAGGCACCAAATACTCCTGGCCATCAACCTCAGCCACCTCTCCAGGCCCACATATAACTCTTTTGCAAAGCTGATTGTTAGGTTTCATAGGATTTTCTGCCAAAATCACATCTCCTTTTTTCAAACTTCTGATTCTTGGCGTCAATTTATCAATCAATAGCACATCGCCTGCATCTGAAATAGTAGGAAGCATTGAAGGGCCTACCGCAACTCGAAAATCATATAAATAATACTGAGCAAGCCTAAAGCACGCAATTGCTTGAAGAAATAGCCATACTTCTTTAATCTTTCCCATTATATTATGCAAAAACTATTAAATTAAGGCTTCTATCTATTATGAAGGGAATCTTGCAAAACCTTCTGCAATATTGCATCATCATCCATAGAATAATCCTAACTTTCCTATTTCAAATAATTTTTTTACTTCAAAAATCAAGTTTAAAAAAAAAATTGGGACGATAAAGGGATAAGTAGAAAATACGGTATAAGTGTCAGTATCATATTTATGCCTGGATTGGAGATGGCTGTTTAAATTGCTACTTACATAGTTTGGATCACCCCAAGGCATCGCAGAACAGATCGGGCAAACTCCAGATTTGCCTCTATGCCTTTGAGAATAATGATCTAACAGCCCTTGCCTGTCTAAATTTCTTTGGTCACAGCTGGGGCATTTGAAAGTCCATCTATTCACTACAGGAACTGGGGGCTTCTCAGTAGTCTCAACTGCGTGTTTAATTAAAGCTCTTATAGAAGTGCACTCACCCATATGGTTGTTGTAGCCCGAATAAGGCATTTTCGCTCCGCAGTTGCAAGTAAATTCAGTTATTGAAATTTGTTCTGAGAGATTTGGGTCAGGCAGAACTGAAGATGATGAAAGAAGACCTCTGCAATAAGGGCAGTCGTGAGAATTTCTCATGAATTGGTTGATACATGTGCTGCAAAAGTATTTCCTGCAAGCTTCATGGAAAACTGGGCTTACTAGCACGCCTAACTTCTCCTTGTAGTTTAGGAGCGAAACTTTAAAAATTCCTTATTCCCAATAAAATTAAACCCCACTGTTAGTGAGCAAAATTTTGTTTATTATAAATTAATGCTTTTAAATATAGAGATTGCAAGCTAGCTCTACTAAATTTTAGACTGCTTAATCCTAAATTACTTTTATAAATTAAAATAGACTTCCACTTCAAATAATTACATTGGATAAATGCTAGCTTTAACTCGAATGGTTAGAATGCAAGATTTGCTCGCTAATTAAGAGAGAAGTAAGCAAATGACACATTGAAAGTCGTCTCTGATGTCTGATTCCATTTTTTATAATTATTATGCTTAATAGCTAAATTTTATGAAGCTTATCTAATCCCCTCATTTGATTTTTCTTTGCTTTTTATATATGTATTCCCTACTTTATTTGAGTAATTGCACCATTATAATATAATTTTATTTTAAATTTAATTCACATAAGGATATATTTTATTTATCAATGAATTTTTATTAATATTATGCTAATAAAAGCACACAGACTTTTATCAGCATGCATTCAACTAGCTGAGCTATCTGGGAACATAATAAAAAGCGTCCACAGTGATGGCGCCTTACAAACTGTCTATAAAGGTCATAATGATCCTTGCACAGTTGCTGATATCAATGCACAAAAGATCATCATGGGCACTCTCTACAATTTATTCCCTGGCATTAATATTATTGGCGAAGAACAAGTAGAATTAGCAGAATCTGACATAAAACAAGTAAATTTAGACTTAATTCCTGAAGAAATTTTCCCTGCTGAATTAAGAGACCTCGATATAAACAAACTAGTGCTATGGGTTGATCCTTTAGATGGGACTTATAACTTTACTATTGGAGAACTTATCGGGGTGACAACTTTGATAGGGATCGCATACGAATCTAATGCAATTATGGGGATCATTCATCATCCATTTGCTGATAGATCACCTACATATTGGGGAGGTCTTGGAATAGGTATTCACTCATGCTTTGGAGATTTTAATGAAAATAGCTTCATAAAGCCAAATGATTTTTCAGTAGTGCAAACCAAGCATTGGCAAATCCCTCATGGTGAAGCATTTTTTAAGACTTTAAATGCTGAAAGAAATTTATACGCAGATGGGACTGGGTATGACTCAGTATTAGTAATATCAGGAAACGCATCTACTTATGTATTCAATAGAGAACTGACAAGCAAATGGGATACATGTGCAGGAGATGGAATTTTGCAAGGAATTGGAGGATTTGTCACTGATTTAAATGGACAAAAAATTTTATATGATAAAGATCAGCCAATAAAGAATAAAGACGGAGTTGTAATGAGCTCAAAAAGAGAAGACGCACAAAGAGTAATTGAAGCTTGGAGGGAATTTAATAGTCAAAATTAAAATTTCTTTACTAAGTTTATGCAATATTAAAATGGAAAAGAAAACTCATGATTAGATTAGATTAGATTAATTAGTTTAGCGGGTCACGGAGGTTTATTTCAGCCTCTACCCAGCGCTGCCAGCTTCAGGCTTGCGCCCTATGCACCGGCTCTGTAGCTCTCACTCCATTTTCTGTCGACGTCACCAAAAAAATGGTGACGTCGCCATCTAACAGGGAGACTCACCCAGGTACTCCTTGATCAGGGTCTAGTGACCCGGCGCAGTCCTTTCTGGGGAGGGTGAAAAGTAGCCTCCCGGAATCTCCTTCAGGTCCCCTAAGCTCCACTACAAGCTTCCTCACTTTCCTTCTAGTCCTGAAGTTTGACTCCTGATTCTGCGGCTCTGGTCTTCTTGTCTTTGTGAGAGGTAAAAAACCTTGTCGTGGTGTCCCGACCAAGGTAAAAAAAACCCACCCTGGACACAATATCCAGGGCCCGTTTACTTCTTAGCCCCGTAGTCCCTGAGGGTACAGGAGAAGGACGGGTCGGATGGCTCGCCATTTTAATTGTGTTAAACTCATGAAGAACTTGAGAATTTAATGACTTTGTACTTGTCGAATCAAAAAATAGCTGAAGATGAAGCTGTAAAATATAAAGAAAATAAATTAATTTGAGCTAAAAGGATGCTAAAAAATAAAGATATACAAGAAATACTGACACATGCAGCACAAGAAGTATTATTAATTTAGGTCTCTTTAATTATGTATAGCGATTTAGCTCAAAAGACCCAAAGAATAAAAAATCCAAATAATGATTCTACAACAAGCTTAAATTCACCTGACAAAGCGCAGGGGTATATAGAAGAACTTGCAAGATTAGAAGAGGAGTACAATAAATATACACAAAGCACGATGAATATTATGAAAAAACACTTGAAAAAGATTGATAATACTATAGCAGGATATTACGCAGAAGATAACACAAGAGATGAAATGATTTATAAGGGGCTTAAAATTATGCAGAATAATCCACCAAAGTGACATAAAGTCGTTGAAAAATTAGAAACAATCAATCAATATGATGTACCTTTCTTTCTTGATATTAGAGATATAAGTGTAAGATTTACTCACTCTCTCCATTTAATATGAATACTTTAATAGTTCGTTATTGATGGATAATTTTTTTTAAATTTTTTAGAATTTATGAAATGCTTTAGATTTATCACATTTTAAAAGATCATTTGCAGTGATAAAATTCTAAGATTTATATCAATTGCTTTATTTAAAAAGCTTTAGAAAATATTAATAACTCCCCACCCCCTCCGTGAGTGAACAAAAAAATTTTGTTCACTCACGGAGGGGGGTTAATTTTTTTGTTTTAAAAAAATTTATATAGAAATTTTATTAAAAATATTTTTTTTTTTCGAAATTTAAAAAAATCCTAATTCACAAAAATTGGAAAGCAAATATTAATTTAATTTATAAAATTTATGTTTTAAAAAGCAATTCGTTTAAAATTAAACAGAATTAGCTCTAGATTTCATTATACTAATTATCATTTATATATCAAATTTTTTTTTCCATAAAAATTTTTTCTATTAAAACATTTTTGTTCACTCACGGAGGGTGGGTTTTTGGGCAAAAAACAGCGATTTTTCTAATGGTTTTGTCCACTCACGGGGGGGGGAGTAAGTATAAATTGTAAATGTTCTTTTTTAATTTTAAAAATATAATCTATGCACTCGTATAGATTTCTCTTTAGGACTTTTACAATGGACGGCTGAAGTGCTGGAATATTCAATACTAGGGAAATGGGCTCGATAGCAATTTATAATAGTTATTAGTATAGGATGATATATAAGTAATAATTGTTTCTAAGTCAAAAAGAAAGACATTTGTTTACGAAACAAGTTGAATTCGGGACCTTATCGGAAGAGTTTGGGTTGCTATGTAAGCGGACACTAAAAATGGAACTGGGCAAAGAGTGATCTGAGGAGAAAGTAGCCGATATGTGAAAGAAGTGCATAAAGACTGCCTTTATCGTGGTTCCCGGCAGTTTGGGACAGTGTAATCTGAACTAATCCTTGTTCCTGAGTCGCGGGATTTTGTCGTGTTCGATCCATTTTTATTGCCGACTTTGACAAGCCAAGGTAACTTGGCGAGCCTAATTATAAATGAAAATGGAAATGAGCAACGCTACAATACATACAAAATATATCAGTGCACCAGACAATAGACCCTTGAAATTTAATAGGCAAGCAGCAATGCTTTAATGATGAAAAATCAAAATGAAAATATCAACTTATATAGGCATCTTTAGATAAACATTGTTTTTAATTCGCTCTATACACCTCAATTTGCATTTGCGGAAAGAGTTATAGGGATGATAAAATAAGTTTAACAGAGTTGAAGGAAATGAGATCCTTAAAAAGTTAAATACTGTGCAAGAGTTAGAAATGCAAGTTTAAATATTTTAGACAAGATTTTTGATTACAATGCTCATATAAGCTTCTCTTACTGAGTTATTTTTGCTGCCGAATCCGCTTCAAGTAATGTCTGTTAAATGCTAACGGCAATAAGTATCACCCTTTACCTATACCAGAATTGAATATGCAGATTGGAATATTTTGTACAAGATTTTCAACGATAATTTACGCTTAAGCTTTATTCAATAATTAATTTTTGCTACCTAATCTGCTCGAATCCGCTTCAAGTAATAGCTGTTAAACGCTAAAGGCAATAAGTATCGCCATTTACATATACCAGAATTAAAGTGGAAGTTTGAAAGTATTTTGTACAAGATTTCTAATTCTAATGCACACTTAAGCTTTATTTAATAATTAACTTTTGCTGCCTAATCCGCTCGAATCCGCTTCAAGTAATATCTGTTAAATTCTAACGGTAATAAGTATCGCCCTTTACATATATTAGAATTGAGCATGCAGATTAGAATATTTTATACAAGATTTTCAACGATGATCCACACTTAAGCTTTATTCAATAAGTACCTTTTGCTGCCTAATCCGTTCAAATCCGCTTCAAGTCATAGCTGTTAAATGTTGACGGCAATAAGTATCGCCCTTTACATATACCAGAATTGAACATGTAGATTGTAATATTATATACAAGATTTTAAACGATAATGCATTCATAAGCTTTATTCAATAATTACCTTTGGCTGCCTAATCCGCTTGCAGTAATGGCTCTTATATGCTACCGGCAATAAGTATCACCCTTTGCATATACCAGATTAAAATGTAAATTTGAAAGTATTTTGTACAGGATTTTTAATTATAATACACATATAAGCTTCTCTTAGTGAGTACTTTTGCAGCCTAAACCGCACAAATCCGCTTAAAGTAATATCTGTCAAACGCTAACGGCAATAAGTATCACCCTTTACATATTCCTTTACATATACTAGATTAAAGTGTAAAATTGAAAGTATTTTGTACAAGATGTTTAGCTATAATATATCTATAAGCTTCTCTTAGTGAGTTATTTTTGCTGCTGAATCCGCTCTAATCCGCATCAAGTAATATCTGTTAAACGCTAACGGCAATAAGTATCACCCTTCACATATACCAGAATTGAGCATGTAGATTAAAATATTTTATACAAGATATTCAACGATAATCAAAAATCTTGTATAAAATATTGTAACGTTGCTTATTTCCATTTTCATTTATAAATTAGGCTCGCCAAGTTACCTTGGCTTGTCAAAGTCGGCAATAAAAATGGATCGAACACGACAAAATCCCGCGACTCAGGAACAAGGATTAGTTCAGATTACACTGTCCCAAACTGCCGGGAACCACGATAAAGGCAGTCTTTATGCACTTCTTTCACATATCGGCTACTTTCTCCTCAGATCACTCTTTGCCCAGTTCCATTTTTAGTGTCCGCTTACATAGCAACCCAAACTCTTCCGATAAGGTCCCGAATTCAACTTGTTTCGTAAACAAATTTCTTTCTTTCTGACTTAGAAACAATTATTACTTATATATCATCCTATACTAATAACTATTATAAATTGTTATCGAGCCCATTTCCCTAGTATTGAATATTCCAGCACTTCAGCCGTCCATTGTAAAAGTCCTAAAGAGAAATCTATACGAGTGCATGGATTATAATCATTTTATGATATTCTTATAGCTTAAGAAGGATTTGGCCCATCTTAACTTGAGAAAATAGAGTAAACAAAATATAGATTCAATTATTTTATGTGCTAATAAATATTTAAAAAATTAGACAGAGTAATAAGATGTTTTAACAAAATTTTTTATTTTTTTAAAAATTATAGGGTTTGACCCTCAACACCCCGACAAGGGCAGATGATCCCCCGCGGAATCATCGAGTTGGTCCGACAACACACTAAGTTGGTTGGACCAACTCGATAATTCCGCAGGGAATCATCTGCCCTTATCGGGCTATTGAGGGTCAAACCCTATATATTTTGAGATGTATTTTTATGAATTCATTGTATTTGCTAGAATTTAAATTGAGAAGATTTTACTCGTTATTAATTGTGCCTAAATCTCCCTCAATTGGCTATGATCAAAGATTAGAAAAATTAACTCCTTGGTTTTCGAGAAAAATTTTTAATATATTTTTAGTAATAAATACTTTGATTTATAATTAATGATTATATAAAGATCTTTAGCTAAGTATATAAATTTATTACATTCAAAGACCATTATTTTATAAATCAATAGCTTTTTCATTTATAATTTGTTTCAGAATTTTTTTTTAAAATAAAAAAATAAGCCCACGCTAGAGAACAGAAAAATTTTGCATTCTAATTAGGGGAGTAAGAAAAAAAAATTTAGGTAAAATGCCAACTGTTCTATTCGCTATTATAGAGAAGGAGTCAGCTAGATGCCTGAAAAGAAGGTCTAGAGCTTGAAAAGTTATTGGAAAGAGAAAGAAAAAATTTTCAGAAAAAACTTGTAATAATGGATTCTAAATGAAGAAGGAAAATCGATTGAATTAAAGAAAAATCAGGGATTTATATTAAAAAGTTAGAAACAACAATAGAAAACGACAAAAGAGCCGAGAATATAAGCAGAGAAAGATTTCAAATAGTGATTGAAGATTTATTAGAAGTTATCAGGAAAAAAGAGGAAACTGAAAGCTTGATGTCAGATAAACTATACCAGGAGTTTGGGGTTCTAAATATAGGAGCAGCGCTCTCGCAGCTCTCAAATTTTGAAAAATCGAAAAAAAAGCAGGAAAAAATGATAGAGCAAACAAAGCAAGATCTTAAATCAGCGAAAACCAAACTTCAAATCGCAACCACAAAAAATGAAGAATCAAATAAAGAAATAATTGAAAAAACACAACAAATCACTATGTTGGAACAAATTATCACAAAATTCATTGATAAAATACCATTTTCGCCACCAGACAAAAAAAGAATTGAAACTTTTGTTGCAGAAAAGCAATATCAGAAAGTCTTATGCTTATTCACAAAATAGCTCACTATCAGAATGTTAATTAAAAAGTTTGCAAACAAATATTTTACAATAAAACTAATAATATTTATTAAAAAAGGCATAGGTATATTAGCCTCATTTAAAGTAGAAACATCCAAAAATGATGAATCAAAGTCACATGCAAAATCAGAAGATGCAGAAGGAAAGATAAGAGAGAGCCCAAGCAAGCTATCAAAAATCAATGAAAAGCCAGTTAGCGAAACAGCTCCTCTTATAAAAAAATCACATAAGTCTCCTAGAGCTATCAAGACGGAAGCAAACTTATTTATTACAGAAAATAAAGAAAATGATGCAGTCGTCTCTTTAGAAAAAGACAATTCTATTGAAAATAAATCTACTGAAAGAGTAATATTTAAGATTGTAGAAGGAGATACAAAATCAATAAGAAGCAGAAATCTTAAGAAAAAACTGCTTATGCAATCAATTGAAAACGAAAGCTCAGTTGAAAGCTTTGACAAGAAAGAAGGCAAAAAATTAACAAAATATACCAAAAGAAGACCACAAATAGAAAGAATTGAAGAAGTAAAATTACAGAAGAGAAATAACCATCAAGCATTTTCTGATGGATTTATCGAATTATTATCAAAAGTATATGCAGAAAAGCAGAAACCTGAAGATAATATTGCTGAAATTTTTACTCTCCTCCCTTTTAAGAACGAGAAATTATGAGAAAATGACTTTTTGAGGAAAATTTAACGCCCTTTAAGCGATCAAAAATTTTTGAATATTTTTAATATAAATTAATTTTAAATATAATAAATAGTTGCCATAAAGCACCCTCTAATTGATAATATAAAATATAAGACAGCTTGGGCTCTTAAATTAGATTTTCCTCCTTGCATATTTCCAATTAGATTTTTAAAATTCAATAAAAATAGCCCCCATAAGACAGGCTATATGTCATTGCCATCAAATTGGAATTTTCCTTGTGCGACATTTCAGTTGAATTTTTTTTTCTCATGAAAAAATTGATCAAATTTTAACGGTTTGCCGAACAAATGTTTTACGAGAAAGAATTTTCGACCAAATTTCACACGAGGTAAATATTCCTATTGATAACTTGCAACTCTCTCGCTTAAGAAGAAGAGTTAGTAGAATCAACATAATGAAAGATATGAAACTTGAAGACTTATTGAAAATTGAGCTAAATCAGTTAAACGAGTCTTGTTATTTGCAAGATCTATTATTGAACTATTTAGAAAATTTACTGACATCAAATTATGATATTTTATGAAAAAATATAGCCCTTCCCAATGAAACTAAAGAAGAGCCTCAAGTGAGCAACGATGAAGAAATAAAATCAAATTCTATGGTAATATTACCAGTAAAAGAGTCACGAAAGTCTTCAAGAGAAAGCTCGAGAAGGCTATCAAGTCAAGAGTACTATGGAAACTGAAGAATTGCAGCTCTCAAATTTTTCTTGCTAGTTGAAAAATACATATCAAACCAGGAAGACATCAAATCTCGCATTCCTAGAAATGTGTCTGATCAAGTTATCATGAAAGGAATTATAGAATCCAATATATCTCAAAACGTAAAGGACGAAATTACTAACTACTTATCACCTTACATTTATAACCCAAAATTTAAAGAACTGGTTGGAGAAATCGCTGGCTTATTAAACTATGAAAAGAAGTATAGTTAGATATGATGACTAGAACGGGGCTTTTTTGGCTTGCCGGCAAGCCAAAAAGCCCCGTTCCAGTCATCCTATCTAACTATATGAATTATTAGAAAAAATCATGAAAATCCCTAAAGATTTCCCAAAAAACCATTGGAAAGGCGAAAAAAATAACATGATTAACCAAGTCAGATGGGCAAAAATAATTACTGCAATACGAACAAAAGAAGCAAAAAGCATTGGAAAAAGAATAAGTTTGGATGATGGTATAAATACAAAATCTCTATTATATATAATCGCAACCAACTTGAAATATGCAAAGAACTCGAATATACATAGAATAGGGTTCAGAAGAGAAGATTCTGCATTAAAAAAATGATCATCAGTTGGATCAGAATCCTTGATGAATTTGAGCTTCGAAACAGAAGGCCAAACTCCAAGACACAATGATAGTTTCAATACGTCAAGAGTCTACAAGCCAAAACGCACTCTTTCTATCAATGGAGCACTTTCTCAATATGATGCAACAAAACAGATCGATTTATTGCTACCGCCTATATCAGAGACAACTAGTTCCCCGTTTAAATTGGAACAAAAAACAATTTTTCCAAATTAAAAGGAGGTTTAATTTATAGAATTTGTCAATTGTGATAACTTTGCTTAAATAGCATTCTATTTATACTCTCCTCTTTGTACAGAACAAGCTATAAGCAATTTTTTTTTTGCAGCATAAAATTGGATATTAAAATTATTTGTGTAGAATTTTTACTCATACAAAATATTATTTACCCAAGAATACCCTTTTTTTCTTATTTAAATTGTATGGAGTAAGGTGAAAAGAGCTGATAAAACATTGACAACTTTGGTCGGAGCTTATCAAAATGATATTTGGGTGAAAAATACCCCGAGGGGAAATGTAAGTAAAAGAAATTTGTATTAACTTTTAAGTTTAAATAAAAATTTTATGAATAGCAATTATTTGTAGTTTCTTTATTGAAAAGGCAATTTATCTAATTATCTAGCGTTAATTTTTAATCTTTATGAATTGCTTTGGTATAGCCCGGTTCCTGCTTTGGGCTGAGCATGACGGACATCGGGAGGTGTCAGATAGGAGTTGACGAACTAAAGTTTACTGGGAAATTCTACTTTCCAGATGACAAATCTCTAATTGCAAGATGAATTTCCATCTAAGGAGTTGATTTTGTCAACAAATGCTGCACATATGACGTCGGGAGACGTTAGACAAGCCCGATCCAAAGCAGGGGTCCGACGATATTTTATATGTGTTAGAAAGATAGCTTGATAGCTCAGAACACAGTGAGCCTTGAATTTGAAAGATCATGTAATTACTTTGTGTATTTGGATATCCTTCTAATAAAGAGCACTGAGTAGAAAAATGTCTTTGGCAATTAGAGCAAAGTTCTTTTAAATCTACACGATAGTTTTCTAACCCCTTAGCTAACGTCAGCCTTTTTCTTTTATTCCTTTTTGCCTCACTGATTTCAACGCATGGAATTTGACCATGCTTCACAATTGGAAGATGCATTCCAGACATTTCTTCTTCTACATATCCCTCTGCAAATTTTTCTGAAAATTTCTTCGCAAGCTCTGATTTATTAAATGGCCCTTGTGGGACACCCAAAATAGTTGCTAGTTCTTCATTTAATAGAATTTGAGATTTATCTGGAGCATTTTCATCCAGTTTGTGGGACTTTATATAGTCCTGCATTGCAGCACTTAATTCTTGCTTTGTAAAAACTTCTGCTTCAATGTTGTTTCGGAGTAAAAATTGGCTTGTTTTTTGGTGCGGGATAAGAACAGGTGTAAAAGTGACTATTGGATATTGGCTTTGTTCTTCAAGCTTTTCGATATTTTTATTCTGTTTTGGTTTTTTCACAATTGGGACACACTGGACATAAAGTGGATGGAATCTTGATATACTTGTTACTAGCTTGTGATCGCTTCCTTTAGGTTCTTTATATTCGATTAACCCAATATCGTTGGCATGCTTCAGAAGTTTTCCAATTTTTTTGAAAGGGGAATTTGGCATTGAGAAGGGAATATCTCTTTTGCATTGATTCATAACTATTAATAACTGACTAGGCTCTAGAGGAAGATGTTCATCTTTAATACCAACTTTTAAAGCTGTGAGGAGAATTTGAATAACTATATCTTCTGAAATCTTATCTTATCTTATTTAATTTATAACGTTTAACATCCACTACGGGGTAGCTGTTTCAGAGTTGCAACCATAATTGTCCACTTGTCAGGCCCATAATCTCTGGATCAATCCACTTCATTACACCAGCACGGGCAAAAACAGCCTTCCGGCTTCGACGCCTGCGTTGCCTCGCTCCTTTGGCTCAGCTCCTGCGCGTGTTCCACCTAAGGGTCACCTTCCTCGGGTGTGCTGAGAGGTAAAACTTCGAGCACTTGGAGCAGTGTCTCGACTTATTGCCAGAGTTAAACTGCTGTTGCTGTTCAAAAGCTCTCAGAAGAAAACCCAACCCATAAAATAAAATTGCTTGAAGTAGAGAAAATTAGCAGAGCTAATTTCTCTCGAACCGAATGCCATTTTAATTATGCATCTTCTAAAACCACTACTTCTTTGGTTTCTTCTACGATTTTTGGAGGATTTTCTTCATCTTTTGGGCACTCTTCAGGATTTTGAGGCTCATCCTGTGGAAAATTTTCTTTAATTTCTTCTTGAGTTATTTCTTTATTTTCTAATTCAATGCTGCTTTTGTTATTTTCTCTCTGTTCTATCTCAGAATTTTCTTGAGCATCTTTTTTGTTTTCTTCATTTTTAAGTTCTTCTTGAATATTTTCTTCATTTTTCTTTTCCTCTTCTTGTTCTCTATTTTCAACCCCATAAGATCCTACAAAATCAATCCCAAATCCATCATTCGGAATTATCTGATGTAATTCCCACAAATTGTCTCTGTAAAAATGAAACACTTCCACACATTTTCCTTTCAGATTTTCTTTATCCTCAGGAATTTGCAATATTTTCCCTACTGCAATTGGGGCATCGTTTTTATGTATTTTAATAGAAACCCACATACCTGGCCTAACCCATTGGGTTACAGCTTTTCCATCACATATCCCCGGCCACATTAAGTCTGCACCATTAATTATCGCTTCGCTAACTCCTGACCAAGTTTCTATAACCGGCAACAGCAAAGGGTTATCCCACAATAAAAAAACAGTTGGAAAAATATCAAGCTTCCCATTGCTGTCAACCAGAATTGGCACCCATTCATCATTTTGATGTCTGAAATATATCTTTCCTTTGCTGCCTGCTATTTTTGCTACTTTTAGTTCAACCTTTTTGTCATTTATAAATTCCAATGCAGGAGAAAGCTTAGAGACCAGGGATTTTTTTTCTTTTGAAGAGACTATGTTCTCATTCCCTAGGCTAAACTTCTTAATAAACATTCCATTTATCAAAACAAATCAGAATCATTTTAGATCGAGAAGAAGATTAATTACTCTTGAATAATTGATTCTTCGTTGCCTTCACTTGGGTTGTTGGTAAGCTGTGTAGAAGAATCTTTAGGCTTTCGTTTTCTTCTTATCTTTTTAATAGCGGAAGGGGCTTCTTCATCTTCGATTTTTTGCTTTTTCTTGCATGATAGTGGATTAGGACCTTTAGCCTTTCTTTTGACACCGAGCTCTATTTTCATCTTTTTGAAGTCTTTGTCTTGGTAGAGGCTTTCTTTTTCTTGCCGCTCTTCTTCTCTTTTTTCTATTCTTGCGTTTTTTAGCATTAGCTTTAAGTTATAACCTTTATTATAAATAGAAATTAGGCAATGGTTTAACATTTTCCTATTCATAAAATAGCAGTGACAACTTCTATTGATTATAAAAGGGGATAGCTTTTTCAGAGGACTCTGGTTTTAGCTTGATTTTTTCTTTTCGTTGGCATTTTATTAAGCTGACTTCACTTGGAGGATCCAAAGTCATTAAGCCATGCTTAAAGTAAATTAAGGGAACAGACGGAATTTTTCTTAAGGTTTCTCTTACTTTCTTTATGAATTGAGAGAGAATCTTAAAAATTCTAAAATCATTCTATTGAGATTATTATTTTTATTCCCTATTCAATTAATAAGCAACACATTGCATTGAGCCTGCATGGTTTTTTAAAAGCCTTTTTTTTGCAAGATTTGATTTATATATACAAATTAATTTGATTAGTTAAAATTGGGTGTGACCAGTAAAAATCATTTTAATTTATTCGGTACCACTTTTATTTAATAAATTTTTAGCAATGCAAAAAGATTGAGTTTATTAATTTGGTGGATTAAGGAAACATCTTGTGTGGCTACAAAATAATGATGCCTGTTCTTTTTACCAATCATTTTCAATATACATTCAGTTGGTGTCAGGATTTCTTCATGCTTGCATTCATCTTGTCTAAAAGATTTGGCGATATTTATTGTCCCAGCAATAAGTTTATAGGAGTTTTCCCTATATGGCCTGATAAGGGCCGTGGGTTCTCAGTGGAATCCCTCTGTTAATCAAACCAACTCAGTGCGTTGGTTTGACCAATTCACTGATTGGTTCAGCCAGCAGAGGGATTCCACGGAGAACCCACGGCCCTTATCGGGTCATATAGGGAAAACTCCTATATCACTTTTGTGCAAATCTTTCAGTTCTCGATATACGCAGGGCGAAAGTTTTATGTGTACGATTCCTCCGACAAGCTTCATAAGCATTTCTTTTACATTTCAATGAAGCTTGGCACAATATTGAATAAAATTTCCATCAAGAATAATTTCATAAGGCTAGGTTGGTTAAATTATTAAAGTCAGGCGTTAGCCATATTGGTGACGCAGCCATCAAAACCTCCTATACGGGAGGTTAAAACGCTTTTTCGCTCCAGCCTAGAGGGTCTTTCCCCCGGAGGTGGATGCCTGTTTCGGTACATTCTGTTTCCTTCTTGCCTTGCTGCTTCAGTCTTTAGTGAGCAGCTTATAAATTTATGCGGCCTTGCTACGGGCGATTGCAGTAGCTTGACTCAAATCATCAACTCAAGAGTTTTTCAGGTTTTGAAGTGCCTTCCTTCAACAGCTACAAGAAAAAGACTACTCCTTGTGGCCTGGGCTGAAAACCCCAGTTTCTCGGTAGAGAAATACTCATGGGTCCTCGGATCAAAGGACGTTGTTGAGCACATCCATTTCCAACCACAGGAAAGCAGCAAAACCTACCCGGATACACATCTCTCGAGCCTGAACTTGATTCTTGAATTGAGTCCGTCCAAGTTCGTCATATCCATAAGGTCTGGACTGTTACGCTAAGAGGGCAGGCTCGCACGTTTCGCCATTTTAATGTATATATAAGTTCATAAGGCTCTTGGAAATTAAAATTTGTCTTATAAAACATCACTGTTTTCTTGTATTGCTTTCCTCTTTTAATTCTCATTTATTATATCATAATTTAATTAATATTAATTATACACAATCTTTAATATTCTTTTTTATATTTAAAATTCTCAATAAGCACTATTCCTATCTTTTCAGAATGTTGATGGCTTAATAGACTAGTTTACGGATCATACCTAATAAGATCCCATCTATAAATGAGACAGTTTTTTTATCTTGCTCCAGCTCTGGTCATTTTCTTTCTATAAGGTTTGCAAAATCTACAAATCAGCCTTCCATAGTCCTTGAGACTCGATAATTACAGCCTTCTTGAATAGCTTTGACCATATCAAGAGTGCTCCCATTTACTTTTCCATCTGGAAATTGCTGAGCCTGCCTTGCCAATATCGGTAGATCAGTCTCTTTAAACTCTCCACTCCATACTATACTTTGCCAATACCATAAGCAGCTCACTAAATCATCAAAGGAATCACTTCTATCCATATCTTAAAAAATATAAAGTATTTTATATGATTTTTATCAAATATTTAGTCACAAAAATTTCATCCATATTCTAGCATATTTTCTTTATCATTATATTTATAATTATGAGTAGCTTTGGGACAATTGTTAGGATTTTAAGACCACGTGCAGATATTCTTGGCCTTCTACTCGTAGAGCTTATAGTTGGAATTATCATAATAGAAAAAAGATCATATACAGAAATTGATTGAATTGCTTATATGCAAGAAGTTGAAGGATTTCTTAAAGGAGACTGAAACTATCTTAACTTAAAAGGAGACACCGGACCATTAGTATATCCTGCAGGCTTTGTTTATATTTATTCAGCGCTTTATTACATCACAGATTTAGGTAAAAACATAAAAGTAAACAACATTTAGCTTGGCCAGCAAATATTTCTAGGACTCTATTTATTGAATTTATTTACTGTGCTAAACATTTACAAAAGAATTAAAAACCACACTGGAATCCTTGCTATGGTTTTATGCTGCTTATCATATAGAGTCCATTCGATTTTCCTATTAAGATTATTCAATGATCCAATAGCTATAACTTTTATGCATTTAAGCATTTGGTTAATGATTAAGAATAAGTGGGCACTAGCAATAATTGTCTATTCTATTGCACTTTCAGTAAAGATGAATATTCTTTTATATCTGCCTGGAGTTCTTTTACTATTGAATTGGTCTAAAAATTATCGACTAATGGTTCTAGCTTTGCTTTATATAATCGTTTTTCAGATTATTATAGCTATACCGTTCTTGAGTGTAAACCCTTCTGGATATCTGGTAAGAGCTTTTGATTTTGGAAGAAAATTCGAAATGAAATGGTCTGTAAATATGCAATTTCTTCCTCTTGATATATTTTTGTCATCAAAATTCCATTTATTGCTTTTAGTATCACATGTTGGATGTCTTATATGGTTTTTGATTTCTAAAGCTTCTGATGGAAATACTATCAAAGAAAGACTCCAGTCCCTCAATCTTCCATCTTCTGTTAAAGAATTTATTTCTCCTAAAAATCAAAATAAAACTTTGGACTCTTTTAGTAATTTTTATATAGCGATTGTGTTCACATTATTTACGATCAATTTAATTGGAATTACTTTTGCAAGATCTCTACATTACCAGTTTTATTCATGGTACTTTTATTCTCTTCCATTCTTTGTCTGCCTTGGTACTAAAACTCATGTGAAATTAGCTTGCTTTATAGGGATTGAAAGTGTTTTTATAGCTTATCCACCTCACCCAACTTTTTCATATTTTCTTCACATGTTCCATCTTTACCTTTTAAGTAGAACCTTCCTAGCAGTAAAAAAACTAACACCATATCCACATAAAACAGACTAAATACTAGAGTATAAGATAATCACAGCTATTAGAAAAATTTTTAATTTTATCTCTTTAGAATTCCTATTAAAATCTCTTATGAAAAGAGCTAATATTAGATCTTAAAATTGAAATTGCAAGTAGATATTTAATCTATTTAATACTAAGATTAGCTATCAAAGCTATACGATAGATGTGAGATTGCTGGGCTGAACCCCATGCTGCTTCATATATTTCATTATTTGCTTACTCCTACCTCTGTTAGCGAACAAAATAATTTTGTTCACTCATAGAGTGAGGGGTTAATTTTTTTTTAGAAATTAAAAAAATTCCATTGTTTAAAATAGAGAACAAAAAAATTAATTTCATTTGCAATATTTATGTTTTAAAATGTAAGCTGTTTAAAATTAAATAGAATTAGCTAGATATTTCATTACTATATGTTACTTATATTTAATTTTTTTCCATAAAAAATCTTTATATTAAAGTAATTTTTTGTTGGCTCACACTGAGGGTGGCTTTGGAAAAAAATAAGGATTTTTTTAATGGTTTGCTTCTCTAATGGAGGGAGATTTAGGAATTTCTTTTAACACTTCTTTCGCCAGCAGCTCAGGCTCATTTTTGTATTGTCTATATTGAACAAACTGCACAATATCTCTTACAGCTTTTCTTCCTCTGTCATCTTTCAGTAAAGCACTATCAGAGTCTAACGCTACAAGTTTGTCAAAAAAGTCCCATCCAACACCAACTATAATAATGCTCAATGGCTTTTCACTTGCCTCTACAATGCTTCTCGTTGTTTCCCTGATATCCGAATAGTCTCCATCAGTAATAATCACTAGAATATGATAAGTCTTTGCATCAGACTCATTGATTATTTTAAACTCAGACTGCAAAACCTCATTAAATACTGTAGGCCCATCCAATGTGATTTTGCTTAAACTCTGCTTATAGGCTTCCAGAATGCCTTCATATCCTTCAACATATGGATTTGCCTCATTTTCATTAAGCGGAAAGCAGTGACTCGTAATTCCTATCCATGATGGTATTCCTCCAAACCCAAATGCTGCTAATTTATTATCGCTGTCATATTCTTTTAACTCCCCACCCCCTCCGTGAGTGAACAAAAAAATTTTTTTTTTACTCACGGAGGGGGGTTATTTTTTTTTTTTTTAAAAAAATTTATATATAAATTTTATAAAAAAATATTTTTTTTTCTAAATTTAAAAAAAATCCTAATTCACAAAAATTGGAAAGCAAATATTAATTTAATTTATAAAATTCATTTTTTAAAAAGCAATTCGTTTAAAATTAAACAGAATTTGCTCTAGATTTCATTATTATTATTACTTATATATCAAATTTTTTTTCCATAAAAAAAATTTTTCAATTAAAAAAATTTTTGTTCACTCAGGAGGGTGGGCTTTTGGGCAAAAAATAGCGATTTTTCTAATGGTTTTGTTCACTCACAGAGAGAGGGGAGTAAAGCATTTTCCAATTAGTTCTATTGCATTTTGGTATTCATTTTTATAGTTTGGATCTGGGTTGATATAATGTAAACTGTTATTATTAGAGGGTAAAAGATTGGATGCAGTAAAATCTATAGCAAAAGTCAAGTTTAAATTCATTCCGGCTCGGATATAATCGATAAAAGTGTCAGCTTGAGTGACAGTGACATCTTCCACAAATACTTCGCCAGAATCTCTATATTTTTTATTTTTTCTTTGTTTCTCATGATTTATAAGTGGAAAATTAAACCCTTTTTCTAATAATTGTCCAGCTTTACAAGTCCCAACTCCTATCAGTTCGAAATCTGTTTCGCTATCAAAATCAAAACATTCGAATTTTATCATGGTCTCTAAATCCCCTCTGCATAATTCATTCATTTCAAGCATAATAGGGTTCCATTGAGGATCTAGACAGTCATCAATAACTTCAGTCGTATGAATTAAAATCCAATCTCCGCTGTGTTCTCTATAAATTTTTAAAAATGGGTCACTTTTACTAAAAGTGTCCAAATCGTCTAAATGAGCTCCTCTTAAAGTTAGCAAAACCTTTTCTTTACATGAAATTTCTTCTTCAGCATATAAAGAAATTGATCCCACAACTTCGTTAGTTTCTAAGCTTTTAAGCTCAAATTCCAACTGAGGAGAACCGACAAGTTTTGCCAAGGTCACTGTTGCAAGCCCAATATGCCTCTTGTCATTTTCATTGTCTTTTTGAAAAATATTAAAACGAATGTATTGAAGAGCCTGAAACTTGTAAATTGCTTTTATAGGGGTTATTCATTGGAGACTTTGGGAGTCGTAGATTACTTCAGTCTCTCCTAGAGGAGACCAAGTTTGTTTGGGGCAGGTTTGAATTTTTGCTTCACAGTATATATTTGTGGCTGGGACCAAAAGGGTACTAGACACATGGATATCTAAATTTGAAGTGGGAGATTTAAGCTTTTTAGCTTCCATTTTACAAATATTTAATTGCAAAACAATGTGGGTTTGTTGCATTTTGGCCGTTTTTTGATAGTTAAATATTAATTCTACAGCCAAATTATCAATAAAGGTATTAAAAATCCTTTATTTAAAGAATTCATGCAGCTTTAATATTGAGAAAATTATAATTCATAAATTAAATGGAAGAAGATCATATTTTTAAAGGCGAAGAAGAGCTTGGAAATCTTGTAGGGAGACTTCGAGACGTCTATCTTTTATACAAAGAAATCAGGAATCGTCATAGTATTACTATGGATCCAAGAATAAAAGAGCGAATCCACAAGCTGGTATATTCTTCGAAACAATCAACAATCTATTTAAAACACCCAGATGCCCAACGAAGATTCAGAGAAGAAATAATAGAAAAAATCGCTGAAATCCCAAGCCCAAAACCTATTCCTTTATACCCAGACACTTTACTATCTGACTATTTTTCACTAAAATTAAAAAATACTCCACCTGAAATCCGCGAAACTTTAGCAGAATTCAGTTTCAGCCGAATCCTCTTCCTTCAGCAATACAAGTATAAATTTCTTCTTAAATGAGCCTTTTTCTCACAGCATTTCCCTACACTAGTGACTATTTCCCAAGTAAACGAAAAACTACAGTCAATTAATTTATTAGTAAATGATTATATTTCAAAATATGAAAGGCTAAGATATGATGAAGAATTTCCAGGATCAGAAAACCGGCCATCACCTAAAACAGATGAAGGGACAAATTTATTCCTGGAAGAGCCAACTATTTCTTATAGCAGTATTTCTAGAGATGATATAAAAGACTTTTTATCAGTGAATTCTCAAAGACTTCATGATGAAAGAATTATTACAAGGTATCTTTTGAGACTAAAATGGCTATGGGTGTTCCACAGGACTGAAATTTGGAAGCGGTCTATGGAGTTATTGGCTAATTTAAAAAAGAAAAGCATAGAAAGGATGAAATTGTTGACAGGAAGCGAAGAAATTGGAAAACAGAAAATTGTGGTCAGGATGGTGACCAATATAAACTTAAGAAATTTAAAGCGACAAAAAGAAATGATGAAAAGAGCACAAGCGGTCCATAGCACATTTGCAGAGGAACATTTAAATTTAAATGAAGATTTATTGAATTCTAATATAGATACAATTGACAGCCCACCAACTCTAATTGTAGATGTAAAGCAGCTGCAAGGGCTATTAGATAATCTAACTCCCCCCCCCCCCCCCTCCGTGAGCGAACAAAAAAATTTTGTTCACTCACGGAGGGGGGTTAATTTTTTTTTTTTAAAAAAAATTTATATATAAATTTTATAAAAAATATTTTTTTCGAAATTTAAAAAAAAATCCTAATTTGCAAAAATTGGGAAGCAAATATTAATTTAATTTGCAAAATTTATGTTTTAAAACGCAATTTGTTTAAAATTAAACAGAATTAGCTCTAGATTTCATTATACTAATTATCACTTATATATCAAAATTTTTTTCTATTAAAATTTTTCTATTAAAAAAATTTTTGTTCGCTCACGGAGGGTGGGTTTTTGGTCAAAAAATGGTGATTTTTCTAATGGTTTTGTTCGCTCACGGAGGGGGGGGGGGGAGTAAGTAAAGAATTCGGCCTTGTAGGGGATTTGCAGCTGGATGATGGCCATTCTTTATCATATCAAGTAGCTCATTTGCTTCCTGAGTTTTTTGAGCTGCAAAGACAAAGGCTTGATTGGTATCCTTATAACAATGAAGAAGAAAAAGAAAAGGCAGGTATACGATACGAAAATTTAAAAAATCTAAAAGTCCATCGGCTAACAGCTATTCGTAAAGCTTATTCATTAAGTGAGCAAGGCGGGTCTTCTTCAATTGCGTCTAAATCTATAAAAATTGTATCAGCCAAGATGCCTGATTGGATTCATTTAATAAAGCTAATTCCAGAAGTTCCTATATGGTATCGTCGCCAAAAAGCGAAATTGGCTTATTTAGAAAGGAATGACCAACTGCTAGAAACAGCTTTTAATATTCTTGATGTTCAAGATCTACCTACAATTAACAAAGTTCTTGAAGAGTTTTCTTTAACTTATGCAGAAAAAGCTTCCAAAAAAGGTGTGTTGAAAACTGAAATCGGGATCACTGATAACGACCTCAAGAAAAAATATTTCAGCTCTTTACTGCGAGAAAGAACTGTTGCAAATTTGGCAGGTGAAGAAGACTTAATAGAGCTCCCAACCCAGTGCATAAAAGCACTATACACGTTAAAATTACTGAAATCACGAAATTTGAAACAAAAGCTAATTGATAGGGTGCAGATTCAATTATAGTGCATTTTGATAATGTGCATTAACCAAAAGCACTTTTGGTCAAAAATTGGTTGAAACTTTTTGACAGTGAGACATTTGACCGAAAAAAAACCGTTAAATTTCGCCAAATGTATTTCGATAAAATGCACACTGTCAAACATCCACTGTCATTTGACATGGAGCCAATTGATATGCTAAATGTTTATAGAAGTATTCAAAGAAGATTATCATTCGATATCTCTGATTTAGGGAGCAGAGAACAGCTTAAGCCTGATGCAGAACTTGATATTCTAGTCAAAGATAATACAGGACACAATCCAACTGTGCCGTCTCCTAAAACTGTAAACTCCGACAATATCTTTGACAAAGTGCCTTCTTTATTTGGCAGGAGAGACCAATTCGAATATGTAGAAAACGAAATTTATGTAAAAGACGACCAAGGAGAGTATGTAGCATACACAGTAATCCTCGATGACTATAAAGAGATCGAAAAAGAGCTTATAAAGCTTGGAAGCTATTATATTTTGCAATACGAATGCTGGTGCGAAGATGAAGGAAACAATTATCCATCAATAGATAGAGACTTTTTAGTCGGTGAGCTGCTTGATCTAGAAAGTAAATTCCAAGAAGCAAAACTAGAACTCATTATGACTTATATGGAAATATATGAGCATGCAATAGAAAAAGAAACTCACTCCCCCCCCCTCCGTGAGCGAACAAAAAAATTTTGTTCGCTCACGGAGGGGGGTTAATTTTTTTTTTTAAAAAAAAAATTTATATATAAATTTTATAAAAAAATATTTTTTTTCGAAATTTAAAAAAAATCCTAATTTGCAAAAATTGGGAAGCAAATATTAATTTAATTTGCAAAATTTATGTTTTAAAAACGCAATTTGTTTAAAATTAAACAGAATTAGCTCTAGATTTCATTATACTAATTATCACTTATATATCAAAATTTTTTTCCATTAAAATTTTTTCTATTAAAAAAATTTTGTTCACTCACGGAGGGTGGGTTTTTTGGTCAAAAAATGGCGATTTTTCTAATGGTTTTGTTCGCTCACGGAGGGGGGGGGGGGAGTCAGCTAAAAGTTGCACAAGAAGTAATCAATTTAATGGCATTACGACCAAGGCTATATCTAAAAGCATCATATTTCACTCAAAGCTACTGGGCACATATAAGTGCTATAGAAGAACATAACCGTTTATTGGTGTCCATCCTTACGCAGCAGAGGATGTTTTTCCATGTAAAAGATGTATTAGATATAAACCCTGCTTTATCAAAAATTAGCCAAATTTTGCCTACAATGCAAAGATGTGTTGATGAGTTATACACTATTTATGAAACAGAAACTCCATTAGCATTAAGCACTTTAGAGCAAGCGTCATGGGAATTTGCTCAGAAGGATTGAAAATATAGCCAATGCACGTCACTAGTTTTGTTTGAAGAAGGGGTTTTGATTGATAAAGCAGAGCTAGTGATGGAATGTGCAAAAGAGCTTGGCGCTGAAGTAAAAACGGGGAATTGAAGACTTTTACCTGTTTTAAATCAAACCCCAACTGATAAAAAAAATGTTGAATTAAATATACCAAGCGAACTACAAATTTGTTGCAATTTGATGGAAGCATGAAGGTATAGAAAATCTTTAGAGCAAGCTATTGAAGAAACCAATATTCTAGAAGAGCTTTATAAAAAACAGTGCATCACTATGAAAAAAGATAACACAAGCTTAGATTCTGCTGAATGGAACTTAGGATTAAGGCACATTGCTGAAGTTGACGATGGACCAGGCTCAAGGACTGATTTTTGAATACCTGCTTTTGAATTTGACCCTAAGCTTAAAGCTAACTTGCATTTTGCAAGTGTTCAAGCTCTCAAAGCTTTAATGCTCCCATGCGGAATCTGCGAAATTAAAGCTGCAGCTTTATACCAAACTATGCACAAGCATCTGCTTATGATAGCAATCCAAACAAACCAAAATGCTCTTGACAAATGGACTAAAAATATCGCAGAAATTGAGCTGGCAAGAGATTTCAGCTATATTCCAAAGAAAACCAAAGCAATATGGTCAAATGTACTGGGAAGAAGAGGCGAAGGCCTCTTACCTGAAAAAGCAGAAGCAGAAATCCAAAGACTTAAATCCCGAATTTCCGGGGAAGCCAGCAAATTCTTTTTAGACATAAAAATCCGAAAAATGAGGCACAGAGTCAAAGTTGAAAACGCTTATAAACGAATCGCTGAAAAATACAAACAAATTCTAGACGAAAATGACCATTTGCCACTTGTCCTTAGAAATGTCAGGGCAAATCTTATAGACGGGTATTGCAAAGAGGTGCTGAGAGATGTATATCATGATGCTATTAAAATCCAAATAATAAAAATCCTGCATGAGTACAGAAGGATGATGAAAATCGTGCCAAGCAATGTTTACCAGGAACAATTTGAAGGTATTGAAGATGAGCTGAGACCCAGAGTTTTTGTAGGAGAAGACGGAGAAATTGTGAATATTGAACATATTCCTTCGACTGAAGAAATTCTGGCTATGAAAGGGTTCAAAGAAGAAGATTCACATATGTGGACTGACTGAAATCCGTTTTCTTCTGCTGAAGTTTTGGATTTGTCTACAGGAAAAATCAAAAATATGACTTTAGGGCTGATTCCGAGAGAAAAAGAAACGACACTGCTTCAAACAAAAAATAACTGGAGATTTCCATCACCTGTAAAGACTGCGTTAGAAACCATTATAGCATGCGTTCAAATACTCCAAGTTAAGTTTTTCATATATTTGCTAGGAGAAAACAGTGAAGAAGTGATGGACTTACAAGATACTACTATTGCAGGGTATGATTTTTGGAAAATTGATGAACAAAAATCAGAAGAAGAAATTTCACATAAAGCTGTAGATGATATGCTAAGTGCTCAATCTCCAAAATATTCATTAGAAGAGGACATTAAACGAGGACTTGGGAGCTTAAAAGGCTTAGCTACCCAGTTTTTAGTCGCCACAAAAGGTGAAAAGCCCAAAATCTGTGTGATGCAGTCCAAAAAAGTCTTTCAAGTATTCGCTTCTGCCCTCTACCAATCTCTCCACCATTCATTAATGCACGAAAAGAAAGAAGACGCCATACAAGTGTCCGAATTTATGACAATGCTGTTTAGACTTAATAGGAAGAATTTTGTATTGAAAAATAAAGAAGTTGCTCCACTGTTTTCTAACCCTGACTGTGATGTAATTGATGCTTGTGAAAGAATTGTATATATAGACAATGATAATAGAGATACATTTTTAGGACAGGTATCAGGGGCTTATATGTGGGATTTAGAATGAGGACTATTAGAAGTGTCATCAGAAGAAAGAAACCACACACTGGCAACTACAACTGCAATGTCACTGAGTATAACTTCTTATATATCCTCTAACTCCCCCCCTCTGTGAGTGAACAAAACCAGTAGAAAAATCCTATTTTTTGCCCAAAAACCCACCCTTTGTGAGTGAACAAAAATTGTTTTAATAGAAAAAATCTTTTATGGAAAAAAAATTTTGATATATAAATGATAATTAGTATAATGAAATCTAAAGCTAATTCTATTTAATTTTAAACGAATTGCTTTTTAAAACGTAAATTTTATAAATTAAATTAATATTGCTTTCAGATTTTTGCGAATTAGGATTTTTTTAAATTTCGAAAAAAAATATTTTTTATAAAAATTTCTATATAAATTTTTTTAAAAAAAAAATTAATCCCCCTCCGTGAGTGAACAAAATTTTTGTTCACTCACGGAGGGGGGAGTAAGCAATTAATGAAATCTAAAGCTCCATTAAAATCTTTAGAAATCACTCTTACTTATTTGCAGCCAGAACTTGAGTCTTGAAGGTTAAAATGCGCACTATTTATGTGGAGGACAGATAAAGACATTGTGACAGACCCAGTAGTATATGAAAAAATATCAGCACAGTATAGAGATACATTGGAATGGGTGAAGGATACTCAGCTTCCTTCAGGCTTGTCTCGAGAAGATAGAGAGCTGCTAAAGCTTCAAAATGAAGTAAAACTGCTAAAAGATACTTTTCAGTCATTGATATGCTCATTTGCCATTAAATTCATTGAAGGAGAGGTAACCTCACTAACAGAAGCTTCTCAAGCAGCTGGCCAATATGGAGTTAAACAAGATTTTACATGCAATATTGACAATAATTATACAGATTCTACTAGAAAGATTGGGATTCTGCACAATTATTTAAACACTTTGAGAAACCGTTGCACAATTGTTGAAGCGCCAACTTGTGGAAAAGCTTTGGTTTTCTCTATCAAAGACTTAACCCAACTTACTAAAAGATTTGCAGACCAACTTCAAAGATATGCAGAAGCTGAGTTCCGTGCCAGAGAAGAAGCCACCAGCTTAGAATACCAACAGCTATTAGCTCAGCTCCGGCAAAAAGAAAATGAAATCATGCTAGCTAAGCGAAATATCGATAACTTGAATACAAACATGGACAATCTTGTAAATGCTCAATTATCTCAAAAAGGCAACCAACTAATATACGAGTTAGACATTTCTCATAGGCAGCTTCAAGAAATCAAAAACAACATGAAGCTACTTGAACATCAAATACGAGAAATTGTATTATCAGAGTACAGACAACAAATTCAAGAAAAGGATAGAGAGATTGCTGATCTTAAGCAAGCTTTTAAAAGCTATCGAGATGAAGTTTCAGTAGAGCTGAAAACTGATATAGACAGTCAAAAGGCAGAAGCATTGAATGAAATTAAGTCAAAACCTACAAGTAAAGTGAAAATTCAAGCAATTGATCAAGTAATAGAAGAAAATGATACAAGTACTAAGGAAAGAAGGAAAAAAGAGCTGGTGTTGTTACAGGAAACTATTAGAAAAATGAGAACTATGCATCAATGGGCAAGACTGAGAATGAATCAGAATTTTGAAAAGCATATACAAGATCTCAGGGAGCAGCTAAGCTCAAATCAATATTTGTGGGAGCAACTTAATGAGTCACAAAGAAGAGAAGCCTTGTTAAAGCAGGAATTATCATATACACAGCAAGCATTAGCTGCTGCAGAAAAACTCGCAGACAAGCTTCAAACCCAAATAGAAGACATGAATAGCCAACGTTTGCAGCTTCAACAATACAAAGCAAACAAAGGAAAAAGGCTAGCAGAGCTTGAAGAAAAAATGAAGCTTCACCAACGACTAGAGTTTGTTGATAACTACAAGCTTATGAACCAATTTCAAATCCAAAACAAAAAGCTTCAAGTCATGAAATCAGGCGAAATTGACGCAGGCAAGCAATATTTGCATCACCACAATGCTTATAATAGAAAAATCCAAGACTTAAAACTCAAACTTAAAAGTGAAACCAAATTAAAATTAGAAGCCTATGACCAGCTAAACATGATAAAAGAAGAAATGGAGGGCATTGACCAAGATCCAGAATCAATGGCTACTATATGGAGAAACCGCTACTATGATTTACTTGAAGAAGTAAAAGACCTTAAAGGGCAAAACATTGGCCTAAGAGACAAACTTATTGACATAGGAGAAGGAGAATTTGTAGACAAACACGAAGACTTGGTATGCAGGGCTAAGTCCAGCATAGGAGAAGCCTTGCCAAGCATTTTCGCTAAGACTCCTCAGAGAGCCAATCTTTCCTTTAATAGTTTGAAATAATTTTCATTTGAAATATTAAAATGGTAGCTAATAACCCTCCTGATCTTGATTTAGAAAGTATCATCGACAGACTTATTGAAGTTCGAGCTTTTCGGCCTGGAAAACAAGTGAATTTGACAGAGCAAGAAGTTAGGAATCTTTGTATGAAATCAAGAGAAATCTTTATGTCACAGTCGATTCTTCTGGAACTATCTGCACCGATGAGAATTTGTGGAGACATCCATGGACAATATAACGATTTATTGCGGCTTTTTGAACAAGGCGGGTTCCCTCCAGAGTCGAATTACCTATTATTAGGAGATTATGTAGACCGTGGGAAGCAGAGTTTAGAAACCATATGTTTGCTTCTGGCTTATAAAATAAAATACCCGGAAAACTTTTTTTTACTTAGAGGAAATCATGAATGTGCGAGTATCAATCGTATTTATGGATTTTATGATGAATGCAAAAGACGATACAACATAAAAATATGAAAAACCTTCATCGACTGCTTTAATTGTCTCCCAATCGCTGCAATTGTTGACGACAAAATACTTTGCATGCATGGAGGACTTTCTCCTGAACTTTCTTCTATCGATCAAATTAGAAGGATTATTCGGCCTACTGATGTCCCAGATACTGGGCTATTATGCGATTTATTATGAAGTGATCCTGATAAGGATGTGCAAGGGTGGGGAGAAAATGACAGAGGCGTTTCTTTTACATTTGGAGCTGATATTGTATCAAATTTTTTGAGGAGACATGACTTAGACCTGATTTGCAGAGCACATCAAGTTGTAGAAGACGGATATGAATTTTTTGCCCAAAGGCAACTTGTTACAGTATTCTCAGCTCCAAATTACTGTGGAGAGTTTGATAATGCTGGAGGCATAATGAGCGTTGATGACAGTTTAATGTGCAGCTTTCAAATTCTAAGGCCTTCAGAGAAAAAACAGAAATTCAACTATGGAGGACTTAATGTAGGAAGGCCTGTAACTCCACCAAGAACGAAAACTGTAAAGAAAAGTTTCACTTAGTTTTATTAAATGTACAGGATAAACTATTCTAATAGATTAAATGTATTTACTGCTTAAATATCTTTTTGATCCCTGACTTATATGAATTTTTTAATTCAATTCTTTTCATTTCTATATCTTCTCTGATTTTATTAAGCGTGCTTTCTTTATTTATTCTTTCGTCTTCAAGAAACTTCATGTTGTTTGACTGTTTAGTGTTTACACATGTGTTTTCGAGATTTTTAATTGAATCTTTATAGATTAACAGATTTTCTGTTGCTAATTAGTTGATACCAAGCTGAGTTGATTCTAAAAAGTTGATTGCTTTTATTTGGTTCATTATAGATTTGTGATCTTCTAAATTTAAAGTAATTTTTTCTAATGACTCGTTTTGCGATGAATCTTAAATAAAATTTACAATATTTTTCAATTGCTTGAAATTCTTTAATAGACTTTTCTAGGGATTCATTTGAAGCAGAAAGTTGGGATAATACTTGAGTTTCCATTTTTAATAATTTTTATATTTTCTTATTAAATTTAATTGCTTATGGCATATAATTTAATTATTGAGAAAATTAATATACTTTTGTATTGCAAAAAAACAAATTTAATTCAAACTAGTTTCTTAAATTCAATAAAATCTTATAGTTTTCTTTTTATTTAATTAATAAATTACTTGACTTCAAAAACCAGTTAAAAAAGAAATAAAATCCCATTCTTGTCGTTTAGTCAATAAAATACACTCGAGTTAATTTTTCGACATAATATTTTTAACAACTGATTAATTTGATATATTATCAGCTTCGAATTTTATATTTAGATCTCTAACAGATTTGCTATAATCTTTTACAAGTTTTGCCTTTTTAGTGTTTTTCACCCATTCATCTCGGCCAACATTTACTGGTCCAAGGCCACCAAGCATTAGGTAATTTTTTGGATTTATTTTTTTGAAATCTTCCAAATTATAAGGCTGAAAATCCGTATATCTTGGCTTTCTTGAAAAATAAAGAGATCTTTCGATATCCTTATTTTCGATATTAAACGAATCCTTAAATAACGATCCTTTTGACTTAATGCTAGGTAAGCTTATTTTCCTATTAGACTGAAACAGTGAAACCGTTTGCTCAGCTTTACTAGCGACTAACTGAATTGGCATTTCTTTAACGCTCTTTTGGCTCAATGCTGGCTTCGGGGTAGTATATGGCCATGCAGGAACAGAGATATGACCGTATATATCACGGCAATAAAACTGACTAATATCTTTATAAGGCGTCATGTCCAAATTCCCTGTATAATTCAAATGTTTAAACTGGTGAAAATGCATTTGATTCAGATTAATTGTTTTTGGGATCGGCTTTTCATTTCCATGTAGTGTAATTTGGCTCAAATTTGTGCTCTTTGACCTCATATTTATAACCTTACTTATAAAAATCTAATATTATCTAGGCATTTCACTTGGGTTAAAACCAAAAATTTTAGTTGTGACTTCATTAAGCTTTTTTCTTATATCTTCAAAATTTGGGTTTTTTTCTATATCATATTTAGTCATTGCTGCAGAAATTTGTAACTCATCAAAGCCAAACCTCTTACTCCCCCCCCCTCCGTGAGCGAACAAAACCATTAGAAAAATCGCCATTTTTTGACCAAAAACCCACCCTCCGTGAGTGAACAAAAATTTTTTTAATAGAAAAAATTTTAATGGAAAAAAATTTTGATATATAAGTGATAATTAGTATAATGAAATCTAGAGCTAATTCTGTTTAATTTTAAACAAATTGCGTTTTTAAAACATAAATTTTGCAAATTAATTAATATTTGCTTCCCAATTTTTGCAAATTAGGATTTTTTTAAATTTCGAAAAAAATATTTTTTATAAAATTTATATATAAATTTTTTTTTTAAAAAAAAAAATTAACCCCCCTCCGTGAGCGAACAAAATTTTTTTGTTCGCTCACGGAGGGGGGGGGGGGGAGTTAAGAACCTCATCAGACTCCCTTGATTTGAGAACCATAACTTCCATTGGATTCGTCAAAGGATGTGCAGCCAAATACTGATTGATAAAATCGCATGAGTAAAAGAGCATTTCTTTCAATTTCTCTTCAGTTAAGCCTTCAGGAACGTCTCCAGATCCTTGAATAGCTTCAATTGACATATTTTCAATAGCTTCTTTTACATCAGCGTCATTTTGATAAGTTCTTACTGAGTTATCAAAAGCTTCTGAAGGAATTCCATGCTTTTTGAAGGTTTCAGCTGAACAAGTCAATATTAAAAGTTCTTGGAATTGAAGCTGCTCCATTACGACAGATCTATATTTTTCTTCATCAGTTCCATAGAATTCTTGCCTTTTTTCAATGAATTTTCTGCCACTTTCAAATAGCTTGTCTTTGGCTTTTAAGGTGAGACTTCTAACAACCATCAGCAAATTTTCTTTGGATAGAATTCCGTTTTGAAGAGTCAATGGCTCAGAAGGGGCCTCATCACTTGTGGAGAATCGGGTGAATTGAGAAATCATATTATCGTAGTCTGCTTTTACCGACTCATCCATACTTGTCATAGGGTTTGGATTTTGTTTGGCTTCAAATATGATTTCGTCACCTTTGTTATTTAGATAAGCTAGAGCTAATTCTCGTTTGTTTGTGATAGGGTGGTCATTCCAAAAGACGGTGAAATTAATAGCATGGCCAAGATGATGGATAGCATTTAGCAAGTCTTCCCATGATGTTGGAAGACTGTCAATTGTTACCAGTTGATCATTGAAGCGAGTATATAAAATGGCGATGGAAGTATGCCTGACTCTGGAAGCGATTTTCTCAGCCTCATGACCTGGTGAATTGGGCAAGAAACATTGAGATTCAGCTCTGATATGTGCTTATGTATATCCAGGTAGGTTTTGACTTAGTTCCTGCTTGAAAGAAATAATCTGGCAATGTCCCCAATAAGATGGACTTCGACGCGATACCAAGGTTGTGGCTGGGTCCAGGGATTAGGCCTTTTTCCTGTAGCTGATGAGGCAGACAACCCGCATCAGTCAGACTACAGGTTTCCCTGGATCAACTACTTCTTCAATGCACGCAAAGCAGGGCCGCAGAAATTCATAGTCAACTCAACAATGGAACACTAACAAGTCAAAGAGTAGACGAGCCTTCATTGTGCTCATATTTAGCCTTGTTTTAGCAGATTCTAGAGGAGAAGAAAGGTGGCATCAGAGCACTCTTGCTGGTGAATCATCGTCTCATTCGTCTTAACCGAAGTGTAGGGCTTCGCAATCTGATGAACACTTACGGGTCCTCGACAATTGCGGTGGCCGATGCGACTTCCCCCATCTGTAACTTAAGATTAAGAAAATTGACGCGAGCTTTAATAGGCACCGTTCTTTCCATTTTTGGTTATCTAAGATACTGCGATCATTTACATTATTTTTGTATATTTGATGAAATCAAACGATGCGATATTATTTGATGAAATATTCATGGAAAATTTAAGAGATAAAGTTCAAAAGTAGAGAAATTGTAAAATATCTTGAATGACTTACATATTATGAATAAAACAATTGATATGACGATTGATTTTATTTAGATTTTGCAGATAAAATCAAAATAAATAGAGAATTAAAAAAATTTGTTAATAAAATCTTTCAAACTATTATATATAATCCAATATAAAAATTTGTATAATTTTTTGAAATTTTAAATTGTTCTCAATAAGGAAAGAGAATTGCATGCCAAAAGATCGATTTTTAGTTTATAAATAAACAAAATCTATATAAATAATGCTCATTCTCAAATTCGATTTATTCCAACATTTGAATTCTTATTTTTATTAAATTTTCTTACAAGCTGCAACCCCTAACAAACCTCTACACTATTTAAATTAAAATTTCCACGTTCTTATAAATTATGGCTATAAGCAGCAAGAATGTCTTTGAGAAATTTCAGCAGAATCAACCTCATCCTCATTTTCACCAAACTCAGCAAGATCCTTCTGAAGACATAATCAGACTTTCTGACAACGACCTTTATAAGCGCTTTAAAACATATGAAAATGAATTGAAATCCACCCTTGAAGGCAGAACCAATGCTTCTATTGTCTTGCAGGAGCACACAAGCTTCACCAACCCAAAACGAAAAATCGTAGAAGTCCTCATGCAAATCATGTGCCGGTCCTCCATGCTTCAGATGATCCAGCAAAAGCAAATCGACGAACGCTTTTGGACGCTGATTAAAAAAGAAATCAAGAGGGCAGAACAAGAATTGCAAAAGTCAAATGGCAGCTTAAAGCAAAATTTTGAGAGCATGCTGTTGAAAAATAAGGAAAGCTTGGGGAATATGATAAAACAAGCATGAAAAACTTTTGAGCCATTAAAAGAGCCTCATTTGCCTGATGCCATTGCAAGGAAAATGCTGGGAAGGCTGCTAGTTGCAGTAGCGGAAACTTTGAAACTGAAAGGAAAGCAAGATAAAAGTATCCAAAAAGATGTGAGGGATTTTTTGAACAGGTCTTTAAAAATTTATATGGCTAATAGATGAATATGGCTAATATTTGATTTATATTATTAATATGAGAAAAAATGCTGCTTATTATAGCAAGGTTTACTCATTTTCAGGCAGAACTCACGAATTATTAGGATGTAAGGTTTATTGTAGTATTCCATCAATGAACTGGCGACTTATTTGGAGCAGTTTATGGCCTCTCACGAGCCTTATCAACTAGTGAGCCTATAAGTTGTAGAGAGCAGCTATTTAATATATATGACGAACTTAGGGCTAGATGGGATCAGCATCAAGCATTAGTGAAGGTATCGTCTCAGCCTTCTTGGTATATCAGCTTTTGCTTATCATTTTTAAAAATCCAAGGGGTTTATTTGACTGGGGTGAACACTGATGATGTTACTTTTCTAATGAGATGCTGCTTGGAAAATATGGACGTTTTTCTGGGCAGGAAAGAAAATGCAGAACAATATTCGAATTTGCTGGTCAGCATGGTTCAACTGTGAATTTTCACGGTCCATATTACTGTAAAGGACTATAGAGAGCTTCAAAATTTGGTAAATCATGATCCAAGTTTGTTTTCTGGAATTTTGCCTGGATCTGCAACCCAAGTTTTTGAGTATTTTAGCCAGTTTATGCATAGAATTGTGCAGAAAATAGAAAATTGGTCATCATCGTGGCTTGGTGCAGTTCTTATATTTTTATACTGAATTAACTCGTATCGTGACCTTCCTAAGCTTCTTCTTACCCCTTCATTAAAAGAAGACTTAGAGACCTTAATGCTTACTTTTTTTTCAATTCCTGATTCTGATTGTGCTTTAAACCTTCATCTTTTACTCCCAGAAGATGCAAGATCCATTGGATTTTTACCTTTGCATGACTATTATCTTTCCCATAAAGACTTTTTAAATGAACCAGCCCCAGTTAATCAGTATGAAATTATAAGAGCTACAATAGCCCGTGAGTTAATAAATGATTTATTAGAGCATTTTAAAGAGAAAAAAGAAGTAAAAGAGGACGAATTCTGGGATCCTTTGGGATTTGACGTTGACCAAGCTGGATTGTTTTTTGAAGAAGTAAAAGAAGAAAAAAGATTGATAATCATTGATGGATCTAATGTAGCAATAAGGCATGGAAATGGAGCTTTTTCTTGCAAAGGAATTAAAATTGCTATTGAATATTTCCAAAATAAAGGATATGAAGCTAAAGCTGTTGTTCCTGACCAGTATCTGCAAGGAGACAGAGTAGAAGAACTTAAACTTATTGGGGCAAATGCTAACTCCCCCCCCCCTCCGTGAGTGAACAAAAAAATTTTGTTCGCTCACTTATAAAAAATATATTTTTTTTCGAAATTTAAAAAAATCCTAATTCGCAAAAATTGGAAAGCAAATATTAATTTAATTTATAAAATTTATGTTTAAAAAGCAATTCGTTAAAAATTAAACAGAATTAGCAATAGATTTCATTATACTAATTATCATTTATATATTAAATTTTTTTTCCATAAAAAATTTTTGTTTCACTCACGGAGGGTGGGTTTTTGGGCAAAAAATAGGGATTTTTCTAATGGTTTTGTTCACTCACGGAGGGGGGAGTAAGAAAATCCCTGTCGGATTCGAAATCCTAAAAACCTTAGACTCCAAAGGTCTTTTGATAAAGACCCCACCATGAGACTACGATGACTCTTATGCCTTGCAGTATGGAAAAGATAAAAATGCAGTAATTATCAGCAATGATAGATATAGAGACCATATCCAAAAACACCCTGAAAATGGCTCATGAGTCAGAACTCATACTTGCTCGTATACTTATGTAGGTGATGATTTTATCCCAAACCCTGACTTTAATTTCAATGTTGATCTCTAGGCTACTTTTTGCCTTTTCTGATTCCGTTGAAGCCGTCTCGCAAATTCGAATAACTTTAAAACTCATTGAGCATTAATAAGTAAAAATGGAATATAAAGAGACTTCTCCAGTAAATTATGATTATGACAAGGTATTGATTTTTATTCATCACACGAATAGATTAAATGCAGTGGATATTGAGAAACTAACAAAAAAAGAAATCACTGTAAATGTTTCTGAAAACATTGATAATAGAATATGCATGTGCATTATTCCTGGAAATAAAATTTTTTGCTATGGGAATTTACTTACTCCCCCCCCCATCCCTGATCGAACGATTGACTGTAAAAATTCCTAAAAATTGGGAAAATTAACCCCCATCCTTGATCGAACGATTTTCATATCATGCAAATTTTTATATATATAAAAATATATTAGTTATCAAAAGCTTGGGAAGATGCACATAATGAAGTTGTTTTCAGAAGCTTTGAGACGACAGAAAGCTACGGAATCAACTATTCGAAGTGATTTACTCATCAACCCAGACTTAAAAACTCAATAATCTAATAAAATAGAGATTTTTTTAAATTTTAAAAAAAAAAAATTTGAATTCAATAAGAAACAAATTAAAATTTATACATTTTAAAGGGTAACTAATAAATCAAAATATATTAAATTGGTATTTTATGAAATTAATTCAATTTTTGCTGTAAAAATAATTATTAAATACTCTTAACCCTCTTATTTAAAAGTAAATAAAAAAATATATATATATATTTTTATTTTTATATATAAATTTTTTTTTTCCAAAAAAAATTTTTTTTAACCCCCATCCTTGATCAAAAGATGGCGAGTCGTTCGATCAAGGATGGGGGGGGAGTTAATAATGGGAAATACACTGGGATTACATTTATTATAGACTCAAGCTATCGAGTTAAGCAGCTATCAAGAGGCTTTCCATGTGTCTCTTCATCTGCAATTTACTACAATGGTCAAATCTATACATTTGGCGGCTTTAATGGAACTTGCCTAAGCCTTTCTAAAAGGTTTGATTTGGCAAGTAACCGCTGAGCACAATCTGCTAATAATTCAATGAAATGAAGAGCATGCTCAATTGCAATATTTTTAGACCAATTTATTATAGCAGGCTTTGGAGAAACAAAAGCTTTTATATATGATCCTTTATTAGACTCTTTTTCTTTATTACCTTTAGAAACTCTTGTTAAAAGCTCAATTAAGGTTAATTGTGTCGCTAATGACCGAGCATATGTGATTGACTCATTAGGATATGTTTATGAAAGCGATCCTTTTAATTTATATAGCTGGTCACAATTTGTAAACGCAGCGATGATTGGAACGTTTATTTTTTCTTATCCTGTCATTTATAAAGATTCTCTTTATTTCGTTTTGGATTATAAACTATATAGATTCTATTTTTCTTTAAAAAAGTCTAGAAAAGTTCTTGGAGAGGTCATAATGGACTAAAGCTTTCCTGGGTCTATATTTTTAAATAATTTATTCACAATTTAAAATGGAGGAACGTTAGAGGTTGAAACTCCTCTAACGTTCCATAGGAAAGGGACTTAGGTTCCTAGAGGGTCTAAAATGACGAAGAGACAGCTTCCTGGAGTTGTGGCACTCCAAATGGTGTGCTGGAAAGAGAGCTCTTGCTTGGTCTGAGGCAGTTAGGTTCTAACGGTCGATCCACCGATCCGTTATTCAGAGCTGATACTGATCCTATCATATTAAAGGCTTCAAGGAAAACATAATTTTAATTAACTCCCCCCCCATCCTTGATCGAACGATTGACTGTAAAAATTCCTAAAAATTGGGAAAATTAACCCCCATCCTTGATCGAACGATTTTCATATCATGCAAATGTTTGGGTGAAGCGGAAAAAAATACACTGTATTTTTTTCCTACAGTTTCCCACAGTCAAATTTGACATAAAATTTTCCAATTTTTTGAAACGATAGGAAAAAAATACATGGAAAAGAAAAAAAAATTCGAAACCAGGGCGGAAAAAAATTCAACCCCCAAAAATGAAAAAAAACCGCATGAAAAAAATACACACATAAAAAAAAATATTTAAATTACTAATATTTAAAAAGAAGCAAAGAAAATGCTTTATTAAATATGAATGACAATAGCAGTCATTGCATTTGCTATAAATTCACATAATAGATAAAAAATAGATGCAAGAACTGTATCATATGCTTTATAGTAAAAAGTTTTCTGTGTTTTTTTTCCAAACCGCATGAAAAAACTACTATAAAAATTTGAAATACAGATCTTTAAGTCAAATAGAGTTAAAAATAAAAACAGTCCCAGCTTAAATCTCTCTTTAATAACGAGATTTTAAGAATAAAATTAATGCCTAAATGTTAAAGATCAGTTTAAATAAAAAAATTAAAAACAGAAGGAAAAAAAATTCAAAATTTTTTTTCTAAAAAAACAGCATGAAAAAAATATCAGTAAAATTTTAACAGTCTAAATTTCGGCATGAAAAAAATACAATAGAAAAAATTTAGCAGGAAAAAAATACATATAAAATTATATATATTTTTTTTAAAAATTTTTTAATTAAAAAGATCCAAAATATCTAAGGATGAGTTATCCAAACTCTACTGTGTGTGTGATTAGTAATAATAAATGATAATAAAACGATTAATTATTTATATTTCTAAGTTTTATTCCTTCTGGTTTGGAGTCGATTACACTGCGCTTAAGTCCACCTGATCAACTCTTCTTTTAATTGTCTATTGGATAGTTCTAACTCCCCCCCAATTAATAGCGGACGAAAAAATCGTCCGCTATTAAAAAAGTTCGATATTTATAAATATTTTTCTATTTAAAATTTTTTTATAAACGGCTGAAAAAAAAAATGCATTTTTAAGTCAAAAGAGAAGCACTAAATCTAATAAAATGGAGTTGAATGGAGAAACCAGAAAGAGAAAAGACTAACAGCTGGTGATAAGCTAGTTATTGCACAATACTACCTGGATCATCAAAATGAAGGTCTTTCATATGAAGATATAGCCTACAAGTTCAATATATCAAAGTCAAGTGTCGGCGAATTAGTAAAAGGCATTCATCAATTGAAAAGGGGAGATCAAGGTTTAAAGAAAAGAAAGCCAGATGCATATTATTAGCTCTCATAATTTTTTAATACCTTTGCGCTTAAATTAATTCTATTTAAATATTCCATCTTTATTTCATTGGCTCTAGTAAATTTATGTTATGCTTTGTTATGTTATGTTATGTTATGCTATGTTATGTTATGTTATGTCATGTTATGTTATGTTATGTCATGTTATGTTATGTTATGTTATGTCATGTTATGTTATGTTATGTTATGTTATGTTAAGATGCTATGTATTTTAAGTCCCTACTTCGCCGCCGTGACGTTTTATGGAGATAACCCCGTAAGGTGGCTAAGGCGTGGCCGCTTCAAGCCCGGTCCGAAACCCCGGCTTCTCGGTAGAGGTGATGACCAACTGACCGCCTCCATTTCCAACTTGATTCGTCGCCCTGAATCTTGCGTCAACTCTGTCCGTACGTCGCCAAATCTGCCCACTGAAGGGCACCTTTTAATTGGGGAGAACCCCGATTTCTCGTCTAATTTGCCTTCCCCTCTTTTCCGGTCATCCCGAGAAAGAACTCAACAGCTTTCGCCATTCGGGGCAAATCACAAAAGCAGCTTAGGCAGCTATGTCGCCTTGCCTCATTTCTGACACCCACTAGGCTGGGCTCTGCTGGAAAAAAGGAGTCACGAATAACTGCCCAAGTGTCTTGGTCACAAAAACAGCGATCTTTGCGCTTAGACCTCTCGCCTTGAGGTACAAAGACATAGCTGGGCCAATTCCTGGCTCCAAAAACCATGCCCGGATATACACAGGTAACTGTCTCAAGAGGACGGGTCGGAAGTCATCCGCCATTTTATGTATATTAGTAAATTTATAATGAACGATTATCTTATATAATTTAAAATGTTTTATAGTAAAAAAATTTCCGTTATTAAATGGTACCTAAGAGTCCATTTTTAGGAAAAAAAAAAAAAAATTGATTTCGTCCGCTATTGGGAGTTAGATATTTTGGATCTTTTTAATTAAAAATTTTAAAAAAAATATATAAATTTTTATATGTATTGTTTTCCTGCTAAATTTTTTCTATTGTATTTTTTTTCATGCCGAAATTTAGACTGTTAAAATTTTACTGATATTTTTTTCATGCTGTTTTTTTTAGAAAAAAAATTTTGAATTTTTTTCCTTCTGTTTTTAATTTTTTTATTTAAACTGATCTTTAACATTTAGGCATTAATTTTATTCTTAAAATCTCGTTATTAAAGAGAGATTTAAGCTGGGACTGTTTTTATTTTTTAACTCTATTCGACTCAAAGATCTGTATTTCAAATTTTTATAGTAGTTTTTTCATGCGGTTTGGAAAAAAACACAGAAAACTTTTTACTATAAAGCATATGATACAGTTCTTGCATCTATTTTTTTATCTATTATGTGAATTTATAGCAAATGCAATGACTGCTATTGTCATTCATATTTAATAAAGCATTTTCTTTGCTTCTTTTTAAATATTAGTAATTTAATATTTTTTTTTATGTGTATTTTTTTCATGCAGTTTTTTTTCATTTTTTGGGGGTTGAATTTTTTTCCGCCCTGGTTTCGAATTTTTTTTTCTTTTCCATGTATTTTTTTCCTATCGTTTCAAAAAATTGGAAAATTTTATGTCAAATTTGACTGTGGGAAACTGTAGGAAAAAAATACAGTGTATTTTTTTCCGCCTCACCCCCAAATTTTTATATATATTAAAATATATTTGCTATCAAAAGCTTGGGAAGATGTACATAATGAAGCTGTTTTCAGAAGCTTTGAAACAACAGAAAGCTACGAAATCACTATCCGAAGTGATTTAGTCATCAACCTAGGCTTAAAAACTCAATAATCTAATAAAATAGAGATTTTTTAAAATTTTTAAAAAAAAAATTTGAATTCCATAAGGAACAAATTAAAATTTATACAGTTTAAAGGGGTAATTAATAAATCAAAATATTAAAAATTAGTATTTTTTATGAAATTAATTCAATTTTTTGCTTTAGAAATAGTTATTAATTACTCTTAAAACTCTGATTTAAAAGTAAATAAAAACAATATATATAAATTTTTTTCCCAAAAAAATTTTTTCTTAATCCCCATCCTTGATCGAACGATGGCGAGTCGTTCGATCAAGGATGGGGGGGGGAGTAAGAATTAATCAATTCAATAATTTATTGATATATTTTATATTTTGAAAATTTAATAACTAATTTACACTATGCTGGCACTAATTTGTTTGATAATAAAATTTCAATGTCTGAATATTTTTTTACAAAATATATCTTCATAATTTTTAGGCTTCAACTATAATCTGCTTACTCGACCTTTCCCTATCCAACTATTAAAATGGAGTTGCCTAGTAGACATATAACTATGCAAACTTTATCTCTCGTTAATTTGCTTCCATTTAAAAATAAATCTAATGAGTTTCAGCTTCCAAATGAAGGATTCTTACAAGCCGAAATCTATAGTTGAGTCTTCTTGAACCAAGCTTGAAAACATTTTTTCAACCCGTGGAACTTCTGAATCCTCAACAAAGAAATCTCGCTCAAAAAGCACAGATAACTCAAAGAAGCGGAAAAATCCATACTTTATATCAGATTTTCGCAATCAAAGCACAACCAGATCAAATAATATCTCACCTTTGCGTAGAAAAATTATAACGAATGATAATAGAGATATTTCTACAAGTCGGCCTACAAGTCTTTCAGTTTCTTCTCTTTATCCTAAAGTTTATAACTCACCAGTTAAATTATCAGTCCCTGGGCTTTCAACTTTACAGCTTCATAGAATTTATGAAGCAAGATGCAAAGACCTTCTCATTCCAGTACTTTTAGACCAAGAAAGGATATTTTTCAATTTCTGCTTAAAGCATTTTAAAAATAGAAGGTTTGAATTAAATGAGTCAGGAATTGGCGTTGAAAGCGCCATAGCAATAGGAGAAATTTTGCTGAATAATGAAGAGTTCGCGTATTTAGAGCTCGCTAAAAATAAAATGGGAGATGAAGGCGCTATTGAATTAACAAAACTGATATGTAAAAATAGATTTTTGGTGCATTTAGATATGAGTAGCAATGATATTAGCCCGGAAGGAGCTTCAACAGTCATAAATTTGATAGCGGATCATCCAACGATAGTTAGTTTGAATTTATCTTCAAATGAAGCATTGCATAGGAACAGGCTGGGAGTGCTAGGAGCTATAGCAATCCAAAAAGCTTTACAAAGCAGCATACTTGGGTTTATAAATATCAGTGGAACTTCATTAGGGAATGATGGCTTAGTGTATATAATTGAAGGGCTTAGAAACAACCAATCTTTGGTTTCTTTGAATCTATCAAATAATGGATTAGGAACTGAAGGTTTGGACAAGCTTTCTCAATCAATTTCAACCTCATCACTAAGAATGCTAGGATTTTCTCAAAATAGGATAGGAAATGATGGATGCAGTTACATCTCATCTTTGCTTGCTGGAAACTATGACGGGCCTTGCCCTTTAGAGAGTTTAGATATATCGAAAAATGAAATAGGAACTAAAGGACTAGCTAAATTATTTTTTTCACTAAAAGGAAACACTCAACTTCATACATTGAATCTAGAAAAAAATCCATTTTCCACAGGACTTTCGTCATCTTGCCAACAATTTTTGATAGAAAATGAGCATTTAAAATATTTAAATCTTTCAGGGTGCGAATTAAAATCAGAAGGCATCCATATGCTATTTACTGGATTAGCAAAAAATAAAGGATTAATATCGCTTGATATAAGTTCAAATGATATTGATGATATTGGGATAGAAATTATAGCTAGTGGCATTGCAGGGAACCAAAACCTAAAATTACTTGACTTAAGCAGTAATAAAATAAAAAACCGAGGAGGATGTGCTTTGGCCAATGCATTTAAAATTAACAGAACACTTGAAGATTTAAATCTCAAAGAAAATAGTATCAAAAATATTGCAGGGCAGCTATTTAGCGAAGTATCAAGATATAATACTAATATTTTAAGGCTGAATTTAGAAGCAAACCAAATAAATTTCAAGTATTTCAACGAAATTAAGCAAAATTTGGCTCATAATAAGCAGCTTCATATAAAAAACTTGATTCCAAAACTGAAAAATAAGCTTGAAGATATGCAGTTTGATGAAAGAGCTATTGAAGAGATCAAAGAGCAGACTGAATTAAGGAAAAGAGAAAGAGAAGAACAAATGCAAAAGTTATATAAACTAAATGAAAAATACGAAGAAGTTAAGTATACTGAATATCAAAGGTTTCTTGAGCTAGAAAATGAACTAAAAAGTTATAGAGAAACTAGCATTGAGCTCAGTAAAAGTCTGGATTTTTTAAGCTTAGAAATCAATGTGAATGCTATTTAGAAAGAAACAATCCGAGGAAATAATGAAGTAAATGAATGATTTCAGAAAATCGGCAACGAAAAAGCTGCATGCAAGCAGCTAGAAAGAGAAAGTAATTTATATACAGAAACGCGCTTAAAAGAAGAAATTAACTTGAAAAAATGCCAAAACCAAAGCGAAATTGATAATTTTAAAGAAAAGGTCGAAAAAGAAGAAACTTCTAAAAGAAATGCTGAAATTACTCTAAGCTATATCAAGAGAAAGCTTGAAGAGAAAAAACTTGCCTTAAACGCGATAAAGCACCCAAAAGTCCCTGCAAGAGAACCTAAAACCTTCTTAGCTAGTGAAAAATTAGCATCAACTAAAAAGCAAAACCATCGAATCATTGCAATAGAATCCCGCACTATCGATTCCAATACACCATCACCTATCAAATTAAGACGAACTAAAAGCTCTGGAAGATCATAAATCTCATAATTTTGTATATTAATATAAATAACTTATCATATTTAATTATGAGTAGTTACATCATCGCAGGAGAAGCTGGAAGTCAAGCCTTCACTTATTGTGAATACCTTGGCAAAAAACTCTCACTGAGCGCTCCAAGTGTTTCTGTCCACATCATAATGAAGCATCCTACCGAATGAGAAGCATTTTTAGATAAAATTATTAATGGCTATGGATTCAAAACCCGATCATCTCCAATTATTTTTACTACTGACGGGAAACTTATAGGAGACAAATCAGAATTTAAAAAGCACATCCTTTTCACATATGGCTTAAAAAGCGACCTTGACCCAATACTGAAATCATCGATTGCCTCATATGACCAAAAGCAGCTTGAAGATTTCAGAGAAAAACAAAGCCGTGGACCTACTTTGGCTGAGTTTATGAAACCTCGTATAGCTGAAATCAAAGCAGAAGGAAGCACAAGAGTGATCCCAGAATCATATGAAAGAAAAATCGACAAAGGACTAGAGTTTTTTGTGAAATCCAGCGAGCAGTTATCTCCATTTTTGAATGATTCTTTCCAATATCAAGTAGAAGTCTCTTTTATGACTGCCCCAGAGCTAGCTCCTGAAGAGCCTAAAAATCAGCTACCTTCTGAGCCAATTCTTATAAATGAAGAGCTGGCAGTAGAAAACAACCCTACAGACACAAATGAAGATGAAATAACTGAAACCCAAGAGCAAGAGGAAACAGAAGAAAACCAAGATGAGCCTTCTAAAGAAGACATAAAACCAAGCGAAGAAATACAGCCAAGCCAAGCAGAATCTAGTGATGAAGAAGACTCATTGATACAATATGAAGTCAATGATGCGAATTTAAACCATTTTATTGAGAAGTTTTCTGGAGCCAAATCAATGTTTGAGGTTGTGAATCAAGAAGAATTAATACCAGTCCCTGATAATGTAAAAGCACTGCTGCTGCCTGATAATTATGTTATTGATTCTTTGAGAAATGAGTTTATTTTGGCAATAAATCCTTATGCAATTGTAGAAAATGAAATGCTGATTTTTCAGTCTGAAGGGACTGATCCTAATGGGAATTGGCTTATAAGGGATACTTCTATGATGAAAAATTGGCTAAAAGTGCTAAATATTCCTCCGCAGAGGCCTGTTTATAGAGATGGAGCTGTTGTTGACCCCGTGATACCAAAAGAGCCAATAGTTGTAAAAAATCTGACTCCCCCCCCTTTTAAATTGGAACAAAACATCGGTAAAAAATTCCACTTTTTTGGTAAATTAACCCCCCTTTAAATTGGAACAAAATTTAATTTTATAATAAAAAATTATATATAATTTTTTATCTAAAAAGTTTTGATACAAGTTAAATGCTTCTTCTTAACTAAAATTAAAAATTTATTTATATCTTGCTCTTTTTTAAAGAAAAAAAAGTATAAAGAGCATCTTATTTAAATAAATTTATTATCCTTAATTGCTAAATTTTAAAAAAAAATTAATTTTTTTTTTTTAAAAATTTTTTATTTGGATAGTTTTGATATAAATTCAATAGGAATTCTTTATAAAATTTCAAAATTTACTTATTTCTTGCTTTATTTTAAAGAATAGAGTATAAATAACATCTTATTTAAACAAAATTAGCACTTTGATCGATAAATTTTCCAAAATTTTTTTTATCAATAAAAATAAAAATTTTTGTGTAAATAATTTTGATACTAATTAATAGTGGCGTATTAAACTAATAATAAAAAATTAGTTATATCTTGCTTTGTTTTAAAGGATAAAGAGCAAATAACGTTTTATTAAACAAATTTATTGATCTAATTCGATAAGTTTTTGAAATTTTTTTTTTGTTGAAATTTTCATATTTTTTATAAAACATTTTATATTGATATTGTTTTTTAAAAACAAAAATTAACCCCCTTTAAATTGGAACAAAATTTTTAGTTCCAATTTAAAGGGGTGGGGGAGTGAGTGGAAGCCTTCTAAACCAAAGGGGGTATTCTGATAAGCAATTGGATTTAAGCTCTTTAGAATGCACAAGAAATTCGTCTTTGAGATTAAATACTATAAATATTCATGTGAGACATTTGCTTACAGAAGCTGATTGGGAGGCTTGGCATGCATTAATTACAGAAATTGATGCCATTGGATTTTATCAATTTGTTCCTTATGGCGAACAAAAGTAATTTTAACGTAGCTATCAGCCGCTAAGGTCTGGTATAGCCCCTGAAATATTTTAGATCATTATTGGTCATCCTTTTAATTTTCAAAATTAATTTGTACTTATCAGCTTTTTCGAAAAGTAAAAACGAAAATGACAAGTCTCCGTTTATGGTTTTAAGGTACCTAATTAGACTTATACTGTATAAGGCAGGTGCCCTGTACCATATTTTTCTGGTCGGTATTCTGCTGGGGTATAGAGATCTATTAAGGTTCATGAGCTATATAATGCAAGCAATACAGCTGCCTATTGAAAAAATTGATATTCTTCCTCTTCAGATACTACTGGATGCTGTGAGTCCAGATTCCAAATTATTTACTTTAGAAGACTATGATTTTGACCATATCATTGCAAGAATTTCACCATCAATAACACCTCGAGCACTAAGCGATCTTTATGTTGAATGCATTGAAAAGCTTGACATTATCCATAAAAACCTGAGTAATATTCATATAGACTGTGGCATGAATATCATCCTTATGAAAAATTTCTTATTTTTGGCACCTGTTTATCGGCCTTGGGTCATTTCCAAGGGCAGAAAATTATTTGCTGAACCTCTCTGGTATATAGGAATATTTAATTTACCAATTTTACCTAAAGAGTGGCCTGAAACTGGAGGAGTTACAATGCCAAAAGATCCGCTTTCTTTATTAGAAAAGAGCTCTAAATTTAACTATTTTTCATAAATAATTTTAAATTAATCATGTAAGGAATATAAAAATAACAGTTATGGCAAACCAGGATCATAATTTCTACGCTATGATGCAAAGTTCTGGCAATTACCTCTTACTCCCCCCCTCCGTGAGCGAACAAAAAAATCTTGTTCGTTTATGGAGGGTGTTAATTTTTTTTTTTTTTAAAATTTATATATAAATTTTTTTAGGAATTTAAAAAAATCCCACTTCTCGAAAATTGGATGGTAAATATTATTTAATTTTAAAATTTATGTTTTAAAACGCAATTTGTTTAAAATTAAACAGAATTAGCTTGAGATTTCATGATACTAATTATCACTTATATATCAAAATTTTTTTGTCATAAAAAATTTTTGTTCGTTAGTGGAGAGTGGGTTTTTGGGCAAAAAATAGGGATTTTTTTAATGGTCTTGTTCGCTCACGGAGGGGGGAGTTAGTAAAAGACGACGTTGGAAAAGCTAAACCCTCAGTAAGAAATCTGCCAGGCGGCAATTTTACATACGGCAAAAAAGCCGCTGCAGACAGTGAAGGTGCAGGAAAAGTCATTTCTTCTTGGAAAATTCATGCACCTAGCAAGGACTTGCCAAATGATAAAGATTTCAAAAGACTAAACGTTATGAGTGCGACCAAAGGGATTACTAAAGCATCAGAGCAAGGGGTTTTTAGAAAAAACGTTGATGTCAGAGTAGGACTTTCTAACTCTATTCATCAAGAAGAAAAGAAAATCCCAGATATTATATTTGGGCAGCCAAATAGGCCAAGCACCCCTATAAATGCAGTCATCGAGAACTATTATGGAAGCGTAGCTGCAGAAATGAAAAACCAGGATTATAGTAGAAGTCCTAACATAAAGAAAAAGTCTGAAGAATCCAAGCATGAAAAAGCATCAAATCGTTCACCTGGACCAGCCAATGTGTCCCAAGAACAACCTCAGAAAAAAGAGTTCAAGATGAAAAAATTTCAGAATGTGAAGTCCAAAATTGATAATGTGAGGACTTAGAAACTCCTTCGCCTTTAACTTTATTTTCTTTTTTATTAAATTATTGGGGGCTGGCAAGTTTATTATTGATTTTTTGAGATATTTTCTAGACAACTAAATTAATTTGAAAAAATAGCGACTAAGTATATATTACAGTTATGGCAGACCTTCGGCACAATTTCTACGCAATGATCAAAAACTCCAACAATTATTTGTTAGTCAAAGATGATGTCGGAAAATCCAAACCTACTACAAGAACCCTCCCACCTAATGAATTCACATACGGCAAAAAAGTAGGCGAAGATGACGAAGGTGCAGGAAAATTAGTTTCCTCATGAAAAGTCCATAACCCAAGCCAAGATTTGCCAAATGACAGAGATTTCAAGAAACTCAACGCAATGAGCGTTACTGGAGGCTTCACCAAGGCTTCAGACCAAAGAACTTTTAGAAAAACAATGGATGCTCGCATACAGCTGACATCTGGTAGACGTCCCAAAGATAAAGAAATCCCTGATATTGTATTTGGCCAGCCAAACAGGCCAAGCACTCCTATTAACGCTGTGCTAGAAAACTATTTTGGAGACGTTGCTGTCGATATAAAGCACCAAGAATACAGCACTAACCCGAATATCAAGAAAAAATCATGGCAGCCTCGAAGCACAAAAGGGTTCGATAAAATGGTGGCTGCTATTAGGAATTCCCAAGAAATAACTCACTCCCCCCCCCCTCCGTGAGCGAACAAAACCATTAGAAAAATCGCCATTTTTTGACCAAAAACCCACCCTCCGTGAGTGAACAAAAATTTTTTTAATAGAAAAAATTTTAATGGAAAAAAATTTTGATATATAAGTGATAATTAGTATAATGAAATCTAGAGCTAATTCTGTTTAATTTTAAAACAATTGCGTTTTAAAACATAAATTTTGCAAATTAAATTAATATTTGCTTCCCAATTTTTGCAAATTAGGATTTTTTTAAATTCGAAAAAAATATTTTTTATAAAATTTATATATAAATTTTTTTTAAAAAAAAAATAACCCCCCTCCGTGAGTGAACAAAATTTTTTTGTTCGCTCACGGAGGGGGGGGGAGTCAGAAATCTGAGTTTAAAATGAAAAAGTTTCAAAATGTGAAATCAAGAACTGATCATATAAGGACTAAAAGGGCAATTTCTCAAGGGGTTTAAATTTATACCTAATTATACAAATAAAAAAATTATTGATTATCCGCTATCCTTTTTTAAATAAAAACAGGATAAAAGTAACCAGCAAGTTGTTTTTATTAGGTATAATTCCAATAAGCTATAAATTATATGCTCTTATACCTGGGATGCTTTGAAGGGATTTCGAGATTGTTGATCGGAAAGATTCTTGCATTTTATTAAACTCTTGTTCAAGCTTTGGCAGTTTTTTAAGCAAAAGTTCTTCTCCTTCACTTCTGTCTTTGATTATTTTAGGATGAAGTGGTATTATTGCTGGTATTGTATGTGAATTTATAAGTTTTTCTGTGATTTCTTCTAAACTAATAAATTTCATAGAAAGCTCTTGTGTTATCTGGTCTAAATTTTCCTGCCACTGAGCTAAACTATTTTCATCAAGTCTCGCATGGATTGCTTCTTCAACTTCACTTCATTTTCCCCTTATCCTTGGTAATAGCCCTTCAATATCTTTTCAAGCAGCTACAACTTCACTATAAACTTCTTCAACACTGCATATTCCTTACTCCTCAGTAATCTCGCTAACAACCAAATTTTCTTCATTTTTTTGAATTTCTGTAGCATTCTGTGCAGGGATATCTTTTAGCATGGCATCAAGCCAAGCCCAAAACACTGCTCGGTGCTTTGCATTTTCTTCTTTTTTCTTTTCCAAATTTTCATTAATTCCAGCTGCTACTTCAAATTCTTGTATTCTGCTTTCTTTTGAGGCTACTCATAAATCCTCAGGGTCTAAGCTGGGGTCTGCAGAATGAACCTGGTTAATTAATTTGGCTGTATATGAAATATGCTGGAAAGTCTCTCTTATTTGGATTAATAGAGCACGATAAATTGATACTATTGTGGATGGGGTAATTGCAGAGGGCGAGGGCATGTTTTCGTTTAAATATTCTTGAGCTTTTTGGTTAAGGTCTTCTATACTGGCAAATGGTGTAGGAGATGCACAGAAATTTGACTCGTAGTTTTGGAATAAATTTGTGTGGTCGGCAAGCCAGCCAAAGGCTAAAAGCTGCAATTGAGAAGAATTGGATTGTAGATGGACTGGGCAACCCCATTTGTTGAGGACATAAGCTGTTAAATGAGGAATTAAGGTCATATCTTGAGGAGGATTACTAACCCTGATTTCGAAGCCTCGAAGATGGAGAACGATAAGATGAAATAGCCCTGTTCATAATCTCTCTGACTGAGTTTTATATTACCACTTCTGGATTTCCTAAGCGAGCTTGCCTAAACACTTCAGGGTTTAAATATCGAATCCCATAAAAAGCGAGGACATTGCAGACATATTCAATTGCTTCTTTGGTCGAATTTGCTTCTCTTGGGTTTCTTTTACTCATTTTTAAAATATATTTAAATTTAATAAAAATATTTTTGTAACTTATGGACTATTAGCGCCGAATTATATTAAAAAATATATTAATTGAGGCTTAAATAAGTAAAAATCCTTAAACAATGTGTTTTAAAACTCTTGAAAACGAGTCCATGGTAATATTTTTTTTGATAGTCAATAAGTACTGAATTATATCTTCAGCATTTTCAATACCACCCCACAGTTCAGCATAGTAAACTGAAGAATCTGCATCATAGTCAAATTCTTCAAGCTTAGTTATGAGGATATAAAGAGCTTGATCGTCAAGTGACCTTAAAAATTCAAATAAATTTCCTCTGTGCTTTATTTTCAGGAGAAGTCTTTTAAGAGAAGGAGTTGGGATTTCCTAACTAAAAATGACCTTAAGTATCAGAAGGGGGCTCACACTTTCTAGAGCTTCAAAAATAAACTCTGTATCTCCTGCCCTAATATTTTCTAGCACTTTTTCTTCAATTTTTCCTAATTTTTTAATTTTTCTTTCAATCATTAAATCTGCATGCTGAATAACAAGCCTTCTAATACAGCTTTTTGCCAAATAAAAATCAAGGCTTCCTCCAAGATCTATATATTTTTTACTTTCATGAAGAGTCCCTTGGTCAATTCCTTTCCACCACATACTCAATGCAACAGTATTGGCAGTTGAATTTACTTTATGCCACCATCCTTCAGGTATAAATAAAATTTGTCCAGGCTTTAATGATATTTTTGTTCCTTGGTGCTTAAATTCTGATGTTAAGTGGTTATATGATTCAGAAAACAAAGACTCACAGCGGACATAAGAACTGGGAGGGTGCAGCTCTAAATCTTTCTGCCCATGCACGATACAGAGTAAATTTAAATATGAGTCATAATGAAATGCGGATTTGGTAGGATGAATATTCATTCACAGGTTTATTTCAAGCTCTTTATTTTGGACAATTCTAGGAATTTTGATGTCTTGCAAGAGAGGGCATAAGCCTTTTTCTTCTTTTGTATGAGTCTGGGAGAGAATAGGGCATTGCGCCATATACATGCTGACGCCTTGTTGGGCATAAAGTACGGATAAGGAAAGAAATTCATAAAAAGAAACACTTACTTTACTAATAATTTAAAGGGTAAATAAAGAAACTATTTTAATTTTAAAAGAAATAATATCATTTTTATATAAATAATTATATAGAGAGAGCTAGATATTGTTGCTCTCTATTCGCGCCTGAAAATTCAGCATTTTCATTAGCAACGGCAACGTCAATAAGAGATGTGGAGTCTATTAAAAGCTTTAACCGATCTCATGGAGGGAATCATTCCTTTCTTGCTTTCCACTTTTTCATACAATTGACAATCACGCATGGCAAATTGTGCTGCTCGAACCAGTAAAATGAGTCAAAGCTATGTCTTTTCCCTTCTAGATCAATTATATAGGCTCCTATGGCCCTTTTTTGACGCGCCCTTCTTTTAGTCATATTACTATATCCATTTTTAGCATGAATTTATTTATTTTTAATTGTTTTTGCATAAAATTCAATAAGAATGAGTATATTTTAATGCTAAACTTTCAGTTTTTATATAAATAATACGCATTTTAATTTATCAACGCAAAACTAATTGAACTCTGCAGACTTAAAACTGCTATGCTCTTTCATTTCTTCTTCTTTTATATCTTCACTGCTAATAAAGCTTATATGTATTATTGAGGATTCTTTAAAATCTGAGTGTTCTTTTAAGGCTTTAGAGTCGAAATTTTCTCCATTTGTATCAGTATTAATAATAAGTCTTGATATTTCTGGCTCTTCCATGTGATCTTGAAAATCTATGCTTTTTCTGTCTTCAATGACTTCTGCAGGCATTTTTGGCTTTTTTTGTCTTATTGCTTTGATTGCTGGGGGTGGGGCTTCTGGAATTAAATGGCTTTTCTTTAGTTTTTCTAAATAGTGGATGAACAAGTTATGACTTGTAGAGGTCATTTTTGCGATTTCTTGACGCTGACAGAGAACGTAAATCGATTTTACCTTTTCTTCTGTAGTTTTCAGGTAGATGAGGAAGCCTAGGAGAAGGACTGAGAGGATTAGTAGAATGACTAATAGCGCAACTAATATTCATCGCCACACACTTTCACCTTCATCAAGGTCAATTCCTGGAGTTGATGTTAAAAACACAATGACACCAATACAAAACACAAAAAGCAGGGCAATCCCAAATAACTGAGCTGTAAATTCTCCGCATAATTCTGAATCCTTGCAAATCCAACTTTTCTCTGTTTCACATGCAAATGCAAACTGTGCTTTGCACATTGGGCAAATATCTGATTGCTTTTGGATTATATTATGAATTTTATAATCTATATTAAAATCCTATAATTCTGACCCTATTTTTTGCAGAAAAATTAAATTTCCCTATTTTCTAATAAATATCCTGATATTGCACAGCATATCATCAAATATACAATTCCTATGTGCCCACGACTTTTTAGGGTTCACAGTATGGCACTGACATGGATAAATCAATTTATTGCTCAAATTATCAGCCCCACTTTTACAAATCCTGCAATAAGGCTTCAAAGTAGCAGCCTTAATTACTTTTCTCATCCTTGCCTCGCCTGAGCTCTCAATAAGTGAGCTCATCTGTGGGGTTGACGCTTGGTTATTTCTATCAGTTTGCTCTTCTAAGCTTTGCAGAATGCTTGACTCTTCCATTTCACTTGCTTCGCTTTCTTTATCATAATTTAATATAAATTCGTGATGGCAGAGCTTGCATGTGCTTTCTTTGCTTTGCCTTGAGTTTATGCAGTCTTCGTGGGCTCAGCACTTGGTTGTGCATTTGCAGACTTTGATAAGCCGGTGGTTTGGCTGCTCTTTTTGGCCACAAAATTTGCAGTTAATTGAGATTGGTAAAATAAAATTGTGATCTCTAGAAGAATGAGAAGGAATTTCTTGTTTTTTGATAGAGGAGAGCTCGAAGACTTGAGAGTTATGGAACATAGAAGAAGGATTTCGCATGCTGCTGTGATTAGAAAGTCCTAGAGCAAAGCCAGGCATCATATCACGGTTTTTCATTTATTTAATTTTATATTTTGAATGAAATTTGTATATGTGAATTTACTGATAGTATATGCCATTTTATTCTTAAACGTAGGATTGACGCTTAAAAGATAAATAAACTCTTATGATAGTAAATATAAGCCTTAAAAGACCAGTTGGATATTAAAATTTGAATTTCAGAATATTTGAAGCTAAAATTAGTGTATTGAAATGGCTAAATGTTGTAATAATTGCATTTAGTTTTTATTTTAAGCTATTTCAAAAACCTTTTCTGGAGCAAAAGCCATTAAATCAACCATAAATTTTTATTAATGATAACTATTTTTAAATTTTTTTATTTTTAAATAAAATAAAAATTAAATATATTTGACAATATATTTAACGCAAATTTCATTTGTATTTTTTCTAACTCCCCCCCTCCGTGAGTGAACAAGACCATTAGAAAAATCCCTATTTTATGCCCAAAAAACCCACCCTCCGTGAGCGAACAAAAATTTTTTTAATAGAAAAAGTTTATATGAAAATAAAAATTGACATATAAGTGATAATTAGTATAATGAAATCTAGAGCTAATTCTAATTAATTTTAAAAAATTTGCGTTTTAAAACATAAATTTTATAAATTAAGATTTTTTTTTAAAATTTCGAAAACAAAATTTTTCTATAAAATTTATATAGTCAGTGTCACTAACTATATATAAATTTTTAAAAAAAAAAAAAATAACCCCCCCCGTGGGCGAACAAGATTTTTTGTTCACTCACGGAGGAGGGGAGTAAAAGATTTTCCTTATCTGCCATTTTATAATTTTTAAAATTTAATTATATATCCATATTTACCTTCTTCACTAAACCTCTTTATATTCCAAACTTTTTTGTTATCAGACCTTTCCTCTTTATTTTTCTCTCGTTTATTTTGCTTTTAAAGCTCTCCTATCCAGCTGACACTCTTTCTTCATCATCAAAACTAATCTTGTCCATAATAATTCTTATATTTTTATATGAAATTTTCCTCTGATCCCCAAGTTTCCAAGCCATTATTATTCCACCGCATTCAGAATGGTCAAAAATATCAAACCAAGCATACAACGAGAAAAAGGCAAGACCAAACACAATTCGCGTAAACTGGATTCTCGGCAAGCCTCTAACGCCTTTAGCTCACGTCGATCTCGTATATCCCGCTCTTGTAATTGCTGCAAAGAGAAAGGAACTTTATTGCCTTGCACAATTTGCTCACAAGCTTATCACCTTACATGTCTCGGTGTCTCTGAGCTAGATGTCTCTTTTTTGCATTGGGTCTGTATTTCATGTGCTGACAACTTTGAAAAAAGGCTCATAGAAGAGGATACAAGGCTTGTTAAAGCCCAAGCAGCTGAAAAAGAGTCTTGGGGGAAGAAGCTTTATCAGAAACTTATGAGGACAGAAGCCGATACACTGATGAAAAGATTTAAAAATAAGCACCCAGATTTAGTCAAGGGAGGAAAAATCGCATATCCTATAGATGATACGCTTATATGGAAAAGCCCAGAGCTGCATGAAGTTGAAGAGAATGACCCTCCACTGCCAAAAGCTTATAATATAAATCCAGAGATATTGGGAGAAATTCTTTTTATATGCGATTTTTTATTTACTTATAAAGAATTATTACAAGTTCCTAAAGTAGGAATTGACGTTCTTTATAACGCTCTCAACACACAGCATGAAAATAAAATTGTAAAAGATTTACACATAGGGCTGCTCAGACCTCTTGTCGCAAAGATGATTAAAAAAGACAATATCGATAAAAAAATGAGCAGAGGTCTCAGCTATTTGCTGTGTAGAGCACAAAAAATAGCAAACTTAGAAGACATTATGGACACTTCATATTTGATTTTATTAGAAAGCATCTTTTCTTCAGGCTTGTGAAATGAATTTACCGAGGATTCAGAGCCATTTACGCAGAAATTTGAACTATTTCCACTCTCAATTTGTTATTATGAAAAATACACTTTACAAGAAAAAATCCAAATGATCGCTTTGCTTATCAGCATGCTATTAGACTCTATCCAATTTTATCAAGAAATCACCAAAAGAATGGAAAAAATAGAAATCCTTCGCAAAGAAAAGCACGATATCCATATGCAGCTGAAGACTTTGCAAAAAGGGAATAAAGTGAGCCTTGCTAGTACAGAAGTTTCAAACATTAATGACAGACTAGAAAAAGTTTTATTAGAAATGAAAGATATTAGGACTCGATCTGAATGTATAGGCAAAGATAGACATTATAATGAATATTATGTATTCCCATGAGAAAGAAAATTATTATTCGTTAAGCGTTATAAACCAATTGAAGGAAAAGGAAAAGAATCAGAGACAGGTTATTGATACTATTATAATACAAAAGAAGAGGTAGAATTGTTAAAGAAATGGCTATGTGATAAAGGAATCAGAGAAACAAAGCTGTCACTTGGCTTGGAAAAATATTTATTTGAGCTAACTCCTCATACTAATGGTGAAGGAGAATCTACATCAAGCGAAGGTGACCTTGGGGAAACTGAAAAAGAAGGAAAATTGGAAAACTCTGCATATAAGCTAGAAGATTTAAAACAAAAAATGAAAGAAGCATACACAGCGACGCTGAACACACTTGGGATTGGGAATTCTGAAGTAATGGACCAAATTGATGCAGCAAATAATGCAGATCAGCTTAAAGAAGCTTTTATTTCTTTATCAAACTGCACAGGATCAAAGCCAATTGAAGCAGTTTCAGAAGATTTGCCGATAAAAAAAGCAAAAGTTGAGATTTTTATTTGGGAGGATTATGGAGACCTTTTTCAGTTTTATTCACAATATTTATCAGGTGTTGAACAATTCCAAGAACTTTTCTTATGCTTCCACATATTTGCAGCAGTTCTTTATAGGTATCTGGAAGCTCATCAGCCAGAAATTCCACCCGAAGAGACTTCATATAGCATAGCAAGAAGATCGTACCGTCTGGAAAGACTTATATTGTATTATATTGAATATTCATATAAAATATTTATTTACTTTATAAGGATAAAATGTAGAGATTCACTGGGATTTAAATTATAGTAGAATAGGAAACTACAGCAAATAGAAGACGAATTTCGCAACCAAGAACAAGTCTGCTATGTATGTGGAGAAGCAGGGCTTATTATCTGCTGTGATGGATGCCCAAAAGTCGCTCATCAAGCATGTGCAGGCCTTGACGAAATTCCTGATGGAGACTGGTTTTGCTCTGAGTGTGTGATGAAAGCAGAAACAATGCGCGTTACTCGTCATAGAGCTAGGCTTACTAAATGTAGAAATTAACCAATAAATTATCAATTTTATATGTTATGAAAAAAGTTTCCGTATATACTTATAAATAAGAATAATAAACCCAGCTCTGACAAAACCATGCTATTTTTCATAAATACCTTAATAAAGGCATTTTATATATATATTTCCCGTTTTATTTAAATAGAATATGGAATTATACTTCACCATATAGTTATAAGTATGAAGCTTTTATATCAGTCAGCCAAAGAAGGAGTCAGAGCTTGCTTGCTTGCCCTTAGACTTGCTGGTCTAAAAGCGAAGCAAACTACAGAAAACCTTCCATTAGTAACTCTACAATTGGATGAAAAAGACAGGACCGGAAATCCTCTAGAAGTAATGGGAGAGCTCAGTATCTGCAGATATGCCATGGAACAGTGTCCTTGGAACGTCTCAGATAGCCTGCATCTTGATGAGTGGATTTTGTATTATCTTAAGCCAATGGCAGAACTTTCATCTAAATCTGCTATAAAAAGCAACGAAGCCCTATTAGAAGCCATTGGGTCTTTAGAGAGATCAGTCAAAGGCGACTTTATAGGAGGTCCCCATCCTGCATCTGCTGATATTTTAGGGTTCGCTTACTTGTTCCAATTCTTCACAGGAAACCCATGGATGATGAAAAAGTTCCCTGTGCTTGGTGAATGCTATAAAAAGCTCAGCGAAATTTATTCTGGCGTGCAAGAAGACCTAGGAGAACAAACTGTAGCTGCCAAGCCTAAAAAAACAGTGGAGTACTTTGAAGGAAGCCTAAAAATTCAAAGAAACAAAACGAAAGTGTTGCCAGAAGAAGGTAAGAGAAATATACTTATAACAAGTGCCCTCCCTTATGTGAACAATGTTCCTCACTTTACTCCCCATAATAAGCAAATTCTTGGGGGGTTTTGTACAAAATTTTCAAATAGTAAATTTTTATTGAATAGTTCGAAATTTGCTTATTATAGGGGAATGCATTTTTGACTGAAAAACCTAAAATAATAACTCCCCCCCTCCGTGAGTGAACAAAACCATTAGAAAAATCCCTATTTTTTGCCCAAAAACCCACCTCCGTGAGCGAACAAAAATTTTATTATGAAAAAAAAATTGATATATATAAGTGATAATTATTATAATGAAATCTCGAGCTAATTCTGTTTAATTTTAAACAAATTGCGTTTTAAAAACATAAATTTTATAAAATTAAATTAATATTTGTTTCCCAATTTTTTGTGAATTAGGATTTTTTTAAATTTCGAAAAAAATATTTTTTAAAAAATTTATATATATAAATTTTTTTAAAAAAAAAAATTAAACCCCTCTCCGTAAGTGAACAAAAATGTTTTGTTTACTCACGGAGGGGGGAAGTAAGCAAATTTTGATCTATTCATATAAAAATTTACTATTCGAAAATTTTTTGCGCAAAAAGAATTTGTTTATTACTGGGGAGTTAGGTAACATAATTGGCTGTGTTTTATCAGCTGATGTATACGCTAGATACTGCAGACTTAGAGGCTACAACACAATCTTTATCTGTGGCACTGATGAATATGGCACTGCCACCGAAACCAAAGCTATTAAAGAAGGCTTAACACCTCAAGAAATCTGTGATAAATATCACGCCATCCATAAAACAATTTACGATTGGTTTGATATTGACTTTGACAACTTCGGAAGAACTTCGCATCCAAAGCAAACAGAAATCGCCCAAGACATTTTCCTTAAGCTTTATAATCTAGAAGAACTTATAGAAGATGATGTCGAACAGTCATTTTGTGAGCACTGTAATAGGTTTTTGGCAGACAGGTTTGTTAATGGAACTTGTCCAAACTGTGCTTATACAGGTGCAAGAGGTGACCAATGTGATGCCTGCGGAAAATTGTGCAGCCCTGAAGAATTAGTTGACCCTAAGTGTATGCTGTGCAATAACACCCCAGTTAGAAAGACATCTCGCCATATATTCATAAATTTACCAAAAATTAAAGATAGACTTGAACAGTGGATTGGGGAAAGCTCAGCCAAGGGAAAATGGAGCCAGAACTGTATGCAAACAACACAGTCGTGGATCAGAGATGGATTGAAGCCACGGTGTATTACAAGAGATCTTAAATGGGGAATTCCAGTCCCACTACCAAACTTTAGTGACAAAGTCCTTTATGTGTGGTTTGATGCTCCCATTGGCTATATTTCTATGACAGCTACTCATACAGATGACTGGGAAAAGTGGTGGAAAAATCCAGCTCAAGTCGAATTAGCACAGTTTATGGGGAAAGATAACATTCCTTTCCATACTGTCATTTTCCCATGCAGCTTGATAGGGTCAGGAGACAATTGGACTAAACTGCACACCATTTCTACTACAGAGTATTTATCCGAATTCTATTTATATATAAGGCTAATAGGGCTATTTATAGCATTAAATCTCAAATTTAATCAAAATCAGCATAAATTATGAGGACGGAAAGTTTTCAAAGTCAAACGGCGTCGGAGTTTTTGGAGATAATGCAATGGACACTGGAATTCCTAATGAAGTATACAGATACTATTTACTAGCTAACAGGCCTGAACAATCAGATACTGTCTTCAAATGGAGCGACTTAGCTGCCAAAAACAACAATGAGCTTTTACCAAACGTCGGGAATCTCTGCAACAGACTTTTCAAGTTCTGGATGAAACTAGACCAAGAACTTGGAGTTGCAGGAGAGCTTAACTCACTTGACTTAGAGTCCCTCAACGAAGCTTACCAACTGCTCCAAAAATACGCACAAGAAATGGAAGAGCTTAAAATCAGACAAGCCTTAAAAACAGCTATGGACATTTCTGGTGCCGGCAACAAATACATCCAAAACAGCAAGCTGTGGGAGCTCAAGAAAATTGACTTACAAAGACTCCAAACTGGGCTAGTCGTTTCTAGCAACATCATAAGAGCTGCCATTCTTGCTTTAGAGCCATTTATTCCTGGATTTTGTGCTAACTCCCCCCCCATCCTTGATCGAACGATTGACTGTAAAAATTCCTAAAAAAATTGGGAAAATTAACCCCCATCCTTGATCGAACGATTTTCATATCATGCAAATTTTTATATATATATAAAATATATTATTATTTATCAAAAGCTTGGGAAGATGTACATAATGAAGTTGTTTTCAGAGGCTTTGAGACGACAGAAAGCTGCGGAATCAACCATCCGAAGTGATTTAGTCATTAACATATGCTTAAAAACTTAATAATCTAATAAAATAAAGATTCTTTAAAATTTTTTTTAAAAAAATTTAATTTAATAAGGAACAAATTAAAATTTATACAATTTAAAGGGGTAACTAATAAATCAAAATATTAAAAATTGGTATTTTATGAAATAAATTAAATTTTTTGCTGTAAAAATAATTATTAAATATTCTTAACCCTCTTATTCAAAAGTAAATAAAAAAAAAATCTATATATTTTTTTTTATTTTATATATAAATTTTTTTTCCCGAAAATTTTTTTTTTAAACCCCCATCCTTGATCGAACGATGGCGAGTCGTTCGATCAAGGATGTGGGGGGAGTAAGGTTTATTCTCAGTTATCAATAGAAAGAACTCCAAGAGAAGACACCTTACTCAAAGAAGTCTTAGAAGCCAATGACCCACTCTCCATTTTAACATTATTGAGCCCTCATACGAGGATAACGCAAGCAGTTCCTATTATAAAGGCTATTACTGATGAAAAAGTAAACCAGCTTAAAGAAAAGTTTGCAGGGCGTCAGAATTAATAACTCATTAATAGGTTTTATACCCAAATCTTGCCATATTTCGCTGAATCACTTCAAAAATAATTTTTATGTTTCCTATGTAATAGACGGAGGTTACTTCTCGGCCTTCTCCTGATGCAATTTCAGATGGCTCTTCAGCAAGGTCGCAGTCTGGGCCAAAAAGTTTACCTTTTAGCCAAGTTCACCAGGTTTCTCTGACTGGGCAAAAAATTCTTGCGAACCTTTCATAGCGGCCAGGAGATGTAGGGATATGGATGCACCCATATCCTTTGAGTGTTTCTCCGCCAGAATAGCTAGGCCCTAATAGTTCTATCACAAGTTGTGGCCAGCCAGCAGGAGAAAGTGATCTATAGCCTACATCAAAGGATAAATTTCAGGTAGTTTCGCCTATTCCTGTGGTTTTTCTAGCATATTGGGACTCACCTTTGCCATCGCCATAAATTAATTCTCATTCTGACCCCGCAACAAATGTATATTTGATTTTAAGCAAGTCAGTTCTATGTATTTGTCCGCTTTCTATCTGTCCTGCAACACCTGTATATAAAAATGAAGCTAGCTCTGCTTCAGGGTCATAGTTTTCTTGTGAGATAGGAGGAAGTTCAGGACCTAAAGGTTGGGCTGGAACAATTAATTTGCCTTTTCTTGTATAATTTTCATCATCAGGGTACAAATAGCCTTGAGGCAAGTCTTGTCCTTCATATCCGTAATCTTGATGCCCATAAATTATATCTGTCGGCCTGTTTCGTTCTTCTTCTCTTTGCTGTGCCGCTCTCCTATTTCCAAAAATTAAGTCCATTTTAAATTTATTTAGTTATTGGAGCATTTCATTGACTTTTTGTGTCCATTCTGAGTCTATTCTTGCAAGCTCTTGTTTGGCTTCTTGAAGCTTCTGTTGGGCTAGTTGTATGTTCTAAATAGTGAATACAGGTGGGATATCGTTAAACATTTCTACCCTTATTTGGAGAGATGCAGCTTGACGAGATGTTTCTTGGCATTTTTCTGAGAGATCTAGGAGGGACTCATGCCTTAGTTCTTCATCAATTTCTCATTTTGGAGTTAAAGTTTGCAATCTTGCTTGGAGTTCTTTTTTTTGTGGGATTAGGCGGGATGATATATTGTTACTTAAATAAGATGTAGATTCTAGTAACTCAGATTTGATTTTTTTCAATTTATTTAAAAGCAAAAATGATTTTTTCAAGCTTTGTTGGACATTTAATAAAATTTCGATATCTGAGTTGATTTGAGAAGTTGCTTGGGAGTTTGTGATCAAAGCTTCAGCGACTGCTGATGGCAATTCTAAGCATGCTGGGTTTATTTGTAAGCAATATGCAATTTTTGCAAGCTCTTCGAGGTTTTTTTGACCTTGAGGTGAAAGTTTTGATTTTGAAATATTAAGAGCATCAAGAATTGATCTTGCTTGATCTGGATGGATCATTTTATTATTTTATATATTTATTTTTCCAATTATTTACTAATTTCTAAGTTTTTGCTTTTGGCTGCTTAAGCTTAAAGACAAGGATTTATTCATCTTCTTTTCGTTTAAATTGTTGGCGACTCATAGACTGCATGCTTTTACTGTCACCGTCTCTGAGATCTAATGGTATATATTTATATAATGCTCAATTCTGGCTTCTTTCTGATTTACCTTGCCTTTTCTTTTACCAGAAAATTTTCTTTGGCTACATGATTAAATTCTCACCAACAACCTCCATAAAGCCATTAAAACTTGCAAGAAAGAGCCATTCTTTGGAATAATAAGAATAAATCTATATCAAAGCTTGAAATCATCTCCTTATACAACCTTAAAGGCAAATTTTTTTCCATCCGATTTAGTCATCTTATATTAAAACCAAAATGTCTTATATTACCTTTATGCATTAGCAAACATATTGATGCAAGGGGAGTTACATTGATTTTTACCAAACATATAAATTGGCCCACAGGTAAACTCCAAATTTTAAATTCTGAAATATGAGGCTATTATAATATGGAGTTTACAAGCTCTCAACTTTTGGCATTAAATGCCAAACTCCCTTCTGGCTTCAAAATTAACACTATAGTCAAAAAGGAATCAAAAAATAAGCATAGGAAATCAGAACTTGAAAACTTGGATTTTAATAATATTTATATTCCTAGAGAGAAGGAATTACGCCCAGCCAGAGTAAAGCGCCAAGTATCAATTGACAGTTTTGACACCCTACCAAAACAAAGTGATTCTTTCAAGAAAATTTATAAAATACTCCAAGCAATTAAGAAGCACGATTACTCTGAACCTTTTTTGGAGCCAGTGAATCCTAAGCTTGTCCCAGATTATCATACAGTAATCAAAGAGCCAATGGATTTAAGTACTGTTGAAAAAAAATTACGTGCGGGAGAATACGAAACAGGCTATCATTTTGCAATGGACATGCGCTTGATTTGGAGCAATTCTTTTCAGTACAATGCTAAAAATTCAGATCTCTATGCTATGACAATGGAACTCAGCTCGCATTTTGAAACCCTTATGAAGGGCAATGAAAACGTAATGCTTGCTGACAAACAAGATGTCATGCAAGACTTATATCAGAAAATCGAAAAATTATCAAAAGGTATGAAAGAAATTCAAGCTAACAAAGCCAACCCTCAAGCCGCTACAACTTCATCAATCGTAAAAGTCCCTGCCAAGCCTCCTGTTGAAAAGCCTATGACTTTAAACGAGAAAAAAGTGCTATGTAGCAACATCAAAAAACTTGACCCAAAGTACTTAAAAGGAGTTTTAGACATCGTCCAAGAGTGTATGAACGTCCAAGGGGAAGAGCTTGAATTTGATATAGACAAGCTTCCTTCCAATGTATGTCGAGAACTTGAAAAATACGTAAAACAATGTTTAGCTAACGCCAGTAGGTCTCAGTCTAAGAAAAAAACTAAGTCAATCAATATAGATGGCATGAAATCAATCCAAGAAATGACTTCTTCTAGGCTCAAAGATCTAGACCAACAGCTAGAACAGCTTTCACAGAACAAAAAGCCTGATACCCAGCCTCCACAGCAGCCTGCAGTAGCAGAAGAATCGAGCTCTGACAGTTCTTCATCTAGTAGCAGTGAAGATGAAGAAGAACTGCCAATGCCTACGAATAATGAAGCACAGCAGCAGCAAATATTCCAAAACCCTTATAATCAGCAAATTCAGCCAAGCACGTGGAGTATGTTTGGGAGCACCATGGATGGGTTTCAAGATTTCAGTGTAGGTGGTTTTGGAAGTCTGTATGATTTTGATAAGACGGACTATTTCAAATAAACTTTAATCAATAGAGTAATATAAATTTGTTTATAGAATATGAGTATAATTAATCAACGCCTCCTCATGAAGCCAAAATTGTAATATATGTCAGAAAACCCCATTTTTGACGTATTAAGCAATGCTCTTAAAGCCAAAACAATTACTGACGCTATAGGAAATCTTCAGCAAGCTGAAGTCTTCCTAAACTCCTCTATTGGCAGTATTGACTTAAAAGTAATTGCATGCTTAAGGAAAATAGTGCTTCATTTCGATTTTCAGATAATCCGATTCGCAGCTAAGCTTTACACAAAGATTTGTGCCTTAGCGCCTAGGAATGATCTTCACTTAATGCTAGACCTTTCTAACGACATTTTCCTTCTCACTGAAAACTTAAAAGGCACAGAAATCGCTGAAGACTTAGAAGCTGGGGTCAAAGAAATTTTAGTTCATTTAATTCAACACGGAGGCTTAGAAAGGGAACAGCTTGAAGCAGTTCAGCAATTATTGGATAAAAAAACTGCTATTAATTATGAAGAAACTTTAAATCTGATTATTCAAGATATTCAAGACAAAAATAGCTATGCTGTTAATAGGTTGATGGATATGATGAGCTCGATTCCTACACTGAAGGAGCAGTTTTTATGCTACGGCACACAGCTAGAGCCTGTTTTAGATGCTTTGATTTTAAACGCAACTGATGACATGCTGCTTAGGTTTTCGAGATTTCTGGAAAATTTTATTTTCAGGGTCAATTATAACGTCAAGCTTGGTGGAATTGATGATGGCTCTACGCATAACCATATTTATAAATCCTCAGAAACCCGTTTATTATATATTCATGATGGAGTATTTTATACTTCCCTTAAAATTTTACAGATACTGCAGTATGCTAGCAATGGAGATAATCCAATTTTAGGGGTTTTAATAAGAAGACTTTGGAATTATTATCCTGAGCAAAGACCATCTATATATGATCTTGTAATTGACAACTTTAAAAAGGCTGCTCCTATAGCTGATGATAGAATTAAAGAGAATGCTGCGGTATTTTTATATGTGATTTTACACTCAGCTGATGTAGATGGAGAATTTAAAGGAAGATTGGAAAATGAAAAAGAAATTGAAGCACTGTTTAAGCATGAAAAATATGAGGAAACAGCCCAAGAAATAATTTTCGAAGCTGAAAAAGCAGTAGAAATAGACCAAACACAAACACATATAGGATTTCCTCTCAGTGTTATGATCCAAAGTGGAGAAAAAGCTACAAGAATAATTGAAGTCCAAGAAGCAAATTCAATTTTAGTGTGGGGCTTTGCGACAGAGAGTTACGATATTTCTTATTCACTATCGCGAGTAGATTTGCCTCAGCCCGAAGTTATTATAGAAGAAGAAAAGGTTGTTTGTGACCAAATTCCGTCTACAGGAGTAAGGCTTATCCATACACCTGGGCTATATCAATTTACATGGGACAATGAATATTCTTGGTTCACCGGAAAACATTTAAGGTTTAAAGTATCTTTATTGAAACCTTCCACAATTCCAAAAAACTCTTCACAAGATCATAAAGACATCCACCAAATAATCACAATCACTCACCCTGATAAAATGGGTGACTCATGCTACTCAAATCCTTCAAGTGAGTTATTAGAAGTAGGTATCCATATTACACAGAATCAGGTCTCAATGCTATCTCACAATATAAGAGAAGATGCATTATTTACTGAAGACTCTGAGCTTTATCCAATAATTTCTCAATATATTGAAACAATCAGTAAAAAAACTGGTATTATTTCCCCAATAATAAAAATCGGAATTGTTGAAAAAACAGCTAATAAAAGAGAAGGACTGGAAAACTTAGGAGCTATTGCTATAGCAAGAGATGTAGACGCTGTCGCGCTTTTTAGTGAACAAAGCTTACATTCGCATACTTTAATTGCAGTTGTTAATGATGATGGACTTAGAAGCTGTGTCGTGCATAAAGGAAGAATTCTGCTTTCAGAAGATGGAGAGTATTTAGGAGATTTATCAAGATTGGAGGTACAGGACCCAGCTACAGCGATTTCTATATTACTTTCGATGTTTGGGCCAGCTGTCGTAGTCATTTCAGGAGCAAATTTTATTGGCCAAGCTGCAGTTATCATTGAAAGGGTAAGGCCATTAGTGCCAGCACATATATGGCAGAAATCAATTATTAGAGAAAGCGTGTATGCTAGCTCAGTAGCTGTTGAAGCAGCATCAAAGCTTCATTATCTTCATTATCGTTATAAATCTACACTTTAAGTCTACTATAAGCATAAATAACAGATTTATTAATTTAATTTCTCTTGAGAACCAGAAAATTCCAGCAAATATTTCATTTTTTTGATTGTTTTCTTAATTTTATATCTATCTAAGCATTGTCTGTATATTTTTTACATTTTTATTTGTTCTTCTATCATCTGTTTTGACTGACTTACATATAGCAGCATACTCTCCAGTGTAACTTCTTTTTTCTTTGGTTTTTTTCTTAAATACTCAGTTTTACTAGATACCATCTTATAAAGCATTTTCAAGGAATTTGTCAGGATTCCAGATTCCCCGCTCCATTTATTTAAAAATGAATTTTTCTTATCCACTTGCTCTTCAAAATAGCTTATAGCTTGATTTAATACAAGAGAAATATCATTTATCACTAGCTCCCCTTTTTTAAATTATATACATTAAAATGGCGACACGTGTCTAACTGCCCTCATGGCGCAACAGGACCTTGTGGCTACGGATAACTGGACGGACTCCAAGTCGAGAATCAAGTGCAGGCTCAAGAGATGTGCATCCGGGTAGGTTTTGGCTGCTTTCCTGTTGTTGGAAATAGAGTTACTCAACAACGTCCTTTGGATCCAAGGAACCATGGGCATTCCTCTACCGAGAGACTGGGGTTTCGGCCAAAGCCGCAGGGGAATCGTCTTTTCCTGTTCCTGCCGAAGGAAGGCACTTCGGCACCCGATAGACTCCAAGGAGTTGATCCATGGAATCAAGCTACTCCAATCGCTTGTAGCAGGGCCGCAGAAATCCATAAGCACTAAAGACTGAAGCCGCAAGGAGGAGACAGAAGGTACTGGAAGTGGAACCCGTTTTCGCGAGATAGACCCTCTGGGCTGGAGTCGAAAAGCGTTAGAAACCTTCCGTACGGGAGGTCTTTGGTAACTGTGTCACCAATACCTCTAGCGCCTGGCTTTAAATAACTTAACATAACCCCTTTTTAAATTGAACAAATATCAGTAAAAACTTGATTTTTTGGGAAATTTAGCCTCTTAAATTGAATAAAATTTTGATTTTAATAGTTAAAAATAAATAATTCTATGAAAATATCTTTATACCTAATTAATGTCCCAGAAATCAAAATTTACCCTATATTTTATTCTAGGGTAAATTAAAAACTGTTTGAGCAGGGTTGGCACTTTGAATCAATTAAGTTTTTCAATTTAATTTTTTTTTAAATTTTGACTGTGAAAATTTACATATAATTTTTTTTCAAAAAATTAAATGGGATTGAAATCATTTTTTCAGCTTAAGGGTTAGAGTAAAGGATTCATTAATGCTTCTAATAAATCAGCACATGGGGTTTGTAGTACTGTATAATTTATTACAATTTTCTCTGTCAGCTGAAAGCATTGCTGCACATATATAATTTAAAAGTTCTAATTCCCTATTGTTTATGTTATGGCAAGCAAACATTTTATCTCAAACTAAAAGAGTTTGGCTGAGTGTGAATTCTCGTGATAATAAACACCTGAGCCATCTTACAAAGAAAAGTTGAGGATCATATTTGCTTTTTTGTATATGTGTATAGAGAGTTGGGTCTGTGGCGCTTACTCCCCCAGTAATAAGCAATTTCTAGTTTATTCGTAGGAGTTATTGCAAAAATTTTCATATAGTAAATTTAAATATGATTAAATCGAAAATTGCTTATTATTGAGGGGAAATGCCAAAAATTCTTATTTTCCAATAATATCCATTCATATTAAATTTACTATTTAAAAAAACCCACGAATAAGCAAAAAATCTTATTTCTGGGAAGTTAGAATTCTATGAAAAATATAATGGCTTCTTCTAACCATCTCTGGAGTCTCTCTTAAAATAGACCTATCATAGCATGCCGATTCATCAAGCGTATTGGGGCCTGTTTTTGTAAGCTCAGCGTCATGCACAAATAATTCCTCTACACTAAGTTCCATTATTTTGCTAAATATTCAATAACAATCTGCCTCTATATACTCTCAGCTTGTGAGCCCATCTTCAGTTTCAGAATCATTTAAAACTGCATACATTATAACAGCACAAATTTCATTAAGTCCTTGGTTATATCCTATAGGGTGTGTTGCGCTTCATACAAATAAAATATACAATTCTCTATTGAAATCGACAATAAGTATATATATGAAATCTAAATTGCGTTTTATTAATATATTTTCATTATGGAATATTTTCCAATAGATTTTTATTGTGCTCATCCTGGAAAATTTGATACTTTTGATATGTTCTGTCAACATCAATTCTTATAACTCTTCTTACTTCTTGGTATTTAAAATGAGTATATCAAGGACTCTAATTGTAATTTACATCTGTGCTTGTCGATAAAGGATTATTTATTGTCCCTTCTTGCTTTAGATTTATTGAAGGGGTGAGGGTCGATTTCATGTGATTATACTCTTCCCGAAGTTTTAAATTATTGGAAACCCAATCGGAAGGCGAGCCTTGAAGGACTCCAAGAAGAATTTTTCATATAACAAAGCGATTTTTTATGTCACCTTGCAGCACAGTTTCTTTTATTTCTTTGAGAGAAACATTGAAATACCAAGCTGCCATAATAATATTTAAACCTCTCCGAGGTCCTAATAAATATTACAATAATGTATTTAAATTTTATTATTTATCCTAATTGTTGATAACTGACCATTGGCTTGGCAGTATTCATAAATTTCTTTACATTAAATCCTTCTCTATATTTGACTTTAGCTCCCATTGGAGTCAGCGATGAATAAGTAAATGGCTTATTGTTCGTAAAAGGATTTTGAGATTCTCCTAGGTCATCAATAGAGCCCTCGATATTTTTCACACTCGTTGCTTTTTTCAGCTGAGCTTCTTGGTTTTCTAAGCTGGCTTGCATGGTTTTCCTTTGGTCATGTATTTGAGTATAGCTTTTACCTTTTCCTTCATTATTTCCTGAGAAGCTGTTTCTGAGGTTTTGAGTTTTATTAACTGCAGGTTTAAAAGTGCATGAAGCAATTTCAGAAACCTGCTTATCCCATCTTTGCTCGTTAAGTTTATCTTCAAGCTTTTGAGCCCATTGAATATTTTTCTTATATGTGTCAAGACTTTCTTTCTTTTTTTCTTCAGTCGTCAGAAAGTCTCTTCTCAAAGTTTCTGCTTGGCTTACTCCCATTTTATTGATGACTTTTCCATTGGCTGGAGCTCTTAAATTAATGTACGGCTCAGAAGCTTGTCCTGATGGCAAATTCACATGGCATCTAGGGGAAAGAGGCTGAGGATCTTGTTGTTGACAGTGAAGAGTTTGAGCTCTGACGTAGGCTTCTTGTAGATCTTTGAAATTCTTACTAGGAACATTTTCAAACTTTTTTGGAGGAAAAATAATATCGGTTGGAGGGGGAAGTCTTTTTGACTCAGGATCATCATCCTTATTTAACCTCATAAAATCTCGGGCAAGGGATTTACTTAATTTTCCATTTAATAACGGACACAAAACTATAAAAATTTGCTTTAATTATAATTTTTAATAAAAAGCTCTTTAATATTTTAAAATATTATAAAAACACAATTAATTTTTATATAATTCATTAATAGTGAAACAGATTGTTCGCAAATTAAATGGGTGGATTTAGCTGAGATTTAGTGTTGTTTTTGGGAGTTTGTGGGGGCGGGGTAGATTCTCTACCATGGGAGTCACTCGAAATTTTTTTTTCAGCTTCAATTCTTTCGAGCTCAGCTGCCACTTTTCGACTAACCTCATTTATTTTAGGAACACCAGTAACCTCTTTCATCTCATCGAGAATCTTTTGAGTTTTTAGCATTTTAAGCTTTTCTTGGGTGTTTCGTTGCTTTTTCATCATTTCGCCAAGTCTTTCATTCCATCGCTGTTCAGTCATTTTTATTATAGCACAGTTTAGTATTTTTTTTTAAATCAAAAAAGTTATGTCGTAAATTACAAATATATACTATTTTAGATTAATACTAACTCCCCCTATCCATGAGCGAACAAAACCATTGGAAAAATTTCTATTTTTGGGTAAAAAACCAGCCTCCGTAAGCGAACAAAAATTTTTTAAGAAAAATTATTTTGAAAAACCTCTAGTTGATTCAGTCTAATTTTAAATAGCTTACATTTTAAAAATAAATTTTACAAATTAAATTAATATTTATTTTAAAATTATTTCGAATATGGATTTTGTTAAATTTTGGAAAAAAAATATTTACAATATATGAATTTCTGAAAAAAAACCTAACCCGTTCTAATAAAAAAAAATTTGTTCGCTCACGGAAATGGGGAGTAAGCATAATTGTGAATAGCATGATATTAGGATAAAATATGACTTCAAAATATTAAATAAATTTAAATTTATCTTAATATGGTATAATACATTCAAAAACATTAATTAAGCTTAAAAATCGCAGTCTTAGACTTTTAGTATTTTTATAATTATTTAAATAACCTTTTCCAATAATTTTATTCCCCAGAAATCAATATTTCTCTATATAATTATATTTATTTAAAATTTCATACGTTAAAAAAATTCGCACATAAAAGGTGTAAGAAATTTTTGCGATCTATTAGCCTACCTTGCATTTACCAGCATATCCTATTCTTACAAAACTTATATAGAAACACTCACAGCATTATTTAAAATAATTATATGGGAGAGAAGAAAAGAGGATTGAGGCCAATTGAAACCTTATCAAAAGCAGAAAGAGAAGCCTTATTTCAATCTACTCACGCTGATTTAAAAAATTATCACTATATGAACCAAACTACCCGCCTGCTAAAGAAAGAGAAAAAAGAAAGAGAAGTCGATGAGCAGCTTCAAAAGAAAAGAAAAGAAATTGAAGAAAAAGGAGCCATCATAGAAGAGCAGCATCGGCAATTTAAAGAGCGCCAGACTGAAATAAAAACCAAAATCGACAAAAAAGAGCCCCAAATCCTCATGTACGATCGCAAAATTAAACAAGAAACTGACAAAATCAAAAAAGAAGACGACTTGATCAAAATAAAAGAAGAAGAAATAAAGCGAAAAGAAGAGCAGCTGGGAAAAGCAGAAGCCCAGCTTCAAGAAATTGAAAGGAAAATCGAGCAATACTCCATCTATAAATCATTTTTAGAAGAAGTCGTCAGGGTTAGTGAAGAATATGAAGACATTCCTCAGCTTATGAAAAGATATATAACATTAAAAACAAGTAAACAAGACCAAGACTTAAATGGCGCCAGAGTCGAAGAAGCTACAAGCGCTGAAAAAGAATCTTATAGCAAAATAATCAACAAAATGAAAGATGACATTGCTGAAGAAACTGGAAAAATGACCCTGCTTGGGAATGAAATTGATGACCTTAACACACAGATTACTGCTTTAGAAAGTAAACAAGAAGATATTAGAAAAGAAAGAATTTTACGCAAAGGAATCACTGGGAAAATTGTACTGGCAATTAAAAATTTACACTCAAAAGCACTAAAAAGTAAACAGACCTTTGCAGGCCGCAAAGATGAGACTGAAGAAAAGCCTGAAAAGCTTATAACGATGCTGCAAAATATTAGGGAAAGGTTTATAGATTTAAAAAAAATAACCTTGGATGTACAAGAATATGAAGTTAGTAAAAAAGTCGTTGGGTCTGAATCTCCATATGAGCAAGAAGAGCCTTCAGTAATAAGACATAGACCAGTGAAAAAGCTGACAAATCCAGGCCATAAGCAAAATGTTGAGACAAATAGAACGAATTCTAGCTTAAAAGAAGAAGCAAAAAATCATTAACTGAATTATATCATTAATCTTTTTTATATAGCCATTATAGTTACATAAAAATCCTTTTAGCTAATAATTATTCTATCTACTATAAGAAAATAAAATAAGTTTGAAATCCTAGAAATTTTATTTGCTATAAATTAGTTTATCTCTTTTAGTTTTTGTGAAAGAACTTCAAGCGCGAATTCTCTTAATTCTTGGGTATACCTAAATATAATTTACATTTCGTCTTCGGTAATTTTGTTTTCCTTGATAAAATCTTTGAGTTTTTTTAGGGTATCAAGTGGTATAGTCGATTTAACTCAATATTTCATCAGAAATTATACTCTTCTTTTATTTGATTAATAAAATTATTATTTTTCGCCATGAATTAGTTATCTTAAATATTATAACAGATCGCTGATTTTTTCTGATTTTTTTATTAGTTTGTTAGAAAAGTTTGGATTCAGCAAAAATGATGATTTTGGGTTGAGACTGTGGGCTTCCTGGGCTTCTTGTTTTAAAATTTTTGAGCGTGAAGAGGGAGTTATGCTGTTATAAAAATTATCAAAATCTTCTTGAGCTCTAATAATAGGGCCTTTTGATTTAGAAAAAGGCTTAGGTGTTGAGCTTAAGCGGCATTTTGTATCATACATGTTTATTGTGCTTGAAGCGTATCGGTCTGAATTTTGGTTTGAATAGCATGATGCATGAGCCAGCCTTTTGTTATAATTAAATCCTCTTGAGGAGTTTGGAGTAAAAATGCTTTGCAAATCCAGCTTTAGTGACAGCTCTTTATCAAGTGCACATGTTTTAGTAATTCTAGCTTTCGAAAAATAAGTCTCTGGCCTCTCTGACATAAATTATTCCTGCTTAGAATAAATAAAAATTACTTTCTATTTATAAATGGTATTTAATTTTAAATATTTAAAAATGACTTTTTTTCTTCATTTATATAGCAAAGTTTGTTCATAAAATAATATGAAACTAAACAAGATTTTAAATATATTGGCAAATGTTTAAATGCCATAATTTCTGGCTAAGCAAAGACTTAAGAAATTTATTCTAGGCTAATAATTTATTAATCAAAGCAAATAAGTGAAAACTTCAAAAATAAATCAGTTAGCATTTTTTCTTTATAAGATATAAAGTTCTTTATTTGAAAAAATGAAAGTTAGCTCATAGATAATATTTTCAATCATTTTTTAATCTATTGACTGCATGATAATGCACTTTAGCACCATCTTTTATTATAACCCATGAGAAAGCATGGAAGGAGTGCTCAAGACATAACTCAGACTCATATTGATTCTTTTGATTATGCTATGACAGAAGGACTCTTGCATCTATGCGAAAGGTTGCTTCCATGTGAAATTGAATTTCCTGAAAATTCAGATGTCGGAATGAGAGTCTGCAAGATTTGGTTTGAGAATTTATGCTAAATTATTTAAAATACGATTGATTTTGATATCCAAATGCCATAATAAAATTTAATTTAAATATTCCGCTTATGATATTTTATTAAATAAACCAAAAAAGCTTACATTTAGGACGTCCTTACAAAGCACCTCCAACAGAAGGAATTCAAAAAGAGCCAAGACTATTCCCAACAGAATGCCGTCTAAGTGACTCCAGCTACGCTGCACCTTTAGTAGCTCAAGTAGCTTGGCAAATCGACAATTTATCAATTGACAGATTCAAAGTTAACCTTGGAAATGTCCCAGTTATGGTCAAATCCGAGTTCTGCCACCTCTCCAAAATGAACCAAGAAGAATTAATCAAATTAGGCGAAGACATTCAAGAACTTGGTGGCTATTTCATAGTAAACGGAGTCGAAAAAATCATCAGACTTCTTATCATCCAAAAGCAAAACTACCCACTCGCAATTGTCAGAGGAGCTTTTACAAATCGTGGGAAGATGTATACACAATTTGCTGTGGTGATTCGCTGCGTTAGAGATGATTTATTCACACAGTCAGTCACTGTGCATTATTTGACTGATGGAGATTGCAATGTGAGGTTTATATTAAGAAGAGGGGAAGTGTTTATTCCAGCAATTATCATTTTGAAATGCTTATATTAAATTATGCGAATTTACAATAAATAAATATTCATACTGATAGCTTTTGTCTTATTATTATATAGTAAAAGGATATGCCTAATCTCTAGAATAAATCTATTTATTAGAATCAGACATAGACTATATAAAAAATCAAAAACAATAATGCTCTTTATAGAAAAAAAAATTTTTGGGGAAATTGTGTATTATTAAAAAATAAAAATTAATATAAAATAGCATAAAAGATATCACTGATCTAGATCTATATAATAGACTAGTAAGAGGGTCTTATTCATCAAACCAAACTTATAGCAGAGTTGAAGTGCTTATAAGAACAGCAGCAAAGCTTGCAATTTTTACAAGAGAGTCAGCATTGAAGTATCTTGGCTCAAGAGTAAGGAAAATTATGAATCCTCCAAGCTATATGGCAGATGAGCAGGTAGGAGAACTTGTATTGAGAGAGCATGTATTCGTGCATACTGATAATGATAACGATAAGTTCAATTTGCTAGTCCTCATGATTGAAAAGCTATATGCTCTAGCCGAAAATGAAATTTCACCAGAAAGCGCTGATGTTTTGAGCTCACAAGAATTTTTACTGCCAGGGCATCTTTATTTGAACATTATGAAGGAAAACCTTGAAAACACCCTCGAATCTGTTAAAGTCAGAATTTTAAAAGAAGCTCCTAAGCAAGGGATTAAAATCCGTGATAAAACTTATATCCAAAAAATCCTTGAACAGCATGCTAATATTGGGAAAAAGCTTGAATATTTCTTAGCTACAGGAAATTTGATAAGCAGAACTGGCCTTGATCTAATGCAAGCTGCAGGTTTTACTATTATTGCAGAAAAAATCAATTATGCTCGATACCTTTCCCACTTCCAAAGTGTCCATAGAGGTTCTTATTTCATAGAAATGAAAATTTCAAGTGTCAGAAAATTGCTGCCAGAGTCATGGGGATTTTTATGCCCAGTTCATACACCTGATGGTGCGCCTTGTGGGCTTTTAAACCATCTTTCGTCTACATGTGTGCCTGTCTCAAAAAATCTAGAATTTAATAAAAAAGAAGTAATTGACGTGTGCCATTCGCTAGGTATGAGACTCATGTCTAGAGAAGAAATCACAATTTTTCCTGTGGAATATATACCTGTCATGCTTGATGGGTGTATTATTGGATATACTAATGAGCCAGAAGAATTTGAGAAGAAATTGAGGCTGGAAAAAATTAGAGAGACTATTCCGAGAACTATGGAAATTGCGTATTTATCAAGGAAACCGTTATTTTTGGGGATTTTCTTGGCGACTACACAGGGGAGGTTGGTTAGGCCTGTAAGACATATAGAAACAGGAGAAAAAGATTGGATTGGGCCTTTAGAGCAATTAAACTTGTCAATAGCATGTCTTCCTAAGGATAGAAAACCTGAGACAAGTCATGAAGAATTTTCGCCACTGAACATGCTAAGCATTTTGGCTTGCACAACTCCTTTTTCTGACCACAATCAGTCTCCACGTAATATGTATCAATGCCAAATGGCTAAACAAACAATGGGAACTCCCTTATACAATTATATAATTTTAATAATAAAAAAACCAAATAACGATCAATTTGATATAAATCTTCAATTACCTTGTAAAAGCATATCAATTCAGAAATGATAACAAACTTTATCGACTCACGATGCCTCAAAAGCCCCTTGTCTCCTCAAAATGTCGACAAGTCCGCAGAAACGGGTTTGAAAAATACCCATCAGGTACCAATGCAGTAGTTGCTGTCATTTCTTATACAGGCTACGATATGGAAGATGCTATGATTGTTAACAAATCAGCATATGAAAGAGGATTTGGCCATGGGATTGTCTACAAAGCTAATATAAGAGATCTCAACACCACAAAAAAAGAAAACTTCTCATGGATCCAGTCTGAAGCAGCCAAAAAAGAAGCGACCGAAAAAGGCCTTGACACTGATGGTCTTCCTTTTGTAGGCCAAAATGGGATTTCCCAACAGCCTGAGCTGCTGCTCTTTAACGGAGTTACCAGTTCCAACAAAACTTTTTCTTACAAAGATATGGAAAAATCTACATATGACGATATTAAAATCATCGGAACCGACACAAGGGAATTCAAAGTCAATTTCAAGTACCGTTTTCAAAGAAACCCTATTATTGGGGACAAATTCAGCTCAAGGCATGGACAGAAAGGAGTCCTTTCAGTTTTGTGGCCACAAGAAGACATGCCATTTACTGAAGAAGGCTTAACACCTGATGTTATTATTAACCCACATGCATTTCCATCTCGTATGACTATTGGAATGCTTATTGAGTCTATGGCAGGAAAAGTGGGAGCTATTAAAGGAGAATTCCAAGAAGCAGCACCTTTTCAAGAAAAAGATAAGGTAGACTATTTTGGAAAACAGCTACTAGAAGCAGGGTATAGCTATTATGGAAGCGAAACTATGTATTCAGGGATATTTGGCACTGAGATGAAGGCGGAAATATTTTTAGGAGTCGTGTATGCTATATACATATCAATATTTGTTTAAAAAAATTAATTTGTAATTTCTATTATTATGGATTCTGTACCAGTTTAAACATACTGGAAATATAGTTAATGTATATTGATATATTATCAAAGACTTCGTCATATGGTTGCTGACAAGTATCAAGCTAGATCTACAGGGCCTGTTGATATTTTAACACATCAACCTGTCAAAGGTAGAAAACGACATGGAGGAATCAGACTGGGAGAAATGGAAAGAGACTCTTTACTTGGCCATGGGGCTTCATTTTTACTATACGATAGACTCATGAAATGTAGTGATTACAGTGAAGGATATTTATGTAAAAAATGTGGAAGCATTTTAGGCTGCTATTTAGTAAAAGGAAAAGAAAAAGCAGTTTGCCACGCATGCCAAGGAGAAGGTGTAAAGGTCGCGTTACCATACGTATTAAGATATTTATCAAACGAGCTAGCAGCTATGAATATTAAACTGGGTTTTAAGCACACACTTTAAATAATAGACATTTTACGATAAAATTAGATTAATGCACAAGTCCACGGAAACCTGAACTTGACATAGCGCTCACTTTATCAGGGTTTATCAGTCTTAAAGCTGGCATGACCTCATTTTCATTGCTTGTCTCAGATGTTTCTGTGTTTTTTTTCCTCAGTCTCTGTTTGCTTAAGTTTTTCTTTTTATTTTCATTATTAGTTTCTTCATCTGAAAAAACTCCATATAAGTCATTAGAAGTAAGCACAAAATTTTCTCGGAAATAATCTTCATCAAAAGATGACTCTGAATTTGCACTTGAATCATCAGAAATATGGACAATTTTCATAGTTTTTATAAGGTTAGTCGTAGATTTATTAGAAGCTTTATTTTCTGAGCTTCCTAACTCTTTTATTCCCTTAAGATTTCTTGCTGTTTTATTGAAGTTAGTTACTATATGATCTTTTTTTTCGCGATCTGTAATTGACTTTCTTTTATTTCTTGATGGCGATTTGGAAGATTTTATTGAGTTTTGTTTTGTAACTAATGCAGGGGTTTTCGTTCTAGACTGGAATTTATCTATTGTTTTTAAAAAATTTGTCTGATGAGGCTTTACTGATGCAGATCTGCCATAGACTGATTTTAATTTTTTTTCTTTATCAGTCATTCTGGTTTGGGAAAAATCTTTAACTTTTTTAATAAAAATATTTTGGGTCAAGGACGGAGGATATCGTTCATAGTAGCTTTCTTTTATATGTCGTAAAATTGGGGAATTGAAAGGGATTAGCTTTTCAGCGATTTCCAAGGACTTTGAATGCCATGATTTTCCTTCAGAAATTTTATTTTCATAATTTTCTCTAAGATGCCAAAGCTCTGTAGCAATGCTGTAGTATGAAATAGCAAGTAAACAGATTTTTTGGCATAAGCTTTGCTTTGAGATTTCTATAATAAAATTAGAAGGAGCTTTAAATTGATGATAAGTGATAGGACGTAGCATAATCAGCTCTTCAATCGTTAAATTAAATATTGCGTCCCCATTGGTTTGTATCCCATCAACTGCTCTCGTATTTGATTTTAATAATCTCTCATCTTTCTGCTTTTTTCCAAGTTTTTCCAAAATTATTTGATTTAAATAATCGACTACTGGGAAGCTTCTTTCTACAACCTCTTTATATTTTTCTTCAACATAATTTTCTGTCACATTATTGGAATTCATCACAATAGCTTTAGCTTTATTATAAGTCTGCAATTTTTTATATCTTAATATATAGCATTTATTATAAATATATAATTAAACTCCTTGTTTCTATCCTATTTCACATATTTATTTTAAATGACATAAAATTGGTACATAGTTTAAAGCAGTCTTGAAGAATTTCATAAACATTTCCAACTGATTTTCTTGCATAAAGTAAAGAAGCTTCATGCTTTTTTAGTTTTGATGATGTAGCTCATAAATTAAGATTGGTTTTGCATTGATAAACGTCTCGAAATATTTTTCTGGCTATTTGAATTTCAATAGATTGGTCAGTAGAATTTTGAACTCTTATTGAATTTCTGTTGGGGAGAGATCTTTCTAGAGACTCTATAGATTTTTCATAATTGTTTATGCCAATTTAATATGAATTATAATAAATAGAATAAATAAATGGTTAATTAATATAAAGGAGTATAGATTTTGATGGCAAACCGCTATGTTGTGTGAAATCGTTATTATCATATCAGGATCAATATTTTCTCCTTGGTTTATAACTGATTCTATTAGCTCTTGGCATTTTATAAAAACGTCCAAGGCATCTTCAGTTTGTCCATCCTTGATAAACTCAATTGCATCATCTGAAAATCCAATCAAATACTTCATGATTTCAGATTCATTGATGTTTCTTTCAGATGTGGTGCTTTCACATGCTGAATCCATATTACAATTTTTAACATAATCAGTTTTAAGTATTCTAATATATCTGCAGTAAATTTATATTAAAAATAAAGCACTTTTTTTTTATTTTCCAGTGAAAAAGTATATACTCATCTACATTTGTTTAAATTTGAATATTCATCAAAATTAATATCAGAATTGTGATAGTTTAGGACATAAATATATTATTCTACTTATTAAATAAAAGTAAAATGAGCGTTCAAAAAGCAGATAACATAAAGGCGGCTATTCAATGCAATGATGTTCAAACTGCCATTGGTTTAATTGATGAATTTTTGGCTTCAGGGTTTAACGTAGATTCACCTTTGCCTTACAATCCTAAAGGATTTGAAAATAATTGAAGTCTGATTTTTTGGGCGAGTCTGTGCCAAACTGATGAAATTTTAAGATGCATTGTGGAAAAACACCGTGGAAATGTGAACGTAAGAGATTCATCTGGGTATACCCCGCTGTTGCTGTGTGCTTTTCATGGGAAATTTCAATGTGTAAAATATCTAGTTGAGCATGGAGCTGATATTAATGCAAGAAGCAATTTTGGTGAGTCCTTAGAAGAGCTTGTACTAAGGAAGCCTCAAACTAGTGATAAAGATCTGGAACTGAGAGAATATGTTCAAAAACTTATAAGAAATACTTAAATATAATCTTTTGGATCTTTTAAATAGAATATAAGCTGAGGAAATATTTAAAATAAATAAACGAATAGATATATGATAAAAAGATAATAAAAAATTGCTAAATTTAAAATTCATAGATGATAGAAATTCATAGAATCAAAAGGGGAGGGCAGTTAACATTCATAAAAACTAGAAAAAAGGAAATATTTTGCATATAAAAAGCATCCAAAGCCAAGTTCTTAAACTATTAAAATTATTAAAAATTTTGATCATATCTAAAATTTAATCCACAATTTATTTCTTTTTACGATAAATGGATTTTATATGCTTAATCCTAATTTTCTTTATAATAAATGGACTCAGAACTCAGAATCGTCGAAATTCCTCCAGAGCATCAAGCTTCCTCTACAATTAAAGGTCACACTGACTCAGTTGACTTTGTAAGAATCAACGAAAACGCTTCATCTCCTCAAATCATCTCTGCATCCCACGATGGTACTGTAAAAATTTGGGATTTATCAAGAAAAAATGAGCTGTCCTCCATTCTAGCTCACCAAGAAGGAGTATTTTGCTGTGACGTATCCCCAAATGGAAGGCAAATCGCATCATGCTCTCCAGATCAAACAGTTGCCTTATGGGATATCAGCAACCGTAATAACATCGCAAGAGCTACAAATCATACCCACAAAGTTTATTTTGTGCTTTTTATATCTGATTCCCAGCTTCTTTCTTGTGGAAGAGACAGAAATATTTTCCTCTGGGACTTAAGAAACATGAGAGCACCTTCAAAAAACTTCGCAACTCCTCAAAGCGGGACTTTTAGAAGTGTGGCTTTGTCTCCTGATAACTCAATTTTACTTGCGACAACGGCTGAATCTGGGATTGAGGCTTATGAATTTCCATCAGGGAGACCAATTGCTAATCAGACTATTAATTATGATATGAGGGTATTTCCACAAGAAAAAGAATTCCTTGTGCCTCCTGCTATTATTTATAATGCAAGATTTTTCAGAAATCAAAGAAATATGCTATTACAGTTAACTAATTTCATTTATATATAAAATTATAGTTTAAACCATAATAAATATTGGGTTGTATCCCTTTTTATCCTCTCACCAAGACCATGCAGTTCGAAAATTTGAATTAAATAATGGAAACCTCACCCAAATTTCATATCACAGAAACCATTGGGACTATGTAAGGCATGTCGAGATCTCTAGCAACGAAAGATTCTATGTCAGCACTGCTCAAGATGGCTCAGTAAGAGTATGGGATGCTGCTAGCAATACTCCTCAATTAAGCTTAATTGGTCATACTCAAATAGTCTCCTCTGCAGCAATAGCCAGAGATAACAGGACAATTGTTACAAGCTCATATGATCAGACATTAAAAATATTCACTATCTAATAATTTATATATGGGAGATTTTGCTATTAGATTAAGATACCCTGGAGGAAATAAAGCAATAACAGTTTCTCCACAAGCCACATATGATGAATTGAAGCATTTAATCTATTCCCTTACAAATATCATGCCTGATTGCCAAGTAATTAAATCTGGATACCCGCCAAAAGGAATTTCTGCTGATGATTCTATAAGTATTTCTGAGCTTGGGATATCGTCAGGCGAAACACTTATTATTGAAGCTTTGCCTGAAGCTCCTAAACCAATACCAAAACAGAATGAAAATAAACCTGTGCCACAGGTTCCTCCACAAAGTCAAATTCCAAATAGAGATGGAAAAGTAATGATAAGGAGAATTATCCCAGCTGATAACTCTTGTTTGTTTAATTCAGTAGGGTATGCAATGGAAGGAAGACAAAAACATATGGGAGAGTATCTTAATTTCGAGACGGAAATTAAAATATTTTAATTTACAATAAAAAATATATATTAAAAAATTTTTTTCAAATTATTAATAGGAGTTAGAAGTATTATTGGAGTTTTTGTAGAAAGCGACCCAGTAAATTTCAACGAAGTCATGCTAGGAAAGCAAGTTGAGGACTATATTAATTGGATAAAACAGCCGAATTCGTGGGGAGGAGCTATTGAGCTTGCAATTTTGTCTAATTATTATCAAGTAGAAATTGCAGCTGTGTCTGTACAAAATGCTAGGGTGGATCTTTTTGGGGAAGATGGAGGGTATAATAATAGGATTTATGTGATTTATGATGGGATCCATTATGATGTGTTAGTGAGGAATAGGAGCGAAGATTCACCTGAAGACCAAGACGAAACATGTTTTAGTCAAAATGATCAAGAAGCTTATCAAGGCGCGGTATTTTTAGCAAATGATATGAGGAATAGAAGACAGTTCACAGATCTTGCAAATTTCGATTTGATGTGTGGAGTGTGCAATAAAGGGCTTAAAGGAGAAAGCGATGCACTGGAGCACTGCAAAACTACTGGACATACTAATTTTCAAGAAATTCATAAGTAAAAGTAGTTTATTTCAATTTTTTTATTAATATTTGTATAGGTGAAATTTTTTTATGATTTCCCTCTATATCCTTACTACTATTCTTATTTCAAGCATTACAGCTTGAAAAATAGAGACAATTCCTGAATGAGGGAATCCTCCCAATCCGAGGAAGCTTTCCTCAATGATTTATGATTCGAACTCAAATAGAATTATTTTATTTTCAGGGATTTCTGATGAAGGGGTCTACTATGATGATATTTGAAGCTTTAATCTGGATTCATCTACATGAAAAGAGCTCTATCCATCTAATACAAATACTCCAGGTCCAAGAATTGGGGCGGCTATATTTTTTAATGAAGCCAGCAATCAAGTAATTATTGCAGGTGGAAAAACACTTTCAGGAGCGTCTTCTGATGTGTGAAGCTTTGATTTAACCACTTTAGCTGTATTTTTTAAATAGTGAAGCCAACTCACACTTCAAACTGATAAATTGCAAGCCAGTTTTTCACCTGCTTTTACCCGTTTCAAGTCCAATAATGAAAACTATTACGCTATATATGGATCATATGTCAACAACAATTTTTATAGCACTTTGTACCTGTAAAATCTATTTAGAATAGAAGAAAAAAGCTTGAATTGCTATTTAATGCCAAATTATGGGGATGCTCCATATTCATATAATGGACCAGGAATGGACTTTTATAATGGAGCTTTATATGTCTGGGGTGGATATTCCTGATTTTCAAATTATGACCAAGCTTTATATGTATATAATCTTACTACTTATACATGAAGCAAGTTAGCATTCGATCAAATGCCTAATGGGAGATCATGACATCATGTAGCTATTTATAAAAATTATTTATATGCTTTTCCTGGGACTAATTTTTTCCATCAAAAATCTGACGATATATGAATGATTGATTTAAACGAACTTAAAAAATGAGAAAATGTATCTTTTACAGTCGATTATAATATAAGCTTAAGAACGCAGTCTTCCAATATTTTTATAAACTCATCACTATTTCAATTTAGTGGCTCTTCCTTCACAAATGATCTCATATCAATCGATATTTCAGCAGAAAATCCCACATTTACGATAAAAACAGAGCACTGAATTTATCCTCCTTGCAGATCTAAATCAGCTGTCCACATCATTAATTCATATCTCGCTGTATTTGGAGGAGAAGGAAACAATGGTGAATTGTAAATTTAAATTAGGCTAAATGATTTATGATTATTTGACATAGAAAAAGGAAAATGATCCTTGAAAAATACCTATGACACCCCAACCCCTAGATCTAGCTTTGCGAGCATTTCTATTGGTCATGGCTTCATGATGTTTGGAGGAGAAGACAGCACAGGCTTGCTAAGCGATTTTTATATTTTTAGCCTTGTTTCAGATTCGTGGGTTTTAATTAATATTGAAGATGAAGCTCAACCAGATCCTACTAAAGGAGCTTGTATAAATATATTAGATCCGGTTATGATGCTTTTTGGAGGAATCAACAAAGTTGGCTTGACAAACGATTTGTGAATTTTCGATTTGATATGATTGAAATGATATCATATGGATTCTTCAAATTATATCATTCCTCCAATTACTTGGCATAGCTGCTTTATGTCAACAGAGTATGGAGATTATGTTTTATATGTACTAATGGGAGAATTCGAAGGAAATACACAAAATCCATATTTATTTAGATACTCTCTTTCTACAAATTCTTGAAGTATTGTATATGATTTTTCTCCTTATCTGCCACTCACTGCTAGCTTTTCTTCAATTATCGCTATCCCTCAAGAACTTATTATAATTGGTGGCAAATATCAAAATATATATTCACCTAGTTCAATAACCTTTGTTAATACAACCAATCTTCAATTGAAATCAATTGGATCTTTGAATCATTCTTTCTATGGAAGTGGTATAGGATATTTTAAGCACAGTGCTTATATTTTTGGAGGAGGGGTTGCTTCAGACTTTTTAATAGCAGACAAGTGAAAGTCTTCAGCTCTATATAAAATCAGTTTTGAAAAGCAAGATTCTGAGTATCATTGTAGCCCAGGCACATTTATTACAAAACCAGGATGCAACCTTTGTCCTGCAGGCTCGTTTTCTGCAGAGTTTGACTCCGAAAAATGTGAAAACTGCCCTGCAGGAACCTACTCAAAATTTTCTGGGTCTTATGCCAGCACTGCTTGCATTCCTTGCAGTCTTGGAACTTTTTCAAATATAGAAGGCGCTTCTGTATGCGCAATTTGTAAAAATGGAATAAGTTGTCCAGTGGGCAGTAAATCGCTTTATAGCAATGATTATGCATTAAATGACTCTTGAGTTCAGCCATCTACCTTTGAAAGCGATGCATCTATAGTTGACGAGTGAACAATAATTTTAGGAATTATGTTTGCAGTGTCAGTTATAATTACTTTGGCTTTGGCTTCGCTATGAAGACAATTCTTTAATATGCTTGAAAAATTTGATCTATATAGTGCTGATCATAATGAAAATAACCAGCCCATGTGGATGAAAAAGACCAAAATTGGAGGCTTGTTTTCGTTATTTGCTGTGTTAGGAGCTGGATTTTTAATTATTATATCAATTCTTACGCAGATTTTTGATAATATTTCAGAATCACAAAGTTTAATACCATATAATAATTTACAAGAGCAAGCTGGGCATATTAAAAGTGATTTATGGATAGAAGTAGTATTTTATTATTATGGAGGGAATTGTGGCTATAATGCCTCGTGTACCGAATATATAACATTTGTTCCAGCAAATATTAAAGGAACATTTTCTTCAATTGCATGCCAACTAATCGGCAGCCATTGCCATATTTCTGTATTTTGTTCACAATGCACTCTATTATCAGGTGCTTATGCTTATTATAACCTTGGGGAAGCAAATTCTTTTGCAAGTTTTATATCAGCTAATGTGACTACAAATTCTTCAATTCCAGACGAAATCAGTTCTTATAAAATATAATATGAAATATCAATTAAAGATTTATCTAAAATAAAATAAAATTTTTAAATATAAGAAAAATGATATATATGTATCTCCATCAGTATCAGGAGAAGTTTTTATTGGTCTGACCTCCACAATTATCAATTTTTCAATGACTTCAAGCGTAATGGCTATGTAGCTATTTATTTCTGAATCCAGCCGATGGAAAAACAATCAAACAGGGTATTATATTTCTAAAAGAGAAAATGCAAGTCCTGGATCTAGCGTAGGAGTTGATAAGCTGACTGTTTGAAGGACATTAAGGCTTCTTATATTATTGAAATTAGAAAATACTGGACTTTTGACAGTGAGATCTTTAAAAAGCACATTTCTACTTTTTGTGAGTGCTTTATTAGGATCAGTAACTGGAATTATTGGTCTTGCTGGAGCTATAATGGGGCATTTCGAAGGAAAAGCAGATGAAATTTCTAATAAAATAAAGGCAAAGGAAAATTTTTTGAATATTGAAAATGCAAAAGAAACATTGGAGTGCAATTTTAATATATTAGAATGCCAAACTCTTAAAGCAAGACATAATACAGAAATCGATACACATAGTCTTATGCTAGATAGCATTGGACGAAATATTAAACTAGATGTCACAGGACCCCCTTAACTATTGGATTTTTTATTAACAATTCTAGCTATTACTCTTAAATAAATTATTCTAACTCTATAAATAATTTATCCTGCTTATCTATCCCTAATCAGTCCTCCAGGCCTTACATGTGCTCTCTGTATATGCCCCTTCAAATTAAACTTCGACCTTGATTTCCCACAAATAGGACAAATCACAAACCTTAAATCGAAATGCACATAAAGATGTTTTTTATAATAAATCTTCAAAAATTTTTTTTTGCATATATCACATCTTGCATGGGTTGCATCATCAAAAGCCTCCAGACTATACCCTATAGCCTCATAGTCATTTTTATACATTTTAAAATAATCTTTTATTAGATCTTTTGTCATTTTGTGCTGGAGCTTTAAATGAGAGAGGATATTGAAAAAAGTCTTATCCCCACATATAAAGCAAAGGTATTTTTTGTCATCATTTGTATCATTGGATTCTTCAGTTAATAGGTCAAATAAAGTTTTGGAAATAGAGAGCTGGGATAATAAATTTGGGTCATCTATGTATCATTTATTAAGGGATAGAGCTATGGATTTACGAAATTTTGAGGTTTTGAGATATATCATGCATTCCTTAAGATTTTTGGAATCGAAATTAAGATGATCCGGTTTTGTTTTTGTTCAGTTTGTGAGGAGACAGTATTCAATGACATCGCGGGGCTCATAGCTATCATTAATCATAATAATTTTAAGGGGATTTAATCAAGTTTTTTAAAAATTTGTGAATTAAATTTGAATTTATTTTAATTAAGATTTTCATATCACGTTCAGGTCTTTCAGCTCTTTATTAGCTAATGCTAAATAGTAAAACCGGGAGCCTTAACTGCCATCTCAATTAAAATTGATTAATTAAATCAATAAATTAATTTATCAAAATTTTAGAATAAAATATTAGTCTTTGCGTGAATTATTTTTGCATAAAAACATTAATTTGATCGTTTAGAATCGTGATTTGCATCTTGATTATTAGTGCCAATTATTTTTTCTGCAGCTTCTTTAATTTCTTCATTTAAAGAACTGATCCTTTTTTCTCTTCTATCCAGCTTATCATTTGCCTTATTGACCCATGCTTCTAATTCAACCACTCTAAGCCTAAAAGCTTCATTTTGATCAACAATTTCTCCTAGAGCTTCTTGCAGTGCTTGAATATGCTCTAGCTTAGCTTCACATGCCTCACAAACTTCTTTCCGCTCTTCCATTTAAAATTGCATAAAATTAGTGCGGGAACTTTTATTATATATAGTTCTATCATAAATTTCGTAAAAATTCACGATTAAAAATTAATTATTTATATTTTTACAAATAGTCAATGTAAAATCAAAGATAAATCTTCTAAAAACATAGCAATATACTTATATTAATATTAACAAGCAATCCAATTACACTTTTCTATAAGACATACAAATAAAGGTATATCCAATACCATATCCACCTTTTTGTGCATAATCCCAAAAATAAAATCTTGGTCTATTATATATCCTGTGTGTGGATTTATCCTTAAAATCCCTTCAAACTGAGAATAGTTCCTCATTTCAAGTTTTACGCATTCATTGCATGATGCAATTTTCTGAATTCCTGTCTCATCTTTTTGAGGAAGAATTTCATATCCTTTTACTCAGCTAAGTTTATGATATAAATCTTTATTAAAGCATGGCAGCCTAAGCTCTTCAATAGGCTCAAAATTTACTACTTGTTTCAATATACTATTAGCTTTATAAAAAATATGCTTCATTTAGCTGATTCGCATTACAAGTAAGCAAATAAATTGCCATAATTTCCAATAATAAAAGCAATATTATTCAGCATATCATTTTTCCTTTTATATATTTCAGAAGCCAAATCCTGCTTTAAATCATCATTTGTTGTAATAAAAAATGTAAATAAATTAGAAAATTCAGTAGGGACTTTAAATATCATAAAATCATTTACTCTGGCACAGGAAAGTTTATTTGATTTAAATCGCATAAAATGATAGTCATTTTCAAAAACTTTTTGGTGAATAAAAGTGCAGCTTGGCCATCGAAATGAAATATCAAGGCAAGAAATTGAACTTTTGCCTCTTGGAGTAGGAAGCATCATTTTATTTTTTTGAATAAATTCAGATGCCTCAATTTTATTTGTAGCTATTATAGAGCTCATATATGGGAAATTAAAGCTTTCAGAGCTGCTTGCGTATTCTAAAATATTAGAAATATCGTTATGCAGATTACTCAGGCCAAGCTGTGACACTTTAATTTGATTTTTCACAAGTTGTCCCATAAGTCCTAGTATAGAATTAATCAAGCATTGTCTATTTCCTATCTGCATAGACTCTTCCCCTATTTCTAGATTTAATCCATTTGTCTCATTATCAATTTCGATACAGCATCCAGAGACAACTCTTATTGTCTGGTTTTGTGTTTTCCTAGGCGTCAAAATAATATTAGTATTAGCCCTAGTTATGCCCATAATTGCTATAGAACTTTCTCTTCAATAGCGCGATAATGCGCATTCCTAGGTTTTACCGGAAGGTCTTGGACATATGAAAACCTGCTATTCCTTATTCATGGGGAGAGACAAACAGCCTAAATAAAGAATTCTGCCTGATCAATCTCGAGAACTTGAAGAGAGGCTGTGTGTGGAAAAATTACATTTTGGTTCGTCAAATGGATCTGACGAGCCAATTCTGGCCAGTACTTGAAATAAAAAATGATAGTTGCCAGAATTTTATTAATTTTCTGATGAAGAGTATGATCAGAATTTTAATAAAAGGCACAGGATCTAGTAATTAATTAAGTCACTATGACGAAAGTTTGAATTTTTAAAAAATTAAAAAATTATTAAGATGGTTAAGTCACTAAGTACTATGGCAAAAGTAAAAATTTAAAAATCATTACTGGCATCGTCTCCCAAAGGCAGTAAAGAGTACTCATTACGTTTATTTTATGCTTTAATTATCTCTTTAAATCTTCTATTAAAAGTTTGAAATTTTAAAAAATAAAAATTATTAAGATGGTTAAGTCACTATGAAAAAAGTCAAAATTTAAAAATCATAAACTGGCATCGTTTTCCTTAGGCAGTAAAGAGTACTCAGATCGTTATCTTTATGCTTTAATTATCTCTTTAAATCTTCTATTAAAAGTTTGAAATTTTAAAAAATAAAAATTATTAAGATGGTTAAGTACGATGAAAAAAGTAAAAATTTAAAAATCATTACTGGCATCGTCTCCCTAAGGCAGTAAAGAGTATTCATAACGTTATCTTTATGCTTTATTTATATCTCTTTAAATCTTCTATTAAAAGTTTGAAATTTTTAAAAAATAAAACATTATTAAGATGGTTAAGTCACTATGAAAAAAGTCAAAATTTAAAAATCATTACTGGCATCGTCTCCCAAAGGCAGTAAAGAGTAAATCTTCTATTAAAAGTTTAAATTTTTAAAAAATAAAAATTTATTAACTCTCCCCCCCCCCTCCGTGAGCGAACAAAACCATTAGAAAAATCGCCATTTTTTGACCAAAAACCCACCCTCCGTGAGTGAACAAAAATTTTTTTAATAGAAAAAATTTTAATGGAAAAAAATTTTGATATATAAGTGATAATTAGTATAATGAAATCTAGAGCTAATTCTGTTTAATTTTAAACAAATTGCGTTTTAAAACATAAATTTTGCAAATTAAATTAATATTTGCTTCCCAATTTTTGCAAATTAGGATTTTTTTAAATTTCGAAAAAAATATTTTTTATAAAATTTATATATAAATTTTTTTTAAAAAAAAAAATTAACCCCCCTCCGTGAGCGAACAAAATTTTTTTGTTCGCTCACGGAGGGGGGGGGGGGAGTAAGATGGTTAAGCACAATGAAAAAAGTCAAAATTTAAAAATCATTATTGGCATCGTCTCCCAAAGGCAGTAAAGAGTACTCAGATCGTTATCTTTATGCTTTAATTATCTCTTTAAATCTTCTATTAAAAGTTTGAATTTTTGAAATTAAAAAAATTATTAAGATGGTTAAGTCATTATGACAAAAGTCAAAATTTAAAAAATCATAACTGGCATCGTCTCCCTAAGGCAGTAAAGAGTACTCAGGTCGTTATCTTTATGCTTTAATTATCTCTTTAAATCTTCTATTAAAAGTTTAAATTTTTAAAAATTAAAAAATTATTAAGATGGTTAAGTCACTATGAAAAAATTCAAATTTAAAAAACATAACTGGCATTGTCTCCCTTAGGCAGTAAAGAGTACTCATAACGTTATCTTTATGCTTTAATTATCTCTTTAAATCTTCTATTAAAAGTTTTAATTTTGAATTTTATTGTCAAAAGGAATTATTATCTGATCATACTCTTCATCAGAAAATATATAAAATTCTGGCAACTATCATTTTTTATTTTCAAGTACTGGCCAGAATTGGCTCGTCAGATCCACTTGACGAACCAAAATGTAATTTTTCCACACAGCCTCTCTTCAAGTTCTCGAGATTGATCAGGCAGAATTCTTTATTTAGGCTGTTTGTCTCCCCATGAATAAGGAATAGCAGGTTTTCATATGTCCAAGACCCTCCGGTAAAACCTAGGAATGCGCATTATCGCGCTATTGAAGAGAAAGTTCTATATATCATATTTATCCTCAGTTTCAGAGTTTGCTTTCCATTTGAATTTTCCCTTACTAAAAATCCTTTTAACATCAAGTGGGACTTCTTGGATTTCTCCTGCAATTAAATTGACCCTAATTTCATCAAATTTATCGTTGCTGAATAAAAACTTTTTGGTGGCTTCTAATAAGCCGGGGTATGCTTCTCAGTTTAGGCATGAGAAGTGATGGATAATTAAATTGGATTCTAATTGACCTATACAATCTTGAGTGTAGACTATAAGCCCAAGAATGCGATTTTCTTTTAAAGCCCAGTATCAGCAAGGATTGATACCGCGGGTGATTTCATTTAGAAGCTGCATTATGGTGGGAAGTGAAGGTTTGCAGATTTCTGGAATAAAGCGGTAATATTCATCAAGAACACTGATAATCATAATTTCAGGGACACCAATAGGTCGAAATTCTACGTTTGAGAGGTCTTGGAAATCTTCTTGGTAAGCAAAGTCAAGCCCTAACTCTTCTATACATTTTTGAATAATTTTGTATTTTTTTTATAAATATAAAAATAAAATAATATTTTATGTAAAAAATATATGACTTCGCTTCTTGCTTTTAAGTCTCTTGCTCTTTGTTCTTCAAGTCTTATTTCCTTATTGCTTAGTCGATTTAAATTTGTATCAGCAATGTGCTCATCTAATAATGAGCCATAAATTACATTGGCTAACCCCTGCAGCTCTTTATCTTTTGTTTCTTTAATTTTTTTCTTAATTTCATCTACTGTCATTTCTGCAATATTAGATAGGTTGAATTCTGAATATTGGTATATAAGATAATCAAAGAGCTCGTTATATATAATCAAGCTTATATCTTCAATCATTTTTGCGCTCTCTTTTTCTGTTGATTTCAAGGCTATTTCTGCTATTTTATGCATATTAAGATCTGAGTTTCCATTAATAAGACTGTCTACTATTTCATTATAAATCAAAAGTGCCAAATTTGAATTGAACTGCTCAATTTTTTCTTTGTGGTTTTGTTTCATTTCTTGCAATGCTGACTCAGAAATGCTATTGATCCCAAAATCTTCATTATTTAGAACAATTTCATCAATTAATTGATTTGCAATTATTAATGCAATTTTTGAGTTCATATCGTTTAAATCTTTCTCAAACACCTTTTTTGCATCATTTATTGCAGTATCAGCGAATTCTTTTAAAAGCCTTTCAACACATTCATCTACAAGAGAGCCTACAATATTTTTTGCTAATTTTGTATTATTAGCCATCTTCTTTTCTCTATCAACTTCTAACTCAACCACCTCTCTTATCAATATAATTAATAATTTTTCGAAAACATCTTCAGAAACCAATTTATTTTCTTTTTGCTTTTTTTTAGCAGCTTCTATTTCCGCTTTCGCAATTTCTCTTAAATTTTTAATTATTTCATCTTCAATAAAAGAGCTAACATAATACCCTTTCAGTTTCTCATTGACATCTTTCTTATTTTTAATTTCGTTTTCTGCTATTATTGGGCATTCTTTTTCTATAACTTCATTTAAAATATCATCAAAAATCATTTTTGTCAAATTTATTTTTTGATTTTTTATTTCTTCTTCTTGCTTTGCTTCTCTGACTGTGTCTTCTAATTTTTCATCAATCTCTTCTTCAATGATTTCTTCTACAATTGTTTTTAACACTTTGCTGTGGGTCATTTGAGGGGAATTTGATAATTTATCACTTAAGTCTGAAGAGCTGCTGGTTCGGCTCATATAAATTGATGGGGACTCTTCAGGGATTTTTTCAATATCTTCTCCAAAGATGGCTTCTTCTGCTGCTTGGACTCGTTTTTGTAGCGATGATGGTAGTGGTACAAAAACTTGTCCTTGGTCTATAAAATAATTTGTATTTCTTTTGTTTACTTTTTCTTTTTTTTCGATTTTTGAAGGCCTTACAAGAAGAGGGTCAGCACCATCTTCAAAATTAAAAACTTTGCTATAGGAGGAGCTTTTTAAAAAGTCCATATCTGCTTTCATTTTTTTAATATAATATATATGAGAATAATCTCCAATTTTTATAATTATGATTAATCTTATATATTGGGAAATAAAAGCTTCAAAATTAATGATAATAAATATAGTTTTCTCCATTCCATATGAAAGGGATTTTTTTTGGCTTTTCAACTTGATTAATAAGAGATGCCGCATATAAAGACTCTCTTCATCTTATAATACTTTCAACTGCACTCAATGTGAGCATTCTATGCCCATGCAGCAGTTCTGCAGTCTCTAACTGAACATCAGTTATACTCTCCCAGTTTCCTGAATTTTGCAAAAACTCATCCATTTCGTGAATGTTTTTCAAACTTTCTTCTCTTGCTATAACTGCACGAATTGCAATTTGAATTAAGGCTTTGGATTTAGACAAATCATAAATTTCTTTTGAGATTATTAGATGCGCCTTATGGCGAGGCAATTGAAAAATGGACTCTCTATAAGGAATCCTCAGGTCTTCAGGGATGTTTCTTGTTGATCATTCTGACTCTAAGCTATTTTTTATATTTTCTAAATCGGATTCAGATGTTGAAGCTAACTTGCTAGGGTCATCTTCACTTATAAATGAAGGTTTGGACGAAATTTCAGCTACTGGTAGTGGCGGAAGTTTGAGAGCTTTTAAAGAATTTTGGCTTTCTATTGAGGATTTTGTTTCATCTTGCAAAGCATATCTGATACGATTTGTTTTTAATGCTTGAGATGAGCTTGATCTTGATCTTGGTGGTCCTCATTGATCCTATTTAGAAGATACTTTTGCTGCTGAAGTTTTTGAGTTATTTTTCTGTTTAAGCAGCTGAAGCGTTGACATATTAATGAATTAATTACTTCTTTAATAATTATTGAATGCTTAATTTATAAATTAAATAGGAGCTCACATGATAATAAAAAATACTTATTCAATTGATTAATTTTGATTTACATTTAAATTTATACTTGATATTATTATTAAATCCCTAATATTCCTTCATATTTTCTAGCATTTCTTCTTAAAATATCATCTAGAGGCCCTAGCATCCTCTTAAATGCTTTTCTACCTAAAGTCACACATGACAGCTTACTCGTTGCAATAATATTAGCAGCACGAGGCTGCCCTCTAAGTAAGCAAAGCTCTCCAAAATAATCCCCAGGCTTATAAGTTTTCACTTCTTTTGGCGACTCTCCAGGATTAAATGTTTTTGTTGCTATAGCAGTTCCTTCTTCAATCATATAGAATTCATCACCCCATTCTCCTTCAGTAATTACTTTATCGCCTTCTTTAAAAACTGCAGTCTTCAAGGCATCAGAAATCTGTGACCTCTCATATGGGTCCATATTTTCTAATAGTTCTACGCTTGCCAAAAAGTTTTCATATCTTTCTCTTTTTCTTGCAGCTGAATCTTTTACGATATGATTAAAGCAATCTCTGTCCAAAACAAAACATATGCAATCAGTGACTGTTTTTATTGATGCAGCTCTTGGAACATTATATAGCAGTGCAAGCTCTCCAAATGAGTCTCCAGGCTCATAAAACTTCAAAAACTTAGATGGCTCTCCTTTAACAAAAACTTTGCTGCACTCAAGTTTTCCACTATCGACTACAAATAGCTCGTTTCCATCATCACCTTGTGTAATTACTTGATCGCCTCCTTGGAACCTTCTTTCTTCCATAGAATTGACTACAATTTCTCTTTCATTATCATCTAGTGCGGCGAACATAAACGCTTTACTAAGTCTTTCTGAAATTCTTGCCTTTTGTTCATCACTTTTAGGTATAAATCTTGGCTTAAAAGCAGATTTTTTGTTTCAAAGCCCAAAAGCTTCAGCGCTTACAGATGCTCTTGCCTTCATTTTTTTCTGAGGAGCTACAGGTACTTCTTCTTCAGATTCTTGGTCACTTTCATCAGTTTCACTGTTAGAAGCTGAGGAATCTTTGTTTTGTTCAGTCAAGGACTTGTATTCTGATCTTAAAGAAGCCAATTCATTTCTTTCGCTATCTGTTAATTGGGTATTTGATCGAGATATTAATCAATCAAGCATAAATTGTTCAGGTGTTTTTGGCTGTTCTAAAAGAATACTTGTCACCATATCTTCGAGAAGGCTGTGAAGCTTAGTTTGGATATATCTTTTAAGCTCTTCTTTTGTAGTCATAAATACTTATATATTAAAATGCAAATGGACTGCTTAGAATAGCATAGAATTTGGAACATCTTAATATTACTTTAAAATGCAATTTTTAAAATTAATTATTATTAACTGTCCAGTTTTTAATACTTACTAATATCTAAAAGACTTTAAACTAGGCTGTTTACATAATATGAAATTTGGAGTGGAAAAATTAATATTAAAACAAATCAGCCCAAATTTCTTAACTCTAAAAATGCTAAAATTATAAATAAAATTCACAGAGACACTCATTAATAAGATTTATTAATAAAGACCCCTAAGTTAAAAAAGAAATCTCTAAAAATTATGTAGATATTAGCTAATAGTAATGGAAGGTTTACTATCAATCGTTAACCAGCTACAAAAAGTAATCAGCCTTTCCAATGTCCGCGTTAGCATTTCGCTACCTCAAATCGTCGTGGTTGGAGCTCAATCTGCTGGCAAATCAAGTGTGCTAGAGTGTATTGTTGGAAAAGACTTCCTTCCTAGAGGTAGTGGGATTGTAACACGTAGACCTCTTATTATTCAATGTCATCATACAGAAGAGGGTGAGTACGCTGTATTCCATCATTGCCAGGATCGTTTATTTGATGACTTTAATGAAGTTAGAAAAGAAATCGAAAGAGATACAATAAAAGAAGCAGGAAATAATAAAGGTGTTGTTAGCCAGCCAATCATTCTTGAAATTCATTCCCCACAAGTTATTGATCTTACATTAGTAGATTTGCCTGGACTCACTAAAAACCCTGTTGGAGATCAGCCAAAAAATATTGTTTCTATGATCGAGGAGATGGCCTTGGAATATATAAAAGCAGAACATGCTTTAATTTTAGCAATTTCTCCAGGAAATAATGATATCGCAAACTCAGACGCTTTAAAAATTGCAAGAGATGTTGATCCGAAAGGAGAAAGGACTTTAAGCGTGATTACAAAGCTGGATATTATGGATAAAGGGACTAGTGCCATAAATATTCTTCTTGGTGAAGAATACTCCTTAAAGTTTGGACATATTGGAGTTGTTTGTAGAAATCAAGAAGATATCAAGAATAATGTTCCAATAGCAGATCATTTAGAAAAAGAAGCCGATTTTTTTAGAAATCATCCTGATTATCAAGAAATTCAGGACCAAACAGGCATTCCATTTTTAACTAAAAAACTTCAAGAAATCCTTTTTGATCATTTACAAAAAACTCTTCCAAGCATAAAAGCTGGCATTGATCGTCAGTTGAGGGAAAGAGAAGTTGAAGCAAAAATTTATGGCGAACCAGTTAAAGGAAATAGAGATTTGGAGAGAAATATTATACTTAAAGTTATCCGTGAATTCTCCAGAAACTTAGAAGAAGTATTAGAAGGCAAAGATAGCTCTGAAAATAACGAAGGCACTAAAATTCGAAATATTTTATTTGACAATTTGGAAAGAAAAACCAGGGAGATAAATCCTCTTATATGCTCCAACGATAGATTAATCCAAAACGAAATTAGCAACTCAAATGGTATATATGGAACTTTACTCATTCCTGAGCAAGCATTTAGAACTCTTGCACAGTCTACAGTTAATTTGCTTAAAGAGCCGGCTATTGATGCATTTGAATCTGTAAAGGATACGATTTCAGCCTTAATAAAACGCATTAAAGTTGATGAATTTAGACGGTTTAGTATTTTCCATGTGTCAGTATGCGAAATTTCTGAATCACTAATTGAAGATTGCTACAAAACTACATCTGAAATCATAGATGACATATTTACTATGGAATACAATTATATTAATATCCAGCACCCTGATTTCATGGGAGGAATTGTAGCTCTTGCTAAAATTAATCAAAAAATTGAAGAGGAAAAAGAGAAGATTGCACAAAACTACCCAGGCCAAAAAGTCAGCACTCCTATAATATCTGATGAAAAGAAATATGTTGAAGTAACAAAATTGCTAATAAAGTCTTACTTTGATATAGTAAAAAAAACTATTGGAGATATGGTTCCAAAGGCAATAATGTTTTTCCTTGTTATGAAGGTTATGAGGACATTAGGCAATCACTTGAGTGATAAGTTATTAAAAGATGAGATTCTTGAAAGAACTTTAGACGAAGGAAAACTCATACCACAAAAACGAGAAGCTTGCAAATCAGCTATAAAAACACTTAGACAAGCAAAAGCCATTCTCAGGCAATGGGGTCTGCCAAGCACTTAGAACTTATTTAACTAAATAATCTAGTTGGCTACACTCATGCTTAAAAATAAATTTTTTCATAATAGCTTTTAAGATTAGAAAATGAGAAGCTCTAATTATATATAAATGCTAGAATATTGCTGATTTTAATCAATTATTTGAATAATTTATTTATTCACATCACAAATTTCTCATTAACCCATAAGAATTGTGAATATAAAACTTTTCTTCTTGAAATTTATATTTAATAATAAGCTAGATGTTTGTCATAGACAGGTAAAATATTAATTTTAATAAAAATCTCAATTTTATAATTCCTTAATTTTAAGTAGGAATTTACCTATTTTATAGACATTTGCATAATTATTTAATGGAAGGCTTGCTATCTATTGCAAATAAGTTACAAATACTGATCAATCTCTCACGTGCTAAAGTTAAAATTTCACTTCCTCAAATTGTGGCTGTTGGAGCTCAATCTGTAGGCAAGTCCAGTGTTTTAGGAATATTATTGGGAAAAATTTTCTTCCTAGAGGAAGTGGAATTGTAGCAAGATTACCTCTAATTATTCAATCCCATTACATTCCGAAGAATTTGCAATATTTCAGTATAGCTCGCAAGTGATATAGAAATTTCCCATAGATGTCGCTGTTTACCCTTGATTTGCCCACTGGGGAAAATTTTTTGGTTCGACCAGTACCATAGTTTGGTCAAACCAAAAAATTTTCCTTATGGTAAAATCAAGGGCAAACAGCGCCATCTATGGGAAATTTCTATATTTAAATTTAGAGAGGAAATTATAGCAGAAACAATAAAAAGGCAGGAAATAATAAAGGGATTATAGATCAGCCAATTCTTCTTGAAATTTATTTACCAAATGTCGTCAATATAACTTTGGTTGATTTGCCTGGATTTTCTAAAAATCCAGTTGGAGACCAGCCACGAAATATGTCTGCCTTAATCAAAAGAATGATACTAGAATGAATTGATAAAGAAATGTCATTATTTTAGCAACTTTCCCTGGAAATAATTACATACCAACTCAAATGCATTAAAATTGCAAGAGATTCAGACCCAAGTAGAGTAACGTGAAGAAAGAAAAAAAGTTTAAAAATACGGGGACCCTATTGTTGATAATAAAGATTTTCAAGCAAATATTATTATAAATCATTGATGATTATCACAAATATTTAGAGAATACTTTGGATAGAAGAAGAATAAAAGTATAGGTGACATTTATGAGGCAGGCAAAAATATATTATTTTTTAATTCAAAACTTCAAAATTATATTTTTGCGAATTAGAAGGATCACTTTTGATTAATTAAGCATTAGTCTTAAATTTTCAAAAATATTAAAAATTGTAATGAAGACTAAAGATTTTATTAAAAAGGTTTATTCGGCAAATCTTGATAAAGTATCAATAAAATTTACATTTTTTAACAAATAAATAATTTAATTTGTATTATGAAGTTTGTATTGCATTATCTATTAGGCACATCTTTGGGATTGTGGAGTTTTGCTTGTGTTATCTATTAGGCTCATCTTTTATAGGAATTATATTTGGCGCAATATTAAAATGCAAAAGGTCTAATTTATTTTCTCTATAAATGTTTGTTTATGCTCTTAGCAGCAAGTGAATTAATCAATTATAAGATAGAGTAGATTTTCTATATGTATATATTAAATCTGCTTGCATCAAAAGAAATTCATAAATAAAATTAATTTTGCATTTAAATCTGTATTGACCATAGTATAAATATTTTCTGGAATAATTAAAAGCCCTATTTTATAAATATCATTAAACAATGCACTCTATTAGAATTAAATTTGAAGTTAAATCGGCAAAGATATTATCTAACTGGATGCTATTAATAGATTAGTACCTTTAAAGAGTTAATTCAATCTTAAAAACATAATTATTTAAGAAATTAATTAATATTTATTCCATTTTTAAAGTAGTTCCCCCTTTTATAATTAATGGAAGGCCTACTAGCTACAGTAAACGAGCTACAAAAATTAATCAATCTCTCCCATGTTAAAGTTGATATTTCACTCCCTCAAATTGTAGTCGTTGGTGCTCAATCTGCAGGGAAATCAAGCGTGCTAGAAAGTATTATTGGAAAAGATTTTCTTCCTCGAGGTCAAGGAATAGTGACAAGAATGCCTCTAATCATCCAATGCCATAACAATGAAGAAGAATTTGCAATATTCCAGCATCTTCCAGATGTTATAATTAAAGACTTTGCCAAGGTTAGAGACGAAATTATTGCTGAAACAAACAAAAATGCAGGGAGCAAAAAAGCGATTGTTGGCAAGCCAATTCTTCTTGAGATTTATTCACCACTGGTTGTAAATATAACTTTGGTTGATTTGCCAGGGCTAACAAAAAATCCTGTTGGAGACCAGCCACGAAATATATCGGCTTTAATTGAAGAAATGGTCTTAGAGTATATTAAAAAGGAAAACGCCATTATTTTAGCTATTTCCCCCGGAAATAATGATATAGCAAATTCCGATGCGTTAAAAATTGCAAGAGACGTCGACCCAAGAGGAGAAAGAACTTTAGGTGTGATTACAAAGCTAGATATTATGGATAAAGGAACAAGTGCAATAAGCGTCTTGCTTGGTGAAGAATATCCATTAACTCATGGGTATGTTGGTGTTGTTTGTAGATCTCAAGACGATATTAACAATAATGTCTCAATATCAGATCATTTGGGTGAAGAGGCTGAATTCTTTAGCAACAATCCTGACTATAGCCAAATTCAAGATCAAGCAGGGATTCCTTATTTAACTCAAAGACTTCAAGAAATATTATTTGAAAAGCTCAGACAAACTCTCCCTCGCATAAAGGAAGGAATCGATTCCCAACTTGAACAAAGAAATCGTGAGCTCGAAAATTACGGAGATCCTATCAGTGAAAATAAGGCTTTACAGCAAAATATAATTATAAAAATAGTTGACGATTATTCCAGATTTTTAGAGGAAGCTGTAGAAGGAAGAACTGACAAAGATGATACAGGCACAAAAATCAGGAAAATTTTATTTACACTTTTTGAAGATAATCTAAAAAAAGTTAATCCAATGGAAGAAATAACAGATAACGAAATATTGGAAGAAATAGGCAGCACAAATGGAATTCATGGAACTTTATTGATTCCAGGACAATCATTCAGAAAACTTTCAAAAAAAACAATAGAAAGCATTAGAGTGCCTTCCTTTAAAATTCTTGAATTAGTAAAAGAGTCACTCTTAACCTTGACTCAAAAAATTTCAAACCCTTATTTTAGCAGGTTTAAAGATCTACATCGTTTGATATGTGAAATTACAGAGAAAATAATTGAAGATAAATATAAGAATACTTATGATATGATAAAAAGGATATTTGATATGGAAAAGAATTATATAAATATTCATCATCCTGATTTCATTGGGGGACGCAAAGCTATTGAAGAAATTGAAGCTCTTAATGAAAATCAGCTAAAATTCCAAGCATCAAACTTAAGGGCAGGCTTGTTTAGCCCTAATCAAAATTTTGAAGGCCTGTTTAAACCCTTTTCCACAGGTTTACTTAGTTCTCAACAAGCACCTGCTCAAAGTAGTCCTTTCCCTAATAACCAGAAAACTCAGCCTTTTGGTCAAAGCCCAGCAAATAAAACGATAGCAGCGAATCAGAGCGAGTTAAAAAATATAGTCCTTGTAAGAATCCTTGTAAATTCATATTTTTGAATTGCTAGAAAAAACATTGGAGACTATGTTCCAAAGGCAATTATAAGCTTTCTGATTCATGATGTGCAGGAGTCGCTCAAGGATTTATTGATTGCTGAACTACTTGGTGAAAAATTCAATGAAAAACTTTTAGATGAAGGAAAAATCATTCCAAAGAAAAGAAAAGACTGTAAAGAAGCGATTGCGTTATTAAAAGGTGCCAAAAATATTCTTAGGAATTGGAATATTTCTAATAACTAATGATATGTTTTAATTAATAGAATATTTTTTGTTAATAAGTCTTTATTATTTTAGGTTTTATATGCTTCTCTTATAATTTTTGGGTTTTATTAATAACTTTTTCAAAAAATATTACTCAGAATTTATTTAACTTAATAATCAAATTGGCTACATTCGTGTTTAAAAATGATTTTATTCGTAATAGCTTTTAAGATTAGAAAATGAGAAGCTCTAGATAGAGATAAATGTTAGAATATTGCTGATTTTAAGCAATTCGCATCACAAAATTCTCATTAATTTCATAAGAATTGTGAATATAAAACTTTTCTTATTGAGATCTATATCTAATAATAAGCTAGATATTTGTCCTAGACAGGTAATTTTTTTTCTATTATTTTAATACTCTTACATCAAAAAAAATTCATAAATAAAAGTAATTTTGCATTTAAATCTGTATTAACTATAATAAACATTATGAATATTTTTCGGGAATAATTAAAAGCCCTATTTATAAATATCATTAAAAAATGCAATTATTCAATTATTAATTTAAGAAATTGATAACTATTTATTCCTTATTTTTAAGCAGAAATTTTGTCCATTTTATAGACATTTGCATAATTTACTATTTTTATTAATGATATCATTGATTTTCTTCTTCTATTGAAGTTTTTTATTTACAATTTAGAATTAAACCTATAAAAATATTATTTTATATATTCCGAATAGTGTATTGAATGGAAAGTCTGCTAGCTAAAGTTAACGAGCTACAAAAACTAGTCAATCTCTCCCATGTTAAAGTTGATATTTCACTCCCTCAAATTGTAGTCGTTGGTGCTCAATCTGCGGGGAAATCAAGCGTGCTAGAAAGTATTGTTGGAAAAGATTTTCTTCCCCGAGGCCAAGGAATAGTGACAAGAATGCCTCTAATCATCCAATGCCATAATGATGAAGAAGAATTTGCAATATTCCAGCATCTCCCAAGTGTTATATTTAAAGACTTTGCCAAGGTTAGAGACGAAATTATTGCTGAAACAAACAAAAAAGCAGGGAGCAGAAAAGCGATTGTTGACCAGCCAATTCTTCTTGAGATTTATTCACCACTGGTTGTAAATATAACTTTGGTTGATTTGCCTGGGCTAACGAAAAATCCTGTTGGAGACCAGCCACGAAATATATCAGTTTTAATCGAAGAAATGGTTTTAGATTATATTAAAAAGGAAAATGCCATTATTTTAGCTATTTCTCCTGGAAATAATGATATAGCAAATTCCGATGCGTTAAAAATTGCAAGAGACGTCGATCCAAGAGGAGAAAGAACTTTAGGTGTGCTTACAAAGCTAGATATTATGGATAAAGGAACAAGTGCAATAAATGTCTTGCTTGGTGAAGAGTATCCATTAGCTCATGGGTATGTTGGTGTTGTTTGTAGATCTCAAGCTGATATTACCAATAATGTCTCAATTTTAGATCATTTGGATAAAGAGGCTGAATTCTTCAGGACCCATCCTGACTATAAGCTAATTCAAGATCAAGCAGGGATTCCTTATTTAACTCAAAGACTTCAAGAAATATTATTTGAAAAACTCAAACGTGCACTTCCTAGCATAAAGGAGGGAATCGATTTCCAACTTGAACATAGAAGTAATGAGCTCGAAAATTACGGAGATCCTATCGGTGAAAATAAGGCTTTGCAGCAAAATATAATTATAAAAATAGCTAGCGATTATTGTAGATTTTTAGAGGAAACTATAGAAGGAAGAACTGACAAAGACGAGACAGGTACGCAAATCAGGAAAATTTTATTTTCATTTTTTGAAGATAAACTAAAACAAATTAATCCAATGGAAGAAATTACAGATAATGAAATATTGGAGCAAATAAGCAGCACAAATGGAATTCATGGAACTTTGCTGATCCCAGAACAAACATTCAGAGTATTTTCGAGAAAAGCAATAGAAAGCATTAGAGCACCTTCTTTTCAAATTCTTCATTTAGTAAAAGATTCACTTTTAGCTTTGACTCAGAAAATTTCAAGTCCTTATTTTAGTAGGTTTAAAAATCTGCATCTTTTAATAAGCGAAATTACAGAGAAAATTATTGAAGATAAATATGAGAGTACTTATGATATGATAAAAAGGATATTTGATATGGAAAACAATTATATAAATATTCATCATCCTGATTTCATTGGGGGACGTATTGCTATTGAAAAAACAAAAAAGTTTGATGAAGCTAATGGAAATCAGCTAAAAATGCAAGTACCAGTCCAAGGCGACAGTTTATTTGGCACTACTCAAAATAATGGAAACCTATCTAAACAATCGCCATTTACCAGCCTTTCTAGCAATCAGCAAGCACCTGCCCAAAATAGTCTTTTCCCAAGCAGCCAGCAAACTTTGGGTTTTGGCCAAAACCCAACAAATAAAACAAATAGTATTTTCCCTAGTAGCCAGCAAACTTCGGGTGTTGGCCAAAGCCCAACAAATAAAACAATAACATTAAATCAGAGTGATTTAAAAAATATAGAGCTTGTGAGAATCCTTGTAAAGTCATATTTTGGAATCGTTAGAAAAAACATTGGAGACTATGTTCCAAAGGCAATTTTAAGCTTTCTGATTCATGATGTGCAGGAGTCGCTCAAGGATTCATTGGTTGCTCAATTACTTGGTGAAAAATTCAATGAAAAAATTTTGGATGAGGGAAAAATCATTCCAAAGAAAAGAGAAGACTGCAAAGAAGCGATTGCATTGTTAAGAGGTGCCAAAAATATTCTTACTCCCCCCCCCCCCTCCGTGAGCGAACAAAAAAATTTTGTTCGCTCACGGAGGGGGGTTAAATTTTTTTTTTTAAAAAAAAATTTATATATAAATTTTATAAAAAATATTTTTTTCGAAATTTAAAAAAATCCTAATTTGCAAAAATTGGGAAGCAAATATTAATTTAATTTGCAAAATTTATGTTTTAAAACGCAATTTGTTTAAAATTAAACAGAATTAGCTCTAGATTTCATTATACTAATTATCACTTATATATCAAAATTTTTTTCCATTAAAATTTTTTTCTATTAAAAAAATTTTTGTTCACTCACGGAGGGTGGGTTTTTGGTCAAAAAATGGCGATTTTTCTAATGGTTTTTGTTCGCTCACGGAGGGGGGGGGGGGAGTTAGGAATTGGAATATTTCTAGTAACTAATGATCTCTTTTTTAATCAGTAGAATAAATAATAAATCTTTATTGTTTTTATCCCCCTTCCATAGGCGAATAAAGATTTTTCGCTCAAGATATTTTGTTTATAATAATTTTTTTTCGAAATTTAAAAAAAATTTATATCTAAACTATAGCTCTAAAGCAAATATTAATTTAATCTATAAAATTTTATATTTAAAGTGCCAGCTGTTTAAAATTAAACAGAATTAGTATGAGATTTCATTATAATAGTTATTACTTATATATCAAAATAATTTTTTCTTAAAAAAAATTTGCTTGCTCACGGAGGGAAGGTTTTAGGCCAAAACATAGGGATTTTTCCAATGGTTTTGTTCTCTATGAAGGGCGTGAGTTAGGTTTTACAATCTTCTCTTATAATTTTTTGTTGATTTTATCAATAATTTTCCCATAAAAATATGACTCCATAATTTTAATTAACGATAATAAAAAACTAAATAAATTTAATGGGGGATCACGATAGCCTTTATGTCATTGAATCTATTGTAGATAAGAAATTTTCAACCGCGCTTAATTCCTGGCGCTACCAAATCAAATGAAAAGGATTTTCCTCTGCCGATAACACCTGAGAACCTGAAGAAACAGTTAAGTCTGTCCCTGATCTTCTTGAGCAATTTAATGAAAAGCAAGAAAGGAAGCAATTGCTAAGGCGAGAACAGTGCAAGAGAAGAAATGCTAGACTGAGAGAAAGGCGCCGACTTGAAAGAGAGCAAAAGCTTGCAGAGCAAGGAAAACTCTATGGAGATGATGCAAACAAAAAGCTAAAACTTGACGATTTATTACCAAATGATACATTAGAAATCCAAAGCCCTCCAGAGAAAAAACCTACAGGATCATCACAATGTCAAGAAGTTAATGAAATTTTAAATAAAGTAAGAGAGGAAAAAAGAATTACAATGGCTTCGTCTTTTCCTCAAAAAAAGTCTATACAAAGTTATGAACCAAAAATACCAGTAACTAATAATAATTCAAGATTTAAGGCAGAAATTCCAAGAAAATCGGAAACAGCTTATAGAGAAATTAGTGAAGAAGATGCAAAACAAGCCAGTAGTGAAGGGTTAGAAGATGCAGAAAATGAAGAAGAAATTTCATATAGAAATTCTCAGGATAGTGTAGAGGAAAGCAATATAGAAGAAGAGTCAGAAACTTCGAGTAGAGTTTCTAATAAGTCTAAGGATGAAGCAAATAAGGGAAACTGACAAGATTTGCAGCCTGCTAGAATTTTGGGGTGTAGGAAGCTATCAGGAGATATTTATTATGCAGTGATGTTTAAAATCAAAAAAGATGGCACTATTCCGCCAATATCTATTGTGTCACATAAAGATATGAAATTGAATGCCCCCAAGATGCTCGATAAATTTTTGTTAGAAAATATGATAATTTGCTAAATCTTGCTTTTGTCAAAAAATCAAAACATTAACTTTTTTATATTTTTCGCCATATAAAAGGAAAATTTAATTAAAAAATTTAATATAATTCTGATTTATTATATTTTGATGTTGAAATACCAGTCAGCGAAGGCGCTGAATTCTTTCTATACAGTGGCACCAAGCTTTGATCATTTGATTTTTCTCTTATTGTAACCATCAGCTGATGACTATTCATATATTTATCATATATCAAGTCACATTTATTCCTAATCATTCTATCAACTGATGGAGTATCCACAGAAAATTTTCTGTTTGAGCCTAAATTTTTATGCGCAAATTGGCTAAATGCAAATCTATCTTGCTTAGGAGAATGAAACTGATGGACCCTAATCCCCACAGAATCAGCCCACAAGCTTTGATTATATCGGCTTATACAATTTGAGTGGCAGCTTCTTCTAACTGACTCTTGCTGCTTTGGCCTTAAAGGAGTAAACAAGGCAGGAGTGTGCTTATTTTGCTGAGATGAAAGATAGCCGATTACTCTTTCTAATTTCCAAGATAATTCACCAGATGCTTTTTCTTGAGATTTCTGGCAAAGTGTTAAAGCAGTTCGTTTATATTTATTTGATAAATTTATAGGAATCTGTAAATCTTCAACTAAATATCGTAAAATGTGATACTGCCCAGCTAAAGATGAGATATGTATAACTGTATTTCCATTATAATCATAACCTCCTATATTAGCATCAGCTTCTTCTACTAAATATCTTACGATATCTAAATTTCCCATTCCACAACTCACCATAAGAGGCGTTCTTTGATAAGAATCAAGAGCATTTACATCAGCGCCTGCATTAAAAAGTTCTTGTAATATGTCAATATATCCATATTCTGCAGCAAAATGAATAGGATAAGTTCTACTAATTAAGATTTCTCCAGAGGTATTTTTTAAATGCAAAACTCCACTGTGTGGGAAACCATTGTTGAAAATTTGTCGAATTTTATTTTTGTTGCAACTTTGAAATGCTTCTACCAACTCTTCGGCCCATTTTTTCATTCTAAAAAATATATTGTTTTTATTGAAAAATATATATTATGCTTTTATATGCATAAAACAAAAGATTTTATTTACCTATATATCTATATAATTATCAACAGAAAGAAAACTGAGTATTCGAGCTAAAATTATATAAAATTTGCTTGGCTTGACTACAAAATCTAAATTTATTAACATTTAACAATTAATTCCATCATTATGCTAATGTCCAGTCATTTTGCTCAACAAGACATGTAATCAAAGGCAAATCCAAGATCTTATCCCCATTCCTATTAACCAGCCCAAATATAAAATCATTTTTAAAAAATTTCCCCCTTATTTTTCCTACTTCAAGTATCCCTGGTGCAGGTGGTGGCACATTAATCTCAATATTTACATCCTCAATACATTTTTTGACATATTGTGACTCATTTTCTCCATGCTGCTCAGGTATTTCATACCCTTGGATCCACGGGATTACCCAACTTACTTTTTTCTTAAACGCAGGGACCCACAACTCAATAACTCCTTCTTTCGCTAAATTCATGCTCTGAAATAAATCTTCAAGCTTATAAAACAAATCAGTTTTATTTCTTCTCAAATCTGCTGAAAGCTCGTCTTTTATTCCTTCAAAATCTATAAAAAATGCAGAAATCCCTGCTTGGCCTGTAGGAACCCAAAAAAGTTCACAATTATCGGCGTTTTTGCAGTGCTTGATTTCTGATGATTTAAATCTGATAAATTTGTAGTTTTGGGATTTTAAGGAAGTTATGAGATTTGTACAGGAAATTCAGTTGAAATTGAGCTCTAAAATGGAAATTGAGGATTTTGAGGAAGAAATTAAGGATGGAGAAATTTTATTTTCTTGAAGAAATGATTGGGCTGAGGGCTGGGAAGAAAAAAAGCTGGATTTTATGAAAGGGAAGGTATAGGAGTCGGTAGAGTTGATGATTTCTAAGACGTCAGAAATGTCTCTTTGCAGCCTTGTTTTAGGCTCCATTGTCAAATTAATGCCACTTTTAGCTAGCTGGCCAAACAGATTTAAAATTGCACTGACTAGGCACTGTCGATTTCCTACCTGTATCATTTCAGGACAAGTGATATCATGAGACTTCGCTTCTTCATTGCTTGGCTCTACTATACAAAAACTTTTAAGCACAAATGGGTCACTATTCTGGCTTCTTGCATCAGCATTTGGCTTAATATTGGTCCTCATCTTCCCCATCACCGTCAAATCTGCATTATATTTCACTATTGATGAATGAGTTTTCCATTTAAATTTCAAATTTGTAAAAATTTTTTTAATTTGGCTTGGGATGTCATTTCCCATCCCAGAAAATAAATTTACCCTAATTTCGTCACAGGTGTCTATATTTCATAAAAAAGTAGTCGCTAAATCTATGATTTGAGGGTACGATTTTTCGTGTAAACACGAGATGTGGTGAATTATTAAATTCCTGCCTGTTTTATATGAAGGATCTAAAGAATATATCAAGAGTCCAAGGATTTTTTCATTTTTTAAAGCCCAGTATCAGCATGCGTCAATTCCGTTCATGACTTCTTGTTTTAGCTGTTCAATGTTAGGAAATGCAGCTTTTATTAAAGATGGGATAAATCGGAAATATTCGTTTAAAACGTGACCGATTAGGTGTTCTTGGATATTTAAAGGCTTGAACTCTAAAGAGCCTAGGTCTCTAAAGGAGTCTATAGTTGCAAAATCAAGCCCAAGGTCTTCAAAAATGCCACTTCTCACAGAAGATATTGATTTTTCTTCTTCTGGAATATCATTATCTCGGATTGAATATACATTAGTTATTAAGTTTAGAGAAGCTAGCTGCAATTCTATAAGTGTACCTCCACCCTAGCACTTCCATATTTGCTCGCCAGTTCTTGTCCAAGACATCGCAAAGCTGCTACTGCCGGATGAGGGCATGCATTTGCTACCTGATAGTCGGATGAGTTTCTTGCTCATGATCAAAAATACAAAAGGGTTGAATTTTCTGGTCAACTCTATGCCAAAATGAAAATATGTAGCCCAGGGCATAACTCCTGGTTTCACGCTGGCGAATAGTCCTGATGGCGAAGTCTAATGCCATTGGTTCTACTGGAAGATCCCTTTTCCACTTTCCGGACCCATTTCCATTTGAGGTAAAAAACTTGGCATTGAATTAAAGCATGCGATCAGCCAACCCGACATTACCAAGAAAAACCAGGTCAGATGCACATTCTCGAACACTATCCTCCCTTCTTCAATGTCCCTGCGCACCCTGTGGGATACCATCTTCAGGAATTAAGGGGTGGGTTGTTCGCCACTCCATTTTAATATATATAGATTGAGTATATATTAGGACTATGCATCCCTGGAGTGAAATTTTCAATTGCGTAATCTTCAGCTTCTTTAACCTCCACTGCAATTGAGTCACTAAAAATTAGCTGCGGAACTACTGTGGTTCTTCTTCTTTCCAGCATATTTGCATTTTCTATCATATTTTCTGACAGCTGTCCAACCCAAGCTTCTTTTAAAAATTCATTCACAATTTCATCATACAAAATACTACAAATTTTTTCATTTTCCAACGCTTTTTCTTTTTCCTCAATTTTTTTCCTTTCCGTTTCATTCTGAGTTGATAATTTTTTTGCTTCAATTTCTTCATTTATGATATTTTCTGCAAAAATATTCACTTTTAGCTCATCTATTACCGTTTCAATTAAATTTCTTTGGATCATTTCTTCAATTTGTGACTGTAAAAGTTGCCTTGCTTTGGTGCTTTGTAGCTTTTCTTCTTCTTGGAGTTTTCTTTGAGTCATATCATCAATTTCTTTTTTAATGAGCGGCAGGATGTCAGATTCTATGTCTCGGTACATTTCTTCATAAATTTGGTCAGCAATTATAGAGTTTTGGAGCTTTGTGTCGTTTTCTGAAGCTTGAAGAGTTTTTTCTTCTATTAAAGATTCATTTGCTTGTGATTCTTTTAGGGTTTTCACACTGAGAGTTATGAAGTCTTCAAATATTAATTCTGCAAGTCTTTCATTTTCACAAGATTTTAGCTCAGTTTGGATCATTATTGAAATAGCTTCACAAGTGAGATCTTTTATGAAAATATTTGTAAGCTGGCATATTTCTTCCATTTTCTTTTTCTTTTCAGATTCTACAGCTTTTCTCTTTTCTGCGTTCTCTAATTCCGTTTTAACTTCATTTATAGCTTATGCAAGGATATAGATTGTCATAATTGAGAATGTGACCTCTCTAATGGACTTCATATCTTGCACATCTATCACTATTTCGAGAAATATTCAGGGTTTAAATAAGCAATCATTAATTTCAAACTAGCTTAATCTAGTTTTATATACATTTTTTTAAATAAATATAAAAATAGTTCTAATAATTGCATGATGCTTGCAAAATAAAGCCAAGGAATATTTTATAATTATAACAGCTCTTGACTTGTACTTATCAAATTTTTACACTTGCTAAACATTTTTGACTAGTATCTTTTTATTCCCCAAATTTGGCCAAATAATTTAACTGCGAAATTCCCACTGTTTATGTTTAATTGAGAGAAGAGCTGTTTTAATTGTAAAATATTCCTTGGCTTTATTTTACCAAGCATCATGCAAATTATTAGAGGCATTTTTATATTTATTTAAATTAACATGCATATAAGTCTAGATTAAGCTAGTTCGAAATTAATGCTTGCTTATTTAAAACCTCGAAATAGTGATAGATATGCAAGATATTGAAATCCATTAGAACGGTTGCATTTTCAATTATGACAATCTATATCGGTAAATGAGCTATATTGATACTTTTGAAAACTCCTCTAGCCTGATTTTTATAGCAATTTCAAATAAACTTTCATATATCAGCTTCGCAAGCTCCAAGTTTTCATTATTTTTCTACTCCCCTTTGAGAACGAGCAAACCGTTGGAAAATCCTACTTTTTGAGAAAATTAACCCCCTTTAGCTTCGATCAAAATTTTATTATATTGGATAAAGTATATTTTACGTATTAAATTGTATAAAACTTTGCATTCTAAGATATAAATCTAATAAATATAGTATCTTTTTAAAACCTAAAAAATAAATTTAATATATAATTTTAATTAAAAAGAATTAATGCCCCTTTAAATAGTGAGCCAAAACCCTTTTCTGGCTCTTAAAGGGGGTTTAGCTATCTCTTTTTTCTCTCTTTCTTCATTTTCTTTAATTTCATACATTTCTTTCGCAATTTCCCCCACAATTTCATATAAGAAATTCATAAAAATTTGTCTTGAAAAAGTTGTATTCTCTTCCTCGATTTTTTTCTTTTCAATTTCCATTTTCTTTTTAGCAGCTCTATCTTTGATTTCTTTTGAAATATTTTCCACTTCAAATTCGGTCATACTTTTAACAACTTCCGCCAAAATCACTTCAAAAAAATATTTATTCAAATTAATATCTTCACCTTTTTTCCGTTTATCGTCTTCCTTTGCCTTTTTAAGTTGCTCCTTGGCATTTCTTAACTCGTCTTTACTCCGCCCTTTATATTGGAACAAAAAATCCTGTTCAATTTAAATTAAAAAATATAAATTGAGCACAATACTTTTAATTTTAATTTATATTTATGAAGATAGATAAAATAATTAATCGATTCAGTGAAAAAATGTTTAAATAGCACTTCTATTTGATTTTTGTCTATTAAATTAGGTCGATAAAAACTTTATTTTCAACTTTAATTATGTTTTTAAAAAAATATAAATAACACAATAATTTGAATTTTAATTAAGCATTAAATAAAAAAATTAAACGGTTTAGCTTTCAAACTGTTTAACTAGCATTCTACTTGCATTTTGTCTATTAAATTAGGTCAAATATAATTCTATAAAAAATTAGTGTTTTTCATAGATAATGTTTTTCCTATTGAAAACCAATTTTGTTCCAAAAGTACCCAAAAGTGCAAATTTTGCCTATGTTTTGTTCCAATTTAAAGGGGGGAGTTAGCAATTGTATCGATTGTTCTTAGGACTTCTGATTCTATCATTTTGTTAGCCATATTTTCTACGTATTTTTCCATGTTTGCATTAAACTGTGGGCTATAAGTGCTAACTGCAATTTCTCTTATAGTCTCTAAAATCTCCTTTTTCAGGATTTCGTCCATTACATATTTAGCGGTGGCATCATTATTGACCCTCTGCTGTTCTTCTTTTCTTACTTTTACCACAATTTCTTGCACATCAATCTCTACTTCTTCTTCAATTATACAATCCAACATATTTTGTGCCATTCTAGCTTCTTCATTAGGTTTTCTTTGTTTTAGCCTATTATTGCTTGTAGTAGATAATTCTCTTGATGATTTTGAGGTTGGGGTTGAGTCGATTTGTATAGTTTCCCATTCGCTGCTGGTGTTTTCTAAAATCACCATTTCAGCGATACTTACTCTTTTCATTAAAGCGCTAGGCAAAGGAATAACAACTTTTCCGTCATCCATAAAATAGCCATCTTTTATCCTTGATTTGTGCCGAGATCCACCTTGGATTCTTGATGGAGTTTTTAGCAGTGGGTCTGGCTTTTCGCTGAATAGAAATACTTTAGAAAAATCTGAGCTATAGAGAAAGTCTAAATCGTGCCTCATTTTTTCAATATAATTGATTCCTTCCCATATAAAAGGTATTAAGGTTTTTTTAGAACTATCAGTTTGATTTAGCAGCATTGCGTATACAAGCTGCTCTCTTCACTTTACAATGCTTTCAACAACATTTAAAGTCAAAATCCTATGAGCATGAAGAAGCTCTGCACATTCAAGCTGAACTTCTTTTAGTTTATCTCAATCAGGAGCTTTTGATAAATACTCATTCATTTCTTGTATACTTTTTAAGCTCTCTTCTCTTGCTGTAATTGCCCTAAGCACAAGTTGGACTAATGAGCGGCTTTTTTGAAGGTCATCGATTTCTCGATTAATAATGGCATAGGCTTTATTTCTTGGCAAATTGAAAACACTATTTCTAAATGCTTCTCTTTGAGGCTCAGGGATTGCCCATGTAATTCATTCGCATTCAATATTTTCTTTTATTTCATTAAGCATCTCTTCAGTTACTATTAGATGATTTATTGATTTATTTTGAGGCGTCCTTTCCACACTTCGAGCTCTGCTTGATGTAGGACGAGAACTCAATTGAGGCAACCGAATAAGCTTGCGAGATTTGATCTCTTTTGATGATTTTCCTTCATCTCCAGATATGAATGAACTTGTGTCAAGGGATGAGTCATTTAATGGAAGCGAACCAAGCCAAAATCGGTCATCTCAAGGCTTTTTCTGGAGGGATTTTTTCTTTGTGGGGGTGAGACTTGTAGCTTTAGGACCTCTGCTCTTGGGTTGCAACATTTCAATAATTTTGATTTTAAAATGGAATAGAGATGATGAATTAATTAATTATATGAAGAATGGGGTTGTTTAAGAGAATTTGAATGGATATTGGGATATTTTGGACTTAAAGATCTTGAATTAAGCAAAAAATTTGTGAAAATATTAGCTTTGAAATCGATTGAATTTAAACCCAGTTCTTTAATGATTTAGGCTCTTATGAGAATCATTTTATTTCAAGTCGATCTTGATAGTTAAATCTTAATTTTTTTATTTCAAATGCAATAGTCTTTTTATAGAGTAATTTGCTATATCAATAAAGTTTAAGGATTTATAAACAATTTTTAATAGAAATCAATTAGTATCAATTTATTTCAATTATCATAGTTCCTCTTAACTCTTCTTTACTAGTAATAAACGATACAGTAGATTTATTTAATTTTTGGTTGACATCTAATAATGCTTTTTAATATATTTCAAATCCTAAATAAAATATTATATTTTCATCTCCACACTTTAAATTTCCAAAGCTTTATATAATCAATAAGCGCATCTTTTTCTCCCAAAAAAATGTGAAGTGCATATTTAGAAAGATTATTTAATGAGAAGTAAGATCAATTCAAGTCGACATATTTAAAACAAATTTATTTAATATAGAAAAGTTTATAGAAATCCACGTTTTAATTACCTATTATATCTGTTTTATAATAAATAAGCATTAAATTAAACTTAATTCAAAAATATTATTATTTTTTAAGCAAACTTACTATTTAATATTTTAAAATTTCTAAAAACCCTGATATGCCTTTTCTAATATTTTTCTCTAAAATGAATTTTATAGAAATTTAAAATTTTCCCCGTCAAATAATAATAATTTTTTTACAATGAGAGAAACCATTGACCCTAGCATCTATTTTGACTCCAACTTGCTGTGTGATATGTGCATAATGAAAAAATGCACTCTTGTTACTTTAAACCTTGAAAAAAAACTCTGTGAAGATTGCGCACACAAGTTAAAAGAAGAAACAATCTCAGCAAGCATCTTAAATAATGTAAATACCCCAGAGCAATACCAAATTTACCAAATCCAAAAAAATGCTTATGAAGTCTTATCCGACCTCCTAGACAATAAGCTCTCTCAATATAACGTCGCGCTGGAAATGCTAGAGTCCTTATATGAAGAAAAAATAAAATGGCGATGTTGACGGAAATAAGACTCCGAGGCGGACTCTCTATGGAGCAGGTAGGATCCATCCTGATGAAGCTGAAAATAAAGGCCCCCTTATAGTAGGCCTTCAGGCTTGGGGATGCCTTGCCGAAGAGAGAAGTTTTTTCTTCCCCAAGGTTTTCCTTCCAGATGGGCTAGATAGGTTTTGCCTACCACATCGTCTTTTCTCATCGAGACCATCGGGGCACTCGACGGACGGTAGCTCTGCCCAAGGGAGCTGCTGATCCATTGGACAGGTGGCTCAGGCCGGAGATTCAAAATGACGTCGGGCAAGGTATTTTAGCACCAAAATCTGTTCTGGGGCTGTCCTGGAGCTGAGACGAGGCGTATGGCTAGTGGGCTGCCACTTATGATCGATTTCTTATTTATTTATACGAAGAAAGATGCGGTTGGATAAATGAATTGTTTCGTGAAAATCAAGAACTCCTGAACGCCTATCTGCTTGAATTTTCAAGAATTCGAGATGAGATGCTAAATTCTTTGCAAAATCAGCTGACTTCTGACAGTATTGATCCTTATTCCCTTGAAATGGCAGCATATACGAATTATCAAAATGTTTTAGGGGCCAGCATTATTTCTTCAATTCATGAAAATTTTAATAAATTAGTAGGCTATGTAGCAAACACTATGAGATTTGAATGGAGCAGTCCCTATGACCTATTTTCTCCCCATAATTCTCCCCATAAAATTCAGTTTTTCAGCACTAGAAATAAAGTGATATATGATATAGATGTTGTAAATAGAGAAAACACCCAAAAAATTATCATTGAAGAGTGAAATCCAACAAAAGGAGCAAGCTGAATCAAGCTGCCTTTAGGTCCAATTTTCCACTGTGGTGGTATAGATAAAGGGATTTTCAAAGACTCTTTGAGAAAAACAACTTCCTTGCTGTTTTATTTAGAGCCTTATATGATATGGGAAGATCATGCTGTAATGCAAAATTCTAGATCAAATCATGCAATCGAGATGTTCAATGATAACATCTATGCAATAGGTGGGAAAATGAATGAAAGCAGACTCAACATTATTGAAAAATTCAACTTAACTACCCAACAATTTAGTTAAATATGATGCTTTTGCTTAAGCCTGTCTTCTTAGCCAGGCAACTTCGAGTGCATATTTAATTACATCTAACAAGGTTTTTCTACGCAAAAATAAGCAGTAATGCTAGGCAATCAAATTCAGTTTTGTTCAGAGCCTAGCCCTAGTCCGCTTTTAAGGCTGGATTTTACCTCTTGGGAGGAGGGACATAAGAAGCTGGAAAAAGGATCACACAATAAATTTTTACCATTTAAATCGAGAAATTTCCCAAGTGCGGTACCTGTCTTGAATCCAAGACTTAGATTTTTACCAAAAGTTAGCCAGGAAAATCCGCTTTTTGAATTTTCGAGGTTAGTAGTCCACATCAAGCACAGCGATCCATAGCGCTTAATTGTAGGCATATGATAAGCCCAGTTATATGCATTGAATTGCATGGAAAATAAAACAGTATCCGATGAAAGCTGGGAATTTTTTAAAAGATAAGATGACGCTCGTATGCATCGGGATTTTACTGCTGTGATGGAGCTCAATGGTGGATTGGGCAACTGCAAGCTCACATCCAAAATTTTTTGCCCGATGGGAGAGGAAGCTTAATGCCGTAAAGTGTTTTACAAGCGTGCCAGGTAGAATTTTGGGCCAATTGGAGCATTTCCAGCGCGATGCTAGGCGTTTTGTCCTGAGCTTTGAATTTTCTATCTTGGTCGGAGGTTATCAGAAAATTAGATTTTTCGAAATTTAGCCCGCATACAAGCTTTCATTTATGAGGAGTAATACAGTGGAAGGCGCTGCCCGCTGACAAGCAAACGGTGGAGTGATATAGAGGCTAAAATTTGTTGTCTGAAGAATAGCCTGTAGAGACTTCTTGATACTCTTAACTAAGAATTAAGATCAAGCCAGCCTAGGATCCGACAAATTTCTAACAAGCTGTTGTAAGATTGGGTTCACCAATATGAGACTGAATCCAAAGCAAGACGAATAAAATCATAGTTCATGTTGCGATCCCCGCGACTACTCAATAACGCTAACTTAAATCTTAAAGCTAAACTACCCAAAAATGGTGTAGAGTTTTTAATACTGTGGAAGTCTTAGGCTCGACCTCATCTTGCAAAATTGAAAGTGGGATCCTTATCGCAGGAGAGAAAGTTCCAAGTATTTATCTTTTTGACCCAAATACAGAAGAGATCACGACTCAAGCTTCGATTGCAGGGAAAAAAATTTTATTGAAATCCAACGATGCTATTTATTGTTTGACTGATAAGTCATTGTACAAGTCAGATTTAAAAGATATCAATTTTATGCTTGTTAAAGATAATTTGAGGCGCAAAGGAAACTGGTGAATGCCAAGTAAAGAAATATGTGTGGGGACTAAAATTTTCTTTATAACTGAAGATGACGGAATTGGAGAACTTTGGGAGCTTGATGCTTCAACAAGCAATTATGAGCTGATAAAGCACGATATAAGACTTCAATAATTAAAAGGTTGAGAATTATTAGAAATATTCGGATAAAATTACAAATTGTTTTTTTATGAAATTTATTTAATATGCATGTTTAAAGACAATAATCTAAATAAATTAATCGTTATTAGCTTTTATCCTCTATTTTAAATAAAATTTAAAGCCAATCCAATTTAATAAAAATCATTTGTTAAGAAAAATCTATTTGTGAATTAGCTATAATAATTATTTAAGTTCAGTTTATCTACTAGTTATTTTATTAAATTAATCAAAATAAATTGCTAGAATAAATGCTTTCTCAGCTTTTTATTCTTTCTGCCAGAGGTGATACAATTATTACTCGTGACTTCCGAGGCGATCTAGTCCGAGGAACTAACGAAATTTTCTTCAGAAAAGCCAAATTTTGGAAAGGTGACCCACCCCCAGCATTTAATATCGAAGGAATCAACTTTCTTCACATAAAGCGAAATGGCCTTTACCTCGTCGTCACGACTCTTCACAATGTATCACCATCCTACGTTTTTGACTTACTCTACAGACTTGTCACAGTAATTAAAGACTTCTGTGGCGTTTTAACTGAAGAAAGCATAAGGAAAAACTTTGTCCTCGTCTATGAGATTATTGACGAAATAATCGACTATGGCTACCCACAAAGTACTTCTGCTGAACAAGTGAGGCCATATATAGTAAACGAGCCAGTTGCTATAGCCCAATCCACTCCTTTGTTCAAGGCAAACCCTTTTTCTAACACAGTCCCACATGCAGCAGCTCAGCGTCCACTTTCGAATAAAAAACAAAAAAACGAGATTTTTGTCGATATTTTAGAAAAAGTCTCAGTTTTGTTCAACTCAAATGGATATATATTGAACTCGTCAATAGATGGCTGTATACAGATGAAATCTTATTTGTATGGAAATCCGCAGCTTAGATTAGCATTGAATGAAATTTTTTATTTTTTTTTAAATTTTTTTTTTTAGTATTTATTTTAGGTTTTTTTTATGGTCTGTGAATGAAGACTTAGTTATTGGTAGAGGAAGCGGGAATTATGGAAGTGTGGTGCTTGATGACTGCAATTTTCATGAGTGTGTAAGCTCTAGTGAATTTAATGAATTCAAGATCCTTACAATTAATCCTCCAGATGGGGAATTTATAGCAATGAACTATAGAATCAGAGGAGATTATCAGACACCTTTTAGGATTTTCCCATTTGTGGAGACAATTACTCCTTATAAGGTGGAATTTTTAGTGAAAATTAAGTCGTGCTTCCCTGAAGGACAGTTTGGGACAAATGTGTCGGTAAAGTTTAATTTGCCAAAAACTACAGCCTCAGTCGCATTTGAAATGCCTAGCAAACTTAGCGGCCAACAATCAGAATATCGGGATCAAGAAAAACTCGCAGAATGGACCATTAAAAAGTTCCCAGGAAACGCTGAATACGCATTAAAAACTAAAATCAGCCTTAGTGCGCCTGCTACCACAAAAGAAATTGGGCCTATCTCAATGCAGTTTGAAATCCCAATGTACAATGCCTCAAACATGCAAGTGAAATACCTCAGAATTGCTGACCAAGGAAAAGTCCCAACTCCAAACAGATGGGTAAGATATGTGACACAAGCAAGCTCATATGTCTGCAGAGTCTAAAAATTAATCGTAATAGGGCAGAATTTTAATTTAATTAGAAATTTATTGATTTTTTGTAATGCTAATTATAATATAAAGATGGAATTAAGAAGTTTTCATGAACTCTCAAATTACACTAATATTTACTCTTTGAGTACTTTTGATATAAAATCAAAACGAGGCTGTGTAATCAATACTTGCAAAAATGTCCATAGACTATGATGCAGCAAAGAAGGAGAAGTCAAACTTGTCAAGCTTAATTTTCCCCGAATTTATGGTAAACTCTAACTCCCCCGAATGTGGGTGAACAAAAGTATTTTTTTCTCATGCAGGAGGGTTGGTTTGTTTTTTCTAAGTGGGTGAATTGCCAGCTAAAAATGCAATTGATCTGAGTATAATTATTAGTTTTGGTCGGACCAAATTGAAATTCAGAGGGCAATTCATTAGCTTATGGGACTATTGAAGGGAATTTTCTATATATAAATTTTATAGCAACTTTTTTTTTTCGAAATTTTAAAAAAATACCAATTCACAAAACATTGGACAGCAAAATTAATTTGTAAAATTTGTTATTTTAAAATGCAAGCTGCTTAAAATTAAACAGAATTAGCTAGAGATTTTATTAACTAATAACCACTTATATATCAAAATATTTTTTCATAAAATAATTCAGAACAGAGGTTTTTTTTTTTTACAAAATAGGAATTTTCCAATGGTTTTGCTCGCTCACAGAGGGAGTAAGAAGCTGACACTGAGATTTTGGGAAACGCCGGAATGTGTTGAAAAAGCATGCTTGTCACTTGTATTATCTGCAGGAATCGAAATAACACTTTTTCTATGAATCTTTATATAAGACGGGCCGACGATGTCACAGGGATGACTGAGCATTCTTTTGCCCAGGACTTGGATTTTGTCCCTTATAAAGTTTATATGGTAAAACCTATACAGAGAGATCTAGATGATGAATTAATCATATTTTTAGGAGGAAGTGACTGTAGGCTGCATCTTTATAAGGCAGATTTCGAGTATTTGTCCCCTGTGGTGTCTGGCCCTTTAGAGTCTTTAACTAGAGATGATGAGCTTATACAGCACCAAGCTCCAGTTATGGCTATGCATACACAGAGAAATATCACTTTTATTTTGATAGGAATTGCGTGCCAAAATGGGGATACAAAATTGTTAAAATATTCACATAATAAACAGTGAAATAAAGAAGCAAGCTGGCATGTAATTTTAGATGGTCCAATATCAGGGCTGCTATTGTTTAAACTTGAAGCGGGAATATCAGATTTATTGGTAGCTTCTGCTGTTGGCTATGCAGTTGTATATAGAGATGTAGCACAAGAAGGGCTTGCAAGGAAAAATATTATTCCTTGTACACAGGATGCGATAACTTGTGTAGTTACTTCTGATATCGATTTTGATGGGCAGCGAGAAATTATATGCTTTTTTGATTATAGAGTCTTTGTTGAATTTCCCAATTTTTACTGGATTTTCAAAAATGACTATTTATTGTAAAAAATATACTTGGCACATACAATCAAACAGTTTGCTGCTATAAACTCAAAGGAAACGTTTTTGAGCTGATTTGGTCAAAAACATTTCCTCAGCCTATTATGAGCATCTGTGAGCTTGACATTAACCGTGATGGCATTTTTGAATTAATTGTAGTGACTATGTACGGAATTTCAGTTTTCTCGCCTGATTTTGAAGCAGCATTGGAAAAATTAAGAAACATTAAAAATTCACTAGATAAAGCTATTTAATGTCCTATTATGCTTTAGCTGTTTCTTGAGTTGCTTTAGCCTCTGCAACGTGTCTTTCATGTAAAACGTTGTTGAGTAAGATGTTATATTTCTTTGCTGCTTCTTTTGCTCTGGTCCATCTTTCTTTCTTTTGTGCTTTTTCTTTTTGCTTTCTTCTTAGTCTTTCAGCAGTGATCAATCTTTGTATTTTAGGAGCCTTGAAATACTCTTTTTTGCCTTCTCTTGTTATTTTTCTTTTAACGACATATTTTCTCACATCATCTCTTTCTTCAGCTTTTGTCTTCTTGTCCATTCCTTTGTCAAGAGCAAAGAGCTTTCTAATTCTTGAAGCTCTTTTAGGTCCTAGTCTTCTAGGAATAGGACTATCTGTAATTCCAGGAAGCTCACCTGGTCCTTTCTTTGTTACGACTAATTGCAAGACTGCGATGTCATGACCTACAATGCATCCTCTGACTGATTTTCTCTTGCGTTCTCCCTTTTTACGAGGTCTGTAATTAGTATGTCCAGCTGAAAGAAGTAGTCTAACTCTCTTTATTCTCTTGGCAATTTTTTTTTTTTCAGAAAATTATTCTTATTGATTGTTTTATATAAAAAATTATTTTATTAAGAAAAATATATAGACACTATTCTCAAGGACGCCTTGCTTCATAGAAAACCCTTGCTTGTCATTGCCACCAGAAATACGGAAAATATAGCCTTTGAATTCTTCGCCTAAAGCTTCTCCATCTATTTCTTGGCCCATTCTGCGATCATAGAAAAGCCTAACTTTGCGCTCGTCATCGATATCTATGCATTTTTGCTGCCCTGTTTCTGGGAATGAGATGTTAAACTTCATCTTTGGCCACTAAATTTATTATCTAATTATGGGTGGCTTAAGAAAAGATTAAGGATCTGAGATTTGAGAATATGAAAGCGTACTTTTTTGTGGATTATTTAAGGTGAATGATTAGGAAGAGGATTGATATGATTTATAGGGAAAAATAAGGAGATATATTTGGTTTATTTACTATGTAAATTATATTAGATTTTTTGATGCTATTGCATGGGCTGCTTACTATAACTTGAAATAAAAGGATTTAATTTTAAATAGAAAATTATAAATATTTTTTTATAAGTTTTTTATTCTTTTTGATTAGTATTCCTGTGTGCCAAGAATAGCCCACTAAGGAGCATTTTTTGGCTAGCCATTCTTAAATTTGCTTAGCCAGAAAATATGGCATGCCAACGAATTTGGCAAGCCAGCTATCCGGCCAATCAAAAAATGCTCCTTAGTGGACTATTATTGGTAAATAAGTATAAACACTTAAAGTAAGTTGCTTAAGTTGGCTGAATATAAAAACATTCATAGCTAATTCTAAAATATTTCTAATTTTAATAGAACTGACAGTATTCTATAAAAATAAGGCTAATTGAACGAAGATATTTCATCTAAATAAAACTCAAAAACTCAAATAATTATCTGCTTATTTATTAGCCTAATAAAGAGTTCACGACAGAATTTTCATCCCACCCTGCATCTTCTAACGCTTTTCTTACAACTGCTTCTTCAAATCCCATCTCCATTAGTCTCTGTACCTGCTCTCTATGTACTTCTTCAATATCTTTTGCATATTCCTGAGTCCACTGTCTAGCAGTTCTTTCCCATTCTTGAGGATGATTTTTATATTGGCTCGCAACAACTGCGTCTTGAGGGTCATCTGGCTCTGGGGCACATAGCAGGGCTTGCAAGCTGAGCAGGGCAGTTCTAATTGTAAGAGCAGGGCTTCATTCGTCTTTCAGAATATCTAAACAAATGGCTCCAGTCTGAGATGAAATATTGGGATGCCAGATTTTGGTATCAAATTTCATTTTTGGCGGCTTGTAAGGGTATTCTGGAGGAATTGTGATGTCTACGATAAAGGTGCCTCCACTATATGGTGTGTCTGGCTACTATTATAAAAACTTACTGGTCCTCTGATTACTCCTTTTAAATGATGAGTGTCATTCCCAACCATGTGAGCTGAAACAATGCTTTGGCTGCCTGAGGAGTTAAGCTTGAAGAGCTCTTCGAATTCTTTCTGAAGTCTTCTAGATTCCATTTATTATCTGAAATGGTTTTTAAGGAATTCTGAGTAATGGAATATAAAAAGAAAAATAGCTATTATAACGATAAATAATGATTTTTAAGTGTTCAGTTTAATAGTGGGATGCAAGCTATAAATCTTTTAATTATTTCTACATATTAGATAAATAATATATCGATATAAAAGGCTTTTAACCTCGTTTTCGCTATATATCTACGCTAAATCATAATTATTAGATAATCATTTTTCTAAAATCAAAAATTATCATTCATTTGTTATATATATATAAAAATGGTGATGACATACCATCCGAACTCTCGACCCTATTTCTTCAGCACCTGCAGGCAACAGCCCAGTGATGGAGATTTAGGTGGAAAGGGGTTGTAATCCTTTATATATATCGGGCTGGGTTTTTCTCGGGCCTCAGGAAGCTAATCCTTGGGACTTAGAGTTTTTCCTCCAGAAAAAACCATTGGAAAGGGCAAGGTCGGCCAATGTCTGAGGGCAATATGACCCTCAGACTCTGAAGACGTATTTGCCTAACGAGAAACTGGAGTTTCGACCCAGGTGGTTGGCCCTTAGTCTCCAGGAGCCATGGAAGTCAAGACTGGTGCGCAAATCCCCTGTTTGCGGCAACAGGGAGGGGGTCCGTCGAGCCTCCTCGGGAGGGATAAACGTGTAGGGGTGGAAATTCCGGCCCTGCAAGGCGAACGGCATAATCTTAATCTTTTATTTGTCATTAAAAAGACCAGAATTTAAATCTATAAATTATGGTCAACAATATAATATGATTAATTTATCAAAAAAACTTAAGCGATTTATATCTTTTTCATGAGAAGACCCACTGAATTTAGATAGCTTATTAAATGAAGAAGAAAAACTAGCAAGAGACAGCGCTAAAAGATTCGCTGAACAATATCTAAAACCCCGAATTTTAAATGACTACAGAAATGAAAGTGGAGGTAGAGAAATCGTAAAACTTTTAGGAGATTACGGAGTATTCAGGCAAGAAACCACACAAAATAGTGTCGTTTTTGGGCTAATTAATAAAGAAATAGAAGCCATTGATACAGGGTATAAGACAAACATATCGACTCAATATGCAGCTACAATTTTCCCTATAAGATTATATGGTAGCAAAAAATTGCAAGAAAAATATCTTGAAAAGCTGGAATCTGGAGACTTTGTTGGAGCAATTGGTCTAACTGAAGCAAAGCATGGCTCAGATGCTGAAGGAATTGAAGCAAATGCCGTTAAAAAAGGCTCTAAATATGTGATTAACGGAACCAAAACTTGGGTTTCTAACGGGACTATTGCAGATATTTTTATTATTTGGGCAAAAAATGAAAAACAAGAAGTCACTGGTTTTGTAATCGAAAAAAATACCCCAGGACTTTTTATAGAAAAATTAGAAGGCAAATTATCATTAAGAGCCTGCCAAACAGCTACAGTCTCTTTAAATAACGTCGAAGTATGTGAAGAGAACGTATTAAAAGCTGCAGGCATGAAAGGACCGCTTGCTTGTGTAGGAGAAGCAAAATTTGGGCTTCTTTGGTCTGCATATGGAGCTGCAGAAAGCTGCTACAAAATTGCTAGAAACTATGCAATAGAGAGAAAACAATTTGGAAAACCCCTTACTCCCCCCTCCGTGAGTGAACAAAAAAATTTTGCTCATTTAAGGAAGGGGGTTAATTTTTTTTTTTTAAAAAAATTTATATATAAATTTTAAAAAAATATATTTTTTTCGAAATTTAAAAAAAATCCTAATTCGCAAAAAAGCAAATATTAATTTAATTTATAAAATTTATGTTTTAAAAAGCAATTTTGTTTAAAATTAAACAGAATTAGCATTAGATTTCATTATGCTAATTATCACTTATATATCAAAATTTTTTTCCATAAAAAAATTTTCGTTCACTCACGGAGGGTGGGTTTTTAGGCAAAAAATAGGGATTTTTCTAATGGTTTTGTTAACTCACGGGGGGAGTTAGCACAAACCCAATTAATCCAGAAAAAACTAGCTGATATTGCCACTGAAATTTCTTTAGGACTACTTTCTGCTTATCATGCTTCTAAACTCCGAGATGAAGGAAAAATTACTTTACAAATAGCATCTATGCTAAAAAGAAATGCTTGTCAAAAATCCTTACAAATCGCAAGAGAGGCTCGAGATATGCTTGGGGCGAACGGAATTATTGATGAGTATGAAGTTATAAGACATTCAGCTAATTTAGAGACAAGCATTGCATATGATACAGCTGCTGATATCAATGCATTGATCCTTGGGAGATCAATAACTGGGTTTAAAGCCTTTTAACTATTTCTTAAAATACAGTAATATAACAAATACATTAACTGTGGTGAATAAAAATGAGAGCATTAGTTCTTGCATTTTTGATTGGAATAGCTATAGAGACCAGAACATATGGTGGCGCTTTTGGAAAAACAATTCCAAATGAAAGTGAAACTTACCAAATAATCCAAGGTTTATTAGAAGGCTTCCCAACTGAAGCTCATATTTCTGAAATCAAAGACTGTTTGTATGGAGCTGATCAAATTTCTGAAAATTTCGCTCAAGCAGTAACTTCTTATAGAGCATCAACAAAAGAATCAGTTATTGAAGCACTCAGGTATCTCGGTGAAGCAATTAGTCAAGTTCCAAAGTTCGACCAAGACCTATATAAATTTAAGCAATTTTTCAAAAATTTTAAACTATGTGGGGGTGAGCTTGCGATTTTTGTATTCAAGTTCTAAAAAAGCGTTACAAAACCATCTTGCACTATTTTTTCTAACCCTTACAACCTCTCAACCATACAGAAGAATATGATAAATATTTTTTTTTTTAACTACTAAATTATATAAAAAAAAGTCTATATAATTTTTTTTAAAAAAAATTTTTCTTAACCCCCCCTCGAAGTTCGACCAAAAAAATCTTGGTCGAACTTCGAGGGGGGGGGAGTTAGAATGCAATCCTGTTGAAAGAGATTTAATGAAGGTCTACCATTCCCTTAATGTATTTAGAAACCCACTTACTTTTGATTTTGTGGGAAATAAAAGTATCAAAGTCAATGAAAGAGAAATTTATTGGTACCTCAACGAAGCAATTAAATTCTATGAAGCTAAAAAGTGGAGAGATTTTGGATTTTATCTTGGGACTTGCTTTGGATTGGTCTGTGGGTCTGGAATTCAGGTAATTGGATATTAAACTTAATTCCTCAATATTTTTAATTATTCTTAAATAAGCATAGGCGCTTTATAACCGAATAGAGCTATAAAAATGTGTCCCGTGATACTCAATTATGAATTAATTTAATATTAATCATTTTTATATTAGAATATTTTAAATCACCATATAAAAAATATTTAAAATAATAAATAAAATTTCATAAAAATTTACCAGAAAAATAATTCCTGATAAAAGAGTAAACGTATTTATTTTTTCAACAAATATCTAGTCTCATTAAATTTCCATAAATGGCTCTTGACGCTGAACTATTTCTTGTATTCTTCGTTTTAGCAATCATCTATAGCTGCTTTTTCGCTTATACTGTAATCCGAGCTTTAGGATTCAAAAACTTCTTGGTCAGATGAAAACATGCGAAGCTTTTATACATTTTCCAGCTCGCAGAAATATTTTTCCGCATGCTAAGTTTCTGGCTGATTTGTTTTTTTGACTCTCAAATAAACCTAAACGACGCAAATATCGGCTTTTTATTACTGTCTTTGCCTGAAGCTTTATTTATTTCTTCCTATTTTATGCTTTTTTGGGTTATGATAACGGCAAACATTTATACCCGGCTAAACTCAGACTCAAGCTATGACTACAAATTAAATCCTGGCCGCTATAGGCTTCAAATTGTAGGAAAACTTACATTGACTTTGCTAGCGATTTTAATGGTTTTTGAAGGTGTGATGTATATTTTATTATTCTGCTCAGTGATAGAGCCTACTTATATTGTTCTACAACAGTGCATACAAGCTTTTATAACGGCTATTATTGTTATCGTAGGACTTTTAAGAGTCCAATGCAAATATTCAGGAGTTCCTTATAAGAATGAAAAAAGCGCCCAATTTATGAAGGTCGTGATTTTCTCAACGCTTGTATGGACTGCTGGGAGAATTACACATGGAATTCTTTATATTTTTAGAAGGAGGGATTTGGAAAGAGAAAGCTCTGATTTAAGCAGTTTGAATTTAAATGACATGGTCCCTACAATAGTTTTCATTGTGGATTTATTAGTGACTGAGCTAATTTGTTTTTATTTGGTCCTTGATTCTTCATTTTATAAGCTTTTTTCATATGAAGAAGAGCTTTCAGCATCTTTGCCTCTGATTAATAAATCTGGAGCACCATTGCCGCTTGATAGTACAGTAACACAGTCATTTGGGTCGAACCAAAATTCTGTTTTGGAGCTAAATCTAGGATTTATTTCTACGGACGAAATAATAATTCAAGACAGTCTTTCAGAAAAACCAGGAAAGCTTGGAAAATTATATAGAGGGATCGTCAAAAATATCCCAGTCGTAATCAGAAGAATTGTCCTTCCCAGGACAAATAAATATGTAATTGAAAATATCAAGCATGATATTGAAAAAATGACCGAATTAGAATGCCCTCATTTTATGCCTGTACGAGCTGCAGCTATAGACGGCAATACCATTGATTTAATAACTCAGTATATTCCAAATGGCTCTCTTTATTCAGTTCTTCATGAAAGAAGTGTTTTATTTGAGTTCTACGACAAGCTTAGGATTTCTCGAGAAATTGCTTTTGCAATAAGATTTCTCCATGAGCAAGGACTAGTCCATGGGCACCTTACAAGCCAAAATATTTTATTAGACAGTGAATGAAGGGTGTTAATAAGTGACGTGGGATTAGACCATTTGAAAAAATTCGCAGGACTGGTAGATAAATACTGCAATAAAGGATCATGAAGTTCTCCTGAATTATTAAAAGATGAAAAAAATCCTGTAGCAGTTAAAGCACAGGCTAGTGACGATAGTTATAGCTATGGCATGATTTTGTGGGAAATTATGACAATGCAGGTGCCGTTTCCTGATTTTACGATAAAGAAACTTAAACAAATGATTGTGGAAGACGGGTTTAGACCGGCGATACCTGAAAAAATGAATGATGGGATCAAAGAGCTTATGAAAAGCTGCTGGAATGTAGATCCTGCTAGAAGACCAGATTTCAATCTGATCTTTTCGACGTTATGCAATATTGAGACAAATTATAAAGGGGCATAATAAATTTTAAATTTATTGATTTTAATTAAATATGGTTTTAACAAGGAGCGCTGCGAAGAAAGGTCCTGCTCCTCAGAAATATTCGAAAGTAGAAGAAATGCCTAACTCTTTTATACCATAATAATTTGATATTTTTATGATTTAAGCAATTTTTATTTTAAATAATTTTTTTTGTTCATAAAATTTTTATCTAATCAGCCAGATTTTTTATTATTCATACCGATGGAGAAAGGAAAAGGTAAAGCTAAAGCTGGAGAACCTACAAAAATAAAAGCAATCAAAAAAGCAAAAGACGAAGATTCCTCGTCATCTTATGAAAGTGAGCCAGAAAAATCTCCAGAATCCAGCTCAAGTGAAGAAATATATAAATCTAAAGCTAAAAAACCAATACCCAAGAAAAAAATTATTAAAAGTAAAAAAGAGAAATCTCCTCCAGTTTCTGAAGAATCATCTCCAGATTTATCAGCTCCAAAAACAAAGCTTAATAAAAAATCAGAAAAGCCTGTAACCAAAAAACCGAAAAAACAAATCTCAGACTCTTCAAGCTCTTATGAATCATCTTCTGGATCTCCAATTCCTAAAAAGAAAAATTCAAAAAATATTATCCCCGCCAAAAGGGCGATAAAAACAAAGCAAAAGCCAAAAGAAAAATCTCCATCCCCAGAACTTGATCAAAAACCTATAAAAAGATCAGATAGCCCTCCTCCATTACCTCCCAAGCCTGAGCCAAACAAAAAAAAATCGCCTAGTCCTTCTACAGAATTACCTAAAAAGCCTGAGCCATCTAAAAAGAAATCACCTAGCCCAGAGCCACCTAAAATACAAGAAGCCCCAAAAGAAGAAAAAATTGTTACGACTATTCGTAAGGGCAGAGCCGCTGTTGACAGTTTTTTTCCAAAAGCCAAAGATTGCCATGTTTACGATGACGGCACTAAAGTATGGTCCTCTACCTTAAACCAAACAGACTTAAAAACCAATGCAAATAAATTTTATATTATCCAGTTATTACAGTCAGATTCAGATGCCAAACAGTTTTATGTTTGAAATAGATGAGGAAGAGTAGGGTATGATGGACAAAATGCTTATAAAGGACCATGAAGTGAGCTAGATAGGGCTAAGGCAGAGTATCAGAAAAAACTGACTGATAAAACAAGAGGAGGCTACGTAGAACTTGAAATTATGTATAATGATGAAGAGGAAAAAACCGAAAAAGCTGAAGAAAAAATAGTAAAAAAAGAAGAAAAAGAAGAAAAAGAAGTAGAAAGCAAGCTTGATCGAAGGATTCAAGATTTAATCAAATTAATCTTTGATTTAAACGCAATGAAACAAGTCCTTGCTGAAATAGGATATGATGCCAAAAAAATGCCATTAGGCAAGCTATCGACAAATAACTTGAAACAAGGCCTTGAAATACTGAAACAAATTGAGTCTGTTTTAGATGGGAGAGAAAACAGCAGTCTTGAAGGACTTTCAAGCAAATTTTATTCTTTAATCCCTCATGATTTTGGCTTTACCAATGTTTGTAACTTTATTATAAACTCCAGACAACGCTTACAAGAAAAAATCACAATGATCGAGTCTTTAACTGACATGAAAATTGCTACAAATATAATTGAATCAAAAGCAGTAGGGTCTCCTATTGACCAGCACTACTTAAGATTGAATTGCGATATAACACCTATTGAGAAAAACGACCCTACATTTGCAATATTGAGCGAGTATGTTTCAAATACTCATGCAAAAACTCATAATTCTTATGGTTTAACTATTTTAGAAATATTTAGACTGCATAAAGCAGAGGAGGATGAGAGATTTACTAATTCGTACATTATGGTAACAGGAAGGGCTTTTGCTGGTCGCGATATTTTATTTATATTTAAAATTTTGAAGCAATTTTAAAGAAATGGGTATGCTAATAAATAGGTATTGGTTGTATATCACAAATTTCTTTATCAAAATATTGCTAATAATTAAAAACAAAAGATATATGCCTTATTTTTGAAAAGGGGAGTAAGTTAGTTTAAGGTATTTGGCCATAAGCGACTAAGCCCACTAGCCGTTGCCTACCTTGGCTTCAAAATCGTCTTTTGGATTTTCATCCTATGCCACCTACTCAAGGGATTAGCTGCCTAGGGCAGAGCCACTGTCTGTGAGGTGCCCCCCGATAGTCCTGAGAAGAAGAAACTATATGACCTGCAAAGCCTCTCTAACCATCTGGAGGGACAGGAAAAACTCTGGGACAAAAACAAAAACTTCTTCTTCGGCAAGGCAAATTTAAGGTCTACTTCAGAAGGGACAGAGGCCCTGCTTTCAGCTTCACCAGTATGGGTCCTACCTACTCCATAAGTTAAATTTCCACCAGCGTCACCATTTTATTTCTTCAAAAGGAGTAAGGACATTGGAAATAGCATGCTTCTGTGGCATGGAAGCAGGCTGACAAACTGGGCAGGAATTTTATCACAAGGACTAAGAATTGCCCCTCCAGAAGCACCAGTAAGTGGTTACATGTTTGGCAAAGGTGTCTATTTCGCAGACATGGTCTCCAAATCCGCCAATTATTGCTTTACAAATAGAGAAAATAATATTGGAATAATGCTGCTATGTGAAGTAGCAGTAGGAACTCCTTGTATGAAGATGACAGCTGATTGCAATGCAGCTAACCTTCCTCCTGGAGCACATAGTACAAAAGGGTGTGGCAGAAATGCTCCTCCTGCTACGTCTTATATTGACTTTGAAGGCTGCAAAGTACCAATTGGAAACGGAGAAGAAACAGGATATAACGGGTCTCTCCTTTACAATGAATATATCGTCTATGATGTGAAACAAGTAAAAATGAAGTTTCTTTTCAAGATGAGATTTGACTATAAATTCACTTACAGAACTTTAATTTGACAATCTATATTTTAAAAAAAATAAATAATTTAGGATAAAATTGATATTATGTATTGCATAAATTTCTTATCATGCTTATGTCATTTTGAATTTGGTATGTGAAAACCAAATATGCATTTTCAAAACGCAGATTTTAGTACGGCAAATTAATAATTTGGAATTTCATATGAAAATGGCGCGTCCATAAGAAATTTTACCAACGGATTATAATATTATAAAGAAGAAGTTAGATAATTAAATTGTCATTTAATAGTAAAAAAGGAATATTGATGAGAGGGGAATAAAATCATTCCGAATTTAATTATATATTAATGGGACGTGTAGTATATACCATTAACAATCAATTTGGAACTTAAAAAAATTTCAATTTTGACAAAATATCATTTATTTCTATATAGAAATCACCTTAAAAATACTCAGACAAACTATCCAAGCTCAGCATAATATCTAAATGGCAGCATTTGACGAACCTTTATGCGGCTGCTTATCAGAGATGTGCAGTTGTCTAATTGCCTGTTTTGTTCCTTGTGGTACATGTTGTCTTCAAGCTTGGAGTGTGAATAAGGCATATCAAGAAGGATTATTGAAACCTTTTATCCTCCCATGTCTGTTGTTTTGTTTTGGAGCTGCAATAAACCGAGGCCAGATAAGAAAAAAATATCACATTGAAGGATCCTTTATCACAGATTGTTTGATCGAGTGGATTTGTGCACCTTGTGCTGTAACTCAAGAATATAGGGAAGTGAACCGAAGAGAAGGATTTAATTAGTAACATTAAATCACTATACAAGCATATTATTTTTTGCTTAAAATATTTGATGATATGGGTTTTTCACTAATTTTGGGTTAAAATAAGGTTATAAAAATTGTGGAAGTTAAGAAAATTTATATTGGCATTTTAACATTGTTTAGGTCACTTACCCTTATAAGCTTTTTGCTTTCTTTTTTATTATTCGGAGAATAATAAGTAAGACTTGTTGAAGGAAGCTGTAAAATGCAGATGTCTCGTGGCCTAAAAAGCGGATGTGTGGTAAAGCATGAAACCCACCCCCTTAATACTAAACTGCCTAGTCTTGATAAGAAATATTATCTATTATCGCCCTAATCTAGGACTTACAATTATTTTCAAACTTTTTTTCTCATTTGGACTTCAACTTCAATTGCAAACAGAAAAAACTTTTTCTCCAGTCTCTCCAATAAATCCCCAAGTGTCATGTTTAGACTTCAATTTGATCCTCCTCTACTATCTTAACCAAAAGATATCTGATATGCTCTCTTTTTTAAAACTGATAAATATACTAATACTATTAATTACAGCTGATCTAATGCAGAATTTCTCTCTTTTTCTTCATAGCCGCATAAATAAATTTTTTAATTAAATTGTCCACTTCCTCTGTGTCTTCTCTATGCTCATTCTCCCACCAATTCCAGAATCTCGCTTCGTAAAGCACAATTTCATAAAATTGATAAACATAAAATTTGAGCTAATTTCATTATTCTTTTTGTCTAAAAATCTTTTATAATATGTCTCGGGAAAAGTTCAATACATATATATTCATTTTTCTGCTGGCTTTTTGGCTCAAAGCATCGCTTAGTGTCCGTTTAGCTGAGTTTTCCTTCGACATTCTCTGCATGCATCTTTTCATGGCAAATCTTTCTCTTACTACAAAACTGTTCTAGAACTCTGCATTGCTCCTATGCTCAGCTCCAGCTCTTTCTCCATTGTCTTTTCCACTTGCTCGTTCAATTTCAATTCCAGAAATATCTTTCTCCATTATCAATTCCACGCAGCAAAGAATCTGTCTTTTCATAAAAATGGACATTAAGATAAGCTCTTCGTCCTCGACATTGCCAGAGATTTCAATCCTACATGCTCATCATCCCCATCAAGACTAGGCATTTTGGTACTGAAGGCTAGGGGATGGGCTTCATGCTTGGTCAGATGTGGAGCTTTCAAAGCTGATGCTGATCTATCTTTCGGAGTTAAGCTGTCATTTACAGTTTGGTATAAAACTCTTGCAGAAGTCAATGGTCTTCTAGCACTTTCAGGCTCTCTTCTTTGATTAGCAAGGCTGATAAGTTTAGCTTTTTTATTCTGGCCTACTGATGCTCTTTTGATTAAAAGCCTTTTGCTATTCCTTTTTCTTTCTAATGAGACTAAAACTTTCCCAATGAGTGGAGAATCTGTGGCTGGTGAATTTTTAATTTCTTGCTTATTTAAATATTTCTCAGAAAAATCTGGTTTTTCTTGCAGCGAAAAAGTCCTTATAGGCGATATGTTTGGTTTTCTAAAATAATCAGTTTTATATTGTTTACCTATCTCTTCTTCTATATTTATAAAAGTTTCATGCTCATTTTTATACTGACTTGGTATCAACTCCATAATTTCTTCAGCAGTTGGTCTATCAACTGGCTGTTTCATAAGAAGTTTCATACACAAATTCGTTAAATCCTGTGAGTACATTCCAGGAAGCCTTTTCGGTTCACTATTTACTATACTTAATCCTAATGATAACAAACTTTCCCCTTTAAAAGGGATTTCTAAGCATGCCAAGGTATAAACGACACATCCTAATGCCCAAATATCAGTTTTATAATCATATGGAAGACACCGGACCATTTCTGGTGACAAATAATGAGGAGTTCCTACTCTATTATAATTCATGGTGCTTGATACTAATTTCGAGGAGCCTAAATCCCCAAGCTTAGGCTTCCTATCCTTTGTCAATAAAATATTCAAGCATTTAATGTCTCTATGAATTATGTGCTGAGAGTGCAAATATGAAATACCTTTGACTAAGCCTATAATTATTTTCCAAATTTCTTTTTCGTCAAAATTCACTTTTAAAGTTTGATGGTGCTTAAAAAGTTTGTGGAGGTCGCCGCCTTCAGCATATTCCATGATGATATAAAATCAGTCGCCTTCTTTAAATGATCCATAGTATTTTATACTTTTTATTTGAAATAATTTTGTTAGTTATAAGAAAATTAATAATAATTATTTTTAAAAAAATTGGCAGTTATTCTATTTATATTGGATATGATATTTGGATGGTCTAGTTTTTTCAAAGTTTGAGCTTCAGACTTTTCTTCAAAAGAAAGATTTGAAATGTTAATCTTTTTTAATGCATAGATATTGTTATCTATCAAGCTTTTAGCTTTATAAACAGTCCCGCTGCTTCCTGTGCCAAGCTCGCCTTGAATTGAAAAATCAGATAGCCGAGAGTCCATATTTTCCATCTAAGATAAATTTTATTAGTTCCATAATAGATGCTCTAGGAGTAAAAATTTTTGAATTTCGAACTGTCTATTATGGCTTTATATATAAAATTTCAGGAGAAATTAGTAAATCTTTATTTTCTTGATGAAGAGAAAAATATTTTTAATGTTATACACATTAAAATAAATCATAGAAAGTAAGGGGATATAGATTTTAAGTAAATAAATTAGTTAAACAAACTATCTTCTGGCAACTGTGAAGGGCTTTGGTTTTGAAGCATAATTTTTAAAATTTCTTTTGTATATCTCAGCCTTTTTGAAAGCTCATTATTTCCACTGTCCACAATCTTACTTAGCTGATATGACTGCTTCTCTTTGAGCTTGTTTACATAAATGACTGTTTTTCCATCATTACAAAGTATCAGCTCAGTTTTGTCAATAAAAAACACTTGCACAACGTTGTTGCTCAGCCGAAATACATGAGCATGGTTAGTTCCGAGCCATTTTTTAATATTCTTTTAGCAGTGAATACAAATATTCATTTCCTAAATAAAAACTATGATTATTTTGACCTCAAAATCCATATAAACCAAAGGTTCATTTCCTTTTGCATTTCCAATTTTTTCATTAATCAAAAGATTTTTTTGGAAATGCTGCAAAAGTGCTACTTTTTTATGCAGCTCCTTCGGGAAATCTTGAATAGTATAGCTTGTCACAGCTTCATCTACAGATGACTGCTTAGAAATGTATTTAAAACCGCTGCTTTTAGCAATCCCTATCATTTTGCTAGCGTCATTAAAATAAACCCCAATGCAATAATCATTCATCATATACCCAACCCCATATTTATCTGAATAATCCACTCATTTTTTTATTCATGTATTTGGCCCACCATCATTACTTGATCCATTATAATTACTCGCCACAGCTACTTTTTTGTGTGACCTAGGAGTCAATGATCCTCTTTCTGAAGGATTCGGGGTCTCACAGCCTCTTTCTGAAATTGTTGGTGTCGAGCTGAATTTTTCCCTAGGAGTGTCTCAGCCGCTTTCTAAGCTTGTAGGAGTAGCCGCCAGCCTTTCTCTTGGTGCATCTCAGTCACCTTTAGTACTCAAAGGAGTAGGGTTAAATCTACTTCTAATTGTTTCGCTTTCCTCAAAATTAATGATTTTTTGGCAATTTTCCCTTGTCGTCATTGCCCCATGCTCCAATATTATTTCATCACTATTTCTTGAAGGCTTAATTTGTATATTAAATTGCTGCAAAAATGAATTACTTGGAGGCACTGCTAAAGTACTTGCAGGAAGCTGCTTACTCCCCCCCGTGAGTGAACAAAAAAATTTTGTTCACTCACGGAGGGGGGTTAATTTTTTTTTTTAAAAAAAAATTATATAGAAAATTTTATAGAAAATTTTTTTTCGAAATTTAAAAAAATCCTAATTCGAAAAAATTGGAAAGCAAATATTAATTTAATTTATAAAAATTACTGTTTTAAAAAGCAATTCGTTTAAAGTAAACAGAATTAGCTCTAGATTTCATTATACTAGTTATCACTTATATATAATTTTTTTTCCTTAAAAATTTTTCTATTAAAAAACTTTTTGTTCACTCACGGAGGGTGGGTTTTTGGGCAAAAAATAGCCATTTTTCTAATGGTTTTGTTCACTCACGGAGGGGGGGAGTTAGGGATAGGGTTTTTTGTAAAAAAAGGTGAAGCTAAAATCTGTTCTAAGTTTGGGCGCGTTGTTGGGTCGATTTTTAAAATATTTGAAATAAGCGTTTTGGCTTCTTTTGAGATTGGAATATGATCAGGAAAGGTATAAACTAGTTTTTGGATGTTTTTATAGGTGGCCCGAAGATCTGCAGCCTCAAAAGGAGCTTTTCCGACGAGAAGTGTAAACATTAAAGCTCCAAGACTCCATATGTCGACCTCATAAGAATGCCCTTGCTTGCCGTCTGGTTAAACTTGGCAGGGTATACCCGGTTCTACCCTACTGGCTCTATCTGGCAGCCTGGCTCTACCTGGCAGTTCGGCTTTACCTGACTCTACCTAAAGTCCGGCTTTAACTGGCAACCTGGCAGTCAGACAGTCAGACTCTACTGGCCCTACCTGACAGTCTGGAAGTCTGGCTCTACTTGGCTCTGCCTGGCTCTACTGGCACCCTGGCCCTACCTGGCAGTCTAGTAGAGCCATAGCCAGACTGCGAGGTAGAGCTAGACTGCAAGGTACAGCCGGACTGTCATGCAGAGCTGTAGAGCCAATTAGACCCAGTCAGGCTTACCAGCCGTCAATGACTTCTGGAGCTATATAATTTGGTGTCCCACAAATAGTTCTTTTCCTTTCCCCATCAAATTCTATTTTAGCTGCTAAACCAAAGTCACCTAGCTTGAGTTCCATTTGGTCAGTTATAAATAAATTTCCTAATTTTATATCCCTATGAATAATTTTATGGGCATGCAAATATTGCAAAGCCTTGATTAATTGTAGCATATAATATTGTACTTCAAGCTCAGTAATGCGCTTTCGACGTCTCATGACTTCACAAAGCGTTTGATTTGTGCAGAGCTCTAATAAAATATATCCTTTTTCCCTTTATTTATTACTAAATTTATATATTTAAAATTAAATTCTTATTAAAGGGAAATTTTATAGATGTTCTCACCGTCTTCGAAATAATGATCAAAGCCAACTATATTTGTGTGGTGCAAGGAACGGTGGATTTTGATTTCATTCATAAGTTTCTGACGAGCACGAGCTTTCAGTAGGGCAGATTTCGGCAAAATTTTGCCAGCGGTAAGTTGTTTGGATTCTTGGCATCAAAATTCGTAAACTCTTGCAAAACCGCCTTTGCCGAGGAACTTGCCTTTGCGGTAGGATTTTGTCCCTGGGTCTCCATTGATTTTGATAATTCTTTCCTGGATTATTTGATGATCTTCTGTGACTATAGCTGAAGAAAGCTTTTGGGTCGCTTAATAGGTATCTTTTTTATTTGGGTCGCTTAATAGGTATCTTTTTTATTTGGGTAGCCAAATCTTAAGACACAAAATTTTTGTTTGCTTTATGGTTAAAAGCCTTCCTGGACTATACCTCCTTTTTTCTTGCAAACCAGCTCATCTATTATTTTTACGATTATTATAACTTTACTGTTTAAATTAACAGTAGAATTAAGGTTAGCGAGCACTAATCTTAAGATTTAAGCCTCCTCTCCCTCCTATAATTACTAAGGCTAAGACATTAAGCCAAGTTTTATTCAATTGTTTTTACATTTCTTAATCAACAAAATAATTTCAAAATATCACTTTATGTTGCAATCATCTTTCTATAATAATTTAGTAATATCCTTAGCTTCCACATCTTAAAAAATAAACTTTCATACCTCAAAATTGTTATACTGCTGAATGCGACTCAGAAGTCTTAGAAATTGCCAGATTCTTAACCAAAGATAATAAAATGAAGGCAAAATTATTATGATATAATAAAATCAAAAGATATTTTTCAACACAAAATAAATTAAATTGATAAATAGCCTACTGACCATATTAAGCTTAGTTACCTCTCTTGAAGTTCCTTCTACCTCTTGTTTGCTTGGTTTCTTCTTTTTTGGGTACAGGCCCGTCATCTTTGAAAATTCCGTATTCTTCTTTAACTTGGCTTTCAATAGGTGCTGGGAAATCTGTAGGTTTGATTTCAGGCTGAGCTGGCTTGGCTTTTACATTAGTTTTTTCTTCTTTTGTTTCAACTCTTTCTTCTAATGACTCGAAGTAATCTCGCTTTTTCTCGAGCTCTTCAATGGTAGAGGAAAGTTCTTCAGATTTAGTAGGCACTTTGATTCCAGCGAATGAAAAGAAATTCAAAAGCTCAATCGGCAATGCCAACAATGGCTCTGATTCTTTCTTTCTTCCTCTTTCTCTCTTTTTCTTGGTCTTTTTCTTAGCTTGCCCAAACCACTGCTCACTTTCCTGAGCTCCTCTTTGTTCTTTTTTGGCTAAAAATTCATCTTTTGTCTCTTCTTTACTTTCTTCTTTGCTTTCTTCTTCATTTGGTACAAGTCTCTGAAGATAAGCAATAAAATTCTCACACTGTGTAATTTCTTTTTCATATGGATGAGGCTTATTTTCTTCTTCATATTTTTTCCTTTCTTCTTCAGCTTTCTTATATTCTTCTTGTTTTATTAATTTTTCCTTTATTTTTGTAGCCCATTCTATATACTGAATTTGTTGCCTTTGTTCATTGTATTTTCTTTTTTCTTCATAAAATTTGGGTATCATGAAAAATTACAGTAAGTTCTTTAATAATTTATTTATATTAAAAAAATAATTCTATAGGAAAAATAAATTTTCAGCGGTTTTTTTAAAGGGTAGCCTATAAAATTCGTCATTGACTTGTTTTTTCTTCTCAATGAGCTCTTTGATTTTTTCTTGGATCTGTTTTCTTTCTTCTATAAGCTGTGGGATTTCTGTTTGGAGTTTTTCTTTGCTTTCTTTAAGTCTAGCTGTGATGCTTCCGATTTCAGCGTTTGTGTCGATGACTTGCTTTTTGAGAGCTTCAATTTGGGCCCAGGTTGAATCTTTTTCTTTTTTTAGTTCTGCGATCCTTGCTGATCTGGTTTTATGATATTTTATTCAAATTTAATATTTTTTCTCAGAATTCTAGCATATTTATAATTAAATAAGGCAAAATAACAGATAAAAAACGTATAATACTTTATTTAATATTGGATATATTCAGTAGCAAGGGGTCTTGATTGTTTCAAAAGTCCTAACTTTTGTATAAGCTTTTTTTCTTCTGGAAGAGGCATAGTAGTCGTCTCAAGCTTCACCTCAATTTCTTCAATAGTCTTATCAATGTCCTCTTCGTCGAAAAGTTGGATTTTTGGCTTGATTCTTTTATTATCCTCAATAAGGTTTGAGTACTCTTCTTTAAGAGCGTTGAATCGCTCATGCAAGCGATTGAGTTCTCCTCTCCAATCTTTTATGCTACTGATTTTTGATTTTTTGTCTTCCTGGACAGAGACATCTTTGCTTTCAGCTTTGCCACCTTCTTTTTTGAGTGTGATTATGTTCTGAATGGCTTCTTTCTGTGACTTTAATTTTTCAATATCCCTTTCTATTGCCTTGATATCACGTTCTAGCTTTATTTGGTCTGGAGCTGGAATTCGTTCTGGTTTAGATGGTAGTGGAGGAATTACAGTCTCTAAAGTCACTTTATCGTGCTGCCTTTTTTGAGGCTTTGTTTCCTCGACCTCTTCCATATTTATGGCAATGTCGTGAATGTTTTCTAAAAATTTGTTTAAAAGTCGAGAAAATCTGACTCCCCCCCCTTTAAATTGGAACTAAAAATTTTGTTCCAATTTAAAGGGGGTTAATTTTTTTTTTTAAAAAAAAAATTATTATATATAAAAATTTAAAAAAAAAATTTCAAAAACTTATCGAGTTAGATTAATAAATTTGCTTAATAAAAGGCTATTTACTCTTTATCCTTTAAAAAAAAGTAAGATATAACTAATTTTTTATTATTAGTTAATACGCCACTATTAATTGGCATCAAAATTATTTGCACAAAAATTATTATTTTTTATTGATAAGAAAAAATTAAAAAAAAAAAATTTAGAAAATTTATCATCAAAAGTGCTAATTTTATTTAAATAAGATGTTATTTATACTCTATTCTTTAAAATAAAGCAAGAAATAAGTAAATTTTGAAATTTTATAAAGAATTCCTATTGAATTTATATCAAAACTATTTAAATAAAAAATATCATTTTTATTCAAAAAATAAAAAATTTAGCAATTAAGGATAATAAATTTATTTAAATAAGATGCTCTTTATACTTTCTTCTTTAAACAAGAGCATGATATAACTAAATTTTTAATTTTAGTTAAGAAGAAACATTTAGCTTATATCAAAACTTTTTAGATAAAAATTATATATAATTTTTTATTATAAAATTAAATTTTGTTCCAATTTAAAGGGGGGTTAATTTACCAAAAAAGTGGAAATTTTACGTATATTTTGTTCCAATTTAAAGGGGGGGAGTGAGGATTTTTAATAAATTTCAAAGGAATAGATGTTTAATAAATTTATTAAAGAGTTGTAGGAGTTATTAGGAGAAGACAAGAGGATAAATTTTGTACTGGGGAAAATAAGCAGTATCATGCCATTTTGATATAGATAAACTAGAGTTTATATAAAAAATTTTATTTTCTTTAAATTTCTGTTGATAATAATTAAAAATTATTTCTTATAGCGATATAAATAGAATAAGATATTTTTTACAAGTCAATAAAATAGAGTTTATATAATTTAAAATTGAATATAAAAGTCATTCTCTTGACTATCAGAAATAGCCATATAATATTTATTTTGTACAAATTTTTTTGACGTTTTTTTACCTTATAAGTCAATTATTAAATGGAAACTCAAAAAGGCCTTCACCGAAAGAAAAAATCAAAAACAAAGACTGCCGCCCCAAAAAAAGCAAAAAGATTGGTTATTTTAGAGCCAAATGCTAAAACAAATCCAAGTTCCCCACAGCCAGAGCCTTTAAAATTAAATTGTCTGAATTACCAAAATACCCTAAATCACCATTCTAAGACCCCGATTTTTACTTCAAAAGAAGAAATGAACGCTGCGATACAAAAACATTTGCATCATGACGATATTCACCCATTAAACTTTCTGCCGAAGTCTCCTTCATTAATCTCAATTTCGAGTAATTTAAGAGCAAATTCTCCTTCAAGCCCTAATAGTGCTACCCTTAGATTTATGAATTTTGGAGATTTTAAAGACCCATTATGAAGTTCACGGTCTGCTTATCGACAAAAACTCGGACACGACTCAAAAAATAATTTTTCTGGGAAAGTGTGTGAAGCACCAATCAGTCCACATCATGAGAAGATTGAAAATTTTATTCCTTTATAGAAATAATCTTTTTATAATAAATATTTAGTCTATATATTATTTTCACTGTTATTTAATATATGGAAATTTATTATGAATCTTATAATTTGAATTTATAGATTTAGAGACTTTATTTGCAATATTAATAGTATATAAGTTCACTGGACAAAGAAAGCACAAAAGACTTGAAAAGCCAATTTAAGCAGACCAAAACTGATTTGGAAGACTTAATAAAAGGACTGAAGCATATCACCAAAATGGATACAGACGAAATACTTTGAAAACGTAGAATAAGAAGACTTAACCAGAGGTACCATAACGTAGAAAAAGATATTACGATTAAAGAAATAAAAAAAATTACTAGCAAGTGGAGAAGGCAACTCAAAACTTGGGATATCTAGGCACATGTGAATCCCAGAGCCAGATTTCTTATAAAATAAATCCATAAAATTAGTATGCTAGCTTTATCTATATAGCTTTTGGTTTAATTAATAATAATTATCCTTTTATTCTTTCGAATCTATTATATATACCTTTTAGATAAATTGATTTATTTTTTTATTTTTTTTATAACTACATAAATAGCAATAACTATATTTATACAAAGCTGCTCAATCTTCTAAACTTTTATATTAATTAATCCACATTGATCTTATTTACTATAAACAAACTCAAATATTTTTTATTTTTTTATAATTTTCCCGTTCATCTCATCAGTTAAACAATCTTTTAAATAATGCCATCATCCTTCTTTCTATTTGTTCTATCAAATTCTAACAAAAATCCAGGAAAATTTTGTACCAGAATCTTAATGAGTTATATAGTAACTTTTGGTAAAAAAAAATGCTAATACACTCTTCATTTTACAAGCTTGATCTTACATTACCAGAAGGACATTTTAGCGTTCAGTCATACCAAGAAATGACTGAAACGCCATCTATCTCATCTCTGACATTTCAAAGGCTAATCAGCGTCTTTGATTTTCCTTACTTGCCTTTCCTTTTAAATCAAGATCTTTCTACTCATATTTGTGCACTTCTCTATGAATGTACAGACCAAGAAACAACACAAAATTTATTCTGTGGATTTGAGCAGCTGCTACTTCAAGGACTTTACTCAGGTTCTTCAATACGAATGGCAGAATTTTCCAACCCTCAAAATCCAGATTTTGTCTATTTAATTGCACATATGCAAGACCGCCCTGGCCTAGGGTCATTTTTCTGTGCTGCTAAGCTGGCTATTTTCAAATTTACTTATGTCGAGCTTTTCGGGGAAGGAATGGACTCGATAATAAATTACATTAAAGCTGTAAAAATCGTCAAAGATGAGATTTTTACACAAACTTTGGCCTTAAAAGAAGCTATTGAACAGAAAAATAAAGAAAGTAACCAATATGCCCAGCTGAGTGCCAGCTTATTTACAAAAATAAAAGCATTAAAAGAGCAGCATGATAATGCTTCAGAACAGATAAAAAATTTAAATTCACAATTAAAGAGACAACAGAGCACAGGTCAGGATAATATTGAACAAGATTTAGAATGCTTGCTTTGTAGGAATTCTATGAAAAATGTTGTGTTTTTGCCGTGTGGGCATATTGTTGCGTGTAAAGACTGTACTATTATTCAGATGAAGCTGCAGCTGAATACTCCAATCGGACGTAGAGCGCAAGGTGTTGTATGTCCGCTTTGTAAAACTAAAATTAGAGAAGCGAGGGAAGTTTACTTCTAAATTAAGAAGCCGATATAATATAATTTAGTTTTTATTTATAAGGATTTTCTATGATGAATCTATTTTTCTTTAATAAAAAGGCAATTTTTGCTATTTCTCATAAAAGTTAAATGTCGGTTATAACTGATTTATCTCAAAATTATATATTACAAAATAAACCGTTCTACGTAAAGATATAATAATTTCTAATATTTGATGAAGAAGGAAAATAGATACTCTTTAGACTTTCTCACAAGAAAGTCCAAGCTCAGAAGCAACTCTAGATCAAGGCAGCTTGACTCTCAAAATCCAGTCTTCAGCGTAGTCAGCAGCTGTGTTGGCTCCCCAAGGAGATTTATTGAAGATTACTCAAATTTCAACTTTGACTATCAGTCTTACCTGACTCTTTGTAATAATAAAACAATTTCGCCTTCCCCACAAGTTTCAGATAGAAAATCAGGGATTCCTAAAATGCTCCAAACAAGTTTTCATAAGAAAAATTCGCGTGGAGCATCAACCTCTGCACTTCATCAGCCAATGGGTAATGATGATTTTTTAAAGACTTTTCACAATAATAAAGGAAAACTGGATAAATGAATCAAATCGACTTATAAGAATATGATAATAAAAAAAGAAGCTGAAGAGATTAGAAGAAAAGTGCAAAGGCTGAAAACTGAGCTAGCAAGTTCTTCAAAAATAAAATATGATAGATTACCAACTCAAGAAAGCAAAAATTGCACAAATATTTATTATGAGAGAAGCCCAAGCCCTTTGAAGAAAAATTTTAGTAGCCAGAAAATTAAATGTGATTTGCATAGACAAAATTTTCAACCCAAAATACCAAATAATTCAAAATCTAAAATATCACTAAGCCACTTAAGGAAATATTTTTTAATTGAACCAAAAAAACCATTCAGATTTTAAATTTGAATAATAAATTATAGTAATGCGCTATAATTTATGGAAGCACGTATGTTAAAAGCTGAATTATAAATTTTGATGAAATTATTAAAAACAATTTTTAATTAAAACCAGTGTAATTACTATTTATCAATTTCTTTATCATAAATTCATAAAGCATAATTCATTATATAATTAAAATATAACAAAGTAATTTATATTTTTTATATTTTTTAAGACATTAACGTTCTTTATATACTATATAAGTGCCATGCTATAATATAATCTATGAAAAATATTGATATACATATAATTATAAATGGATTCAGAAATTTTGATCCTTACTGAAGAAGAGTTTCAAAAATATGTTCAAAGTCAAAAAGAAGTCGGCACAAATAAGTCAACCCCTTCTTCTCCATTAAATAGCTACATTCCTTCGCAGAAAATAGAGACTGATAGTAGTAAAGCTGCTGAAAATATGTTAAGAGAGGAATCCAAACACCATTTCCTGAAAATTTTGGATAGTCTTGATCTTTCGCTTGTTCCTGATGGTTCAAAATCAAAAATTAACCCAATTCGAATTCCAGATCACAGATTTCTAAACCTAAATCACCAAAATACAGTGATGTCGAGACTTCATGCAAAAACACCAAAGCACCGTTGCAAGACCTCTGTGAAAAATTTTATGGAAATAAAATTTACTTCAACGCCAGCTTCACCTAACAGCTCTCCTAAGAAAAAAGAGAAGCGAAAAAATTTGCTTAAAAAAAAAGTCACTAAAAATTCAGTAAATATTAAAAACGACACCTATGAAGAAACTTCTGGTAATGAAATCAATTTTGTTTTCCCAAACAATGAAGCTTCTAATGATTTTCAAGAAAATAAAGCTGTAAACAGAAGAGCATCTTCTTTAAATATTGATTCAAATTTATTTGAATTTGATAATCAAAAATTATCAAAAATTTCTTCAAGATTTCCGTTTACTACAAGACCTAGTAAAAAAACTTTAAAAAAATATTTAATTGAAGTAAATTCTCATATTCCCCAAGACTCAGAAGGAAGTACAAATCCTTCAGAAGGTTTGCTACCTTCAGGCTCAGTCACTACTAAACACATAAATTATAAAAAAAGAAAATTAAAAAGAGAAAACTCAGACAGCACCTTAGATTTAGGTAGTGTAAAAGATTTCAGGCCAAAAAGTCGGTCTCCTAAAAATTCAGATGACCCAAAAATATTAGAAAAAAAGAAATACTATAAAATCCTCAGCGAAATTCGAAAATCTTATAATAAAGAAGAAGAGACCAATAAAAATTCTTTAGGTGAATTAATGCAAATAATGTTTAAAACTCGGCCAATAGTTGAAGAAAATATTAACCCAAGAGAAGCTGCTCAATATAAAGCTTTAAACCAAAAACTATACAGCATGATAAGGGAAAACCCTTCAGAGCTTTATCGAATTTTAAATCATCCTGACTATTTTAAAGATTCCTTATCTCGAAAAGATCTTCACCAAGGAAACGAATGGACTGAAGAGCAAGAATCAGCATTTAAATCAATGTTAAGAAAAACCCACAGTTTTAACTCCCTCGTAAAAACCAGACTTTTTAAAGAAGTTGAAAAAGACTTGCCGCCTACCCGCACCACACAAAATATTGAATGAAAATATGATAGACATTCTCCATGGGTTAATGATTTAGACTACAACGACGACAATTATTTTCAAATTGACCAGGAGAAAAAAAATACCAAAAGGTCATCAATCTCAAATTTAAAAAAAATTACCAAAGAAAGAGAAGAATTAGACCCATCACAAGAAGAAATAAGGCGGCTTAAAGAACTCCAAGAAAAAACCGGAATTTCAAGCTCAAATTTATTAGCTTTGCAAAACCAGGCAAAATATATAGATAAAGTACAAGATTTTGACCAAGCTATAAGTGGGTGTAAAATGATTAAAAAATGAAAAAGAAATAAATCTGATTATGAAGCTGCAAAGGTAAAATTTGCAGACCATATTATTGGAAATTGCCAAATTGATATGAAAAAATTAAATAAAGCAAGATATTCTTATCTTTCTGCAAAAGTTGCCCATCAAAGAGCAAGTACTGAATTAAGTGATAAATATATGCTAGAAGCTGAAGAAAGAAGGAAAGAGTTAAGACAGAGACAAGAAAATTTTCAAAGAGATGTCACAATATATAGGAATATTTGCAAAGAAAGATATGGGAGAACTATGAAGTTTGGCCCACGTAGAGTTTTAGAAACAACTGCTCATCCTTTAGGATCCCCAAGATTTAAATCTTTTATGATCAAGCTTGGATACTTGTCTCGTTCTTATAGCCCTCAGCCCCGGCCTATTAAAGATTTCGACCCAAACACTGCAAAAAAGGTTCGTATTAATGTTCCGAAAGAAAGCCTAAATCAGCTTTCTTTATGAAATTTCCCGCCTTCTCCTTCAGAAAAAAATAAAAAATCATCATTAAAATCGGCTATGAAAATTCAGGCTTATGTAAAAGGATATTTTGTTAGAAAAAAAGTCAGGGCATGGAAAAAGGCAGCTGTAAAAATTCAAAAAGCATTTAAATGATTCAAAGCCAAAAAGTTTGTGTTGACAGCTTTATTAGTAGAGCAATTAGCGACAGGAAATTTGCTGCTTGGATCTCTTCTTATTCGATATAAAGACACACTTTTATATAAAAAAATATTAAAAGATATCGTAGCTTCAAAATTTATACAAAATATGCTGATAATTAGAAAGGAAGAACGAGCAAAATATGAAGATGCCAACAGCAAAACTCTAGCTCTTTTATATAATAATAGGAGATTTATATCTAGAATATATAAAATATGGAGAATTTATAGAAAAATAATTAAAAGAGTAAGCAGACAATCAAGCATGATTCCAGTAAAAACTAATCGGTCATCACTAGCATTTACTCCTAATATAAAAAGTGACACATACATGACTTTTTCAGAGAAAGCCAATGAAATACCTCAAAGAACTATAAAGAGAGCTCCAACTGAAATTCCAGTTAAAGTGAAGCTTGAAGAGCTACCAGAAAATGCAAAATTATATTTTGATTCAATAAAATAAAGAAAAAAAGCAATTGATAAGTTTAATAAAAAAATTAATTGTAATAAATCCATTAAATTTATTATGAATGATAATATGGAAAAGAATTAATCTTTAATGAAGATTCATTATTTTAATAAGTATTCTTATATAAGAAAATTCCTTTTTTGTTGGGTCTGTGTTTTTCTTCTAATAAGTAGCAAAAGTTAAGAAATAAGTCATTTCCTTTAATTTTATAGAAAATATTAAAAAAATTCATCAAGATCGTCAAGATTGTGCCAAATTTCTCTGGATTTCTCAACAAAATCTCAAAACAAAAAAAGTTCAGTAAATCAATAGGGCGAGCTAAATTTTAAAGATGATGCAAGACAAAAAAGAATTTTGGCCCAGAAATAAGACTCTTCTAAGAGCTTACCATAGTTTTAATCCAATGAAATGACTTAATTTACTATTTTCTGATCCAACATTTAAATAAAAAAAGTCTGATGTAAATTAAGTTCTCCAAGGGCAAAAAACATATCATTTTTGAAAGTAAATTTTTTATAAAAATTGAGCACTTACGAATGCTGTGAAATCTGTATTTAGCGTAGCAAGATGCCTTCTATTGGAAAAAGTTCATATAACAGCCTGGAAAAAAATATTTAAATCGGTAGCATTATCTGTTAAAGTTAATAATAATTTCTTTCTTATATATAGCTACAATCAGTATGGAACCGGAGAAGACAGAAACATCAGAGAAGCAGAATTCAGACCATTTCAGATCAGAAAAATACTCCATGGACTCATTTGACGTCCTAGGAACTCTAGGTGTAGGCACTTTCAGTCGAGTAAGACTAGTTCGGAGCAAGGATCAGTCTCATATGAAGCCATTAGCTCTGAAAATCCTCAAAAAGACCTCGATTTTGAAAATGAGGCAAATAAAGCACCTTACTCCCCCGTTTAAATTGGAACCAAACATAGTACTTAAAGGGCCCGAATTTTTTTTTCATCGGAAAATGTTATCAATGGAAATACTAATTTTTATAAAATAATTTTTAACCTAATTTAATAGCAAAAGCGCAGGTAGATTGTTTTTAAACAGTTTTGCACTGAATCAATTAATTTTTTTTATTATTTCTTCATAAAAATAAATTTAAAAATTCATAGCATTGTGCTCAATTTATATTAAAAATTTTTTATAAATATAATTTTTTTTCAAAAATAAATTTACCCAAAGGATTATTTTCCAATTAAGGGGGAGGAGTTAGGAACGAAAAAGAAATAATGGAACAACTTGACCATTCCTTCATAACAAAAATTCTCGGAACTTTTCAAGATGACTATTACGTCTTTTTCGTACTAGAATACGCCTGTGGAGGCGAACTCTTTACTAGGATGAAAAAACTAGGCACTTTTCCAGCACAGGATGCTCAGTTTTATATTGCTGAGCTCGTTCTTGCTCTGGAATACCTGCATGACAAAGGAATAGTTTTTCGAGACCTTAAGCCTGAAAATATTTTAATTGACAGGCTTGGACACATCAAACTGTCAGACTTTGGCTTTGCCAAGGCAATATCAGATGGGAAAACTTACACTATGTGTGGCACTCCTGAATATTTGGCACCGGAAATTATTCTTGGAAAAGGCCACGGACGTGAGGTAGATTGGTGGGCTTTAGGAGTTTTATTGTATGAGATGCTGGCTGGGTATCCTCCTTATTATGACGATAGTCCATTTAATATAAACCTAATAAAGTTAATAGGTTAATAATATTTTTCTATAGCACATTATTGATAAATTATATTAAATAATTATATACCAAAAAATTTTATTAGGGAGATTGATTTTTCCTCCTCACTTTGACGATGTGATTTGCTCGCTAATTTCTGGGCTTTTAGAACCCAGCATACAAAAAAGAATAGGATACAAACAAAATGCTGCAAGTGAGCTGAAAAATCATGCTTGGTTCAGCAATATTGATTTTAGCTCACTGCTTGCAAAGGAATGTGCTAGTCCTTGGGTTCCAGAATTAATGTCAGAGGACGACACATCAAATTTCAACACATACCCAGATTCACTAGACCAGCCCCATGCTCCTAAATTCACAAGAGATAGGGACCCCTTTATCGGGTTTTAATATGAAAATTAAACGTTTTTTATGAATTAATCTTTATAAGTATATGAATAATTATATCTTTATGTCAAATTAAATTATTTTTATCAAATAAAGCTTATTTATTGCATAAATAATAAATTAAAGCTTCATGAATTATGGAAAAATTATGTTAAATTCATTGAATATTCTAAAAAATTAATTTCACAATTTTTTATTTAAATACAAATTTATCAATTTTTTAAACAAATAATCTTTATTTATCCTAATAAAACGCTGGAGGGAAAAACCCAGAAGTTATGTTTGGTCTTGCACCTCCATATTTCTCTTCTAATACTTCTTCACTAATATCCTCTCTAAGTAGCGGCTCCCACCCATCCTTTTGTATAACAATTTTCTTTTTTGTGTCCTCATCAATAAAAGGTTTCAGCATCTTATAAACTGTATTTAATGCGGATGGCAGATTAATTATAAAAGATTTTTCCAATCTGCACATAAAGTTTATTGATAACTTTTTCAGCATGTTTTTTAATAGCATAATAGGAAGCTGTGTAGCTGAAACGTCAGCTAAATCCATAATGATGGTCCAAGTTTCTACCTTCCCAGGGACCATCATATGTTCAAGAGCCCAAGTCAGTAAAAAATAATTGAGCCTTAAGGATGAATTTAAGTCTATATTGCAGTCAAGCATCTTCCTAACACTAATAATCATAATAGGGTGGAATTTTCTGTCTCTTCCCAGTAAATACATAAATCCTTGATCCTATATGATCTTTACAATCATTGAGGAGACTTCATTTATTGGCACTGGCAGCTCCGTATTAAGCCAGCTGAGATATTTTTCCATAATTTTGAAGGCTTTTTTGGGTTTTCTCTTTGCGGAATCCATGAATTTTAATGCCATTCTATGCTGATCATCAACACTAAATAAGAGTTACCCTGGAGGAATTTGAATTCTTTTTTTGGTAGCGAATGCACGGAACTTGGAAAGAGCTTCTTCTTCATCAGGGTCTAGTGGGACAAATGAATAGACTTTACGGATCGTCCCTCTTTTTATAAATTCTGGAAGCGGCTGATATGCTTCTAATGAATTCTCCATTTATAAATCTAGCTATTTGGAGATTATTATTTATCTAATTTTTTTTTAAAAATAAATAATTAATGAGTAAATTGATTATTTGGGCTATTTATGAAGCAATTGAAGACCAAATTTTTATTTTTAGCTTATAAGTATACAGATTTAGATTAAGTTAAAAAATTTTTTTAAAAGAATTATGCTTTAATTTTTTGCAAGAAAAATATTGGGACTATATGCAATTTATTAAGGCATGGTATAGTTTGCATAAAGCCTGCTTACTGCTTTCAGGGATATATTTCGGATAATTTACTGTAAACTTCACAATCAAGTTTCCCTTTTCTACTGATCTTTTGTCTAATCCGAACTTTTTTGGCTCATTCCCTTGCTCAATCTCCTTAAAAATCGGCATTCCTTCATTTTCGATTAATTTTCTGCTTTTAGTCCCTATTACTTCATCAGGCGAAACTGTAATAATTCTTTTATCCAAAGTGGTCTATATATAGCTTACAATATGAACAGGTTCAGCTAATATTGCATTTATCAGTGAAATTTGAACAGAATAAACCAAATCATTTCCAATTCTTTTGAAATTTTGGTCAGGAAGCTCCACTATCTGGAAAATTAAATTACTACTGGGGAACATGGCTGCTTCATTTCCTTTTCCATAAAATATTATTTTTGTGTCTTTTGAGTAGCCTTTTTTGATTTCTATTGTCTTTGATTCCTTTATTGATCTAATAGTACTGTCTTCAGCTAGAATCAATTTTTCATAGTCAATCTTTTTTTGGCAGCCTAGGTATAATTCAGTTAAGGTGCAGGGAATTTCGACGATAAGGTCTTTAGGTGGCTCTTCAGAAGTCTGATCTTCTTTAAGACTGATATTGCATAAGTTCAAAATATGCCTTAAATAGAATTAAAATACATAAAAAATTGTGGGTTGGGATCTATTAATTAATGAATTTAGGACTAGTGTTTTTATATTTAAATATGATAATAATTTAATCAATAAATGCAGATTATTTGTATTTTCCCCATATGCTTCAAAAAGAGGATTAATAGTCCCAAAAAAGTTTTCAAAAATTTTATATGCATTTCCAGTATAGCAATAGCCGCCTGAAAAGCTCCCATTCCCTTCATTGATGCCTTCTTTTAAGCCAAATTCTCCGGACTGATCATATATGCTTCTTTTTACAGGGTCACTTAAAACTTCATATGCTTCTGCAAGGAGATGAAAGCGGTTTAAAGCTGGGACGTAGTCTTTTGGATGGTTTGTTGGATGCCATGAAATAGCTAAATGGCGATATGCTTTACATATATCTGCATCTGTAGCTTTGTGATCCAGCTTTAGTATGGAATAATAATCTTTGCTCATAACTGCTTATATTAAATAAGCCATAACTAAAAGTAAAAGTTAATAATTTAATAAGCTATTATATTGAGCCATGATTTTAGCTGATTAAATAAGTTTCTATTTCTAAATAAATATACCTTAAAATTATCATTTAGAGAAAAATATTAACGATCCATAAATTAGTTATTATTAAGTAAAATCTTCAATAAAATCTTATTTTATAATTTTTAATTATTTATTTTCATATTAAATTTCGTTATTTTATCTCTTCTATAATTCCATTTATCGATATTTTAAATTTTATAAAGTCAATTTTTAAGAAAAATGTTAAACAAGGATTCTTGGTTTACCAAGCCAACTCCTCAAACGCCTGCCAAGCTCTGCTCATTCTCAGAAAACCGGTTGCCAGATGACCAATATTCCCATGTAAACCAAACTTTTCAATCTAAGGGAAGCCATCACTTAAAAATCAGTTACAAACCCTCCTACAAAAGTCACCAAAGGCGACTCTCACTAAATAATCCTTCAGACCTCACTTATACACCTGATGAGATTTTGCACTCATTTGAAACACCAATTAATAAAACTATCGATGAGTCGTTAGAAAACTCTAACGTCAAAAGAAATGTATGAAGCCAAGAAAGTATAACTCCTAGCGGCTATCGTTATAATTTTGAGATTGCCTCAAAAAATGAGCAATTATTCAGTCTCAGGAAAACAAAAAGAAAACGGGCTTCCCGAAGTCTTGATATGGACGTAAAAATCCCTTATATTTCCAATATAACTTCACTGAACTACGTTTTTGGACACCTTTTAAATCAGCAGCAAGAGCTTAAGGCAAAGCTTGAAAGCCAAGAAGGCATCTTATCCAAGCTTCAAAATAAGCCTGTGTTTGCTAGACCATTAAGCCAAATTAACAATGACCTAAACATGCCCCCTTTAATAAATCGCCGCCAAGCTTGCACACCTTGCTTTGAGAAGCCTCAAGTTCCTAATGAAAACTGTAACATAGACTCATCAAAACTCGTCACATTTAAACCAGGCGAAAATTGGATGCCAAAAAAATCAAAATTTCCTAGGGATATGCCTATTTATAATGACTTTTACTATTATTTTTTCTAAGAAAATGCCTTTATTTTTATATTAAATTAGTATATTTTTTGTAGCCGTAGAAGAAATGCTGAGAAATATAAATGCTATTAATAGTCATAATAATTACCATAAGAAATGGAATCTGACGGAGTTTTGAAAGTCAGCTCTCGCCCAAAGCATAGCAGATACATTTATGAAGGAAAAGAAGCTTTAAAGAAAAACCCAGAAGTCGCATTTCATGCTATTGGAGAATCAGTGAGCAACGCTGTGAGAGCTGCTGACAGCTTGATTGCTTTGGGATATGCAACGTTGGAACGCTTTGAAACACTCAGTCTTGATGAAAAAGATTTTGAAGGGAGACCTAAAAGAGTTTACAAGGTAATTATCAAGCTGTCTCGTACCTCAAATTTTGATGCTCTTTATCAAGAATTTGAGAAAACGAAAGCAGAAAAGCCTACTTCTAGCTCTTATATAATAAAAATTTATAGAATTTTTTAGTTTAGTTTAAATTGAAATTATATTTTTTAATTTATTTATAAAAAACAATAATATTGTGCCTTACCTTTTTTTCAAGCATAAATAATTTTTTGAAGTATAATTTAAAATAATTAATTCGAAAAGTAAGTAATTTAAAATCAAGTAAAATTAATAATCCCTTATTGGTTCTCTTTGGACTCTCTTCTTGGTCTATGGTTCAACTCAGCATAATTTTCAATCATCTCATACGCATCATTAAAAATATCTACCCCAAGGTCAACCAATTCTTCTCTATTCAATAAATCAGACCGTCCAAAATGTTGAGTCGATTTCGACACATTGTACCTATCTCTATTTGCCAAGCTTTCCTGCAAAGACAAACGGTGAAACAAAGCAAAAGGGCTTTGTTGAAGAACTGACTCAGAGGCCCTACGACTGACTACTTTCTGCTTGCTTTTAAAAATTGTGGACCTTTCATCTATAGGTGGAAGCATAACTTTGTCAGTTTCCTCGTCTGAGATAGATTCTTTATTTTCATCTTCTATATAGTTATTAAACACAAATAGCTGGTCTTGGGTATTTTCTAGTGAAACTTTAGGCATTAGGCCATCTAAATCTATAGTATCTGCTTTATTAATAAAAGTTGAAAATTCTTGGGACATCTGCAAAAGGTCAGATTTCTCTGCATCGGGGTCATTTATTCTTTCAATAGCACTGATGTCAGGCTTTATGTCAGTTTCGTCTTCAGACTCAGGCTCTTCATTCGTAAATGCTATTTTTGTAGCGAGTTCTGGGACTAGTTCTTTATTAGAATGGGAAAAAGGGATATAGTCTTTTCCCTTAATTTATCTGAAAAATAATTCAAGCTATTTTTTACTATGAAAATAAATAATAAAAATTATATAATCATTGTAGAGTATTTATATCGAAATTCTTGGTCTTCACATACAGTATGATATAGCCATTTTTCTAAAGCGTTAGAAAGATGCAGGACAAAATTATATAGGTGATGAGGAGTTTGGGCTGGATGAGGAAATTCAGAGCCTAATTGAAGGGTACTTCAGATTAAATTTAAGTTGTGGACGGTTCTAAAGCTAGAGTCTGAGTAGCTTGTGGACTCGTAGGAAGCTATAATAAGCCCTTTTAGCACTGGAGATAGGCCTATTATCATAGAAAGCTTGTGGTTTACTAAATTAATTTCTAATTTAGCATTCTCTAATTATTTTCTTACTGAAAAATCACTTTTATACTCAGCGTTAAGCTTTTTTCCGTAGCCAAGAATTTGGAGTTTTAAATCTTCTTCTCCTGGCACTGTGCCATAAAGGAGATACCCTTTCATGTCCATCACAAATCCTTCGAAATTATTCATCTCTACCAAATATTCAATAAGCCAATTTTCTGCTTCTTCTTCTAAAAATGTTTTATATGAAGAAAAACTTTCAGTATAGCTTGGAGGTCGATCAGTTGTTACATCTTGCAGCAAAAAATCACGGTTATATATCATTTGGTTGTATAATTTTGAAAGTGTGATATTCTTCGTCAATTTTAGTTAAAATTTCTTGATATTGTGGCATTTGGTCAAAAAAAACCTTTAAGTTTCTATCAAAGATTTTGGCCAAATTTCTTCCAAAATGCCAAGACCCAAAAATCACTATGCTGCCTTGACGATTTCACTTTTTCAGCATTTAATATTTTTTGAAGATAATGAGGTCTTATGCTTAGAAATTTCACAAATAAAGAAAGCAAAAATAAACGATTATTTTCTATTGCCTCAGAGTATTCGTTTTTACATATAAATACCCAAATCACGTATTTATTGTGGATTACTGAGGCCTAAATAGGTATTACGATGTTGCTATTCATTCATAAAGTTTGAAATTGAAATCTTTTAGTTCCTGTAAATGTCACACAGGTTGGGAATAATTTAAGCTTTTGATCACTTAATAAAGGGATTGAGCCAGGGGAGTATTCAAATAATAAATTGCAGTATTGGGTTAATGCAAGAATTTGGAAGTTTTTGGAAAGGAAAAGTTCTTTGATTTGAGTTGTCATTTTAATTTAATTATATAAGGATGTATACAATAAATCTTGATGAAAATAATTTCATACGAAAAATCAGTTAAATTGTCTAATATATTTCCTAAAAATAAAAAAGTCCTTAAAATTGTTAAAAATTCATTGCTTTTCTATGCTTTATTATCATACTATTGATATAAATGAGATTATAATATCTTTTTTATATTACAAAAATAGCAGCAATTTTTCTTATTTGTTAATGGTTTAGTCTTAAGGTCAAGGCTAGGCACCTCCATCGGGTCTTTATCAACTTTTTCGTTTCATCTCTCATAGAGAATATTGGTGAACTCATGAAAAGTTTCATTCACATTAAACCCACTCAGCGCTGAAGTTTCTTTAAATCCACACAAATTATGGAAATTTTTATAAGCATTTGCATCATCTTGTGAGACTTCTCTTGAATTTTCCGACTCTGTGAGGTCTACTTGGTTTCCTACTAGAAATATAACAATGTCACTTGTTGCGTGTTGCCGAATTTCTCCAAGCCAATAGCTCAGCCCTTCAAAGCTTTCTTTGGAATTCACATCATAGACGAGCAAAACTCCATCAGCTCGTCGGTAAAAGCTTCTTGTGATACTCCTAAAACTTTCTTGGCCAGCAGTGTCTCATATTTGGAGTTTCACTTGTTGATTATTTATTTTCACCAGTTTTGTGCCAAATTCAAGTAGGACAATTTCTCAAGAAGCCATTTTCTCTGCATGGCTGAATTTTTTCTCGTCAGATATTTGTAGAAAAATAACGGTTTTGCCAATACCTTTGAAAAACTTTCGACCAAATGGCGAAGATAAATATATTCTGAGGAAAAAAATTACGTCCAATAGACGTGATGCGAAATTCAACACCAATAGTAACAGTATGCTGCTCATTGAATGTATTTTCGCTAAACCTTACTCAATTTTTTAAAAAAATATAAAATAAATTTAATATAATAAAGAGGCTCATATATGATTAAATTTTAAAAATAAAGATAATAGAAAAGCTAGTAATAAGCAAGATTTCCCCACCCCACTATCACCGACAATGATAACTCTAAAGAGAAGCTCTTCCTCCATTTCAAGAAATGATTACTTCAATAATTTGATAAAATATGCAAGATGAAGTTTCAGAGTCTCCAGACTCCAGCCCAGAAAAAGAAACTGAAGAGCAGCTTACCAATTGAATTGTAAATTGCTCATCAAGTTCTCAATCTGTAGCTGTAGAAATCATGAAACTTTCGCAAGCAGTAACTAGTACAGTTTAATCAGAGTTTATTAATTCTCTTTACGACACATCAATTGCCTTACAAGGATTATTTAGCTTATTATTTTTTTATTTAAAATGGGCAAAAACTTTCATTGTAGCCCTCCATAAAGATATTTTTCATAATTTTTTTCTATGAATAAGGATTATCGAAAGAAATATCACTTCCTAATTTTATGATAGATTTTTCATCAAAATTCCTAAAAAGAGACCCATGAGAAAGTTTAAGACTGACGACAAAACTCGAAGATTTAGCCATAAGAGTCCAAGAATGAAACGTCAAGGCACAAAGAGCAAAAGCTGCCTGGGACGAAAGAGAGCATTTTAAGCAGCTTTATGAAAAAATTCTTGTAGAGCAGTCTAAATTGACACAAGACCATAGAATCCAAGAAATGGAAGAAATTAAAGGAGGCGTTTGGAATAATTTTATCAATAAAGATAAAGATTTTGAAAAAGCCAGCAATGATGCAAAAGAGTCAACACAAGACGAATTGTTAGGACCAATTGCAGAAATGATAGGGTGCATTGAAAATTTTTCTGATAATTTGCACGAAGATCTGGAAGGGCTGAAAGAAAACACAGAAAAATATATTGAGATAACTGAAGATAGGGACACATATCCAAAAGTTATAGGTTTTTCTCAAATTTCGCTAGAAAAAAGACATATTACGAGACCAAATTTATTTAAATTTAACAGAAAATATTTTTTTGTACCAAATGCTGAAGCTTTATTTGACTTTTCTTCTGTGTTTCCAGATGAAATTAATCTAAAAGCAGGGGAGGCTATTGAAATAAGAGGCGGAACCACAGATCATCAATGATACAGATGCTTAAATATTGAAGGAAACAATGGTTTTGTCCCAAAAAATATTGTGAAATTGTTGACAAATAATATAATCGACCTTAAAATTGAAGAAATAAACAGCCATTTGAATTTTAATGCTCAGGATTTTTCAAGGAATTTAAGCAAATTTTATCGAAAAATACAAGACGCCACTCAGCATATTTTTATCCCTATAAAGCTTACATTAAAAGATATCAGTGCTAAATTATATAGGAAAATTACACAGTGTATTTGCAGATTTTTAGAAATCGGGATTTTGACCAAAATTTTAAAAGAAAAAGTTGAGGAATCTCAAGGAAATATAAAAACCCTAGTAGAAAATATTTTTTTTTTACCCTAAATATATTATTTTCATAATAAATATTTTTAATATCCCTTTACAAATAATTGGGTATATCCTTAATTATTGTGGATATCTCTACCTATTTAAATCCCTTAAATCCGAAATTTCTGAGGTAAAAAGTTTGCTTCCAAAATATGACCTCAACGACTACAAAGAAAAAATCCAAGAAATCATAAAAATTGAGACCGAAGGAGCTTCATTTCTTTTTGACTCCATCAAAAATCTCATAACAAAGCACGAAATCAATGGAAAAGAAAAAACTTATCTACATACCTCTCTTGAACTTTTAGCAATAATAATGGAAAACCAAAACAAAGACGAGAATTTAGATGCGAAATTAGAGGAAGATGTGAATACAAGAGTTAACTAATAAAATGGGCTCTTGCTAAGTGTCTCTCGTAAATATGTCTTTCTATAGAGGAAAGGATTCCATTATGCCCATTTTTTAATGGAATTAGATATCCAGCGGAGGAGTAGTCGATGCTTTCTTTGAAGCTGTCGAAGCTGCTTAAGGACTCGTTGGCTTCTGTGCTGTTTTCGCCTTCTTCTAGTTTGTTGTGTATTTTTGCTATGATGTTCTAAATTAAATAATTTTTTTGGAATGGTAGATTTTTTTAAAAAATTAATTAGGTACCAATTAGTTATAAACAGCATAAAGTGTCAGTCAAAATATGGAGGTCAGCAATAATAGCCTGCATGAGCGTACATGGGCAGATTTTATTCTGTGAAATTAGATTTTTTAAGCATTCAATACAATATTTCATAAGCTCCAGCGACTTTACTTTACCTAAATCCAGATTTTCAGTATATTCATTACAATCACTTCCTCATATATCAATTACAAGCAGCCACGCAATAAAATTGAGCCTTATGTATTTTGAGCTTAAAATTATACTCAAAGATTTGCCTCCAGCATCTAAATGAGCTAAAACATTATGGACGTCAACAACTATTTCAGCAATTTTTTCATAGTCATCAAGGCTTTCATTTCCACATTTATAAACCTTTTGTTTTTTAATCGCTTTTATTGCGCTTTCAGGGGTTGCTTCTGAGTTTGGTTGACTTTGCATAGCTCTTATCATGCCTTTTATTAAGTTTCCTAATCTTTTCAATACTTCAACTGCTCGATCTAGATCCTCAATGTTCAAAATAAATGATTTTTTCTCAAATAAAGCAGGGTCAATATAAGGAATTGCGCTTTGTTTCGTAAATAATTGGGTAATAAATAAAATGTTTTTTTAAAATAATTATTTTATTAAAAAAAAATTTAAATAATTTGCTTTAATAATTGTATAGCAATTCCTGATTTTAAAGAAGCCAAATCATCAATCATATCATCTCTAGGATCAGCTGCAAGGACTTTATAACAATGTGAAGAAATATAATCTCCAGCTGAATCTGTGTCTACCGGCCCAAGAATTTGAAAAGGATAAAATGCGAATTGTCCGAAATTATATCTGGTGGCATCTCCTAAGGTCGAGAATGTTCTGTCCGCAAATAAAAAGTCTAAATCGCAGTTTCTTGCTAAATGAGTAGCTACACAGCCACCTAGTGATAACCCATGGACTCCTAATTTGTTGACTTGTCGGGTGTTTCTTAAATAGTTGACGATCATTTCTCCATCTTTTTTAAAGTTTGGAATTTCTGAGCGGCCTTGAGATCGTCCGTAGCCTCTGTAATTCCACGCGAATACATTGATACCTAATGCAAGGTAAAATTCAAGCCATTCTGTCTGAAAATGCATTAATTCGTAAAAACCGACATTTGGATTACAGAAAAGCATTGTAGGCCCATTTGGGTTTCAATGGCTTGGAAAAAGCATGCTTAATAAAAATTACCAATCAATTCGCATTCCATCATGACCTTGAATCCATATTTGTTCTCCATTGAGTTGGCTCGATAAAATTACTCTCATATAATTCAGATTCCCTAGCAAAGGGTCTGTCATCCATCTTTTTGCTTTTTGCAAACAGTTGGTTTTTCCATAAGACTGATATATAAATGTATTAAGTTCTTTACATAGCTTCAAAGGGATTTGTAAACTCTCTAAGCTTGTCTGGATTTTCTTTTTGTGAATTTTATCTAATAAATCCCATAAGCTTTCCACATTTTTCCCTGCATCAATTTTTATTCCTTTTAAGCACTCTTCAAGCTGAACTAATAAAGTTAGGAGACGGTCTTGATTAGGAGAAATTAGTCCTTGTTTTTGAAGCTCATTAAGGTGTTTCATCACTGATAAAAAGCTTTTTTTGGAAAAACTCAAATTAAAATGTTTTAATTGTTGATCTTCATAGCTTTCTTTAACTTTTTGTAAATTAACTAAAATTGCTTCTAAATCATTGATAGTTGTTTTAAGCTCTGATGCAAATCGCTTAGAAATGCCGATTTCAGAAGCTCTTCGACATAAAGTTATGGAGCCTGGGAATACTAGACCTTCAATTATACTGTGAAGTAGATAGCATATGAGAATAATAAAAAGAGTGAATGATCCAGGCCCTGTAACTATATATGAGAGCATATAAAAGAAAAAAAATATCAGTGAGAGTAACAAGCTGGCCAATAAAAAGAGTTGCAATAGAATAAAGCTGTCTCCCAACATTTATTTTTACAAAAAGGATAGAATTGATTGATTTATGATGACAGAGATAGAAAAATGTGAAGGCATTCTAAAAAGGGTCAGAGGCCAAGAATTGAACTTGGATCTTCAGCTGAGCAGGTCTGACGCACAACCATTGTGCTACTTCTGATGCTCAAAATGTATATAGAGGCTTAGATGATTAAGAAAGCTTTCATTATACAAATTTCGTTACCTTTAATCTTTTAATATTATATTTAGCAATAGTAGTAAGTTTCAGCAGATATTGCAATTGAATATGGATAAAAAATACTTGAAAATTAAAATAATATAAACTGAATATTATAAGGACCTGCTACCATATGATCTCTTATAGATGAAATAGTTTCAATTATTATAAAAAAATCAAGGAAAAAGCAAATAAGAAAGAATATGATTTAGATCAATATATATATTAATATAGAAAAAATCAATGCCCGCAAGTGGACTAATAAATAAAAATTAAATAAGTTTAAGAAAATTTAAAAGACCGTATCTAAATACAAATTTTTATAAAAAATAAGTTTATATTATATTAAAAGGAAATATTTAATTATCAGAGCTCTCTCCTTCATTTTCTTTTGCCCAAGCTCTCCGAAATTCTTTAAATCTTAGGAAACCTTGATATTGTTTATAATTTTTTCTCATATCACTTAGTTCACTATTCATTCTTTTGCTCAGCATTAGTACTAGCTGAAGGAATCCACAGCATAAAACACATGCAAGTATATTAAGTAAAAATACGGTTATAACTTTCGTATCGTCTTCCATACCATCATCATCTTCCCCAGATCCATCGTTACTTAGCTGGGTAAAAGTGGGTGTATTTTTTTCTGAATTTTTTAACTTTGTAAAATCTCCTCTTGTTTGTGATGATATTTCAAGGTAAATTCTGTTCCCATTTTCATCATGTGAGTACTGTTCACTTGCATTTGAAGAAATCAAAAGTATCAATAAACCTAAAATAATTTTCATAATGGCTGCGAAATTATATAAACGGATATTTTTAAATTATTAGAAAGAAGATGTGAATGAAGAGGGGGAGGAGAACGAATTTGTAGGATTTTTTAAAGACTATATTAAACAATACTAATTAGCAAGTATGAATTGTTCCTAGGGTATTTTAAAGGTATCTTATTTAGAAATATAATATGGTCTCTGATTTGTTGAAATTTTGGTAAATAAAGCAAGATTTATTTTAATGCATTCAAATTGTTGAAAGCTAAGCCAGTGACGTTTAACTATATAAAGGTTTTTGCTAGCAAAATTTTACTAAACATTTATTTTGAAAAATAAAATTTCTTTTAGAAATAGCTCGAATATTATTGAAAAATTCAAAAGCTTATTTTTGTCAAAGATACTAAATGTCATAATTTAGTCAATTAAATATCTTTATTTTTGTTCCTTATTTTTATATAAAAAATCCAAATAAAATTACCAAACAGTCATTCATACTAATTAAATAAATTCAAATCCTTTTGTGTATTTATTTGAATAATAAAATTTAAATTTCATCTAAATTATTATTAGTGGTCTCAAAATGGAGATCAATTTTAGACCTCCAAATCATCTAAATCCCCCTCAATGAGCGAGCAAAACTATTTGAAAAATCCTTATTTTTTGGAAAAGTGAACAAACATTTTTATGAAAAAAACATTGATATTTCTGATTAATTTTAAAAGCCCTCGTTTTTAAAATATAAATTTGCAAATTATATTAATTTTTGCTTCTCAATTTTTACATATATAAATTTTTTATAAAACAATCCATGAGCGAACATAACTTTTTGTTCGCTCAAGGAGGGGAAGAGCAAGTTTTCTTCCCCGAAGAAATCCTTCTTTATCTTTTTTAAGTATATTCATAAAAATGGTGACGACGTGCCACCAGACCTCTCGACCTATTTCTTCAACGCTCGCAGGCAATGACCCCATGGTGGGAATTTAGGTGGAAAGGGGCCTGAAATCTTTTTTGTATATCGGGCTAGGTTTTAATCGGACCCTATGGAGCTAATCCGTGGGACTCGGCTTTTACCCACCAGAACAACCATTGGAAAGGACAAGATCGGCGACAGTCCCGAGTGGAAGCTGATTCCCTCGAACAGAATCGACAGATAGCATTTGTCCAACGAGAAATTAGGAGTTTCGACCCAGTGGTTGGCCCTTAGGCTCCAGAAGGCATAGAAAGTCAAGACTGGTCAGTTCGAATCCCTTGTTTGCGGCAACAAGGAGAGTTTTCTGCCGAAGCTCCTCGGGAGTGATGAGCGTGTAGGGGTGCAAATCCCGGTACCTGCTAGGCAAAAAGCTAATCTTAATCTGAATCTTTTTTAAGTGCAAGTTTACAGCTATCTCATCCTTCATGTCTAACTTTGATGCCTTCCTTTTATAACCAGTCCTCATAATAGAATTTAAATTTTCATTTAACTCATCAATTTCTCTTTGAGGCGTTACAATTCCTTCCATAAGCTCTTTATACATGTTGAAAATATCGGTAGTGCTGATGTTTTGAGCTGCAAAATTTGCATTTAAAAAGTTTCCGTATTTTATTAGAAAATCTGGAAAGCGTTTTACTAACTTTTCTTCATAAATTTCAATCTTTGCATTGAAATTTGCCTTTGTAATATAAGCTATAATATAAATAATTTCTTCGTTTGTGAACGAAAAGAAATTTTTAAACCTCTGCAATAGGATAGCCATCTCGCATATTTCTATGCAGGTTAAGTGGAAGAAGTTTGATGCAGCGCTCAACAACTCGAACAAATGAAAATTACTCATTAAAGAGTAGAGAGGATTCATAACAGAAATCCTTGATATAAGTTGCTGACGCGTGACGGTTATTTGCTTTTCGTATTTGACAGACAATAGTCTGTATATGCCTATCATTTTACCCATTAATTATTATGGTGTAAGTAATAGCGTTAATAAAGCAGTCAAAGAACCGAACAATTAATTAAATATAACTCCCCCCCATCCTTGATCGAACGACGGCGAGTCGTTCGATCAAGGATGGTGGTTAAAAAAAATTTTTTGGGAAAAAATTTTTATATATATAAAATAAATATATTTTGTTTTATTTACTTTTAAAATAAGAGTGTTAAGAGTATTTAATAATTATTTTTACAGCAAAAAAATTGAATTAATCTCATAAAAATACCAATTTTTAATATTTTGATTTATTAGTTACCCCTTTAAACTGTATAAATTTTAATTTATTTCTTATTAAGATTTTAAGATTTTAAGATTACGATAACACTTTGCCGACCCCCACTTAGCTTAGGATCTAGCAATACAAGCCCATCCTCCCTGAATTCCATCACTGGCTAACAGCTCTGAACAACGGTAGGTGGAATTGGCCTAACCGCCGAACCGTTACAGTAGCCTATGACCCAGATGTGTCTCTCTTCTTTCCTTGAATGTGTTTCAAGCACGAGCAGAACTGCCGAAGCAGTTCCAGCGCCAATATCCTTCAGAAAGTTTGAACTTCCCTCACTAGGATGACCTTTGGGGACAAGGACCCTAATTCATGCGCTCCATTTTTAATTGTGATTTCTTATTAAATTAAAATTTTTTTTTTAAAAATTTTAAAAGAATCTCTATTTTATTAGATTATTGAGGTTTTAAGCCTAGGTTGATGACTAAATCACTTCGAATGGTTGATTCCGAAGCTTTCTGTCGTCTCAAAGTCTCTGAAAACAACTTCATTATTACATCTTCCCAAGCTTTTGATAACTAATATATTTTTATATATATAAAATTTTGCATGATATGAAAATCGTTCGATCAAGGATGGGGGTTAATTTCCCCAATTTTTAGGAATTTTTACAGTCAATCATTCGATCAGGATGGGGGGGGGGAGTAAGAATAAAATAGAATTCTAGAATTTTATAAAGAATAAGGCCAAATAATTTTAAGAACTATTGCAAATAATTAAAAAAAAAGAACAATTGCAAGATTTTTAGCAGAGAAAAAATATTACTCCCTTTATAAGCAAACAAAAAAATTTTGTTAGCTTATGGTAGGGGTTAATTTTTTTATTTAAAAAATCCAATTCGAAATAATTTTAAAGCAAATCTATATTAATTTATGTTTTAAAATGCAAGCTGTTCAAAACTAAACAGAATAAGCTAGTGATTTTATTTTACTAACTATCACTTAAATATCAAAATTTTTTTATATAAAAAATTTTTTGTTCCAATGACTTTGTTTGTCATGGATAGGGGGAGGAGTTAGATTTTTTTAAAAAATCTTCTAAGCTTTTAGATTAAGTTTTAAGAGTCTAAAAGGCACCTCCTCCATAAAAGAACTAAGCTCGTAAAATTTCTCCCTTAAATAAGTGATAGTTTTATAATTTTCATCGGAATTAAGATGGTAAAAATGAATAAAAACTAGCAACTTTTGTTTAAAATTTTATCTTTATTCAAAGGGTAAATATCTGTATAACCTTCAATCTTATCTTATTAAGTCTATATCGTTTAACGTCTCCTACGGGGTTATACACCTCCTGCTACCACTGTTGCCGCTCTGGGACTTCCATATTCTAGCCAGGAAGGACTTTTTGAGGGAGGCCTCAAAAGGAGCCACTGGAAAGATTCCAACGTTCCGGCCTCGGCGGGTCGCCTGAACTTTCGCTACCATACTCAGCCTGGCTGTGTTCCAGCTAAAGGTCAACCATCTTTGGGTTTTCGAGCAGAAAAACATTATACCTTCCAATTTCCTAAGACCAGAAGTCCACTCACCATCAGGCTTCTGGTGCAGGCAGGATAGGATTCACCGTGAAAACTGAACCTCATAACCAAAATATTTCTGAAAGAGAAACAGTTAGCGGAGCTAATTAATTCGACAGAATGCCATATTTTAATTATGTATAATCTCCAATCAGTATTCATTATTTTGTTATAAAGGCTGCACTGGCATTTATCTAATTTTATTGTTTACTTTTATAGAGATATTATATAGAGAACTAAATAGATATAGAAGTAGATTATATTGATCAAGTATTTTTTTTTAATCTTTTAATTGTATGCCTATATTGATTTAGAGATCTTTATAGGCTTATTCAGCTTTAGCTTGAAACTGATTATTTTATATTACCTTTATCATAACAATTGATGATTGTTGCCTTAATAGCATGTCTTAGGTTGACGTAAGCCATTGTTGACATAAAATACTGGCGTGAGTTACAAAATAAGTTATATTGGATGGATTTTTGAATAAAATTAGTCTCATATTGCTTAGTTTTCGTTCAGTTAAGCAAATGGTGAAATATGGAATATCACCAGCCCTATCAAAAATGTGAAATCCTAATTAACTTTTTATTTTATTGAAAATCAAAGAAAAATTTAATTTAAGAAAACTGTCTAATTTAATAACTTGGAATGATTATTGATAAAAATTAATATAATTAGCTGATTAAATTTCTGATCGGCTCCCACGAGCCAAAGATGGATTTCACGCGTGAAAATCTAGAAATTGCACGCGGAAACCCATTTTTAGCTAGTGGGAGAGGTCAGAAATTAAGCCAAAAAATTATAATATTACGGACTTTAAATAAAAAAAAAACAATCAAATACTTTATAAAAATAATTTACTGAATTTTTATTTACTAACTCCCCCCCACTCCTGTGAGTGAAGAAAAAAATTTATATTTTTTATAAAATTTTTTCGAAGTTTAAAAAAATCTCACTTCTATAATTAATTTGTAAAATTTATGTTTTAAGAGATTTCATTATAATAATTATCACTTATATATCAATTTTTTTTCCATAAAAAATTTTTCTATTAAAAAAATTTTTGTTCACTCACGGAAGGTGGGTTTTTGGGCAAAAAATAAGGATTTTTTTAACGGTTTTGTTCACTCACGGAGTGGGAGGAGTAAGTAGAAATTTCTCAAGCCTCATCCATACTTTCCGCTGACCTATATTAAAAGAAATTGCTGATTAATTAAATTGTTTTAATGCAATAAAGACATTTGTGATTTTTTAACTTTTAATTAATTATTGCTGGCAGACATATTTAAATTTATACTTTAAATATATATATATATATATTACTTATTCAGATATGTCAATCTAAATATTTTAGACTTTAGGGTAGTAATCTTATATAAGAGAGCCTTATTAAAATATTTTTCGTAATTTTTTAAATGGGCTCGATAAATATGAAGTGTCAAAGGAAAAAGTTTATAATTTTTTAATAGGTTGAAATAAAAAATTCAAATTACCAATAAAGATAAAATCCTTTTTAGGCTCCATCAAAATATAAAAATTACTTTTTAGCTTTGTCCGCTTATCTTAAATAAAAAAATCCTTTAAAGCCAAAGCTCTCATTATACTGCTATTATAGATAAATTTGAATTTATTTATAATAGAAATTACCATCCAATTTCTCGTCAAATATAAATGTCATCCAAGCCAATTTCAGGTCGCATAAGTCCTACAATTTTAAAGCCAAACCCAATTAAAAATCTATCACAAAAAGGCAATGTAAAATCATCTCAAAATTCTGATCATATCAGCTCTATGAATAACCAAAGAATTAACACCTCGCATTCTCGACATCGGGTTTTCCAGTTTCCAAAAACTCCTTATCAAAGCAATTCTTGAAAAACAGGGAAATATTACACTAATTCAGGGATTTATAACGCAAATGTCACAAAAACTAATTCGTATACTACGCTACCTTCAAATACAACTCGAACTGAGAGCAGAAGTTCTTATTTAAGTCAAAATTTTTCATCAGCTTCATTTGACTTGCCAAGGATCCAAGAAAAGAGTTATCATGCCAATAAAGAGTCAACAGAAGGGTGAAACCCACTTGTGAGGAAAAATTCTATGATAAATTACCATAGCAGCGATTATAATCCAATAACCCTTGCTAGTGTCCCACCTCGTCCTCCAACTACTACTTCTCATAGACAAGGAGGTTTTTGTGAATATCTAGACCATTGCAAGCTCAATAACAAAAAACTTGACAATAATTACCAAGAAACACTTAAAGCTAACCCCCGAGCCTTTTTCAAAAAATCAGGAGAATTTACTGAACACAACGTAAACTGTCTAAAATTAGGAGGGGTTGGACCGTTTTATACACCTCCAACTCTGCTTAAAAACAAGTAAAAATTAAATTTATTTTCTACTAACTTTTCTTAAATTTTCTTCTATTTTTTGCACTCGATTTTTGTCAGCGACTACATTTTTTTTGAGTTCTGACAAGCTATTTTTTTGTTCCCTTACTCCCATTCCGTGAGCGAACAAAAACATTTTGTTCTCTCATTGAGGCGATTAATTTATTTTTTTTTAAAATTCATATATAAATTTTATAGTTAGTGACACTGACTATATAAAAATGTTTTTTTTAAAATTAAAAAAATTTCAATTTGTAAAGAAACAAAAATTATATTTTAAAATGCAAGCTGCTTAAAAAAGGGTTGATTTTTGGGCAAAAAGTAGTGATTTTTCCAATAGCTTTGTTCGCTCACGGAAGTGGGAATTAGCAATTTTAGAATATCGTTCATCTTTGCATCTGGGATTTTCAAAGCTGGAACTGATCTTAATTCATTTGTATTGAGTTTTTCAAGTTTTGATTTAATTTCCAGCTTTCTATTAATATAATCAATTTTAGCTCAAAGTTTTAATTCAGCCCCAGAATTTCTTTGAAGCGCATTTTTTGATTCTAAAAATTTTTCTAGTTTTTGTCTAGTGTTGCATAGCTTTGTGAAAAGTTTATTTTGGCCTTCTTCTATTTTACGTAAACGTTCTGAAGCTTTAGATGTCATTTCAATTTCTACTTCTCTAAGATCTGTCTCCATTTTGTCTAAAGTTTCAAGAAATAAACCAGTTGTGGCAAGATCTGTTTCAAGCCTATCCGAAAGCTGCTTACAAGAGTTAATTTGTCAAGGGTATAAGTGCTCTGGGTCTGGATTTTTAGTTAAAGCTTCATTAAGAAGAGCCCCATCTGTCATAAAATATTCTTGCTTTTCATTAGGCTGATATCTATTAGAATGAAGCAGGTGAATATTGTAATTCTTGGGAGCCATATTATAAAGCATCACTTTAAACCGATTTTGAGGATTATAAGGGTGTATGGCTGCAGCAATTGTGTTTAGCTCGTTTGCTAGCTCTGATTCAGGATTTGAATACATTTTTAATTTAAAATATGAATAAATAGGAAATAAAATTATGCGAAAAGCTAATTATATTAAAAATTTTAAGAATTTTTGATTTATTTAAGCTTAGATATTTATATAGAAAATTATAAACTATTAAGTTAGATTTTATAATTTCTTGTAAAAATGGACTCAATAAATGTGGCCTATATAAATTAATCCATTAAAGGAGCATTTTTGATAAAGAAAATCCTATGCTATGATGATAATCACATTGCCAGATTTTATGACGAAAACGTATCTGATTTTATAATTAATGCATCTGCATAATTTTGCATTTATTTAGAATTTTTTATGATAGGGTAAAATTCTTCAATACTCTGCATTGGCTTGTCTTTTGTTTATTGCGCCAATAAAAACCTATAGAATTTATTGATTTCAGCCAATCTAAAGCTTTGCATAATTTCTATCATAATTCCATGTTGATTAAATATGAGGCTTATAATATATAATTTGCGTAATGATGAATATATAAGGGCTCCCTCTACTGCACACTAATGATTCCTTATTCTGATTTATTGACTTCTTATGATGATTTTTTTAGTCCTTATCTACACCAGAATAATGACGAAAAAATTATCTGAAAATAAAATTTTTCCTTTAAAATTATCAAAACATGCTTTTTGTATACAAAAGTAAAAAATTAAACATTAACTCACTCCCCCCCCCCCCTCCGTGAGCGAACAAAAAAATTTTTTTCACTCACGGAGGGGGGTTAATTTTTTTTTTAAAAAAAATTTATATATAAATTTTATAAAAAAATATTTTTTTCGAAAATTAAAAAAAAATCCTAATTTGCAAAAATTGGGAAGCAAATACTAATTTAATTTGCAAAATTTATGTTTTAAAACGCAATTTGTTTAAAATTAAACAGAATTAGCTCTAGATTTCATTATACTAATTATCACTTATATAGCAAAATTTTTTTCCATTAAAATTTTTTCTATATAAAAAATATTTTTGTTCACTCACGGAGGGTGGGTTTTTGGTCAAAAAATGGCGATTTTTCTAATGGTTTTGTTCGCTCACGGAGGGGGGGGGGGGAGTCAGTCTTTTATTATAATTTCCTCTATAAATTATATGCAATTGCAAGAGTGTATACTAAAAACATGAGATTTCAGTAATAATTTACTTTTTAGATAGAATACTTACTCCCTCCGTGAGCGGACAAAAACTATTGGAAAAATCTTTATTTTTGCACCCTTCGCGACCGAAAAAAAATAAAATGTTTTATGATATATATAAGTAAAAATTATTATAATAAAATTTCTTGATAATTCTGTTTGATTTTAAAGAGCTTAGGTTTTTACAAATAAAATTAATATTTTGCTTTAAATTATTTCAAATTTTTTAAATTTAAAAAAAAAATTACTATAAAAATTTGTATTTAAATTTTTTAAAAAAAGCTAAAATTTTGCTCGCTCATGAGGGAGTTAATACTTAACTAAATGGGTGAACATCTAGGGTCACTTAATGCTTTTTTAGCTGTCCCTGTTTATGATTCTCAAGTATCTTACGGATTTAAACCTCTTAAATCAACCCGGAATACTCCTAGTGATCTCAAAATTAATTCAAAATTATCCACAAGAGCATCATCTCGCAGGAGAAATAATAGTTTACGCGATCAAATAGATTTATCATCAAGAGACTATGAAGATTTTCCAAACGGCTACTCATATCGTACCTATCCAAAAGACATTCAATCAATTATCAATTCAAATTCATGTCAAAAATTTCCTAAAAAGCCAAAATATAAACGGCCACATTCCGAAATCCCTGATTATTCCTATATTGAAAGCCGAGTCCAGTCCTTCAGAAATACTGAAGAATACGAAGTTCCGCTACCAATGGACATTCCTCTTCGAGATCGTGTCAAGAATGAGCTTCTAATGAGAAATTATCATCATATCATAAGAGCAATGAGAAAAACCCAAAAAGAAGATGAAGAAAATAAAATAAAAGAGTCTATTGTCAATAATTCAGTTTTTGATAGGCTTTCTCATAACTATAGACACCCGACAAATATTATATCGCCACCTCGTATTAGATTTAAAAAAGATTCAGACGAAATCACAGGGGTTTTATACAAAAAAAGAGTCGCTTTATGCAAAAATCTCGCCATTTCAGTGGATAAATGGAAAAAGAAGCGATTTTTAATCACCCCAGAACCGAACGTAAAAACGAGAATCTCGAAAATTTTAAAAGTATGGTAAATTAGTTATTAATATATTGTAGTGTATCCATTGTCTGATTCTATACAATTTTGCTCATAGGCTGTGGCCATACTTGCTTCTAATTCCATAGCTTGTTCGTATGGTACGTTTAATCTAGCACGTTCTTGCTGCAAAAAGGAAGATCTGTCTAAAAATGAAGAAGCATAAGAATCTTCAGTAGACAGAGAATCTGAATAATGATGAGTTTTTGCTTTAGGCAAGTGATCTGCTATAAGCAGAAAAAGCACTAGGTTAAACCGCTTTGAGCTTAAACGGCTTGGGACGATTTTTAATTCAAGAAGTTTAAGAGATGGGATGGCTTTCCATAGTTTTTCTTTTATTTCTTTGTGTTGAGATGTCAACTCTGAATATTAAATACCAAAGAGTTCTGCAGCTTCTTCTGTGATAGGAAACTTTATAATTGTGAGAGGATCATCAGATAGTATCATCAGTTTTTCAAGAAGGTTATCATACTTAACAAAATATTCTATCATTAATTTTATTTAACTTATCATCTAGAATTATATTAGATAATTTTAATAAATCAGTATTTTATAGAAGAAAGCCAGTAATATGTTATTACTATCTATAACGCTTTAAGTCCACTACAGGGTAGCCTAATCCAGAGCTGCCACCATATTTATCCACGTGAGGGGCCCATGGACCTCTGGACCGATCACTTCGATTCACCAGGGCACAGGGTAAATACGATGTTCCGGCTTCGACTGGCTGTGCTGCCTTGCCTCCTCCTCTACTCACCTCCTGCGCGTGCTCCGCCTGAGGTTCATCTTTTTCGGGTGTGTTGAGAGGTAAAACTTCAAGCCTCTTGATGTACTTGGAGCAGTGCCTCGGCTTATCTGCCAGATTTAAATTGCTATTGCTGTACAGAAATTCTCAGAAGAAAACCTAACCCCATAAATAAAATTGCTTGAGGGAGAAAAAATTAGCGGAGCTAATTTCACTCGAACTGAATGCCGTTTTATTTATTATAGAAAAAAAGCCGATAATATGTTTCTTTAACTTTTTATTTATCCATGATTATACTGATAATTCCTCATAAATACTTTATATTATTAACAAACATTTAATTAGCAAATTTTCGATTAAGTATTAATCTTTTTTTTAATGGCTGAATAGCGTTAAAAGCTCTCTTTTATTGACTTTTCCATTAGCATCAACTGGAAGCTGATCAACTTGCTTAATAACCCTTGGTATTTTATAGCTTGCCATTCTCATTTTGCACCAACTTTGAATGTCATGTAAAGTAATATTCTTCTTGCTTTTTACTACAACTCCTATGATTTCTCCATACTCATAATTTGGGACTCCAAGAACTGCAATTTCTTGGACATCTGGGTGCTCTTTTAGCTCTTTTTCCATGTCTTCAGCTGATACTTTGTATCCAGCAGTCTTTATCATATCCATACTTAGCCTGCCACATATTTTATAATCTCCAGTCTGAGGGTCTATTTCAGCGATATCTCCAGTCTTAAACCATCCTTCTTCATCGAAAGCTTGCTGAGTTGCGGTCGGATTATTGAAATATTCTTTAAACATCCCTGGAGATTTTATCTTTAGCTCGTTTCCATCAATTTTTGCTTCAACTTGTGGAAGAGGCTTTCCTACCCACCCAGGCCTTCTCGTCCCATTTAATGGGTTGCATATAACGATTCCTGTTTCTGTGAGCCCATATCTTTCAAGCAGAGTATGGCCTGTCGCTTTTTGCCAATCAGCCCAAACTTTTTCAGATAAAGCATAAGCACCTGAGACCATTAATCTATCCTTTTTATCTATATTTTTTGCATTTTTTTTTTTAAAATTATTTTTTATTTCTATTTTAAATTAAGTTTTTTTTTCTTTTTTAGTATTATAAATATAATTTAGTCTAATATAAACTTTTTGCACTCATTCAAAATTTCAGCTTTATCATTATTATTCATATAATTTCATTCCTGTAGTAGCCTTGTATAAATTGTAGGCAAAGCGCTAAAAATGGTGAGTGATTTATTTCTTTTTATTTCTTTCCATGCATTTAATGGATCAAATCTTTGGTGAAATGTAATGCTTGCCCCAGACCATAAGGCACTTAAGAGATTATTAATGCTATGCACATGATGCAGCGGCATCACTTCTAGAAAATTATCATTTTCATTCCACCCCCATGCATCTACAAGACTTTTTACTTGGAATTCAATTTTCGCATGGGTCTGCACTGCGCCTTTTGGCTTTCCTGTCGTTCCAGACGTATATAAAATTAATCCGTCACTTTCAGTGGTCACGTTAAATGTATTATTTATACTTTTTTCTTCTTTAGCTATAAAATCGCCAATTGGAATAATTTTTACTCCAGCATTTTCAGCGACTGAGCCAAGTTTTGATAAGAAACTACCATGACAAATAACAAACGCTGGTTTACAATCATTTACGACGTACTGCCACTCTAGAGGTGGGCTCTGTAAGCAGAGTGGGACTACAACACCTCCAGCCTGCCAAATTCCCCATTGACAAGCTAAATATTCATAGCTTTGAGGTGTCAACAATAGGCTCCATGCCAAGTTTCAGTGTATTTTTGATAGTGTGCATTCATTGAATTATATTTGGTCGAAAATTTTTACATAATGCGGCATTTGGTCAAAATTTAACCTTTTTTTAGTCAAATGTCCCACTATCAAAAAGTTTCAATCAATTTTCTACCAAATGTACTTCTGTGAAATGCACGATCATTGGACCCTCAACAATACAACCCTTTCTCCTTTCATATCACTTTTCTGTGATAGCAGCTTTCCACTCACAAAATTTGCATGAGTTAGTAAGTCTCCATATGTAAAAGTTCTCCCTCTACAAAACACAGCGTTTCTAGCAGAAAACCTCGCAGCTCTTGTGATTAGTTCCATAATTATTTTTAAGCTAAAAGAATCTAGTTACTTAAAGACCAGCTTTTTTAGCAGCTTCTTGGGCTATCAATTTTTCTTTTCTTTCAATTCTTTGTTGGCTTTTGACTCCAAGAATACCACCACCCCACTTGGCAACATCAGGATTTTCGTTGAAAAGAGATCTAGCATTTTTTGTGATAAGTTCCAAATCATGGACGTCTTCTTTTCTTACTTCTGTAAGGGCTACTGCTGTACATGTCTTTTTGTGGGTTAAAGTGCCGAGTCTTGATTTTCCTTTTACAATGCAGTATGGGACATCCATAGTTCTGCACAGCTGTGGAAGCCAAAGAACGAGCTCAATAGGATCTACGTCGTGGGCAATCACTACAAGCTTGGCTTTTTTGCTTTCTACAAGACTGGTGATTTGGTTAAGCCCGTATTTAAGCAAAAATGGCTTAGTTTTTTGTCCTTCACCTTTGGCTTCAGCTTCAAGTCTTTTCTTTTTCTCTGCACGGGATTCTGGTCTGTATTTAGCAAGGAGTCTGAAAAGAGCCATAGCTTGTGCTTTGTCAAAAGGGCTGCTAATTTATTTATATTCCCTGTAATTAATTTTTTTAAAAAAATATAAAAAAATCCTAAATAATTTTTTTTTTTATAAAATAATAGACGTCAAAAGTAGATCTGAACTGATTAATTGGTGGTGGGACCTTAAGGCGTGATAAAAGAACACTTCTCTTTCGTTGAAGTTGAATGTACTCAGGCCAACGAAGATAATGATAAAGATCGCGCTTTGGCTGTATGCTGCCTCCAATTCTGAGGTTACGTTCTTTCTTTGCGTATAATGGGTTTGTTGGTTCTTTTGAGGCGGAAGCACTCTTCTTGCCCTGTTTTTTAACCATTATTATCCACTCTTTTGCTATTAAATTTACCTAGAAAGGACTGATTTAGCTAGAAACTGAGAAGAAAAAGGTATATTACAAGGTCATTAAAGTTTAATTCATTTTTATAGGTGAGAAAAAGTTCTGAGGCACTGAAATGTGTTTTTTCATTTCAGCCATATCTTCAATGGTCGATTCTATCTTGTCAAGATGCTCATAAAACCGATTACGAATAGGAGCTATACTTATTAAGGTAAATAAAATGATAAAAAATTTTTGGTAATTTTATTTATTTAATATGGAATATATGAATATTTGGCCTTGGAAGGTCATTTTTTTGGACACTCCGGAGAGGACGCTTCAATCGCTCTTTTGTCAGCATAAAAGTTTGCTTTGGGGTCGATTTTTCAGTGACGTTGATATTCTCTTTAAAAATACTGGAATTTCGGTGCTTTAATTTGAGAAGATTGGAGATCAAGGTGCTGGAAATTTTTTCTCGACGGTCAGCTGAGGTACCTCTGCTGGTTTCAGAGGATTTGTTAATTTGAGAAGTAGAGAGTTGAAGAGTGAGGTTGCTGCCGGTTCTAGATCTTGTTATTTGAGGTCTTAATGTATCTGCTCGAGGCCTTATACGGCTCATTTAAATTTAAAAATGGTTGTATATGAATTAGATTTTTTTATACTAATAATAAGAAAATTATCTATCAAAATATCAATTTAATTCAAAATTAGCATATTTCGATTAATTAAATAGAAAGCTTGCGCTTTTTATAAGGGCAGTCAAAAATCTCCAAAGTCCTTTCTAAATACTTGGAATAGCTTTTATACTTTTTCAAATCCTGCTTTGTTTTTGATACTAAAACCTCATTCAGCAACTCCTCAGCTGTCGGCCTATCAGCTGGATTTTTGCTCATCATTTTTTTCACTGTCTTTTTAATCTCTGCAGAAAATCCTCCAGGAATATTAAAATTTCCATCCCGAATATCATGCCATTCTTTTCCATTCCCAGGAAGCTCTTCATCTCTCATTATTTCTAACATAGTCGCTCCTAATGAAAATATATCCGCCTTTGTGAGGTCAGGAATTGATTCAGGGTCGTTTGGCATAATATTTAATAATTCCTGAGCTAAATATCGATTATCACCTTCAGGGACTTCGCCTGATATATTTGTGGTGATTCTTGCTAGTCCTAAATCAGCTAATTTGAATTTGTGTGTAAAACTATATAAAATGTTTTCTGCCTTGATGTCTAGATGGACGATATTTCTTGCGTGGAGTTTTTTTAAGCCTTTGCATAGATCTCGCATTATTTTTCGGAGTTCTTGCTCAGTGATTTTGCCTACTCTTTCTATATAGCTTGATAAGCTGCAATCACAAAGTTCCATAGACACAAATAAATTGTCTTTTTCGATCCAAACACTATGATATCTAATGATATATGTGTTATCGTCAAATGAAGACGACGCAGCTAAGGTTAAGGCTTCTTGTAAAGCTTTATCTCGAGCTGCTTTATTTTTTCTTGTCATAGGGACTTTTTTCACTGCGTAAAGCAGCCCGTCAAGCCTGTGTCTGCATTGAAAAACAGTTCCAAAGCTTCCTGAGCCTATTGTATTTAATTCAGTAAAATCTTCATAGTATCTTGATATACCTTGCAAAGGGAATTTTATCATTATAAATATTTATTTATAAAATATTCCCTTATTTTTCTCAGTCAATATACATTATAATCATCTTCCCAATCACTTGCTTGGTTTTCTTTGCCAAAATAATACTTATTTCCCCCGCTTTTTGCACCTAATGGAGTATTGTGTGAGCGTAATCGATTTTCTATATCATGAATTGGCGTTGCTGGTGTCTGAGGGGTTGAAGCTCCTGAAGACGAGTATTTTCCATCAAAAAGTTTGTCGCTACGCCTTCATCTCTTTATAAAGCTTTCTTCTGGTATATTTAGAGATCCAGGTCTAGTAATAGTAGCGGGAGTATTCGGATTTGAGGGCGAATTTTTATTTTTGCTATCTTGAATAAACCACTTTAGCATTTCTCGGCACTTTTCAATTTCAATATCGCGGTCTTCCATTTAATTATAAACTTGCGCCAAAATTCCAAATTTTACGCGAAATTCATCATGTGGTTCGTTACGCAGGTTACTTAAAATGGATTATAATTAATTTTTTGTGTAAAAAGGGATATTTTTGACGTGATTATATTTAATTTTTTTTTGATAAATTATTTGTTTAATTTTAATTTAGAGAAAAATATTACAAATTTGGTGGAAATGCAATAAAATTTAATATAAACTAAAATAAATGCTAAATATGATAGTTCAAAACAAAAAGAGGTTTCTAATCCTCCTATCTGCAGGGCTAATAGTTACTACTGTTATAATTATACTGATATATTGTATTTTCAGCTGAATTGCATCATTGATTTCTTGACCTATTTCTCTGCTGCTATTTATCCTTTTGCTATATTACCTACTTCATCTCTCTATAAGGCTCTCAGTTTTCCCAGGCTCCACATGGCTATGAAGACGCTCTATAGAGTCTCATTTTTGTAAACAAATATCAATGCAGCTTTTAGCACGAATCCAAGACCTTCATATTGCTTTAGAAATCTTGCTAGACGAATGCAATGAAATCGACAAAAGGGAATTTCTATAGAGGCTGCCTTTGAGTAGCGCTCTAAGCGCCCGAGACTTCCCGACGAAGTCTGGGCGGTGGTTTGACCAGCTGATGTTGGTCAAACCAACATCCAAAATGACAAATTCTTCTTATACAGAAGGTTTGTCAAATTGGATGCTGGTTCGACCAACATCAGCTGGTCAAACCACCGCCCAGACTTCGTCGGGAAGTCTCGGGCGCTTAGAGCGCTACTCAAAGGCAGCCTCTATATCAAACTCAGCAGATGCTACAAATAATGCCAAATTGCTGCTTATAACTGCTATTTATGGGTTTAATTTGCAAAAAGAAAACCAAACTATTACCCGAAAGCAGGAAATTTTGCTGAATTTTTTGGTAAGTTTGCAATGCTCATTGCAGGAAATAAAGATTATTCTTGAGAATAAGGAAGAATGCTCGATGTGGGACTGGATTGATACAATAGAAAGTGAGGCAGATTGGCTTGGGGTGGTTTTTGGGGATTTTCCAGTTAACGCGTCTGCGAGAACTGCGTTAGGTACTTGTATTGATATAGAATGTATACTACAATCAAGCTATGAAGGTAAAAATATTATTGAAAAAGCAAAAAATTTTTTATGGGATGACACCTTTGGGACTCTTGACCAGATGAGATTATAATAGACCTGACTATATTTTATATTAAATTATTTGCAAAATTGCATAATTTCTATAAGAAATAATCAAGAAAATATGTAAATATATATAATTTCAAATAAAAATGAATAGAATTAGAAGCAAGATATCACTCTCAGCAGATATGAGTCACAGCTGACGATGGAATCAATATAGATTGCTTATGAATTTCCTGCACAGCTGATTTATCCTCAGCCCCCGCAATGCTGATGTGCAGCCCTAATGCTGGAATTTATGAATTTTCCTATTACCAAAGTGACTGAATTGATTTTTACATAAACTTAGGAATTAGTGTATTTTTATGAAATTATAGAGGGTATGGCAGAACCAAAGGAAATCCAACCCCTGACAGACTGAAAAAAGATGGAGAAATCATATTAGATTATTTAAAAAAAATAAGAAAAGTCGAAAAAATCGGAATTCATGGGGAAAGTTTTGGAGGGTGTATTGCAGCTAATTTAGCCAGAAAATTAAATGTCCAGTTTGTATTCCTTGACCGATGTTTTTCTTCTTTAAATGAAATGGCTTTTTATAACTTTGGAATTGTCGCAAGCTATATTTATAAATACATAGGCAGATGACATGTAGACGTAACCTCTGATTTTATAAGTTGTGAATGCTATAAAATTCTTGCCGTCGACCCTCAAGATGGCACAATTCATGATCTTGCTTCTCTAAAAACAGGCATAGCTCTCGAAATCATCAAAAAATCCCACGAAATCCCAAACTCCCAAGCAAAATTTGATATAAATTCTTATGATTTTATTTTATGTAAAACTGATATTGATGAGCTATTAGTCCATATAGACACTTTAATGAAGCTTGCAGTCAAATATTTAAAAAGTGACTCAAATACACAATTTTCTTTAAATATCACTGCAAATAGCCAATATCAATTAATGGTCAAAGAGTCTGATTGTATAGAAGATGACGTTGTTTCTTATGTGCTAGAAAAGCTTTTTGGGGTTTTAGATGTTTTAGATGCAGGAGGAAAGCCGATTGCCAATATTGTTTTTGATAAAGACAGGAAGTATTCTTTGAATTTGTGGCTTATTGTGCTGGAAATATGAGGAAGCTATTTGCCGCTAAATCCTGATATAAATGATTATGCTGGGAGGACGATACAAAAAATAAAAAATACAATAGAAGAGATGGAGTCTATTTATGCGGAATATGAAATAATATCAAATCCAACGGTAGTCATTATTTGTAATGAAATTAAAGCAGTGGAAAAATTATTATACAAAATTCTTGATTATTTTCAAACAAATAGTTCTCATCAAATGAAGGCAATAAGCCAAATTTCGTCTGAAATTCTTACAACAACCTCTAGAACTAATGATTTCTCTAGAGCTGGATATCTAATTCCAATCTCCTGTGGGCACTCAGGAAATTATGATGACGCTGAAAAGCTGCTATTAGAAGAGCATCTCATTCAAGTAGGATTTATAAAAAATTAATTGTAATCTTTAAAAATGGACTCTCATCTAATACAGGCAAATGTTGATAGATATAAAGAAGGCGACAATTCAGTCATTTATTATGAAGTCAGAGTCTTTTGTAGATTAAATGAAGCGTATTGGAAAGTTGATATACCAGCCTATTTATTTTTTAAAAAAATATGGATATTTTTAATATAAAAAATAAATTAATATATTTGAAATAAATAGAAAAATTTTTAAAAGCAGAATATATCTATTTCTATTCATATAAATGGGCATAATATATAATAGTATAAAAGATATAGCGAGTTCGAAGCACTCATGAAAAAATTGTCAATTAAATATCATGATATCCCAAGCTTGCCTGTAAAAGGGTTTTGGCAGAAATACAGCTCAACATTTTTAACAAAGCGTCAAGACGGAATTAATGATTTTTTAACGAAAATTTTATTGAATAAAGATATAGTACAGTCTGGAGAATTAAGAGAATTTTTAGAAGTAGAAAGACATGTACCGGACTGGAAAATAAACTCTCCAAATCAGATTTCTGAGATTTTACTAGAATTGAAGCCTGCTGAAATTGTAGCCAATAATAATCAATTGGTTATTGGTGCCAGTAGTCAAGGATTGATTAATACAATGAACAAACATATCAGAAGTATAGGATTAAGCGAAGGGTCTTCCACTTCAAGCTATGCATTATTCCTATTATCTCCTGAGGAAGAAAAAACATATGCATTTCTCTATGAATAGCTTTTTTTTAGCATTATTATTATTGCTCTATTATTTCCTACAAGAAATAATGTCTTGCTTTTATAGGAAATTTTTTCTCATTTAATATAAAAATGCATATATAATGAAATGTGAAGAATTCCTTCAGCTCTTAATATTGAATGCATCTGCTGAAATGAAAATTTAACTATTTTGGCTTACGGGACTTATGAAGGATTTGTATATTGTTATTTACTCCCCCTTCCGTGAGTGAGCAAAACCATTGGAATCCCTATTTTTTGCCCAAAAACCCACCCTCCTTGATGAACAAAAAATTTTTTTATGAAAAAATATTTTTGATGTATAAATGATAATTATTATAATGAAATATCTAGTTAATTCTAAACACCTTGCATTTTAAACATAAATTGTACAAATTAAATTAATATTTGCTTTAAAATTATTTCGAATTGGGATTTTTTTCAATTTTGAAAACTATAAATTTATATATATAGAAATTTCCCTTAAATGGCGCAGTTTGCCCTTGATTTACCCACTGAAAAAAATTTTTTGGTTCGACGAGTACCATATGGTTTGGTCAAACCAAAAAAAATTTTCAGTGGGCAAATCAAGGGCAAACAGTGCCATCTATGGGAAAATTCTATAATTTTTCTTAAAAACAAAATTGACCCTCCTTTGTAAGCGAACAAAATTTTTTTGTTCGCCCACGAAGGAGGGGAGCTAGTAAAAACAGAAATTGGATGCAGTCAATACGAAGAGTTCTGTGAGTATCATATCCATGGTGGAAAAATCATAGGAATTGCTATTAACTATAGAAACTCTTATATGTACACATGCTCAGAAGACAAACGATTGGTCGTCACACAGCTAAATGGGCAAACAGATACTAAAGATATAACAATATCTAATAAAAGGCCTGTATCAATGAAATGTGATTTTATTAAAGAAAGGGTTTATATAGGAACCAGTAAAGGAAGTGTCCATATTTTTGACATTTCTCAATTCCAGCCAAGAGGAATCATAGTCGTTGAGACAGATTTGCCTAGCGATTTGTCTGCTTTATGCGTAAAAAATCATTCCCTTATTATTGCAGGTTCTACCAGTGGAGATGTCTGTGTATATCAACAAGGAGAAGGAGAAAGAGAAACTATTCATAGATTAGTGATAGGATTTAAAGCAAAATCACAGATAAATTCTATTGTATATTCTAAAGGAAGGCGTGAAATTATTGTAGGAACTAGTGAAGGGGTTATAATTGTATGAAATTCTGCTAATGGAAAATTAAACTATGCATGGACAGCTCATGATGCTGCTGTTTCTACGATGACTTGGGTAGAAAAAACTGGAATTTTATATAGTGGATCAAATGATGGGTACGTGAAAATATGAAGATTGCCGAATACGTGGTGCAATGCTAATTTAAATGTAGCACAAAGTGATGAAATGGTGTTTCCTAAAAGAAAAGTTAAAAAAAAGGCAAATGAGCAGATGGAAAGAGAATTAGATGATTTGTCAGGCTTAAAAAGATAAAGTATTAGATAAATTAATGATTTTTAAAATGGTTTTTATCATTTTTTAGTTATTAGAAGCAAAGACAGAAGAGAATAGAAGCTTCTAAAAATATATGTAAAAACATTTCTTATTATTAAAGCATCAGTTTCAAAATATTTCTTAAATAATAAATTAATTATAATATATCTAATGTCAAATCAATTACACCAATAACTACCCCTTTTTTCCATACAAAATAGGATTTTGGCATGCTCTATCTCTAATAACCGAACTCAGCTTTTTCTCTATTTTCATCTGTTTGTCCAGCTGTGCCCCAAGTATTCCTTTTAATTTCATCGGACTAATCTTTTCTTTAACTTTCAAAATTCCTACTTTTTCAGGTAGTTTTTCAGTCTGGCTCATATTATCTTCAAAAAAACTCCTCGAAATTTCTCTGCTTGATCTTTTCGAAGCACTATCCGTTGCTGTATCCGCAAAAGAAACATTGGCTCTCGTTTTCGTTGTATTTTCCATATATTCTTTAAGTGTGGGTATATCAGATTCAACTTCTGGCTCAATAAAATCATTAGGTTTTGCTAAAAATTTAGGAGTGGTTTTGTTTGATCGAGGGGTTGACACAATAGATACTGGCGTTGATAAAGACTTTAAGCTTATATGAAACTTAGGTATTTCTGGTTTAACTAGCTGAAAAGATACTTTTCTGTTTGATAACGGAGGCTTTGTATTAATTTGCAGCTGATTTGTGGAAGATTCTGTTTGTATTTTTCTTAATGAATTTCTTTTATTGATTTTTGCACTTTGAAGTGTAATGTTTAAAGTGTTTCCTGCTTTAATAGAAACTGCACTTCTGCTTGTAGATAAACTGTTGTCTCTTTTATTCGGCTCACGAGATAGAACTCGCTTTAAAAATGACATAAAAATTTTGATGATATTTTCGAAAAAAATATGAATAGTTCAAAGCTATTCTCCTTAATTTACCCAGCAAAAAATTATTGACTAACTTTTGGCTTTATTCATAAACAAAATCATATTAATTTCTTATAAATTTATACCAATGTCATTATAACTGAAATTAAAAATCCACACAAGATTTCTCCTCCATCTAAATTCAGCATTGTATTTGCAGGCTTCGTATCAGTTTTCCATTTAAGTGTCACCACACTTGAGTCATCTAATAAGTCTGGATATCCTGGCAATGAATTTCCACAAGTGATATACACGTTATAATGAGTGTCAGCTTCAAGCCCTTTGAATGTCAAACTAGTCACCACCCCTGCGCTTACTGTGCTTTTTGCATTTAAAACTGGCCTATTTGCTCTATCATGTCCAGCTACAATTTGTTGAGAAAAAGGCGTCCCTGTGTCTGTATCACTTGCTACGGCAACTCCAAAAATAATGCCACTGTCATAGAGACTGGCTGAAAAAGAAATTATTGAGTAGGTGTTTGTACCTAATAAGGATGGGGATTGTTTAAATTGACAGCCAGCAATATTAAGGGCGTTCCCTGTGATAGATCTGGTGGTGTCAAAATTAGTCAAAAGCTCCCCAAGCTTAGTTTCTGCGGAATTAAGCATAGAAACCATGCTTCCAGGTTCAACATAAGTATCATAAGCAGGATGATCTAATAAATATACATTTAAAACGGTTCTTACTGTATCAGAAGATGAGGAAAGCCTTCTTGTAGTTTCATTTTGAGTATTAATTACAACTCTTCAAGGATGCAAACTTAGCACTAGTGCTATAGCTTCTTGGGCTAGTGAAAGCTCTACAGTCGTCAAATAAGTCTGAGCGAACCACAAATTGGCTGTTGCTGGCTTATATCTTGACAATGTTTCAAAGTCATAACTTCCTACAATTTTGCTATTTTTATCAGTCAAGTCTTTCGCCATATAAAAAAGGGTATATAGAAATTTCCCATAGATGGCGCTGTTTGCCCTTGATTTGCCCATGAGGAAAATTTTTTGGTTTGACCAAACCATATGGTACTGGTCGAACCAAAAAATTTCCCCAGTGGGCAAATCAAGGGCAAACAGCGACATCTATGGGAAATTTCTATATTTCGTTTGGGCTAATAAGCTTGATATTGTTATATAAGCTGCACTGTTTTGATACATATACACTTTTCCATAGACAGTCTGAGTAGTATTATAGCTAGGCGGCCCTGCTTGTATGAGTTCTGTGAAATTAGGAGTAATAGTCCCTTGTAGTGCAAATGCGTAATAAACTGTGCATACTTTGTTGGTAGTAATCATAGCAGTTGTTGATGTCCTTGTGAATTTTTGTATAGAAACCCCACTTACTACAGGCAAATCTGAGTCGTCTCTAAATATATTAAAAGTCGTAGTGTTTGACTGCAAACTATAGACTTTAGAATTCGTCCCAATTAACGTCAAATATATAGGACACCACGCAAGAATAGTATCAGTGCTTACATAGACAGTAAAATACCCCAAATAAGCGCCTTGAGTAAACTCTATTTTGTCAGGCACGATTTTTATCCCATAATTTTGAGTTCCAACTGATAAAATAATACTGGCATCACTATAAGGCGCCACACCTATATTAATCTCTATAGGCAAAGAATGCCCTCCAGCTGGAACAGGTGGGATCGTAGCTATTGTGATAGGATAAGTCACGTTTTGAGTAACTGTAAAAAAAGATTTTAGTATAGGAGTATAATAAGGCGGGGAATAGTCTCCAAGAATTGTCCATTGGATTGTATATTCTTTATCTCTGGTACCTGGAGGAGCACTGACACGGAATTGCTGGTTTGAGTCACCTGTAGATAAGGAAATACTAGTAGGGATAAATGTGAAGCCTTGTGAATAAGGAATTAAAGTTAAGTTAAGACCACATGGGTAACTAAGGGCGATTGGGATAAAATCTGACATTGCTCCACTTTGGACTTCAAATGGGTTGTTGCTGTTTACTGTTATTAGTGGTCCTGGATATGAAAAAACAGCACGGTTAGGGTTTAGGTTAATAAATGAGCTCATTGTCAAAATCCGGGTGTAGCCGTCGTATACTTGGACACTGATATATTGGGCATTTATATTGGAGAGAGGATTCGGGACATTTGAGAGAGTTATAGCCCAGGCCTACTTTGGATCGCCCTAGGCTACTTAATCTGTAGAGTTGATAAGTCAAAAATATCCTGACACTTGCCAATCTATAGGTGGAGGAGCCAACGTGTGGCCCAGGGCGATCCAAGCAGACCATGAGCTATATAAGCAAATTTCCAGCTAAGCTTGTCGAGGAGTCTGCATCAATCTTTACACTTCTCCAAATAAATAGCTCTTAAACTAATTAATTATAAAATAAAGCTGCTAATTAGCCATATAACCATACAATATTATGGTCAATCACAAAAGTTGGGCTTCCACTTGACCATTGTGAGCTTGTGGTGCATGTAATTGAAGATCCATCAATTACATAATCAGTAGGAAAATTCACCCAGACTTGTCCTTTTTCTTTACTAGTTGGGATACTTCCAGTAGTCGTTATATTAAAAGCAATATTATTAGAAGTCCTCGCATAAGTATTGCTAAAAGTCGTTGACAAAATATTCGAATAATGCGGTGCAGGCTCTATATCAAGTTCTCCAGCTTGTTCATTTAGTTGGGTATATGTATAAGAACTAATAATCCCAATTGAAAAATCCCCAGTGTTATCTGTATAACTGTAATTTGGGTTAATAACACCAAATATAAAAATAGTAAAACTGCAGGAAGAACAAGCTGAAAAATAATCATGGTCATATATAGTAATTGACCAAGCTTGGATTACTTGACATTTGATAAAGCCTGAAATTCCTGTTGCCCAGCAGTCTAGATTGTCACCTATTCTGTGGTCATATGATCGTGGGAAAGTTATAATAATATATTCTGATGAATCAATATCTACAGATGGTATCATAGTAAATTCATAAGTTGCTGTTTGTCCTTCATTTTTTGGATAAAAATTGATTGCTGACACCGATATAGTCGAAGCTGCAGCTGTAGTAGAAATTGTGACAGATCCGCTGGTCTGTTGCAATAGCACCCCATCATAATAAGCTTTTATAGAAAAATCATCACTAATCCCTGCATTGAAATTTTTTACCCCAAAAATATGAAAATTGCTCATCCCACCTATATTAGCCCCTATTGTCCCTAATAGCGATTTTCCATACACTTCACAGCTACTTAGTGCTGATGTAGCCCCAGTCGCTCTACAATCAGGAGGATTCGTCAAAATCCCAAACTGCGCTGTTGGGAACTCAATTTCTATATATCCTCCAGCTCCTAAAGAAGTCAGCGTCGTAAAGGAAAAAATATATTCAGCAGTGGCACCAGCGTTATTAGGGTAATTTATCATCTTTAAATCACTTATAGTCTGCACAGTTCATACACTAGTAAGGGTAGGGCCTGTAACAGTAGTGGCCTCATCTATGACTCCACCATTAGAATTTTTGGTTTGGTATTTAAAATTGCCAATTGTCCCGACAGATCCTGGGTTCTTTATCCCTTGGACAAAAATATCAACAAATGAGCCTGATTTTATATTAGGAATTCCGCTGATTGTGACGGTATTTCCATATGGAGTGCAGGTACAAGAGGATGTGTAGTCTTGCTGACTGAATAAAATTGATGAACAATATGGGATTGGGGTGGAATAATGCAAAGAATAAGAACCAGACGGCATAGTAATCAAAATTGAGCCATTTGTAGGGATATCGTGGATTAGGGTAAAGGAAAACTCATAGCGGATATTGGAGAGCGCTGCGTAATTTTGATCAATTTTACATTGGAAATCGGTAATTACCCCTGGGGTGAGGGCTGGGATGTTAGAGCTGTAGGTATAGGCATCCAGAACAGCTGCTCCTTTGACGGCGTATAGGTTAAAACCGTCAGTTATCCCAGATGATTCTGGGTTTATAAGCCCAGAAACGCTAAAAGTATGGCTTGCAGCTGTTAATGATGAAAGGGATATCAAAATTAAGTCAATGCCTGGGTAACAGTAGCAAGTAGAGCTAGTTCCGTCATATAAACAAGAAATAGTATTATAATTGCAGTAGCCACTGTCATGGATTGGGTTAATTTCTAATAGAAGATAAGGATTTGACATATAGGGCAAAAAAAACTCTTTTTCCCATACTATCACCACTAATTTTTTTTCGTCATTTTTTAGAAAACACAAATTTTCTGTCAAAAAGATCAATAAAATGATGGCTAAAAAATTATTTTTTATCCCAGATTTGACCCAGCACCACTTGAAATTGTAATAGAAGCTGAAGAAAGTGTTGTAGATGATTGGACCTGTGTAGTACTCAAAGTAAGAGACGTAGCTGTTGATGAAGATGCTGGCCCTGTGCTTCCTGCTGATACAGAAACAGAAGAAGACTGGATATCAGTTCTTATTCTATTAAGCTTACTATAAGATGTGACTATAACGCTAGCTGTATTTGTGGTTTGTATGTATAATCTTTAAAGCAAATTGAGAATAGACAACTTTTCTACAGAAAAATGGAAAATTTGAATAATTTAGTATAATAAATATTGGGAATGTGAAAGGTAAAGCTAGTACCTGCAGCAATTGTAGTGAAGCCTGTCACAGTTACTATGACTGGTGTGCCAGAAGATGCGACACTAGGCAATGTTGTCAATGTGCAGGTTAAGCTTGGGCTGGACTGTCCTGCTATATTGCTAATTCCTCTGCATGGAAAAGTGCTTCCTTCTTGTATGCCAAGTCCTAAATCAAGTGGAAATAGGGCGTTCCCTGAGCTTTGGGTTGGAAAAGTGATTTCTATATATCCTCTAATATCAGTATAAGAAGTCCCCACAATTCCTGCAGGAATTTGATAGTCTGCAGTCATAGTAAAAATCAAAATTGTAGGATACTGATTCGCTGTATGCACAGGAGTAATAGAAATCGATGAAAAAGTAGGCGCAGTAAGTGTGGCTATCGTATTTCCGCTCTCTAAAAGAGTATTAGAGGTATCATAAGTGTTTATATCGAAATAATAGTCCCCAGAAACTGTAGGAGATACCAATGTCAATGATACAATTGATTGAACACCTAATGGAAAAGCCCCACTTCCTGCAGGCGAATTTGTAGTCGTTAAAAACAACTGGACTTTCAAAATACTCCCAGTCAGCGTACATGAGGACGCATAGTCTTGGCCAACTGCATATGGAGTTAGTTTGCAGACTAAGCCAGTTGTCCCAAAAGCAGCAGGGATTTTAAAAGTTATGCCATTTTGAATAATATTATTTTTTAACAAAAATAAAGAAAAATGATTAGCTGGTTAAATAAATAGGAATATATACCCATTAGCTGGGATCTGGATATTTGGGGTTATAGTGAAATCTATAGTAATAGAAGCGCCTGTCGCTTTTGAGGAGCCTGGAAAAGAAATACTTATTGATGGTGATGAGTATGAAGAAACTGTGGTATATGCATTTGTTATGTCTTGATCAATAACAGTACTCTTATCTGCTCTATATGATTTAATATTTAACGCTGAAGATTTCCCTGAGAGATAAGGGCATTGTATTTGCAAATAAAGACTTATCTGAGTCTGTGAATCTACAGCATCGAAATTCGAGATAGTAAGAGTCGTAGTCGGTATATCATAGGAAACCGTGGCTTCACTAGTAGCATTGATGTCTTTTAGCCCACTTCCAATTACAGCTATATAATTCCCAGATAAAGCAAAATTCCAAGGAAATACGATTATTATATATCCACCTTTTTCTATAGGATTTTTTGTAGTAAAAGTGACTGAAAATAATAAAATTTTATTTCTTGATATAACTAAACTGGAATCCACAGGCCCAAAAGTAAGGGATAATAAATTTCCTGCAGAAATCGACAGCCCTGGAATAATAATAATAATAATAATAATAATAATAATAATAATAATAATAATAATAATAATATAATAATAATAATAATAATAATAATAATAATAATAATAATAATAATAATAATAATAATAATAATAATAATAATAATAATAATAATAATAATAATAATAATAATAATAATAATAATAATAATAATAATAATAATAATAATAATAATAATAATAATAATAATAATAATAATAATAATAATAATAATAATAATAATAATAATAATAATAATAATAATAATAATAATAATAATAATAATAATAATAATAATAATAATAATAATAAATAATAATAATAATAATAATAATAATAATAATAATAATAATATAATAATAATAATAATAATAATAATAATAATAATAATAATAATAATAATAATAATAATAATAATAATAATAATAATAATAATAATAATAATAATAATAATAATAATAATAATAATAATAATAATAATAATAATAATAATTAAGCGATATGTGTTTAAGGTCCCTACTTCCATGCGTGGCATTCCTCCGCGCTCCTTAAGGAGCCGTGCCGGCACGAGCGAAAAGGATGGACTTCCATCACTGGTTCTCTGAGCCCAGGCCGAAACCCCTGGTTTCTCGGTAGTGGGCTGCCCTATTGGCACCACCATTTCCAACTCAGCCTTCCGCCCCGAATTACGCCAGTCTTTGCCTCCGGTTGGCCAGATCGCCCCGTTTAATTTGGGGCCCTATTAACTGGAGAGACCGCCTTCTTGGTCGTCTAATCTGCCTCCCCTTTCCCAGCTTATCCGCTTGAGAAAATCCTCAATCGCTTCCGCGATTCGGGGCAGACCACAGTAGCAGCTTGAGCAGGTAAGTCGCCCTGTCCATTTCGGGAACCCACACTGGCTTGGGCGCTGCTGGAAAAAGAAGACGCTCCTAGCTGCCCTAGGATCTGGACACGATCAGCGGGTCTGTGTTTGTCCCCGGTCGCCACCAGGGCCCAGATATTGCTGGGCTAGTCGCTTCTTCAGAAAACCATGCCCGGATATACACGGGTTACCGTCACTGAGAGGACGGGTCGGTCGCCATACGCCATTTTATGTATATGACAGCCCTGGAATAAGCGTGGCTTGTTGGTATAAAGTAAAAGTCTGAAATCTAAATACGTCAATAGTAAAAGTCCCTGTATTTACTTTCCATTTAGGGTTCGTCCCAGTCATTCTTACTGAATATAAAATATTTGGCTGCAAATCTGCAGAAATCCCAGATAGAATTACTTGTCGACCAGTTGTGATACATTTTAAACTCCCTGAAATAGGCATTCCTTCTGTTGCGTATGATGTACAAGTAGGGTAGGGAGCTAGATAGAACCCATTTCCTGGAAAAGTAAAGCGAATAGCGCTTCCCGCGACTATTATTTGGTCGAATTGAAAAGTAAATAAATAAATCGTGATATCCCCTGCAACACTGCTAGATCCAGAGAGGACTGAAACAGATGTAGCTTTTAAAGTAGTTTTTGCATCAGAAATCCCGATAACCCCAAATGCAGAGTTCCAGTCTAAAATTGCGCCTTGATAAGTACTAGAAACCTGAAAACTCCCTGTTCCTCCTACTGTTAGTGGATTTAAAATATTTTGGATTGTTACAGAATAAGTGCTTTGTGCTGATACTGCATTCGGCAAAGTAATACTGATAGTTTTTCCTAAATTTGTACAGATATTTGGAGAACAGGTCGGATTTCCTTGTGTCCCAAGTTTATCTTCGTATTGTTCAGGAAACGTGATTGATAATATCCCTCCTGCTGGAATTCTGGTATCAGGAGTAAAAGTTATGGTATAGTTGGCATAGAGCCCTACATTAGTATAGGAGTTTGAAATAGCAAGCTGACCAGATGGCCATAGACTGCCTAAGCTGTTGTAGCCAAAGCTGTAAACTGTGCTTATGAAGAAGTAGAAAATAAGCAGCATTTTAGTTATTTTTTTAAGGATTGAGAATAGTTTAGAAATTAATTATTTGTATTAACAGCAAAATTGAGTATCTTCTTCATATATGCATATTGCTTGAAGAATATTTGAAGAAAGCTCATGCACCTTTTGATTTTTACTCATAATGAGATTTTCTATTTCTTCTAAGCACCCAGATTTGTTCATCTCTTTATAATTTTCATCACCATAGTAGTGAAAATTGAAGTTCCTGTCTTCTATCATTAAGTACGCTGAACAGAATTCTAATAAATTCACTAAATATTCATATTCGCTATGCCTCAAATTTTGTTTTTATATCGTGTCTTCACACGAGGTCTACTCCATAACGACTATTTTTTTTTGGCCTATTTTTTTTTGGCCTATTTTTTTTGGCCTAATTTTTTTGGCCTATTTCATAACGAATATTTTCTTTTGGCCTATTTTTTTTTGGCCTATTTTTTTTTGGCCTAATTATTTTTGGCCTATTTTTTTTTTTGGCCTATTTTTTTTTGGCCTATTTTTTTTTGGCCTATTTTTTTTTTTGGCCTATCTTTTTTGACCTATTTTTTTTTGCCTATTTTTTTTTGGTCTATTTTTTCTGTCGAGGATAATTCATGAAGCTGCTGAGAGAACTAAATAATTATTGGATAACGGATGTATTTCCTTACACGATTAATATTGAGTAAATTAAGTGGAAAAATCCTAATTAAATTTAAAATTCTCGAAATTTAAAAAGCAATGAATTAGCATTCATGGAGTAAGAGATCTGTTAAAGGTGTATTTTATGTTGATAAAATCGTTTAAAACACATTAAAAATTATATTAAAATCATTAGTATGAAATTAGGCCCAAATATTAGTGAAAAATAGCTAAAAAAATGGCTAAAAAAAAGTCAAAAAAAAATAGGTCAAAAAAAAAGGGCCAAATAGGCTAAAAAAAAATAGGCTAAAAAAAGATAGGCCAAAAAAATTAGGCCAAAAAAGTAGGCCAAAAAAAAATAGTCTTTATGGAGTAGACCTCGTGTGAAGGAACCGTTTTATATACCCTAAAATTCCTTTATCTACTAAAAATTTTATATTTGTGATATTCCCAGACTTTGCGATATTTCCAAAAATATAGCTTGCCTCAATTCTTGTTTTTGTGTCAAAATCACCCAAGCACTCTATGGAAATCCATATTATTCTATGCTCAATTAGCCTTTTTACCTGTGATTGAGTACCTGCAGCAATATTGCATAGTGTTCATTGTATTTCTTTCCTCACAGCTGATACTGAAGATTTTGCTGAGAAACAAAGATAATCAAGTATCCCTTTCTCTAATAAACTTTGTGTATACAAGCTGCACTGTTTTGATATTATTCTGCATTTCACTAATTTCAATAATATTATACAGTAAATGCTATAGTCCTATTTTCAGCCAAAGGCAGTATAAATTTCCAATAATTCTGATTGAAGGTAATAATAAAAATTCGTCATTATCTATAAGGTAGTTAAAAATTTTGGAAATAATTCCAGTTGAAAATATTGTATCTATTTCATCATACTCAGAAATATAGGAAATTGCAAACAATGTGTCTTTTTTTATAGATCTATAAGGATATTTCAGTAATTCATTACAAGCTCCTAGTAAGGAGTTAATTGTTGATGCCGAAATGGCAGGCTTTTCTCGAGTTAATTTTGAAAAAGTTCATGAAATTAAAGCAATTGTGTCGATTCCAGGATTTTCCAACATTAGATTTATTAGTTTGAAGACTATGTTCAAGCTTAATATTTTGTCTCGATATTTAGTACAGTCTGCTGAAATATTTCCAAGCGCTCAAATACAAAATTCATTTGATTTTGGTCTTGTTTTGTCAAGAATCCCGACAAATTTTTTGTGGGCTCCATATTTTATTAACTTCCCCTCCTCCATAGGCGAAAAAATTAATTTAAAAAATCCATTTTCTGGAAAGCGAATTACTTTAATTGAAAAATTTATGTTTTTTAAAATGCAAGCTGTTTAAATTAAACAGAATTAGCTAGAGATTTCACTATACTGATTATCGCTCATGGAAGATGGGTTTTACCGAAAACTAGGGATTTTTCTAATGGTTTTGTTCGCTCAAGGAGAGGGAATAAGCATTTTACATATTTATGCTCAAGTGCAGAAATTTTGCATAGGCATTTTGCAGCGTCAGTAATGGTGCTTTCTTGATATTTATTATCAATATAAGAGACAATAAATGGTAAGAAATTTCCATTACAAATCGTAATCGCTGCATCATTGTCTTCCCATACCATATTCGCTAATTTTTTCCCTCCATTAGCAAATAAAAAAATTTTGCTCTATCCAAAGTGATATTTTTACCAATGATTAATTTAAAATTTATAAAATATATGATTTATAATGCTAACTGTTAAAATTCAATAGAAATAGCAAGATATTTCATTATATAGTCATTATTTTATGCAGAAAAAATAATGTTTTGCTTTGGCTCTCCCCAAAAAATAGGGATTTCCAATAGTTTTTCTCACCCATGAAGAGGGAAGGAGTAAGCTTGACAAATGGAATTCTAATAAACAAGGATTTTTTCAAATATTTTCTATTCCCACCCTTTTTTCCGAATTTTTTTGAGATTTCTTTGGCGATTTATATGTAATTCTTGCAAACTTCATATGATTTTCATACCTTTTATGTTTTCTCAGCTCAATTGCAAAGATTTCTCTCTTTAGTTTAAAATCATCATCAATTTTCATATAATATTCTCCATAAATACTCTTAATCATTTACCCTATTTCTAAATAATCCATTTATATACCAAAATTATAAATTTTTCTGTCGCGTTTCAAAAAAATCCTTTTTCTCACAATTTTGAAAATTTACCATTTTATAATTAGACTATAGCAAAAAGCTTTATTTCTAATAAATTATTTAGCTCCATCCTTCACCCATCACAAACCTGTAAGCCAAATCGCGTGCGTTGATTGGTTGATCATGAGGCACCATATGTCCAGATTTCAAAACGACCACGAAGCTGAAATTTTCATAAGTCTGTGCAAACCCAGCTACCATACCATTGACCATCCATAGTGATTTTTGGGAGTATTGGAAATAAGGAATTCCTGGCCAGTTTATGTTAGCAATCATAGCTTCAGTTGACAAGGTATTGACGATAAGATCATCTTGGCCATTATAAATCATGACAGGAATAGTGTCAATTACAAAAGGCAAATAATTGATCGCGGTGTTCATGATATCATATCTTTATTCTAAAAATCCAGGCTTATTTTCTATAAAAATGTATAAAGTGTATTTATTTAAAAAAGAATAAGTCATGGCTTCATAGACAGAACCGCTGCATTGTACCCAATGTAACTGCTGTGGAATGTGCAACAGATTTTTGGTTTCTGTAGAATCAAGCCATGATGGGATGCCTCCTAAGTTATAATTAGTCTCATAGCTTCTTATATTGTAAACATTAATCCCACCTGCATAATTAATAATCAAATCCGTTATCGATCCCCAGTCATTTTCTGCATCTGCCCACTCACCTAAGCCAATTTCACTAAACACCTGCTGCTCATAAGTCTGGATAATCTCAAATTCTTCTTGGTTTAACAGCCCAGTTGCCACTGAATAAGCTGAATATTTTTGGCTTTGAGTAATTGGATCAGTCCATGGGTCTCCAATAGCAATCCCTTGTAAATTAAAGTGCGCGATCTGTGAAGATACAGGGTTGTTATTATTCATCAAAATTGTATAAGCGATTGCAGGGATCCAGTGGCCTCCGAAGCTTTCTCCGAAAATGAAGATAGGACGGTTGAACATCCATGGGTACTTAGTGTTGAGTTTTACTAGTAAATTATAAAGCTGCTGGGTTGAGCCAATTGTGGTGTTTTTCATATCATAAGATGCCTTAGCAACTGAAAAACCAGCACCAAGAGGATGGTCGATCGTCATTATGTGAAAATTGCATATATATAAAAATGGGGATGACAGACCACTCGACCCTATTTCTTCAACAGCAGCAGGCAACGGCCCAGTGTTGGAGATTTAGGTGGAAAGGGGTTGGTAATCCTTTATATATGTCGGAATGGGTTTTCTACGGGCCTGGGAGCTAATCCTTGGGACTTAGAGCTTTTCCTCCAGAACAACCATTGGAAAGGGCAAGGTCGGCCGATGTCTGAGGGCAATATGACCCTCAGACCCTGAAGACGGTATTTGCCTGACGAGAAAACTGGGGGTTTCAACCCAGGTGGTTGGGCCTTAGATTCCAGGAACCATGGAAGTCAAGACTGGTCGCGCGAATCTCCTATTTGCAGCAACAGGAAGGGTGTCCGTCGAGCCTCCTCGGGAGGGATGAACGTGTAGGGGTGGAAATCCCCGGCCCTGCAATGCGAACGGCATATCTTAATCTTATGTGAAAATCGCTGGCCCAGGTGTAAGGGTTTGGGACTGGCTCAGATTTGTTGCTAATGGTAAATGGGGCGATATTTTCGAATAGCATTCCAGTTTCGCCTGAGCAGCCTGGACCGCCTTGAAGCCAAATGATAAGGGGAAGAGTGTCAGTCAATGCGTTGCCTTTGATTGCTTCGAAAAACCAATAGAAGTAAGAAGATCCTGTCAATGGGTTCATTGTGATTTCGCCTGCATAGCCTGAGAAACCTATAAGTGACCATGCACCATCTGTATCTCCAATTAAAGGCTGAGAGGAGTCTGGATGCGCCGAAATGCAGAGAAAAAGAAAACTCAAAAGGACGATTTTTGAGTCCATATTTATTAATTTCTCTCCTGTATGTGATTTTGCATAAGTTTTGATTTAGATGGGAAGATTATAGGAGATTTTGGATGCTAGGCTAGTTTTTTATTATTTTTTAGGAATTTTTAAGCCAGATTTATAAGAAAAACTTATAGATATAATCACAACTAAATAACCAATTTTTATCCTATAATTTTAAAATAATCCACAATTCCCTCTTGTACACAGCCTAGAACAAGTACCTCGCGACTCTTTACTTGTTGGTTCTGGTATATCAATATTTCTCTGTTCTTCTAGGCTATGTTTTTGTTTAATTTCCGTCACATACAAGTCTCCAGGGCTTTCAATCTCCTCTACTGTTACATTTTTAGCTGGCTCTTCTTCCTCTTCTTTCGGTTTAAACGACCCAAAGGCTTCTATGTGTATTTCTGTATTATCCTCGCTTTCATTTTTCTTATCTTCTTCAACGATATCTCGGCTATAATTTTTCCTCTGGGACAATTTTCATATTATTTTAGTAGGTATATTTGGCAAAAATTTATTCGAATAAATGACTAACGACAGATATCTCCTACGTGAAATACAAATTTTACGTTTTCTCCATCATATTCATTATGAATCCTTACCCCATTCCCTTCAGTTTCTACTGCGTCTATTTCTACAACTTTTTCGCCAGTGATTTCTGGGGCTTCTTCATATTCATTTTCTAGTTCTTTTATGTCATTTTGTAGTAAAGTTCCAAGTCTTGACTCGAGCTCAGCAAAATCAGGACCATCATAAGATACATCTGACATCGGAGATGCGTCAGCTGAAGGCTTATCAGGGGTATGGACGTCACTAAAGGTGCCTTCAAGGTTAATCCTGGCCATCCTCATTTCAGGGATGTTTATGAATTCTTCTGACTCGACTGCGTTAATAAATTCCAATATAGGCTCACACGAAGGGTCAGTTGTGACAGCTTTAATAAATTCGTCAAGGGAAATCCTTCCATTGGAATTTCTGTCCATATTGGCAAATAGCGAGCCTGATTGGTTTCTAAAAAAGCTTGATCTGCCATCCAGCGCATTTTCTACAAAGCATACCAAATCAACTACTTCTTCAGGCTCTAAACTGCCTGAATTGTCTCTGTCAAAAGACTCAAAACAAAGTTTCAGCTTTTCTGTAAGCTCTCCTTGGATTAATTATTTATTATCAGCGGTTATCACCCATTTATTGGGCCAAATTCTATCTCCTTTCCTAGTTCCCTATATAATTCCTGCCTTATTTCCATATTTTTTAATTCTAGTCTTTGGATTAATAAAGATAGCCCAGATTTCAAAGTCAAAACGTCCACTGAGTCGTTTCCATTGTGGTCAAATGAGTTAAAAACGTGAAGAGCTGTCTGTGGAGCCCAATTTAAATTTTTTGTGACCATTGTGAGAAACAAGCTACGGGAAATTTTTCCACCATTTTCTAAAGATTGTAATAAATTGAAAATTTCTTTGGCGTCTTTGTAGGTGAAAGAGTTTCCTTTGGATCGTAAAAACTCTTTGGATTGCCTAAGTCTTATGAGTGGCTCTAACTCCCCCCCCCCCTCGTGAGTGAACAAAACCATTAGAAAAAATTGCCATTTTTTGCCCAAAAAGCCCACCCTCGTGAGTGAACAAAAATTTTTTTTAATAGAAAAATTTTTATGGAAAAAAATTTTGATATATAAATGATAATTAGTATAATGAAATCTAGAGCTAATTCTGTTTAATTTTAAACAAATTGCTTTTTAAAACATAAATTTTATAAATTAAATTAATATTTGCTTTCCGATTTTTGCAAATTAGGATTTTTTAAATTTCGAAAAAAATATTTTTTATAAAATATATATATAAATTTGTTTAAAAAAAACAAATTACCCGAACAAAATTTTTTTTTTTCACTCACGGAAGGGGGGGAGTAAAGTGATTTTTTTCAAGCTCTTCTGCTTTTGGTAAAATTTCACTTCGTTTGACAGCTCTGTACGTAGGTTTATAGATAGCTTTTTTAATCATTTTTTCTACTGGGATTTTTTCGACTTTTCTAAGAAGTCTATTTCTTGCTGCATTTCCTGAAGAAATTAAAGAGTCCACAGTAGTCCCCATATTCAGTACTTTTGCTTCTTGCTTTATGTTATTTTTGAAAAATCTTTCATTTTTGCTTAAAATTGTCAAGCCAAATTTATGTACAAATTCGAAACCGTGGATAAGCACATTGTCTCATACTCTTATGCTCTGTTATATTGATATTTGCATTGCTCTATGATTTATAAAATTTTCTAGCACAATATAATAAAATAAAGTATAATAAATCCCCAGGCAAAATACTTGTAGCAAATAATGTGTGAAACCAAAAATCTCCAACTCTTTTAATTGTAACTACGAATGGGGAGTAATCTGATTCTCTTAAACTTGTATTTAAAGGTTTAAAAATAGCTCTTAAAGAATTGACTAGTCTTGGTCTTAGTCTTTCTGCCATAATAGCAAAGGCTCGGAGTTCAGAGTGCAAGACAATTTGCCGGTTTTCTAAGCTGAAAAAATTTTCTGGGAACACTTTTTCAATGATATAGCAAAACATAATAAAAGCATCACTTTCACTAGAAAATACTGAAACAAGGACTGCTGCTATGAAGTTCATACCAAAACAATACCCAATATCATTTCTTTTACTAGCAAAAATGCTTAATCCCCTTTGTGAGCGAACAAAACCATTAGAAAAATCCCTATTTTTGCACAAAAGCCCACCCCCTGTGAGCAAAAATAATTTTTAAATATAAATGATAATTATTGTAATGCAACTTCTAGCTAATTCTGTTTAATTCTAAGCAGCTTGCATTTAATGCATAAATTTTCAAATTAAATTAAAAAAAATTAACCCCTTATATGAGCGAATAAAATATTTTTGTTCACTGATGGGGAGTTAGCAAAGTCACTATTTTCTGTATTCTCTCTCCTGAATTAAGGGAACTTAATGATCCACTGAAAGATTTCAAGGCATCTTGCTTAATTCTTTGTGCTATTGAATTAACGAGGATGACTTGTTTAGTAAGCTTCACTGATCTATAGTATTCCATAGTTTCAGTCGAAAAATTAGGATCAATTATTCCTAACCAAGCTCTAATTATTTTTTACAATGGTCTTTGTGTCTGAGGGTTAATTGCATCTAAATTTGATGAGCGCAAAAAATTCATTTTCCCCTCATAGCTCCCTTGATGTCTAATAAAATCATTTCAGGTCTTGAAAACGTTAGATTTTGCCATTATAATTGTCTCGACATATAAATCCAGATTTAATAATTAATATATGTGTCCTATTTAACAATTATTGACCCATTTGGTTAAAAGTATTTGAAATTTAGAGGTAGTTATAGTAAAAATAAACAAATCCATATGCATCTGAAATACGAGAGAAAATTAAGCAATTTGTATGTAATAATGATCTGGAAAAGCTTGTAAGGTAGTCTAGATATTTTTGTCTTTAAATTGATAAAATATAATTTATTAAGCATTTAAGCCGTTTAAAAACAGTATATTTCTAATAACCCATTTTTAGATGAGGTTTCAGCTGTATCAAGCAAATTTCAAACTTTATTACCAAAAAATACTACAAATGGCAACTTTAATGCTATTTTCGTAATACCTCTACTTTCGTTAAATCTGAATAAAATGACAATAGAATTATTAAATAAAAAAGAAAAAAAAGTGCAAAGTGGCTGTTTCTAAAATTGCAAAAGTCAAAAACTCTCGAAGTCTTTAGAAATGATTAGAATACTTTTCTTAGAAATTTTTACCTTTCTGCATGATTTTGAATTATAAAAAAAATGATCTCCATATTGACATATCAGAGATGCTGGGTTTTCAAATAATTTGATTACTGATAACTTTATAATTCATTAATAAGAATATCAAGATTTAGTTGCTACATTTTAGTAATGAGCCAGCACAATGATTGCAAAATCTAATTAAATAAAATTAAATATTAATTTTAAAATCCATTCTTGGTGCATAGCATAACATTAAATAAAACCCAAAGTATGGGAGCGTGCACTGGCAAAAGCAAAAAGGATTCAAGTAGCTACTCTAAATCAGGCAAGTCCTCAATGATAACTACGCTCGTAATACCGACCAACGAAAAGTACATATCAGAATTTGATCTTTCCGCACCTCCCAATAACCCAGGACCAAATAGGAAACTCCTTCTTGATTTTTACGCAAATTCACGCCATCACATGCCAAACAAATTAAAAAATCTATTTGAAGCTATTTTTGCTTGTGAAGAGCTAAAAGTTATATTAAAAAAAAAATTGTTTTTCTAAAAATTTTTTATTTATTTTTTTATTTCCCCTAAAAGTGACTGAAATGGATTTAAGTTACATTCCTTTAGATGTAAATCACATATATCAGCTATTAGCTGTTTTGGAGTATTTTCGTAATCTAAAGGAAATTAATTTAAGCAACGTTGGTTTGACATCAAAAGATTTGTACAGGTTACATAGCAAACTTGAGATGCTAACTCAGCTAGAAAAAATTTCGATCAGTCACAATAACTTGGAATCAGAGGGAGGGAACCAAATGGAAAGGCTACTACAGCACACAATCAATATAAAGTATATTGATATGAGCTCAACCAATCTTGGCGATATTGGGGCAATCAATTTGTCACGAGGGATTATAAATTTAAAATATCTTGAAGTATTGATTTTAGACAATAATGATATTTGTGAACTCGGGATCATTGAGATTTTGAATACTATCAAAAAATCTCAGACCCTCCGCCATTTAAGCTTGAATAACAATTTTTTTACTCCGAAAGCCGGAGCTTTATTAGTAAACACTATAGGCTCATTACCCAAGCTAAAATTTCTTGGCTTGAAAAATACAAATTTGTCTTTTAAATATTTTTTTATGATCACAGGGAAGTTCAAGGACTTAATGGTAGAATTTGTGAGTAAGGACTGTAGATATTCTGTATAAAGTTTATAAATTAATAAAAAATTTTATTATGACAGAAGCTGAGCTAAGAGAAATTGTAAAATTATATGAAGAAGAAAATTCTGTTTTAAAGAAAGAAATCGATGTCTTACAAAATATGCTAGATTCCCAAGAAATCACTCATAAAAACGAAAAGGAATTTATTATGCTACAATGAGAAAGGCAAAGAAATGAGCTTGAAGATCAAAATAGAAATTTGATAAAAACAATAGAAGCTCTAGAAGCTACGATTTTAGAGCTAAAAGAGAGGCTTAAATATTCACATAAAACAGCAGAAAAAAGAGAAAATACTGAAAGTCCTTTAGGCCAGCTCAACGATTTATGAAAATCCCACACAATAAGATCAGAACCAATTGATAGCCTTCAGTTTGGAGATTCTATGAAATTATCATCAAAAAGATCAAGGAGAAGTGAAGTTGACAGGCTGAATGAGACAGAAAGGATGCTAAAATCACAAGAAGTCCAATTATTGAAAACCGGGCTTATGGCTAATGCTTTACAGTTATCATATTTGAATGATGAGCTTGAAATAATGAATCATTCGCACGCTTCTAACAAAAAGAAACTAGGGAAAAAAGCTAGGAAATAAAATTTTTGGTATCTAAAAGTCTCTTAAACTAATAAAAATTAAATAATACATAAAAATTAAAAAATTAATTGATAATTACTTAAAATCTATTGTTCAGCAAAAGCAGATGAGCCTTTAATAATCCAAAACTCATCTGAAGTTTTATTTTTCCCAGTCTCCCATTGCTGCCAAAATAAGTGGGTAGCGTTAAAAGCTGTGAAAACGCTGTAAGACAAATTTCCATCTTGTGCTGCAAGCCAGCTTGGAACACCTTGGGTATCGATATCATAATTATTCCCATCAGCTCCTATTCCTCCAGTTGTCACATATATTGTTGCTAGAGGATCTATATAAACATTTCCAGATCCGCCACTTCCCATAACTTTTTCTTGATAAACTGGAGTTGTTCTCTCATAATTGTGAACATGCCCATTGACGTATAAATCTACATTATATGTATAAAACAAACTTTCTAAAGTACTTTGTAATAGCCGAGACTCAGATCCGCATGACTTCTTTTTCTGGGTTGATAAACAATAAAAAGGTCTATGTCCATAAACAACCAGCCAAGGATAAGCTTCTTTATCAGCTTGAGTTCTATTTAGGACATTTTGTATATATCCTATCATCTCAGTCAAATCTGAAGCTTGCTGAACTATAGTTTCTGTATCAATTGCTAACTCAAAACCTTTGTGAGCGAAGAAAACCATTGGAAAATCCCTATTTTTTGGAAAATCTCCCCTCCATTAGCGAACAAAAATACTTATAAAAATTTTTTTGTTCGCTTATGGACGGGGAGTAAGAATCTTACATATCCACTGGCCCAGGTATAATAAAACTGATTATTTGGCATCGCAAACCTCGCCAAATAGTTTACGTAATTATCGTCGCCTTCATGGTTCCCAACACATACCATATATGGTACTGAACTTGCTACTGGCTGGATTGAGTTCATAAAGGCATCTCCCCAAGTCCCATAGTCAGTGCTGAGGTCATAAGCAATATCTCCCATATGAATAACTGCATCAATATTCAGCTGAGGCCATCTATTTCCTGTGCAAATAAAATGTACTGGCGAACCAACCAACACTCTTAGCAAGTGTAGCCGAGCTACTCGGGAACCTTTTGGAAGGGGCGTCCTGTGATGTATATCCAGCCAGACTTTACATGGTTTGGTTGGGATCTGGCCTACCATAGCTCGCATATAAGCCAAGGCGAGATGGCACTTAAATTTGAAAAGAGAAGTCCCAGCAGCACCAGTGAGATTCCCTCTGGTCAATTAGGAACGTTTCCTGCACGATTCCAGCTTTGTGTTCTGTGACCCGAGTTTCCGTTTTAGCATCAGATGAACAAAAATTTCGATTTTTCTAATTTTTGGAAACTGAACACTGCTAACCTACACAGCATGATAACCCAGTGTCTCTGACTGATCGGTGGTGAGTGCAAGCCCTAGTCCATGAGGAAACACTTTGAAGCCCAAAGGGGCTAACAAACAAGGGATCTAGCATTATGAGTATGAATATGGCCCGCGGGTCAGCCGGAACTTCTCTTATAATTTTAATTAAGTTAAGTTAAGGCCACCTATTTCCTATCTCAGTCCACGATAAATTACCATCTAAGCCAATATCAAGATCAGCATAGATCAGGTAAGTAGAGGACGACCCAGTGCTTGGAGGGACTGTCAGTTTAAAAACCTGGCTGAAATTAGTCAAAATGCAGCCTACCTGGTACATATAAGTGGCTCCTGGATATAATGTAGCATTTGCGGTATGGATGACCCAAGAATTGGTACCATTGGTGAAGGTATTGGATGTGCCGTAATAATACTTTACTCCCTGCTTTAAATTGGAATAAAAAAACTGCTCTAATTAAGGTGTTAATGTTTTAAAATAATAAGAGAAAAATAAGCTGAATATGATTTTTTATTTTTAATTTATTTTTATGAAGAATTCATTGATAAATTTTGATAAATTATTAATATAGGCTTCCAACTGTCTAAATAGCACTTCTTCCATTAAAGTGAGATATAGAAGTTAGTCGAATTTAAATGGGGTTAAATTACTAACAAATGAAAATTTTACCGATATTTTCTATTTAATGGAGGAGTCAGATAGGAAGGATTGAGCCCAATACGAACTGCTGAGGTAGGTGTTGATAGACGCGTGCTCCATGTGAATTGGATTAAGCCTGGATATGCGCCAACCGCGACATGGACCTGTTCAGGGATATCGTTGGCGAAGATTCGCGCAATCAATAAAAGCAGTAATATCATTATATATGTATGTCATATGGCATCTCGATTAAGAGATATGAAGGATTTATGTGTATTTTCAATCAATTAAGACTGGCATGGGTCAAAATGAAAAATCGAGCGAAAAGGGATTAGACTAAGGCTTTCTTAGTTCCATTTTAATTTTTATAAATGCTATGAAATTATAAGCAAAAAGATAATTAAGAAACAAGCTGACAGGTTTTATGATATAGAAAGTATAATAAAATTAGGCGGTTCAATTATTGAAATCAGGATTATGACTAATAATTTAAAACTATCTTATTTGAATGATTATAAAAGAAACTAACTCCCATCCATCTATGAGCGAACAAACCGATTGAAAAATCCCTATTTATGCCCAAAAACCCATCCTCCATGATCGAACAAAAAATCTTTTATGAAAAAAAAATTGATATATAAGTGATGAAATATATAGCTAATTCTGCTTAATTTTAAAAAATTGCATTTTAAAACATAAATTTTTTAAATTAAATAAAAATTTGTTTTCAAATTCCATAAAATTTATATATCATTTTTTTTTATTAAAAAAAATAAGCCCTTCTCTGTGAGCGAACAAGTTTTGTTTTTCGCTCACAGAGGAGGGAGTAAGGAAAAACAAAAACATAAAATGTTTGTTATTAAAAGTCTCTTAATTAGATAAATGCTAATCAATAAATAAGGTTTAGATTTTAAATATAACTTCCTGATTACTTAGAATTTATTACTCAGCAAAGGCAGACAAGCCTTTAATAATCCAAAACTCATCTGAAGTTCTATCTTTACCAGTCTCCCACTGCTGCCAAACTAAGTGGGTAGCGTTGAAAACTGTTAATATGCTATAACTCTTTCCATTTAAAATTCGAACAAAAATATTTGTCCCAATCTAAAGGGATTAATTATTTTTGGTATAAAAATTAATATATATTGTTTATAGGAAAAAAGATTTTTATAAAATTATTCTATAGAATTTATCATTCAAAGTGCTAATTATGTTTTATTAACATTCTATTTATACTAAAATTTTAAATAAAATAAGCTAGTCAATTATATCTTCTTGTGCCACGTTAAATTCAATATTAAAGCAATTTACGTAGTAAATATTTTTTTAGCTATAAAGCCTTTTTTCGGTTTAAAGGAAAACTGAAATTCTATATTTTGCTTTAATTTAAAGGGAGGAGTAAGACAAATTTTCATCTTGTGCTACAAGCCAGCTTGGAACAATTTTAGTATTGACATCAACATTATCCCCATCAGCTCCTATTCCTCCAGTTGTCACATATATCGTTGCTAGAGGATCTATATAAATATTTCCAGATCCGCCACTTCCCATAACTTTTTCTCGGTAAACTGGGGCTGTTCTCTCATAATTGTGAACATGCCCGTTGACATATAAATCTACATTATATGTATAGATGTGGAAGACCTTTAGACTATGTCAAAAAACCATCAATATCATCTCTAGAGTCTATTAGCTTATCAATACAAAGTTGGTTAGGATATGACACTATACATGTAATGTTGGCTTGACTACTGAGTTCTTAGGGAAGGTTATAACCTTTCCCTGACTATATAAAACAAATTTTCTAAAGCACTTTGCAATAATTGAGCCTCAGGACCGCACGCACCCTTTTTCTCGAGTGATGAGCAATAAAACGGTCTATGTCCATAAACAATCAACCACGGGTAAGCTTCTTTATCAGCTTGAGGTCTGTTTAAAACGTCTTCGACATAATCTATCATATCAGTCATATTTGGAAATTGATTGACTATCGTTTCTGTATCAATTGCTAATTCGCTCCTTCGTTGACAACAAAAAATTTTGCCCACTACAAAATGGGTTATTTTTTGTTTCGAATTTAAAAAAATCCCAATTGCAAAAATTTTAAGCTGTTTAAAATTCAACAGGATTAACAGAGACTTCATTATAATAGTTATATAAAATATTTCTATAAAAATTTTGGAGGTTTTTATTTCCAAAAAAAGGGATTTTCAATGGTTTTGCTCGCTCGCTAAAGATGGGGAGTAAGAATCTTACATACCCGCTAGCCCAGGTATAATAAAATTGATTGTTTGGCATAGCAAACCTCGCTAGCTCTCTCCCTTTAAGAGTAAGCAAGATTTTTTATTGTTTTAATTTTTTTAAAAAAAATCAATTAAGACCCCAATTATTTTGAAAAGAAAGATCGAATTTACTTTATTAAATTTCAGTGTAAGAATGAAAGCTGTTTAAAATTTAGGAGATTTTGCTATAATAATGATTAATTCTATTAAAAAATTCTTTATGTTGAACAATTATTTTATTCTTAAACGCAATTAATTTTTTGCCTAAAATAGGTATTTTTATGGTTTTCTTAACTTCTTAATTAGCGAGAATAAGTAGCTTTCATAGTAATCAGAATCTTCATGATTTCCGACACATACCATATATGGTACTGAGCTCGCTACTGGCTGGATTGAGTTCATAAAAGTATCTCCCCAAGCCCCATTATCAGAGCTGAGATCATAAGCAATGTCTCCCATGTGAATAACTGCATCAACATTCAGCTGAGGCCATCTATTTTCTATCTCAGCCCATGATAGATTTCCATTTAAGCCAATATCAAGGTCAGCATAGATCAGGTAAGTAGAGGACGACCCAGTGCTTGGAGGAACTGTCAATTTAAAAATCTGGCTGAAATTAGTCAAAATGCAGCCTACCTGGTACATATAAGTGGCTCCTGGATATAATGTAGCATTTGCGGTATGAATGACCCAAGAATTATTTCCACTGGTGAAGATATTAGATATGCCATAATAATACTTGAAGTAGGAAGGATTGAGTCAAATACGAACTGCTGAGGTCGGTGTTGATTGACGTGTGCTTCATGTGAATTGGATTAAGCCTGGATATGCGCCAACCGCGACATGGACCTGCTCTGGTATATCATAGGCAAAGATTTGCGTAGCCAATAAAAGCAGTAATATCATTATATATGGCATCTCGATTAAGAGATATGAAGGATTTATGTGTATTTCAATCAATTAAGACTGGCATAGGTCAAATGAAAATCAAGATAAAAGGGATTAGACTAAGGCTTTCTTAGTTCCATTTTAATTTTTATAAACTCTACAACTGTTAGAGGTGTAGGCAAATATATGATTTTTGCAGCCTTTAATACTAAATCTTTTATATTAAAATAATACGAAATTATTGTTTAAATCGGCCTATAATTAGTTAATTTACCCAATATGTAAAATTTTTACTACATTTGGTTTATACTTGATTATTTTATTATTAATAAAATCTGCTGGAAATTTTAGATATTTTGTCAGAGTTGTTCTTTACGTCTTAGCTATAAAAATATTGGTTTTCTGTAATGAATACGAATGAGATCCCTGAAATTATAGAACGATAGCATACAAGAAAAATATGATAAATACTTTATATCTCATATTTCCTATATCATGAATTATTCAAAAGCTTTCTATAAATTTAAATGGAAAGAGCTCCTATTTTACTACTCCAAGCATCTTTAAATGGAATAGAACTAGAAATCCGGCAAGGGAGTGTCCTAAACCTACGCACAGATGCAATTGTAAACGCAGCGAATGAAAAACTTGAGAATGTTGGAGGCCTAGCAGGCCAAATTAGCAATCTTGCTGGCCCTCAGCTAGAAAATGAATGCCGTGAGTATATAAGAAGAAACGGACTTTTACAGCCAGGAAAAATAGTTAACACTTCAGCAGGAAACCTCCCTTTCAGCTTCATTTTGCATACTGTTGGACCATCGACTGGAAAATCAAGCTTTAATGATTGTGACCAACTAGTAAGTGCTATATTTGGAGCTATTGAAGCTGCAAATGTTTTACAGCTCACAAGCATAGGCATTCCAGGCATTTCATGTGGCATTTTTGGCTTTCCAATTATAGATGCAGCAAGATGCCATATAGACTCGTTTATTATTTATGCAGGAAATTTTATTTTAAAAAACCCAAATACCACCTTAAAAAAAATTGTGTTCAGCCTTTATACAGAAAATGAAGCCTTGACATTTCTTGAAGCTGCTTTAGAAAAAAATAGACCTTTTGATGACATTGTGTATCATGGGACATTAAGGGAACAAGGATCTGGTTCAAAATTTGGCTATTGCCATGTATGCAATGATTTAGTAGAAAATCCTGATCTTTATATGAATATTTGCCAAATGGCAAAATGCTGTAGAGACGTGTGTAATTTTTGTATTTTTCAGCAATGTTTATATAACTGTCCGATACATCATACAAGATTTGCAGATGACGTTATTAATGGGATTAACTTATATATTTTGTGTAAGGAGTGCAAAAGTTATAAATTAGTCCAAGAAAAAGTTTGTGAGTGTAGACAAGTTTGTAGGGAATGTATTTTGAAAATAAATCTTTATATTAATTAAGAGATTGGGATGGACTCAGAGCTGAGAAAACTCAAGTTCAAGAGGTGTGCATCTGGATAGGATTTGGATAGTTTCCTGGGGTTGGAAATGGAGTTGCTCAACAACGTCCTTTGGATCTGAGGACCGATAATAATTCTACCGAGGAACTGGAGGCTTTGGCCAAGGCCATAGGGGAACAGTCTTTTTCCTGTAGCTGTTGAATGGAGGCACTTCAACATCCGATAAACTCCAAGAATCTGGGAATCAAGCTACTAATCGCCGTAGCAGGGGCAGCAGAAATCTATAAGCCCGCCCACTCAAGACTGGAGCAACAAGGCAATGAGGAAACAGAAGGTACCAGAAGAGCACTTGTAGAGGAATAGACCCTCTGGGCTGGAGCCGAAAAGCGGTAGAACTTTCTGTACAGGGGGTCTTTAGTGACTACGTCACCAATATGGCTAACACCTGAGTTTTAGTAATCCTAATCCTAATTAGCAGATGGGCTTGGCTAAGTGGTTATGAAGTCACAAAGACCTTTGAGGATTGTCCTCTTTGCGATATCCCCAGTGCATACTTAAACAATTGAGATAAGTTTGCTGGCAAGTTGTCTCACAAACCATCTTGCTCCTTCTCCGGACACTATCCGATTTCGTCTGCCGAAGATATCTCCTTTCAGCTCCAGTTTTTAGTGGTGGACTATAGACTTCTACGATCCTGCATCGGACAATTTGGCGGTAGCTATTTTCAGAAAAAGCCTAGAGTCTAACGGGTGTGAGTACCCTCAGTAACTACAGGAAAAAAAACCTAGGCTGCAACCCTGGCATCAGGTAAAGTCCGCCTCAGGTCTCGAAGAACATTGAAAGTTACTTCTTTCGAACCACAGGAACTAATTCAAAACCTACCCGATATACATAATCGCTTATCAAGCCTGAATCTTAACTTGCTTCTCGCCTAGTTTTGCCAGAGATAGATTGTGATTAGATCATCATTTTTTATATATATCTGTTTTAAAATAAATCAAGGAAGGGAATATCTTAGATGTATATGTAGACAAAATATTCCATATGAGAGGTATAATGGATTAATTTAATAGATTTAGGGAGAAAAAATAATTAAATTAATTTTGACTGCATTATTTTTAACTTTATCTTAGTTTTGCATATGAATAATAAAAATTAATTAAAATCTCACAAAACCTCATAAATTTTCCTTAAATTCTGCCTTTATTTTTCTCAGACATTCTTGATATAATTAATAAGCCAGTAGCTTTTCTATCAGAAATCTTTTCCTGCAGCTAAATCATTGCCCATAATTTCCCCGCTTTTCCTTCTTTTTCTGCGACTTTTTATTAGTTTTTCTTCACCTTTTCCTCTTTGCGCATAATTTTTACCATTATTTTCCTTTATAATGGAAGGACCGAAAAGGTCGAATTGGGCAGATGACAGTGATGAGGATTTGTCTGAAGAAGAGCAGCCTCCAAAAAACGAAGAAGCTCCTCAGCAGTCACAATCCGTCACTTTGTCATCATCTCAACCTATAAAATCTTTATCATCAAAAATCGAAAGCGCAAGCCCTCCTTATTGTCTCAAGCTCTGCAACATTTCTTATGATATCAGAGATGAAAATGAACTATATGAATTTTTTGGTCTCACTGACGAAGAAATAGATGAAATTTCGATTGATATGCATAAAAATGAAAGAAATCAGTTCAAAGGCAGCGCGGCCTTAAAAATGCCAAATAAAGAAATAGCTTTGAAAATTGCGAAAAGGGATGGAGACGTACTAAGGAACAGAGATATGAGCATTTATCTAGATGACGGATCTTATGATGGAGGGAGAAGAAGAGGCAGAGGAAGAGGTGATCGAGGAGATAGAGGAGATAGAGGAGAAAGAAGAGGAGAAAGAAGAAACAACGGAAGAGGAAGATATCAGCAGCCTCAAAGAAGCAGATACAACAATAGCAACAATTATGAGTCTAGAAAAGAAGAAAAGCCTAAAGAAAGGCCAAAAATAATTAATTCAGGAAAAATCGTAATTGCACCATCTTCAGAGCAGTCTGTCAAAGTTGAGGAAGAAAAATTACCTCCACCGCCAAAACCAAAGTCAAATCCTTTTGGAAATGCCAAACCTATTGACACCTTGGCAAAAGAATTAGAATTTGAGAGAAAGAGACAGCAAGAGGAAGAAGAAAAAAGAAAAGAATATGAAGAAAAATATGAAGATTATGAGCAAGAAGAGCTAGAAGAAGGAGAAATTCAAGAAAATCCTGCAGAGAACCAAGAAAAACCTGAAGAAAAAGTAGAAGAAGCCCAGGGAAAACCTCAAAGATATGTCAAAAAATCGCCGAGAAAAGAAGAGCCTAAGGTGGAAGAAAAAACTGATGAAATTAAGGTAAAAAAACCAAAAGCTTGGGGAAATGATGAAGAAACCAAAAAAATTCTTTCTAATGCTCCGCCACCTGTAGAAGTGAAACCAAAAACTCAATATAATTCTTATAAGCAAGGGAGACATGAAAAATCAGGAGGAAGACAAGGAAAATACAGAGTAAAGCAGCCTAGAGCTCAGGAAACTAATAATGAGTAACATCCTTTATTGCTTTATAGATTGTATTAATTTTGAATAAATTAATTAGATAATATTTTTCAATAATATTTAAAATTTATTTTTTATAATTCAAAATTATTTTAATAATGGCCAAAAATGCAAAATTTAGTCTCTGCAGAGCTCTGGACTATGTTTTATTTACTATTATTTTTAAAAATCAATTATAAGTACTCTAATAGATTTATTCAAATTACTATGTTATTATAATTTTAATTTTGAAATTAAACATTATTATCATGAGTAAATCTTTCTGTTTCAGAGCTTTCTAATGGTGCAATTCCAGGCCCTTTTCTTTTACAAAAACATAAAATCTTCTTTATTCCTAACTCCCCCCTCCGTGAATAAACAAAACCATTGGAAAAGTCCCTATTTTTTGCCAAAAAAACCCACCTACCCGAACACATATATTTATTAATATAAAAATATTTATGAAAAAAAGATATATGACTGATAATCAGTATAATGAAATGTCTAGTTTATATTCTAATTAATTTGCATAAATTGCATTTTAAAACATAAATTTTACAACTAAATCAAAATTTGCTTTTCAATTTTGCGAAAAACATTCTAAAAAAGTCTTAAAAAAATTTACCCCGAACAAAATTATTTTGTTCGCTTAGGGAGGAAGATGGGAGTGAGAATTTTTGACTTACAGCTTCTGACTGAAACGCAGCAATAATCCCTGGCTTTATCAATCCTAAAAATGTAAGATTGCTCAGCAAATTAATAAAAATTGCCTGGATTAATTGAATTTGCTGGTCACTTTTTAGTTTGCTTCCATTCAAGCATGCACTATAGGCAAGATACACCATTAAACTTCAGCTAAATATATAAGCTATTTTCGACCTTCAACTTACAAATTTTTCATTACTCAAATTTTCTTCTTGAAGATAATTATTTGGCAAAAAATGTCCAATAATATCAACAATAAGTCCAATTGCCATAGATATAGCGACTATCAACACTTTGACTAAATTAACTCCATAATCTTCCAATTCAGTTGTATAAAATCAGCCATCAGCTTGGAAAAACGATATTGATACCCAGCAGTTCATAAAAACATTTACCATCAGCAATGTAAATCTAGCAGTCCTTGTGAAGTTTAAATCTGTGTATCCAACTAGCCCAAGAATTAAATTTTCTTTTATAAATTTATGATAAAAATCATTTTTTCCATCTAAATTGTGTGTTATATTCTTATTTAAGAAATCCATTAAATTTGCATAAGAGTTTGTATCATAGTCGAATATTTTTATATGGATATTTTCAGGTTCAGGGGGATTATATTTAAATTCGATAACTCTGAGCTCATTTAAGTTTTCTGTATCAATATTAGCTACCAATTTCATTATCCGTTTATAGAGCTTTTTACAAATTTTTTTGAATTTGTAACTGCAATTATTTTCTATAGCGGCAATTATTTCTAGCTTTGTATGATCTGATATAAAAATTCCTCTAATAAAGTATCATATTTTTAAGCAAGATCCGCGACTTTTTATTTTGTTTATATTTTCTATAAAATGTAGATCCTTCTTGTCCATTAGCTCTTGTATATTTGCTTTTATTAATTTAAATTGGTTTTTCTTTCAAGAATCTTTAAATTGTTTACTCCCCCCATCCTTAATCGAACGATTGACTGTAAAAATTCCTAAAAATTGGGGAAATTAACTCCATCCTTGATCGAACGATTTTCACATCATGCAAATTTTTTAATTATATAAAAATATATTAGTTACAAAAACTTGGGAAGATGTGCATAATGAAGTTGTTTTCAGAGACTTTGAGACGACAGAAAGCTTCGGAATCAACCATTCGAAGTGATTTAGTCATCAACCTAGACTTAAAAACTCAATAATCTAATAAAATAAGATTCTTTAAAATTAAAAAAAAAAAAATTTAATTCAATAAGGAACAAATTAAATTTACACAGTTTAAAAAGGGGTAACTAATAAAATAAAATATTACAAATTGGTATTTTATGAAATTAATTCAAATTTTTGCTGTAAAAATAATTATTAAATACTCTTAACCCTCTTATTTAAAAGTAAATAAAAAAATATATATATATATATTTTTTATTTTATATATATAAAATTTTTTTAAACCCCATCCTTGATCGAACGATGGCGAGTCGTTCGATCAAGGATGGGGAGGAGTTAAGAATTCTATTTTTAACCATTAAATCCGGCATCCAATTCTTTTCTTCTTTATCTAAAAGCTTAGCAGATAATATGCTTTCTAGACGTTTAATCTGATTATCGTAGTTTTCTTTTAATAATTCGATAAATTCCTCATATTCAATATCTTGATTGCTAGCTGCAATATCTTTTATATCTTGTTTTGTTTCTTTGAGGACATAGCTTATTTTTCTTTTAAGAAATTTGTTTGTAAGCTTATCAAGTTTTCTCATGTCTATAAATATGATGACATATATAACTGTATTTAATAGATAAACAGTAATTGATATTCATGCTAAGCCAAGGTAAATATCTGGTTTTATAGATGGGATTTGTCTTTTAACTACTTCCTTAATTATATTAGGTATATAGGACAACGTTAAAAGATCAGAAGCTTCACATATACACTGAACACTACGGTCCTTATTTACCTTAGTTTTGCATTTTATATTAATAAAAAGCCCATTATTTTCATTCAAAGTCGCACATTCTATAAAATCGCCGTCTCCAAATGGACTTATCATCGTTGTCATAACATAGCTCACTTCAACAGGTTTTACCCCTGGATTATAAAAATCATCAGAAGATTTAGCTATTGCAGTTTTTATATATTGTGGATTATTAGGTTCAGAATAATTATAAGTGTTTTTAACTTCTAAGATCGAGCAAGATAAGACAATATCATCTGACATTGAACAAGAGTCTGGGCTGCTGAGTTCCTCATTTGATTTTTGTACAAAAGACTCACTTCGGTTCAATGAGGCAGTGGTCAGCACGTAAATAAAATATCGTGAGTCGTCATTGTCATGTTTTGTATCTACAGAAATTTGCACTGTGGTGTTTTTGGATCAATTGATTTTAGGCTCAAAAGTCTTATTTTTGGGGAGGGTAATTAAGGTTATGTTCATATAGTCTCCTGGGATATCATATGGAGGCTCATTTGCATTAGTATCAACTTGATATTTTTCAGTCAAATTTTTCACAATATCCTGTGCCTGTATATATGTTTCTGCTGAAGTTTTATTGCTTTCTCCGCTGCTTGATAGACTTTCTGTCCTATTCGATATGATGCCTATTACTTTTATACCTTGAGTTAAGGTTCCTTGGTCGATTTTCGTTGCTTTAGACAAAACATTTTTCAAGCTCCCTGTAATATCTTCTATTAAATTAGTATTGAGAGACTCAGATTTGTTAACAAAAACTCTTAGAACATCTACAGCAGTATTAACTTCAGAAAGGCTCATCTCATCTTTATCAGTCCATTCATTAAAGGCCCCTATTAAAGTGCTCATAACTTCTTGCGTTGAATTTTGATCGGTTTCATTAGAATAAGTAAGTTGGACTATAGCGACCATTTTGGATACAAAAACAGTGCCTCCAAGTTTAAGACTCTCTTTTTTTAATGCATTAGCTTCACCAAGCAGATTTGAATTTTCCTGGTTTGGATTCACAGTTATAGTCAAGCTTGAATTCTGAAAAGTCCCGCGGCTGTCATAGACTCTTCCTAGCAACTTTACCTTTCCTTCTTTGCCTAAGGTAATATTGAAATTGTTTTGAGTTGTTTTAGGAGTAATTGCAACAACACCATCATTCGTCACTTGCAAAACTTGATAATAAAAAGTTGGAGAATAATTAAATATGACGTCGTGGCCAAGGCATGGCCTCCAGGACATGCAGCTTTGAGCAGATATTTAATTATATCAATTTTTTGCAAAACTAGAAATGGGCAGCAATACTAGGTAAGCAATTCTTGAGGTGTTTGGAGTCTAGCTGAAGTCTGCTTTCAAGATCGGATTTTACCTTGTAGGAAAGGGAAATAAGAGATGGAAAGGGGAAGCCCAGCTAGGTCTAAAGGCGATGCCTAGAACAATTGGGCAATCTCTAGCGTGAAATTGAGAGTTAACTCTCAGACTTCGAACTTTTCCCTTTACTGAAAGTGACCAGAAATTTTATTTTTGGTTTCTGTGTGGATAACCTTTGTCCTGCCCCAGCAGCAGCTGCAGAAGTCCATAGACCGTCAACTCAACACTGGAGCTGCAATCAAGGAGGAAGCTAACTCCCCCCCTCCGTGAGTGAATAAAACCATTGGAAAGATCCCTATTTTTTGTTCAAAAACCCACCCTCCGTGAGCTAACAAAAATTGTTTTAATAAAAAAATTTGATATATAAGTGATAATTATTATAATAAAATCTCGAGTTATACTGTTTAATTTTAACAAATTGCGCTTTAAAACATAAATTTTTATAAATTAAATTAATATTTGCATTCCAATTTTTGCGAATTTCGAAAAAAAAAATTTCTATAAAATTTATATATAAATTTTTTTAAAAAAAAAATTAACCCTCTCTGTGAGAGAACAAGAATTTTTTGTTCGCTCACGGAGGGGGGAGTAAGGAAAAAGAGTGAAGACTTCGATGTCTCATGGGCGTCAGGGCCGAAGGAGGAGGTTTCGATACCTTTCCCGCTGGGGAAAACCATCTCAACCAGACCCAGCTTGACCGACTGCATCGCAAAGTGCATGAACTCTCGAGGGGATACTTAGAGAGGACGCTGCCAATAGGCAGAGCCAACCTATAATTAAGATTAAGATAATAAAAAGGCGTGTTGTTTTCAAGATCTCGCCAGCTATTGAATTCTATTTGAAATTGGTCTTTTAAAGCAATTCCTTCAGAAGGTGTTACTGAAAATGTCCCATTCTGAGGAGGGCAGTTTACAAGTCTGGTAGTCTCTATTTCTATATTTTTGTCACTGTCACTTATATTAGTTACTTGTATGCTTAAAATATATAAATAACAGCTAATAAATAAATAAAAATAGGATGATATAGTCAGAAGAAAAGGTATATAGCAAAGCTATATCTGACCCCAGGTGTAAGTACAAATGGTTCAATAGAGTATGAACACTGATTTGTTGGTGTTGATGTGCTTATTATATTGTCTTTTGGCAACTTTTGGACTCATTTGCATTCTAAGCCTTCTTGTTTTGGCATCGAAGGGGTAAATCTAATTCAGTCTGACCAGTCGTAAAACTCAGGTGGATAAGAGACAGAAACTTCAGGAACCTCTACTTTCGTGACTTTAAAATAGCAAGCAGTTTCAATGATGCCTGGAGAAGTTGTTGAGTTAGGGTTTGCCCAGATCGTAAAGTTGCACCAAAAATCATCATTAACCTTTGGCTGGTAGAAGAATTCACCATTATTGGATATGTTCCTCGTCACTGTGCCATTTGCACAGAAGATGTCTTTTAGATATAAACTATATTTTTTATCAGAAGAACCGTCACTGTAAAGAAGTTTAGCATAAAATGGAAATTTTCGTTTTGCGTTAATCGTGGTATTGACACCTTGGACTACTATTTTTGGCAAGTCAAGCTTAGCTGTAATTTGTTTTTCTAGAGTTTGGACCTGATAATTAGGATCATTTGGATTAATATACCTACAGAATGCGGATCGATTTCCATTGGGGTTATCTCAAGCCTATTGGATATCTCACAAGCTAAATTAGCCATATGGAGAGTTAAAAGGGTGAATACCCTATAGCAACGATAATATTATAATCGCCCTCTTCATTAAATATAACTGATATTTCTTTTTGACCAGTAATTAATTTTTTATTAGCTTGGTTGCTTTTTGGATAATAATTTCATGTCACGTCAGGAACAATTTTTGAGTTTTCTGCACTAAAATAATAATTGACAGAAAAATCTGCAGTTTTATTCACATATATAATGCTTGGGGTAATCAGCTCAACAGTGTATTTATTTTGACTGGTTTTTACAGTCCATCTATCAGAAGGTTCGCTTGTATGGCTTCATGCGTCAGTTACAGATAACTCTATATTGTAATCTAAATTACCGCCACTACAATCCGCTTGAATATTAACAACAGCACCCTTTAGCTGCTGCTGGTATTTTTGCTTGATAGTCCACAAATATGTTGTTTTATCACCATAGACCACTGATTCAGAGCCATCAAGTTTTAGATTGCATCCACAGCAAATCTCTCCTGGCGCTTTTATTTTAGCTGTTGGCCGTTCAGGGCTAGGGACATCAAATGTTAAATATCGGAGATTTCCTGAGGTGTCGTTCAAATTTTCCAAAAATACGTTATTTTTAAAGGTTAGTGTAGGAGGGAGAGTTTTAGAGCCGTCCATGATGACTTCTAATGTCTGATAGGTCGATTTATCAATTGAGCATGATACCATGGCGCCACCAATTTCTGATAAAGTTAAATCGTCAAAAATAGCATTGCAGCTACTTAAAATTGGATTTAGTACTATGTTTGATATATTCACAGAAAACTTCCCAAATTTTCCATATATTATATACCGATTTACCAAGAATAAGCACTAATTCCAAAATCATTGAAAAAATCCCTAATTTCTGCCTAAAAATCCACCCTCCGTGAGTGAACAAAAAAGAAATTTAACATAAAAATTTTGATGAAAAAAAAAATTGATATCTAAAAGATAATTATTATTAATGGAATCTCTAGCTAATTATTGTTTAATTTTAAACAGATTGCAAATAAATAAATATTTGCTTTACAATTTTTGCGAAATTGGGATTTTTTTAATTTCGAAAAAAAAAATTACTATAAATTTTGTATAATTATCAAAAAAATTAGCCCCTCTCCGTGAGAGAACAAGGGAATTTTTTGTTAGCAAACACAATATTGACTTTCAAATTTGCTGATAGCTATGCTTGCTGTCTAATCAGTTTAAATTGGTAAACCAAAAAATGTTTCTTAGAGCACAATTCTTCATACACAGAAATATGTACTCATTCAAGCGATTTTTCTGAAATTTTTTTAGAAAAACTGTCAGAGGTAGGGGTTATTGACCACTTATAGCTGGAATCGCTTATATTTAAAGAAAAGCTCAATTGTGATTGCAAATTAAAACTAGGGCTCGGTTTGATTCTAAAAATAGAGCTATCACTTCCATAGTTTCATTCAAATTCTATATCCCCATTTTCGCTATTATTTTTTATAATTTTGCTAATATCAGGCATACTAAGACCTCTGTGATTTTCATCATTACTCAATTTTCTCGAAAAACAGCTCTGACAGTTGCTCGTTACAGTAAAATTTTTACTTCAGTCCCCAATGACAAACTTTTCCTCTGGTAAACTAATTTTAAAACACAGAAAGTCTTCATTTATATCTATATCCCCACAATCTTTACAGTCAGATTTCTTAATGCACATCTCACACAAAGGATAGGCACACGAATCTTTGCAGCTTACTGAGCCATCTTCTGCATAAACACTTATTTGGCAGTTATCACAAGTCCTCCCATCATTATTTGATTTTTTATTCCCAGGGCAAGATTTACAAGTATATCCATCAATGTAATCAGTCAGTTTTTTGCATTTGCAGCATTGCTCAGGGCCTGTGCAGGTATCGCAGTTTTCATCTGAGCATTTAGAATTGCAGTCGTAGTCTTGGAGATTGTTAGAATAATACCCACTAGAGCATGGACAGTTTGGACAGTTGCAGCCTGCTATAGTTTTGCAATAGTTATAATTGACTGAGCAGTCATTGCAGCTAAACCCATTTTTATTTGATACTTTACCTGGAGGGCAAGCCTTACACATACCGTTATCAACCCATAGAGTTATATCACTGCAATAGGAGCATTGGCCTGGACCTGTGCAGACCTGACAGTTGGAATCACTGCAACTGATGCAATTGGTGCCACTTTTGTAGTATCTATCAGCACAAATACATGATGAATCTGTTTTGTCTGGGATGAGCATTCCTTTGCATTTGCATGAAGTGGTGTCAGGCTCCATAGTGCTTGGATTTTTGCAATTGCTGCATTTTCCTGAGAAGTCATCACATTGGGAGCATCAATGGCCACAAGCAATACAACTTGTTCCATTCCAAAAATCCCCAGCATTCTTGCATTTGCAAGTCTTATTATCCTTTTTTATCTCCATTTCTATCCCACCTTTACAGCTTATGCAGTTTCCAGTCTCATTTTCACATTTTTCACATAAAAATCCACACTTTTGGCAGGTTGAGCTATTGAACCATTCATCCTCCCCACATTTGCATTGCCCATCAGCCAGGGTTTGATTTCCTATGCATGAACAATTCAGATTATTTTCTGGGTCAATTGTCATTCTCCAAGGGCCATCACATATTTCACATGAATTTTTGTTGCAAGCGCTGCAATTAGTCCCACATTCTTTGCATTTTAAATCATTATCAAGAAAATACCCAGCTTTGCATTTACAGTCGTTCTCATAAATATCCATACTGGTCTCATCTATGCATTTTTGACACAGTCCGGATTGGTTATTGCAGTCAGAGCATAAACTGCCACATAAGTTTGTGGGGTTGTCGAGGCAAGCTGAAGCTGTGCAGTTTTTACAATTATCTGGGCAGTTATTACATTTGTATCCGTCATAGTAAGTTCCAAGAGAGCATTTCTGGCAAGAGTTTTCTGAGGAAATCCAATTGTACCCATTTTTACAGTGGCAGGTTTTTGGGCTGCTCAGGTCAATTTCAAGATGCTCAATGCTTTCACAGAGCAAACATTTGGTTTCATCACAAGTAGAACAAAGATTTCCACAGTCTTGACAGGTTGAGTTATCAAAATAGCCTTTGTGGCAGTAGCAAGAGCGTGACACACTGTCATATTGCTGGCTTCCTCTGCATTTACAAGTTTTTAGATTATCAGAACTCACTTCCATTGTAATATTATGTTGGCATTTGCTACAAATTCAAGTCAAATCTGAGCATTCAGCGCATAAGCTGCCACAAGGTAAACAGTTTAAGGTATCAAAATAATATCCAGCTGGGCAAATGTATTATATTACATTAATTAAAGTGTTTAAGGCGTCTAACGCCACATTCCTACTAAAGGGACAGAGCCAAAATGGTTATATCACGAGTATTTTGGATCCAAAGTTCGCTCTGCTCCTGCGAATGCTCCACCTAATGGCCACCCTGCTAGGATTGCTGAGCATTTTGATGTACCGAGAAGCAGTTCTTCTAGTTATCCCAAAGCTAAAGCGCTACTGCTGTGCAGAATTTCTAACTCTCCCCCCCCCCCTCCGTGAGCGAACAAAAAAATTTTGTTCACTCACGGAGGGGGGGTTAATTTTTTTTTTTAAAAAAAATTTATATATAAATTTTATAAAAAATATTTTTTTTCGAAATTTAAAAAAATCCTAATTTGCAAAAATTGGGAAGCAAATATTAATTTAATTTGCAAAATTTATGTTTTTAAAACGCAATTTGTTTAAATTAAACAGAATTAGCTCTAGATTTCATTATACTAATTATCACTTATATATCAAAATTTTTTTCCATTAAAAATTTTTTCTATTAAAAGAATTTTTGTTCACTCACGGAGGGTGGGTTTTTGGTCAAAAATGGCGATTTTTCTAATGGTTTTGTTCGCTCACGGAGGGGGGGGGGGGAGTAAAGAGAAATCAAAATTCCATGAGGGATAAAAATTAGCAGAGCTAATTTCTCTCGAACCGAATACTATTTTATTTGTCTAACTGGCCAAATACAATTATCAACTGTTGCTATTTGGTTTCCTTTGCATTGACAAGTAATTGAGTTACTAATTGGCTTCATTCTTTCATTTATACACTCATTGCAAGTATTTCCAACTAAATCGCAGCTAGTGCAGAATGTTCCACAGGGCGAACATTCAATCCCATTAAACTGTTTTCCACTAGGACAAGTACATTGACCATTAATATATATTTGATCCCCAATACATCTACAAGTTTTTTTATTAAATTGGTCTATTTCCATTTTAGGATCAACACAGCCTTGACATTCACCTGTAAACTCATCACACTTGCTGCATAAATCAGAGCACAGTACACAATTAGAGCTATCGAAATAAGTCCCTGAAGGGCAGACACAAACTGATTCATAGGTTTGGTTTCCTATACAAGTGCAGATTTTTGGGTCATTTAGGTCTTTAGACATTCTGTCTTTGCAGGTTATGCAGTCTCCAGTTTGTTTGTCACAATAATTACAATTAGTATGGCATGATTCACAAGAAGATCCATTTAAATAGCTCCCGTCGTCACAGCATGTAGAGTTTTTAATAGGGATTGTCCCGCTTACATTTATGTCTTCTGTACAGTCATTACATATACCAGTCGTTTTATCGCATAATATACAGCCGTTTGGACACTTTTCACACAATGAAGTTAATGAATTAAAATAAAAACCGTCAGAACAACAGGTAGGGCTTTTAGGCTTAATTTCTCCACTAATTGTTAATTCTTCATCACAGTTTTCACAGCCTTCTGTTTTATTACAGCAGCTTGTGGGGCATGGCTCACAAGAGCCATTATTATAGAATTTCCCATCACAACATGTAGTGTTTTTACCATTAATTTCACAGACAGAGCAACTGTTTCCACATCCTTGGCAAGCATTGTTTTCTTTAAGAAAATACCCTTCACTGCAAATACAATTGTTTCCAAAAACTTGCATTTTGATTTCATCAATGCATCGTCTACAAAGCTCTAGTTCTTTATCGCAGTCAGCGCATAAACTCCCACATTTATTTTCAATACATTCTCCAGTTGTTTTATTACAATTTTTACAATTGTTAGGGCATGGCTCACAAGAAGACCCATTTAGATAATTCCCATCACTGCAACATGCAGAATTTTTAATAGAAATTGTCCCAATTATACTTAAGTCATCTTCACAGTCTTGACACACTCCTGTTGTTTTATCGCATAATATACAGTTATTTGGACATTTATCGCATACAGAAGATGAATTTAAATAAAATCCATCAGCACAGCACATAGGGTTTTTGATTTGGATTTCTCCACTAACTGTCAATACTTCGTCACAATTACTGCATGTTCCTGTTATATTGCAGCTCAAGCAACTATTAGGACACGACTCACAAGCAGCAGAGGTTTTATTATAAAATTTTCCATCACAGCATGTCGTGTTTTTTCCATTTATATCGCAAAGACTACAATTATTTCCACATCCTTGACAGATGGCATCATTTAGAAAATACCCTTCACTGCAAATACAATTGTTTCCAAAAACTTGCATTTTGATCTCATCAATGCATCGTCTACAAAGCCCTAATTCTTTATCGCAGTCAGTGCATAAACTCCCACATTTATTTTCAATACATTCTCCAGTTGTTTTATTACAATTTTTACAATTGTTAGGGCATGGCTCACAAAAAGACCCATTTAGATAATTCCCATCACTACAACATGTAGAGTTTTTAATAGAAATTGCCCCAATTATACTTAAGTCATCTTCACAGTCTTGACACACTCCTGTTGTTTTATCGCATAATATACAGTTATTTGGACATTTATCGCATACAGAAGATGAATTTAAATAAAATCCATCAGCACAGCACATAGGGTTTTTGATTTGGATTTCTCCACTAACCGTCAATACTTCGTCACAATTACTGCATGTTCCTGTTATATTGCAGCTCAAGCAATTATTAGGACACGACTCACAGGCATTAGAGGTTTTATTATAAAATTTTCCATCACAGCATGTCATGTTTTTTCCATTTATATCGCAAAGACTACAATTATTTCCACATCCTTGACAGATGGCATCATTTAGAAAATACCCTTCACTGCAAATACAATTGTTTCCAAAAACTTGCATTTTGATCTCACCAATGCATCGTCTACAAAGTCCTTGATCTTTATCGCAGTCAGTGCATAAACTCCCACATTTATTTTCAATACATTCTCCAGTTGTTTTATTACAATTTTTACAATTGTTAGGGCATGGCTCACAAAAAGACCCATTTAGATAATTCCCATCACTACAACATGTAGAGTTTTTAATAGAAATTGTCCCAATTATACTTAAGTCATCTTCACAGTCTTGACACACTCCTGTTGTTTTATCGCATAATATACAGTTATTTGGACATTTATCGCATACAGAAGATGAATTTAAATAAAATCCATCAGCACAGCACATAGGGTTTTTGATTTGGATTTCTCCACTAACTGTCAATACTTCGTCACAATTACTGCATGTTCCTGTTATATTGCAGCTCAAGCAACTATTAGGACATGACTCACAAGCAGCAGAGGTTTTATTATAAAATTTTCCATCACAGCATGTCATGTTTTTTCCATTTATATCGCAAAGACTACAATTATTTCCACATCCTTGACAGATGATATCACTTAGAGAATATCCTTCACCGCAAATGCAATTGTTTCCAAAAACTTGCATTTTGATCTCATCAATACACTGTCTACAAAGTCCTAGTTCTTTATCACAGTCAGCGCATAAACTGCCACATTTAAGTTCAATGCATTCTCCAGTTGTTTTATTACAGTTTCTACAATTGTTTGGGCATGGCTCACAAAAAGACCCCTTTAGGTAACTCCCATCACTGCAACATGTAGAGTTTTTAATAGGAATTGTCCCACTTATACGTAAGTCCTCTTTACAATCTTGGCACACTCCTGTTGTTTTATCGCATAACATACAGTTATTTGGACACTTATCGCATACAGAAGATGAATTTAAATAAAACCCATTAGCACAGCACACAGGATTTTTTATTTTGATTTCTCCACTAATTGCCAATTGCTCTTTGCAGCTCAAGCAACTATTTGGGCACGACTCACAAGCTTCAGAAGTTTTATTATAAAATTTCCCATCACAACACATCGTGTTTTTTCCGCCTATATCACAAACACTGCAATTATTTCCACATCCTTTGCAAACTGTGTTATCAAGAAAATACCCATCATTGCACACGCAGTTGCTTCCAGAAGAATGCATCTTAGAATCATCTATGCATGATTGACAAAGTCCTAATGATTCATTGCAGTCATCACATAAATCACCACATAGAATTGTGGAATTTTTAATGCATTCTCCAGTCGTACTGTTGCAATTTGGACACTCGTTTGGGCATGATTCACAATTTCCTGTTCTATTAAGCTGCGCTTAATAATGCTAGCTTCCTATATAATAATCTGCTGTCTTATTTTATCTAAAAAAATAATTTATAGCCCTATTTAATTTCTATAATTCTCTTAAATATTGTTTATTATAAAACTGTCCATAACAGCAAATTCCATTTATTGTTGAATTGTTTTCACATTGATTGCATGATGAATTTATTGTAAAATTTAGTGTGGCGTCATTATTATAATCCTTATAGCAGCATGTTGTATTTTGTTTTCTAGGAATCGTCCCTTTTACGCTGATTTGTTCATTGCATTGGCTGCAAGAAGAGGAAATGGTCACGTTTGAATTTATCTCGTTATTACAACTATTACACTGAGTATTTGTGCTGTTATAAGATTTTGAGCGTGTAATATTGGCTTGAATAGCTATTTCTTCATAACATTCGATGCAGCTGCCTGATGAGTCGTATGATAAGCAAGAGTTCTGCTGGAGAAGCCTTGGGTAGGTCACTCCACTTTTGTATTCGGCAGTTTTTGAAACTTGGCTTGGGTTGAGAATTCTTCAATGAGAAATCTCTGAAAATTTGTTGACTTGATTCATAAAAGCTAAACATTGAGGCAAATGTAAAAGAAAGAGAAAAAAGAAAATGATTTTCATATAATTTACAAGATTTTATAGAATGAATTCTACTTAGCCTTTAAGGCTATACATAAGATAAATATTATAAAGTTTTGTTTTGCTCCATTTTGCTTATCTTTTTCTCCTAGAAAAAATAAAAGTCATTTTTTTAAAAATAATATTCAGACATAAATTTTTTCTATTTGAATAATTCTTGTATATAATTTTTTCATATTTATCATATTAACTAGATAGACAATCCAAACATAGAATTTTATTCTAAATTATAAAGAATTAAAATTTATTGAGGCACGACTTTTGAGAAAAGAAAGGGCTTGCTCTTCATTTAGATGAAGTTAGAAGAAATTGAATAATTTTATGAGTTGTTAAATAAATAATGTGTATGAAAATTGCAAGATTATTTTAAAAAAATCTATTACTGATAGATTTTACAAAGTGTCACATTTTAATTAATTTTTTGTGAATCTACTTTATATAATATATTTTATAAGCCAACTGCCTTGGGCTGACTAAAAGAAAGAGAATAATATGGTAAATCTTTTTATTAAAATAAAATCAATGACTATCAAACGCATTTGTTATTATAGAATTATATTATTAATGCTAGATTTGTTCTTCTGCAGCATTTATGATTAAGTCTTCATTTTCTGGATGTATTGAAGCATTTTCTCTCCTTTTGCAACAAAACATTCTCTTGAACGCTGCATAGCATGCCAATAGCCACCTTTTAATAATAATTTGAATTCCAATTGTTTTATGCAATGCAATTAATGCTGGCTTTATCACTCCTATAAAAATAACTGTTGTAAACATACTAATAAAAATGGTTTGAATTAATTTGATGGGCTGTATACTCTACTCCATGCCAAGTTTTTCCCTCAGTAGTATATGGGTCTGGAAGTTGGAAAGGAGTTTTTCCACAGAGTCTATGGCGTTCGTCCTGACCAGTTAGGACTATTCCTCAGTATGAAGCTGGAGTTACGCTATGGGCTAAGAATTTCCATCTTAGCTAAGAATCGACCAGAAAATTCAACCCTTTTGAATTTTTAGTGGTGGTTAGCTACTCGACTCATCCCTATTGGCAGTGAACTCAGGCCCTGTTCGGCAGGATTAATCTTCGTAATTCATGAAATGCGAACTGGCAAGCAGGCAGTGAAGCGTTACGGGTGGAGATAATCCTTGTAGAATTCTCGATAAGTTTAATTAACGCTAATGGTTTGAATTAAACTTACCTGCTGGTCATAGTCTAAATTTCCTGCATTAATGCATGAAGAAACAAACATTCCTATCATAAAAAGCCAGCACACACCAAAAGATACCTTGGATAATTTATTTGAATATTTTTTTCCTTCCTCTAAATACTCTTTATCAAGATAATTGCTAGGCAAAAATTGCCCAGCCATAAGAACAGCTTGATTAATTACGAGCGTAAATGCATATAAAACTAGTTGAACTTGAGAAAAGTTAAGGATAGAGAATTCACTATAAAAATACGTTTGAGCTCCAAAAAATAGTATTGTAATCCAGCAGCAAAGGAAAATATTTATCATTAATAAAGTAAGTCTCGCTGTCCTCGTAAAATTTAAATCTGTAAAGCTAATTAATCCAAAAACCAAGCTGTTTTGGAGAAAATAGTAAATAAAAGATTTCTCAGGCTTGTAGTTATTTTTCATATGATTTTCCAAAAATTTTATAAAGAACCCATAAGAATTTATGTCGTAATTGAATCAACTTTTTTGTGAGTCAATGCTTATAAAAATATCTTCGTTTGGTTCCTGCTCGAAGTCATTAACTACTCCATTCTCATGATTATTATTTCTAGAGTCATTTTTCATATCTTCGATGATCCTCTTTTTCGTCTTTTTATCTAATTTAGTTCTTTGATTATTATTTTCTTCAACAAGTTTAAAGATTCTAGCTTCATTTGGGTCGGTTTTAAAAATAGAGACAAGCCTTGCAAAACATTTTTTTCTGGGTTTTATTTTTGCTATTAGTTCTTGAAACTCCTGATTTTCGTCTTCCAGATTTTCAATTATAGGCCTAATTTCATTCATATGAATGTTAAATAGTGCTTCTTTTGAATGCTTAATAATCCTATCTTTTGTCAATAAAAAATTAGCAAAATTTTTATCCTCAATTGGTCTTGTGCCAAAATTTTCTGAATTTTGAATGATTGCTGTCTTCATTCTTTCCAGGTCTTTTTTAATTTTTTTAATTGTATTAAAATTTGTGTCATAAACGACACTTTCAATTGATTTTTTAATAGATTTTATAATAAATCTACTTTTAGCTTTTAAGAATTTTCCAGTAAGCATGTCAAGTTTCCTCATATCTCTAAATAAAAGCACATAAATAAGCGTTAATAAGCTAAAAATTATTATTGGAATCAGTGTCATTTCATTGAATATATCTGGATCAAACTTGTCTACAACGTATTTCATGACTGAGCTTACATCTGGGGATAGAAATGGTGCAATTAAGCCATTAAAGTTACATTTACAAGTCACAGTGTTCCCATCAGGAATTGTTTCGCAGTGAGAGCCTCCAAAAACTTCTGTTTCGCTATCTAATATAAAACAATTTAAATCTGAGGCAGAACCAGACGTAGGGTTTGGAAAAACCACACTTACTGAGCTGATATTTACTATCTGAGTTGCTGGCTTTAGTTCTCCTTTATCGATTTTGCTAATATTAGGCTGCACATAAAATGTTTCTTCAGAGATGTTATAAGCAAAAGTTTGATTTATGCTAGAGGAGAGACATTTTAGGTCAAGACTATCTATTTCGCAAGGATTACTATTTGGAAGAATTTGGGTAAATTTGGTTGCATACTAGCAGAGACGTTACCAAAATTATTTGTGGTTATAATGGGAATATGATACACGATATTTCCAGAGTCCTTGGCTGCATCTGTTTCAAAAGCAACTGTGCAATTAGATAAGTTAGTGTTTCAATAATTCACATTTTTAACTGTTTTATAATCCTTAGATTCCAAAGTTACGTTAAAAGTGTCTCCTTGGATTTCTATAATAGGCTCATTAGGATTTGTCTTTTTTTGGCATTTTTCAGACGACAGACTGACTGAGTTCGTGAGTTTTGCCCATATATCTGCATAAGTAGCATTATTATTTTTGCTCTCCCCATTGCTCAAAATCTGGCTAGATCTTCCAGAAACAATATCCACTTGTTTTATAAACACCTTATAAGTGTTATCATCCAGAGTGTCTGCTTTGCTTAAAGCATTATCTAAGCTTTTACTGATATTCTGTATTAATTCTTCACCATAGCTAGTACTTTCATTGAGAAAGACGCTGATAACGTCAAAAGTTGTGCTTACGTCAATATCAGTCATTTCTTTACTGTCAGATCAATTATTTAGCGCTTGCAATAAAGTGCTGACAACACTTTCTGTGCTTGCTCCACTAGTTGGGTTTTGGAATGTATATTGAGATATTGCGACAATGCTAGATAAATATAAGGTTTGGTCCATATTTGCTCCATTATTTAATAGGTTTTTAGCTTGGTCATTTGAACCAACAGAGCTAGGATTAACTGTTAAATTAAAGCTGAGATCTGCAAAAGTTCCTAAGCTATCGTAAACTCTACCAATTAAAGGAACTTTTCCGTTGCTTTCTCCAATTGTAATATTGAAATTATTGCTGCTTGTTTTTGATGTAATAGCAACTGTTTTCCCATTGCTTTGCACCTGAAAAATTTGATAAGAAATAGGCAAGTTTTTTTCTGGGTCCACAAATCCTTGGAAAACTGTACTAAAAGGAGTCTCTAAAACTGTCCCTGAGGTTGGAGTAACTGTAAACGTCCCAAACTTTGGAGGACTATTAACCCATCTTCTTGTCGAAACGTCTGCTGTGGCATTTGTTTTTGTATTTCTTACATGAATTGTGAATTCATACTCTTTTTGAGGCTCAAGGCAACGCTCTGGAATGGTATAAGAAGACTGGTTTCTAGGGGTATTGAGAATGGCTGGATCAATTTTTGTGTTATTGTCAGTTTGTTCTCAGTGAAACACAAGATTTGTTTGGTCTGGAATGTTTGCCATAAATCTTATAGGTGCGGTTGGGTCGAAGTATGACTTACTCCCCCCCTCCGTGAGTGAACAAAAAAATTTTATTCACTCACAGAGGGTTTAATTTGTTTTTTTAAAAACATTTATATATAAATTTTATAAGAATATTTTTTTTCGAAATTTAAAAAAATCCTAATTCGCAAAATTTATAAAATTTATGTTTTAAAAAAGCAATTCGTTCAAAATTAAACAGAGGGAGCTCTAGATTTCATTATACTAATTATCATTTATATATCAAATTTTTTTTTCATAAAAAATTTTTTTATTAAAAAAATTTTTTGTTCACTCACGGAGGGTGGGTTTTTGGGCAAAAAATAGGGATTTTTCTAATGGTTTTGTTCACTCACGGAGGGGGGGGAGTTAGGATAAGTGACGTAGACTTCTGGGACTGGCGTAGATGTTATATTTAAATAGCACAAAGTTGAGGCATTAAATCCAGAATAAATTTCAGCTGTTACATAAAAATAGCATGTATAATAATCTTTGACTTCACCATAGCTTTTAAATACAAAATCCCCATTGCCAACTCTACGAAAAGTTGCTCACTTCGGACATCCATAGCTTATCTGGTAATCAATGGCATAATTTTTGCTATAAGTTCCGTTCTGATATAAAAAAGTAGCACTAAATGTTACTGTAGTAAAATTATTATAAGTAGAGTTAACACCTGTCACAAAAATTATTGGAACCTCTGGCATTACACTAATTGTGGCAACATCACCTCCATATTTGCCATTATCCATAAAAACTGTTAAAGAAATACTATATGTATCAGGGCTGGGGAATTGTATAGAAATATCTTTCTGATTAGGATTCTTTAAACCTTTTACAAGAGGTGTGACAGATCATTCATATTTCTGGACAGTTCCATTGCCTACAGCTACGGAGTCTGCAGAGAAGCTTGAGTATTTACTAGTATCATATGACAAATCATACTCCTTTATATACTTTTCTATGGGATTTGCAACTTTATTTTAATTTTAGCATATAAAATATATAATTTGCCGTACTATTCTTTTTAGTATATCGACAATAACAGACTCTTTCACAATAGAAATCGTCCACGAAGTAGAATTCTGAAATCCGCATGAGTCAGTAACCTTTAAAGTCACATTTGTCGTAGTCTGAACTGATAAATCTGGAACAGTATAATAAAATACAGATTCTGTTGATTTTGTTAAACCATCAACAATCCATGCATAATTCAAGCCACCACTCCCAATTGATCCAGTCCCATCCAATTTTACCATACAGGCACTGCAAGCTTGCTTTGGGGCACTTAAAATCGCTATAATTGACCCATCATCTGCTTTACTTGGACATGAACAATAATTTTTATCATTAAGCTCCGCATTATATATAGGATTTTCCTACAATTTTTTCACTAATTTAAAAAACAATTTAAATTATTTTGTGGCTATTTATGGGAAATTCTATATGCATTCTTCACAAATCCCTGTGGTATAGTCGCACTTATTACATAAAGGATCATAACAATTATCACAAATTTTTGTTTCTTTACAACTTCCTTTGATAATTTGTAAAGCATTAATTATACCTTTATCGATTACTGAAATAATCTCAAAATCAAGCTGTCCTTTATTTTTAGTGAGATCATAATTAGAGGATTGGTATTTTACTATGCTTTTTAATACGCTGAACTCGTAAAAAAAGTCGACAGCGATGTTTTTGCCTCCTGTTAACTGATAAATATCGAGAAACTCAAATAGAGACTGACCGCAAAAATTCATGGAAAACACTCTGGAAGCTGCAGAATCGTATTGGATTTCGGCAAATCTTAATATGAGAACATAATCTCCATCAGCTAAGTCTATACTGAATTTATAATGAGAATCTAAAGACACTCATAAGCCAGTTTGATAAAGGGTCTGGTCTTTTGTGTGGGATATTGTTGATGAAGTAGAAATACTGGAATAGTAACAACTTGAACCGGTGCTGTCAGCTGGAAAAGTTATGGAATTTGAAGACAGATAGCTTGAAGAACTTCCAAAATTTTGAGCTTTAATGACTTGCAAGCTTGTTGAAGAAGTTAAACTGAAAAAAATCCAGAGACTTAGAAGTCCTGAAAACTTTTCCATTTGTTCTATAATTATACTGTATTATCATAATTCTAAGCCAAATAATTTAATAAAATACCTATAATGATTATTTAATAAAAAACAGTATTTGAATTTTTCTCAATGATTTTAGAAGCAAAAATATTAAATTTTTGCAATTAAGAGTCCAAAAATATTTAAATCAATTCTACATAATTTTAATAAAATAATTTACAATTTACAAAACTAAAATTGCGAATTTTGCAGCAATCTTCATTTTTCTTTGTGGATTTGTAGACTCGTATAAAAATTTAGCTATGAAAAACTCAAAGATTTTTATTGCAGCGATCAAGAAAAATATTACCCCTGATATTACAGCATCAATTGCAACTAAACTGATTTCACCGAATAAAAATTTACAAAATAATGGTATTATCATCTATTCTTCAATATCCAGCATAATTTTATCTGCTTTACGCTTTCAAGAAATCTAGAATAATCAGATTTTCAGCCAAGATTTCACTATGAAATACAGGCAATTGTGAAAATTCGTCAAAAATTTTATAATTCAGACATGGTTAATAATTATTTTTATGCAAAATTACAAGGGAAACCATGGCTAGACTTCAGGAATTTTTTATACATTCTCCAGTCGTACTATTGCAATTTGGACACTCGTTTGGGCATGATTCACAATTTTTGTTCTATTAAGCTGTATTTAATAATGTTAGCTTCCTATATAATAATCTGCTGTCTTATTTTTAATAAAAATTTAATTTATGACCCTATTTAATTTCTATAATTCTCTTAAATATTGTTTATTATAAAACTGTCCATTACAGCAAATTCCATTTATTGTTGAATTGTTTTCACATTGATTGCATGATGGATTTATTGTAAAATTTATTGTGGCGTCATTATTATAATCCTTATAGCAGCATGCTGTATTTGTTTTCTATGAATCGTCCCTTTTACGCTGATTTGTTCATTGCATTGTTTGCAAGAAGAAGAAGAAATGGTCACGTTTGAATTTATCTCGTTATTGCAACTATTACACTGAGTATTTGTGCTGTTATAAGATTTTGAGCGTGTAATATTGGCTTGAATGGCTATTTCTTCAGAGCATAATATGCAGCTACCTGATGAGTCATATGATAAGCAAGAGTTCTGCTGGAGAAGCCTTGGGTAGGTCACTGCACTTTTGCATTTGGCAAGTTTTGAAGCTTGGCTTGGTCGAAAATTCTTCAATGCGAAATCTCTGGAAATTTGTTGACTTGATTCATAAAAGCTAAGCATTGAAGCAAATGTAAAAGAAAGAGAAAAAACAAAATGATTTTCATATAATTTACAAGATTTTATAGAATGAATTCTACTTAGTCTTCAAGGCTATACATAAGATAAATATTATAAAGTTTTGTTTTGTTCCATTTTGCTTAGAATGAATTAAATAATTTTATGAGTTTTTGAATAAATAATGTGTGCTAAAATTGCAAGATTATTTTAAAAAAATTATTAATGATAGATTTTACAAGGAGTCACATTTTAATTAATGCTTTGTGAATCTATTTCATATAAAATATTTATAAGCTAACTGCCTTAGGCTGACCAAAATAAGAGAATAATATTGCAAATCTTTTAATTAAAATCAAATCAATGACTATCAAACACATTGGCTATTATAGAATTATATTATTAATGCTAGATTTGTTCTTCTGCAGCATCTCTGATTAAGTCTTCATTTACTGGATGTATTAAAGCATTTTCTCTCCTTTTGCAACAAAAAATTCTCTTGAACGCTGCATAGCATGCTAATAGCCATCTCTTAATAAGAATTTGAATTCCAATGGTTTCATGTAATGCAATTAATGCTGGCTTTATCACTCCCATAAAAATAACTGTTGTAAGCATGCTAATAAAAATGGTTTGAATTAAACTTACCTGCTGGTCATAGTCTAAATTTCCTGCATTAATGCATGAAGAAACAAACATTCCTATCATAAAAAGCCAGCACACACCAAAAGATGCCTTGGATAATTTATTTGAATATTTTTTTTCTTCCTTTAAATACTCTTTATAAAGATAATTGCTAGGCAAAAATTGCCCAGCCATAAGAACAGCTTGATTAATTACGAGCGTAAATGCATATAAAACTAGTTGAACTTGAGAAAAGTTAAGGATAGAGACATCACTATAAAAATACGTTTGAGCTCCAAAAAATAGTATTGTAATCCAGCAGCAAAGGAAAATATTTATCATTAATAAAGTAAGTCTCGCTGTCCTCGTAAAATTTAAATCTGTAAAGCTAATTAATCCAAAAACCAAGCTGTTTTGGAGAAAATAGTAAATAAACGATTTCTCAGGCTTGTAGTTATTTTTCATATTTTTTTCCAAAAATTTTATAAAGAACCCATAAGAATTTATGTCGTAATTAAATAAGCTTTTTTGTGAGTCAATGCTTATAAAAATATCTTCATTTGAATCCAGCTCTAAGTCAATAACTACTACTGCATTCCCATAATTATCATTTCTAGAGTCATTTTTTATGTCTTCGATGATCCTCTTTTTCATCTTTTTATCTATTTTAGTTCCTTGATTAATATTTTCTTCAATAAGTTTAAAAATTCTAGCTTCATTTGGGTCGGTTTTAAAAATAGAGACAAGCCTTGCAAAATATTTTTTTCTGGGTTTTATTTTTGCCATTAATTCTTGAAACTCCTGATTTTCGTCTTCCAGATTTTCAATTATAGGCCTAATTTCATTCATATGAATGTTAAATAGTGCTTCTTTTGAATGCTTAATAATCCTATCTTTCGTCAATAAAAAATTAACAAAATCTCTATCCTCAATTGGTCTTGTGTCAAAATTTTCTAAATTTTGAATGATTGCTGTCTTCATTCTTTCCAAGTCTTTTTTAATTTTTTTAATTGTATTAAAATTTGTGTCCCAAACGACACTTTCAATTGATCTTTTAATAGATTTTATAATAAATCTACTTTTAGCTTTTAAGAATTTTCCAGTAAGCCTGTCAAGTTTTCTCATATCTCTAAATAAAAGCACATAAATAATTGTTAATAAGCTAAAAATCGCTATTGGAATCAGTGTCATTTCATTGTATATTTCTGGATCAAACTTGTCTACAACATATTTCATGACTGAGCTTACATCTGGGGATAGAAATGGTGCAATTAAGCCATTAAAGTTACATTTGCATGTCACAGTGTTCCCATCAGGAATTGTTTCGCAATGAGAGCTTCCAAAAACTTCTGTTTCGCTATCTAATATAAAACAATTTAAATCTGAGGCAGAACCAGACGTAGGGCTTGGAAAAACAACACTTACTGAGCTGATATTTACTATCTGAGTTGCTGGCTTTAGTTCTCCTTTATCGATTTTGCTAATATTAGGCTGCACATAAAATGTTTCTTCAGAGATGTTATAAGCAAAAGTTTGATTTATGCTAGAGGAGATACAATTTAGGTCAAGACCATCCATTTCACAAGTGTTGCTATTTGGAAGAATTTGGGTAAATTTGGTTGGTAGACTAGCAGAAACGTTACCAAAATTGCTTGTGGTTATAATGGGAATATGATACACGATATTTCCAGAATCCTGGGCTACATCTGTTTCAAAAGCAACTGTGCAATTAGATAAGTTAGTGTTTCAATAATTCACATTTTTAACTGTATTATAATCCCTAGATTCCAGAGTTACGCTAAAAGTGTCTCCTGGGATTTGTATAATAGGTTCATTAGGGTTGGTCTTTTTTTGGTATTTTTCAGATGACAGACTGAATGAGCTCGTGACTTTTGTCCATATATCAGCATAAGTAGCATTATTACTTTTGCTCTCCCCATTGCTCAAAATCTGGCTAGATCTTCCAGAAACAACATCCACTTGTTTAATAAACACCTTATAAGTGTTATCATCCAGAGTGTCTGCTTTGCTTAAGGCATTATCTAAGCTTTTACTAATATTTTGTATTAATTCTTCACCATAGCTAGAACTTTCATTGAGAAAGACGCTGATAACGTCAAAAGTTGTGCTTACGTCAATATCAGTCATTTCTTTACTGTCAGATCAATTATTTAGCGCTTGCAATAAAGTGCTGACCACACTTTCTGTGCTTGTTCCACTGGTTGGGTTTTGGAATGTATATTGGGATATTGCGACAATGCTAGATATGTATAAGGTTTGGTCCATATTTGCTCCATTATTTAATAGGCTTTTGGCTTGGTCAGTTGAACCAACAGAACTAGGATTAACTGTTATATTAAAGCTGAGCTCTGTAAAAGTTCCTAAGCTATCATAAACTCTGCCAATTAAAGGAACTTTTCCGCTGCTTTCTCCAATTGTAATATTGAAATTATTGCTGCTTGTTTTTGGTGTAATAGCAACTGTTTTCCCATTGCTTTGGACTTGAAAAATTTGATAAGAAATAGGCAAGTTTTTTTCTGGATCCACAAATCCTTGGAAAACTGCACTAAAAGGAGTCTCTAAAACAGTCCCTGAAGTTGGAGTAACTGTAAACGTGCCATACCTTGGAGGACTATTAACCCATCTTCTAGTAGAAACGTCTGCTGTGGCATTTGTTTTTGTATTTCTTACATGAATTGTGAATTCATACTCTTTTTGAGGCTCAAGGCAACGTTCTGGAATGGTATAAGAAGACTGGTTTGTAGGGGTAGTGAGAATAGCTGGATCAATTTTGGTGTTATTGTCAGTTTGTTCTCACTGAAACACAAGATTTGTTTGGTCTGGAATGTTTGCCATAAATCTTATAGGTGCGGATCAGTCGAAGTATGACTTAGAATAACTGACGTAGACTTCTGGGACTGGTGTAGATGTTATATTTAAATAGCACAAAGTTGAGGCATTAAATCCAGAATAAATTTCAGCTGTTACATAAAAATAGCAGGTATAATAATCTTTGACTTCACCATAGCTTTTAAATACAAAATCCCCATTGTCAACCTTACGAAAAGTTGCTCCCTTCGGGCATCCATAGCTTGCCTGGTAGTCAATGGCATAATTTTTGTTATAAGTTCCATTCTGATATAAAAAAGTAGCATTAAATGTTACTGTAGTAAAATTATTATAAGTAGAGTTAACACCTGTCACAAAAATTGTTGGAGCCTCTGGCATTACACTAATTGTGGCAACGTCAGCCCCATATTTGCCATTATCCATAAAAACTGTTAAAGAAAGACTATATACATCAGAGGTTGGGAATTGAATAGAAATATCTTTCTGATTAGGATTGTTTAAACCTTTTACAAGGGGTGTGACAGATCATTCATATTTCTGGACATTGCCATTGTCTACAGTTAAGGAGTCTGCAGAGAAGCTTGAGTATTTACTGGTATCATATGACAAATCATATACATTAAAATGGCGACACGTGTCAACCTGCACTCTTGGCGCAGTAGTCCAGACCTTATGGGCTACGGCGAACTGGGACGGACTCCGAGCTGAGAATCTAGTGCAGGCTCTAGAGGTGTGTATCCGGGTAGGTTTTGACTGCTTTCCTGTGGTTGGAAATGGAGGTGCTCGACAGCGTCCTTTGGATCCGAGGACCCATGGGCATTCCTGTACCGAGAAACTGGGGGTTTCGGCCCAGGCCACAGGGGAACAGTCCTTTTCCTGTAGCTGTCGAAGAAAGGCACTTCGACACCCGATAGACTCCAAGGAGTTGATCCCTGGAATCAAGCTACTCCAATCACCCGTAGCAGGGCCGCAGAAATCCATAAGCCGCCCACTCAAGACTGAAGCCTTAAGGCAAGGAGGAGACAGAAGGTACCGGAAGGGCACTCGCAAGAGGGATAGACCCTCTGGGCTGGAGTCGAAAAGCGGATGAACCTCCCCGTACGGGAGGTCTTTGGTGACTGCGCCACCAATATGGCTAACGCCTGACTTTAATAATCCTAATCATATGACAAATCATAACTCCTTTATATCGACAATAACAGACTCTTTCACAATAGAAATCGTCCACGAAGTAGAATTCTGAAATCCGCATGAGTCAGTAACCTTTAAAGTCACATTTGTCGTAGTCTGAACTGATACATCTGGGACAGTATAATAAAATACAGGATCTGTTCATTTTGTTAAACCATCAGCAATCCATGCATAAGTCAAGCCTCCACTCCCAATTGATCCAGTCCCATCCAATTTTACCACACAAGCGCTGCAAGCTTGCTTTGGGGCACTTAAAATTGCTACAATTGATCCATCATCTGCTTTACTTGGACATGCACAATAATTTTTATCATTAAGCTCCGCATTATATATAGGATTTTCCTATAGTTTTCTACTAATTAAAAACAATTTAAATTATTTTGTGGGCTATTTATGGGAAATTCTATATGCATTCTTCACAAATCCCTGTGGTATAATCGCACTTATTACATAAAGGATCATAACAATTATTACAAATTCTTGTTTCGTCGCAGCTTCCTTTGATAATTTGTAAAGCATTAATTATGCCTTTATCGATTACTGAAATAATCTCAAAATCAAGCTGTCCTTTATTTTTAGTGAGATCGTAATTAGAGGATTGGTAATTTACTATATTTTTTGATACGCTGAACTCGTAAAAAAAGTCGACAGCGATGTTTTTGCCTCCTGTTAACTGATAAATATCGAGATACTCAAATAGAGACTGACCGCAAAAATTCATGGAAAATACTCTGGAAGTGGCAGAATCGTATTGGATTTCGGCAAATCTTAATATAAGAATATAATTTCCATCAGCTAAGTTTACACTGAATTTATAATGGGAATCTAAAGCCACTCATAAGCCAGTTTGATAAAGAGCCTTGTCTTTTGTGTGTAATATTGCTGATGAAGTAGAAATACTGGAATAGTAATAACTTGAACCTGTACTGTCAGCTGGAAAAGTTATGGAATTTGAAGACAGATAGCTTGAAGAACTTCCAAAATTTTGAGCTTTAATGACTTGCAAACTTGCTGCAAAAGTTAAACTGAAAAAAATCCAGAGACTTAGAAGTCCTAAAAAACTTTCCATTTGTTCTATAATTATACTTTATTATCATAATTATAAGCTAAATAATTTAATAATGCCTATTTAATAAAAAACAATATATTAGAATTTTCTCAATGATATTAGAAAGCAAAAAATATTTACATCTTTACAATTAAAATCCAAAAATATTTAAACCAATTAGAGATAATTTTAATAAAATAATTTTCAATTTACAAAAACCAAAACTGCGAATTTTGCAGCAATCTTCATTTTTCTTTGCAGATTTGTAGACTCGTATAAAAATTTACAATGGAAAACTCAAAGATTTTTATTGCAGCGATCAAGAAAAATATTACCCCTGATATTACAGCATCAATTGCAACTAAACTGACTTCACCTAATAAAAATTTACAAAATAATGGTATTATCATATGTTCTTCAGTACCTAGCATAATTTTATCTGCTTTACGCTTTCAAGAAGTCTCACAATTGCCTGTATTTCATAGTGAAATCTTGACTGAAAATCCTGAAAATTCTAAAATTCGTCAAAAATTTTATAACTCAGAGATGCTTAATAATTATTTTTATGCAAAATTACAAGGAAAACCGTGGCTAGACTTCGAGAAATTGACTTATTACTATAAGCACATTTTTCTTTTCATAGAATGGAAATTTGTAGAAACTCATTTTTCTGAAAATGAACTTATACTTCAGCATGAATATAAATTGGGTGCAGGCCCAATGATAGTGCCTTTTTGATATTGTGCATTCCACAAATGTACTTTTGGTCGAAAATTGGTTGAAACTTTTTGATAGTAAGACATTTGACTGAAAAAAACCGTTAAATTTCGACCAAATGTATTTTCTATAAAATTTACACTGTCAAAAATCCACTGTCATTTGGCATGGAGCCATATAAATCAGCAAAAATTTGTATTCATATGATAGTGAATTTATTTATTTTTTTAATAATAAATTTTATAAAGTATTTATTATAAATAGAATACGTACACTTTCATAAAAAAGGTAAAGCTAGAAGCAAAAGAAGAAGACTCACACAGATCTCAAGAACTGCTGCTTTGTGGGATAAAAAATGGGCTGATGAATGTTTTAAAAGAAAATTCCCAAGAATTGATCGAAATTTTAGAGAGCTTTAGAAATGAAATTAATCAAATTGTCGATAAAGCAAAAGCGCTTTCAAAGCATCTTATAAAAAGGAAAAAAGCTACTAAAGAAGGAAAAGAAAATATTAAAAAATTGTCCACAAAAGTTTTAAACATAAAAACACAGTTTAATACTCTCAAAACCAATATTGAAAAAATTAAAAATACCGCAGAGCTACTATATCCTCAAATGCCAGAAAATCATTATCCATTTAATTTAATCTCATGTTTAACTTTGCAAGATAATGATGACTGAGAGCTCAAGCTTAACAACACTACCTCAAACTATTACTGCCAAGTTGAAATATGATGCATCGAAACTCAAAGCAAAATCTGTGAATTTTCTCTTATTGAGCCACATTCAAAAATCAAAAAAATCATAAAAATCAATATGCCAGAAACTGAAGTATTTTATAAACATCTTATAGCTCAGACTGAAGGAAAAATAATTTCTGATGCTTATACAATAAACCCAATAGTTATTGGTAATGTAGAAATGATAGAAGAAAATTCTTACAAGGTTAATTTTATTAGCATGAGTAAAACAATGGAGTTTGATCGTCTTCAGGTAGCTTGCGATAAAATTCCTGACGCATTTGATGCAGAATACAGTAAAATAGAGTATGAAGAGAGTTCAGCTGTAATTAAATTTGATAAAGTGCCTAAAGCAGCTAGTTTTGTGGTATTAGATGGGAAAAGAATTGTGAGTAACCTTAAAGAATTTTGTTTTCGAGAAAAAGAAGAAAGTGATGAAGAAGATATAGATGATATAGAATAAGGATTTATTGATAAACATATTATGCTTCGATTTTTATTTATAGAGATTATTGATCTAATTTTAAGATCATATTCATGGGTGCAGGTCAAATGACTTTGCCTTTCTGATAGTGTCCATTTCACCGAAGTATTTTTGGTCGAAAATTTTTAAAATAGTGTATCCATTTGGCCGAAATTTGACGGTTTTTTTCGGTCAAATGTCTCACTATCAAAAATGATTCGAACAAAGTTTCCCCTATGAGATGTCGCACTATCAAATTTCCGCGGTCATTTGACATGGAGCCCATATTCATATCTTTCGCCATTTTTTATATAATGGCAAAGCTAATAATAATTTTTTGGTCTCTATTTGGCTCCTATAAAAATAATAATTAACTTCAAGCTAAAACGCCAACTAAATTCATCAATTATCTTAGCTGAAAGTCATTAAAGAAAGAATGCCAGGAATAAACACTCAGTTTTAGGTGCAATTGTGCCAGCATTAGCAATAAGCTTTTTCTAAACTCAAAAAATAGGAGTGTTTGTATTAATGCTTATTTATTTTAAAATTTTTCTTGCAAAATTGGCACCAAAATAGTTCATTACCTAGAAAAAATTGATAAATATTTATAAAATCCCTCTAATTAAAACGTGTAAATTTTGTCAGTTTCTTATAATTTAAATCAAAATGCAAGGAAGGCCGCTTTTTCAGCCTCAGCTTTACCCAGAAACCAACTATAACGGTGATTTTCGAATCGGCCGCAAACTCTACGGCATTAACAAAAACCAAGAAACTTATAATCCCACTCACATTTCCCCAGAGCGATATGAAAAACCTCAAGCCTACTACAAACCAAAAACTCCTCCTGCACAAATCCAAGCCAATCCTGAAATAGTCCCATCTCCTTCTCAACCTCCTTCATCCAAAGCCCAAGATTACACTAAAGAATTATACGAACTACAAGAAAAACTTCGGCAAAAAAATGAAGAATTGCAGCTTTATCAACGGATAAACCAATCTCCAAGACCAGCTGATAATAAGCAGAACTCACTAGAAATATACAATAGAATCAACAAAGGCATGTATGATAAGTATCAATTTCAAGAAAAAAAGAAAGAACAAGTCCAGTCGCTGGATTATCAATTATCACAAAAAGAAAAGTCAAAGCAAATGGAAACTGTTGTAAGGGAACAAGAATTAATTTCAAGGCTGGAAGATTTGCAAAGGAGAAGAGCTGAAGAGCTGCAATCAAGAATTGAAAAATATCAGAAGGCGAAAGAGTATAGGGAACATTTAGAAATGCAGGCAGGGATTAGGCAGCATATAAAGCAAGAAGAGATTATTGATATGAAAAGCAATGTCCAGATGCCGCCAGAAATGCCACCAGCAACGAATTATTCAAATAATCAGGGACAAGGGGAAGGGTTTACAAATGCTATGTCATTTTATGACTCACTCAACTAAATTATTTTTTAAAATAAATATGATAAAAAATTATTAAAAATTAATAAAAAAATAAATTTACTATAGGAGAATTAGTGACATCAAATGGAAATCCTATGTATACTAAAAAAAGACCTAGGACAATATTTTATAACCCCATAACAGGTGCTTTACAAGACACAGCCCCTTTTCTCTTCGGAAACGGCAGCCCTTCAGTCCAAATAATAAAGCGGCCTGAAAACCCATATCTTCCAGCTTTTAAAAATAAAGCTAGAATTGCTGTAGATTTGGCTGACCACCCTGCTTTTCAGCAGCCAAAATATACAAAAAGCAGCCCGAAAGTAGTTGCAAGCTTTCCTATCACAGGGAATGCGAACCCTTTGATTTATCAGTCGGATTTTAAAGAATCAGCAGCAAAATTCTTTGGAGTTGAGGAGAGACCTATGATTAAAAATAGCAGTGAAAAGTCATTAGCTAGCTATGGAAGTATCGTTATCAATAATAGATAATTAATTAAAGCTTATTTAAAATTATTTTTCTATTTATTATCAATTAATCATAATCTTGTAACTGCCTCAATTTCTCTGTAAGTGCTAAGGCTAAATTATTGTAATCTTCATTCTGGGGGGATAATTTTTCTGCTTCTTTACCTGATTTTACTACAAAAAATTGAGTATTCTCCAAGCTTGGCACAATTTTAGGGACATGGCATATTAAATCTGACCCAGGTGTAAACCCTTCTTCAGAATTAACAAAAACCCCTGCCTTCCCCAACCCCCAGCCAAAAATCTTATTATCCTGGCTCATACAGATCATATGATTTTCCCCACAATCAATACTTACTATGAACTCATCCTTCAATTTTTCTACCAAAATAGGTGTTTTTTGCTTCAAATTCTCAAAATTTTCAGTGCCAAGCTGACCATTCTCCCCACTTCCCCATACATAGACTTTTCCACCCTCTGTCAAACATGCAGAAAAATTTGCCCCAGCAGAAATTTGTGAGACCACAATTCCACTTAAGCTGGTTACCTGCGAAATTTCTTTACTCATATAATCACTTGTGACATTTTCTGCAGAAATTCCTAATTGGCCATCTTCAGCTCAGCCAAATGCATATATGCATCCTAAGGTATCTAATAATAAAGTGTGGGCTTCTCCACAGGCAGCTGATTTTATAAAAATATCTTGGTCAGTAAAATATTGCAGCTTAGCAGGTCTAAGTGAAGCGTGGCCTAGCTCATCTTTATAAAGCTCCTCTGTAGGAATTCCTATAGAAATTTCCCATAGATGGCACTGTTTGCCCTTGATTTGCCCACTGGGGAAATTTTTTGGTTCGACCAGTCCCATATGGTTTGGTCAAACCAAAAAATTTTTTCTCATGGGCAAATCAAAGGCAAACAGCGCCATCTATGGGAAATTTCTATAGCTGATTTGCGTCTCCTCTTCCTCATGTGTAGACGTCACCATTATCAGTTAAAGCTACAGTATGATACCCTCCACAATCCACATATACAATACACTCATTAGACAAGTCTCTGACCAATTTAGGAAAAGAATAAGATTTCGTGTTCCCTTGTCCTAAACAACCAGAAGCCCCATATCCTCACGTCATAACTTTTCCTGAGGTTGTTACTAGTGCACAGTGCTCAAATCCACAAGAAATTCAACAGACTTCAGATACCGCTATACTTTTGACAATTTTTTCAGAAAATAATAAAGGCCGGCTGTGAGTTTTTAATTTTTGGTCAGCTGAAGCTTTGTTGTAATCTTCGACATCAGAAAATTCTAAGCTTAAAGCAGAATTGAAGCCACAAAAACAAACTGAAGAAATGATTTCTAAGGTGTTTGGGATTTCTGTTTGTTCTTCGCTAAAAGAAATATCTTGTGAAGAGCAAATTAAAGCTTTTTTTAAAATAGGAAAATATGGATCGGGCCATTTAATGCTGGGCTCTGTTTCAATGGTTTCTATGTACTCTGAGATAGAGATTGGAGGGGATTCAAGTTGTTTTGGCTCAAGTTTTATTATAGAGGGTCTAGTGTGAATTTTTTTGAGAATATTTTTAGAAGCTGAGTCGTCTGCATAAAATTTTATTGTTTGAGCTTTACCTTCATCTGGCAAGAAAATGCAAGATTCATCAGAATCGTGCTTCTCCTCCTCAGTTATCTGTGAGCTTGAACTTAATTTCCTAAACAAAGAAAATTCACTTGCTTTTCTAAATGGGCAAGACCCTCTTGGGTCCCATTCAATTTCGCTATCCCCAAACCCACCTCTAAATGACCCATCTTCTATAGCTGAAATTTCTTGATTAATAACTGCTGATAGTCTCATATTCAACAGTGATGCTCTCGCATTTGTATTTGTAATCGATTTTCCTAATAATGATGTAAACGAGCTTTTCAGCGAAATTTCAATATTTTTTTCATCAATTTCACTATTTTCCTGGAAATCTTTTTGGATTTGTTCAATCAGATCTTTATCAAAAGTTTCTGTGTCTACTAATCTTTTCCCATCACTTGATGACCCGCATTGACTTGATAATGAGCCATTTTCAATAAATTGATTATTTAGCCCAGATATATTTAAAATATTTGAATGTGTGAGAATACTTATTTGAGATCCTTGCTCAAATGAGTTTAGAGGGACTTCTTCAATCTGAATAAAAGTTACTCTGCTTTTTGAATTGCTTTGAGAATTTGGTTGATTAAATAGCAGCTTTTTTTTTTTAAAATATTCTGAGCCTACTGAATTATTTAATATCTTAAAAAATTTATTGTAATATTTTAGATAATAATAATTTTGTTAGATATGAATATTAATTAGCTATTGAATGGTTAAGGATATAATTATAAAATAATTTTTTATGAAAATTAATAGAAGCTATTAAATGGACTTGTTTGGGCTAATAATTGCAAAGATTTGTTTATATCAATTTCATAAGTAAAAATAAGCTTATTTGCTTTAACTGTGGAGTGAGACTCAGCCAAGATATCTTTTGTGCTTTTTAAAGTAGGAAATAAAAATAAAGGATCAAAAAAGAGTTGTAAATAATTTTGAGAAAATGAAACTACGGTGTTTAACCCCCGGTAATTTAAACCTGCTTTAAGTTGATAAGTAGATAGTGTGTTATTAAAAGAATCAATTGAAGGTAGTATTGTTGAATAAGTCTCAGCTTGAATATCCATTTATTATCAATAACTTATTATAATTTAATTATTTTCGTTATTTATGAATGATTTATTTTTGTATATTATTAGCTTCTATATTTATCATTTATGTTAATCACAAATAAATATAAAATTATTAAAATCAATAGTCATTTTATAATGCTAAATTTGCATAAGTATATAATTTTTTATGATAAAATAACTTTTTTTGTACCACATCATCATATAGACAATACCCACTAATCTATCTGTTTTCATACAAAAATATGTCATCCAAAACTCCATATCATCGCTACTCAAACTCGAATCCTTCTAAGCTTCCGAAATCTTTAAATTCGACCTGTGTCTCAGAAAAACAAATCCCGAAACTAAAACTCTTTTCAACAGATAGTTCTCAAAATTCCTCATTTCAGCCAAATTTTGCATTCCAAACTTTGTTTTAATTTTATTTAAAATTTACATTTTATTTAAGAAAATATCCAAAAAATATTTTATGCACACACAAACTTTTACTTCCAAACCTCGACACAAGCGTACAATAAGTGGAATAAATTCTATAGTCTGCGAATTTAATTCCCCATCTCCCAAGAATAATTGAAACCTCAACATAGCTTCAGCTAATAAAATAAATCCTCATAAAGGGTTCTCTAAATGCGCAGAAGTTTTAAAATTAAGCCCAGACCAGCCCGACACTTATGAATCCACAGCTTCTGAAGAAGAATTCCGAGAAATCAAAAGAATTTCAAGCTTGAACTTAGACAGTCCTTCGAAAAATACTCCAAACGACTCATGCAATGAATTAGCTAATGAAATGGCAATAATCAAGGCTTCACAAGAATTTTTATTATGTCACAATAACAACAAAAGGGTTGGTGTAAAACAAAAAATGCTTGAAATCTTGAACTCACGAAAAAATGAAATAGAGATCAAAAGGTATAAATTTAGGCTTCAGATTGTAAAGGAAATTCATAAAGAAGAATGGGATAAAAAATTAATTATCGCATTCAGAGAAAATGATGAAAAAGATTTTGGCGTTTTTTGTAATGAGTCTGGGACACTTTTAAAGATCACTGAAGGAAGAAGATTTCCTGAAAGATTGCTGGTGTCACAGATGAAAATGGCGTATTATTTTGATGTAAATGAAAATAGATTGGTACAGTGTGCTCCTAGTAAGAGTGTAGATGCAGTTGTTTTAATCTAATTAATTATAATTAAATGGAATTTGGGTTTAAAAAGAAAGTTGTTAGTCAAGTTGCGAAACCAGCGTTAAAAACTTTCAGGGTTGAAGAAGATGCAGATGAAGAGCCAGTTATAAGAAAACAAGTAAAAACAAATGAAAAACTTATGATAAACGTAAATATAAAAGAACTAAAGTTTTGCAAACATTGCAAAACTGGATTTTCAAGCAATGAACACTTACTCTCACTTTATTTAAAACTAAGCTTAGAACATATTAATAAATCAAATATCTGATGTATTTATTTTTTTAATTTTTTTGACTTAAAATCAATAAAATTATTTCAAAGGCAAAAAAAGATTCGTTTTTAAATAGGAGAATTAGCAAGGCATAATCAGGAATTTCATTAATGTAGCTTTACAATTAAAGATCTTTAAATAAGATTTTAAAGGAATCAACTAGCTAAGCCAAAAATTAAAAATATTTGGCATCAATATTTTTTGCATTGATTATAAAGTTATTTTTCACTATAAAACTTTTTCAAAGAAAAATAATTTTTAAAAGCCGAAAACAAGTAAATCAAAAAATTTGACGAAGTAGCTTACTAATCTAACTAAAGACTATAAATTGGCTAGACAAACCAAAAAAATGCACGCATTTCTAGACATTACATTAGAATTATTACGCTTAACGTCCACCACGGAGGTCAGCAAGACCCAGACCTATCACCTTCTCTTCCACCTGCCGGGCCCACAGGCTGCTGGGCCAGCCTGCTTTGCTTCACCAGGGCAAGCTTGAAGGGGTGTGTTACCAACTTCGACGACTCATGAGTGAGTTACTGGCCATGCCTCGACGCAGTTGCCATTCCGAAAACCCAAAAAATGGATTTTCTGGTAGGCTGTCGGCAAAAAGGAAAACAAGTAGCCAGGACGTAACCCTGCTTTCACGCTGGGAAATTGCCCGATGGGCCTTGAAGGCTTTGCTGAGCGTTCCCTTTCCAACTACCTGCTCCTTTACCTGCGGGGTAAAATCCATCCCAGAAAATAAGCTAGGGCTAGGCTCTGCTCACTGCCAGAATTGCTTACCTAGCATTGCTGCCCATTTCTAGAATGGCAAAACCTTGCCGGATATAATTTAAATAGGGTTCGAAACTGCTTGGCCGAGAGGCCAAGCCCAAGTTGAGACGCCATATTTAAATTATCGCACGGATTTCTAGACAAATTTTCTTATTATAACGATTCAAGAAGACTACAAATTTCCATCACAAGGAGAGACATTAAAAAACTCAAAAAGCCCTTTATTAGCTTTTTTCGCTCTTCTGCAAAGACCATTAAACCTGTTTTTAACAAAATTTTCAGTTCTTCCTTGCAAATTTTTAGCTATTAAGCTCCAATGATTACCGTGCTTTATATAGAGCTTAACTAATTCCAAATCTTCTTCATGGGTTCACTCAGCCCCTACATAAATTTTACTTTTAATATCAGGATTTAAGTGATTATTCTCTGATAATTGAATTTTATGCACAAAAAAATAAAAAATAATATTTTATTAATTAGGCTGGCTCAGCATAAACCACCTTTCTCGACAATGTTTTCCATGACGGACTTCTTCGCCAGCATGGACTTGTTTATTTATCATTTTCGCTATTTGGGCTCAAGATTTTATTCCGTTCTCGGCCATTGAGCGATAAAGAATGCCGTCTTCGTCCTCAGTCCACTGCAGACTTCGTGCTCCGCGGTTGGATTTTTGTGGCTCTTCTGAATCCTTTATGTCACTAGGAAGAGACTCAATAGGAAAAACTGGCTTGATTTCGCCAGTGACAGGGTGCTGATAGTAAGTTAAGTTAAGCGCTATACATTGGGCAGAGACAGGGAAACCTTCTGGGGAGAAACAAAACTTCCTGTTTGGCAAGCATTACAAACCTGAGGGCCTATTTCAAAAAATGACAGAGACACTATTTTCTGCTTAATAGAATAATCCCTACTTTTCCATATGGAGTGTGTGTCGGAGTCCATCTTCCCTCAACGTCACCATTTTATTTCTGCTGATGGCAAATTAAATAAAATTAAACGATTAAACTGGCCATAAGCGAGCAAGCCACTAACCTTTGCCTCTTATAGTCTTCAAAAATAGACCTCGGAGTTTAAATAAGGAAAATGGAAGGCTTTCATTTTGAATTTCTAGGCTGAATCACTTGTCCAAGGGATCAATTCCCTAGGACAGAGTCATCGCCTGTAAAGTGCCCTGATGATCCCAGCAAGGGAAGACCATGTGGTAGGTCAAACCTGTCTAGCCCATCTGGCAGGGACAGGAAACCTTCGGGGATAAAGAAAACTTCCCTTTTTCTCAAAGGCTGACTTTAAAAGGGATAGAGGTCCTGTTTCCAGATTCATCAGGATGTGCTCTACCAGCTCCATAGGGAGTGCGCCTTAGAGTCGAATTTCTGTCAGCGTCACCATTTTATTTATTGCTGGTAGTAAGGGATTCAAATAATATTGGGCATTCCTATGAAGGACGAGTACATATTTGGAATGTACTGGTTGCTGGTAATAACATTAATATCTCCTTCAACCTTGGTTGACATTAATTACTTATTATCGTAAATTGAACGTGGAAGCATTACTGGACAAGCATTTTAGAATATGGAAATAGCTATTTTTATAAAAATAGGCTTAATAGGATTTTCGAAGTTTTTGGAAATACAAATCAAAAATTATTATGTAAGAGTGAAGCTTTTATAAATAATTTTTTATAAATTATAATATATGCTTTTAAAAATATTCCAATAAACAGTTAAGAGTTAGATTAATATGACTTAATCGAGTTTTAATGGAAAGCATATAAATATAAATGAGAGCCATAAATTCTTTTTTTTTTATTTTTCAAAATTCTCAATTCGCAAGAATTAGAAGCAAATATCAATTTAATTTATAAAATTTATGTTTTAGAATGTAATTTGTTTAAAATTCAAATGAATTAGCTAGAGATTTCATTATAACAATTGACCAAAATTTTTTCATAAAAATTTCTATATTAAAATAATTTTTTTTTGTTCGCTCACAGAGGGCAGGTTTTCGGTCAAAACAAAGGATTTTTCCAATGGTATTTCTCACTCACGAAGGGGGGAGCTAGAATAATTTACTATGTATCTCTTTTTGCAATATAGCTAATATATGTAGCACCAGCAGTGGATCATAAAACATTGACCAATATAATAATATAGCATATGTATTTATAAATAATTTTATCAATTTTTAGAATGTGAAAAAATAAACTTTTAATTTGATGTTCGCATGAGGGTTATGGATTATTACTTTCTTTAAATCTTCATTAGTATCACAAGCTTTTCTCTATGAATTTCACGTATATCTTTTCCTAAAGTCTTAGGCATATACCGCATCAATAAAAGCTATTAATTTTGCATAATCATCTGCTTCACATAAGCAAGGCTCTTACTTCCCCTCTCCGTGAGAGAGAACAAAAAAATCTTGCAAGGGTGAATTTTATTTTTTTTAAAAATTATATTAAAAAATGTTTTTTGAAATTTAAAGAAAGCAAATATTTATGTAATTTAAAATTTATGTTTTAAAAACAATTTGTTTAAAATTAAACAGAATTAGCTAGAGATTTCATAAATTATCACTTATATATCAAAAAATTTTATATTAAAAATATTTTTGTTCGCTCGTGGAGAGTGGTTTTTTGCAAAAGATTTTTCAAATCGTTTTATTTGCTGACAGAGGGGTGAGTTAGATATTTATTATAAAACTATAAAGTTTTATTCGAAAATTGGATTTTTATGGAAATAATTAATCGCCTTCATGCTAAAACCAATTAATATGTCAGCATCTTTTAGTTTGCCTTTTTAAAGTCAAATATACTCAAGTAATATTTAATTTATCTAGCCTATTAATCAAATTCTCAATTGCTTATAGTCTTTTTTTTAAAAATCATTCAGGAATCGTCTTTTTAGTATAAAATATATATATAATAAGTTGGAAACTGGCAATGTTGTCGTTATATATACCTGTCGTGGTTTTGAGAGAGATTTTGGCCAAGAAATACTGAAGAGCCTCAAGGTGATAAAACATAAACGCAGAAGCTACTTTATACTTTGATTCAATAACAGTTACAATGATTTTGTTCGCTCACAGAGGGGATGAGTTAATATCTTAATTTATGATTTAATTAAAAAATTTGTGTTTGTAAGACATATATAGAAATTGCCCCACACCGGAATTGAACCCACGTGTGGGGCCATTTTTTGGTTCGTGGAAGTCGATGTTCTACACACACCAAAAATGGCCCCACACGTGGGTTCAATTTCCGGTGTGGGGCCATTTTTGAATTGCCCGAGGATGGCGCAAGATAGCGCCATCCTCGGGCAATTATTATATCTAATATTAAAATTTATATATAAGGCTAGCTTCATCAATCAGTATCATTGATCTCAACCAATATTTATTTTAATTCTTTAAAAAATAACTCATAAATTAGCAAATTTAAGCTTCTTTCGTTGGCAAATTTCCTTTGATTCTCATATGAGTTAAATTTTTCTTTATTAAGGACTTTAACTTCGGGAGTTTTCTAGGCGATCGTAGATAAGGTGATTTTAAAAATTTGCTTGGATAAGAAGTTATATCGCTTTCAACCCTCTTGTGCCTAGGATTTGATATTAAATCAGCTTTTATTAAGCTTAAAGATTTCATTCTTAAGTGGCTTTTATTTTGATCACTGTACGTCTTGTATATAAGCAATTTCTTTTTCGAAGAAAGTTCAAGCCTTGAATTATTTTTTTCAGTTTCCGATATACCGTGCTTCATAAATTCTTAAGCTTATGAATTATATAGCTATTTTTTGCCTCATTTTAAGCATATTTAATGTAATTAGCTATATTAATGAATGGTGCTTAGAAGTCGCCCTTGTAAATTTTCCCTGCAATGTAATTGGTGGCTTTAGTCTTGGGAAGACATAAGTTTGGTTTATTTTTGATTTCGAAAATTTATCCTCTATTTCATTCCTGATCGAATTATCAATATCTGAATTATACTCAGTCTCCTGCAAATAACTATTTGATAAAGCACTACAAGGGGTACTCGGAATCGGATCTATTATATGCTTAGAAATGATATAGCTTGTGCTCGACATATTAATTTTTTAAATAATTTTAAACTTACTTATAATATTTTGATAAAAGCTTCAACAATTTTTGCTTTTCCTTTATGATTTCTGCTTGGGCTTCTTTGAGTTCTAAAGCACAATCATAGTGGTTTTGCTCTTCTTCTATGTGTTTTTGAGCTTTTGCCAAAATTCGATTGTATAGTCTATCAGAAAGGTGAGAAATAAAAGATTCTTTTACTTTACTCACCGTTTTTATGTCAGAATGCTTCCCAAAACTAATAGAATCCATAGTGTTTTTGAACTCAGAAATCCAAACATGTTTCTTTTGAAATTGCGAAATTTTTTTATTTTTTTCTTCTCTCAGTTTACCTTCTAAAAATATTTGAAATTTCTCTTCTAGCATTTTATTGTACCTAGTTTCGATTTGAAATTGTTTTTGTTCTTCAACTCTTCTATTAAGCTCCGTTAACTTTTGCGTTATTTTTGAATGGTTTTCACTTTTTCTAGGAGTGGTTTGTGTAGATTTAGGCTTTATTACAGGGGAATTTAAGCAGTGAAGTGGCAATGGAGAAATTAATGGCTTTTTATTGGATGAGTTCAAAATATTTCTTTGCTCATCTTTTGGAAAAGCTGAAAAATTTGGAGTATCATTTTCCGAAATTGCTGGTGGGACTTCAGGTGTCATTAAAATATCATGCAGAACTGGAGGTTCTTTGGTGACATACCCAGATTTTTGATAGAATTTATTTAATAACGAAAATTTTGATGTTTCTGGGTCATTTGATAAGCGAGGAACAGAGCGGAATTTTTCTGATCTTTCTAGTGAAGAAAATGAAGACCCTTCTTGATAAATATAAGGACTTTTTAACGAGAAATCGCCATAGGAGATATTTTGTAAGCCAATACTAGAGATATTGGCAATTTCTTCTTCGCTTTTTTTATCAGTCGTTTCTCCTTGGCTCAAATCTTCAAGCTCAAACCAGTCGTCAAGCATAGGTTTATCCTCGCCTTCTATTTCTGATATAGAAGCATTATCTATATTTTCTATAAGAAAATTCTGTTTATCAGCGTCTTCTTTAGTTATCTCTGCAATATTGTCAATATTTTTTTCTTTATCAACGCTACTTTCTTCTTTTTTTGTAATTTTTTTACAAGTGGTTGTGCTTTCACTATTTTCTTCAATTTCTCGATTTTTTATTGGAGAAGCACAAAGCTCTTCTAAATTCATTAAAAATAATTCTTTACTCCCCCCCCCCCCTCCGTGAGCGAACAAAAAAAATTTTGTTCACTCACGGAGGGGGGTTAATTTTTTTTTTTAAAAAACAATTTATATATAAATTTTATAAAAAATATTTTTTTTCGAAATTTAAAAAAAAAATCCTAATTTGCAAAAATTGGGAAGCAAATACTAATTTAATTTGCAAAATTTATGTTTTAAAACGCAATTTGTTTAAAATTAAACAGAATTAGCTCTAGATTTCATTATACTAATTATCACTTATATAGCAAAATTTTTTTCTATTAAAATTTTTTCTATTAAAAATATTTTTGTTCACTCACGGAGGGTGGGTTTTTGGTCAAAAAATGGCGATTTTTCTAATGGTTTTGTTCGCTCACGGAGGGGGGGGGGGTTTAGGATTATCTATAAAGCTTGCTTTAAATGGTTCAAAGTATTCTCCATCTCTGCAGCAGCTGAAAATTTCGCCTAATAATTTGATTATTTCAGAAGTATTTGTGTTTTTTGAGAGTTTGGATAAATCAGCTTTTAAGAAATGCTGATGAGCTTTAATGATATTTTCTATATGTTTTTTACTTTTTGATATTTTTTTTTCTACCAGAAGCTCAGGTAGCTTTCTTAAAACTTGCACGACGTGGCCTGGGTTTCTGAAATATCTTGATAATTCTTCTCTCATATGCTCTTTAGTAGTGATTTTTATATTTGGGTCAATCTCGCACAGTAAGTAAATAATAGAGCAAGAAATTTCGTTCCAGTCTTGGGTATTTTCAACTTTTTTCATTTCCTATGTATTCCAAATTGTTAATACAATAATTTTAGGTCTTTTATTCAGCTAATTATTTCTGGATTATTTAAGTTATGACCTTATATTTTTTTTATAATCAAATAATTCAATGCAGCATAAATCTTACACTTATTTTCTTAGCATTAAGTGAAGAAATTGCATTATTAAGCCTCGTGTTGCCAAGTGGAGTCATAGATCTGCTTTTTGATAAAAAATTTATTTTTTCTTCAATATAAGCATTTAATGCACTTTTTCTCTTTTTTATATCAGTGCTTGCACACCTTACTAATTCTGTGCTTTTATCAAGCTTTTTTGCAGTTTTTTTTGCACATGAAGAATTTTGGCTACGAATTTGTTTTTTCTTTTTATTTAAAACAGGAGAAATTGGTACAAATTTTGGCTTGGATTCGATTTCGCCAACTATTTGAGTAGGCTTTTTCTTGATAAAAGTATCAGTAAATGAAATTTTCCCACTATTGATCTGCTTTGGGCTTTTATCGGTAAAATAGGCTATTGGTAAATTAACAGGGGATTCTGGGATTAAATTTAGATTTTCTTTGCTTAAAGCTTTTTCTAATAGTTTTTTTCTGAAATTTGGTTGGATACTTGAAGAGAAACTAGATGCTAAGTATAAGCAGTCCAGACTTGGACTAATCGTTAAGTTGATATTTGAATCCATTTATAATTCGACTGTTAAAATTAAAAGTAGATAACTAATATTAAGATTTTTAATGAAGTAGCTTGTAATTAAAAATAAAATCGCTTATCTTAGTTTAAAAATATTTTTAGAGAAGATTTTCTGTAAATTAATGAATTTTTCCATTAAAATCCCAAATAAATGACATCATCTATTTTGCAATATATAAGTTGACTTATTTAAATAGCAGATAAAACATATGGAAGAGGTAAAATATGAGGAAGAAGACTCCAACATAAAATCTTCAGCCAATGAAATACTCCTTGATCCGCTCGCGTCTACAGTCCCCCGTCCCATTACTAATAAATTATTCAGCAATGAAGAAATTTTACCTGAAGAAGAAAAATCTCCAATTATTAATAAAAACTCTGACAGTGTTCTTCACCTAACTGAGTCTGAATTAGACAACAAAATAGGAGCTTCTGTATGCAGCTATTCCACAAAGTCAAACCTTATTAAAAAGCATGTTTATTATATAATCCAAGGCCATGATTCTTCAGGAACCTATGAAGCACACAGAAGCTCTAAAGATTTTAGAACATTGAGAAGTGTTTTAGTGCACAATTGGCCTGGGTGCTATATACCTCCAGTCCCTCCTAAACAAAATGCAGTAATTTTCTAATTAGAACAATATTAATCCAAGATTTATTGAAAAAATGATGAAGCTCTATAATTTGTTCATAAGCAGAATTGTATCGTATAACTATCTTTATGAGTCTGATGAATTTCAGCAATTTATTAAAAATCCAGGCGTTTATCATAAATTATTGCTTACTCCTGTCATAAATATATTAATATTTATTATTAAAATATTTAAAAAAAAAAAAAAAATTTCAAACAAAGATTTAGAAAACAGCCTTATCAAGATATTTCTCCAAAATACACAAAAATTTTCAAGGATTATGCTAAAGAAACCTACAATGAGCAAAACGAAAAAACAGTCAGCGAAGGCCGCGCGTTCTTCAAAATCGGCATTGAAGCTTTAGAAAAATTCGAAAATCTCTGCAAAATCAATGTGGATTATTTTGAAAATTTCGAATCAGAGCTAACACAACTTATGACAGGAGTAAACAGCCTCAGCAAATTTTACCAAGAACAATACGGCAGCAAAGCCTTATCAGTTTCCCCCAGAGAAATATACTCAAATCCTTTTTTCGTGCTTTTAGACTGGGTCAGATGAGAAATCATCGATTTAAAAGCAATGATCGACGCAATTGATACAAAAAAAGAAATCGATAAGCGCCAAATGGAAATTGAAAGCAAAATGGAAACAGAAAAGACACGCATGCTCAAAATCCAAGCAGGCAAAAAAATGCTTTCCCAGATATTTTCTACGAATTCCAGAGAAAGAAACTCGCAGCTTCTAGAAAGCAGCATCGGTGACATGCAAAAAGAAATTTTGGCGCTCTCAAATATCAGCACAATCTCAGCAGCAAAATTAGCAAATTTAGATATACCGAAATTTAAGCAGCTGAAAGCCCAGAAATATGAAGTAATTTTAAGGACTTTTGCAGGGAGTTCGATACATGAGTTTGAAAATATGATAAGCCAAGTCAAAGAAATCGAAGAAGTGTTGAATAGCAAAGAATAGAAATTAATATTTTAATAAATATGACTGATCTTTTGAGTAATATAAAGAATGAAGAAATTGGGATTTTTTGCTTGCTCAAAGGGACAAAATCTGCAGCAGAATGCCTGAAAATTGAGGCAAAAGAAGTAAAAAATTTTTTGTTGCGTTGCGATTTTGATAGGATTGAGTTTTTCAGCAAGCTCAGCGGCATATTGGAAGCTACAATTATAGACCTTGGATTGGAATCCGTGGCAGATCATTTAGGAGTGAGCCAAAATTTAATCAGTTTGATCCCTAAGGATTGTCCAAATAGAATCAATATTTACCAAGAATATCAAAAAATTGTACGAGATGAAATTTCAAATAACTTGGATAAAGAAACCCAATATCCAGATTTCCTCGTCATAAATAAGAAAAATGAGCAGAGATCGTCAAAAGAACTAGATCTACTTGGAGAGGGAATAATGAAAAAAAGAAGCAGGCCAAAAAGTAGTAAAAGTGTTACTTCGAACCCTGAAAAAGAGCCAATAAAAAGGCCTAAAAATATTGAATTTAATAAATCAATTACCCCCCCTTCACAAAATAACCCTTTAGATCTTTCAATGCCTATTCTAAATCCCCCTATAGAAACTCCAATCGCAACAAATACTTCTCCTATATACAATGAAACTCTCTTGAATGCAGATCAGAATGAAACACTCAATACAAATAATTCTTCCCAAGACCAAGTTCTCAGGTCTGCTCAAAACCTAGCTATGAGCACAGTCCAAAATCCAACTATGAACCCTTTACAGATTCCTAATATTTTTTCCCCAAATATGATGTTTCATCCTACATTACTTAATAAATATGGTCCATTTGGATTTCCTCAGCCTCTATATCCTACGAATAACAGTCAAAGCCAAGATTTAATGACTTTTCCAGCTTTTAGCCCAAGCGCTATTATGACTTTGAGCAATCAGTTAATGGCTGGAACTATGCCAATCCAAGCACCAGTTCAACGGCCTAATCCAAGCTCTAGAAGCCATCATCAAACTCAAGCTACATGCACAAATTGGCTATTAAAATATAATATTCCTTATCACACTCCTCCTAATGGAAACATTCTTGATCCAGATTACAGCTACAGACCAAAACCAGCCTAATTAAATAAAGTGTTTCTATTATCATTTTACTTAGTAATCAGAAAGATATATTTAGAGGTTTTGAGTAGTTTATACAATTATAGTGAAATAATTTAAAAAGACTTTATAATAAATATTTATGTTAATTATCTTAATAGTGACATTAACTTATTTGCGGATTCCATGTGTGCATCATACCCTGCAAGCCCTTATTTTCCAAAGCCAAAATTGCATTTTCCCTGTTAAGAGTTTCTAGTTTTTTTGTAAGTTCTAGCAGCACTTGGTCTCTCTTTGAATCTTTATTAATGATTTCAAGCATAATTGTCCTTTCTATCATAAGTGTTTCCTGAAACTATTTTGTATTTACCTTCAGAAGCATAAGCTCGCTGGCATTGCCAATCATACGCTTCCATGGTTCAATATCGCATTCTCCGTCTTGAGAATCTGATATTTGTGGGCGGTCTTCTAAGTTAATACAAGGCATCGCTTTAATTTTTGAATCTTTTGGATGCTGTATAATTAATACAATAATTGGAGTTGTGGATATAAGCGGATCATTAATATTAATTGACTTAGTAGGCCGTGGTGACTGTCTGCCTTCTAAAATTTCATTTCTTGGCTTGCATAGTGAATGGGTTTCTGGACCATGCGCTTGCTGGTACAGTGGCAATGCCATTGATCTTCTTCGATCATCTATGACAGAATTTGCATCAAAACTATAATCAGTAGGAAAATTATAGCCTCTTGGAGACCGTGCTTCATAATCAGAAACAAATATTCCTCGAGTTTTTCTGGTTCCCATTAAGCAAAATTTAAAAATATTAAATGATCTAGGGTTTCAGGAAAATAATTTATTTCAAAGAAAATTATTGAAATTATTACTTTCTCTGCTTGAATCGATTTTTTTTGAAATTATGTCTAACTTCCCCTCCTCTGGGAACTAACAAAACCATTAGAAAATTCCTGTTTTTGGGTAAAAACCCACCCTCCGTGAGTGAACAAAAAAATTTTAATTAAAAAAATATATTTTATGAATAAGCGATAATTATTATAATGAAATCTCTAGCTAGTTCAGTTTATTTTAAACATCTTGCATTTTAAAACAAATTAAATTAATATTTGCTTTACTCCCCCCCCTCCGTGAGTGAACAAAACCATTAGAAAAATCGCTATTTTTTGCCAAAAAACCCACCCTCCGTGAGTGAATAAAAATTTTTTATGGAAAAAAATTTTTGAGATATAAGTGATAATTAGTATAATGAAATCTAGTGCTGATTCTGTTTAATTTTAAACGAATTGCTTTTTAAAACATAAATTTATAAATTAAATTAATATTTGCTTTCAAATTTTTGCGAATTAGGATTTTTTAAATTTCGAAAAAAACAATTTTTATAAAATTTATATATAAATTTTTTAAAAAAAAAAATTAACCCCCCTCCGTGAGTGAACAAAATTTTTTTGTTCACTCACGGAGGGGGGGAGTTAGAAATATTTCGAATATGGATTTTTCAAAAATTTATTATAAAATTTATATATAATTTAAAAAAATTAACCCCTCCGTAAGAGAAGAAATTGTTTTGTTAAAGGAGGAGTAAATAAAATAAATAAATAAATCTTTCTGGAATCTATTTTTATTATAGATCTGCTATTAGAAAATATTTTAGCGTGGAAATTTATAAAATAAGTAAATTATTAAGGTCTCCAAATTTGGTGCTGATTCTTTATGATATTTTTTAGCCTATCAATCGAGTCTGCATAATACTCCTCCTTTCTTTGATTTTCTTGTACAAGTTGTCCAATCTGCAAATATCTTGTAAAATGTTTTATCCACGTAATAATTGGTTCTTCTTTTTGTCCCATAAATCTCCCTTCAACTTCTCTTCACTGGGCAGTTGCAATCATTTCAATAACTTTATCCACCATTTTTCTCTCCACCCATCTTGGATCAACGTGCTCTAAATTTTCAATTGCATTTTCTTTATTAAAAAGTTCTATTTCCATCAGAATGAGGCTGATCTCAAATTTAATTATCAGTATCCTTTTTTTCTATATATTATAATTAAATTATTGAGGCATTTATATAAAGAGGTATAAAATTTCTTCCTTGGTTGCTGGCTCAGTTGTCATCATTAAATACACTCAAAAGACTGATAAAAGATATAAGGCATGCTCATCATTGTAATCAATCTGTCGGTAATCGATATTATCGACTGCGACTGCAGCAAAATGCAAATCTTTTGTTAGCCCAGGGCATTTATCGGTTTGCATTTCACTCTCGACTTCTTTGTGAAGGTTTTCAAACGAAGGAATTCTTTCTTTGACTAGATCTGTTATTGAATGTCCTAGATTTTTCCAAGAATGACGAAGGCTATGGTTCACACCTCCAATATAAACAAATGTCCTTGGATCTCGAATAAAAGGAAGGATGTGATACCTTATAATGTCGACTGGGATTGTATCGAGGCTCCCCATTCTTTATTATTATTCAGAAAAATTCAGGAATTAATGTTTAAATTGTCTTTTTGTCCCTTTTGCATAGAAATATTCGTTCATAACAGATTCTTAAGGATTTTTGCAAACAATAAAATTTTTGAAACTATGGCTGTCTATAAATACTATATTTCGCAAAATTTATTAAGCTCTTTCTACGAACTTTGATTTTCGCAAGTGAAATTTGATTTTAAGCCAAAACTATGGTATCTAAAGATGAAGAAAAATTATAAAAACATTATAATATTCGTCATTATTTGCCAGAAGTATCAACATTTGATATTTTAATTTTGAGGTTAATATAATTAACAAGAATTATTTAAATGAATAAAGTGATAATATAGCCCGTTCCTGGCTATAACCTTCTTATAAAGTAAATATCAGGGCCTCCATTTATCTCCTAATTGGTGACTTCAGTAGCCATCTTGACGTATAAGCATTCAAAGGCAAAATTTTTTAGATTGCTATAGTCTTGCTTATAGCTTGATGCCAGCGCGCGTTCCGCGTGATGGTCTCCTTCTTCTATAACACCAAGTATAAAAACCTTAGCCTTCATTCCTTTGGACCTATACGATAAGCCATATTTGGCAATTTGGATAAAGGTTTACCAGGAAAACCGAGTCATGAGAACTCATTCAATAGGTAGCCATTTTAACTATGACTTAATATATTCAAAAATTGTGATTAAATAGCAAAACTAGAAGAATTTATAGCATCATCCAGCGCTAAATCCTAGCCTATTTATAGCTTTTTTATCTTATATATCTTTATACTCTCTTTATAATGTATATGCACAATTCTCATTTTTCACTAGCCTTTTCATAATTATAACCCTTTCCCAAATCCAATTAGCCTTTTTTCTTCAATCTTTCCTACCCCACACTTCAACTTTATCATTATAAAGTACAAAAATGTCAGAACCATCTGAGTCAAGTGACTGGGATATGGAAGTAGACGACGAATCCGAAGACCTACCCGAACCAGCACTCATACGTCAAAAATCATATACCATTCTTCACCTTTCCGAAATAGAGCAAAGGGTAAACGAAATTGCTTCAGAATACTCCGAACTTTTGGGGATTTCCAAAGATGAAGCTTTGATTTTGCTTACCCACTATCACTGGAAACTCCACAAACTGCAAGACTCTTGGCTTGATAATGAAATGAGGGTTCGTATTGAAGCAGGAATCTTATTGCCACCAGCAGGATATGAAGTAGCAAAAAGCAGAGGGAAAAAATTAGGCTCAATTAAATTAGTTAGGGGCACTGAAGGGTGCTGCCAAATTTGCTATGAAAATAAATTAGACAGAGACGCCTTGCAGTGTGGGCATTCTTATTGTAAAAGCTGCTGGAGACAGTATCTTGAGAACCTTTTATATGAAAGAACCATAGCTGGAGGCAAATGCCCAATGCATAGCTGCCCATTAAAGGTACCTGAAAGTATGATTTTAGGATACTTGCAAGGAGAAAAGGCTGAGAATTATAAACGATTGAAATGTGAAGAATTCATAAATCAAAATCAAGCCTACCGGTGATGCCCAGCACCTGGATGCAGCTATGTGGTGGAATATGAAAATTTAGGAGTCCATGGGATTTCCTGCAAATGTGGATATTTTTTCTGTTTTGCTTGTGGAGAAGAAGCTCATAGGCCAGTATCATGCAATCTAGTAAAATCATGAATTGTAAAAAATTCTGCTGAAAGCGAAAATATCACCTGGATCATTGCAAACACGAAACAGTGCCCAAAATGCAGAAACCCAATAGAAAAAAACCAAGGCTGCAACCATATGACTTGCAGAAGAGAAGTCAACGGCTGCGGCCACGAATTTTGCTGGCTTTGCCTTGGTCCTTGGACTGACCACAACTCTGCAACTGGAGGTTTTTATAAGTGCAATAAATACGACGAGCTGATGTCAGGCACCAACAACGCCTTTAAGCAAGAAGAATCCAAGCGAGAAAAAGCCAAAACTGAACTCGACAAGTATATTTGGTACTTCGAGAGGTATAATAACCACCACAAAGCACAAAAAATCGCCTCAGAAAAGCAAGTGCCTGCAATGGAAGAAAAAATGCAAGAATTGCATGACTTTAAGCAGTACCCAATTGGAGAGCTGGAGTTCCTTAAACAAGCTGCAGAACAGGTCATTAAATGCAGGAGGGTGCTAAAATGGACCTATTGCTTTGGGTATTATTTAAAATCTGGAGCTGAAAAGGACCTTTTTGAGCATCTTCAAGAGAAACTTGAAGAAAACACTGAGCATTTGCATGAGCTTGTAGAAAAGCCGCTGGATGAGTTTATGTCGGCTGATGTTATTGATAGGTCGCCGTTTTATCAGCACAAAAGTGAGCTTACTAATTATTTCCAAGTCACCAAAACTTTTATGGAGCATCTATTAGATGGCATTGAAAATGGGCTGACGGCCTAATTTGAATTAATAAGACAATTATTATATTTGCTTTTAATAGGAGTTTTTGTAATATTCATAATGCTCTACATAGTTAATTATAAGGGTCGTAATTTTTGATAAGGGAAACCAACCGTTTTAGTGTTTCATTTTCTTTACAAAGAGAATTATTTTGATCGAGAAGCTTGCTCCTCAATTCAAAATTATTGGCATCTTCTTCGTCTTGTCTGTCTATAAATCCTAAAAGTAGTAGCTTATGAGCCTTCATCATCTCCGATAGCTGCATAGGAAATACTTTGGACTCAAGGGAGCTTTTATATACAAATAGACTAGACTGTGGAAGATTTATATTCGACATATTTATATGAATCTCACATTTTTCATGGCTTCTTATTATAGGCTATATATAGATAAATTTAAGTCTTGGTAAAAAATAGTTGTTTGGATTGGTAAATATAGTATATCTTAATTTTTTAAAGAAATGTGATACTGTGGTTTCCTTTTTCTTCAACTTTTTTAAATAATATTCCACTTATGAATTTCAAAAAAAGATGAAATTGATGTATCAGAAACCATTATTTCTATTATACTAGAAATTATGAAATCCCATATAAGCATAAGAGATTTAGAAATAAAATGATTAAGCTATTGCATAGAGCTTCTGATTTATTGATCCTACAATTTGCAAATTATTATTACTATAAATCAACTAATTTCTACCTCAGTTTTGGTGTCAAAACCTTTTTACTGTGCGATTTGGCAGGTCCTAACTCATTTAGCTCTGTTGGGAAAATCCTTGTCATGCTTGACGATTTTTGGATCATCAAGCTATCTGAAAACCTTAATTTGGCGATATTTTGATGAGCTTGATTATAATCTAACTTACTAAAACTGCCATATCTCCTAAATTCTAATTCCTAAAATAAACTTAATTATTCATATTAAAAGAAATAATCTCCCTTTCTTTTTCTCTAATTTCCTCTATCAGCTTATCTCTTTCGTAATCTAGATTAATGTCTTCGGTTTCAAGATCTTTGATTTTATTTATCAATCTTTTTATAGCCCCTGGATTTTAATAGATCATTATTGATCATACATTTTATTTTTAAAATTAATTTGTGCTTACCAATTCTTTCGAAAAGCAAAAACCAAAATGACAAATCTCCGTTATGATTTTAAGATACCCAATCAGAATTAGACTGTATAAAGCAAGTGTCCTCGACAATATTTCTTCTGATCATTATTCGGATGGGTATAGCGATCTATTGTGTGCATAAATTATACTTTGCTTTTCAATTCTTTTTCTTTTATTGAATTCGCTTTCTCTAGTTTAACCACTTCTTCTTTCACTATTTTTCCTGAGTCACTATAGTTTTGGTCTTGATTCCTGCTTAATTCTCTATATAATTCTTCAAATTGATTGCATTTTTCAGAGAAATTATAAAAACTGGACGTAACTTGACTGTTTTTTTGGTCAATTTTTTCGATTTTGCAGATCAAAATTTTTCTTTCGTTCATTAAATCCATAAATGATTTCATTGTGTCTGGGGACTCTCCTGTATCTAATAAATTTCCTAGGAATTTCCCTCGCTTGCTTTGCATGGCTGCATTTCTTTGTACGTTAACTTCGATCTCTCTTAACTTTCTTTGGTTATTTTCTATATCTTCTTTTAGCTTTCGTTCATATTCAGGATCTTTAAGCAGATTTATTCTAGTTGATAGAGTTTCGAAATTGATTTCTAGATAGGATATACATTAAAATGATGTGGTGAGCAAGCCTGCCCTCTTAGCATCTGTATCCAGTAATTTCATTAGGAAAGCCAGGGAACTCGTGGAAGGGAGGATAGTATTCGGAAATGTGTATCTGGCCAGGTTGATAGAGCGCAATGCCGGGTTTATCACATCCGGGTCAAGGCTTTACATTTTGGGAAGATAACTCTCTAAAATTTGAAAGAAAACGCCCAGCAAGGCGAGAGTTTGTCGCTTATCCAATCGGGAAAATTCTAGTGCGATACTAGATGTTGCATCTGGACTCCGATTCCATTTTGGTCAACAACTCGACCAGAAATTTGATTTTTTGAATTTTCGGAAAGAGCGAACCCCGTTGATTTCTAGATAGAAATTACTCACAAAGCGCTAACTTCTTTTTGGCAGTTTCTAGTTCTTCATATCCAGTTCTTTTCTTCTGGGGCTTACTTTTTTTTCTTCGGCTCTCCGCTAAATCGATTTGATGGTTTAATTTTTCACTTACTTTTTCTCTCCAAAACAATTTATTATAAAATATTTTTTCCTATATTTTGCATTCATACAATTTTTTATTTTTACTTTGTAGTCAAGTTAATTCTTTCAATTTGTTTCTTAATTTTTCGTTTTCTCTTTGCAAATGAATCAGGCTTGCACCTTCATCTCTTGAAAATGTCATTGATTCTTCATCTCATGGAAGTGCACCAGGTTTTACTTCTAAAAAATCAACATTTGAGTGATCTACAAGGTGCTTTTGTTTGTGTGGGTTTGTGTGCTTGAAATCGATGCTGTCATCATGTATTGTAATTTCATAATCCATTTTATTTTGTTTTTGCATTTATTTGAATTATATTATTCAAGCTCAATCGGGAAATATATTACTATTTCAGTTTGATTTTATAATTCTTATAATTTAATACAAATAATATGATCCCTATAAGGATAAATGATGACTTATGTGATAATTTTATTTTAAAGTAAAAAATTGTGTAAAGATATTGGAATTCTTATAAATTGGCATAAATTCTAAATGGACTTCAATAACCCTGATTTCTTCGGATTCATGCAGCATGCTCTCCGAGAGATGACTCCTGAACAAATTAAAGAGGCTCAGATGAAATATTTTGCTATGCTTAGAAACACACAAGCTTATCAAGCTCCTAATATACCACCACAATCATCCCCCAAAATTCAAAATAGTTTTGAAGATTTATCCCAATAGTATTGTTAGCTGCATTTTCCATAAATAAAATATTGATATTTATAAAAATTCAAAAAAAGCATTTATAATGAAAAATTATATACCTAACTCTCCCCTTCGTGAGCGAGCAATAATCATAGTAAAAAAATCCTATTTTTGGGAAAAACCTACCATCCTGAGCGAACAAAGTTTTTTTTAATATAAAAGAATCCTATTAAAATGCATTTTGATATATATGTTATAATTGTTATAATGAAATCTTTAGTTAATTTTGCTTAATTTTAAACAGCTTAACTTTCAAACAGAATTTTTACAAATTAAATTAATATTTTCTTTCCAAAAAAGATTAAAAAACATTAACCTTCCTCCTTAAGTGAATAAAATTTTTAGTTCGCACAGGGAGGGGGAGTAATTATAATGAATAAAAGCATACTCACTAATATTTTTATCTATTTTCATATATAAAACAGTTCAATTGCTAATCAGTATTATTACTTTTACCTTTAATTAGGTATAATAAGACCAAATTCAGTAGAAAATAAATCTGTCCCTCAGCCTCCTTATTCTAGATATCAAAAATATGAAAATGACGAAGATTTTTATGAAGAAGACGATGTGATTACTAGCTCACCACTGCCTGAAATGTCTAATCCTTCTGATCAACAACCTATGGAAGAAGACTTTGAAAATTATCTTACAGAAACAGATAAAAATTATGACAAAAATTATGTTAGTAGCCAAAGTCAGCCCCATGATTTTGATGAAATACCTGTTGCTGGTGTCAAGAAAACATTTGAGCAGCTACTTGAAGAAAAAATAAAATACGAGGAAATTGAGGGGGAAGACAGCAAGCCTGTACAAAAGCGTGAATTTTTGAAAAGAAACTCTGGCAAATTAGCTGCAAACAAAATTATTGCTAAAAGAGTTGAGAGGCCTAAGCCATTTGCAGAAGAAAAAGCAAGAAAATTTACTGATCCTCTCTTTGAAATTGGAACAAAAATTTTAATCCAATTTAAAGGAAATTTATATAAAATTTCCATAATAAATTTATTTTGAAAAAAATAATAGTAGTAGATTTATTTTTATAAATAAATTAATAGACTCAAGATGGTAAATGTTAAATTTAAAAATTAAATTGGATCAAAAGTTATTTTAAAGAAATTAAGATCATTTTAACCTATAAAGGCTTCTATTGAAAGAGTAACACTTGCTCAAATTAAAGAGGGGGAGTGAGGAAAAACCAAAATTAGTAATTGAAGAAAAACCTAGACTAATAATGGAAGAAAAATCGAGGCAAAACATTGAAGAACCAGCTGAAAATTCAAAACCTGCAAAACCTTTCCTAAAAAGAGGCGAAGGAAAAAACTGTTTAAAAGGGGATGAAAAAGCAGCCTTAATTAATTAACAGTATTTAAGGTGTCTGGTACCGCGCCAAATCTGAGGAAACGGCTATTACCGAACTGGTGATGTCACGGGCCATATTTCCTCCTATGCCTCCCTGCAACTGGGCAACTCCGCCAATCGATTCCGCCGCCTGCTCAATTACACTTCTCATATGAAAAAGCAGCCAAACCAGAAAAATCTCAAATGAAATCTTTATCACCTCGTAAAAAAGACAACAAGCCTTCCTCCCCAAAACCTCAGCCAAAGCCGCTTCAAAAGACTCAAAAGCAAGCCAAGCAGCCCAAAGAAGACAAAGCTATTGATGATGACGCAATTATATTTGACTCCAGTGCTTTACAAAGCAACGAAACTCGTCCTTCAGAGCCAAAAAAAATCAAAATTCCTATCTCCAATGACCCTTCAAAGCAAGAACCAAAACTTCCTACAAATCCTTCTCCCCCTAAGCCTGGCTCCACAGAAGAAAAAGTGCAAAAATTAAATCAGGAAATCGAAAACATCAAATCAAAAAGCCAAGAAGTCCGAAACACTACCAAAGAGCTCGAATCCAGCAAAAAAGCAATTGAAGACCAGCTAATAGTTCTACTAGAATTTAAAGATGCACAAATAAAAGAGCTTGAAAAGTGAAAAGACAGTGAAATCAAAAGAATGCAAAAAGAAAGGAAACAAGCTGAAGTCAATGCGAGGGCTGCTTTGACAGCACAGCCTCAGAATAAAAAAGAAAAAGAAGAAATCGAAGAGCTGAAATCAGCGATTTTTAAGTTTCAAGAAGAGTCAAAAATTAAAGAAATCAAGCAAAAAGAGACGCTGGAGAAACTAAAGCAAGAACTTACACAGATAAATACTCATAATGCGTTACTGGAAACACAGTTACGAATGCTGGATCAACAGCGAATTAAAGAAAACTGGGGCAAGAAAGCAACTATTAAATATTCAATATAACTAATAAATGCATATATATTGATAATGAGTCAAGAAATCTACATAACAAGCCAGCCAATGAAAAGAATGGTTTATAATGAATGATTTGATATCATCCGCAGGCTCTTGACAGGGAACTAGGCAATTTTGGAGAAAAATAAACTTAATTATCAATATGAGTGTATAGGCTATACTATAAAATTAATCAACTTCAACTCCCATCACGATTTGCATGATTTCTCTTATTCTTGTCATTATCCTTTCAGATTCTTCACTCTGAAATTCCCTAGCACTTTCTCCTTCAATTTTAACGATAAATCGATTAGGCTTCGTTTGGTGCTTATATAAGGATTCAATATCAGATACATTAAAGGCCTTGCTTTTGGCTCCTGATTGAAATTCAATCGAAAAACCATTAGGATTTTCTCTTTTTAATATAATTTTGGCAGGGGAATTCAAAAGTGGGGTTATTTTTAAAACTTCAAAAGTCTGATAATAGGATTGGGCGTCAAGGATTTTAGCTCGATGAAACAATAATTCTTGAGCCAATTCTTTTTCGATTTTTTCGTGTTTTTCTATTCTTTCTTTCAATAAATTTTCATGCTCAATTTTTGATTCCTTAAACTTTTTCAAATTCCCAATTTCTTCTAGCCCGAATTGGATTTTTCGGTTAATCGCTTCAAGCTCTTCTACCATTTTCCCGTTTTTAACACTCAAATTAATAGTGGATTTCCGGAGAATTTTTTTCTCTTCCATGATTTCATTCATTTTCTCATTAGAAATCAGTTTATCTCTTAGAATATCAAATTCAGCTTTTTTCAGTCCATCATCAGTTGCATTGGCGATTCTTTGATATCTTTCATAAGACCTATAATAAGCATTACTGCTTGATGCTTTTTATTTTCAGCTCAATTTCATCGTTTTCTTTCTTCATTTGGTTGTATGCCTCAGGAATGTATATAGCCTTCTAAACTATTATAGGCTCTAGAAAACTAGCTGAATTCCAATTGGCGCTCATATGGCAGCCCAGGAAGGCTATATATCTTACCAAGGCATACTCTTCTTTAAGCTTCTCATTTTGGTTCTCCAACGCTTGGATGCTTCTTGATAGACTTGTCTGTTTTGGTGGCTTTGCAGGCTTGCCTTTTCCTGGAGATTGATTTTGCAGTAGCCGCTCTTGGTCAGTAATTTCTGATTTGCAGTGCTCAATGTTGTGTGTAATAATATGACCTTCTTCGTCCTGAGTAAAAATCACTTTTTCTCTAATTTTCTTTTCTAGGATATTAACGTTCTCTTGCAAGTTTTCGACGTTTTTTGTGGTTGTTTTTCGTTCCTCTCGTTCAGAAATCAAGGCTTTTTTGAGGAGGTTTAGTGTTTTAATCAGCTCTTCTATATTTGTCGCTTTAGAGTCTTCCATTAAATATGTGAGAATTCTTGACAATTACTAAATATACTGTGTTTGACTGAATTTATCGGAAGCAAATATTTATTAACCAAAAAATATTTCAATAAGAGGCTGTATACCATCTAGATTAGTTAAAAAATATTAATTAGTAAAATATTGGTTCTTTTAAACATCATAAATAGCGGAATGCTTATAATTTGCAGGAGAAGAAAGCAAATCAGATAAAGTCCATCTTTAAAGATACGAGTTTTACTTATGAGTATTAGATTTTTCTGTGTGATTTAGACAAAAAGTGATTTTTATAACCTTTTAAAGAGCGAATTATTCAGATGAAAAGTACTGGTTTATCAAAATCAAGTTTTTATTATTAAATGGAGATTTAATTCAATCTGTAAAATTTACAAATAAGCCGATTTTTCATATATATGCTTAAGCATTTGAAGTTCTATTTATTTTTTAATTTCTTTGGAAATATTAAATTAAAATTATTATAGAAACATAAAGCCAAGAATATGATAAAAATGTCTAAGATTGATTTAGCCAATTCCCTTAAAAGCTTTATCTATCAAAATATTTTAGAGTAAGACAGTTATAATAAATGCCTATTTGGAAAGGATTAAAAACTTCACCCCATTATCCTCTTTTAAACCATGGGTAGCATTAACTTATAAAATATGTCATCGACAACAACCCTCAGCAATATTCCTGCAGATATTCTCCACTACCACATTCTGGAATTCATCCGCCGCCCCACCACCTTCATGAATCTCGGAGGTATCAACAGTCAGCTTCGCCGAAACTGGCAGAACCTCAAAGAAGTGATCCTCACCATAGCTGATAAGCGTACAGCCGTCCACGATGCCAAGCTCAAAGAAATTGAAGCCGAAATCCAGGTTGACCCTTGTCCAAACCTGACCAAAGATCTACATTTCGCTGGGGTAGCTGTAAGTGATATCGATTTCAGAACTTTGAGCTACGATGACGCTGATACACTGTTTGTACTCGCAGTTTTCTTTGATTTTTTAATGCTCTCCAAGGATTACCCATCAAGAGAAGATATTGAAGAGCTTTTGAAGAAAGAAAACGCAGTCACCAAGCTATGGAATGTCAACCCTAGGGCTGTCCAAAAAGACATATTGGCTGCGGTGGTAGCTTTGACTGCCAGACAAGAATGGAGACAGGCTGAAGAAAGATTTACCCAAGGACCTGAGTTTGAGATTATTAAATGGATCAAGCTATTTGTAAGATACTTAACGAGGATGTTTGAAGTTGACGCCAGAAGAGATAAGGAAGATTTCCATTGGAAAGCGCAGAGGGATTTCAGAAGAATGATTAAGCATAAGGAAAAGATTTGGGCTGCTTAAGAAAATAAAGTTTAAATCTTTGGAAAGCAGATTTAATTAGTAGAAATGATTTATAATAAAATTTTAGCAACAAAAGATATAGGTTAAGAATCTATTTTCTGGGAGAATAAATAGAATAGATTTTTGAGACAATTTAAATATAGAGGTTTCCTCTATATAGCGCTGAAAGCGCAGACATTTTCCCAGGAGCTTTCCAAGTTCGTCGGACCAAATCGCTTTTTGGTCCGACCAAGGCATTGATTTGGTGCAACCAACCGATAAATTCCGATCAGAATTTATCGGCATTACAGCGCCAAACATTGGAAACTTCTATATGAATTTATTATCAATGTTATAAGGAATCTAATTGCATAATTTTAAGCATGAACTGCGAATTCGTTGAAACCAAAAAATATAGCTCCTTATATAAAACTTCAAAAAACTATTTGATTTTATAACAACTACAAATAAAACTCTTTGCTACTTATTTTTTAATTTCCAAAATTTCGATTCAAAGAAAATGCCTTTTCTGTTTTGAGAAATTTTCATTGAAGACCAAATCAATAAAGGCTTTAAATATTATAAAAAGCTCAGCGCTTCTCTTTTAAGTCAAGCTATCCCCAAATTTTTTATTATTTATTTGCATAATAGCATTTTATAGTTTACAATACTTTTATATTTTATATTTGTTATAACAACCTAAATTTAAATAGCTAGTTCTTCAAACTCTAGAACAAAATAAGTATTTCAATTGCTTTAGCAAACTCTGTTTTTGATTTCATATTTAAATATTTTTTATTTATGAAATATCAAATTTACTATTTATTGATCTTGGATAAAAAGATTATATACTATAATTTAGCATAAAATATCATTATCATATCCGATTTGAAGGAGTCTTTTGCAAATAATAGTGAATTAGAGCTGATATACTTTAATGGAAAAAATAGAACGTTATGATAGAAAGAGTTCTATTTCAATTAGAAGAGAAAGGGTAGATACATTTAATGAAATTCTTAGAAATATAAAATCTTCTATTGGAAACAGCACACATCAAAACCTGGCAATTGAGCAATTGAGTATGTGCAGCTTTTTTAGCAGCCAAAGTAAGCATTCTAGATTAGATTAGATTAGATTAGATTAGATTAAGCGATAGGTATTTTAAGTCCCTGCTTCCAGAGATTTATATATCCTGCGCAGGTGGCCCAAGCAAATTGGGTGGACTTCCACTGGTACCTCTGAGCCCAGGCCGAAACCCCTGATTTCTCGGTAGTGGTCGCCCTGTTGGGTCCCGAAGCCCGTCGTTAGGCACCACCATTTCCAACTCAGTCCCTTTGGCCCATATTACGCCACTCCTGCCTCGTACTCCTGACCAGATCGCCCCGTACGGGGCCCTTTTCGACTGGAGAGACTACCTTACATTTGCTGTCTAGTCCACCTCCCCTCTTCCCAGGTCATCCCTTAGGAGGAACTCAGCCACTTCTGAGATTTGCGGCGGACCCACACAGTAGCAGCTTGAGCAAGTATGTCGCCTATAGGGCTTTCCCTTGAATAGCCCGATAACGGGATGAAGCCAGCCCGTTATCGGGCTATTCAAGGGAAAGCCCTATACTCCATCTCAGGGACCCACTGGCTTAAGTGCTGCTGGAAAAAAAATAAATCGACGGAAATTCCCATGGATCGGGCCACGGCCAGCGGGTCTGTGATTATGCCCATCGCTACTAGGATCCCGATGTTGCTGGGCCATCCTCTTCCCCAAAAGCCTTGCCTGGATATACACGGGTTACCGTCACTGAGAGGACTGATCGGTCGTCATACGCCATTTTATGTATATAAGGTAAGCATTCTAAAGCGCTAAATTATGCAAAACAAGCTATAGCCGAACTAGTTTCTTCTCAGCAAAAAGTAAGTGAAAAATTACTTACTTTAGCCTGGTATATGAGAGGAATTGAAGAGGATGCTTTAGGGAAAAAACCAGTTGCCCTTGAAGTTTTCAACAGAGCTCTCCAACTGAGCAAAAATCTGAAAAACTCCAAAAATCTGGCTAATATGATATCTGATGCTTATGAAAGGATTTTGAGCGATTTAAAGAAAGAAAAGCCAGTTTCCAAACAGATTCTGTCTAATAGACGAGGAAGCCAAACTCATTTCAGAACAGCTACAGATGGGAATATTCAGTACCATGATTTATTCAAAACTAACGACAATAAACTAGAAGCCTCTCCTTCGCAGGCATCCACTATGAAGCGTGGAAGCACTTTTTTTAAAACTCAAGAAGCGAAAAATTCAAATACAGATTCAAAAAATGCCTTATCCCCTAAAGAAACTCAATTATTCAGCAGAAAATCTAGCTTAAAAAATTTAGTTTTTGATTTGCATTCAAATTCCCTTAAGGATATAGTCAGCTTATTGGCAACTGACTCTCCCAAAAAATCTGCAAGAGGCTCTATTTTTTCAACATCCAGTGGGACAACTCTTGCAAATAACAAAAAGTTTCATAAGCACAGGAATAGCGAAGTAGAACATACTTTTTCTGAGCTCTCCAATATGAGTGGAGGGACTGTACAATTTGATGAGCTCAAATCTTTTTTATCAAATATGCAGTTCCCAGTATTCAAAAGGTCAGGAACTGCAATTTCCAATATAAGCAAGCACGATTTCCAGTCAAAAATGCACAATGATGACTCACCTATTTCAGAAAGCATCAGCAAAACTATAGAAAGTCCTTCTACAGCGAGCCCAAACAGAACCCATAAGCCTATCATTTTTTCAGCGATTTCTGCTTGTATTAAAATCCAATCATTATACCGAATGTGAAAGGAAAAATCTGTATTTAAATTAAGAGCCAAAAATAAAAGCAGAGGTTTGATTTACAAGCATGCTAGGAAAATTGGGAAAGAAATCTATATGATTTCTATAAGAAAAACTGACTCTAAATTGATTTTTAAGTCATGGGGAGGAAGCAGAAAGCAAGAATATGAAGTTGTAGTCCCTTTTACCAACCCGAATATTGAGGATCTTTTGAATTTAATTGAAATTGATGAAGACTCTGGAATGACCATTAAAGGGGTCAAAACCATTCTGGCACCAAATTTTGATAGGATTTCATCTATGATGAAAGTTATTAATGGGGTCGGCTACACAATTCAGTTTTTCAAAGACATTTTAAGCAACAAAATCATTATTAAGGCTGCCCAGTCTGGGTGTGAAAAAGAATATTCGTATATTTATCAGCTGAGTCTTAACACAAAACAAGAATCTAAATTGGTACAGTTTATTTCGCAAGAAATATTCCCGTTTATTACTATAAAAGATGAAAAAATTGTGTTGGAGTATGGAAAAGTGGAAAACCAGGAAAATGAGCTGAACAATGAAATAATAAATAAAATGAAAAAAGTAAAGAAAAATAAAGAAAATTTGGTAAAGGCTCATTATAAGTTATCAAAGCCAAGATATGAATTATTGACTGGAAATCTAATAATTAGAGGCAGAAAAGTTTTGCATAGAAACCCTTATATTATCAGTATATACCTCCACAAGCGAAACCCAGAACTTTTCCGAGTTGAAGCCTATCCTATTAAACAGCTTCCAATACCTCAGCCTTCTATTTGAACAGTCAGTGAGATCTGTGAAGCCCTTGACTTCTGAGAACCTACCGAAATTTTTAAACAAAAACTCAATCTTCTCCATTATGTCGATATTCAAGGCGGAAAAGTAATTTTTACTGAAAGACCTATAAATTGGGCGCGCCATTAGCATGCCCTTAGAGCTCAGCATAAACAGAAAGAGAGCCTATTAGCTTTTGGGCCGTATTCTAACTAGCCAAACTCGATTTGGCCAATGCAGTCATATGGTTTAGTTTTGCCAATTAAATTTGGCTTGTCAGAATAGAGCAGAGCTTAATTTATGCTCAGAGTAGCTCTGAGGGCACGCTAATCTAGTGCCTGAGCTATATTGCAGGGCCTCAGCATAAACAATTAGTTTATAAAACCACAAGAGTGCTTAACAACGGACACTCCTATAAGCTTTACTTTTATGAAGTCTTGGAAACCGAAAACTGAGAAGACTTTTTCATAGAGGCAGAGCCTGAAAATGATGGCCCTGGTGTTACAAAATATTTGTCTGTAAACGGGGATGAGCTAAAAAAAATACTCGGCCTTGAAAAAAAATTCGTGGACGAGTTCGAGCAGGTCGCAGATTTTATTATTATTGAAAGCTCAAGAGAACTCAGTCTAGTCACCCGTAGAATAGTTGACTGTCCCGTAATAGTAATTAATTTATGCAAAGACGAGGTTGTAAAACCCAAAAAAAGTGAAAACAAAGTGGTGACCAAAGGCAGCACAACCGAAATGTCTGAAGAAGAAAAATTCGAAATCAAAAGAAAAGCAGTAGAATTAATACAAAAAAACTATAAAAAACATAAAGAAACAGAAATTTATAAACTGAAAAAATTAAGAGCATTAAGAGAAGACATATCATTTTTGCTTTCAAGAAGCATCAGAATTATCAATAAAATCCCTTATATGGTCGAATTCTACAGAACACAAAAGGTCGATGTTTTGCTAGCCATAAGAAATATGTATGATGACACAATGTACGAGCAAGAAATAACCAGCGAGGTTTTAATAGTCACGAACGATTATAAAGCTATCACAAAAGCCCTGACTTTTCACAACAATAAAATTGCAATTCAGCGGTCAGCGGACGATTTCTTCCATATAGAACCTTGTGAAGAAGACGAAGTGCATGTAAACCATAAAGCAATTAAAAACCATGCAAAAAATGCATTGAAAATCAAACTGCTGGAAAGGACCAAAAAAATTGGGGAGTATGACTACCATTTATTGGTCTCTGAAGACCCACAAGGGTATAAAGTCGATTTGCGGGCTTTTGCTAAGCCTAGAAAAGGAGCTTGGAAGTTCTCAAAAATATTTTCAGCTGATGAGCTTGTACAGAAATATGGGAGAAAAGATATGGAGGATATATTTAAAAACGCAACAATTCATAGACAAGAACTGATACTGACGTCACCAAAAGCTGGACAACAACAGCAACAGCAGCAGCTGCTGGAGCAGCAGGAAGAGAGCTATGAGAAGCCGAAAAGAATGAAAAAAGGGTTCCAGTCAGAAGTTTTTAGGACCTTATCAGATGACTGCATAATAATTACTACTGAAAAAGAGTACAGAAATAAACCATATAAAATCAAAGTCGGGAAAATTGATGAAGGAACTGGACAGCTTGTCTTTGATATAGTTTCTTCTTTACCACCTATATATTATTGTTGAGAAGATCCCTGCAACTCCGCATAGGCGTTTATTTCTACCTTAAATTGTCAGCCACGATCTATTCTGGGCTCCTCCTTTCGGTCTACGTTGCCTTCCAGAAAATTCAAAAATCGAGCTTTCGGCTAATGATTGAAAAAGCAAGGACGTAGCGCCTGGCATTACACTAGATGATTGTCCCGACGGATCTATTGGTATCCTAGGTGTTGCTAGTTCCTAATTGAGCTCCATCCCAAATTGGAAAACTAACTGTGACTTGCTTCAGGCTCGGAATTATTCATCTGATGTCGATCACATCCCTGGCCGGAAGCCTTACGTGGCACACATATTCCGACGCCCCTTGCACAAGGTCCCAAGCCTAATTTTAGATCCCAGCTGTAGATATTTAGAGATCATGCAAATCGTCTCGCAATATTATGTATATTTACCACCAATAGTCAGAAAACAAATTGCAATAGACATCGCTAAAGCTTCCGAAAAACTGGAGGTTGGGATTGAATGAATTGTTCCTATGGCAAAATATATCCAAATTTTATATGAATATTTTCTCTTTATATTATACTCGTAAAATTCAATTAAATTCAGAATATATTAATGAGAGGTCTAGAAGTCGACGATTTTAGCATTAAAATGAATTTAAACCTGCCAAACTTCAATTTGAACACCTTGGTCACCAAAATCCAAAAATGATGGAGAGGATACTGAACAAGAAAACACAAATCAAGGCACATTTACCAAGGACTACGGTGTATCACAGTAGCCAAGCGAAAATTAGATGACAGAGACTACTTAATATACGCATATCTGCAAGGCTCAAAAATCAGAATTGAAGCCCACCATTCGCGCTCTGTGCTTGTTTTGCATATAGAAAATAACAGACTTGCCCAACTTGGAGATAGTATTACAAGAAAACAAATTTTAGAAAAAATCATAATTCCAAGCTTATATGTAGAAGAACAAGGAAATGTATATAAGCTTTGCATAGAAGAAAAAGTGAAGGTTTCCCAGAGGAATAATAATATTCGTAGACTGGAAACTCCGGACCCAGTAAAGCCAAAGGCAAATTTTTTATATCCTTTGAACCATAGAAGGACAATTTCTAATACAGAAACAGCATTTACTACACATAGTCCAACAGCTGATGGGGACTCAAAAAGAACTCCGAGAAGCCCATTGCTCCAAAATCCTTCGATGAAATATCCGCTGCTACTGAGGACAGGGAAATTTGAAGGGAAAAAATATTTTATTATTTCGATTTATTTGGTGGGGGGAGGAGTTTTGATTGAAGTAGAAAATACAAGGGCAAACAGAAAAGGATATTTTGAAAATAAATGTGAAATACCGACGGATTCGAGGGTTTTAGATAGCTTTTGCTGCGATCTTGCGGAAAAAGTGATAATAGAAGAAGATGAAAGAGAAATCAAAGTAAAAATTGCAGAAAAAGAAACATAATGTACAAAAAAGTAAATATTTATTTTGTAGTTTTTAACTCTTTCTTAATTAATAAAATAAATAAGCGCATATCTTTTAAGAATTTATATCAATTGCTTTAATAAACAATATAGAAATTGCCTTTGAGTAGCGCGCTAAGCGCCCGAGACTTCCCGACGAAGTCTGGGCGGTGGTTTGACCAGCTGATGTTGGTCAAACCAACATCCAAAATGATAAATTCTTCTCATATAGAAGATTTGTCAAATTGGATGCTGGTTTGACCAACATCAGCTGGTCAAACCACCGCCCAGACTTCATCGGGAAGTCTCGGGCGCTTAGCGCGCTACTCAAAGGCAATTTCTATAATTTTTATTAACTCATATTCTTGAATTTTGAATTCTTAATTGATATAATATATGAAATAAAATATTTTACGCGATTCTGCTCTTTTCAATTTTCTCCTTGAAATTTCCCTTAATTTCAAAAAGCGATTTAAAGAAAATCGAAAAATAAATGGTAAAAAATTATGAATTATATCCCAATTAGTTGCAGAAAATGCCAAAGATTTTATATAGTAGAAAAGCGACTCATAATTTTCTCAGGAAATTTGAAATATTTATATATATAGGAAATTATTTGTTTCATAGTAGATTTCCCCAGAGGCATTTCATCAAAGCCATTTTCTCTAGAAAAAATATTCTGCAAACCAAATAATTAATTTTTTTAGCCCAAAGGATTAGAAAATAAAATTCTGATTCAATAAACATCATCCTCAATATCTAATATTGATTAAGAAGTAATTTTTTATAAATATCAGAATTATATTGCTATAGCTTTTGCATCCTTTTTTTATTAAGTAAATCTAAAGCATTTTTCAACCCTTTCCTCACATCTCTCATAGGCGGCCTCCTTTCCGGAGCTTCACTCCACATTTCTCTCATAAGCGCCACAAACCTTGGGAACTTCCTCTCAATCTCTTCTAGCACCTTTGGCTTTCTCATTTTCTTCTTTATTTCCTGATAAAACTCTTTTTTCTCAGGCTTATGTCCTTTCATAGTCTCTAAATAATCAAACGGCGCCCTTCCATGGCTAACATAATACATGCTCATACCTAGAGACCACACATCAGCAGGCATTTGTGGGTTATCTCCTTTAATTTGTTCAGGCGAGCAATATAGCAGCGTAAAGCCAGGCTTAAAAACTTTTCCCTTCTCAAGGTGTTCACTCATTCCAAAATCAGCTAGTTTTACAGTATTTTCTTCACTTAAAAACATGTTATGAGGCTTTATATCAAAATGGCAAATTTCTTTGGAATGCATGAACTCCAATCCAAGGCTAGCTCCGTACATCAAATTGAGTCGCTCGTCCATCGTAATGTTTGAGGATCTTTTAATGTATGAGTTCAGCCCTCCCTTGGGGCAAAATTCCAGGACAAGGCCGATTTTTTTGTCGTATTCGACCACTCCATAGACTTTGACGATATTTTCATGAGGAAGGCACTTCATCATTTGCAGCTCTTTTGCGATCCTTCGTTTTGCCTTAGTTTCTGTCTCTTTTACTTCTCTTGGGAACTTTATTGCAACTTTTTGGCCATATAATTCATTTTCATAGACATCTCCAAAGCCTCCATGACCAATAATTGATTCCTCTGCCATCAAAGACTTATTGGTGAAATTCTCTGGGCCAATTCAATCTTGACTGTTTATCTGGTATTTCATATTGCTTTTATCACTAATCACTTGGCATAATAATGAATTCATCTCTTTCAGCAGCTTTAAATCATACTCTCTTGGATCTGGAGACTTCTCAGTGCGTATTTGAGCGATTTTTGAAAGACCGATTGGAATAAGCAGGATTTTCCGATTTCCCGAGCCTTGTTCTTGGACAGTTAAATAGTTGCTTGGAAAAGCCATAAACTCCAAGTCATTTTCATATCACTGCCTTAGCTTAAGCTTGATTTCGTCAAGTAAATTTCGATCAAAGTCTATTAATTCTAAATATTTTTTGAGGGTGCAGCCAATGGATCCTTCATATTTGTAAATTTTATCGTCTAGAAAGAGGTTTGCAAAGTCAATTATAGTTTTTAGGACTTCATTATCTCTGATAAACTCTATTAATTCTCTTTCTCTTTCACAATATTCAATATATTCTTCTTCATTATAGCTTGAGGAAATATCTTCGTCGTTATCTTCTGCGTCATCACTGGTTTCTGATTGATCTGAATCATCGTCCCTTTTGGCTTGCTCCCTTTCTCTTTCTTTTGCTGGCTCTGGTTTTGGCTGAACTGGGTGTTTTCGAGGGATTTGGCTTCTTTTTTCGCTCTCATGTAAAATTCTTCTAGTGTCTATTGAGGCTCCTTTTTGGAAAAATTCAATAATTGACACTATTCCAAATGCATAAGTTTTATATGAAGCAATTGATTTCATTAACTGATCTTTAATTAGATTTCCTAAGCATTCAGGATTCAAGGTGCTATAAAACCCTTTGCTTTCAAACACCAAAATTCTTTTTTCCAGACTAATATTGAAACATCCGATTTGCATCCCATAATTCGAACGTGTGATGAATTCAATTGAAATTAGCAACAAATTGTCATCAGTGAACCTGAAGCTCTCATTATTTATCGTAAAAATTACCTTGATTGTAAAAATATTCTCATAAATTTCAATTAAAAGCGGAAAAGTTCGTCATTTCTCTCCTGTGCTTTGTCCTTGATTTGTGATCGCGAACATTATGTTAAAACTTTTTTCTCTGTCACTTATCTTGTATTTTTGGAAACCCAGCTCAGTAACACTGGCTTTTGTGATGCTAATCATAAGGTTCATAGAATTTGAGTGACTATACTTAGAGGGTGGTTGAGAATTATGGCTGGAAGGGGCTGACTGCTGATTTTTTCGCCTAGCAGGAATGCCTGACTGATCTTGAATTTTAGTCTGTGCCGAAGTACTTGGGTTTGATCTTTCAGGGGAATTTTGCATAGTCCTTTGAGATTATATGTATTTATAGAATCATAATAAGAACTAATAAATTATTTTTAAAGGCCTAATAAAGGAATTTTACTCAATCTTAGTCTTAGTTCTACAAATTAAGCATATAAATGCATCATAGATGGAAATTAGAAATAATAAAAACCTTATAAAGCTGTTTAAAGTTCTCAGCCTAATTTCTATTTATTTTCCAACCTGAGTCAATAAATTCCAATTGTTCTTTTCAGGATAAATACGCAAAAAAATGACAAGGAGACTTAAAAACTGTTAATTTCTTATTATAGGTTAAAATCTTAGTTTATAGTAAGCTGTGCAACAGATACTAATTTTAAGCAATAATCATGAAAGAAATAACACCAAAACAAAGAAAACCAATTGAGCCTAAGCCACATCTAGCTTTCAAGCCTTCTTTCTTAGACGTAAAACTTAAAGAGCAATACCTCGATCCTCATTTTAAAGAAAAACTAAAAGAAATGTGAGCCCGAGAAGATGCAAAAAATAATCAGCAAAATTCAATAATTAATCATTTTATGCATCCGTTTATCAAAGCCTCCAAAAATACACAAATGAAGCGATCTTTGGTCAGTCAGCACGTTTCCCCAATTTCCTCTAGCTCTATGAATTCTCCTAACAGCGGTGAAGATCTCAATCGATCTTCTTCAATGCACAACATGCACATTTCTTATCTAAATTTAGACAAAAAAGACAAAACCAGCCAGAAAGCATTCACAAAAACATTTTTTAATAAATCCCCTGGGCCAACTAACTCTGAGACCATGGTTATTTCTGGGGTAAGACCAAGACAGGAAAGCCCTATTATTCGAAACGGAAAACTGTTCAGGTCAAGAGATGTAGGAGAGTCCAAGGCTTCTTTCTATATAAATCCACAAACAACTGATAGAAAAGAAACCTTAAAGCAAGAAAACTATGATATTTTACAGCCGATTAATGTTCGTTGCTTTGACTCAGAAATTATTCCTAAGTCTAAAAGTCAGAATTTCACGATCAAAGAAGTGCTAACATATATATCGACCCAACAAAAGAAGAGATTTAAATATTAGCTTATTAATGCTATATTATATAATTAAATATAACAAATTAAGTTATATTTAAGGACTTGATGGAGTCACACTCCTCTGATCTACTTTATATTTGTGATATTTTGCTGCTATTCGTGGATAAAATGGAATGCCTTCACCATAATAGGAATTTCGTCTACTGCTAGGAGATGAGTAATTGACACGAACCCCATCGTCTTCATGTCTGTATGAGCGCGTTTCTCTGGGGTCTTTAATTTCGACCACTTTTCAGCTTTCTCCGTTGGTTTCTCTGAAATATTTCACATTTTTACTAGTATCTCCTTGATCTGCGGATGTGTCTCTATACAAGTTGTTATAGGGCTCATTGGGCAGCTGCGATTTTATTTCAGTTTCTTTTCTATTTAGAACTTTCCGCTTCATTTTCGTGTCACTGCTTCCTGAATAATTGTCCTTGAAATCCATTGAAGATTCCAAAGTTGGCTCAGAGACATTATTTTTGGACTGTAAAACTGTGCGGAGTTCATGTCATGAGCCGTTGACTATTGAAGCAAATAAGTATCTTATAAGGCACGTCAGAATTCCAATTAGAGGAATAAGAATGCAAAAAATGTCTAAGTAGGGGGTATAGCCAGTATATGTATCAGATAATAAATAAAATGAAGAGATAGCAATAAAGAGCAAAATTAGTAATTCAGTTGCAAAAACAAATCAATTATCTAAGTGATATTTGAAAGGCTGATATCCAAATAAATAAGCAAGAATGATAACTTGTCCGAAGCCAATTGTTGCCACTTGGATGGCCGGATACTCATATAGCAATACTAAGATAATTGCAGCAGCTGACCGAACTAGAAGTATAATAGGATAAAACAAATACTGCGTCATCTCCATTCTTCCATAAAACTCACCTACAATGGTCATAATTGACTCCAAACACTTTTCCGGAGGCACTTCTTTAGTTAATCTCAGCTTCAGCTTAATTGAAACTGGCACAAAAATCACAAACAAAGCACTCATCGTAAGAAACATCAGAGATATCAATGTGCTTGTAAAAGGGACAGCTCCTTGAAAATCTGCATAATAAATTTGTAAAACCGCACAAATCACAATATCAAAAATAACAATAAGGGACGCTCTTATTATCAGGGAGTATTTTGTGTACCCCATTATATTTCTCATCACTTCTGACTGTATGCAGCCTGTAAATATCATTATGATTAGCATCAATGCTAGGCATAAACCCCACGCTCATAGCATTTCTTCAGCATTATTTATAAAAATCGTCCCTTGGAATCCTAACTTTTTAAATCTTTGTTGAGATATATTTGCATCGGTTGCGACAGGGAATAAAGTATAAACATTATAAATTTTGTACAGTTCGCTGAAAAATGAATTGAATACTTCAGATTGGTGTAGATCAATAATAGGAATGTAGCGGATAAATTGAACGTAAGTCATGGAGTATCATAAGCTGTAGAGACTTCCTCCTCGGTTGACTGTGCCTACTGAGGCCAAGAACATCACTGTAAAAAGAGCAAGAACTGCGTATCGTGTGACCTCGCCTACAATTGCCACTTTTTCAGAGTCAAAAGAGTCGAGAGCATAAGCTATTACCATTTGCTTTAGAGAAAATAATTTAATAGATATATAAGGTCAGATTATTTAAAGCTTAAGTAATGATTTTGACATTAATAGAAGAGTCTTAGATATAAGTTATATGTCTTTTTAATTTTTCTCCTGAGTTCGTTAGAGTCTGATGCTGTTGAAAATTAAGGAAACTTAGAATTTCGTCACTAAAACTACATCATAATTATTTTTTGATAGCTTAATGCTATTATTTAACTGAAAGATTAAGATTATATAAAATTATAATCAATTTTTGATTTGCCTTATTCCCAATGAGGATCAAAATCTGTGAAAATACTGAATTTTGGAGAAACTTCCCTTCGTGATTATTGCTTATGCCAAGATTTTTTATATGGCATCTACTATTTTTTAGGGCTTTAATAAGTAGAAAAGCACTGAGTCTCTGAACTCATTTTTCATTATTTCTTTAATTAACCTTGCTTTCTTCGAATATTGACAATATTTTCATTTCCTTTTAACGGATTTTATTCTGTGTCATTTTATGATATTAGCATTTCGGCTTCATAAATCCAAATTTATGAATCTTTCAGTTAATTTCTCATTCTCTAGCAGTTTTAGACTTCAGGAGATTAGCATATCTATAATTAATTAAATACATAATATAAATTAAATGCTCCTCGCGATTCTGGCAGCAGCAAGACTTTATAGTTTGGTTCGTATGCATCCAAATATTTTCTTTCTTCTAATATTTAATTATTTTTGTATATAGCTATTATAATTAGCATTGAACGCTAACTAAAAATATGATAGAACTATAAAATACTTTTAAGTGATATTACAATTTCTTTTATTGCTCTTTATATTTTTCTTAATAGAAAATATAAATTTTCCTCAATTGTAAATTTATTCTGTGCTATATAAAAATAATATCAATAAAAAAATTCAGTGAATAGTAATAAAGAATGACAGATGATATGGGGCAGGCCTTGACGATAACAGCCCTTGTGCTTGTATCTTTATTTTGCATGGGCTGCTGCCTAGTTTTATTCAGAAAAATGTATAAAACCGCTCAGAGACAAAGGCAGATTTACGATCAGCATTTCCTAAACTACTTGAGAGCTACCAACTATGCAGTGCTACCAGAAAATTCCGCAATTTTTGAAGATGAGCTTGAGCGATGATTTCCCCGAACTTCTTTTACTAATGGAATGGTGCAAGTCGGTCAAGGAACTTGCTGCATTTGCTTTGAAGAGTAAAAATCATATAGTTTTATTGACGGTATTCATATAAGAAAACTTACTTGCAAGCACATTTTTCATGCAAAGTGTATTGATGACTGATTCCATAGAAGAGATGCGCCTAAATGTCCACTTTGTAAGGTTAATCCTTTTGTGCCTGCAGAGCAGATTCCAGTTCCGAGTGCAAATGAGCAGTCAGATATTCAAAGAGGAGAGTCTGAACAAGGCGACCAGGTTGCAGTTCTTTCTGGGAGGGATTTAGAAGATGAAATTTCACATACCTTACCATAAAGCGATGGCTGTAGATTTAATTTTTGGTTAAAATGCAAAATGTACAATTCAATATGAACAGTAAAAGATTTTATCTGATATTAAACCGCTCTTTTAGACAAAAAAGTTAAATTAATTTATAATAATAACAATGAGGAGATTTATAGAGGTACTAGATTAGATTAGATTAGATTAGAATAAAGTTATAGCGGGTCGCAGGGGTTTATTTCAGCCCCTCGCCGTCCACCGGATAGCTTCGCAGTGACGCTAAGCGCTATCACACACCATCTTTTTCCCTTCTGACGTCACCAAAAAAATGGTGATGTCGAAGGTCTTCGGGAAGCCACCCTACCCGGTCAGGGTCTCCGAATCTCAGCAGAAAACTCCTTCAACCTCTGACAGTGCTCAGAGTACAGGGGAAACGCCTTCTGCCTTCTCCATGGCCTGTCAGAACCGTATCGCAGGTTCAATAATGCTCCCATGGAGTGGTATCGGGATTTTGCGTCAGTAGGGTCATCATGCAGGCAAGGAAAAAGACAAGGGGTCAGCCCCAAGTCAAAAACCCCACCCCGGAGAACTATCGCCATGTGGCTCGCCTTTCCTGGGCCTGGATCAACTCACAGGCCACCAGGAGTCCACGTCAGATCACGCCATTTTAATAATTCCTAGATACTAGAAGAAACAGCAATTGATTAGTAAGAAATAGAAAATGCTAATATATTTTAAAGAAAAAATAAATTTCATTTACCCTACATTGAAATCACATGTTTTAGAATTTTAATTATACAAGATTCATTTTCTATCTACTTATTATGTTTAGCCAATATTTAATTGGTTGTGCTCTAGCAGTAATAGAGTAAACTATACCCAAAAAAGTATATGCAAAATACGAATAATTTAAAAAATGATTCGTCTCAGAAGAAACTAGTTAAAAATATAAAGCATCGCAAAAAGTATTTAAATGCCATTTTAGGTATAGTTTATCAAACTAAAAATCAATGCTACCCAAGCAAGCTACCTTGCCAACTTTTCAAGACTTTTCCTCACCAAATCAAACTTAAAGCAGCTCATACAATTATAGCTAATGAAACTAATGAAGACTGACTGATTAACCTTTTTTCTGAAAGCACTGTAATTTCATTTTAAATTAAAAGCACCTATCTTACTTCAAGCATACTCACTCCCATAGTCACTTTCAAACAAAATCCCAGGCTCTTGTATCAGATACAATCTAGAATTACCACTAAAAAGTAGCTTTGACATCTTTGAACACAAAACTGGAAAATTTATATTCGAGTAGCTTTCAATTTCTAGATCATATTTATATACTTTACTATGAAAAAATCCACAAATATATATGCATTCTTGAAAAAGCACGCAAGAGCACCCAGAAGATGCTTCTGGAAGTTTCGGCGATTTAAGCCACCTATTGCCAGCTAAATCAAATTTTTCAGCAAAGAGCATGTAATTTTGCTTATCCCAGCCCCCAAAGAAATAAACACAATTTTTATAATAGACAGCTCCACAGCATCAAGATGGGCTGCCATAAGGTAAAAGTTTCTTTACTGTAAAAGTCTCAAGGTCAATTATGCAAGAAATCCCTGAAAAAAAGCTGTTCCCATAGCAAAATAGCTCTGAGTTTGGAAGCTGCACAATGCAAGTTCCATTGGATAAAGGCTCAGGAGTGCTGATTACTTTATTTTCTCTCTTATCTTTTTCTATATCATAGACTCATAGATCAGTTCATTTTTCAGCTCATCCTATAGAATAAAGGTATTTAGAATCGAATTTTAGCTTCTGGATAAAGTCGCTGATTTTTATATAGAGTTCATCACAATTATTGACATAGCTTATGTAAGCTGCTCTCAATTTTTCATCTAATTCGGCCAATAGTTTCAGCTCATTGATTTCTTTTAAGCGAGCTATTTCAGAAAATTCTTTTTCTAATTGATTTTCAAGATCTTCTAGACAGTTTGCTTTAGAGATTCCAAAAGTGAACGAATATTCAGATAATAAATCGTTAACTTCTTTTGACAATGCTAAAATCTCTTCTCCTTTATGCTCTAGTTTATCAAGAAAATTATTACAATTCTCAATATTTGACCTTTTTCTTTTTATTGGATTCATAAATCTATTAATATTTATCGGCATTATAACTTGAGCCTCTTGCAAACAAATTTATGTTATTTTTTTAAATACTGAATAATCAATATAAACGGATAAAATATAAGGGCAATGTATAATTTATTGCGCTATATGCTTAATGGCATTCTATGTTCAAATGATTTTAATAAGAAAGATCTGAATAATCAATTCTTAATGCATAAAATTGCTTTGCATCTGAACTTCCTAACTCCCCCCATGAACGAGCAAAACCATTAGAAAAATCCCCAAAAACCCAAAAAAAAATTTGATATATAAGTGATAATTAGTATAATGAAATCTCGAGCTAATTCTGTCTAATTTTAAACAAATTGTATTTTAAAAATAAATTTTACAAATTAAATTAATATTTGCTTTCCAATTTTTTTGCGAAGTGGATATAAATGTTTTTTAAAAAAAAAATTAACCCCCTCAATGAGCGAAAAAGATTTTTTGTTCACTCACGGAGAGGGGGAGTAAGGAATCTTTTATATATGTCTATTGCTAGTTGATACAATAAAGATTTAACTATTATCATTATTTGTCAAGCTTTTCAAAATTTTACTAACTCCCCCTCTGTGAGCGAACAAAAACATTGGAAAAATCCCTATTTTTTGCCTAAAACCCCCTCAGTGAGTGAACAAAAACATTTTTAATATAAAAATTTTTTATAAAAAAAATTTGATATATAAGTGATATAATGTATTGGTAATATTTTATTTTGCTTATTTATGGTAAATTGATTTTAAAATGTCAAAAAAATTTTGACATGTCATTACATATAAAACTGAGTCTATGGTATGTTAAAATTTTTTTGACATTTTAAAATCAATTAAGCAAAATGAAATTTATGCAAAGGATTATAGTTAATATAATGAAATCTTTACTAAATTTTTTAATTTTTAAACAAATTGCGTTTTAAAACATAAATTTTACAATTAAATTAATTTTAGTTTCAATTTTTACAAATTAGAATTTTTTTAATTTTGGAAAAAAAATAAAATAAAAAATTAACCTCCCTCTGTGATCGAACAAGATTTTTTTTGTTTACTAAGTAAATCGAACCTAAACAACAGCATACTTTGATTAATAAGAAGACTAATGAACACTGAGTTTCCAACCTTTTTTCAGGATGCTCTTTCATAATATTGAATATAAGCAGTACGTATCGTGCTTCAAGTGTATTCATTTTCATAATCACTCTCAAGCACGGTCCCTGGCTCTTGGAATAGATAAATCCTTGAATTCCCTCTGAACAACAGTTTTGATGCTATTAAGCGCAAGTTCGGCGAATTCAGTGCGGAGTAGCTTTCAATAGCTAAGTCATATTTATAGACTTTATTATGAAAAGGACCACAAATCAATATAGCCTCTTTAAAAACTACGCAAGAACACCCTGGAGATGCTTCTAAATGCCTTTCTGATTTTAATCATCTGCTTTCAATTAAATCAAATTTTGCTTCTCATCCTCCAAATATATAAACAAATCCTTTATAATAAACTCCTCCAAGGCACTCAGAACGCCTACCATAAGGTAAATGTTTCTTAACTCTGCAAGTCACAAGATCAATTATGCAGCAAAACCCTGAAGAAGGGCCGTTTCCAAAGCAAAATAACTCTGAGTTTGGAAGCTGCACAACGCAAGTTTTATTGGATAAAGACTCTGGAGTGTCAATTAGCCTTGTTGTTTTTATGGATTCTTCTGTATCATATGATAATTTGGCCTTTTTTGAGACAGCAAACTGGTCTACTAGTCCCAACCGTTCACCTGTTAACCAATCAGAATAGAAGATTGGTTGGGGTCAGTAGACCAGTTTTATGGTACCGTAAAAGGTCAAACGGATCATATAATATCTATCTCTTTTGGCTTTCTAATAGTGATTTTCGCAACTCTAGCCCCAATTCTCCTCTGTTTAAAAAGTAATCAGTCAAGCCCATTTCCATTCCGTATATTCATCAATCCGTTTGATTATTCAAGGGGAGACATCCCATATCTACTCATATAATTGACATATCCAATTGAGAGATATAAGTAGCGCTCCTCTTTATATTCAAAGTTCAGTTCACTTTTCACCTCTTTCAATAAAATAAAGATATTCAGAATCAAATTCGAGCTGATGGATAAAATCATTAACCTTTATATAAAGCTCATTCCATATAATGGTGCAATCTGCATAAGATACTTTTACTTCATGACTCAACTCAGCCAATAATCTGAGCTCATTAGCTTCTTTTATATCAGCTATTTCAGAGAATTCTTTTTTAAGACGAAATTCAATCTTATGCAAGCAACTTGCCTCAGGAATTTCTAGAGTTTGCGAGTATTCATATAATAAATTATCAACCTCTTTTGACAATTCTAAAAGCCCTTTTGCCTTCTGATTCAGCTTTTCAAAAAAATTGCGGCAATTTTCTATATTTGATCTATTTCTCTTAATTGGATTCATAATTTTTTAAATTTGAATTACATGCTAATTGCTTTAAATTATTATTAAATATAATTAATATTAGATTAATCATGAAACGGAGAGCAATAAATGTCAATTTCTTTGAAAAACTCACTTAATGACCTGAGAAGAAAATCTATAGAAAGGCTTCAGAATATTATCAACAACAATTCAAGCAAGAATCGAAGCTTTCTGAAACCAAAATTTGACTTTGAAAGAAGACGCAAAAGCGTTGGAAGCCGAAACAGCTCAGCTGGAGGGTCCAGTGAAGACGAACGAAGCAATTCCACTAAAGGCATCAATATCCAGCTAAGGGCTGAAATTCGGAAAACACTGAAAAAGAATGACGTAAAAATCCTAACTTCAAGAGATTTAAAGAATAGGCCTCCAAAACACCCATTAATGCTTAAGAGGCCTGAAATCAAGCTAAATGATATCAAAGAAAATTATGCGTGCACTTCGAAGACTACAGAGCCAGAGCTTGTACCCTCATGCAATTTAAACAATTCATGGCGGGACTCAGACCAAACTCTGCCAACATGCCCATCTGATTCAAAACCAAGCTTTCCATTTCCGAGAAGGAGTCGCAAAATCAAGATCCTTTCCCAAGAGAATTTTGGTGAGAAATACCTACCTTCTGCCCCCAGCATCTTCCCATCTAATAAAAATGCATTTCAGTTTTCTTTACTCCTCAAGAAACATCCTAATTTTGATTAAAAAGCTCTGCAACGAGCAAAATTTTTTATAAAAATATTTAATAAATAATTATAACGAAATCTCTCTAATTCTTTTGAAATTAAAACGGCTTAAGACATAAATTTTTACTCTAAAAAAAATTAACCCGAATAAATTTTTTTGGTTGCTCACGGAGGTAGGGGGAGTTAGTTATCAAAGAGCATGAGCTAGAAGAATTTTATGACGAAACTAAATTCTTAAAAGCTTTCACATTGGATGAGCTCCTAACTAATAACAAAATAAATTCGTTCTTATAAATATACTTTTATTAAAAATATTTGCAAAAGCTTGATATAAAAGCCGCTCTTAAAGATTCTATAAGCTCCTCATGTATAAAGGAACTAAAAGTCTTCTGCCATACAATTTTGCATTGAAACATTTCTTTCATATATTAGAAATTAAATAGCATATATGGACAATCGAAACCTAAGCTTTCTTAATTCTTATTTGGCGTCAACTGTTGATAACGAAATATCTGAAGAGTCTCTCAATTATTCAACAGAAAACCTTGGACAAGAGATCTTGATCATGACAATTGAAATCGGAGATGGCATCACTGATGAACTTATTGTTAGAGAAAACGATCGTCCAAGCGTCCTAGCTGACCAATTTTGTAGGAAACATGGGATGGGCCCTGACGTAAAACAAGCTCTATTGCAACAGATTGAGCAAAACTTAGACATAATATACAAAGAAGAAGCACAAGGAAATACTTCGCTTTTAAATGAGAGTTATGAAAAGCGGCCAGTATCCAATAATTCCTTTCTAAAAAACTCCACACAGAACAGCAAGTCAACCACGCCTACTCCAGGTCCAAACTCTCGATCCAGGCCAAATACCTCCTTTGAAAAGCAAAAGTTCGAAAATGTGACCGGTAAAACTTATGCCAAGCCCAACCCTCAAGACAAACGGTCAGCCAGTGCACCACGAGAACAAAGAAAATATGGCTTCAACTCAGACCACTCAAATAACGGCGAAAAGCTTTACTATAAAGGGTTGCTTCTAAAAGACCGTACCGAAAAGAGAATTCAATACCTCAAGCACGTCCAGACAGAAGCAGCCATGAAAGACATCACCTTCCACCCAAGGATCAACTCAAGAAGTTCTTATAGAAGTCAGAACCCTGAGGTGTATTTGCTTGAAAAAGGCAAAGAAAGGAATGAATTTTTGGAGAGAAAACGAGGCGAAAAATTAGCTGAAGAAATGAGTATGTGCACCTTTAGACCGAATATTGACAAGAAAAGCACAATTCTTGCCCAGCTGAAAAGAAGGCCAAAATCGCCTGACCGATGTGTGGCTTTATATGAAAACGCAAAAATAATTGCAAAGAAGCATAGTGACTATATTCAGAATAGGCTAAAAGAAGAGTGCCCGTTCATTCCAGATACAAGCAAAACACAAAAAGTTAATAAATCTTTTACGACGAGAGTTAGGGATAAGATATCAAACTCTCGGAAATCTATTGAGGATTATATAAATAGGTCAAAAATTTTAGAGAATATTGACCCTGAGACAGGCCAGCAGCTATTTCATCCTAGGATAGGGCGACCTCCTTCTAAAAGATCGTCTAGCGCTAAAAATATTGGAGAAAGACTATATTCGGCAGGCAAACGCTCATCAAGCCAAGAGTTCAAGCAAGAATCCCCTAACTCCCCCCCTCCGTGAGTGAACAAAACCATTAGAAAAATCGCTATTTTTTGACCAAAAACCCACCCTCCGTGAGTGAACAAAAATTTTTTTAATAGAAAAATTTTTAATGGAAAAAAAATTTGATATATAAGTGATAATTAGTATAATGAAATCTAGAGCTAATTCTGTTTAATTTTAAACAAATTGCATTTTAAAACATAAATTTTATAAATTAAATTAATATTTACTTCCCAATTTTTGCAAATTAGGATTTTTTTAAATTTCGAAAAAAAAAAATTTTTGTATAAAATTTATATATAAATTTTTTAAAAAAAAAAATTAACCCCCCTCCGTGAGTGAACAAAATTTTTTTGTTCACTCACGGAGGGGGGGGAGTAAGAAACTTGCTAATGCTGCGAGTGAAAAAATTCTTGCAAAGGTAAAAAGCCAAAGGTATCGTGAGCTGTTTGACTTGTTATCTCCAAATGATGGATATATTAATAAAGAAACAATCGAACGATCTCACTTACCTGTAATTCTAACTCTCTCTGTTTTAATTATTTAACTATTCAATTTTATTTTTCAAAATGTTTGGATTTAGATAGAAAATTATAGGTTTAATTTAAAAATAAAAGAAAATCAATTGAGTTAAATTTTCGATTTATAAGGCTAAAAAATAGTGTAAATAATTGCAATGTATCTAAATACTTTTTAATTTCTCTAACTCCCTCCCTCCTTGAGCGAACAAAAAAATTTTGTACGCTCAGGAGGGGATTAATTTTTTTAATTTAGATTTGCAAACATTGAGAAGAAACAAATTTAATTTTTCAAAGTAAGCTGTTTTAAAATTAAACAGAATCTGCTTGAAATTTCATTATAATAATTGTCATTTATATATCATATATTTTTATAAAAAAAATTCATATAAAATAAATTTTGGAATTGCTTACGGAGGGTGGGCTATCCGAAATGGTTTTGATAGATCACTGATGGGGAGTAAGAAAAAACCAAAATTATATAGATTCCGAATCTTTAAAGGCTCACATTTATATACATAAAATGGTGTATGGCGACCGACCCGTCCTCTCAGTGACGGTAACCCGTGTATATCCGGGCATGGTTTTCCGAAGAAGCGACTTAGCCAGCAATATCTGGACCCTGGTGGCGATCGGGGACAAACACAGACCCGCTGATCGTGTCCAGATCATAGGGCAGTTAGGAGCATCTTCTTTTTCCAGCAGCGCCCCCAGCCAGTGGGTGCCCGAAATGGAGCAGGGCGACTTACCTGCTCAAGCTGCTACTGTGGTCTGCCCCGAATCGCGGAAGCGATTGAGGATTTTCTCAAGCGGATAAGCTGGGAAAAGGGGAGGCAGATTAGACGACAAGGAGGCGGTCTCTCCAGTCAAAAGGGCCCCAAATTAAAGGGCGATCTGGCCAACCGGAGGCAAAGACTGGCGTAATTCGGGGCGGAAAGGCTGAGTTGGAAAATGGTGGGTGCCCGGCGACGGTCGGCGACGACCCAATAGGGCAACCCACCACCGAGAAACCAGGGGTTTCGGCCTGGGCTCAGAGAACCAGTGATGGAAGTCCATCCTTTTCGCTCGTACCGGCACGGCTCCTTAAGGAGCGCGGAGGAATGCCACGCATGGAAGCAGGGACCTTAAACACATATCGCTTAATTATTATTATTATTATTATTATTATTATTATTATTATTATTATTATTATTATTATTATTATTATTATTATATTTATTATTATTATTATTATTATTATTATTATTATTATTATTATTATTATTATTATTATTTATTATTATTATTATTATTATTATTATTATTATTATTATTATTATTATTATTATTATTATTATTATTATTATTATTATTATTATTATTATTATTATTATTATTATTATTATTATTATTATTATTATTATTATTTATTATTATTATTATTATTATTATTATTATTATTATTATTATTATTATTATTATTATTATTATTATTATTATTATTATTATTATTATTATTATTATTATTATTATTATATTATTATTATTATTATTATTATTATTATTATTATTATTATTATTATTATTATTATTATTATTATTATTATTATTATTATTATTATTATTATTATTATTATTATTATTATTATTATTATTATTATTATTATTATTATTATTATTATATTATTATTATTATTATTATATTATTATTATTATTATTATTATTATTATTATTATTATTATTATTATTATTATTATTATTATTATTATTATTATTATTATTATTATTATTATTATTATTATTATTATTATTATTATTATTATTATTATTATTATTATTATTATTTATTATTATTATTATTATTATTATTATTATTATTATTATTATTATTATTATTATATATTATTATTATTATTATTATTATTATTATTATTATTATTATTATTATTATTATTATTATTATTATTATTATTATTATTATTATTATTATTATTATTATTATTATTATTATTATTTATTATTATTATTATTATTATTATTATTATTATTATTATTATTATTATTATTATTATTATTATTATTATTATTATTATATTATTATTATTATTATTATTATTATTATTATTATTATTATTATTATTATTATTTTATTATTATTATTATTATTTTATTATTATTATTATTATTATTATTATTATTAATAAAGGCTCACATTTGGAACTATTTTGGGCTAGGCTTGAAATATTGTTTTCAAAAAAAATGCAACCGTCGCATGTTTGCCATACAAAATCGTTTTTTGGCAAGCTCGTAAATATCAAATGGCAGTTACACTTTATATGAAAATTCAAATTTTAGCTAAAAGACTATTATGCCAATTTAAAAGGATTAATGGGCTTTTAGCAAACTCTGTATATTTTTTAATGATGCCTAAAACTTTTTTTTGCAAAAAACATATTTTTATTCATTACTAATGCTCAGAGAGTAAGAAGGATTTTGACTCCTTTACTAGACGAACTAGCCAAGCTAGATGAAAGACTTAACTATGAAGAATTTTATGATTCCATGGAAATGCTTATGAAAGTGCTCAATCCAACTGAAAAGAGTTTGCTACTTATGACTAGAAAACCTCAGCAAGAAAAGACTGAGTACTCTTTCAAGCCTTCCCTCAACGTTTCTTATTCAAGTGACAGCTCCAGAGAGCCAATTTATCAACGACAGCTAAGAAAGCTGCAAGAAACCGAAGAAAGGATCAAGCGAGAAAGGGTCGAAAAGGCAGCTGCCGAGATGAGCGAATGCACTTTTAAGCCCAAAATCAAGAAATACTCAGCCCGAGAACTGACTGAAGACAGTTTCATGGACTCGAGCTCGTATTTTGTATACAAACCCATTGTAGATGACAGCTCCATGTGGCTTGTCTAGGTAATTATAAAATAAATGTGACTTTAAACGTTGCAGTAACAATTTTCCTAAAATGTCCCACGATATCGAGGCCGAGTACCAAGCAGGCGAAGACGCCCTTTACAACAGCAACTACTCTGAAGCCATTGAACTCTTTGAAAAAGTTGTCGAAGCGAGCCCAAGCCACATTTTAGCTCTGAATGGTCTTGCAAGAGCAATTCAAATGGTGCAACCGAATTCATCCCGATCTTACCAATTGCTCAAAAAGGCTTATGACGTGGACCCAACTGACTCGTTGACCTTGTTCAACTTAGGCTCGTATTATTTTAAGCGGCACTCTTTTAAGCAGGCGGCCAAATATTATTCAGAGACATTGAAGTATGAACCAAATCATGCAGGGGCTACCTATAACTTGGGGGTCTGCTATGACCAGCTGGGAGAGACAGACAAGAGCTTAGAAGCCTATACACATGCACTGGAGCTGGACCCCACCAGCACCCGAGCTATCACAAATAAAGCTATTGTTTTAGACAGACAAGGGAAAAGTGAAGAAGCCAAAAAGCTTTTTGAGCAGGCTTTGACCATTGAAGATAATGCCAAAATACATAATAACTTGGGAATTTGCTTGAAAAAGCTGGGAGATAATGATTTAGCCCTGAAGCATTACAAAAAAGCAGTGGAATTGGACCCTGAGTATTCTTTGGCACATTATAATGTGGCAGTCCAGCTTTCAGAGCAAGATCAGCCAGAAGAAGCAATCCACCATTACCAAAAAGCGCTGCACTTAGAGCCCACAAATGCTTTTGCGTCCCTCGGTATTGCGAATACCCTTGAACTTACAGGAAACTACGAAGCAGCCCTCAAAATATATGAGAACGTCATGCAGATCATCCCAGAAATCAAAGGGGTCGTCGACAAAATCCAGGCTCTAAAGCGAAAAGAGACAGAAGCGCAGCAGACCCGGATCCACAAAGAAATGCAAGAACTAAAAGAAGCCCAAAACAACTACCTTGAATGAGATGAAGAGCAGTGCAAAAAGCGGCTTAAAGAGTCAGAAGAAGACCCTCGTGCTCACTTGCAGCTAGCACTTTTGCTTTTAGAGCGAAAAGACTTCCCCCAAGCCAAGCGACATTTGTTGAGGATTCTTGAAATCGACACCCAGTTCAGACCAGACGTGATTTATGACAAGCTTGGAGATATCTACTTTAAGGACGATAAAGATTTTGAAAAAGCTAGACAGCATTACATGATTGCCAGTGAGCACTCCAGCTTGCCAGAAATCTGAGTGAAAGCAGGCAAGTGCTATGAAAAACAGAAGAAATTTTATGAGGCAACTGAAGATTATAGGACTGCAGTGAAGCTTGATGATAAGTATGCGCTGGGGTATTTGAGGCTGGGGTGGTCACTTGTAAGGCAGGGCAATAGAGAAGAAGGCTTGGAAAATTTAGAAAAGGCCCATGAGCTTGAGCCGAAGAATGGAGAAATTTTGACGAAGCTTGGAGAAGTGCTCGTCAAAGAAGGAAAAGATGTAGAAAGAGCCATTGAAATCCTTGAACAGGCAGCCAAGATTGACAAAGAAAACCCTGACGCCTTAGTTGCGCTCGGAAGAGCACTGGAAAAGCAAGGAAAAATTCCAGAAGCAATCCAGAAATATGAATCAGCTCTGCTTTTGCCGTATACAAATATTAATGCTTATTTCTATCTTGGTGTGATCTATGAGAAACAAAAAGACTACAAAAGATCAATACAGCTCTTTAAGCAGTGCTTAAACCTAGACAAATCCCACTTTGGGGCCACAATCCACCTGGCTACCTTACTCGCAAATATGGGAGAAACCACAAAGGCTACCAAATACTTCGAGCACGCGCTGAAACTGGAGCCTGACAACGCAGCTGCTCATTTTAGCCTGGGAAAGATTATTCACTCGACAACTGACAATTTAGACGAAGCTGCAGACCACTATAATAAAGTGCTGGAAAAAGACCCCCAGCATTATAAAGCCCTCTGCCAGCTGGGAATTGTGTATTTGGAGAAAAGTGAGCTGGAAAGGGCAGCTGAGCTGCTTAAGGAATCTTTACAGATAAATTCAAAATATGTGCTTTCTTTGGTGTCTATGGGCAATTTGCTTTTTGAAGCTGGAAATTCGAAGAGCTCTGCTAGGTATCACCAACAAGCCCTCAAATACAGTCCTAACGAAATCCAAGCTTTGATTGGTCTTGGCAATGCGCTATACGACCTTGGCAAGCCAGAAGAAGCTATAGGCTTCTACGAAAAGGCGCTTCTTCAGGATGACTCTCTCTCAGACATCCACTATAACCTTGGAAATGCGCTGTACTTAAAAGAAGACATTGACGCCGCCATAACCCACTACCAGACTTCTATCAGACTGAACCCATCAAAGCCAGAAACTTTTTATAACCTTGGAAATGCCTTCTGCTTGAAAGGCGATTTCACCTCAGCAGTGACAGCTTACACACAAGCAATAAAGCTTGACCCAAACAATGCGCCAGCTTATTATAACCTTGGAAACGCACTCTATATGAAAAACTTGTTTGACGATGCCATTGCTGCGTATAAAGAAGCACTTAAGCTAAACCCAGACTCAGGCGAGTGCCATTTTAACCTAGCCTCAGCTTATAATGATAAAAACGAGCTTGACAAAGCCCTCTTCCATTTCAAAGAAAGCGCAATCCACGACGCAAACAACCCAGAAACCTATTACAATATTGGAGTTCTCCTAGAAAACAAAGGAGACTTCGACTTTGCAAGAGAAAACTACGAAAAGGCACTGAAGCTAAAGGATGACTTCGCTTTGGCGCAAGAAAGATTGAACAAATTAGTCGAGCAGGAAAAATTGCCTGCGTAAAATGATAAATTAATTTAACTGTCTAACTATTGACAAATTCCCCACTGTGCAGTGGTTTTGGGATATAGTCGATTTTTCTGTATTTTTCTGTGTTTTCTGAGCTTTCCCTTTCGACCCTGAGAACTGTCCATATAGTTCGCCTAAAGATTTCTAGTAAGCAAAGGACTAGCAGCATAACTTCGTTATTTAAATATCTGTTCTCAAACATCTGAACAGGCAGCAGTGTCAGACTCCACGAGAACCTTACTCCCCCCCTCCGTGAGTGAACAAAATTTTTTTTGTTCACTCACGGAGGGGGGTTAATTTTCTTTTTTAAAAAAATTTATATATAAAATTTTATAAAAAATATTTTTTTTTTTTCGAAGTTTAAAAAAATCCGATTCGCAAAAATTGGAAAAGCAAATATATTAATTCAATTTGCAAAATTTATGTTCTAAAAATCATTTTTTTTTAAAATTAAACAGATTTAGCTCTATATTTCATTATACTAATTATCATTTATATATTAAATTTTTTTTTCCATAAAAAATTTTTGTTCACTCACAGAGGGTGGGCTTTTGGGCAAAAAATAGCGATTTTTCTGATGGTTTTTGTTCACTCACGGAGGGGGGGGGGAGTTAGAAATAAGTTACTGATCATTGCAAAGTAATAAAAGCTCTTCCTAAAGTACAGTGTTTCCCTCAGAAGGCAGCCATTTTTAGAAGTCCGAAGGAGGCCCCAGTCTTGCCAGTAGTCAAGGATCATAGTGTAGACTGTGCAGATGACGAAGACTGAAATCCATATATACGCCTGGGTGCTGGTGTGCAGCCCAAAATAGCTGATAACGATTAATGATAAGCTTTGACCATAGCGGATAAGATTGGTGTATTGCTTTTTTATCAAAACAGGATCACTGCAAATTTTGTTGCAGACCTGCATAAGTCTTCATATAAACGGAAGCGCAGGGAGAAGAGCGAGAATTAAATAATGCTGCGAGCAGGACGGGTACTCATTTAACTCCCATGCATCAGTTGAAATAAAGCAGCCGCTTAAGTACATATCTTTTATTGGGATCACCATTGACGTCAGCCAGCTGCCAAACATATAATTTGTGAACTTCACAGGCCCAAAAGGAGCTATCATAAACTCAGCAAACGACTTAAGCATCGCATATCTTGCGCGCCTATATAAAATATGGAAAGGACAGATTCAGATTAGCAAGTATATTGTCAGCACAAATAGCGCGAAAATGTTAGGATGGATGCCTTCACTCATATAGTTAGAAATCTGCAATAAAAAGGTAATGCATCATAAAGTGGCTATGGAAAGGCCGACTCTGAGGATCTGAATGTAAGAGATTCGGTTCGTGGGGTCAATGTCAAAAATATAGACCCAGTTAAGTGAATGGGATTCCAGCATATATATAACCCATGCAAAAGCCAAAATATCAAGATTAATTGCAAGAGTCAGTCGAAAGATAGAAAAAGATGGAAAAATTTTGCTTGAAAGCATAGATTTCTCAGAAAAGGCTATTAGTCACATCGTTATTGAAAGGCACATAATGCTTATCCCTAAACAAAGAAAAATCCTTGCAATATCAGAAATCCGGTAATACTTGGCTCCTCTTGTAATTAGCTGGATGCTCGCATACAAGTTATCCCCCATAACTTCTTCAGCCACTTTCTTGTACATGGTCCTTCTCAGGTCTCCAAGTTCATGCTCAAATTTCCTGAAGCTTTGAGCTTCCAGCTCAGTCCTAAAACTTGAAGGGTGGTCAAGCTTATCCAAAATTCTCAAACAGGCAATATAGTTCACCTCACAGTATACTTCAAGCCACCAAATCCGTTTGTGGACGTCAGAAAAGGCTCGCTGAAGACTAGCAGATATATTGGACTCGTCGTCTTTTTCTTCCATGCTCAATAGCTTTTTTTCTTCTTTCTCTGTGATTGTCGAGGCAGACCGGATGCTATAAATCTTATAAAAAGCTGTCTCCAGCTCAGTCTTGTACTGAATTTTCTTGATGTTATAAAACTGATTAATTTTTTGGTATTGGCTCCGTAGGACCGACTGGAGGGCTTCGGTGAAGTCTTCCTCGACTGAAGCATTATGAGAATCATCTCACGCAATTTGCTTCTGGTAGTCATATATCATAGCCTTTATGTTACGATAGTCTATGTAATAAGAAGATCATTCAGGAATTTTATGGTATTCAAGCTGCTTAACAAATCTCATTTTACTTAATTTTATAAGCCCTCTATTTAAGCTAGGCATTTATTTTTTCTGTTGAATTTCATTAAGCTTCCCTTCAAAGCCCCAGCTGAATTCTGAGTTCAGCAGTCTCTGTGCATCTGGCCCCACCACATTGCGCAAAACTTTTAGCTGGGCAGGGCTCAAACTTTGTATCAGATCTCCTGCGATGTTTTTTAGATGCACTATATAATCGCTTTCTGTCTCTTTTAAGCTTTTGTCGCAACTAACGAACGGCTCAGACAGTTGAAATGCTTCTTCAAAGGATTTATGATACAAAATTGAAAAATGCTCGCCGTCTTCTATTTCTTCTTTTAAAAGATTGATTATTCTGGGATAGCAATAAGAATTTTCGCAGTATCTCTCAGTAGTATCATCAATTTGGTAGATTCTGATGTCTAGATTAAGAGTTTTTGAAAGAGAGTTTAAGGATCCTTCTAATCTTGCATTAGGGGTGTTTGGATTTAGTAAAAAATTAGAGAAGCCTCGAAGCTCTATGTAGAAATCTGAGTCTGGCTTCTTTTTCCATAAGCCCTTAAGTGATGCAGACCCTTGCTTGATTTTTGATAAAAAGCCAGCTACCAACGACTCGCCGCTCTTGCGTTCATTATACTTAGAAACCCTAAATTACACTTACGCCGATTCTACAAATTGCAGCCCACTTGCATAGCTGCCTTGGCTTTGAACTAACATTTCCATAAGACTGTACACAATAGCCAGACTGAGCCCCTCATTTCCATCGCCACATGGCTTTATGAGTTCAAAGCCTTTTTCTTTTATAAGAGAAAAGGAGTCATCTCCAGGTATTTCATAAAAATCCATTTTAATATTTTATTACTTATTCATCATATTTTCAGAGAAAACCTCACCTATGCTGAACAAGTTTTGATCAGTAGAGCTCTTGTCGTCCAGACTATTGAGATAAAAGAAATTCACACACTGTTTGCCAATGTCTTTATCTTCATAATTCCCAAACAAGTACAGAAGCATCCCTTGGGTGTTTTTAAAGTATGGGTACACTTCTCCATTGAAGTATTGCTTGACTTGGTATTTTTTGGCAAGGTCTAAGCTGTTTTCCTTGGCAAAAACTGCATAGCTTTCGAGCAGATAGGTGACTGGGTTCACATAGATCCTTTCTGCTTCAGGAGCTTTGTTGCTTAAAAAGTTCACGATGTTTTGGTATCCTCTTGACTCTGCTTTGTCAATTGCGGTGTAGCCGTAGTTATCTTTTAAGTCAAGCTTAGCTCCAAAGGAGACCAGGGCTTTTATTACGTCTGTTTGTTCATGAATTACTGCCATCATGAGAGGGGTGTTTCCTTCAAAGTCTCTTGCGTTTAAGTCAGCGCCCCTGGAAACTAAATACTCGACCATTTCAAGTTTGCCTAGCTGGGAAGCCAAAAGCAATGGAGAGTACTTTCTGCGTTTGTCAAGAATTGAGTTTATATCAAAACCTCGATTTAGCACTGATGCGGCCAGCTGAAAGTCGTTGTGACATATTGCTACCTTTAACTTATAGCTAATGAGCCTTTATGGATCGACCTCATTGAAAATGTAACCCGCTCTAATGGACTTCCTATCTTGTACATCTTAGAATAGACCCCTCACTATTTAGAGAAATATTTAGACTATTATAAAAAAATCCCTAGTTTTAAACTAGTTCCATATAGTTTTTATATTATTGTTTTTTTAATAATTTGAAAAATGTTTTAAAAATCAGCATAAGATTTGGCAAAAGAAGCCAAATCACGTTTTACAATTAAAATAGTTATTATCTCTTGATATTTGAAAAATACGATTTTCGCGGTAAAATGTTTTGGGCCCAAATATTGGAAATTAAAAATAGCGAGTCAAAAAATTTTTGACAAGTGTGAACCATTTTGACAATTAAACGATCCATTTTAAAAATATCTTTATTTTTTAAAATTAATTTTTAATAAGATATGACTTTGAAAAAAAATGGCTGGTCCATTTAAAATTAATTTAATTAATAAAAATAATATTTAAATTTAAAGAATATTAATAAAAAATTTTGAATATGAGCACATCATCTCCAAGTTGATATTGAGAAAAATAAAAGCTCTTTAATAAAAATAATAATTCAGCTTAAACAATTAGGCTTTGTATTTATTTCATATTATTCCTTATAGGAACATCACTATGAGGGGTTACATTTTTCCGATACTTACTATAAGATTCTGCCATTTTTTTTAAAGTCAAAAATACCATAAAAAAATTCAAACGCGAACACGAGATCTCCAAGACTAAATCGAAGCAAAAAAAGTTCATTGGGCAAAATAAAATTCATATTAAATGATTAAGCTTTGCAGTTGAACCTGACCTTAAATCTACATAGGAGCTTGCTCCATGAGGGGTAACATTTTTTCCTATAGTCACTATAAGTCTGCCATTTTTTTTTCTAAAGTCAAAAGTAAGCAAAAAACAATCAAACGTGAACACGAGATCTCCAAGAATAAATCGAAGCAAAAAAAGTTCATTGGGCAAAATAAAATTTATATTAAATGATTAAGCTTTGGAGTTGAATCAGACCTTAACTCTTCATAGGAGCTTGCTCCATGAGGGGTAACATTTTTCCTATAGTCCATATAAGTCTGCCATTTTTTTTTCTAAAGTCAAAAATACCTAAAAAAAAATCAAACGCGAACACGAGATCTCCAAGACTAAATCGAAGCAAAAAAAGTTCATTGGGCAAAATAAAATTCCTTTAAATTGATAGAGCTTTGCAGTTAAATCAGACCTTAACTCTTCATAGGAGCTTGCTCCATGAGGGGTAACATTTTTTCCTATAGCCACTATAAGTCTGCCATTTTTTTTTCTAAAGTCAAAAGTAAGCAAAAAAAATTTCAAACGCGAACACGAGATCTCCAAGACTAAATCGAAGCAAAAAAAGTTCATTGGGCAAAATAAAATTTATATTAAATGATTAACCTTTGCATTTAAATCAGACCTTAACTCTACATAGGAGCTTGCTCCATGAGGGGTAACATTTTTTCCTATAGTCCATATAAGTCTGCCATTTTTTTTTTCTAAAGTCAAAAATACCTAAAAAAAAATCAAACGCGAGCACGAGATCTCCAAGACTAAATCGAAGCAAAAAAAGTTCATTGGGCAAAATAAAATTTATATTAAATGATTAAGCTTTGCAGTTGAATCAGACTTTAACTCTTCATAGGAGCTTGCTCCATGAGGGGTAACATTTTTTCCTATAGTCACTATAAGTCTGCCATTTTTTTTTCTCTAAAGTCAAAAGTAAGCAAAAAAAATTCAAATGCGAACACGAGATCTCCAAGAATAAATCGAAGCAAAAAAAGTTCATTGGGCAAAAATAAAATTTATATTAAATGATTAAGCTTTGCATTTGAACCAGACCTTAACTCTTCATAGGAGCTTGCTCCATGAGGGGGTAACATTTTTTCCTATAGTCACTATAAGTCTGCCATTTTTTTTTTTAAAAGTCAAAAATACCATAAAAAAATTCAAACGCTAACACGAGATCTTCAAGACTAAATCGAAGCAAAAAAAGTTCATTGGGCAAAATAAAATTCCTTTAAATTGATCGAGCTTTGCAGTTAAATCAGACCTTAACTCTTCATAGGAGCTTGCTCCATGAGGGGTAACATTTTTTCCTATAGCCACTATAAGCCTGCCATTTTTTTTTCTAAAGTCAAAAATACCTAAAAAAAATTTCAAACTCGAACATGAAATCTCCAAGAATAAATCGAAGCAAAAAAAGTTCATTGGGTAAAATAAAATTCATTTTAAAATGATGAAGCTTTGCATTGGGTTTTATTAGGAAACTTTTCATAGGAGCTTGCTCCATGAGGGGTAACATTTTTTCCTATAGTCACTATAAATCTGCCATTTTTTTATTTAAAATCATATCTTAAATTAAAAATTAATATTTATAATAAAGATATTTAAAAAATTGGATCGTTTAATTGTCAAAATGGTTCACACTTGTCAAAAATTTTTTGACTCGCTATTTTTAATTTCCAATATTTGGGCCAAAAACATTTTACCGCGAAAATCGTATTTTTCAAATATCAAGAGATAATAACTATTTTAATTGTAAAACATGATTTGGCTTCTTTTGGCCAAATCTTATGCTGATTTTTAAAACATTTTTCAATTATTAAAAAAAACAATAATATAAAAAACTATATGGAACTAGTTTAAAACTAGGGATTTTTTTTATAATAGTCTAAATATTTCTCTAAATAGTGAGGGGTCTATTCTAAGATGCACAAGATAGGAAGTCCATTAGAGCGGTTACATTTTCAATGAGGTCGATCCATAAAGGTGCATGAGCTATATACCCTTCTGAGTGAGGGAAAAAGGATCTTTGGTCAAAACTCGTCCAGCTAGTACGCAAATAGCTCTTTTGGCAAAGAGTGATTAAGTAGCTAAAAGGAAACAGCACGTTGCCGCCATGGTCCATTGGGAAGTACTTATAAAGTTTTTCGTTCACAAATAATCGGAAATTGAATTTAAAAAAGCCAGTCGGGCCCCATATCCAAGTGCAAATGAGGCTCATGGCTCCGATTCCCCAGTAAGTCCTAATGAATTTCAGTTTATTTACCCTCCAGAACCTCCAGGAGTCTCTCCTGTTTCTGATGTGCAGCGCTCTTATGTGAAGTCCATATACCATTTATAAATTATTTTACATTCGCTTAGACTCTCCTATAAACGTTTCCAGGTTTCTTTTAAGCTCTTTTCCTGCTTCTCCAGTTGGGTTTTCTCTTTTTGAGTTTTTCTCAAGCCCTTGGGACTCATTGACACTTTTGAATGCAGCCAAGCAGCTTTCACACTTTTTTATTCTTTCTTCTTTGGCTAGATCAACTCCCATCATTACAGGGACAGTAAGAGTGCTTGTGATAAGGCTTCGGAATTGCTTTAGAAGGGTTGAGACTACAAGCATCCCAGTTCTTATGTAAGCTTCGTATTTTGAGTCGATCAGACTTTTGGCCAATGGTAAGATTGAAGCACAGTGCTCAAGACTTAAACAGTCAAGCCGGCAGTCTGTGAAGCAGTATCGCAGGACGTCAGCCCTTACACTGATATCATTCATCATATTCAAAGCATTTATAGTGGCTGACATGTTCCCTCCAAGCCATCAGTTGAGCACTAAATTAATGCTTTCAGTGCGCCTCTTGATTACAGTCAAAATTCTATCATGATTTTCATCAATTTCTGAAAGAATCTTTGAGTCGTTAGAGCTTTCAGCTTCCACCTTTGGCATGAACTCTTGAAAATTGAGCCCTATAGGTGCGTTGCTGCGCGCTTCTACGAAGCTTGCCCCCATTTCAACTTTTTCTCTTTTTTTCGGCCTGACCTCGATAGGGTTTACTTTTTGTTCTTCAATTCTTGGGGTGTCGTAGCTGACCTGGCTCAAATCTGTGCTTCACAATGAAAATGAGCTGTTATTTACACACAAACCAGCCAAAATATTGTCCTTTTCATTAATAGCCAAATCTACAACTCCTTTCCACGAGGACTCTATTGAGTCATAAAGTTCACCATTTTCAATATCCCAGAGCTTAAGTGAGTCATTTGCAGCTGTAAAAAGCATTCTACCTTCAGACGTCTCAAAACATATCCTTTGTATTGGGTTAGCTTCAGGGGTTGTCTGTGAAATGTGTCCAAAATTTTCCAAGTCCCAGTGCTGGACAGTCCTGTCTTGGTGTCCTGAAGACATTGACAAGTTCTGAGGATTGAACTGCAGACAGGTTACTGGAGAGTCATTTATTGAGAAATCACAGAGCTTTTTTGAGGTGCTGAGATCCCAAATCTTGACAGTCCCATCTGCCCCTCCTGAAGCAATTCATCGACTGTCTGGGCTAAATGATACAACATTGACATTTCCTCTGTGTCCTTTAAAGGTCTGAATGCAAGCTTTTCGCCTTAAATCCCAAAACTTGATGTTGCAGTCAGAAGACCCTGTAACTAAATATGTTTGTCCTTCATTGGGGTAAGCAGAAAGAGTGGTACAAGCAGATAAATGACCTTTAAGACTGCTGACTGCTTTTTGTGCATTGAGGTCCCATACAATAACTGTGCCACCGAATGAGCCAGAATATAATTCAATCTCTTCGCTGCTGAATGCTACTGAAGTAATCGCAGAAGAATGCCCAGGTAAAGATAGAAGAGACTCTGGTTTTGATATTTTTCAGAGTCGCACTTGCATTGCATCATCCCCTCCTGCGACAACTTGGAAAGATCTGCATCCTAGCTGGCCACATAGCACCCTTGAAGCTCCATTAGAATTGGTGCTGACATCGAATTCTTGAATTCTTAGATTCCGTCGTGCCATTTATAATTTCAAAATCGCTTCTTAATTTTTATGAGTTTAACAGCTTTAAATTATCAGAGCTGCAATAATATATTCCATAGCAATTAATAATATTGGGGATCAATTTATTATGACAAAATATCAATAATCATGGTGAGGAGATATAGTAATATTTTAAGTGAAATTTAGATTAAATTATAATGCAACTTTCACAACAAGTAGACTTCGGATTTGGAACATGGGAAGGAGTCTTAAAGTGAGTGAGCAAAGACTCTTTGGTAGAAATCATCTGTGCTAGTATGCGTTCCCTCTCTGTAATCTCGCTTCTTTTCGCCAAGCAAGCATTATAGCTCTCAATTGTTTTTTTAAGGACCAGAGATAGGCTTTTATTTTCGAATTTTAAATTCTCGAGTTTCTTCTTCAAATAAATATATTTTTCTGAGTCTCCTTTATTTAGCTCACTTTGAGACCTTGCATAACTTTTAATTGTTGTCCCAACATTGCACTCGTCTTCCAACATGCTTAACTTGTCCATCAAGACCCTATTTTCATTTTGCTTTGCCTCAATTTTCAACTTGGTTTCAGCAATTGAGCTGGTCCTAGCCTGGATTTCAGCCTCAATATAAGTGTGATTTTCCTTGAGATAGGTCGAATCACCTCTATTTCTGCTGATTTCGCTCTGCTCTTCTTTTATTCGTTCGAAAATTTTGTTTTTCAGAGCATTCACTTTTTCAATTTCAAGGGTATTTCCTTGGCAGAGAACCTCTTTGATGCACTTATCGCATGTTCTCACTGAGCGGCTTAGCTCTTTATTGAAAGTTTTTTGCAGAGAGCAGTTGTTGCAGACTCCTCTGTAGCAGTAAAAGCAGCCGCTCTTCACATGACAGCTATTTCATAACGATTTTTTTTTAACCTATTTTTTCACTTATTTTTTGTTCTTTTTTTAGCTTATTGTTTTTGTCTATTTTTTGGTCTATGTTTTTTGGCCTATATTTTTTTGGACCTATTTTTATTTCACCTTTTTTGAACTTTTTTTAACCTATTTGCTTTGTCTATTGTTTTTGACAGAATTTATATTATAAAATTTTTTGCATTATAAAAATAGGCAAAAAAGAATAGGCCATAAAAAATAGACCAAAAAGCAATAGGCTAGACCAAAAAAATAATTTAAAAAAAAAGTCGATATGGAATAGGTGTCGTGTGAAAGAACCAAAAGCAACAGTATCTTCGAGTTTTGAATTTCTTGAATTTGACTGCACAAATGATACAATTTTTGTCTTGCAGATAGAGTGTATTATTTAGTGGCAAATCTTCGTCTTGCATCTTCGGGGTTTCTGGAGAATCAGACGGAGAAAGAAATGTCATTGCAAATCCATTATCTTCGGACATCACAAATAAACAATATCAATTCAATGTAATTTCAAACCAATTAATATTCTTGTATCTTCAATAATTTGTATGAATTAATTTCTAAAAGAATTTCGCATTAAGCATATTTATTGCAACAAATTCATTTATATTCGCAATCAAAATGCCTCCTCTATGCAAACTAGAGAGTACTGGCCAAATTTATGATCGTTATGCTTTCAACAAAGATGGCTAAAGGGATGTAGAAACTTCTTATAAATTCAACCAAATTGATTTTATAAGCATCTGCTCCTTCTTATCTATCAAGCTCGGTTAAATGAACAGTTTAAAATGAATAATCTTTTTTAAATTCATTATTTTCTAATAATTATTTAATTTCATTAGGCTTGCAGTTGAAGATCATAATATATAAATTATCTTATTATTATTAACTTAAAAATGAAATTAAATATCGATTTGAGTAATAGCGTCATCAATAATAAGAAAGTATTTTTGAGCTTCTAATGTAATTTTGCTCTTAATTTGCTGTGAAATTTCTTCTTTCTTAATAGAAATTTCTTGAGCTGAGCTTTGCTCTATCAATAATTTAGAAACTTCTTCGCATAATGTTGATAAAATAATTTTGCCATAGTCAGATCCATAATCCAGTCCAAAATTTAAATAAATTTTCGGCAAGTCATTTGCATTGGGTCTGTATATTATTCTTTGCTTTATAGCAGCTGAATGAAGATCGCTTGTTTTAATTTTAAATGCAAAATTTAATGCCTTTGGAGCTATTTTTAAGGTAATTGGAAATTGAATGAATGGAACAGTGTCAAAAATTGTAATAACTTTCTCAGTTTTAATAAGATGGAATGCATATTTGATGACAAAAAATCCGAAGAGAAGTGAGCTGCCATAAACAAAAAGTTTTCTAAAAGAAAATTTTGACATATTTACAATCAGATTTATTATAAAAATTAAAGACACCCTATGAACTTGCTTTCTCCTCCTTTAAATTGAACCAAAAATTGTGTTCCAAATAAAGGGTTTATTTTAAAAAAAATTATATTAAATTTTCGGCATAAATATTTTTTTTAAAATTTTCAAAAATTATAAATTGACACAATGTGTTGAATTTAAATTTATTTTTATGAATATTGCATAAAAAAATTATCGATCAGCTCGAAAACTATTTAAATGACATTTTATTGCACTTTTTCCATTGGATAAGGTCAAAACTATTTAGTATTTTTATCTATAAAATTTTCCTATTGACAGGTTACCCAAAAAAGTAGAAATTTTACCAATATTTTGTTCCAATTTAAAGGGGGATTAATGCCTTTAAGCCAAGCATAATGCAAATTTTTATTAATGATCTTAGAAATTTGCTATTTAAGTTATTTAATATAATAACTTGAATTATTGATAATATTGATTACCAGAAAAAGGAGCATATGGGTTTGAAAATTGTGAATAGGGTTGGGGATAATACGATGGACTCATATTTTGATTATAATATTGTGGTTGAGCATAATTCGGCTGATACTGAATTGGCTGCGCATAATATTGATTTTCATATATCGGGCCAGATTGCTGATATTGAACAGTTTGGGGAATTACAGGCGTGATTTGATATGGCTGGGATTGCTGATACTGAACATTTTGAAGCTGATAATTATCAGTCACTTGCTGATTATAAATAGCCGGCAGAACGGGATACACTAAATTAGTGCTTGGAGTATAATGGTGCTGATATGGAGCAGAATAAGCATAAGACTGATGAATTTTTTTAGGCTTCTGATGTTTTGCGACTGCATTTTTAATCTCACTAAGACCCACTGCAAATTTTTTATATTTCGCAGAATTCATGAAATTAAAATTCAAAAGATTCACATCTGCTTGTGGCTGCTGAGGTATCTGCTCAACAGTTTGGTCTGTGTTTATATTATTTAATACATTTTTCAGCCCTGGCAAAAAGTAATCTGATGGCGCCAATTGTTTTTTTAGATAATTTGCATTATCCCCTTCAATTAGGCCTTTCTTTTCCATTAATTCTAAAATATACTTCCAGCCCTGCACTTGAGTTACTGGATTATTCCTATCATAATCATCTACGAATTCAATAGCAGCGTCCTCATATTTATCTGTATGTATTTGCTGAAACTTCTTAAGGTCTTCCCTATTACATCGAGAAATAATTAAATCCAAAGGCAGAATAAACATAATCCCTATCACGATCAGCATCCAAATAAAAGCAGGCTCTGAGTCGTCTGGGCTTAGCAACCTCATGTATGAGTAGTGCAAAATAGAGTAGACAAGCACAGCTCATGGAATGAATTTTACCATCAGCATAGTAAGATGTCCTGATAGTCTGATTGGTCTACAATGGCGGGTTATCAGCATATATTTATTTACCCAGTATTCAAAAACAATTCCAGCAGAGGAGATAAGGAAAGCTTCGGGAATTATAGTGACATAACAAAACGTGAGGAGTATGGTTTTCATAATATTTGCATGTCTCTGAGCCATATCCACTTGGGGAGGATCAAATATAGCGTTTGCTTCGCCTTGGGTTAACATTTTGTCTCTTCTAGCTAAGCTTCGTTTAATTCCTTTTATACAAACCATAGGGCTAAATACATAGATTAGTGGTCCAATAAAGGAGTTAGAAAAGAAAATGTAAGTGATATTTACAGCTAAGCCTTCAGACGTGAACCAGTAGCTTTCCCAATCATAATTTGCAATAAGAGAAATTATTGCAGTGTTCAGAAATTGCACAATAGTCAGTTTAATAGCAACAGAAGCGTTATAGCTGGTAAAAGTATGGTATTTCTCATATGATGTAAAGTACCTGACACATCTTCCTAATATAAAATTGATTAAAACTATCCCAACTGCAGGCCACATCGCATTTAATCGAATTTTTCATTCATCAGAAGTCGATAAATCCTGATGACTTGCGTCGTCTTTTACCTTTCTCTGATTAAGATTAAGATTAAGATTACGCTGGGTATTTAAGGTCCCTACTACGTCCGAGGTCGCATGCCACGGTTTCCCGTGTGGTGGCAGAGCGTTCACCAAGCCCGGGCCGAAACCCCCGGTTTCTCGGTAGAGGCATTGTCAAGGGCCGTCTCATACCTGCTTTGCTGACCACCTCCATTTCCAACTTGGATCGTCGCCTAAGTTTACGCCAACTCCGCTTCGTCGTCCGCCAGATCTGCCCATTGAAGGGCACCTTTTCAACTGGAGAGACCCCCGTTTTGGTGTCTAACTCGCCTCCCCTCTTTTCCGGTCATCCCGAGAAAGAACTCAACAGCTTTCGCCATTCGGGGCGAGCCACTAAAGCAGCTTAGGCAGGTAATTCACCCTGCCTCATTTCGGGCACTCACTGGGCTGAGCGCTGCTGGCAAAAAGAAGTCACGAATAACTGCCCATGGATCTGGTCGCAAAAACAGCGGCTCTCGCGCTTAGGCCTCTCGCTTCGAGGTCCCAGATGTTGTTGGGTTAATTCCTGGCTCCAAAAAACCATGCCCGGATATACATGGGTAACCACCACTGAGAGGGTGGGTCGGTCGCCATACGCCATTTTATGTATATACCTTTCTCTGATAAATAGTGCATCCATAAATCATCCCAAATGATGCACACAAAGCTAACAATGTAATGAAATAAGTAGCCAAAATATTTTTCAGCCTATTTTTAAACGAAAAACTCATATTTTGCCAAATTATATCAGAAGGCTCAGGAGCCATCTCAGCAGATATGTTCCTGTTTTTGAACTTAAACATGAATTTTTCTTTACAAATAGCTCCACAAGCACTGTCGACCAAGTGGCTTCAAAACTGCGAAACAAAGCTTTTCCCATATCTTTTTACTACTAATCTAGCCTCAATTTGGCTATCAAATGTTACGAATGCTTTTCCAATCAGCAGCTTGTTTTTTAAATCTTTCGATTCTTCTTCAAATTTATCAATTTCTTCTTGAGCTGCATTTAGCTGCTTTTTTAAGTTTTCTGCAGTGTCGATTTTTCTTTTGCAGCACCCACAAGTTTTTATAGCTGGGACTTCGTTAGGGTGTTCTTTTTGGTAAAGCTCAAGGTGAAATAGTTCATGCTTGCAGTATTCTGCTTTTCTTGTGGCCTCAATATAGTGAGTAATATCATAGGGAATGTTTATTTTAACCACTTTTGCTGACAAGTTATCGTCTCTTCCATGCTCCTCAATAAATATTTTCAACTCTTCTTCGATGAAGTCTTTTCCAAGGCCACTTACGAGAATTGTGTAATCAGAAGGACTTGTTATGGACATATCGATGTCTTCCTCTTTTCTTGCCAAATCTGCCTTTAAGAAATAATAAGATATTAGGATCACAATCATATAAACTATATGCAAAATTGATTGTCAGCGAGGAATAATACTTTTATTGCTACCTTGATTTCCAGCTGATGCTTTTATTGCTCAGCTGTCATTATTATTTCCCCATTGGTCTCCACTATCGGCATCAACATTACTTATGAGGCTGGCCAAGCATAAGCCTCAATACCAAACTACCTATTCTGATAATATGAAATATAATAGATGTTATATTAATTTCGAACCTAATCTATTAAAAACGCGATTTATAACATATTTAAGACTATATTTAATATTTTATTTCATATTCTTGCTATATATAAAATTTTTATATGACTAGCAAATTTAGTTTTATGCTTGTATTAAATTTAAGTAAGATATATCATTTTTATATGTAAAATAAGCTATTTAATCATATATAATTTATTTTTCGTATTAATTTAGAAAGATTGACGCTTGACATTGTATGTGCTTTGATACATAATTATGATTAAAATGATTTATTTGCGTCTATCCATTTTAAAACAGAATTACATATATTAATGATTAAAGCGCGATAAATAAGTGGTATCCAGCGTATTTCTCTATTAAATCTTTTATTTATCAGTTTAAATATTTTTACTATATAAAATTTTGTATAAAGTAGGATAAGAAATAAAGTATTAAATATATGTTCAAACATGTTATAAATTGTTTTTAATAGTTTAGAAGAGAAAATATTGCAATATCTCCTATATTTATTATTATCAAGAATCAGTAGTTTACAATTGAGGGGGGCGGAGGGATGGGGGCAAGGGTTCGGGCTGGGCTTTATGTTTGACCATGAGACAAGCTATCCCAACTAAAAAAAAGCCAAACATAAGCATAAGCACTGAATACTTGATGACTCAGTAGAATAGTGGAAATCCAGGACCTAGTTCATTGAATTCATGGAGACTAGAGCAAAGTGAAAACGGCTGAGCTTCAACAGGCAAGCCACAACACATACATTTTTCACATTTTGGATCGTCCATTGCCTCTTCAATTTTCATTACTTTTCGTGCATTTCGGTGTCTCTTACCCCTTCTCTCCGTTAGCGAACAATACGATTGGAAAAACCCTATTTTTTTTCCATAAGTGAACAAAAATTTTTTTAATATTAAAATTTTTTGAGTTTTTATATTTTTGCCGTCTCAAAGAGCTCCGAAAATTTTTATATTAAAACATATTTTAATAGATAAGTGATAATTATTATAGTAAATTCTTTTAATTTTAAACAACTTGCAATTTAAAACATAAATTTTGTAAATTAAATAATGTTTGCTTCTCAGTTTTTTAATTTTTTAAGGATATAAATTCTTTAAAAAAAATTAACCCGAGCAAACAAATTTTTTTTGTTAGCTCAAAGGGGGTTTAGCAAATTCTAAGTCTGCTTTTTGAAATGGATCATAATCAAGTTTGAATCCCGATTTTTTGCTTTCTCGAGGATTATCGCCTTGACTAGGGTTTAAAGTTTTTGTGAGAGCTTCTTCTGAGGGATTTTTTAGTGATGCAATTGGCTCTTTGCTTTCTGAAGAAGCATTGGGCCTTTCATTCAGAGCTTGCATAGTTTTATTAATCTTAATGCGAGCAATTATGTCAAAATGAAAAAGAAAACAATTTAAAAAACTTTCATTTTTCATAAGTTGAGGGAATGAGAGCTTAAGAAAATGAATTGTATAAAGAAAATATTAATTCAATTAAAAATCGGGCACTTTCTAACATCAGCACAATATAGTCGTTACAAAATTAATACAGTGTGAAGACTGAAAAATTTATTATTAACTAGAAACACAAAGCAACTTTTCATATAGCCTTAAAATAATAAAGGCAGACCTTGGTTTAAAATTTTATTTTGCATTTAGGGTGTTAGGGTGTTAGGGTGTTAGGGTGTTAGGGGTGTTAGGGTGTTAGGGTGTTAGGGTGTTAGGGTGTTAGGGTGTTAGGGTGTTAGGGTGTTAGGGTGTTAGGGTGTTAGGGTGTTAGGGTGTTAGGGTGTTAGGGTGTTAGGGTGTTAGGGTGTTAGGGTGTTAGGGTGTTAGGGTGTTAGGGTGTTAGGGTGTTAGGGTGTTAGGGTGTTAGGGTGTTAGGGTGTTAGGGTGTTAGGGTGTTAGGGTGTTAGGGTGTTAGGGTGTTAGGGTGTTAGGGTGTTAGGGTGTTAGGGTGTTAGGGTGTTAGGGTGTTAGGGTGTTAGGGTGTTAGGGTGTTAGGGTGTTAGGGTGTTAGGGTGTTAGGGTGTTAGGGTGTTAGGGTGTTAGGGTGTTAGGGTGTTAGGGTGTTAGGGTGTTAGGGTGTTAGGGTGTTAGGGTGTTAGGGTGTTAGGGTGTTAGGGTGTTAGGGTGTTAGGGTGTTAGGGTGTTAGGGGTGTTAGGGTGTTAGGGTGTTAGGGTGTTAGGGTGTTAGGGTGTTAGGGTGTTAGGGTGTTAGGGTGTTAGGGTGTTAGGGTGTTAGGGTGTTAGGGTGTTAGGGTGTTAGGGTGTTAGGGTGTTAGGGTGTTAGGGTGTTAGGGTGTTAGGGTGTTAGGGTGTTAGGGTGTTAGGGTGTTAGGGTGTTAGGGTGTTAGGGTGTTAGGGTGGGTGGGTGGGTGTTAGGGTGTTAGGGTGTTAGGGTGTTAGGGTGTTAGGGTGTTAGGGTGTTAGGGTGTTAGGGTGTTAGGGTGTTAGGGTGTTAGGGTGTTAGGGTGTTAGGGTGTTAGGGTGTTAGGGTGTTAGGGTGTTAGGGTGTTAGGGTGTTAGGGTGTTAGGGTGTTAGGGTGTTAGGGTGTTAGGGGTGTTAGGGTGTTAGGGTGTTAGGGTGTTAGGGTGTTAGGGTGTTAGGGTGTTAGGGTGTTAGGGTGTTAGGGTGTTAGGGTGTTAGGGTGTTAGGGTGTTAGGGTGTTAGGGTGTTAGGGTGTTAGGGTGTTAGGGTGTTAGGGTGTTAGGGTGTTAGGGTGTTAGGGTGTTAGGGTGTTAGGGTGTTAGGGTGTTAGGGTGTTAGGGTGTTAGGGTGTTAGGGTGTTAGGGTGTTAGGGTGTTAGGGTGTTAGGGTGTTAGGGTGTTAGGGTGTTAGGGTGTTAGGGTGTTAGGGTGTTAGGGTGTTAGGGTGTTAGGGTGTTAGGGTGTTAGGGTGTTAGGGTGTTAGGGTGTTAGGGTGTTAGGGTGTTAGGGTGTTAGGGTGTTAGGGTGTTAGGGTGTTAGGGTGTTAGGGTGTTGTTAGGGTGTTAGGGTGTTAGGGGTGTTAGGGTGTTAGGGTTGTTA